TGACCACAGGCACTCGTAGGATGCTTCAACGTGTTACCTGGATTCCCGGGTTTTCCTGGGAGAAGGACCTACGGCCCCACGACGAGGTGCACACCACACTCCATATACATACCTTCTAAGGCTGTGAACGGGTCCCACTGCAAGTCTGAGTAAACCGAGAGAAGACGTCGTTCCGGATAGATCAAGTGGTGGTTGTGGTCTGGAGCAAGATAGCTTACAAGCCTCTACTCCGTAGACTGCCTGAGGTACTTGCCAACAAGAAGGAAGACAACCCGCGAGGGTCCTTATCGTCACCTCGTATTCGACGACTGCCGGGCGCCCTATCACATCTTACCTCGTACGGCTGTGAACGCCCCCTCGTCCTGGAAGTGATGGTTAGGGCGTCGAGCTGCAAGCTGCAACAAGGAGAGCTCTGGCCCCTTCAGAGACCTCGTCAATCAGGAAGCCCATGGTTATATTGCAGCCCCTTTGTATTAGAGTTTGGGGGACAGCGTTCTAGCATGGTCCATGTTTCTAGAACGCTGGGAAGTCAAGCTCAAGCCATCAAGGTTGTCCCTGGGCAGCCCCTGACAGTGCCGGCTCGGTACATGTTTTGTGTAGCGCTTTATTGTTGGCGTGTTGGGAGAGCTTGGGTGTCCCAAATTACCGGTCCTGCACACCTCGGGCGGGCGGAAGCAGAGGTGCATGCTGTTTGACCATGGCTCACCATGGTCGGCTAGGTAAAAGGCAGACGGGATTGGTGAGTGAGCAGCCTGATGCTTCTTACTGGCCTTAGGCAGACACGAACACGCGATTGACCAGGTCGGAGCCGTGCGTCCAATAGCCACGGACCGTTGAAGATATGTAAGCAAAGCAAGTCATATTAGAAGCGCCGCGGGTAGTGGAGATGGAAACACGGCTGGCAATTTTTTGATTGGGTCGTTCACAGGCGCAATTCTTCGAGCCCAGCCGGCGGTGGATTCATCAAAAGTCCAAAATGGCCCCATTCAAGAAGCCATCCCCTGGTACAAGTACCGACACTTCATTGGATGCTGACCTGCTGCATATCTCCACGCAACCACTGGACTTTGGCAAATGGAGGGCGATTATCCTGCTACCAAAAGAGGAATGTACTGTGACACTTGGAAGCTTCGCGGATGGTCGAGTAGGATCTCTGTCACCAATGAGGAGGGCCACGGCTCTATCAAAAGTCCTGGGCTTGCAAGAGAGAAGCCGAAGAGGAGATTTGCCGCCAAGCCACTGTCTGGTCGCCGTCTGGAAGTGTTCGTAGGGGAGGGCAACAACACTCGGCGGAGACCTGAGACGACCAAGCAAAATGTGCCTGTCCGATAAACGCTCGGAGTATGTGGACGCAAGAATACCCGCGTCGTCGACAGCCTCAGGATAATCAAAAATTGCGGGAGATTGCAAGTGAGCGCGGTGGATGGTAACCACGGCCAACCGCTATGAGGTTGTGGACAGTCGGTAATACCATGGGCAAACACCTTTGATTATTTTTGGGATGCCTTTGTCATCGGTGTCGAGGCCCACCAAGGTGATGCAGGGTGGGCGATCATAAAGCTTGTCGCGCGCTGGGCTGCAGCCACACCAGCCCAAGCCCGAGGCGCCGCTCGCCTCGCCCACGACTTCTGTAACCGGACTAGTAGCACGCAGGAGTCAAAGGTCCAACCAGTGGCTGACTCCACCACCTGGTTGTTTTAGGTACTGTGTTACTGGGCGTCCCTAGGGCTGAGAGCTAACATGCAGCATCGGAAACCTGGCATGGCAATTGGCGGAAAGCGAAATGAAGTTCTGCCTTGCTCGATCTGGAAGTCGGGTGGCAGGGATCGCTTGTGGTGCCGGCCTTACTCCATCAATTACATTACTGTACGCTCTCGCGGCCGTACCGAGTATACCTGAGGCCAATCCGCCCAAGAAACGTTCCGTCGGTTGTCCCGCCACGCCGCGAGAGATTAGCCCTGCCATGCTACCGAAGCCACTCAGCGGGAGCGATGTCCAGCGCTCTCGCACCGTTGTTCAGGCGGTGGCTAAACCACCAGAGGAAAGTCGGCCGTTGTAATAATTCACAGGAGTCCTTGATTTCAAATAACACAAATTGGATTCTCGCGATGCCGCTATTGCTTCTTTAGAAGTCGCTGCTCTGGAGGCTATTGAACCAAGGGAAGGTGACTCGACGTGCCATCCCGATTATCCAGTACGTCCAAACAGTGCATGCGGCCAGACTTGCGGTAGATATCAGGTCCACATGAGCTGACCACCCTACAGGGCGGTACTGATGACTTGGTCCTTGCCCAGCACCCTCATGTAACGCTGAAGAATCTGGAGATTGTACTTTTGCAACCAGGCATCCAGCTTGCCCACCCTCCAGGCAGTCCAGCTCTTCGGTAGCCAGTCAAGGAGCTTCCACCCAGAGCCCGGTAGGGAATAATCGACATCCACCATTGACCGTTTACCTAACCATTGCCTTGGGGTTAGTGATTGCTTGTTTGAGGAGTGTGATCGCTTGAGCGGATCAGGGTGATGAGGGTGTGGGCTATTACTACGGTGCTCGTACACTCTGGACAGTTGCCGGTCTGACTTCCCGTCGAAAGTCAGTACCAGTACGCGTGGCCGAAAGAGAACGCCCACGATGAGAAATTTCCACTCACCTGGTCGGGAAGCAGCGTACCTGTGTTCAACAGATTGGAGGAATCTGTGCGGCCGCGTTACCAAAATGCTCACCATTTCTTACTGACCAAGGCATCCGGACGACTACTCCTAGGCGCGGGCGTATTGAAACAATGCTATCGCGCCAGAGTTTCCCGATGGCTCGTAACCCCAACACAGTACTTCGTACTCCGTACACAGCGAAGTATTCCAGCCATCCCCAAATAAGATGAAACTGCAGTGGCTGGCGCGGCGTATCCGCGGCTATATTTGGCAGTTGCGTGTTTGGCGCTGTCTGCCAGAACGTCGTTGTAAGGGAGGATACCTCTGCACTTCTGCAGCTCTCGGCGGTGCACGATCACCTATCATGATCGGTGACATATCATGTCGCTGGCCATGTCATGAGAAAGAGCGTCGCATGGGATGGCCTGATGTGAGGGGTCAGTGAGGCAGCCATGAGCAGCCACAATGAGCCAATCAAACGTCATCGGGAAAAGGTTGCATATGATTTTTGCAGGTCAAAGTCGCGAAATCTACTATCAATTAATTTTGCATCAATTGATTCGGTGCAAGTACGAGGCATTAATTGTGTCACATGGACAGGAGCTCTACTGGCTCCAGCTCTGGTAGAATCCGTTGGGTGAATAATTGTGCAATAAATAATGGCTCAATTGCTACCGCATTCGCAATCATTCTGCATGGGGAGAGCGGGTGCGGCGTCATTACCAGGTAGCCACGCACATCAGCGGCCGTGTACCAGGGAACATCACATTGCAATGATCCTCGGTAGATTTGGAAGAGCTAGAAACGGCAGGTGCCCTACAGAGGCTCCCGGAGTTGATGTGATTACACAGTGCGGCCTGATAGCATTGCTCGAGCCCTACGGCACGTCTAGTCGGATAGCCGCGGATGTCACAGAGATGTGGAAAGATGCCGTCCACGTTCTGTCTATTTGTGGGGGCTGAAACGCCGGCCAGGCACCATAACAGCAAGGCAGGTAGCAGGTATTCAACAGGGTGATTATGGAATAGCCACTCCATTCGATCGGGGAAGCAAATCGGAATTCCAGTTTGGTAGGTGCTATGGATCGACGCACGATTTCAAGAGGGATATTGCCGGATTGGTGCGCCAAGCTCGTTCTTTAGTAAGGACAGTGGGCCCTCGGGCACTTAAGTTAGGCGAATGGATCGAGGGTCCGAAAAGGTAAAGGGTTGCAGGGCGTCGAATTGTACTGAGGCACACTGGGGCTGGCAGCAGGGGCTGCCCAAACCAGGAAATAGAACGAGCACAAATTGATTAAACAACTCAACCGGAATCTGAGCGGGAGCACCATCACGTCCCCATCGGGCAGAGAGGAGGGTGGACGCAACCAACACGAGATCGAAGGGACTCGCGGCAGTACGAAGTACGCGGCAAGTCATACCTCAAAATTTGAAGCAGGTTGCATACTGTGTAGGTGGTGTAGGTACTGGGGGAGGTGAGGCAGCGGTGTTGTGCGTGCGTATTCTCCTACTTGGGGCATGCCCAACGAAGCCGCCAGGGCGTGTGGAACCGCCCACAATGGGGACCTGGGCAGCGGCGGGCGGACAAAGTCGGGAGGCTTCGAGTGGCCGTTTTGACACTGGACTTCACCGACATTCAATTCAGCGAGATCTCAAGCAGCAAGGCGCCTAACGTGTTTGTAGTTAGACTGGTAGCAGGGGCGCAGCGCCTTACGACGTTGCAGTGCGCTCACAAGATGTTCCCGAAGTTATTTCCGTCTCCTCTCGCCGGCCGTCACTCGCCGCAGTCTCGCTCATCAGCTCCTCTTCCAACCAAGTGGATCAGGACCGCCGCAGCCACCCCTGCCCCTCAAGCCATTACCGGGAGCGGTGACAAACATCCCTTGCTCGTTCTTCGACGTGCATGCTCCCCTGTCACTCCCGCGGCGCCGCCTGGCTGGAAGCTACATGGTTACCTGGCAGACAGAGGTAACAGGTAATTGATTCGAAGGCAAGTCCCTGGTGCTATCATGCACATGTGGCTCTAAACGCTCAAGAGGTGGAGTCGGACACACATCCACGGTTGAACTTTTGTGACCTCTCCCATGCTGTCACCACTATGCTCTCCTGGGGAAAGTCGTAATTAACGTTATAGCAAGGGACCTCGTTTGGGGCGTCCCATGGCTTCGTCCTGGGATTATATGATTGACTACAATCTTCCCTGATCGGATATCTTTTAAGTATCAACCACAACCCTCACCCTTCCTTCCGCTCCTCTTCGTACTTCCTCACAACATCAAGGTCGACAGATACTTACCAGCTCCCACTTACTTCCCTCATCGGCTACCCCGCCTCTCAACTTCGTTGACCACCATGCATCGAAGTCAAAGTTACTCCTACGGCCAGCCCGCCATGGCTGGTCACTCACGATATGCTTCGACACACGCCAGTAGCTCGGCCTTCAGTGCGTCGGCCAACCCCAATGAAGACTGGACAAAGATCTCCGACTTGGCCGAGAGACGGCGGATCCAGAATCGGATCGCTCAGGTACGTCCACTTCCTATCAGTGCTCGGAAGGCAGTTTCTAATGTGGTTGCTAGCGAAACTACCGCAAGAAGCTGAAGAGAAGACTCGAGGACTTGGAACGCCGCGCCGGATCCTCGTCTGCTTCTCCCGAACAACAACACTCAGAACTGGCCACGACACCGGCCAAGGAAATCTCGCAAAGGCAATCCCAAACGATGGTTCGCCAGCCGTCCAGGTCAAGCGCTTCACGCGACATCTCGAGAGCGTCGCCTGAGATTCTGCCTTTAGACAACCATTCCTCGCTTTTTGACACACCAGCCGGGCGCCACGTCTCCATGCACTCACAACCCGCATTCACATTCTCCTCATATCCTCCCACAACGGCATATCTCCAGTTCGAACACCAACATCACCCCACTTACGAAAGCGCCACGAGCTACTTCTCGAGTTATCCTTATCCCGCCGAAGTCTCGTCCTCGAGCCTGCCACCCACACTCCCGGCGATGCTCCCCACTGTCTACGGGAAGCAGGAACACCTGTTCGGCGACGACGACATGCTAAGTCCATTCAGCATGAACTATGCTTCTCTGGCCGGTCTTGAAATGCCCTCGAATCAAGCATATTCAGGGGCCACTTCACATGTAAATCCCACCACTTTCTTCTCCCGTTCATATTCCAGCCCACGCATCTGAGCAGCACAAGAAGGCATCTGGCGGCTCAATCCCAAGCATCGGCTCCATGACCGCATTACCAGCTCAAATGCTGACTTCATCTGGTTAGACACCACCGCTCACAGACCCATATTCAATGGATTCGGCACACAACTCGCCCAGCTACTTCGATGTACCGCTGACGCCCGTGTCGAGGACGGCGAGCCCGAACATTCATTTATTTGACATCGCCTGCAGCTGATCTCCGGTCGTTGACGCTCAACGCGTCTGAGATTCTACTTGACGGCACTTATTCATGTCTAGCGAGGGGGGCATTGTCACTGTTTATTTTACGATATACCATTGGCCAAGCGCCAATAGTGGAGGCACCTAGATCGCAGGGAAAGCCCTTCGATGGGCTGGCAAGGAAGGGCGCAGACTGCAAAAGCCAGTTCGGTGCTGTTTCGGCACACCACCTGTACAGTAGTCTTAGCGCGCAAACAGACGGGCAGGGCGGTGACATGGCAGCCACGTCGCCGGCGATGTTGGGGTCCGAAGGTGGAGGAGATCTTTGCAGACTACTGTGTTCAAGGACTGGTTTGTGGCAGAAAAGCAGAAAAGCGCTAAAGCGTGTGACCAAACAAATGTCTGATTGCCCTTCTCTCTCTTCCATGTGGCAGTGCCTTCCGCTCAAGCATTGAGGTCGGGCAGGTGTAGATACAGTAGCAGGCGTGTCGCCTGATGTTGAGGCGCTTTCAGCCCTGCGAGAGCTGAATGCGGCAGGTGATCCAGGCGACCTGTTAGGGTGGACGGGGAGCAGTGTGGATTGGAAAGCAGAAGGACGGCGCCACCGCAGGGCCAGCTCCTCGTCGGCTCCCCATGCGGTTTAGTCCCATGCCTTTGGACCCTCCGCCGAAATTCCTCACTGCAGGCAAGTCGGCGACCACCAGACACAAAGTTGCAAAATCACTCGAGAGGAACTGCCTTGCCGAGCTAATCGAAGTCGTCTTCGCGGGCTTCAAAACTCGTGGCAGCCTGCTCCCCGAAAGAGCTTGGATTACATGTCTACAGCGGCGAAGGCTCCTCTGCCCCTGAATAACACGGCGTGATAGAGTTTCTAGAATCAGGGCTGTTACAGGGACGACGCAGGAGCGATTCCTGCCGGTTCTTCTGCCGGATGGCGTGGGCGTCTTCCAAATCACAGTCACAGCCCATGAACCAGCTTGAGCAGCGGCAGGTGCTGTATGGACTGACTACGTAAGCGGTGGTTTTATTTTCCATCTCAGATTCCACTCACTGCCACCTGACCGCACTTGGTCATTGGAAGGTCTGCAGTGTGGCGCCATCCCTGGGGTACTTGCTAATTCCCATGGCGCAGTGGCTGGCACTGCAATCAATGGACCTCTAGCGACGACAGAGTTCGCGGCGGTCAATCCCAGGTACGGCAGCCTCCATGACCTGTCCGTGTCGCCGTCGCCGTCGCGGTCGTTGTGACCACTTGCACTTTTGCAGCTTTGCGTGATTTGAGATATTACAACGAGCTGGGAGGGCGTCGCACCATGTCCACACGCTGATTCGAGTGCATACAGTCCTATCTGGAAAGCAGTGGCGCCGGCGTCTGCTTCCGTGGCACCCTCGACATCGAAGCTCTCGGCGGCGCTGGGTTCGCTTCCCAACGTGACGCCGGACCAGACCAACACTGGGACTTGTCTCCATTCTCAGGAGTCGAAGTCTCGATCGATCCCTCACAATCCGACGGAAAGCTCTACACGCTGATTCTCAAGGACGAGATCCTACCTCGCGATCCAGACACCGGCCGTGAGCGGTCCACAATCTCTTGGGAATTTAACTTCACAGTGTCGAGATGTCGACCTGAAGCACCCAGCCGCTCCTCGCCCTCTGACACATCTGGCTTCTTCGTACCGTGGGACCGCTTTAAACCCACATTCCGTGGCAAAGGGTGCGACGATCCCAGGAGCCTGGACTTGAGCGACGTCAAGGGAGTCAGCATCATGATCAGAAGGTGGGCTGGTTGGCTAGATTCAGTGGCCCGTCACAGCTGACAGGGAGCAGCTTCTTCGGTTCCCAGCAAGGAGATTTCCGCTTGCGCATCCTTACCATTGTTGCAACCTCATCCCCAGAACTCCCAGAACTCGCTCCCGCGGTGGCGGGCAACCCACACGAACACGGTGGGGATGCCACGGGCCCTCGTCCGTCCCCTGACGAGACAAGAGGAGGTGAGCCTACCTATGTGGGAGGAGGCTTAGGGGGCAAAATATGAAGAGAAGTAGGTAACACGTCGTCACTTTGTCCAAATGTCGAACCTTTCTCCAGTCAATGGTCGTGACTCCGCCATCGGCCCCTTCCTATGGTGTGCAAGCAAACACGAGCCCAATAAGCCGTGCATTCATGTCCCTTGGGACCCTACCGTTTGGACACTTGGGTAGCGGTGACGAATTGGTCAATCTCCTCTTGTCATGAGAGATACGAAAGCGCCCTTCTCACTTGCCAATAGGGCTGGCGAAAAGACTACCGTCGTCAGTGCCGGGTGGCTGAGTAAGGTCATCATCTGTGTCCACTGCTCGATGCTCCCAAGCAAAAGGACATGTCCGCAAAGGGACGAGCTGAGTTGTCACAGCGCACTGCTTTGCCCACCCGGCTGCTTTGAGGTTTCTGCAACCAGTGAATGTCGCTGCGGTAAGGAGGCCTGGCTACGGTGTATGCATGCGGCTGTGTTACATGAGCTGTTCAGCCTTTTGCAACGCCATGACCGCCAACGCCCTCGCTGCTCGCTACCGGGAATGGTAACTCTTACTGGGAGCCAATAGGCTGACATGCTGCACTTGGCACAGCCCTACGTCTACGGTATGCGCGACGGTTCCGACGTCGTTCGGCGTCGTGTCGTCTTCTGACATTAAACGTTGCGATGTTCCCCGTGCGCTTTGGACCTTGCTGGACTTGGAAGGCTTCTGGTTACGGAGTTATCCTTCTAGCACTCCCGACCAGATACACTATCACCGAGGAAGAGGTCATACAACGCGGTCTTGGTTGCCTAGCTCCGCCTGCTTCGGAAGCCATGGAGATTACACCTTGCCGACCCCAGTACTGCGTCCTGTATGCGGATGCCCGTAAATACCCTATAAGGTTGGCTGTACATTTGTGTGCGTGCGCGCGTGTGTCAGTGAGGCGCATGGATCATCTGAGAAGGTCTCCCCGTCACGACACGGTACACTGGTCACATCCAGCATGAACGTGCCCCGAGGTCTGCATCCGCGGTCAACTGACAGTTCCATCCTGAGTTAGCAGGCGGTGTTCCAACCCAGTCGCGGCAGAGAGACCTCTGTCCACAATTAACTTGCACAATGACTAAACATCTGCAGCAGCACCGCGCGAGGCTCTAAGCCATCAGGACACTGCCTTACACAGTACGCAATGGCCGGAAGCGTTGGGTGCGTATAGCGCGCAAGGCTAGGCTAGACTCCGGGGGCATCTACATGCAGGTCGCTGTACTGGTGCACAGAACGTATTCGACCATTAGCCGGCACACGGCCGGCCAATCTATTCTCCCGACCCGCGGCCGATGCTGCAATCATACACGGCTAGGGCTGTTCTGTGCTGAACCCACACCATACGTTACGGTTCTGACAAGGGAAGGACCACTGATTACCCTTCGTTCACGGTATCCCCTCGTCCTGCTTGGTAGGACTATTTCTAGATCACCGCTACATACTCAATAGACACTACCGCGTTACGAGTAATCGAGCAAGCCGATGTATGCGTCGGCTCCTGAGGAACGAGCTACGAGTACGGGCAGGCACGGCCGCGAGCACCCTGATGCTCCCAGATCTCCAGACTGTATGCAGGTAGATTGAAAGAAGGCAAGCGCGAGGCATTATTGTCCGGATTACAATACTGGGCGGTCCAATTTCTAACATCGCCGAGGCAAGGCAGGCACAATGCCATGCCGGCCACATTCACCAACGAAACAACGATCGCGATGGGCGGGCAGGCACGCCTGAAGTCTGCCCGTCGGTCTGTCTGTGTCTCGGTTTCGGGAACAATTCTCTTGCGGAGGTTCTCGTATAAGGTGGCATCAACGTCATCGAAGGGAGGCCGTAGGACGCAGCCCTGCCACACGACAGAATGACTTGACGGCACTAGGCCTGTCAAGGCATGTGTCCCTATCTCCTGGGCCGTTGGTAAATCTCCGGACCTAACGGGTATGCGTATTAGTGAAGTGCTCTTGGACACCTGTTGCAACATCCACACACGTCGTTCAAGCACAATTTGTCACAGTGCGCGAGCTACTTTAGTCCGCAGGCCGCCTGTCTTCAGGAGGTTAACGCTACCGGCCACTCGCTCCGCTGCAGGGCAGCTCGTGCGAAACAACCGGACAGGTGCAAGGCCCAAGGAGACGACATTGGTGCAAGCGGCGGATGCGGCGCAGCGAGCGATGGCGCTAATGTCCTGTCCTCGGCTGCTATCACGGGGCCTTCCTTTTTTGATGACATTCACAGCCCAGCCCCGGGAAAATCACGTGTAGGGCAGGTGGCAGGGTGCTGCCGGTGGGGTGTCTGTAATCTCGTCGTCCCGGATGCTTGGGATTGGGCTTGGGCTTGGGGCCACGGAGAATGGCCTAGGGCCAAACTCCCAGGATCAGCGAATCAATCAGTGACCACTGACAAACGGTCAGCCCACTTCCTCTTCTGCTGAAGTTGGACACCACCTCGTACGGTATTCGTATGGATTGTGGGATCCGCATATAACTCTGTGGATGTCCTCTGGTCCAGCCCTTCCGTAGGGACGAATTCTCCTTTGGGAATGCGCCCTAAGTGCTGGGAGCCTCGGCGCCTCCGGGAACTGGCAGGCTGCGAGCGGCTACGGACGATCGTTTTTCGACTTCGGGACACCTCAATCCAGGGCGACTACATCGTCCTGTGTACTCGTACGAGTGGTGTGTATCCACGTGTACTGATCGCCCCTGGAGCCAGTCTATCATTTGTGATCCTAGCGATTGTCTGAAGGAGCGAGCAGATCAGCAACATAGCAGAGCACCACTGTGGGGTTCGAGGTACCAGTTGCAATCAAAAACGGCGGCCGAAGGGCCAAAGCCTCGGTCCACTCGCAACTGACCACGGGCGTTTAATGGCGTGGCGGATGCACTTGTGTCGCCATCCCTTGCAAGGACTAGCCACGACTAGGCGAGGTGGTGTGGAGTGTCGAACACTCCATCTCTCCTCGCGGGCAACCACCAATAGCATGCGCCTTTGGCCGGCACCCTTCTGCGACGTAAATCTCTCTTGGCGAGACGCTCAAGCATCTGACGTGTGCACTGAGAATGGACGTGCACTGGACCACGCAGCTCGGGGCAAAACATATAGGCGCCGAGCAGCAGTACCAGCAGAGGAGAGTTGACTCAGCAAGCGTGGCTTGAGATGACTGTAGTATTACTATGGATCGATGACAGCGTGCTCGTACACAGCACACTTTTCTTTCAACGTCAGTCCAGTCCTCCCAAGACATCTCTTTTCGAAGCAGCCTTGAAATTTACGCTGGATGCCTAGACATATGTTACGCGACGGAAAGTTTCCTTGACGAAGCTCTGGCGCTCGCCCTGGCACTCGCAGGTCGGCCCGCGTTGCCCTTCTCTGGAGGGACGCGGAAGTCTTCCCAAGGGGTCGTCGCCATGGAAAGCACCGCAATACATTCCTAAAGAGAGCAACGCAGCTGAGGCGTTCTAGTGGGTTGCCTTAGCACCGACGAGCAGGTTTTTCGCCCAGTTGTCCTTGCGAACGTACGTCATGGACAGCCGTATGAATATCACCCTGCTAGCCCTGCGAGTGGTATATGACACGGATTATGAGTTGTGAATGTGTGGCTACACAATTTATCTCTCCGAGCACTCGCGGTGATTGCTTCGCATCTCGCACCTTCGCGCCCGTGTTGCAGATCCAAGGCCGACTTGTTGCATTAGCACAGTGACACGAAAGCGAGTCCGAAACCCGAGACCGAGGGCTCTTCCTTGGCGTTTGATGCGATTGGACGCCTTAGGCGATAAAGCAGCAACACACCACGCTGGAAGTGGCACGGCTGCATCCGGGAAAGACCGGCCGGCAAGAGATGCCAGAGATCCAGAGCTTGCGGCCTGCCAATACCCCGGACTCTGAGAACAAATAGACAATCCCTGAGATGATGGGGTGTCCTGCGTGCCTACCTACCCAGGAATGTGATACGTTCCACGGATGAGTATCACCTCCTGCATCCGTGACTGATGTGGAATGCATCTTGTGAGCGATGTGTACGAAGGCCGGGGCCGCAGTTGCGGCCGAGAATTGACTCTCCAATTGTGCATTAGCCAACCTGGCACCCAGCTTGGCTTCTAGAACATTGGCTGCATGGCTCGTCCCCCAGAATTGTGCAGTCCATCCGGCCTCCGACGCGAGACCACAGACCCCAGACCAGGGGCACTTGAGATCGCTGATCTTAAAGTCCCAGAAGTCACGAGCTCAACAGAAGAAACCATCTATTGGCTCAGGGCCGACGATATGCATCGTTCAACTCGAACCGAGGGCCCGGTGCAGATGGCTACTGTAGCCTCGAGCCATGTCGGCTCCTACAGTATTTATTGGGCTTCGGATACGTGTGTGTGAGTGAATGGCCATTTTTCCTTCGGGAAGTTGATTTATTCCACTATCCTCCAACGACTTGATCGCTCTACTCTGTAAGAAGCATGGGGTACGGAGTGCGGAGGGACTTTTGTCCCGTGGGCGAGCAACTAAAACTAACCAAACCAAGCCAGATTGATCACTTTGGGCGCCGACCGACCGCCTGGCGGTACGAGCATGTAATTAAGTCTTCTCGCGCAAGTCACAAATCACACGCTTTGGTATTGTGCGGTGCCTGCTGGTGTGCTCTGTTTGGGGTCGCCCTCTACTCTGGCCCGGAAGGACAGCTGAAAAGCCGAACGCGCCTGCGTCGTCCCCAACGGATGTAGCAGATACTGCCACGGGGCTAGTGTAAAGTGTTTTCCAGAACGGGCATGTTCAAGGCTTGGTACAGAGATACATAGCCTCCCTAGGTAGCTAGGTGGGTAGCATTGCAGTTCATTCACCAGTGACTCGGAGTGGCCTGCAGAAGCGACTTAGGTACGAACAAAGCATACTTAGTATACTTGGTTAGACCTATTACAGTAAGTACCTGTTACCTCACGCAGCCGCAGAGGATACGCCTCGGCTCGCTGCCTTTCAAGAAGGCTTCCAGTTCCGAACCGGCTGTGACGTTGGGTTGGAAAATCTCCGAGAAGTGCTCTCGGTTACATACTCTGACCGTCCAGCACGACCATGACTACGACTGCATACACCCTGGGTCGGCGACATGGAACGGTCGTTTCACCGGAAGTCGAAATGGAAGAGAAAGCCAAGGGAAGGGAAGTGAAGCGGGAGCGACACGTCCCACCCACTCCCTAATATGTTGGCACAGGATGTCAAAAGCTACGAAGGTACTCATAAGTACTTGAGTCAAGCGATAATTAGGTCAAGAGATTGATCGATATGCTTGATAGCACCCGCAATACGAGGTACGGAGTACAAGCACCCGAGTACGTACTGAAGACAGACAGAGTTCGCCCACACTTATCGTTCGTACCTACAGGAGTGTGTAGACCTACGTACTGACCTGTAGCAATAGTATTAACATGGTCGAGGCCGCAGGATCTACCCTCCTACACTTCTCACGCCCGCATAGCACCAGGCTGGAGTTGTTTTCCGATGTTTACATGGTGATCCCTCCACTACTGCTCTCCGCACGTCTTGAGGTGTGGCGTGGCTTCTGCATATACATGTACGTGTCGGCACGGTAGTCACCCTACATGCCTATGTAGCAAACACAGTACGAGGTATCCTGGGTCCGTACTCGTACATAGACCATAGTATGCGTTGTGATTTGCGGACGGAGAATGATCCCGTGCTGAATGGGTTGGGCTTGGCCGCGCTGGCGGCTTGGGCAGGGCAGGAGTGGACGGCATAGGCATAGTCCTGGGCAGAGGTATGGGCATGGGGCATAAGACTAGGAATAGGTACGCAGGCATACCACCCATATACACATCGATCATGTCGGCCATGTACATCCAAGCCGCAGTCGCGCACTCGCGCACTCGCGCACTCGCGGCTCCCGAGGTACCTGAGTCCAGAAGTCTGGATACAACCATAGACACAGTTATGCACGTCGCGTCGAGGCTCGGTATCGTCATGGCCATTGGCATTGCATGCGTGTGCCCATTCCAGTTGTGACGCCCATGCCGGCAGGTAATTTCAGCCAGCCAGCCAGCCAGCCAGGCAAGCAGGAGAGCTTGCTTTCCATTCCATCCCGAGGAGTTCACTCGATTGATATCCATCCATGGTTGCAGGTCGTGCTTGAGTCTCGCAAGGGGGGTTTCGCCAGAAAACACTACGTGCCGGGGCTTCGCCGCTAGGCCTGTGGGAGATATAGCAAGTCCACGCGCCGTCAAGTTTTGCCCATACCGGCATGATGACCTCGTACTGTGTAGCTGGCCTGACGGTGTTAGGGCTTTGCTGGGACGATGCTCATCCGTGTGCTCCGGCTTGCAAACGAGACCCTATGCAGGTATCGCTGCTTGGTCAGGGCTTGCCGTTCGAAAGTCATCTGAGCAATCCGATACAGATGTCTCTGAACCTGTTGAAGTCGCGGAAGGCCGCGACAAGATGAGCGATGGGTAACGGACGAAGAAGCCTGGGCTGGCGTTGTAGTCAGACTGGGCGAATGTACATTGCTTGCTGCATCTAGTTCTGCGTCCACAATTTCACCATGAGGTGCCTGGGGGATGTTGGTCAAGGACAAAGGTCCCAGTCGAAGATGCGCGGACCATTTCCCAAGGAAGAAATGCGGAAGGACGTGAAAAGCCGACTTGCCATCAAGTGATCGTTCATGCTCTTGGAGTCCTTGCACGTAAATACGCGCCATACACACCAGCGTATCGGATCCGATTCAGCGACATCAACGATAGGTAGGTACTTACTGAGTCAAAACCAGCGTTGTGCCCCGTGGTGCTGAGTATTCGGAAGGCACCTCAATAGCATCTAGCAGGGTTTTCGAGGTTTGGCGAAGGTTCGGCTCGGCAACAACCATCGAGAGAGCATGTCCTTGGCATATCCTCCCTAGCGAGTCCTGTATCCATTGCAAAATGACCCTTTCGCACCTTTGTCGACGGCGCCAATGGACTCCACCATATGGGACACTGTCAATTCAGTTCACTCTGAACTGCACGAGGCATGTAACCAGTGCCGCCAGAGTCACCATCCACGAACTCACAGCAAATGACGCCGAGATGCCCCTATGTATCACTGTCCACACGATAGCAAATAGCAGACTCCCGCCACCAAAAAGAGTCGTTGTAAACCAAAAGAATCGCTCCCACAGACGCCCTCCACGAACCAAATACCCCAGTACAACCCATCTTGTGTGGCTGGCGTGGCCGTACCTGTCGGGACTTTCAGCCGCCGTTTTGGGAGACCTACGGCCGACTTCGAATGCAAAACTTGCGTGATCTGAGTGATGGAAGAAATGTGTCATCAGATTTTCTGACACCGAAGGCGTCAAGCCACGGTCGTATATGTACTCAGCTTGACGAGTTAGTGGTGGAAGGTCGGGTATGGGAGGGCGAATATCAGCAAAGTGGTTGATCATGGCGAACTGGATAAATGTCAGCGAAAGATAGAGGAAGGACGGACGGCTCGGGCGTACTCTGATAAATTTGATGGTTTTGGCCCCAAGAAATGGTAGAAACGGGTGCCAACGGCTCTTTGTGTTGCGATATCCCTGTTTCACGACCGGAATCTCGACGCCCGTCCACCTTCTGGCCCACGTGACCTGGCGCCGTTTTTGCTCAGGCTGGCTCGCGTACGGCTCAACGTCGGCTCAGGCTCGGCTGGGCGAGCTCACCTTGCTGACCACATCGGGGAAGTGGCCCAAAAGTCGTCCCTCTTCCAGACTGTCAAGTTTTAACGAGGGCCCCTAAACGAGGCTTCAGGGGGGGTTCCCTAGAAACGCAACACGGCACGTTGCCTCCTCCACCCTACGAGAACGAGCCGGTCTTTATGAGTCTAACTCTGTCTAGCTCTGTTGTCTCCGTAGACGGAGCCAACAGAGTATTCTAGAGCCTTATCACGTGACTTAGTCTAGCGCCGCCCTAAGGCCGTCGCCCCCCTGCGCCCGGCATAGCTTCTTCTTTCTGTCCGTACCCTGGCCGTGTTAGAGGTCAGGTTGTGATACGAGGATTACTTTCCATGTTTACATTTATTATGCTCTACAGTGCTCTTTTTAGAGTCCGGCCTTTAGCACTATCTAGAAGACATCTATAGTACTCCCATGCCGCACCGCCTAGAAAGGTGTCAATCCAGCCATAGACTCACCTCTTCAAAATACTTGGAAAAGAATATTCATTTCGTCGTCATAAGCCTAATGGCAAGTCACATTATTGCTTCTGACATGTGTTGGGCGGGCTCTCTGTTAAGCTTGCGTCCTCCTGGAAAACATAGCTATAGCTGATATTCTTACCTAAGATGCTATGCCGGCAAGCGAGCACAAGGTCTCCAATACCTGAGGAGCCATCTCAGGGAAGTCCGTACTGTCCATCAATCGGGGGCTTCCGTCTTCGAATTTCAGTACGCGGCGTGGGTTAGCGCCACCAACTTCAACCAAGACGCGGCACATTTCCAAGTCACCGTACCTCGCTGCCATCCGGAGCGGATCGTCCCAGCTACTAGGCTCTTCCATAGAGCCTTTCTCCACGTCCGCATGCCCCTCCGTCAACAAGATAACTGCTGCCTCTAGCCGTTGCGGATGGCGATTGAAGACGACTAGGTGCAACGGTTGAGTGCCATCGTCATTGCTTTCGTTCACACCCTCTGGGAAGACTGAAATCAAGAGAGAAATCACCTCTGGGTTGCAGCAGAACGCAGCCCAGTGCAGGACGTTGTATCCTTTTGAGTCGCGATGCCGCAGATGGCCCTCTATGCCTTCTTGGTCAAGCAGGTAACGAAGAACATCGACACTGTCGTACCTGACCGCTTCCCCAACAGACTGGTGATAGTCCGGTGGCCTAACGTCTCTTCGTACTTCTCGCAAGATTTCGTCCCTGAGTGCCGGGTTGCGAGCTGCTGCTTCGAAGAGTCTCTCGACGACTGGAAGGCAGCCACACCTCGCGGCAAGACATAAGAGTTCGTTGCCCTGTTTTTCGTTCACTAGCACATCATCGCAAATGTTAAATACGAGGTCGAAGCAGCTTGCCCATGGCCTTAATTGCTTCTCCGACTGCTGCGCCCAGCGAATCATCATTCGATGAAAGGTTCCGATGTGGCGAATCTGTGGTCCGACTCGTGCATCGTGAAAGAATATTATCAGTCGAGAGAGGTCACCCTCATAAATAATTCGCTGGGTAGCTTCTTCAACAGTGCCACTCAGGAATTCCTTGCCACGGAGACTGATCGCATCGTCTTGCAGGAGTCTTTTCAGCGTCGTTTCGGGCCCGTGCAAGGACACAACGGTGAGAGGATCGTGGAGGTAGTTATCCATAAACTGCGGGGTGATGGTGCAGTCTGGTCGATACTTCTGTCTAATCCAATTCTTTAGTCGCCGTTCTGAGCTGGCGCTGCAGAGCTTGACAATATCCACCATGTCGGGTAGATGATCCGGATCGCTCATCGTGAAGTGGTCGACCCAGAAGCAAGATGCATACACGTAAAATCCACCAAATCCACGTTCTGCGGGATCGTAGTAGTTGTTTTTGGCGTCTTGTTCGTTGTCAAGGCCTTGACCTACCCAAGCAGAGTCTGGGTCCTGGGCAACGTCAAATGAATCATCATACGCCCCGAATCCGGGCAGCGCTTCGAAGGTGATAATTCCTTCTTGTTCTTCCGACAGTAGGTCGATCTGATCAATTTCATCCAAAAGAAGGTATTTGACGCAGGTGCATAAGAGAGCTGCTTCCAGTCTAAGCATTCGCTGTTGAGTGCTTCGCTTGTTGATGTCCGAGTCCTTGGCAGGATTTTGAGATTGACTCCAACCGGATGGCGCAGCCAGCTGAACTAGCTCCGTCAAAGACGCATGCACTAGTCTTACCTGTCTCTTTTGGACCTCCTCAAAGTCGAGCTGGAATAGAAACGGTTGTAGCAGGCTCAAGACTCTCTCGGAATCCACATAGTCCTTGAGCCCTTCCACGGTCGAGACTGTTGTGGACGAATCGCGCAACGCCATAGCCCACGCCAACTCCAGCATGCTGAGGTCTCTCCGAGCGACTGCTAGAACCTCCAGTGCGTTGGTGACGAGCTCCTCGTTGTCAGGGTCACCCCCAGTTTGCTTGTTGAACAACTCGGCATAAAGCTTCCAGAGTTCAGCCGGAGATGGAGTATGTTCAAGGAAATTCCTCATTGGACCCATTGCTTTTATCCTCCGCGTATAGATAAGGTCAATTGTCAATTTGACCCAAATGGCGCTTCCTCGTGCCATCTCAGAAAGCCTCTCGGTCACAAGCAGCTGAACATTGGCAGAAAGTCCGCTTAGACTCTTCTGCACTCTGTGTTTCACGATTTTCGCGTCACGTTGCCGACTCGGAGACCAACGGATCGCGGTCGCTTCGGGCAGAAGATCTTCGATCCCGTTCTGAGGGCGAGATGAGATGAAGACTTTGAATCTCTGCGTCTGCTTTGATAGACTGCCGAGCAGAGCGAGAATCTCGTTCTGTGACCCACTGTCACACTCGTCAAGGGCGTCAATGACGATAAACAGTTCTCTATCGAGAGACTCCACGCAGGCTGATATGAACTTGCCGAGATCTACGGAAGACTGTGCGGGATCTAAGCGCCCAGCTTCCCTCGTTCTCTCATACCACTTATCGAATTCAACCTTGAGGCGTCTTTGCTGATCGAGCAGCTGCAAGATGAGACTTGAAAAGACGTAGAGTGCTGTTCCTCTTTCATTCTTCAAGCAGTAATGGTAGCATATGAAGGGATGAGGGAACTGGTGTTCGCTCTGACGGATCAGTTCCTCAATGACATGTGCTGTGACGACTGTTTTGCCGCAACCCATATAGCCAAACAGGATCAGTTGCTTCGAGGATGGGCTATCGTACCATTCGCGGAACTTGAAATCAGAGATTATCCATTCGCAAGCATCACTGGCACGAAGATCACGAAGGTCGGCGTGGAATTTGCTGCGTTGCTCGTCTTTGTCAACACCTAGTAATTTTTGGACTCGAGGCACGTCAGTTCGATTCCCGAGGCGAGATCTTCCATCCATAGACAACTTACTCTTATTATCCTGGAGCAATTTTTGGATATCTGCTACCAGCAACGATGTCGCCGTTTGAATGGTGTCGCGCAGGAGGCCGGCATGCGTTACAAAGTCCTCGACAATCTTCGGTAGCCGATCCCTGAGCTTCTCACAAATTAGAGCGAGCCTAAACGCATCGCTTGTCAAGATATGATGCGCCGCGACGTAAAAGTTCAAGAGATCCTTGTAGACTGGGACAAGCGCCTGCAAGGTTGATCAGTCCCGAACAAACCAGCTGAGCTGATAGAGAGACATGTACGGACCCTGTGAATTCCGTTCTCCGTGTCTACTTTCTGACCCAAGGTATCACAGTCGTCGATGATCGGGATGCGCTCCAGAACGCTAATGATACCAGACTTGAACGAGTCTTCAGCTCCGCAAATGCCAATAGCAATCTGTCACGGTCAGTCACTTTGAAGCCATGAATTTCCTACGGCATCCTGAAAGATCAACTCACTGCAGTGACACAGCTGACAATCCCAACAGCTGTTGATGCGGCGGGTTGGATACTGGCGAGCGGACTGGCCAAATCCAATGCCAACTTGAAGTTCTTCAGTGGTGTCTGCAATCTTCGCACGCCGCGCCAGAAGATAGAGTCACCGACGGCCTCGTCGCTAGCCCTTTCCAAGTTGCGCAAGAGCGTCTCGATGTTTTCGCCTTTCAATATAACACCCTCTACCTCTTCTCCAAGATCCAGGACGGCTTCATGGTAAGCGGCACTCCACATATCTGTAAATCCAATTTGATCCAAGTTGCGCTTGGCAACACTTCCATCGGGTCGAGCGTTTTCGTCAACTTTTTGGGTTTTTGGTACGACAGGTAGATTTGATTCAGTGACAGCTGACGTGATAACAGTGCGCTCTACGACTGCGGACGTGGTATCCGTGGACGTGGACGACACCACGATAGATGCATGCTTATTCTGCACGAAAGCAGTGACGTTTCTTCCAATGTCAGGTCCAAGCGGGAGGCAAAGGCTGTGGGCAACACTAACTGCTCTGGCGACTTGGACGTAGAATCTTGTTCGCGCTGGGGTCGGTGTCGAGATGGCTCTCTCGACTTGCAATGCCACTTCGACGTCAACTTCTCAACGAAAGAGCTGCTTCTCCCTCTCTGGTCATTTGACGCATCAAGAAACTTGGAAGACATTATAGGCGTGGTAGTGTGAATTCTGGCTTAATGGGTTGAATGAAGACTGCTCGGGTTTCTTTTCGAAGCGTACTGCACGACATCAGAGTCTGTAAGCAAGAAGTTGGGCGAGGTCTGGCTTGCCGATCAGGCTGAAAATTTGGCCCCGCCATACTTGGTTACACAAGCCCTATTTACACCGCCATGCATATGTCCTATTTCTGTCTGCGTGGGCGCTTGGTGCGATGCTGGAGGTGTGACAATTGCGCGCCTCGGCCAATAGCAAGTGGAGGCTGCCACTACTATTCGCCAAGTTTGGTCCAGTTGTGATAACAAAAGAATGACACGTGCCAGTTCGGGGTCGGGCTTCGGATAACGTATGATTGGCTTGGCGAGTTCACCAACTTCAAGTTTGTCTCAATCTGCCGCTGCCTACGCTTCCCCCCTTCCAGCAAACGAAAATTGCGAACCTTGTTATTTCAAGACCACAATGTCGGAGGCCGAGTCCCAGCGGTTAGCTCATTCTGAATACTGGGACGAGCGCTATGCCGAAGTCGGCCCTGATGAACAAGTCCATGAGTGGTTCAGGTCTTTCAACGACCTCGAGTCATTTCTGGGCCGCAATCTGTTCCAAGTCCGAGCACCAGAGACGGCTCCGCAAATCCTTCACCTCGGATCCGGAGACAGCGTACGTAGTGTCTTTCCATGACGAGTGGCAATATGACAAGGGCTAAAATACCCACTCAGACGATACCCGAAGACCTTTGGAAGAAAGGTTATAAGAATCAAGTTTGCGTTGACTTCTCCACGGTCGTCGTGAACAACATGTCCAAACAACACAGCCACTTTGAGGGCATTACCTGGATGCACGCCGATGTGCGTCAGCTGGATCAGATCCCCTCCGAATCCGTGGATGTTGCCTTTGACAAAGGGACGTTAGATGCCATGATACATGGGAGCCCTTGGGACCCCCCCGACGAGGTTCGGGACAACACTGGTCGTTATATCCGGGAGGTACGTTCGATGCTTCGCTACAAATTGCACTACCATGCGAGTTAACTTCTTCTGCCTGCTAGGTCTTTCGTGTCCTCAAGCCCGACTCTACTTTTCTTTATGTGACATACCGCCAGCCTCACTTCATAACGCCTCTCCTCAACTGTGAAGGAGTCGATTGGGTCATCGCGGTGAACGTACTCGGTGGTTCGGACAGCTCCTTTGACTATCACGGGTTTGTTCTGAAAAAGGCACCGCTGTCGACGCCCGGGTCGGCGACTACCGGGACAGACGCCAAAATAACAGCGCAAGCGCCAGCATGCCCGAGTAATGAAGCACTTTGACTCGATGTCCTCGTGGCGATGCGGAACTACAGGGGGGAGTAGGATAATGGTGAAGCTTAATCTAGACTAACTAATTTAGAGGAAGGGAACTTTTGTGACTATTACGTTAACTTGAATCGGGTGCTAAGTTATAGGTACTATAGGCTATGGTAGAGGCGATAAATTAGTAACTATAGGCGGGTGCCGGGAACGGGGTCCCCTAGCCCAGATTGTGGGCACGATTTATCCGTTGCTTAGGCCGACTACCACCATACTTGGTCACGTGCAGGAGTATCTCCGTTTAAAGCAGCGAGGCTCAGGACCACGCTCAGGTCCAGAGATGGAATGGAATATCCTCGTGTCGAGATTCCGACCTCGAAATCCCTGTTTCAGGTTTCGAAACATGACCCTGTCGTTGTAGACATCCGCAAAGTCGAGTTGACTGAGACTGGTGGGCAACTTGTGTGGCTTCGAGCATACCAGTAACCATTTGGGTCCCGTTGGGATAGCGGCTGGTGTTTGGGGTTGTTGGTTCGACTGAGCACTGGTATTCTGTGGGCTCGGCGATGGTATCATCTGCTGTGGTTTATGCGCGCTAGGAGGTGCTGGCGGCTGCACGTTCGTGGCTGGCGACACACTGGCAGAATTTTGCGATGCTGGCTGAACTTGGCCGCCAGACGCATCACCAGAAGAAAGGGAGCTTGTCAGGTTCGCAAACAAGCTCGTATCATGTTCTGTCTCAGTGTCGTGCAAAGCATTCGCATAAGCAAGAAGCCTGAGCCTGGTTTCGAATCTTTTGGCTGCTCCAGGAACAAGTTCCACATAGTCGTCTTCGAAATAGCGTCCACATTTCTGGGCTATGGTTAGTGGCTTCATTGAGGGTAGGGTCTTGGGCTTTGACTCACGCAGACCCAAGACACTCGCGTCATCCCGGTAGACACTGGTTCTCGAAGGATTCTTAGTCCGGCACCAGCAAGCCTATGCCACACGAAGAATAGATCCAGATACACCAGAACCGCGTAGATCCAGAGGAGCACGAGAAGGGAGACAAGCAAATATGGCAACCATTTATAACAAGCAGCTGTAGGAACCCGTTCTGCTTCCGCATCAGGCCAGCATACACCAACCACAAGAGGCGGCACCACCATTATCGTCGCAGAAAAATCTTTTCTTTTCTGAGGCGAGACGGTGGTGCGAAACTGTTCAACTGTCCTCACAAGGCTTGCGAACGCTGCTGCTCTTGCCTCGTCGCCTTGATCCCCCTTAGGACACCTGCGTTATGGTTTAACAGATGTGCCGCCCCAGCCAAACTCCCCACCTGACAATGTCTTCAACCCGGATCGGCCAGTAAATGACCTTAACGCCAGAAGTTGGGCGATAAAACCCAGTTCCGCTTCATTGAATACTTAGTAAGTAAAAAAACGACTCGGCCGCTCGACCTTCTCCGTTCCTGGCATTGGCGCTGGGCGGTGCTTATCGCTTTTCACAAGCCATCGAAATTGCCTTTGGAGAAAAGACTGGTTCACAGGACGAGGAGCCATTTCCGCCAATGTCATACTTCGCGTGCGCCTCGACTCTGCAAGGCGCTGCCTGGAAAAGTGTCTCTGCTGCCGTTTCTTTGTGCACTAGCTGGCACTCTGAAAGCTTAGAACCTTCGGGGCACTGCGCTGAAGCAACACCTTCTGGTTGTGTCCAGTTAAGTTCATGTTCTAGTGATGAAGCGGATAACGACTCTTGCGAGCTCCAAGTTGTGGGAAGAGGGTTTGCGGAGGAGAAAAACAAGAATTTAGTCGTCGACGATTTGGTCGTAGTTCAGTTTTCGGCTTACATAAAGAGCATGGTCTGACCGTGATTTAGCCGACTCTTCAATGCGCTACTTGTGCTTGAGGGGAACCCTGTTCCAGAATGACTGCTGAGAACCGGGCGTCAAAGCGCTTATGCTGAGCTTGTGAAAAGCCGTGCTGATATTTCGCGTTCTTCGTCTATGCGTCGCCCGCATAACAGCCGAACTCAGGGCGGTAGCATTACCTTTCGCATCAACAGCAAAACACGAACATCTTCAGACCCACTCCAAGTGTTCATTCCAGCGACCATCCAATCCATATTCGTGGTAAGATCCAGTAAATGGCCCAATCGCAGACGACTTCAGCCGCTGACTCTTGACCAAATGTAGCACTCGTGTCATCAATCACTCGAGGGAACGAGTAACCTAAATATTCTTCATTTCAACCGACCTCCTCTCCTGCTGCGCACTCCTACTGTCGACAAGTCTGCCATCTCCCACCTTCTCCGTCCATCACTTCTGCCTTCTACCGTCCAATCTAGCAGCACCAGCCTCAATTGCTTTCCTGGCTGCGGTGCTCATGGCCTCTGTACCCATATGAAGGGGACTCTTCAAGCTGCAGCTAAACACAACGCTTACCTCAAAGCACCAATACCCATTCCAACGTACTATTTGGCTTAGGCCTCCGGGCTTGTAACTCTCCCTATGTCCACGTCCTGCTGTACATGGTATTTGTCCCTGGTGTAACGTGTCGTAGACACAATAGCGATTCGGGCGCTGGATTGCGCGTTTCAACAACAGCGTGGCCGGATACTGTGGCTTTGTTTTCCCCGCGCTCCTCGTTATTGTCACTGTCGTGGGGGAGTTCTAGTTGGACTATCCAGAGTGGTCAACATGTGGAGTCAGCTCCTGGAACGATGATTTCCACCCACGCCCGCTTCCGTGGGCTTTCTTGCTTGTGGTCTGGACCTTGAACTCGAGCTCATTCCACACCTGGCCAAGTTCGAAAGCTTGGTCTTGTCACCAACTGAAGATTGGAGATTCTATGCTATGGAAGAGGCGTGCTGACTGAGCTTACCCAAACGGCCAGAAGACAAAGACATGCTCGATCTCCGGGTGTATGGGCCACGAACAGACAACGGAGGTTTACACAAGGGTTCTAAAACAGGAGAAAGAAGGATTACTTAGGATTACTGCTATCTGCTTCACATTCCAACCCGTCCAAACGAAGGTTCATACATGGGGCCAAATAGCCGTCCAGTCAACACAGGTGTAACTCGAAGCCGGCAAGGAACGCAAGCTATAAAAGACTTCGAAGATGATGAACATCCTCGCCAAAATGTACAGCGAGGCAGCAATGTGTACAGGCAGATCGAACAGCCATCTTCGAGCGATTGTCGACCTGTGGTTCTGAGTCTGTCGGATCCAGATCCAGAGAAGGTTGATACGAAAATCGAAATTCGGCCTTGTCGAGATGACTGGTATGACCCCTCCCAAGCACATCACACCAAGCATTACCAGGCTACAGACTCGCCACAGAATCCTCTCAAAGGTGGTGGCGAAAGGGAAATGCCAGCCCAATACGTGTACGCCCGCGTGCACCATTGACAGCGACCACATACACAGTGCGAGGGTTGGCTTGGGTGGTGGTTGAGCGTAATCATCAGGCTCGCGCGGAAGGGGACGATGGTCCAAGCCCCCAAATGCAAGAAGACTAGGTCGTCTCTCCCACTGTTCCCAGAGTGGCCTTTCGACGAAGTCCATTGGGGTGTCGATATATGGATCTTTGGCGGCATCTCCCGCAGCGAGAAGGACGTCGGCTATGGCGTGATCCATGTGGATGGTGGTGGGCAACTGGACGTTCTGAGGTTTGTTGAGCCAGAAATATGCTGTACATGCTGTACACACGACGAAAGCCAGGGTGAAAATCTCCAGCGGCGAGACTGCAAGCCCTTTGACAACACGAGCTAGGCACTGCAGGAGCAACCAAGCCGTTTGAGTCAGAGCCACCCCTTTCGCAAACTTGTCCGCTTTGCTCCGATCCCAGATCTCTTCCTTGGTTATCTTCGGTGGTTTGATCCAGCCATTGACACGCAAGTAGTGGATCGACGCTGCTCTGACAGGGAACTCTGGTTGATCAGTCGATTCCAGCATAAAGCCGCCACTGTTCGCGAAAAAGGCGTGTACTGCAGACCAGTCTTTGTCACCCATCTCGTGCATTTCTCGAACGGATTGCAGAGAACCGTTCCACTGCATCGATGCAAAGAGTGAAAGTATTTCAGGCGCACAGATTGCCAGTGTTGACCATCGTACTTTGCGGAAAACTTGCGTCCAGTAGCCGTCTTTCCTGGCAGGGACATTGAGGTTGATGACCGTCCAGATGCAAACAAAAAGGACTAGAAGACAGCTCCAGATGATGTCTATAGTGCCGCGTTGGTTTGGCTGGTGGACCCAGCCCTTGCGAAACTCGACCTCACTGATCGTCTTGTTGAGTGAAGAAGGGTTTGTTACTGCTTGGTCCATTGCAGTATTGTTGCACCATGGAATAAAGTTCGACTTGACAAGGCTGGCACTGAGTCTTCACGCAGTGAAATGTTTCACAACCTCCCCGGGGGTTGTCTCCCTTAAGTGCCTGTCCATGATACGACCACAATCATCTGCTGAGGTCTCCATTACCCAGCATGTTCACGGGTATGGACGTTTGGACAGACAAGTAACACAAGCCCAAGCCACCCCCACGGCCATCGTTCGGCAACATCTCTGGCGTCTGGATGAAGAGAAGGCAACTCGACCAACGAACAAGGCTTCCTGAGAATCACCTCAGCAGACGGGCCCTTTCATCTTCGTCCTCACGATCACGGCTCGTGCTGAGAACACAGACCTCAAATGGACTTTGTGGCTTGCATCCGAAAATTGCAGCTAACGCGGGGCGCAGAAACGCACGCCTTGAGGACAAGAGCGAGCATACGTGGCAAGTACACAAGTTGGTGTACGGCCAATGCACGCCCTCGGTCTGCATGCACATTACGCGAGCATATTCACAGGGCAAAAGGATCGGCACTGTGAACTACAGCCGTTAAGCGGAAAGGGGGCCACTGACAGAACGATCTTCCCTGGCTGAGAAACGGCAGCTCTCGTTGCGGTCGCCTTGCGCACAGCAATGCCACCTTGCAAAAATGGATCTTATGCTTGATCCAATGGGTCAGCATGAATACGCGGTGCCATGCCTCAATCTTGAAGCAACAAGGCAACACACTCATGTGCCGTCAGTCCCTGATAGGGATAAATCCATCGACACGATTCTCACAACACAAGTCGTTACAGACATGACAAAGCCGTATTTTTCTGGGCACAGCGCCTTCACTGATGGCTGCACAGGGACCCAGTTCTGTAAACGTTCGTGTTGCGAGTGTAGAGGTCATTTGGAGCGTTCAAGCGCCACCACAAGCTACTCCCTAGAACCCCAAAACCCGCCCCAGTGCAGTAGAAGTCCAAATCATTGGAGGATCCCCTACAGCCTTACTATTCCGGATGCCAGAGTTGAGCAACGATCAGCTCCGAAGTTCCGAAAACAAAAAGGGGAATATGACTTGGCAAGCCTTGCCAAATACCACAAAGCTCTGCAGCGCTCTCAGAGGCATCATCCACGGCTTACTGTCACGCACCAGGAGCCACATGCTCAGGAGTGCAACTAAGAAGAAATGATATATCAGCACAGTCGGCCTGCGAATGATGCCGGCCAGTAAGCCAACTGGGCCATTGATGCAGTTGCCGCCGAATTGGAAGTAAGCAAAGCAGCCACGCTGCAGTGCTTTCAGATATTGGTCTATTTCTTTCGTCAGCAAGAGTTGTGAGTGTGAAAGCAGCGAAAGGGAAAGTCTCACCATCAGCAGCAAATAGAGAGTACAGGGCCTGCGCCAGGATGTTGATGACCGAGTCTAGGTTTTTCCTTTGCCAGTGAAACTTCGCCATCTGAGCCAGCACAGCTTCCGTGTCGGACAGGTCCGGCACCGTCTGAGGACTCAGCAACTCACCGATGAGCACGGCGTCATTTATTGCAACTGTCATGCCTCCACCTGTCAAAGGATGTCGCATGTTGAGCGCATCTCCAAGCATGATCGTCCCGGGAGTTTTGTTCGTGGTCGGTGGAAGCCACTGGTTCGGCATTGACTTCAAGCCGCCGTCCTCGAACGCCCTCTCGAACATTGGCTTGATAGATTCGGGTATGCTTGAGAGAACATGACGTCGTATGTGAGCTTTCGTGCCCCCGCTCTCTCCCAATGAAGGTTTCACATCGTTGGGGACGTCCACAAGAATGCGTGTCTCATTCGGTGAGATCTGGTATAATAAGATCGGCGCACCGTTGCCGACAACGACATGGCCGTGCTCAGGTTGGGGTAGAGGGACGTCTTTCATCACGATCCCCCAAAACCTTGACTTGGCCACGGGATCCTGTTTGGCATAGCCCTTGCGGAATTTGGAAGCGTATCCGTCGGCGACGATGGTGAGAGGTGCGAAGTACTTGTAAGCATTCACGAGTCAGCTAGAGATTCCTAGTACAACGGAAGACGATGAAGAGGAAGAAGACATACGCTGTGGTCCTTCTCAGCAGTCGAAGTTTTGACGCCTATGACCCTTCCTCTGTCACGCGTGTGTCGGCTGTGCACGAGCTCCTTCGCAGTCGCTTCTATGAGTGTCACCCCGGGCGTCCGCCTTGCCGAGTCTCGAAGTTTCTGTATGAATCTGCCGTGATGGAAACTTCGCCCTTGCGGCCTCGGTTTGGACTTGGGTTCGATCGCGTCCTCTTCAGGCTGCCCGGTCGCAATGTCCGGATACTCATAAGGGATATGTACACGTTCCCCATGATAGATCACCTCGTACCCTCTGACCGGCACGGCCTCGATGCCTTCCAGGCAATCGGCCATTCCAAGCTTTTCCAGCGCCATGACCCCTCCTGGTTGGAGGAGCTCACCAACAATCCGATCCGGCTCCTTCAGGCTTCGCTCGACGACTGTGACTTTCCGCCCTTGCCTCCCCAGTGCGACGGCGACAGTGCAGCCCAGTACGCCGGCTCCGATCACAATGACATCCGAAGTAGTATGGTCCTCGGGATCTGAGCCATCAGAGTACCAGTCTTGTGCGTCGGACGCCATCTCTGCTGAGTTGGGCAATCAGTGACCCAGCGCTTCAGAAGACTCAAGGGTGAAAATCAAAGGCGACTTCGGTATGTACTCAGATCACCGTAGCCTTGGATCGCGTGCACTCCAAAAGAGGGGAGAACTGTGAGGTTTTCTTTCGTGCCGCTCAACCAAACACCGCAGTCAAGAGTAAGTCATGATGATTACGGAACGGCGAAACCCAATCAAAACGATTTCGACGTGATTCCTGTAGTCTGATATCATGTCGAGGGGAATTCCAAACACGATCTGCAAGATGCCTTCCCACTAGCGTGGATTTTTGACAGTTGCCACCGACGCCCGATTACTTTGGTGCTCAGATGGACACGCAGCGCACATGTCGGGCAACATTTTTTCCAGCCGCCTCGCAGGCTGCGCCCGAAGACATAGTGACCATGGCCAACGTGGGGGTTCAACAAGGGGGTCCCCTCAAGGCGCCCGGAAATAATTCGTGAGCATCTCAACCCTCGCTTCAGGCGAGAGTGTCAACTGCTCCAGATTTGCAACCGTGCATGTCTGAAGGGTAACGTATCAAGCACTGTCACTATAGACTACTCGTTGCGGGGATGGTGGATAAAGTACACGGTATTAGCTAGATGGGGGTAAGGCTAGAGCCAAAGCTTGATATGGGTGGCAGACTTCTAGAACATGCCCAAATGGTGAAGCCGGGCAAAGCTCGCCGGTGACCGTCAGGGAAGGAGACTGGGCGTAATGGGGCTGTATGCCATGTACGAGAGAGAGCCCCAGGACTAAGGCCTAAATGGCGGGATGAGTGCTCAGGCGCGAAAGGCCTGTCACCGGTTTCGCAAGTGGCGCTACCAGTCCAGCCTCACCCCTACTTCTCTCGACCGCAAACTTTATCGGCCTGGTCTAGCACGATACGCACTAGTCTCTCGAAGATCGAGGATTTTTGTGCCAGTATCCTGATTTGCAACGGTACCGCATGTGAGTAGGGCAATGAACAATGATGCAAAGCCATCTTCTCAAGGCAGCGATCCCGCACAAGGCGCGCCTTGGATTCCACCTATCGATTCGGCACGACGAGCTTGCCGAATCTTGTGATGCTGTTGGTTGGGGTACGGAGTAGGGCGCCATCATAAGGGCATGCACTCGTTCCTTGCCACTCGGGTGGATGCGTCCAAGCTGCGAGGTGGCGGAGGCTTAGTTAGATGTTTGCTTTTGTGTAAGGTGGGCGAAGTGCCAAAGAAACGAGGCGTACGAATTAGCATTAATGGAGAAGGATGGAACTTTTGTCAGGACGTCCGCACGGCGTGAGTACATATCCAATGACAGCAGGGGACCCAGAAACAGGACTGAGCACCGGGGATGAGAAGGATAAGGAAGGTTGAGCAGGCGCCTGAGCAGATTAAGCAGATCACGCTAAAGGCTGAGCCGAAGTTGAGCCAGGTCACCTGATTCCTGAGAAGAGCGGCGAGCGGGGCACGTTCCAAAAAGGGTGGCAAGACCATGTGCTCTTTCGTCGCTGAATACCGAAATCACCTCCATGAATTGTTTGTCGAAGGCCCTCATTCTATTTCTCGTGCGCCATCCCGCAATTTGTGCTCGCTTTCAGTATGCTTTATCGGTCCGCAATCGTTCGATGTAGCTTGCAAGCTGGCTCAATGCATGTTCCAAGAGCGATAGCTCATTCATAATGACCTCGGCGGCGCGGCCCTGAAGCGGGGAGCTCATCCATGAGACCACTGCGTTGACCCACGAGCATTGTGCTTAGCCGCTGTAGCTTCGTAACGACGTCGGTTAGGTCTGGACCCAGTGACTCGGCGGCGATTGATGTCTTCAACGCCTCAATCGAAACCCTCAGGATTGCACTGGCCGGGACAACAGCAGCGAGCACAGAGGCCATCATGAGGCAGTCTATGTGCGAAAATCTCAAATGGTCGACTTCATGATCTCGCGACGAAGGCACCATGAAGGAATGAGGCTGAAGAGTAGATTTTGATGAAATCGAACACACTAGCCGCTTGGGCAGGTTTCATGGCTAGGCAACCTGCAAGGCGGACCCTGTGATCGTGGCCACCCCTCATGCAACGTGCCAAATGTCCAACGAGGTCGTGACAGTCTCAGCTCGGCCTGAAGCACTTGAAGGACCGAATCCCGATCATCGCCAGTAGCTCGCGGAGAATAAGAGTACCCCTCGAATATGGTTGGTATGAGTCCCCTTCCTACATAACGACTAAAATAATCCTTAACCGGTGGATCTAGTGCGAGCAAAGTCTTTTATGAAAGTCTGGCGACATGATTAGCACGGCGACCTTGACCGCCGTTGATGCTGAGGACGAGGGTCAAACCCCGCAGCCCCGAGGGATTTCTCATAGGTTGGACCATAACTGCAGATGTAAAAGGCATCTGGGTATACAGCGCATGACTTAACGTCCACTCCCCCGAAAACGTTCAGCTTAGTGAGTGCGAAGGGAAGGCGAGGGGAGGTGGTTATAACTGTCATGGTCCGGCTAAGTCGCAGGTGAGCTCCAAGTAGGGTTTAACTCTTTTCCGCCAAGACAGCTAGTCGGTACTTCGTTCTTCAAGAATTCGGCTGCCTCGCCGTAGTGAGGGTAAGACCATGTGTAAGCATACAGAGTATACAGAACTCTATTTCTACGTAGGTGTATATCTGTGGTGAAACCTCCAAAGGGCACCAGACGACAAGTCCCACCATGCCTCCCCCGCCACTGTCCCCTGGCCCCCAGTGGAGCGAGCCTCCCCAGTCCCTCTTCCCCAGCACTCACGAGTACTCAAACGCCACGACCACGCTCTACATCACAGCCCTCACAAACCACCCATCCCCACCCTACAACGCCCGCCTGGAATGCTGGTCCCTCGCCACCCCATTCACGACATACCCGACCGTCGGCAGGGCTCTGTCCCTAGGCAACGTCGACAACGCGACATATGTGGTCCTCCCGCCCCGAAGCGCCGAGGGCTGGCACCGGCCTCCGCACCTGATGTTCTTTGTGCTATTGTCGGGGATGGCTCAGGTGTTTGCGCCGAGGACGAACGCGAACAGCGTGATGCCGCCTCGTAGCGAAGACATGGTGCGATCCCCGCGCCAGACCCAGCACCCTCGCGTCAGTGGGATGTGATCACCATAGCCCCGGGGTCTGCGCACCAGGTTCTCATCGCGAGCGACACGGATACTCGGGCGCCGGGGCACTTGACGTATTATCCCGGCGATGGGGAGACGGTGGCGTTGCAGATTCCCCTCACTGGGGGCGTGGTGCCGGAGCATAGCGTTGTGCATGGAGGTGGTTGTACGGGTGATGAGGGTAGAAGCTAAGTCTGCCACGGAGCTGGGTGTGCTTTCCTTTCCATGTCCAATCTCTGAAGGTCGCACTCCGATCATCAGAAGCATGGGGCGCCGTGAGAGGAGGCAGAAGCAGCCAGGGATAGGACAGTGAGCCAAGATTCTGCTATTTGGCAGCGCGACGGCTGCAGTCTACCACTCTATGCTTGAGTATACTCACAATCACTCTTTCAGTTGTCGATCTGTCTACAGGACCGAGTACCTGCCGCTTGGCCTTTCAACCGCCTCCGATGCACTCATCGTGCCTTCCTTCAACAAGCGCATCAGTTCCCTCATCGCATCATGGACGACAACCTCCGTATCTCCCTCAACCAGAATATACAACTTCGGATTCTCGTTCGGACCAGGCTCCTTGCCCGCAGGATAGAAGGAGCCTTTCGTCGTGATCGATGTACCGGTGGACTCGAGGATTTTAGCCACGTTCGTCCGATTGGTAACAGCCCAACGTGCTTTTTCTGCGAGACGAGGGTTAGCACTCTCCTGACAAAGATCTTACAGTGAGAGAATAACTTACGAGGAAAGTCGTTGATCTCCAAGGTGGCATGGAATGCGCCGGCGTCAGGACCCTTGTTGTCAATAGGCACGCCAGACCGCATGACTCCCGCCTTGGACAGTTTCTGGTTGATCGCGTTGACCGCTGCGGCGACCTTGTCCAGCCGGTTCTGCGGATCCGTGCTTGCTTTGCCACCGGCAGCCGGCTCGGGTCGCTCGGTCTTGTGGACGACGATTTTACCGTCAAGATCGATGCCTTTAGGTACACCAGGTGTGCTGGAAGGTGCATCATGCGCTTTGACACCTGAAGCGGCTTTGGCGAATATGTCGTCGCCAACCTTGATGTCCTTGGTCTCCTCCTTCTCCTCCTGCTCCTCCCCTTCCTCGCCGGTCTTGAATGTCTTGCGTTCACGAGCCTTGGCAGCATCACGTTCCTGGTCAAGTCGTTCAAGACCTTTGCCACCAAACCCAGAGGCACCGGCCTTCTCCTTGCCGGCTTTGACCTTCTCCATGAAGCCGTCGACGAGTTTCTGAACAGGCTCAGGCACAGGCTGCCCGCTCTGCCTAAGCGCCTTGGCAATGTCAACGGCATATCTGTCTTGCTCCTCGGTGAGAAAAGTGACGGCAGTCCCAGTATTTCCAGCCCTGCCAGTCCGTCCAGCACGATGCACATAGTCTTCCAAGTGGTTCGGTGCATCATAGTTGACCACAAGCTTGAGCTGCTTCACATCGAGACCCCGAGCGGCGACAGAGGTCGCGATGAGGATCGGCACAACGCCGGCCTTGAAGTCGTCGATTGTGGAATCTCTGTCGATCTGGTCTTTTCCTCCGTGAATGGACATACAAGGATATCCCTTTTTCATCAGATCTCGAAGAAGACCGTCGGCGGACTCTTGCCGATCGACAAAGACAAGGACTCGATCATCCTCGTTTTTGTCATCTTCATAGAGCTTGCCGAGAAGCTCGAGCAGGCGAACAAACTTGGTGTTCTCCTCACGAACCTCCACAACCTGAGTGATTTCTGGCGCAACGACACTGCGGCCACCAACCACGATTTCCACGGGTTTACTCAATGTCTTTCTCGCCAGGGCTTCCATTTGGCGAGGGAAGGTTGCTGAGAACAGGACAGTCTGACGATCCGGACGGATGTTGGAGAGAATTTTCATCACTTGAGGCTCAAAACCCATGTCAAACATCCTGTCAGCTTCATCCAAGACCACATATGTGACACGCTTCAGGTTTGTTACACGGCCACTGTTGGCCGCGAGCAGGTCAATCATTCGGCCGGGAGTACAGACGACGATCTCTGCTCCACGCTTTAAATCAGCAATCTGATCCTTGATCGGCGCACCACCGTACGCGCACACTGCTCTCAGACCGAGAGCCTTGATGAACGGTTTACACTCTTTGTGGATTTGCGTGGCAAGCTCGCGAGTTGGACTCAGAACCAATCCGATTGGCCCATCGAGGGCTTCAAGCGGGCGCTGATCCTTGATATGCCTGAACATGGGAAGGAGGAAGGCAATGGTCTTGCCCGAGCCAGTCTTTGCGACGCCGATGACATCGCGACCAGACATGATTGCTGGGATAGCTTGAGCTTGAATGCTGGTTGGTGCTTCGTAGCCAAGTTTCTGGATAACCTCAAGGACCTGGACACCCAGGCCGCACTGAGCCCATTTCTGGACGGGTTTCGGAACATCGACACCGCGAACCTTGATGTTGTCCAGCTCCATTCGTAACGTGGCCACGTCTTCCTCTGTCCAGTCTGCCATCTCCACCGGCTCGGAGTAGAAGTTGCGTCTGAATGGTCGATACTGGACCTTTTCGTGATTGACCATGGGTATATCTTTTTTCTTCTTCTTCGCATTGGCACTAGCAAGAGAAAGAATATTGTCGGGATTCTCGTCATCAACCGCAGTCATGTCCACACCATCATCTCCGAACAATGCCTCGGGCTCCTGCTGACGCATCTTGGACTTTGACTTCTGGTTGAAGGATTTCTTGGCTTCAACCGGTTGTAGACCTTGCATGAAAGCCTCCAAAGGATCAACCTCTTCCTCTTCCGCATCTTCATTGACTGCGACGGCCGTAGGTGCATCGGACATGGCGGTATCTTCACCCCTTTCTGCCTTGCTCCGTTGCTCTGCCGCGGCGCGTGCGGCAGCCATCGCCTCGACATCTTCGTCGCCGTCTTCGCCTTGCATGTCGACGTCATTATCTCCCTCATCGTCGACTTCGTCCATCTCCCCGTTATCGACTGCGTCGCCTTCTTCCAGCGCCAGATTTGGGAGTCTTTCAAGTTTTTTCTTGGTGTCTTCGTCATCTGCAAAGTCGAGGCCCTTCTTAGGTGCATCGCTGTCCACGGCGGCCTTACTGCCGAGCCCGAACCTGCCGAGATTGCCTTTGGCTTTGAGCGCCTTTGTAGTGGACAAGCTATCTGAAGGTGACTTGGGAGCATTTTGCGAGGCCTTGAAAGCACCATTAGTTAAGGCGGGTGCAGCAATATCACCTCCGAGCACTTTATTGGTTGTCGTGGCATGGTGGGCCTTCTTCGCGATGGCTTTGGGATCGAACTTGCCAGCATATGGTGTGGGAGCCGGCAATGTGGACTCGGGAGCTGCAGCAGCAGACACAGGCGATTGCGGGGAGGTGGCTATTGGCAAGATGCCTGCTTTTCTGTCAATCTCTTGCAATATACTTCTTGCCCCACCAGCAGCTTCAAGTTCCCTCTGCTTCTTAGCTTGTTCCTCTGCTTGTTTCTTTTTCCACGCTTCTAGCTTGGCTAGACGGGCCGCTTTCTGTTCTTCGGCCGTTTGGGCGATGGGAGTGGATGGTTTGGACACCTGCCACACGTTGATGAGTTCTGCAAGATCAGATTGGCATGGCGAAAACTTACCTCTCTGGACCCATTGCCGGCATCTCTCCTTGACGTGCCATCACGATCATCGTCCCGTTTGCGTTTTCTGGACTCGGTGGAATCATTTCTTAGCCGTCCGTCTCTCGGACGAGAATCGTCCCGTCTTGAACGACCGTCTCGATCCCGACTTCGGCGGCGATGATCCCTGTCTCGCGAGCGTCGACGGTCTCTTGACCTGTCTCTCTCCCTATCTCTTCTGGAAGAAGCATAATAGTCATCGTCTTTACGGCTGTCGTTCCGGCGGTCTACGGATCGATCTCGGCGGCGGTAGGAATCGCGATCTCGGTCGCGGTCTCTTTCTCTGTCGCGATCACGGTGCCGCCGCTGCTCGGAGAATTGGTAAGCCTGTGTGGTTAAGAAGGTAGCCAAAGAAGGATAACATACCTCCGGACTACGCGACCTAGAGTGTCTCTTCCGTTGAGTACGGTCGCGATCGCGATCTCTGTCACCTTCCCGCCGACTTCTCTCATATCGATCCCTGGTTCTTGAGGAATAGGAACTGCCTGCAGGTGATGGTGAGCGAGTGTCCCCGTGCCTAGCCATTCTGTGGCCGCAGATAAGTGAGCTTTACTGCTTGTACCGCAACTAGGACCCGGCGAGCGCGATAGGTGACTCAATGGTTTAGCGAGGGTTAAGGTGATACGAAGTGTGTCCTATACAATGCTGCTGTGGGTAAATGGTAAAGTCTCAAAAGGACAAGGCTGCTGTGCAAAACTGGAAGTCAGTCAACGTCTAACTGTTCCCCACTTCTTGACACATTACATAAGCCCGCCACGGCAGCCACTTCAGCCACAGCGAGCTCTAATAGGGCAGGCACGCGTCTCGAACGGGGGAGTGACTCCCCAGCCACCCACAAGTTGGACCATGAATCAGGTCCTCGTCGCATTGATATCATCCATCCTCTCAGTGCGCACCTCCTTGCATTGAGAGGTCCTACCTTCGGCTCTCCGCTCATCTTCCAGGGCGCCATGACGGTCGCAATGCCCTTTTCGCGGTCTCTAGCCAAACAGCTGCTGGCCAGGTCTGCGCGATCGCTCACACGACCTGTTTCATCCAACCCGCTCCTACGCGTCGACGGCAATTATGCCACTGGCAACGATGACTCAAACCATGCTTATAAACCCTCAAATCTAGAATCAGTGTGGAAGCTAGCTAGAACGTACGCGACAGCTGCAGCCAAACCCGCAGGCCGACCGAAACAGCATACCGGTCGCACGCCCGCAAAACGCACGCCCAAGGCGACTAAGGAGGCTACCTCGGCGAAGAAGCCGGCTGCAAAGAAACCCAAGAAGAAAGCAGCCTCGAAGACCAAGACTGGAGCAGCAAAGAAGAAGCCCACTAAATCAGCTCTACTCAAGAAAGCTCGCACAGACCAGGCAGACCTGAAAGCAGCTGCGCTGTTGGAGGAGCCGAAGCAACTCCCTTCAAATCCCTACCAGATCATCCTGGTGCAGGAAACCAAGGGTAATAAGGGAAATGTGACAACCAGCGCCGCAGCAGCGTCGAACAAGTACAAAAATTTAGCACTGGAAGAGCGAGAGGTAAGGCCTCGCCTGCCACTCTCCACCGTTTCAAGCGCTGACAATCTACTTTCTAGCGGTACAACCATGAAGCGAACCAGAACAAATCCAAGAACGAGGAGGCCTACAAGCGATGGGTGCAGTCCCACTCTGCACTGGAAATCAGAAACGCAAACAATGCCCGGCGCCTGTTGAACAGGAAAGCAAAGGCTGCAGGAAAGAAGAAGCACATCAAGCCCATCCATGATGACCGCGCTGTCCACCAGCCTCGAAACGCGTACTCATATTTCTTCAAAGAGAGGAATGACTCGGGTGACTTGAATGGCATGTCCGTTGCCGAGCGCGGCAAGCTGGTGGGCCAAGAATGGAAGAATCTCTCCGCTGCTGAGAAGAAGGTACGTCTGTCCCGAGTTGTGTCGCGTGTAGCAACAGATAAGGCAAGGCTAATTGATTGAACAGCCGTACGAGGATCAAGCTGCTGCGGACAAGACCCGCTACCTTGAAGAGTACAAAACCGTCTACGGCGACGATCCTCCATCAGTCAAAAGGCAGACAAAGTAAAATTGGCCGACTCACGCCGCCAATATGCGAGTCACACGCCTCGGCCAAAAGAAAGAAGGGATGTGACGCGACTACGGCTGAGGGAAAGCCACTGCCGTCGCCTCGCCCATCAAGCACCCTTTATGCTTCTCCCAGCGGAAATGTATGACTTTTGATGTACTATACTCGGCAACTGTTGGCCTGGGCACGGGTACTCGGATTCCACTGATACGAGGTTTCGCTGGGCTGTGGTAAAATCTGGCGGTGTTCATGTACGGCGACGGCGCACAGGGTACAGATCTCAACTACTTTGGAGCATTGCATGGCCCCCCTGTGTATGGCGCAAAGTGGCGATGACAGTTGGTGGATCACGATGTTGTGCTCGAGATCCCATAACCATCGCGCTCGAACGCCCTAGCGTTTCCGGAAGCGTCGCAGTATCTGTTCCATTTCCTGTGTATAAGAACTCAAGATACCATCAAACAGGAGATGAAAAAGCATGACTCTTGTTGTGACACGAAATTGTACACTACACCCTCACATTGTATGCAGACCCCGTAGGTCTACAGAGTATACAGCGCAACTATAGCATAGTATAGTACATGACCCTAGATCCCGCGCTCGTACTGTGAGAATCACTCCCGACAGCTACCGCTATCGCGAGGGTGATCTGTTCCTCAAAGGGCTTCTTTATGTCTGAATCGTCTCCGTGCTGCTGCTGCCGCTGCCGCTGCCGCTGCCGCTGCTGCTCCACACACTATCGATGATTCCTTCTCCCTTCTCAGCGGTGGACTCTCCGTTGGCCGTCGCGATTGGCATGTTGTGTCGTGCATGGTCTTTCTGTTGTCCCTTGCCATGAGAGCGCGGATCGGTAGAGAGCGTGCCAGGCATCTCGCATTCTCAGTTCTCGCCCCTAGGGCTTGGTCCTTCGTCGAGTGTACCCGAGATACCTCGCGCTCGGGGGTAGGTACTCCTTGATTGTCCCGACGTATATACCATTCCGGGCTCCCATATTTACCGACACCCTCAACCAAACCACCTAGGGCAGCTTCACACCTAAGCACTTAGTCCCCGATGGAGTCCCTCTCTTTTGGCACCTCAACCCGATGTTACTCTACTCTTTCGTCTCGCGCTCACCCTCGTCTTTCGGACTGGGACCCGCCTCGTCCTCCAACATCTTTCTCCGGCCCTCCATCGTCCACCACACGGCCCGCGACCCGCTCTCCAGCACCTGCACCACCCCGGCCCCAAAGCCCTGCAGCATGCCCACCAATTGGGCTCTCAATCCGTCAATCCCCCCATCAATACCGCCAACCCATCTCGCCCCCTCCATATCGAAGACCTGCCCATCGATCCTTGCGCCTAGGAGCATCAACTTTTTCACACCATCCTGCACCGCGGGCTCGTGATACAGGGGGTTCGCACGGCGTGTCGGCGCCGCGAACACGCTCCCCGGCTGGGGCGCCAGGATCGAGAACGCCGTCTTCACGTACACCGGCGACACGGCGGGGAAGGTCAAAATCGCGACACTCCCCGTGAGGAGCGGCGTGAGGACGTGTTCGTTCCGATGGGCCTGGGAGGCGTGGTATGCCGCAACGGAGAGGGCGTGCGTCAGGCTGGGATCTTCCTTTTCGCTCGGCACGCTGATGGACGAGACTACACCTGTACCGCCTCCTGTATCTGCACCTGCACCTGCACCTGTACTAGCCTCTTGATGCGGTTGTCCCTGTGCGTCTGGTAATCCCGGCTTAAAGTACTCGGCTATCCGGAGCGCCGGTTCAAACATATTCGTCTTTATGACTTGCAGCTTGACGTATTCGCCTATTAGATCTTCGGAGGGTTTTCCCTCAGCCGCGAGCTGTGCGTCCAGTTTGCGCAGCGCGGACGCGAGTTCGCGGCGGATGGACACCCATTCCGTGGCTTTGAGGTTGCTGTGCTGGAAGAAGATGATCAGGGGCGTGGTCTGTAGGAGGGACACGTAGGAGCGGAGGAGCTGCGACTTGCGGTACGCCGGGTTGCGGTGCGAGGGGGGTTGAGTGGGCGGATAGCGCGACAGTGGTGGGAAGCCGGATTGGATCTGCGCGTCCGTGGGAGCCGGCGTCGTTGCTATTGATGGTGCTGCTGCTGCGGTGGCGTAGGACCGACTACATCGGCCGCAGGTGTAGGTGTAGGGAAGGCTTCTTGGGGCCGTGCGGTCGAGCTGGAGCTCCGCGAGCTGTGCTAGGGAACGTAGTCGGAGTCGGGGAGGCATGTCGATTGTGGGTGCGAGGATGTGTGTGAGTGTGTACTCGTGCTTGAGGGGGGAGGTTAGATCCCAATTAGACAGAGATGCAGACTCGGTCCTTCTTGCCGCGAGATTACGAATATGTCGGGCTAGTGCTGTACTTGTGCTGTGTCGAGCCTGCTTTCGCGCCCATGTGCTTGTTATGTCCAAGGCTCAAGAAAATCGGGAAATGGCTTCAAGTTTAGTTCCGCTCCGATGTCAAAGAGCCCTTAACTGGATGCGGTTAGAGCGAAGGCGAGGCGAAGGGGCATCGTTGTCGGTCACTCACTCTTCACCCTTCGTTCACCGTTACAATCATGGCGTCGACCCTCTCAACACATACATTATCCTCCGCAAGTCTGTGATTCTTGCGACCAACGGCCGATGGCAGGAGCCGTTACTACGAGTCTACTCCTACCCGTGATAATAATTATTGCGGGGACCTCTAAATCCCTGTCTTAGACCGGTTGTTACCTTGCGACTCCTCCCAGGGCCTTCATCTACTTTTGAACACTCGATATTACTTATGTACTGGGCTGCCATCTTGGAGGGTCCAGACCCAGGGTGATTTATATGAACGTGGATGTTTCTCGTGCGCCGTTTGAACCTGCCCATAGAGTGAGCGAGGCGCTCGAGAATTGCTCCGCATTATCTACAGTCAAGCCTGTGCAGGGTCTATTCGTTTGTATTGTACCAGCCTGGCAATATGACTCTCACTTGAATGAAGCATATGTCTCAAAGGCGAGTGAGAACGAACATCGGAAACAGAAATGGATGAGATGATGCAAACGGACATCGCTGCGTGGGTGGCATGACGAATCAAAGATTTCATCATGAACAACATGTGCATTTCTTGTCTGGACTCTGAAAACTGGACACAAGACACAAGACACTAGACAGTAGACAGCGGACAGTGGAAACTAGATCTAGACGTACAATCTCGATTCCAATCTGGGTTCTGGCTCTGCTAGATGCTTGACCGGCAATGGCGTCTGTAATGCTGCTCACTGGTAAGTCATCGCATTTTCATTGCAGAATTGACCTCAAGTCTGGGTTATTCCTCGTTTAAGAAGTTGTTGACAAAACCTCGTGAGATCAACATTGTCTATTGGGTCTCTATGGTCTGTGATCTCTGGTCTGAAGTCTATGGGAATTCGAACATCAACAACTCGACATTTGCCTCGGGTAGACGACCCGCCATTCCCGCCAAACTTCCGCACGTAGGCAACACGTCTGAGGAGTCTCACGCAGCGCTTCTCCGTCTCCTGACATCCCCTGTTACAGCCCTAAAGAGCATGCCAAAGAATGCCCTCGTCTCCCAAATGGGCAGGAGGACACTGATCAGACTGCTGGCAAATACCCAGATGAAACTGATGACCACCCAGGCGGTGAAGAACTCTTTGCTGAAGATATAATGACTCAGGAACATGGGGATTGGGATAAGGAAGTCCATGATGAAAGGTAAGACGAAGGAGGCGATGCAGGCCAGCTTGAAGGCGGAGCGAAGACTTGACGGGTTGTCTTCGTACTGTGCATCGATGGAGAGGTGCCGTTCTTCATCCCGAATAATGCGACTGGCCGCGGAGTCGCGCTTCTCGGCCTCCGGCGAAGGTGCGAGGACGGGCGAGACGGGTGCTGGGGAAGGTGCCTCACTCGTCGGTTTGACAGATTCTTTGTCTGCCGTGCCCATCTGAGTGACGTTGGAGGAGCTCGACGAGTCGACCTGCGGTGACAGGGTTGTGCCTTCGACGTAAGCGTGCTCGATGTTGATAGCCCGCGTACCGCTCCAGTCGTAGTTGTCTGGCTTGATCAGAGACACGACCACTGTGACAATCAGGCCTGTCATGATGGCAGCGAGGTTGCCCGCCAGAGTGGCGTAGTTGGAACCCGTTGACTCGAGAGTGAGCTCCCCATAGTGGACCTTTGCTTCGACGAGCCAAGCCGTGAGACCGGCGACGAGGCCACTCAATGATCCTGCGATGGCCCCAGCTCGACTTTGCTTTTTCCAGGTTATCGCAAAGGCGGTCGGCATGACGGCACCGCCTATGAGGAGGCCCATGACCAGGAACAACCAGCCTAGGTCAATCCCGATGACGTTCCAGATGATGGCGAAAATGGCCATGGTGAGCCCGAAGACCGCGACGTTCACGTGGGCCATGAAGATCAAGTTCTGTGGCGTGGCGTTGGGCTTGATGTACGTTTTGTAGATGTCGAATGTGAGGATCGAGGACACGGCAATCAGTTCGGCAGAGGCGCACGACGTGACCGCCATGAACAGGGTGATAAGTAGGGCAACGGCGCCGCCCTTGCCGAGCAGAGTGCTGGCAGCAAATGCCGAAGCGAGACCAGCGGAGATCTGGCTGGAGGATGGGGCGTCCGGGTAGGTAGGGTAGGCCGGGTTGTCTACCAGTGCAGCCGAAGCGAGACCTAGAGTGGTGGCAAAGCCGAAGGGGATGGCGAACCAGGCGAGGCCGCCGAGGATGTATGCCCGAACGGCCGTGGTGGGTCGCGATGCGATGGCCCGTTGCCAGTATGCTTGGTCCAGGAAGACAGTACCGCTACCGGAGCAGAGCTGGATGACGCCGAAAATGAGCGCGTTGTTAGATTTCAGTGTCATGTAAGACCCGTCCTGGTTGCCCGCGACGGGTCTCTGGCTGGCCGCTTTCTTGAGAAGCTCGAACATGCGCGCGGGCGAGCCAATAATGTCGTCGCTAACATAAACTTCGAACATAAAGTAGAGAATGATAACCATCAGAATTAACGTGTGGGAATAGTCACAAAGAAATGTCGCGCGGAGTCCGCCCATCAGGACCTGTAAGGTGTCAAAACAACCTTGGTGGAGGTATAAGAATGACTTACATATGCAACGACACCGAGGGGAATGAGCTGCGAGATATCAGTTTCTGTACCAATGAAGCGAGGCGTATGGAGGCCAGAGCGAGGAAGAGACACAAGTGACTTGCGGCGCACAGACAGCGAATTGCGGGCGCAATAAAGGCCTTCCCGCGGATAGGAGGACTCACGAAGATTGCGGCATAGACATTCATGCCGGTCAAGCTGGTGACAACAGCGGACCCGCCCAGCAGCAGTTGAGAGCCGACCAGGATGTTGGTGACGAGAGCAAAAAAGATGAAGACGATGTGTGCCACCCGGCCGTAGCGCACATGGATGATTTCGAGGTAAGTGTGGCATCGAGGAGCATTCATCTTGGTTTTGCAGGCGAGTATGGAGAACACCAAGATCTGGACGGTAGCTCCTGCCGCGTACTTTGAGCGAGCGTCAGCATGGGCCGCCTTCCTGGAGGGGTTTCGATAGTTTATACCCAGAAGGGCCCGGCTACTCCATAAGTATACGCAACAGTACTGCTTTGAAGCAGCGTCGCTGCCCACGTCCAGGCTGAGACGATCCCAGCCGCGATGAGGCCAGGTTTGACATTTCTGCTCGCGGTGTTGAACTCTTCACTGGTCTTCGTGCTAAAGTTGGTGTATTTGTTCTAGAGTCCGAGTTAGTCTCCAGGCACGGCGCTTAGAAGAACTAGGCGTAAGTACCTGAAGCATAGAGATGCCGATCATGGCAACTGTAAAGAAGAAGCCGATCCCCACGACGACTCCATAGCCAACCCCTTGTGGGAGCACGGCTGAGACAGAATCCGACATGATGGAAACAATTGATTCAGACGCTGAGGACGTAAGGCGCAAGGTGAGCAAAGGGGGGAATAGACCATCAAGCTATCTTGGGCGTCTTCAGGTACTTATCCTTCAAGGATAGACTCACCTTCGGCCATAAGCCCGACGCTGAAGATTGCGGTATGCGACATGCTCTGAATTTGACCGACTATGATGCCGGTCGCTCGCCTGCGAGGAGAAAACGGCCATGGATACCAGTCGCGGTACTGATAACATGCGGTTGACGTCGATGGATACCATGGACCCTTGTCGAAGATGCGATAAAGCTTTGGGACCCTGTCTCGTCTGGGAATAGTCTCTTTGATCGCTCGTCATCCTGCTGTAAGCAGGCCATGACAACAGCTGATTGACACACCCTGATTGCAAAATCGTGGAAATCCGCAGGCCACATGCATGAAGCGACAAAATTTCTGAATGCGCGGGATTCGATTTGGTGGAGCAAGCGTGTTGATGAAACGTGTTCGCGCTGATCTGCGAGGCTGAGAGGCGTTATCACCAGCGATACGCAATGCATGAGGCTAACTAGGTCGAATGAGGAAGTTCAACAACCGCAGAGGACGGACCAGGATGAAGGTTTTTCCTATGGTATTTCGTACACCGTACTCCGTAAGCTCGCGTTGGAGAATAACTCCTCACCATGAGTCGACCTTGCGTGTTCGAAGCAGCAGGCCGCCTTCTGGTTTTGAGACAATGCCGAAGTTCATCTTGACATCCTCTTGCATCTTCTGACCCGGGTCAAGGACCGACCACTCGAAGCGGCCTATCAGCCCAGCTACCAATGCTGCAAATTCTCCTCGCGCATATCTTTCGCCGATGCAGCTTCTGGGACCGGCACCAAAGGGTAGATAGCGATAGACCGCCTCCTCGCCTTTGAACCCAGCATGGGGATCGAATTTTACCTTGCCGTCTCCGTCAGATTGCAAGAAACGCTCAGGCTTGAACTCTCCAGCATCCGATCCCCAGACGCTCTTCATGCGGTGTGTGCCCCAGATAGAAGTCATCACCACTGTTCCCACAGGGATATATTCACCCAAGACGACTGTGCCTGGCTTCACGACATGTCTTCGCAAAACAGGAGCCGGGGGAAAGAGTCGTAGCGTCTCGTTACAAACTGCGGCGAGATATGGGAGTGATTCAATAAGTGGTGCATCGACGGTTTCATCCTGCGCATCGGGTGATGGTAAATGGTTGTGGACCTCACTCCGCAAGGTGGACTGGATATGTGGATGGTGGGCAAGGAGATAAAGCGCCCAAGTTGTCGCAACCGAAGTAGTATCTTGGCCGGCTGCCAGGATTGTTGCAGCTTGCGCCATAAGCTCCTTATCCGTCAAAGGTTCCTTAAATCTAAGCAGGGTCGAGACTACATCTGTCTCCGTGGCCGTCTGAGACTCAGATGCGGCTTTGTCGTCATCATCAGCAGCATCTCGATCCAGTATCTGCTTGCCAGCCAGAGCCTTTCTCCTCGATCGAATCAATGGCCCAGTGGCGTCGTTCAGGGCTTTGACGATTAGGTCAAGCTCGTAGCGTCTCGCTAGTGGCAGTCGCACGTATAGCCAGTACGGCAACAGAAAGGCCAAAAGCCGATAGCATGTCGCCTTCGGACTTGTTGAATTCGACAGTGGCAGCAGCCTTGCGAGATCGCTGTCTGGTTTGGCAATGGCGTTGACTTCAAGACCAAACCCCGTTCCTGCGACGACATCAAGCGTGGCACGCATCATCCAACCCTCGACATCGACAACAGCTGTTGATCCTTCGCCGACTAGATCGACCTCTTTCTCCAGTGCGGCAACCAACTTGGCGGTATAGGACCAGAATCGAGGAAAGAGATCCTTGATGTACTTGTACTTGAATGCCGGCAGTAGGGCTTTCCGTTGGCGCTAGGTGGTACGAGTAAGTGGACGTCTCCCAGTATGTGGTATGACTTGACGTACCTTATGCTCGTCCTGAGCAGCGACTAGCAAGCCCCGCCCAGTGACTTGTCCTATGAGCTTCGTCGCGAGAGGCAGCTTGTCGTAGTTGTAGGCTTGCAAAAGCATCATCTCCTTTGTTCCTTGAGACTTGGTGACCAGCAGCCTTTCGCCATGAAACACGCCGAAGTATCGAATGAGGCCACTGTTGGCAGTCTCATTCATGAATCTTTCGAGGTCTTCTGGTGTAGGCTCAAGCAGGAACGTGCTCCACCACGGGCCTTGCGATGCCAGAGGCAGTTTGCGGAGAGGACTGAGTCGTGGTGCCACATAGACTGCCCACAAAAGCAGTAGAACCAGCTGTAGTAGAGCAGTGAGGAGCACAAATGATACAGGGCTGTGCTTGAGGAAGAGCCCAAAGCCAAATCTCACGAGAGACGCAGCTCCTAAGAGCGTGGGCAACAAGGGCGAAACCATTCCCTAGCAATAGACTGTGGAGATGGACTGCTTTCAGGAGTGAGATGAAGGCGGCCCCGGATGTACACTCGTCCCAGTCGACTTATATCTCTCGGTGACAGCATCTAGAACGGTTTTCAAACAGGTGCGTAGTAATTAGACCCTTTCGCCAATGAGTGACGCACCTGTTGCGTCGCAGTACTGAGATCCATGGTACAACAGATTAATCAACTTACTAAGCTGACGAGGGAATGACCTGAAAGAGGCATTTAAGTGGCTGATGACAACAGCGGAATGTACTGATGGGTTCAGCAGGGCTCCAATCAAGCTCTCGGCCCATAGACTCGGATCCAACCCTTTGAAGGCGAGCATGGAGGAGGAGGCCGAGAGTAGCCTGAACCATCCATATGTAGCAGGAGATTCTGATTGCCGAGGCAGGCCATCACTAAACAGCAACATGAAAGCGCGGGACCAGGAAGGGCAATTGCCAGGGACCCAGCAATCTTCAACCAAATACTTCGTACTGTCATGGTTATTATGAGGTGAGGCCACGATGAAAGAGTCTAAAAGAAGCACAAAAGTACAAAAGTGGAAGTGGGTGGATGATTGCCTGGCAGGCGCCAAGGCTTGAGCGTCCACTAAGATCACTCTGTGATAGCCGGAGGTGTCCCCGATTTGGGGCTAAGCTAATAATGGCTAAGCTCCTTGCACGCGCTACGTGCCTGCTCGGAAAGCCGCACCGTACGTGTTTTCTCGCTCACCAGCAACCTGCTCCAGTGGCATCGCCCTCACTTGTCGAGACCCTTGCGGGCTAGAACCCACAGAAAAGGGACGATCCGGCCATCCTCATCGTCGGACAGAATGTGGCTGTCTATGATGGTGAAGCCAATGCGCTGCAGCGATTGCAGATTCGTTGCTGCATCGAAGCTGCTCCAATACATCTGAGCAGACCCTAGCCACTCTGTTGTCGTGCCGGGATCGTCCTTGACTCCGAGATTGCACACAAGATAACCACCGGGCGATAGCCAAGTCCAAATCTGGGCCATTATTGTTTGTTGTTCTCCGCGTGGGAGATGGATGATGGAGTAGAATGCCACGACCGCCTGCAACGACAAGGCTTCCAGCGCGAGGCTGGTCATATCATCCTTGATGAAATGTATGTGAGCTCCCGGCACGTTGGTTTGGGCTAATTCAATCTGACTTTCGGAGATGTCGTTTGCAATAACGTGGCCGCAACGTTCTGCCAGGAGTTTCGTGCCCGGAATGCCAGCGCCACAACCCAGCTCTAGAACTGTCGCCTGTGGCGCATTCTCCAAATGCGTGAGCAGCTTGCCAAGGTATTCGAGACGCGCCGTTGGTTTTCCCGATGTCCACTCCAGGTAATTCGTGGCGATCTTGTCGTAGCCCATCTGGACAAGAACCTTGGGGTCATTTGTATTCTGATAGATGATCCCATCCATATCTGCTTGTTCCCGTCACTGGCACGACGCGAAGTCTGATTCCTATGAGATATGAGGTAAATAACATTCGCAGTGACTTGAACAGTGCGTGACTCATAACGATTACCTCTGACAGAGAGCAGCGGTGCTGAGTCACGTTGCTGGGCGTCATCTCGCTTGACACTTTGACTCGTGCCTGAGTTGCACTTGACTTGCTTTTGACTTGAACTTGACATTTGGCCCATGTCTTCCACTCTCTGCTTCGGACCCCATCATCGTGCAAACAGCCTTGCATCCTGCTGTATCGAATTCTCAGTGCGAATTCCTATGCATCATGTCGTACGTCTTATCTCCGTGGTCGATCGGGAATCACGGCATACCGCCGTGCTAGTTCTCTCGCAATGTGGGACGGGACCAGGCCTTCCTCCATTCCTCCACACGCGAAGCTGCAACGCTGGCTCGAGTCCCACGAAACTGCATCTGGGCGAAGGCGAGGCAAGCAAACAATGCCTGATCCTTCTGCTTGCAAATTCGTCCATAATGTGGTCCCCTTGATCTCTAGCGGACCACAGAGCTTCTATTCCTGCGTCCTCCGCGTGGTGCCGATATCGCCGAAAAGCTAATCAGTGGGCATTATTCCCGGCCCGAAAGTGAGAAGTCGCCGACCTCCACTGCCTCCCACTACTTGATTAAGCCGCAATTTTCAAGCCTTGGACTCGCTCGTCTACCGGCCACGAAAGACAAGCGTGTGTATCAGGGATGGTGCAGCAGAGTCTGCCTGACCAAGAACAGGCCCTGTCTGCTGCTGCCGCCGATAAAGAGGTTGAGGCTCTTGATGTTGTCGATGACGATGTTAAATCAGAAGCTGTAGCTACCAGAGATACCCGCCAGAAAATCGTCGACTTCGTAACATGGACACCGCCGTGGTGTCGATGGGATCCAGAGAAGCCACCAACCTTCTCAGTATGGCACAACATCCTCTTCGCATTCGCTGGCGCTTTCACTGTCGGCAATCTATATTACAACCATCCAATTCTGAACATTCTGGCTCGAGACTTTAATGTGCCGTATGTGACGGTGTCGCGGGTTCCGACGTTAATGCAGGCTGGCTATGCTACTGGCCTGCTGTTCGTGTGTCCACTGGGCGACCTGTTGAAGAGAAGGCCTCTAACTTTGGGGTTGATCGCCTTTACGGCAACCATGTGGTAAGTGATCTCTCTGTCTGGTACAAGGCGCAATGCAGACCCTGTTCCATCGCAACAGATTATTGCTCTCAAGCTGACCACCTTCGAAAAGGATTGGTCTTTGTATAACCCCATCATTCGCAGCTTTCTGCGCAATTTCGTACATTTGTGCTATCACGACCGTCATCCCCCAGGTCATGCTTCCTCTCGTCTCGGAGCTGGCGCCACCACATCAGCGTGCCCTGGCGTTGAGCATCACCACTTCCGGAAACCTTCTTGGAATCGTCATCGCACGCCTTCTGTCCGGCGTTGTCACGCAGTTCACTTCGTGGCGGAACGTCTACTGGGTCGCACTGGGCTTGCAATACTTCATCTTGGTTGCACTCTGGCTATTCATGCCCGACTACCCGTCATCGAACCCGCAGGGGTTGAATTACTTCAAGATGATCGGCGGCATAATACTTCTGTACAAGAGACACGCGGTGCTTGTCCAAGCTGGATTAATCAGCTATTGCATTTCGGCCGCCTTCACGTCTTACTGGACCACACTAACGTTCCTCTTGGCCGACCCTCCTTACAACTATTCTCCCGTGGTTATCGGTCTGTTTGCATTGATTGGCATCGCCGGCATTGTGATGGGGCCTGTCTACGCCAAGTATATCATTCAACCTTTTGCACCTCTATTCTCCTGCATGATGGGCTGTGGTGCAAACCTCATCGGAATTATCATTGGAACATACAGCGGCAAGCACTCGGTGGTAGGCCCAATCATACAAGCGTTCACCTTGGACATGGGTCTGCAGATTACGCAGGTGGCCAATAGGGCTGCAATACACGCGATTGAGCCTAACGGGCGGAACAGGGTGAATACAGCATTCATGTTGTGTACGTTCACTGGGCAGTTGACCGGCACCTCAGCAGGAGCCAAGCTCTATGAGCACGGTGGCTGGATTGCTAGTGGAAGCCTCAGCGTTGCGTTGGTGGGCTTGACCTTCGTGATCTGTATCTTAAGGGGTCCGTATGAGGAGGGCTGGATAGGCTGGGGCGGTGGATGGGATGTTAGGAAGAAGAATCTAGCCGAAGCAACAAGCGGACCGCAGCCTGTGGCGGTCGCCGAAGCTCCACCAACTGACGAAGAAAAGAAATGACTGTGAATGCCTAGACATATTTCATTTTGGAAGAGATGGTCCTCATCTGAGCTGCACGTGTTTGCCATGGTCCATGGATGACATGAACGAGGGATATGACAATGTGGTTGGACGCCTGCTCCAGACGGCGGCCGAAACCCACCTTCCTAAATTCAGATCTCTCAAACAATTCACCACTGTGTCCCTGGCGAGTCTGGAATCAACGAAATGGGAAGCTCATGGCTATACCTGGAGGCGGATCGATGATCTGATCGCGAGAAGACCGATAACGCGGCGCTGACCGATACATCGGCTCCGTTGGCTACATGAGGATCGGGTACTAAGAAGGAATGACACAGGATATCATCAGAGTCTGGACATGCGACTTCGCCTCGAAGAGGCCAAAAGCTTGAGGCGACCAAGTCACGAACAGTTGGCATTGGTGCATGGTGCAGTAAGAGAAGTCTCCGTTCGAGGTGTTATAGGCTGGCTTTGTCTTTCTCACACCTTGAATTCCAGAACGGAATCGAAACGAACAGCAGTCGAAGGTATACTAGGCTCGCGGTCATCCTTGAGATCCCGCCATTCAAGCTCCGTGATACTGCAGCGGTGGAGCGATTGGCAAACTGAGTGGTCAGAGGCATGTTCTGTCTTGCCATCGTCCTAGCCGGATACCATTGCTGCACCTGTCATCTATTTGGCTACGTCCCCACCATCACATTGCCTCGCTTAGGTGGCCGTCCCATTTGTCTTGTTCTCGCCGCCTTTCGAACCATCATGACCCCAATCCATTCCCTACCACGCACACCAAAGCGTTAGTTTCATGGTCAGAAGTGCAGGGCTGCCTTCACGGGTGCGCGGAAAACTTACCAGCCCCAGAATCACCTGCCCGGCGTTCAACTCCCTTGAATTCTTTTCACCCAACCAGTGCGGCTCCGTGCGATTCATGCCCTCTTCGATATCCACGGCATTACCACCCGTTACGAACAGAGCTTTGCCGTGAGTGGTCGGACTGGCCGTGACTTGAATGATATACTTCGCCACATCGGTAGGCTGGTTCATTGGCATGTTGTTCTTGACCCACTCGGCGCGGACGCCCGAAAGGAGTTGCGTGTCCGTTGCCCAGGGACCTATGGATGCACTCGTGTCAGGATCCTGATGTGTTTGAGTCATCGGGCCTCATCTGCTGCGGTACGGTGATTGGAGAAGAGAACTGAAATGTCAACAGCCAGATGCACTTACAGATAGCATTGACCCGCAACCCGTAAAGCGGCGCAGCGAAAGGACGCAACGCCCTCATGAGTCCCAGTACGCCGTGCTTGGCGGCCGAGTAGGCGAACAAGCCCGGCGACTCTTTGAATCCAGCAACTGAGGACACCAGCGTGATGCATTTCGAAGAGTTGATTGATTCGGCGGTTGTGGAAGATTTGTCAAAGGTGTGTTTCTCCTTGAGGTACGCCACGGCCAGGCGCGTGAAATACAGCGTGCCGTTCAGGTTGATGTCGATGACGTCCGCCATGCCGGTCGGTGTCTGGAGGGGGCAGACAATGTTAGCGAGCGCTCACAAACGGATCGAGGACAACCACCGCGGTCTATCACCGTCCCCCAAGCCACCCTCTTAGATGCTAGTGCGCGGGATACGAACGATGCGGAACGATATGGATGACACTCTGCAATGCAATCCGGCACAACACATACCTCCCTCACGCTCTCCAAGTTGAGGAGATCCGGCTCCCAGTACCCAGTCCGCTCCGTCACCGCAGCACAACAAATCGCCATATCGACGACTCCGTGCTTGTGCCACGCGGCATCGAACAACGAGAGCAAAGACTGATACTCCCGCACATTGACCTTTAGATACGTCACGCTGCCGTCCGAGTTTGACGCCCGCAAGTCGTCGGCCAGTTTCGAACCCTTCTTCTCGTCCCAGTCGCCGAAGAAGACGTGCGCGCCGGAGTTGTACAGTTGAGACACTGTCGCTGCGCCGATGCCTTGGGCGCCGCCTGATGATTGCGAAGAGAGACATGTCAACTGGTTTGTACTTGTGCTCATGTGGGAGGGCTGGAGGGCGTCGACATACCCGCTATGACCACGACTTTGCCCTTGACCGAGTCGAGCGTGGATTGGTCGATTTGGATTTCTGCCATTTCGCAGGTCTTCCTGCTCGTCCGGAGGACGTGTACTTAGATGTGCGATTCTTCGGCGGTCAAAGGGACTTCAGCCTTGGCCTTGATGTGAGGACACCGACACGGCAGGGCGCGGGAAGACACTCGTGCGTAATCGGTTTTACGATTCCGATTTTCGTGCACTGTATGCCGTAAGGTATCTGTGTCCTGTATACCTGTCACGGATATGCGTATTCGTATGTGTACCGGTATCAATACCGGATCCAAGCGAGTAAGCCGGATCAAATCAAATCAAGTCAAGTGAGTATCGAGTATAGTATCCGTGGTATGGTACGACCTCGGGTTCGGAACGCAGTGTTGTAGGTAAGTACAGTAGGCACCTTAGATATATCGACTTTTTTGGTCTTGGGCCCATCCATGCTCCCACGCGACCGTTCCGCACGCCGAGAACCCGTGTCAAGCGAAAAGGGACTTCATCCGGCTTGGTGAGGGGACCAACCTTAGGTTGTGTTGTGCGTCGGCAATTGATGCACTAATGCTTACGGAGTACGGAGTACAGGTCGACAGGGAGCGAGGAATGGGGTAGGGGAGGGGTGGGCAAGGCTGAGGGTTGGGTGCCCCACATGGAGATTGGCCCAGGGATCGTGGGGCAATCCCGTGGAGGAGGTGCTCCGGGTAGGAACTGTGTGTATGGAATTGAGTGGGTGGTGGATGGATCCGATCCGACTCGACTCGACTGAATTGGCACATGAAAGAAAAGATCTTAACAAACGCATGGGTTGTTGAGCGTCTGAATGACTGATTGAATCGTATACGTGGTCAGGTAGAGTACTGAGAGTCCTCGTTGAGAAAAGCGCGGCCAGTGAGCAGTCAGTCAGCCAGTCAGTCGGCGATACACGGGCACGACGAGGGTCGATTCATCGGATCTGAGATCGATCACCAACACACATATCACAGTGGACATTAGGACGAGGATCACAAACGCCTACTCAGACGAGACGAGACGACTATCCAATCATCAAGACACATTTTGATATTCAAAGTCCAATATCTCAGTACCTGGCTACAGTATCACACCCACACCCACACACTCACGATGCCCAGCGACAGAAAAAGCATCATCGTCACCGGTGAGTACTAGTCAGTACCCCTTTCGTCCAGAGAACTTGAACTAACGCCCGTGGCAATCATTAGGCGGTGCCTCCGGTATAGGCCTAGGCATCACCCGCCTGTTCGCCGAACAAGGCGCCCACGTCTCCGTGCTGGACGTGAACCCGCAAGGCAACGACATCGTCAAGGCCCTCGCGGCGGAATACCCGGACGCGGGCTTCTCGTTTCATAAGGCCGACATCTCCAACTGGGACGAGTTGGCATCTGTCTTTCAACAGGTCCACGCGCAGCAGGGCCGCATTGACGTAGTCATGGCCAATGCCGGCATTTCCAAGGAACCGAGACTCATCGTGGACGAGGACACGCCGTCCAAGCCGGCACTGCATACCTTGGACGTTAACCTTACGGGGACGATATATAGTGAGTTGGAGTTGTGACAGCACAGCCTTTGTGTTGCGTTGCGAATACTTTTGTGTTACGTTGGCGTTTCGATGCGTTTCCTCGCTCGAGAAACTTACCGCTAACCTACACGCTTCCCACAGCCGTTAAGCTGGCCATCCATTACATCCGGAAGAACGCCGCCGTGAACGGTGCGACCCCAGCGTCGAGGGGCTCCATCGTCTGCACGGCGTCCAACGCCGGGCTCTACCCCTTTGCCGTGGCGCCCTTGTACGCCGCCTCCAAATTCGGGGTTGTCGGGCTGGTGCGGTCGCTGGCGCGGCAACTCGAGAGGGAGGCTATTCAGATTAATGCTTTGGCGCCTGCTGTGCTTGGTACGTATTACACATTACCCCTTACACCTTACACACTCGCGCGTTCACCCACCTGGACAATGTATTCACGGGGCATTCGTTGTGCTGACGCGTTCCCAGAAACAAATATCGCCCCCAGCAAGGATCTGTTCAAGCCCATGATCGTCACGCCCATGTCGACTCTGACGCGCGGGGTGCAGCAGCTGGTGTCGAATCCGGCGTTGACGGGCCAGATTGCGGAAATCCACGGGCAGAGTGTCACGTTGAGGGAGCCGCCAAGTTATGCCGACGAGGACACGGGGAAGAATATCGAGACGTTTTGGTCGTTGGGGTATGCTTGAGCTGTACGCAGTGGGTTTGAAAGGTGTTCGTTTCGACAGGGTGGCAAGCTTGGTACTCCGTATGGTACAATGGTCTATTCAACCCTGTGCAGTGGACTGAATTCCAGCTCAATCACGCTGGTGCTTTAAAGCGTTTTAGTCTTGCGTTCTTTGCGTTGTCGATGAAGAAGGCAGGAAGGTGGAAGCAATCCTCCGCGTGTCTCCGCCGCCGAGCTATCGCCGAGAATTAGACGCCGGATCCGGGATTCTTTCCACGACGCCGCCCGACCCTTCCCGCACACCTTGTCGGGCCAGTGAAACGAAGCAAAGGGCTCGCAAGGAATTCGGTTCCGACCAGATCCACAAATCGCAAGCTTGCCTACTCGTACCAAACCCCCCGCTTGCACCTAGGGGAGACCATCGCTCGGCCAGTGATGCCATCCGTCCATTACCCCGGACTCGTGGAGATCCAGATGCACTCCGAGCCCGAGGTCGAATCGCGGTCGACACTCAAGCCCCGACGACATAAAACCACAATGTCTCCTGCTCCGTCCCTGCACTGGCATGGAACAGCATCCTAGCATCCTAGACGGCCTTTCCAGCTCCATCATGTCGTAGCCATTGGATCCCCGCTGTCGTCCTACACGCTCCACCAACCATGTCGTCCGCAAAATCGCGGCTCGCCAGCTTGGCCGCCCATCTCTTTCCCTCCAGCTCCAGGTCCAGCTCGACCACGTCAAGCGGCAGCGGCGCGCCCATCGACAATCTCAGCATCGACAACCACACGGTCGGCACACTATCGTGGTACAACGTGCATACTCTGTCGCCGGCATTCTTCCTCCCCCGTGCGGCTGCGATCGAACCGGACGCCCCCGCGATCTATCACCGCACAGCGAACAACAAGATCCTGCGACGGACGTACCAAGAGTTTGCGGACCGCGCGCGGGGGTTCGCCTATTTCGTGAAGAAAAAGGGATACAAGCGGGTGGGCATTCTGTGCACAAACACGCCGGCGTTTCTGGAGGCCGTGTTCGGGATTGGCGGCACAGGCGCCATCAACATTGCGATCAATTACCGGTTGAAAAAGGATGACATCTCGTATATCTTTGACCATGCGGATGCCGACGCCGTCGTGGTGGACGCCGAGTATGTAGATTTGCTAGACGATTACAGGAAAACGCACCCCAACGTGCCCATCATCATCGACACGGACACGGATGCAGTGGAGGGACGACTATGCGGCCCCTTTGACGAGGCTGTCCTCGAGGGCTTGCAGTACGATCAGTCGCTGGGGTCAAAGGGCTGGGATGGCCTCGAAGCACAGGCCGCCGACGAACTCGCCGTAAATGCGCTGGCCTACACGTCTGGCACGACCGCCCGGCCCAAGGGCGTCGAGTATACGCATAGGGGCTGCTATCTAGGGGCGCTGGGCAACGTCATCGAATCGGGCCTTGCGTACCACGACGGCGAGCGGTGCAAGTATCTGTGGACGCTGCCCATGTTCCACGCCATGGGCTGGACGTTTCCTTGGGCCGTGACCGCCGCGCGGGGCACGCATTACTGCCTGCGCAAGATCGACTATCCCGAGATCTGGCGGCTGTTGAAGGACGAAGGAATCACCCACTACTGTGCGGCTCCGACGGTCAACACGCTGCTGTGCGCCGACTCGAACGCAGAGCAACTCCCGGCCCCTGTGCGAGTCACGGTCGCGGCCAGTCCACCGACAGCACATCTGTTCGAGCAGATGACCAACTTGAATCTGCACCCCGTGCACGTCTATGGACTGACCGAGACGTACGGGCCCATCACGAAGGGGTATATTCTGCCGGAATGGCATCAATACCCCAACGTCAAGGACAAGTACGCCAAAATGGCCCGTCAAGGTCACGGATTTGTGACGTCGTTGCCTGTGAGAGTGATCAAAACAGATGTCCCTGATGGCACTATCATTGATGTGGAAAAGAATGGCAAGGAAATCGGCGAAATCGTCTTCAATGGCAATATCTGCGCGCGGGGATATTACAAGGATGAAGCCGCCACCAGGAAATTGTTCCTCGGCGGTGTCCTGCATTCTGGCGACCTGGCTGTTTGGCACGAGGATGGAGCGGTTCAGATTCTCGATCGTGCGAAGGATATTATCATCTCTGGTAAGTCTGTTGCGCCTTCTGCCTCTGGCTCTGCCTTTACAGATTTCTGATCTCGCCCACTTTTTAACAGGTGGTGAAAATATCTCTTCTGTCGCCCTAGAATCCATCATCGTTACTCACCCGGAAATTCTCGAGTGCGGTGTCGCTGCGGTAAGTGACAGCCACTGGGGCGAGCGGCCCAAGGCATTTATCACTGTCAAACCCAATGCCAAGGTTACCGGCGACGAAGTCATCCAGTGGATGCGTGACCACCCCGGAATCAGTCGGTTTATGGTTTGTCGAGAGGTCGAGATTGTACCGGAATTGCCCAAGACCAGCACCGGCAAGATAAGAAAGAATGTGCTCCGAGAATGGGCCAAAGGTGCAGAAAGAGGAGGGGAGTAGGTGGATCGACAGGAATCGAGCGGTCAAGGGCATACAAACCAAACCTTCCTGCATGGTCGAACAGTTCATACTCTGCGTTTTAGCAGACTTCTTGTCGATATCATGCCCAGTCGATTTGATAAGTTTTGGTCTCTGGCAGCCCCATCATCACCGACATCGGTGTGCATCTCTTCTCACTTGACTTGGAAATCTAGGCCGCTTGAAGTGCCAGCGCGTCCAGCACCTTTGGTGAGCAGGAGAACCGGAGTCCATGCTAAATCACCCTTCTTGCGGAGATACTGGTTGGCATTCCCTTCGAACTGAGAGGATATCAAAACATCAGATACGGCACAAAGCATAGACAAGACTACCAGAAGTGGTGTCTGTGAGTTCGGCGTCAACGGATGGAGTCGAGAAGTGGAACTGTGAACTGCAAGCAGGCTGTAACCATCATGCGGCTCGATATACCCAAGGTGCCCAGTTGGATGCGGCGCCACGCAGCTTGTCGGCGTCCCGGAGCTTCTAGGCGCCGCCTCTCTTGCATCAACACGTCATGCTAGAGCCACTAGCGGTTAAACACCGCGCCGCGTTGACTTAAACTTATGCCATCTCCCGAATGTATAGTTCAATTTTGAAGAAAGAGGTGAAAAGGGCACCAGCTTGTTGTCTCAGAATTGCGTTATGATCAAGGCGGGAGTCGTGACCAATGGCGCCATCTGTGGCCGAATGCGAAAAGCAGGAGAAGAACCTCTAAAGGCGGAAGATAGTACTCGTAGACTGTGAAAGCAGTTATCATTTTAGACGAGGCATGCTGTGGAATTGAGTTCCGAGTGATGTTCGTTCGGGAATGTGCAAACTGCTACATCTGCGTGCCGGATCTGAGGTCGATCCGAAGCCACAGTCGATGCCGAGACCATTTGGTGGGATAATCCCAGAGATTCTGTCAGGCGGGAGAATCGAAAATAACCTGAAGCCTCTAGCTCTGGGCCCGAGTGCAGGAACAGAGCAGAGTCAGATTTCACACAATAAGATTCCAGGCGGGATGCCGAGGAATGAGTAGTTCACTACTCTGGCTCCTGTAGCGAGCGTAGGTCCTTAGCCACATCCTGACGCAATGGTGCTATGGACACGGCTGCATCGTAAACCTGGAAGGTGCTGGAGGACCAAGCACCGACCACCGCGATGGCCACTCAAGGGCGCCGGGGGTGGTGCCTAACCGCGGCCACCTGCTGTAATGCGGCAAGCCTGACGCCAAAGCAGTCGAGTTAATTACGGTCCTCGTGGCTGGGCCTTGCTGATGAGGTCCCCACCAGCTTGTTCGATACAAAATGAAGCAAACCTGCGACCTGCACCTATGCTATTGCATGATAGTCATGTTGGGCAACTATTGATCGGTCGCAACTGAAGGCACTTTGACGTGAAGATTTAGGCGGCTACGAGCAGAATTGCTTGGAAGGCACTAACCAAGTGGCCACTGGCAGGCCGAACGAGTGACTTTGCATCCCCCTGGATCTCACTCACCACTCACTCGACTGACTGGCCCGTGACCATCTCCCACTTCCACTACCATTCTCAGCCTCTTCACCAGCCCAACCCGCACCCCCTCCCCCTTCTCCATCCGCGTCTTTCAACCTCTTAGACGGTCAGTGAAAGCGGTACCCGTACATATTATTCACAATTCCATGTTGGAGGCAGTGTGCGTTCTCGTACCCGTACCGGGACCATTTTGATCTTTCACCGCCGCAAGCGGGTTGCGCCGCACCCTCAATTTCACCCCGAAAACAACAGCCTCTTCATCCGACCCTCGTCCCTCCCACACATCAACCCTCCTGATGCACGACGCTTGGGTTCGACGGCAGGTCTGAGGCAGGCGCCCATGCCGGTACTACAATTACAGCAAGCAGAATAAACATTCTCATCGACATCCTTGACACTCCGTCACACATCACCTACATTTCTACCTCTCCGGCCGCGCAGCCTGATCCTGTCATCATGGCTGGCGAACCGCGGCGCCGCCTCTCTCCTATTCATACACGAAACCTCAGCACGGTCACGGTCGAGTCAGACAGCTCAGACAGTTCTCCGTGCCCCGGCGACGATGAGGACACGGATTACTTCATGGCGCATGCCAACGATTCACAATCTTCCCTGGGTGCCATTACAGCCATTAGGGATTGTGACGATGACATCGACCTGGAGCAAGTCCACCGCCTCTCTCCCATATCCAAGTTACCGCCCGAAATTCTCATTGCTATCCTTGCGAAACTCACTACTACGTCTGACCTCCGGAACTCGATGCTGGTGTGTTATCATTGGGCTCTCTATACCGTTGGCATTCTGTGGCACCGACCGCTCTGCAACAAGTGGCCCAATCTGCTCAATGTTGTGACGGCGCTAGGAAAGGGCGACAAGAGCTATTTTCCATACCACGAGATGGTCAAGAGATTGAATCTATCTGCAATCGCCGACAAGATCAATGACGGAACAGTACAGCCCTTCATGAACTGCAAGGGTATTGAACGCCTGACGCTGACAAACTGTTCGAACCTGACGGATTTTGGGGTGGCCGGATTGGTGGACGGCTGCAAGAAACTCCAGGCACTGGATGTCACGGATTTGGACGCCTTGACTGATCAAACATTGCATGTTGTTGCTCAAAACTGCGCCAAACTGCAGGGGCTCAACATCACAAACTGCTCCAATATCACAGATGAGTCTCTTCTCGATATTGCCGAGCATTGCAGACAGCTCAAAAGACTGAAGCTGAATGGCGTGGTGAGAGCAACGGACCTCTCCATCACAGCTGTTGCTAGGAATTGCCGCTCAATCCTGGAGATTGACCTGGCGGGCTGCCATTCCATCTCCTCGGAATCGGTCACGGCGCTGCTGGCCAACTTATCACATCTCCGAGAACTCCGCCTGGCCCATTGTATTGACATCAATGATTCAGCATTCACCAACCTACCCCCTCGACTATCTTTTGAGGCTTTAAGAATTCTTGATCTCACTGCCTGTGAACAAGTCCGAGACGATGCTATCGGAAGGATCATCCCCGCTGCGCCTCGGTTGAGAAACTTGGTATTGGCAAAATGCAGACATATTACTGACCGGGCAGTTGCATCCATTTGCAAGCTTGGGAAGAACTTGCACTACATTCACCTTGGCCACTGCATTAATTTGACGGACAATGCGGTCATCCAGCTGGTGAAGGCTTGCAATCGAATTAGATATATCGACTTGGCATGTTGCTCTCGCCTCACAGATGCCAGCGTTCGTCACCTAGCACAGCTTCCAAAGCTTCGCAGAATTGGTTTGGTCAAGTGTCAGAACTTGACCGACGTTAGTATCATGGCGCTGGCTCATGGGCCGCTCCTGTTCAGTCCGACCGGCAAGCCTGGGGGTTCTTCACAGTTTGTGTCCCTTGAAAGAGTTCACCTCAGTTATTGTGTGAATCTGACACTCAAGGTACGAGCTGGAGATCTTCGTTGTTCGCTTTCCTACTAATCATTGAATAGGGAATCACAGCACTGCTTCACAACTGTCCACGGCTGACCCACCTGTCATTGACTGGAGTCCAAGCATTCCTCCGTGAGGATCTCACCCGCTTCTGTCGAGACGCGCCGGCCGAGTTCACACACCCTCAGCGAGACGTCTTCTGTGTCTTTTCTGGAGATGGCGTTCAACGGCTTCGTGACTACCTTTTGCGTCTTGCTGTGGACGAGGCGCAGCGTGAAGGTCGCGAAGCTCTCGACGACAGTTTGCTTGATGGAGTTGACAGTCCAGGCGCGGATACCGTCTCTGATGATGGCACAATCGACGGCAACGACCAACTGATGGACCCTGTAATAAATTCCAACCGTCATGGTCTGTCGTTCGCCAGTACGCCTCGAGCAAGACCAAGACCACGAAGTCTGCACGAGCTCTCGAGCTTCCACGTCGAAATGCCGCTGCTGCCATTTGATCAGGTACAAAACATGGGTCCTTGGACACCTGGAGCACCACTTACGCCGGAAAGTCGAGCATCTCTTGCTCCCCATCTCAACCTCATCAATTCCAGCATGTATCCAGCAGAAACGTATGAGCGCCGGTCTCGGAGTCCTGGCTATACGAGCGCGTTTGATGTCGCAGCAGAATATGGCGAGCGGGCAAGAAGTACCTCGCGGACACCATCTAGAAGACACACCTTGGAATCATCGTCAGGTCTATACGCACCACCTCTGGTACCTATACATGGCTACCGAGAGAGCAACTCGAGGCCGGTGGAGCTCGGCCATTATTCCCACGATCCGCGAGCAGGCTACTTTGGGCTGGATGACCCCCGCAGATTCCTCGGGTGGTCGAATCCTCACGTGTTTGCGTCAGAGCCTCCCAGGAGACACTATCCTGGCTCATCCTTGAGAAACCCTGGTGATGTGCGGCAGTCCTTTTTACGACCAGAGCCAGATTACAGCGCCTTCGACGCCAACCACGAAGCAATAATGTCGACCATTCCAGGCAGCAGATCTGGAAGCCGCCATCCCTCGAGGTCCAACAGCCCTCACGTATCCCGGGTCAACAGCCGGTCAGGGTTGAGTAATCTTTTGGCCCCACCGAGAAGCTACGCATCAACGCCTCTTAGTCAGGAAGAAGGTGGAAGGCGTCATAGCCGGGAGAGGCGTAGTCGTGAACGGGCTCGAATGGCGGAAGAAGCACACCGGGAAGCGATGCTACGGGCGCTTGCTGAAGCTGATGCTGCCCATCAGTTGATGCCTGAACTCCGTCGAGGTGACTCGGATAGGCAGATCGAACTCCCTTTGTTGCCGCCAGAACTGATGGAACGAGTCTCAAGGGTATCCAACACCGCAGCCGAGCCCGCACCATCTATCCGTCCCGAAGCAGAGCGGACTGAGCCTCCTGTCGACCGAGATCAGGATGTCACCATGACGCAATGAGGATGGATGCTTCCCCGGATTGGATGACGAGTATTTCTAGCTGACCTATGTCGAATGGACGAAAATGACCCGAACAATGAACTAGAGGATCTGGGAAGGACGGCCGGGGTCGGTCTTGGCGTTGTATCAGCAATTGTTACTGATGCGGATGCCCGAATCCAACGACAGCATTTACGGTGTGAGCATGGGCGATACCATTCAAGCAAGCAAGGTGTTCCGGGCAGTGAGACATCGATATGTATACCCTCCGGGTGGTGTAGCGCCTTGAGGGTTACTGAGTCTGTCGACGCACGTGCTGCCTCCGTGCGGAAGGGAAAGCGTGGTGGAGTTCTGGATTTTATGATTGTATGATTGAGGCCATAGCTGAGTCGGGCCTCCAATATGTTTACCCGACCAGTGGCGTACCTTTCAACATAATTGATACGTTGGCCTAAGGCACTTCTGAGCCCGTGCACCAAACGCAGATATGCTTTTGACTCGGTGTGTCGCGTGATTGCAAGTTTCCAGCCCCAACGAAAGTTGAAGATAACGGCAATCGCCTAGCAATCGCTTGAGGTGTGCTTAAAGGCACAAGCAATACGAGTCGTCTTTTCCCTGCAATTCAGCGCAGCTACGCGATCATTGTGGCGTCAGCCTCGTGGCAGCCATAACACCCAATGGGGGTCCCCCAAATTGGAGACTCGTGATACCATCGGCGATGAATATACGCGTCTTTCTGGATAGTTTGTGGCTGATTGACCGTCGTTAAAGTGTCATGATACTAGCTGCCGAGAAGGCTCGCCATCTTGACAAGCGAACAGGCACGTCTCCAGGACCTCTCTTTCTCCTGAGGAGGACGAGTGACGTCGGTACAGACCATGGTACTGGTGGAACAGAAGCCCGACAATCCCCAACTGCCGAGCTCGTTGACGAGATTCCTGGCGGTGCACATGGAGACACAGGCGACTTCATTGACATAACTCTATCGCTTCAATACTCCGGAATGTCTGTGCATCGTGCCCCGCACAGAGTGGTGTGAGTGCCTCGTACGTACCCCGTATGAACATGGCATTGAGTTCGGCCACTTCTTTTAGCCAGAACTTTGAATGATACGCCACCAATCACCAAAACCACAGAGAGACGCGACCAACGTCGGAATGCTCGCTCCGATGTTAGATGCGTCTCCCATCACTTAAAACCTCGTATTCCTCAACTCTGCCAGGAAATGGTCGACTCGCTATCAAGGGTTTGCGCCACTTATCGGCGCATGCCCGCTGGTTGTGAAGAATACGAACCAGCTCGACTGCCTGTTTTCGTCAGAGGAGAGCTAATTCGCAGCATCTCGTGGCAGAATTTGAGGACGAGAAGTCGCTGCCATAGTCAATGATGTCTTGTCTGACTCTGAGCTTTCTGAGTAAGGCATATCATGCTTCTCCTGGCATCTGTTCTGACATATGCTGATAACCTTGTCCGAAGGCCGTGGCTCTAGCCCACGTTAGCGGGTCTACCTAGACGATTGTGGCTCTGGAGAACCAGTCCGAATGACGACTCGGCTCTCCTCTCCTTTACCCCAGACACAAGCTAACAAAAGCTTCCCTGTTGAGCCCAGAACAAGCGGTTGGGACCTGCATCGTCGCCCTGGATATGACGGATGTGAAACACCAATCACCAAGGGTGTGACTGTTGGCGCAGCACAGTATCACAGCTTCATCAATCCTCTGTTAAGCTAGGCAACGACGAGCAAGCTGAAGAGGATGGACCTTTTCTTGCAGCCAGGCAACCTATGGCACTGCTAACGCTCAGCTTGCAGCACATGCGTCAAGAGCAGCAGGAAGCTTCCATCCCTCGCTTCGTGAAAGCCAAATCCAGACCCAAAACCGACCGGCTACCTTGGAGAGCCCTGTGGCTGACGGGGAATTCTGGAAACAGCCTGGCGACTGCACAGATCTCGATGTACCCCAACCTCAGGCGTGGACTCGAGTCAGTTCGCGCTCGAAAAAGGGTTTCTCGCTCGCCTAAGCCGTTACGCTACTGTCACTCGCAAGCGATCAGGGGTACGGCACAATTACCTTGGTTTCGCAGCATGGTCTAGGTCCACCTAGACACGGCTCATCGAGCGAGGCTTGATTTCCTGACCTTGACCTTCTTGGAATACCTCGTATCGAGCATCATACTATCATATATCGACCAAGTCGACGTGCTTCCGCCCTCGAAATGGATCTTCCCACCCTCTTGATGCTTCATAGCACGCATGCTCTCTTGTATCCGCGGCATTCGAGGACAATATGACGGAAGCCACCCTCTTCAAACGCGAACGCGATGGTATTGATGATGGTGTCCCCAACCCACGCGGTGACACTGTGGTCACCGTCAATGTCGCCCTGGTCGCGGTGGCAACAGCCATGGTTGTGGCAAGGTTCTGGACGCGTATTGTGATCAACAGCATGCTTGGTGTGGATGACTGGTGTGTGCTGACGGCTCTGGTAAGTGACTCGCATTCGACAGCGTCTCTCACCCCTAATCGGACATTGAAACAGCTGATCGCGATTACCATGACTGGTTTGTTCTATGGAGGTATGCGCCACATCTCAGCTTCTACATGTGCTTTTGGAGGCTGATGGGTGACGGTTGCAGAAACAAAGAATGGGTTCGGACTCCACAAAGTCGACGTCAATCAAGAACACTTTCTGCAAGCTTGGAAAGTAGGCCTTCCACTTTTCTCCTCTCTACACTACATACTAATGCGCGAACAGTACTTCCTGGCTTGCCAGGTGCTGTACAAGGCTGCGGCTCTCTTCGCCAAACTCTCCATGCTGTTTCTGTATCTCCGGATCTTTTCGTCCCGCAACTTCCGCATGGCTGCGTATGCTGTCATGTTCATCTGCGTTGGCACCGCTATCGGGACGATACTTCCAACCATCTTCGCATGCCACCCGATTGAAAAGGCGTGGATCCCGACCCTTCCGGGCAAATGTATCTGGACACCCGGAATCTGGTATGCCAGCTCGTCCATCAACATAGCCACCGACGTGATGATCATCGCTCTCCCCATTGCCCAGATCCGATCGCTCAAACTACCGAAAGCGCAGAAAGTCGGGTTGGCGGTCCTTTTCAGCCTCGGCTTCTTGTAAGCATCTCGTCGTTGTTCCGACATATCTTCTTCCTGGCTGACGTATCTCCAGCATCATTGCAACTTGCGCGGTTCGTATCGCGACCCTGGCACCAGCAGCCACGGCAAAGGACAGCACATGTAAGTGTGCACAGAGTGCCTGTCACAGAACCTGCACTGCATCAATTCGCATTTCCCGGCCAAAAAATGACAGACTTGAACGCCGATCGCTGATTCTCTGGGACATACAGACTATCAGGCCCAGAACAACCTGTGGCTCGGGATCGAAGTGAACACCTCGATCATCTGCACGTGCATCCCCCCACTCAAAGCAACCATTATGAGATTTTTCCCACGAATATTCCGTGGATCCTCCTACGGTCGCCCTACAATCAACTACCGGACCCGTTCAGGAACGTACAAGCTCTCAAGCAACGGTCACTCTGTCAAGGGAGGAAACAACTCCGATTTTCCAAACCCTCTTTCTCCCACCCATGGGTATTCCAAGACGACCGTCACCGGCGGCACCAAATCGTACCCCATCAGCGAGTCGAATAGTGATGAAGTCGTCATGCTGGAGGATATGGCCAAGACGGGCAGAGAGAGGCCCAGAAACAAAGACGATATCGTGAAGCAGACCGACGTGGAGGTCTCGTATCTAGAGGTGCCCTAAAGTGACGGACAGAGAAGGGAGAGCTATGTGCCGGCTCTAAAGCTACATTGAGTATAAGTGGGTGGTCGTCCGCGGCATTGTCGATTGTTTCTTTCCACGGCGTATTGGCTGAGCACGTACATGCAGAATATGCTCTCTGATGAACGCGGCGGTGCTATACTGGGCACCCTGGTCTCGACTACAGGACAAACAAGTAGACCGACAGACAGACAGACGCACTGACGTACAGTACATACAGACGAACGGGATGTGAAGGACAGGATAGGGACCACAGTAACGAATACACCCAAAGGACAGTGTACACAATATCAGAACTGTTGATATGCTTGAAGTGAGGAACCAGTCGCGTCCATCGCACAACTGGCAGGCTTTGCCTCAAACTCTGCCTGCAAGAGTACCCAGTAGTCGTACCACAGTAGACTTGCTTATCGGACGCGACGACGGCAAGCTTCATCAAGTACATACATATCCCGCCTCATCCGGCACGCCGCCACAGTTCATCTACCAATAACTGTCATTGCTGTGTTCGTGCTCCACAGTACCTGTTGATTGTCATCCCTGATGGTTCAGCCTCGCGGAGCGGGAAAGCAAAACACGATCATGCTATGTCTGCCGCGGACGCCGTCGACAGCAAGACCTAGGTTCAATGGGCCGAGGTAAGGGAGACTGGGGAAGCCTGACTCTAGTCAACATTTGGAAATGGTTCTGAGTGTCAAGTCGGCATTCTCGTGGCATTTTCGGTCCGGAATGCATGTCCACGCTGTGGACATGGCAGAGAAGAGTCCCCAGTACATTCTGCGCAACAGCTGTCAAAGGGCTCTGGTGCCAGGTCGGCATGTTGTACACAGTAGGACGTTTGTTAGGGATGTGCCCGGACGAATAATAGTACCTGAGCCAGCGAGCTCTTCCCGCTGTGGACACGGCCAACGTACTCTCCTTGAAGCGCTGGGCCAATGACGGCCACTCCGCACTCGCCGAATTTAGCAACTAAGCGCCCAGCAAATCATCAGAGCCACTCAGAGCGTCCAGCGGCTTCCCCGCCCTGTATTTTAGTCGACCAATGAGAGCACCCACGCGCACAAGCATTTCTTGGAGGGTCAGCGCTTATCCGCCTGGCGGAAAATCAACCATTGCTAATTATGGCCCTTTCGAGTCGCACACGGCTTCTGGACTCGAGATGTGCTCCAACCGCTCGCATGAGAAGGTGTTTCATCTTTGCGGCGTGCAGATGACATGCATACGCTGGTGGCAAGGTAGGCTTCTGCGCGAACAGACCATGTCCTTCTCTGATACTTTAACGCATCGCTGGCCTGCCTGTCGCCTGAGCGGCTTCAGAGAGATATGGCCTTCTGCTCGACCTCACCATCTTCCACTTGTCATTGTTGCTCGTGAAGATGTCTTGGCCCTCAGGTAGACGAAGAGCACTTCCGAGAAAGGCCCTAGCAATATGCTTGGCCATGCTCACGCGACGGGCCCATTCGCAGGTGGTCGGGTGTGACCTCCTGAGCTGCGATGGTGGGGCCAACAACGAATGTACGCTCGGAAACACGACGAGTGCCTTCATCGGGACGACAAACCTCACCACCAGCATATCGCCCAACAGGTCGCTCGTGACCTGGACGGTCGGAGCCTTCTCAGCAGACTCAAGCGGATCCTCGAACTTGACGGACGTCACTTTTACGAAGCAGTTCTATCTGGGCACACCACCATCGTTGAACCTCGCCGCCACAGATGACTTTGGCGGCTGCGCGTTGTTCTTCGAGGGCATTGCAAGGAGTCTACCCCTCGATGGAGTGGCCGAATATGGCTCCGTGACATGCAGCCAGACACTCCAGGATACCTGTGTCAATGACTTGCTGGAACAGGCAACAAAGCAGGTACAGACGCTCCGGAGCTCAGCCAGTGGTGGTACGGCAGGAGTGTGCAATGCTTTACAGTCAACGCTGGAGGCAAACCCACCACAGTCGTGTCAAACGGTAGCCACCGTGACATGGGGCTCTGTCGTCGCAAAAGGTAAGCTCCCAATGGCCCCACCTCTCGTATGCTCGACATGCCGCTGACCTACGTGATAGCCATCACAGGCGCTCAATCTGCAGCTGCAAACCATATCTCCCAAACGACATGCCATCCTGCTTCCACCGTCCCCAACGGTCCCAACTACAACATTGCGCTCATCGAGACCCAAACCGTCACGTCCGAAGAGGTGTCCAGCGACATCGCACCCTTCTTTTACAGCATCACGCCCGTCTTGACAGTCTTCTACAGTCCCTCAGGCTCGACGTCCAAGTCTCTGCCAGAGGCACACCTCTCGTGTCTTAAAGTTGTGGAGGATTCCAACCTCGTGGGGTCAGACTTGCAGACCAATGGTGCTGGATTCCTAGACCCAAATAGGTCAAAGACGGTCATGGCAGTAGCAGTGTCCTTCGCTGTCAGTCTAATGGCGTCGGGTTGGGTATGATCATCACAACGTACGAACAGGCGGCAACTGTGCACCAGACCAGTCTCCAGCGTCCTTGGCTCTGTCTCCTGGCTGGGGATTTGATATCCATGACTAGACATCATCGACGCGGCAGCGATGACACCACACTGTTGAAGGCCTGACAGAAGGAGTTCGTTGTCCGACCATCTACTGCTTGATCGACTGATGGCCATCACTCATGTCTCGCCGTCAACCATGCCCGCGTCACGGCCAACCACAAGCAGGATGACAAGAGATGACAATCAGAGCCAGCCAAACAGAAACCAGCCCTCACTACCTCGCAGCTTCTTGCGTCCTCGAATCCATACATCCGCGCTTGCTGCGTCTAAACAACACACGTCATGACGAACGAGCTGGCCTAAGCCAAGGATCAAGAAAGCGGTGTGCTTGCATTGAGTCAGCCTCAACTAAGTCAAACTATCTTTGGCGTTCCGCGCACTAGGCACTACTGGGAACACCATACATTCACGGGCGAACAATCTCTTCCATGTTCTGGACATCGAGTGGGAGAACAGGGCAGGCATGGTCTGGCTTGGTTTTAAGTAAGCCCTTTGTGGCCACGGGTGAGGCTCCATTTCTCACACCATTCGGTATGCGATGGTATCGATGGGTATTGCGGCCATGGTCGACCATAGGGCAGAATAGTACAGGATAGTCTAGTGTCTATACTTTTACAAATACACGGCTTGGTGTCTGGACTTGCAACCCTCTAGCAGGCTTTCATTCATTCATCCATTCACTTACCCAATAGAAACCAAATCGGAGTGAAATGGACTCGACAGTCGCAGGACGGAGCCGAGCGTTTGCTCTATCGTTGATTTGCGTCAAAAGTTAAGTCAGGGGTTGTGGTCTGTGCTTTGTGGCTCAGTGCAATCTGTACTGGACCGAACAATGCTTAGTTCAGTTTATCTCAGTTCATCCCAGCTCGATTCTTCATGGCTCTCGACAGCTAAGAAAATTACTGAGCTCTGACAACGTTCAGAGAGACAGTGGAGACCCAGGAATGATCACTTACTTGCACCACCGTAGCAGCCTCGTGCCCTTTAGTGCTCCGCCGGACTCGGCATCCTCCCCTCTTTCCCCCTGAGTGGAGACAGCTCCATCACTCCGTCACTACTGCGTACAGCACATGTCCTGAGGTTACCCTCTCCCTTTGTTGACCGTTGCTGGTGATGTGCAGCACATGCGTTGAAGATAACCTCCTCCTTCGTTGATGCCGCCGGTGATCACTGCACCATGGCGTCGTTTTCAAAATTCGCTACCACTCTGCCTAGCCGCAGCTTGAGGATACGCCGTCCTGCTCAGTGCACCGACTTCTTCTACGCACGACCTCCCCAACCCAGATCTTTCACCCACAAGCCTTCTCTCCTCGTGGTGGCACGGCCCATCCTACGGCCGCAGCTACCTTTCCTATACCCTGGAAGTGCGCGCTATGCATACCTTGGACGATACATCTCCACCGAACGCAAACAGCGATGGAAGGAACAGTTCTGGCGCTATGTCCGCATTAACGCATACCTGTGGCCCGCGGCTCTTCTGCTCACTGTCTTGTCGATGGGCATGATTCACACCAAGCTCGAACGAGATTACCCGACACCACGCGAATGGTCGTTCTGGAGCCGATGGGGAATGCGGGAAGCCAAGTTTACGGAACTCGCGGATAATGCCAAAATAAATGCCATCCTCACGAACTGGGCTAAAGCTGGCCGATTATACTTGAGCGTCCTGGAGAGATTGGAGAGCGAAAAGTACGACGGAACGAATCTGATCGCTGAGGACGGCGCCCGGGTACCAGCGCATGGATTTCACGAGGAGGCGTTCGACGTCAACGCCAAAAGCGAACAATGGCGACGGGGGTACCACGAAGCATTGATGGGTGCTGCGCGCGTCGCGGAGAATCTGGTGGGCATGTGCAAGCTGAAGGGCGACGAGCGAGGCCAGAAGGTGTATCCCAGGGAGAGCATACCGGGACCCGATAACCCACGGCCCAAGCCACTCCCGTTCGACAAGAGACACGGCCACGTTACACCGCCGAGTTCCGACCAAGTCGAAGATGCATTCCCAAGTCCTGACCTCTTCTACCAAAAGATATTGAACACAGCGGGTTTTGATACTCGCCAACGCCTAGATGCAGCTCTGGCGTATGCAGACTGGAATGATTTCCGCGGAAATAAGGACGTTGCAGAGAACACATTCATTCTCGCCGCCGAGATTGCTCAACGCGGCCTGCCTGCTGGCTCTGGCAGAGTCGTAAATGTTGGCACAGGAATGATACTGAAGGGGCGAGAAGACGCCGTCACCGACAATGTACTACGAGTCTGTACGGCCTTTGGAGTACATCACGCGAGGAATGGAGATGTAAAGAAGGCGTTGCCCGTTTTCCTGAGCGTGCTGCGCGCTAGGAAGAATTTACCTGCTTCTCCTATTGCGCCTATTGCCACAATGCCGAAGCCCGTGGTGGAGGAGCACGAAGGACTGTGGGCGTATGTCTCTGCTCTGAAGGACTGGATCATTGAACGACCTTATCCTCCGCCCCCACCATCTGGAAACGAAAGGCCATTCCACACGTTGAAGGAGGCGTGCGAAGAAGTGGGGCTAATGACTTACATTGGTGAGATCCTCTTCGCGACAAGCGACAGCGAACGAGAGAAAGGTCTTAGCTGGACCAGAGACAGCGTTGAAGCTGCCGAAGCAATCATGTGGGTTATGGACGAGCAAAAGGAACGGGACGGTAGAGATCGATGTCGCGAGTGTCTGGAGACGGGGCTTCACAATTGGAAGGCCATGTCTCAGCAGATGGCTCGCCTGGCCGCGAAGAAGGAGGAGGAAATCCAAACTGGAAAAGGTCTATTTGGCCTCGGACTGGGTACAGCACAGCAGCTCGAGAAGGCGCGAGTTGAGAAGAGGAGGTGGGAGGAGGAAAACATTCAGATTGACCTGAGAAGACAGAAAACCTTGCCCTTGCTACAGGAGCCTCTACAGCCCGTTGTGGGAGGATGGTTGTCGACCCGTGTCTGATGAGAATGAATGGATGATGAACGCCCTGCACAGTGGCATTGTTGCTATTGTTAACCGTCCGGAGCTGGTTGTGAACAACAAGGTCTTCGTTCTATCTGATGAGTCCCGACCGACGCGAAATCCGAAAAGACTGTTGTGAACAGAGAGAAGCCACGGAAGAAGTAACGCACGTTTATTGTACTGGACAACCTCTACATCTATTGTTGTGAACAGGGAGGACGTCCTGATAAGCAGATATATCTGTTGTGCTCAGCAACCACCATGTCTATTGTTGGCTTGCACAGGGAACCCTCTGGCGACAATGGCAGCTATCTTGGCTAGTGGATGGGACGAGCACTACCCTGGCACAAGTGTACCGTGCCCTCACCACCGACTCACCTCTATCTCACTTCGGCGTGACGTAATTCCGTCCCGAACACCACGAAAACATGATGAGGTATGTCTCCCCTTATCACACCGATGCCTCGCTGTCGACCGCTTCTCACAACGATCACCACATCGCCAGCTTCATCGTCATAACTAACTGGCCAATAGTTCTCCCGTTGCATCAAGCAGCCACCGACGGAGAGCCCGTCGAGATTCATCACCTCTCTCCTTTCCCTCTCCGTTCCTCCTCCCATCGCCCCTCTTCTCGCTCCGACCTCTCACCTTCGGCGACCTCGAGGCGGGCGAGGTCACCATGGACGTGCGACGACGAGTCCCTCTCCGCGCGATCCTGAAGCGGCGAGTGCTGCAGACCTTCTTCCTCGTCCTCGCGCTTGCGATCCTCTTGTGGCAATGGCTGATACACAATTCCTCGGTAAGTGCCACCATGCTTTTGAACAACAAGTTTCAACGCAACACGCCGAAGGAGCGGCAGCTGACGTTAACGGGAACTCTACAGTCTGATCGCTCCGTCAGTCTCAACGCCTGCATGCAGCTTGAATTCAGCTACAATCCATCCACAGCCTCGATCCCGGCTTTCCCTCCACCTGAGAACACCACGTACCGTGCCCCTGACACGATCGACACGTTCCAAAACTACGCATGGCGAAATCACACAGCTTGTCAGATCTCCTCTCTGGACCTCCACTCTGCGTTCTCGCCTCTCTGCCAGACCCGCCATGACTTTCTGACGGCTTTCTCCGGTGGTGGACGCATTGGCTTCGACCAGCCTTTCATGCCGCGTGGGTGTGACATGCGATGGTTCACGACCGAGGAAGTGTGCGAGATCTTTTCGCGGTTCGAGAAGATCGTCGTCGTCGGGGATAGCATGATGAGACATGTGGTGGGTGCTCTCAACGTGCTCTTGAGGAAGGATCTAGGGTACGGTGCAGTGACGAACTGGAATTTTGACGAGGAAGAACTGTGAGTTTTGTGTTCTCATCTCTTGTGTGTGTGGTTTTGATCATGCTAACATTTCACGAGACGTGCCTGCTTCTGCAACCACCAAATGGACGTCAAATCCTGCTCCGTACAAGGCATCTTCTCGACATCCTCAGTCCTAGAAAACGACCCCACCAGTCTGGCCTGCGGCCCTGACACGCCCGTCGACCTAGTCATCGAGATGATGCTCCGCTTCCCACTCGACACCGACGAACTCGCACGCTACATGAACCTTCTGGCGCCTACGAAACCTGGGCGACCGTACGCCTTCATTTTCGGCCACGGGCTCTGGAACGACCTCGACATCCAAGCGACGCTGCACTGGCTGGACGGCGTGCTCGAGCACACCCTGCTGCAGACCCCGTATCTGGGTGACGCCCACTCGATCTGGCCGCGCTTGTTCATCCCGCCCAACGCAGCTGGTATACTCAAGCCCGACCAGTGGCTCGTCAGCCAGGGGGACAAAGCACTCATGACGTTTGAGGAGAGCGTTGGCGTCGAGGCCGCTAGACGCGGCGTGGAAACGATGGGCACTTGGAACATGAGCGTCCAGGCGAGCAAGTATGATGGTGTGCACTTGGACTTGAAGGGGAACTTGATCAAAGCTATGGGGGTGGTGAATTGGTTGAATCTGGTGGACGTTGGTGCTTGGTAAATGCTTGGCGAGGGCGTACGTTCCGCTGAAGTGGGCAAGATCATATGTGTCGGTCGTCAGGTCAACTCTAGCGAGATGCAAGCAAAGCAAAGCGAAGCAAAGCAAAGCGAAGCAAAGCAAAGCAAGAATGAGATGCACATGAGATAGCACGTGGGACATCACAGGAATGAAATGCCTGAGATGCAAGTGAAAGCAAAGGACGGGGGGAATGAGATGCACCTGGAGTGGAAATGCAAATAAAAATGTGGAATGAATGAATATGAAGACTCAGACTCCGACTCAAGCGCACATGCCGTACCAGTCAGTACCTGTTAGTACTCAGTGTCAAGGTATGGTACATCTTGTTTTTGGCTCCTGTCGTCTTGCCCTTGTGTCCCCGATTGTCTTGACTTGCATCATCATTGTCATTGTCATTGTCACTTTCTTATTTTGTCTCCTGTTGTCTTGCCCTGGCTGGGTGTCGAGTAGTGATCTGGTGGCATGTCATGTCATGTCATGTCATGTGAATGTGGTCTGTTCTGATTGATTTTGGTCGGCCCCCTATGCGTTTCGTTCACTGGTGCTGGACTGCGTAACACTGAACGGGCTCCATGGGTCTAGCTCTAGTTCTGGCCCTGGCTCTGTAGCCTTGTGGCCCTGTGGCCCTGTGGCCCTGTGGCCCTGTGGCCCTGTGGCCCTGTGGCCCTGTGGCCCTGTGGCAATGTGGCCCTGTGGCAATGTGACTCCCTTCCCAGTGGCGGTGCGTGAGGACCAGGATGAAGGGCGCGATATTAGCCCTCACCTATTACCAGCCCATCAACCATTCCCAGTCATGCTTGGTGCTAGGCGCTATGAGTGGCACGTGGATGTCCGTTTGTCTTGCTTGACATGACCGCCACTTAATCCACTTCAACATCGTGATCGAGATGGCGTCTTTTGGGCCATGTCCCGGGCACTGTAATGGTACCACTACAAGAGCCCAGCCCGGCCGGAACTACAATGGAGCTGATTTTACAGCATACAGCGTGCTGCACACTGCACGCCCCATGAAGAACTCATGGAATTCTGCTGAATTTCTGGCTGACAATCACTGCGTACGTAGTGTCTGTGGTGGCCGTTCACGCCCTTCTTAACGGATTCCAGCCCACAACAGTGACGCGAGCCCACAGGAGGAGCAGGCCCGTGACCATGATGGCCGCTCCACTCCAGAGCTGCACACCCACCCAGCCACCTGTGTTTGAGAGGATGGCGCCAGAAACGGGAGTCCCCATGAGTAGCCCAAACGCGCTGAGGAAGAAGCATTGACCCATGCGCGTCCCGATCTTGCTCATGTCACTGGTCAAAGTGACGATGGCGACGGGTGGCAACGAGACAAAACCGCCAGAGAAGAAGCCGTAGATCAGGGCAAATGTGATGATGCCGCCTAGGTTGTTGATGCCGATCCACGCGAGCGCGAGAATGGCAGCGATGGTGGCGCAGGGGAACAGCACGTTCAGCGGGCCAATCATGTCGGCGATGAAGTTGGGGATGATGCGTCCGAAGATGCTGGCCGCGTTGATGATCGGAAGTAAGTAAAAGCCGAGGTCCTCGCCGGTGATGCCTTCCTGAATCGCGTACGGGCCGATGTAGTAGAGCGGGCCGTAGAGGCCGATGAATCCGAACACCATCGAGGCGCAGAACAGCGTGTACGGAAGCTCCTTGAATGCCGCAAGATCAGTCAGCGGGCGGCGCTGTTTGGGCATGGTTCGGGGCTTCATGACAAAAACCGAGAACCAGACGGTTGCGAACGAGATGAAGCCCAGTGTCCGGGTCGCCCAGGCAAACCCCACTTCCTGCTGCATGCGGCGAAACACGATCGGGTAGATGAGGCCGCCAAAGCTGGAGCCCGAAGCTGCGAGGCCATTGGCCAGCGCTTTTCTCGTCGAGAAGTACCCTGGCAGGATGGCGACGGAGGGGACGAAAATACAGCCGTTGCCTATGCCGATGCAGAATGCTTGCGCGAGCATGGTCTGCCAGTACTCGGTCGCCAGGGACGTCATCATGAATCCGAAGGGGATGAGGATCGCTCCCACGACAATCAGGTAGCGGAAGTAGCCATTGTCGTAGGCGGGGCCTGAGATGAGTCCGACAAGTAGCAAGAGGAAGGCTTGAATGGAGCCGATCCAGGAGATGTTGCTTGGCGATTCGTGCCACAGCGGGTTGGTCTCATAGTAGGTTTGGAAAACACCAAACGCATTGATAGTGCCCCTGTAGATGAGTTAACGTAAGTTCCATTACTACTGTAGAAATGCAGCCCCTTACCAGCAGTTGAAGAACAAGAAGAAAGAGCCCACGACTTGGAGCCATGCACGGAAGCCGCCGTTCGGGGGAGGACCCGGGTCGTCATTGGCGGCGCCCGAGACCGCCGCATCTTCAGGAGCAAAGGACACATTGATGTTCGCTTCTGCGTCGATGGCTTTCTCCAGGTTCGACTGCGTCCGCACCAGATCTGGCCTGGGAGCTGAGAGATGTTTTTCGTCGAGCTCATCTTCGAGAATGGTGGAGGAACTCATGATTGGAGGGGAACGGTAGCCGAGGTCAAGGGAGAACGAGGAGCAGAAGCACACTCAACCACGACGCAGATTCCTCCAGTGACAAGGCGACATGTTCCTTCACCAAGATCAGGACGTGGCAAATATCCGTGTTTGAAGACAAGGAATGGCCGAATGCAGGAACAGTAGGATATGAAGAGAAAAGGAGCGATGGCAAAAAGTCCAAATCTGTGCTTTTGCGGCAATGGGAAAAGTGGAACAACCGCCTACGCACGGATGGTTATTGTACGAGTACTCCGTACGAGGACGTAGCTGGCATTTAAAATGAGAGCGAGGAATAATCCTACTGTTCTGGCGGAGAAAGCGGGGACGGATCGCTGGTGAATCATCGCATATTGTACCTTGTAGGCCCCAGCATCCTGGCGGTTTGTATGTAATCGTACGACACGCGTACGAGGAAGGTGTGGATGGAAGGAAGCTCAGGGGAGCGATCACCCAGTCGTTGGCAGATGGGAACCGTGTTGATTGATAATGACTGGGCCGACGGCAATGCTTTAACTGGGAAGAATGCCCCATCGAGCATGGCGAGATGGGTATCCGGTGCCGAGCAGCCGTGCTCTATCCGCGCTTCTGCTGCTGCGAGCACGTGCGTGAGTCATGGATGCTGTCGGCTGCTGCACCGTGGCTTCTGGGCCTCGTCGCGGTCGGTCGGGAGGCAGGAAATAGGGTCCGAGGCCGAGAAGAGACGCTACAACATAACTTCGTGTCTGCAGCCCCTGGACGTCTCCTTCTTAATGAGCCACATTTGTGTCCGCTCAGTTGGTCTCTGCTGAAGTGACTTGGAATTGAAAGTGAGGTGAGTTAGGCTCGAGACTAAGGTGAAGTCAGATGAAGTTGTGAGGAAGCAGAAATCCTTTTAAAGACTGTGGGATTTTCGACTGTCGTTCAGACAAAGTTATCATTCGTCTCACGTTGTCAGCACGACGAAGCATGGTGGCCAATCCTGAATCCTGCACATTGTCTCTTCTCTCAGTGGGTACAGTCATGGCTCCACGCACGTGGATGTGCATCTGATGTTTATCTCGAATTCGTGAATCAGTTTGAACTCGCGAGCTGGTCCGAGCTTTACTGAGGCTAATCTCTGAAGACTGGAGAGGGTAATTACTAAGGTAGTTTGGCAACCAGTATGCCAGTCATCGTGGACCTCTGAATGATATATACCTAAGTTACTAGGAAAATGGGGACACCTGCGCTATCCTCTCGGGCGCTGACCATCGTCGCTGGAAAATTATCCAGACACTTCTCAGTTGGTTCAGACATCAACTATTTTTGTGGACGGCGATGAAACGCGGACTTCATGGCGAACTCTTGGCATCGCTTAATCATCTCGGCGGTAACCGCTACGCGTTGTTCCCTGTCATGAAACACCTGCTCCCTCGGAAACACCTCCTCAAACGCGATATTTCGCTGCCTCGATTAGACGCCGAGTGTCCATGACGACAGATCGCGTTCAGCCTCGCGCACCTTCTCGTAGATTCATTGGCCATTGTCGCACCTCAATGTTCAGGTGTTGTTAGCCGCGATGACAAGAATAGCTCTGCGATGGCCTCAACCGACCTCGCCCTCGACCGCAGTTCTTCAAACCAGATCCTCAACAACCACGTTCCGTTAGCCATGGACTGGCTGACGTTGCATTTTGCGCCTCGAAGGGCACCTCTGCTTTTGCGCAATGATCGACCCTCAGAGGCCGGTCAAGCCATGATGTCTGTGGCATCTACCGCTGACCACACTGAAGGACATGTGCGTCAGAAACGAGAAAACAAGGCAGTGAGTGTAAATGCGCATACATATGGTGATGTCTCTCGTATCCCTCCACCATGCTCACCCACCTTCCATTTCCTTTGTTGTTCAACATCCTTTTCACCTTTGAGGCGCAATATCACGACATCGACTCTTCTCCATAATCAAGTCTTTTGTCTGCGCTGGACGCTGCCTGTACACAATATCATCCTCTAATCAAACCGACATAATACCTAGTGGTCAATACCACCGCCACCAAGATGCAATTCAACCCACGTCGAACGAGTTCGGGCAACGGCGCTTTCCTCATCTCAAATACTCACCTTCGACCGGCAATGAAAAGTGAGCCAGCACTCCCTTCACGACCACGACGCCCGGCTTTACTTCGCCTACACAAGTTCCGTGCCATCATCCTACCACTTCTTCTCATGTTCACATTCACCACCCTGCTCCTGGGGGCCATCTACGCATACTGTGTAGCGAAGCCTCACACCGACATTGGAGACATCTTGGCCGTGGACAGCAGTGCGGAAGCCGACTCCTCCATCTTCAGCAAACGAGAAACAGCAAACACTGCCACCGAAACCACAGCAGACAAAAAGAGCATTTCTTCTTCCTACGGGCATTCCGAGGTCGCTCTGCTTTTCTACGCGCTCACTGCGCCTGGGCTTTCTATATTCCACACTGTCTTTGAACTCATCATGCATCACCACACCCCCCAATATCTGTCACGACGCAGCATCTACATCACTTTCCTCACAACGTCTTCGCTTCTCACCTGTGGCTGGATCACCACCCTAGCTTTCTGGATGCACTGTGAACTACCCATCTTCAACCAGAATAAGGCTGGACAGGGCGTCTGCCCTATCCAGGTCCGCGGACACTTCATGTACGGGATACATGAAGTCAGCATTGCCAGGATCGTCGTAGGATGGATCATTGTGCTGACGTACATTGGCCATGTTGTCCTTCTGAGCTTTGGTTACAATGTACAGAAAAGGATATGGAGGATCATAGGTGGTGGGGCAGCAACTGGCGATGTGGAGATGACCCACGGCGAGGCCAGAGTCGTCGTAGTCAGCTTCGACGAGGATGACAAGGACGATCGAGCTCTGGCCAAGGAAGCGCGTGCTCTATGATTGAATGAAATTATGTGACTGATGTGGTGGAGCGATTGTGTAATAACGCAAGGCTGAGGTCTTGGTCTACCGTGTATACCGGTACTCACACCCGAGGCAAACGAGAGAGAAAAAGCTGGAAATTAGGCCTTGTAAGCATACGATTGGTGTGATCTAGCCTTGGCCACCATGAATGAGTGGTATTGAAAAGTTTAGAATCCTATATTATTACTGTTTTGCTCCATTGACTGACAAAGCTCATCCGATCTCTGTACCCCGGATCTTCGCGGTGACAAGAGGTGGGTGAGGTGAGTCTGAGGCCAAGGAAACCTCCCAAATCCTCGTTGCCTCCTGGCTGGCTGGATCCTGCCTCACAGGGTCCTTCTGCCTACAAATGGCGTGAAGCGCCAGGCCTGGGTATCAAGCGATGATTCTGCATGACTTCGCGAAGTGTGGCCAGCCATGGTCACTGATTCGAGAGGAGTGTTCGTGTTCATGACCGTTGTTCCAAACCTCTTCTGCGGCTGAGCGCTACAACGTTCGGAGTTGAACAAGGATCGCTAACCCCTGACTGCGCTTTAGCAAATTACTATCACAGCCTGATCGCCTGTTGCATCGAATGCATGCACGACGTCCCCGTGCGTGGAGGGATGATATCTCCCGCAAGCGATGAGGATCTGCTCTGGCGGCTTGAAGGGGGCATCGCGCTGCCAATGTCGTGGTGTTCACCAGCCTTAAGGCTGGGATCTCTCCACGATGGTTGTCTTTCAATCCTTACAGACTAATAGTGACAGCGCGGCCTAGGAAATCGAGGAGAAGACGGCTCAATTGAACTCCTGTTTCCACTATACCTGTCACAACTGTCGCGTGGTGACAGAAGATGGATCAATCCGGACCAGTCTCGCCCGATTCAGAAGGGAACTCGAATGCGCCTACATTAGCAGGACCCACCTCACGCACTCCGTCACACGGGCAAAGCGTGTACCCTTTGACTGGTTACTTGCACAACGACGAAGAAAAAGATGGCCCGTGGGCCGGCAAAATCATCCTGTCACTTGGTAAGAAACCTTAGGACCAACCGCTCAAGGTTCAGTCGGATTGACGTCTCGCAGACGGCGGAGGGATTCGGGGTTATTCGAGCCTTCTCATTGTGGAAGACTTGATGTCGAAAATTGCTGTCCTCGAACAAGATACCTCCTGGATAGATGAAAATATCAAAGCGACGTACCGGCTGTGTGACAAAGATGTCAAGAATGTGCGGTATAGCGCCGACTACCCTTGGAAAGGCCAGAACATCACTCTCCATGACGAGCGCTTCTACCCTGCTCATTACTTTGACTACGTGGCCGGGACAAGCACCGACGGGTGGGGTCATTCCGACTTGTCCAGCGCTCTGAACCACAACTGACGCATCGCCAGGCTCAGCGCAATCATGCTAGGCAGGCTCAATCTGACTGTTCAGGAAGCCAAAGAACAATATACTCGGTTTGGCAACAGCGTCTTTGGCCAAGGTCCCTGGTTCCACATGAGGTCCGCACTTTGGTGGCCCCGACCAAAGTATGCGACGACCAAGGTCCGACAAACGATCCTTGAGGTTGTCCGCCTTGGTCTTAGAGACCCCCAAGTCGTGGATTACGAAGTGCAACACGAGACGCTCGCCAAGGATCCGCGGTTTGAAAAAGCCTGTCAATGGTATGAGTAACCCCAGCTTGCTCCAATTTGTAGCCTTGTTGACGGAGTCGCAGCATGGCCATATCCAGAAGAGTCGGTGGGGGCACAGAAGGACCATTTGTACATAGAAGCTTCACAAACGAGTTCTCGCCGTACAACCAAGGATCCGCCTCAAAGATGCCGATTTGGCGAGCGGCAATGGCGACGACGGCCGCGCCAGTCTTCTTCGAGCGCCAATACGATGGCACCGATGCCTATGTTGACGGCGGGCTAGGTTTCAACAGTCCCGCAAAGATCGCCTACAAAGACGTCAGTGACAGGCATGATCTCCCACCAAAGATCGTCATCAGCGTTGGCACAGGTGAGAAAGCGAGCCGCGCAGTACCGCCGAGAAGGAGCCAACTTGGCGACATCATGACATCGCCCGACGACCGCCGCCAGCGGATAAAGAAATTGGTTGAGCTCCTGTTCAAGCATTTCAAAAACTGATTGACAGACGTCGGCGAAGTTGTCGATGACATGCGCTTTATGGCGGACAGGTTCGATTTCAAGTTCACACGACTCTCCGTCCCGAATACCATCCTTTTGGAGGGCCATTGTCTGGGAGATATTCCACTGGATGACTGGCGGCCCAAGCTTGGAGGACGGACCACATTGGAAAGGCTGGAGAATCTGACCAATGCATATTTGGCCCGGGCTGAGACTCGAAGAATGCTGGAAGAATGCGCGCGGGAGCTCGTCTTGCTCAGACGACAACGCGCCCGGACGGAGCGCTGGGAGACTTACGCCATGGACATCACCTACCGGTGCTGTGCCGACGAGAACTGCCATGCTGGGCCTTATCTGAAGAACAGACCCAGCATGAGGCGGCATGTTAATGAGGCACATGGGGAACTCACCCGGGAGAAAAGCCCGCAGGAGGTGGAAAACCTCCTCAACACCTGCCGAGTTGCGAAAGGCGGGGCCGAAGGCCCACGTAGTCGTAGTGGGAGTCGGCGGCTGACTCGACAAGGCACCAACGGTGTTGAGTCTGAGTACGTACCGATATGGCACAGCTGGAGTCACTTGGAAAAGGGCGATGCAGAGTGAATGGGATAGAATTGATTCCGGCAGGCCACGGCATGGCGAAAATCGGTGTGTGGTTAACGTACTGCTCACCAAGTATATCTGAAAAGCAGTCTCTGCATGAATGGAAAAGTAATTCGCATATCAAGAGTACTCTTGAACAAAGTGTTTCAATCCCTGCCATGAACGTCTTGCATGGCTTTGTTCTATCCCCGCTTATCAATTAGTCTTTGTTTAGTTCCGTCCAGGCGTGGTCTAAACCTGGCAAGACCCGAAACCTTAACTCTAAAGGGAGCTTTTTCGGCTTGCCGTGGACTGTCAAGCGGCACCGTGTGCGTCTGTCAAACAACGCCAAACTCCAGCTCACTTCACTGCACTGTACCGCAGCTGGCTTCGACAGAGCCGCCTGAGTCACCCGATCATGGCTACAATACTACCCAGGTGCAGTGGGTACGTCTGCCGCTCATGTCAAAAGCTCGCTACGGCACAACCCAGTCGGCGACGATTCGTCTCCCAGGTCGCCAGTCCTCCAAAGCAGGAAGCCGCCTCGCATCCCAGGCGCACCATAGCCATACCACTGAGGAGACGGGCGACGCAAAGCCCAGAGTTTCCTCCCGCGCAGAACAGATCGACGCAGAGCCCAGAGTTACCTGTTGCACAGCACAGATCGACGCCAGCCAGGGCATCTAAGCCGGTGAACACGCGGTTTCCTCCTGCAAAAGCCGCCTCCGCCAATACGTTTTCTGATCCGGCTCAAAAACTGAAAGACTTTGAGAAGTTCGTCGCACACGTCCAGTCCACGGACGCGGCAGCAGACCATGATGACGTTTTGGAGGCACTTATGGACATGTACGAGCTATCGAACGTGCTGGTGCACGGCACGAGGAATATACCAGACGAAGACGGCGCGAGCTCGAGCACAGCCCCCTCCTCCGCGGCCACTTCGCAAGGGAAAGACCTAGAAGACGCACTCCTCGACGACCTGGCGGAGGACAAGTCGACAGCCGCGCGACCGGTCTCACCACAGACCACTGACTCAGTCTCAGTGTCATCTCAAGACCAAACTCACATGACGGCGTCCTTCCGCGCCAATGCGGCCGCCACGCTCTCTCACCTCTCCTACACCCTCCTCCGCGACCCGAAAGTCTACATCACCGAAGACATGCTGCAGATGTACGTGCGCCTGCAGTGCCAGCTCGGCAAGCCAGAGTACCTCCCCGAGATCTTCCACCTGTACGCGACGAAACCGATCCCGCGCCCGGGCTCCGGTACCGCGGCCCCAATCAAGTTCTCCTCCCCGTGGCGCAAACTGCCCAAATACGCGGTTCCCATCGACCTGGCCGAGGCCGCGCTGGAGAGTGCGATCCTGCACAAGAATCTGCCCCTCGCCATTGCGATCATCGACACCACGGTTGCGGCCCCAGCATTCCGCACGAGCAGGATGCTCCGCAAAGCAGGCGTCCCCGGTGCGGTGGTTGCAGCGACGCCGCTCGTGGCGTACGCGGCCGCCGACTGGGTCGCGCAGTGGCAAAATACCATGGACGTCGAGATGGCGAAATGGACGGCCGTCGCGGGCGCGGCCGCGTACATTGGCACGTTGAGCACCATCGGGTTCGTCGCCGTCACGACGTATAATGATCAGATGGTCCGGGTTGTGTGGCGGCCTGGCACCCATTTGAGCAGTCGTTGGCTCCGTGAGGAGGAGAGGCGGTTCTTTGATCGCCTCGCTTTGGCGTGGGGGTTTCAGGAGAAGGCGAGGTGGGGGGAGGAGCATGGACCTGAGTGGTTGCGCCTCAGGGATGAAGTGGGACTGAGGGATATGATTCTTGATAAGACGGATTTGATGGAGGGGATGCAGTAGACGCAGTAGATGCAGTAGAGTAGGCGGGGGAGGGAAGAGAGCTAGCGAGCGGGCTTGGGGGAGATAGTGGAAGAGTGAGAGAGTGATACAGTAGATACATAAGAGTATGCGGGTGAAGAGAGGGTAGCTCCAGGAGCATGATATGAGCATGAGCATGAGCACAGCATGAACATGAACATGGACATACTACGGTCTATCCCAGTAATCGTCCATCGAACTATGCTACAGTACTGTATGCGGTGGTTCGCCGCTCCATGGCAACCAATACAACTACAGTATACTTCCACTCTCAATGGGTGTGAAGCGTTCTGAAGAGGTTAGTACTGTGTAAGTTGATGCTCTGCGCAGAAGGGAGTGCAGCCGCTTAGGACCTGCATTGGCATCAGGATGCCTATGACAGGCGTTTACGGGGGATACACCGTAGTAGCATGAGCAAGCATGAGCATGACGGTACAAGATGGGACGCAGGGACGTTCCTTTACGTTTGAAGACTTGCCTGCCTGTATGCTTGTTCGAGTAGGTACGGAGTATCCGCCCCTTGAAGTCTCGATTGATCACCACGCGTAACGCTACAAGGCGGGAAGGAGGGAAAATTGTGTCATTCGATGGTTTCTCTGCCAATATGGCTTTGTCGGAGTATGGACTCGTATCTTCCCTTGACTTATCGATCAGCTCGTTTCCAGCATGTGGTCTGCTCGAATGCGGTGTCTATCCTTGCGCTTTGTCGGATCCACATGTCATGCCCGTGATTGTGATTGTCACCTCGGTTTCTCATAGCCATCGTATCTCCGCTGACGCGTACCCACGGATGGGTGTGACCATTTTACTTTGGCTGGAGCATAACGCAGCCACCCCAGACAGCGAGAATGGACATGCCGACCTAGTACAATCTCTTAGGCGGGCTCATGCTGGCCTTGATGGTCAAGCTGCCCACGTTCTGCCAGCCCTTCTTCAACAGCGACACCAAGTAGTTGATGGCCAACATGATGTTGCTGATCAGCTCGTCCTCGGTCATGCCGACGTTCCCGACCGCGACGCCCATGCACAGCACCTTCTTCAGCTGGAACTTGATCGTGCTCTTGACCTCGGTGATCTTGCCGTTGAGATCCTCGTTGTGGGAGATGGGCGTGGGGAACTTGCCGGCCTTGGAGAGACCGGGGCCCAAGAGACGCGGGATCTGCTTGATCAGGGAATCGGAGGACAGGAAGGCGTCGTACTTGCGCGCGAGCTTCTTGATCAGCTTCTTGTTCTTGTTGAGTTTCTTGAGATCGTCCGCGGACATGGCGTCGACGCCGGCGTGTTTGGCGCGGTCAATGTCGTGCTGGTCGCCTAGAACGCTAGCCTCGTGTCAGTACTGTGTGCTCTGTGTGCCTCAGTCCTCCTTGCGGGTGTCACTACATACCAGATTGCCATGTTCGGGCGCGGCACCGTGGGGAGCTTGATGCTGCCAGAGAAACGCTTGTCACGCTGCGGGTCATACGCCTTCAGGCCGATCTGCAGTTCGACAGTCTCGAGGAAGTTCCTCTTCTTCTCGTTCAAAGAGTAGTCGAGGAGTTGTTGTACGTTGGTGCGCACACCTGCAACTGAGACCTTCGACATGGTGAATGATGTCTCCCAGAAGAACTGATGATGATTCTTTTGGTGTAGGCGATCGCGCAGGGTGTGAAGGTGAGGAGAGAGTGAGAGATAGAGATACAGAGGCGGAGAAATCAAAATTCATGGTGTGGTAAAATGAGTTGGGTTGAGCTAGCCGCTTACGGAATAGTGTGGACAGTAAATGTTTGGCTGTTTTTGGCTTCTCGTTAATTACACAGTACTGGAATCTCGGACGCCCCCAACCAAAGATTCGCAGCAGGGAATCTCACTGACTCTTGAGGGTCGAATCTTGCTGCTTCGATGCGCTTGATCGCTGTCTGATCAGCCTCAACTACTCGGTCACCCTCTGACTGCCGCTGCTGGAAGTCCTGGAGGACCTAGAGCCACCAATGCAGCCTTTCACAACCTGTCAGAGCCAACCTGGTCGCTGATGATTTCACTATGAATCGGACGAGAGCCCGGCTTGGGCAATGTAGAGAGCCGAAGTGAAAATGAGGCTTTCCCCGAGTAAATGAACCTCCACCATGACTGGATCAAGCTGGCGTGAGTCACACTGACGACTCGGGTTCTGGACTGCCACGAGGGCAGAGACTTGGCATCTCCCGCCCGCTCCTCGGAAGCAAATGGTGAAGTGGCGGACATGTACAAGCATCCATCAGGTCGGCGAATTGTGGCTTTCTATTCTCTTGGTCAGTTTAGTCTACCCGCAATCCTCTTGACAGCTAATCTGACCGTCTGTTAACAGGCTGGCTTGGTGAGATATCTATATATAAATCTCTTGGCAATGGACCACCAGCAACCTGGTTGTTAAAGAGGGCAAGACCCGAACCCTCGACCCTGGCTAGCACCCTGAGCTACTCAACGGCCATGGCGATTAGACATGCACTGCTTCGAAAGACACTTCCAGACCTTGACGAAAGATGGTAAAGTGGCTTCGGCGCAACTTTCCGGGTGAAGCAGGTTACTTTTGACGACGTGACACAAACAATCAACGCCCGCGAGATTTCCGATACAACAAAACGCGCAAAGCCAGTGGGAGCACTCGCCAGCAGGTCGTACTACAGCTGCGAGCTGCAATGTGCTCAGCGAGTCGGCCAATATGGCCTGTGAAAGGGACTACCTCCTGATCTTCGAAGTACCTCAGCATCGACATGATGGTATGGGGTCGCGATGGTTCAGTCGTCCTTGACTGCTTCGACTGGTGGAAGACAGTGTCATACACTGGCAGCACGGAAGCAAACTCACGGGACCCTGTACCCCTTGGCTCTTGACGAGTTTGCCATGTACGACCACCATTTTCGACACATCAATGATAAGCCAAATTACCTCTGGCTGCGGAACATGTTATACCCGCTCATTCAGCAAGCCATGAGACAAGCCCAAAGTACTACATGTACTATGTGGCACTCGACATATTGACATCGATATCGGCAACCTGCTCCACAAGAACCGTGGCGCCCATCAGATCCAGGGGAGCGTGTCTCTTGACGACGAACGTGATGACGACTGTACGGAGATCATCCCCGGGATGCATCGTCACATCGGAGACTGGAACAAGACCCTTGAAGCACGAGGGCTGAGCAGCAAATCGTTCGTTCATAAGATCCAGAATGAACACGACTCAGCTGCCGATGCAGAGAAGCACCACACAAAGTGGACGCCTCAACCGTGCCAGCAAATGTCTGCCTGGCTGTTCGAGAGTCGGATGCGGTATATGGCTAATGGCGCCCACCTAAAAATGCTTTTGGTATATTGGCCAACATGTGTACAAGAACTGTCGGGGGCGAGGTATTGTGTGTTCGTGGACAGGCCGCCTATCAGAGGAATCAGTTAGTCCAGCTGGAGAATCTTCAACACCAAACCGGGACCTACTGCTACGTGAGCCTCTGGTCACTCGCGGATTCCAGCCAAATCCGAGCACGGGCTTTGAAATCTCCATGAATTGAGGAACGGCTTTAATAGGTCGAGCTACCATGGTACTGGGAACAAGCAACTCGCTGTCAGGTTGGAACATGGATTGATGGATCATACGTCACGATCATGGGCTCGTAGAGGCACGGGACGATGAAGCTGTCTCCACGACAAGCCGAGACAGGGGTTGTTAGGGGTTTGCCAAAGGCATGAGTGACACGATAGCATCATAGAAAGCTTTTAGATTACAGCATAAGACTCTATGGGATCAGTTTTGCTGCCTGCTTTGCACAAGCCTTTCTGGATGGTAGAGTGCCATGTTGGTGGGTATGTTGTGTTTAAAGCACAAGTCCATATGGTGTTTCAAAAGGGCGTAGTCAAGATGCCCATCTTATGTGGTGGCTGTGAGTCATGGCTGGCAACGGAATTTGCTTAAGATCAATCGATTTCGGGCCGGGATACAATCTCAAGGGATTTGCCTGCTGCCCGCTTCTTTACTCTGACACCAAGAACGACCGTGACTATGGGTTCCTTCTCCATTGACGTACTCCCGAATCCCGCCCACGATCATGATACGCTCCTTGAGTACTCGGCAAGATTGAAAAGGCTCCGACTGAGAGCCCTGAAAGGAGACGCGAACAGTTTCGTTTCCAAGTATGAGCATGAAGCCGACCAGCCACAGGATTTCTGGTTGAACAGGCTGAAGGCGGATCGTGTCGTCCACCTGATCCTGACTCGCGAAAATGAGGCAAAACCGAACGAGACCTTCCTGCAGAAAGAGTGGGTTGGATTTGTGGTCATTTCTGTTGTTCGCAACGACGAATCCTCAGACAAAGCGACAGACAACTTGTCGGCAGACGAATGGAATATGGCCGCTGTTTATATCGAGCCCGAAGTGCGTGGTCAAGGACTGGGAAAGCGCCTTGTTCGAGCGACCATCGACTATATCAAAGGCCATATTTCTACAGAAGATAATAAAGCAGCGTATTGTTTAACGAGTGTCCGCCACGGCAATGACAACGCATTAGAGCTTTACCAGAGGCTTGGGTTCCGTATTGTCAACCTAAACGAGCACATGGAGAAAGACGGGAAAGAGTATTTCATGACAGATTTGAGGATTGATATCCAGGGGGAGAATTAGACGCGGCTGATGGTCATGAGGGTGTCACTTATCTGTGCTCGATGCTGTGCCCTACATTGTGTTTAGTGTGTTGTTATTGATGACAACTGTCAGTAAAGGACATGCTGTCAGTCAGAGAGTGTTTGGATACCTAGGTAGCTCAGACAGTGATCATTTCGCGGTGAAGAGTGTTTCATGGCCCGTCTATCGTAGCCAGATCGGTAGCGGCTGAGCCAACAAAATGGACGGTTTCTGCGGCAGGAAGGCTTGGCACGCCGCGAATGCGAGTCCTCGTCGCAGGCCATTCAACTATCCCGCTCGGGCACTCCGTCTCAAGAACTTGTCCCCTTCCAGACTGACATCGTCCATTGACCGTCCTGAAATCGTCACGACAACGTCCGTTCTGCTCCCGACACTGTACTGACTGCTCCTTCGACAGCATTAGTGTCGCTCCGCCCTTTCGGTAAGCCAAATTATTGCAGCTGCCTGCCCCGAAAACCCATCGCCCGCGCTCGAGGACAAAGTGGCCACACAACATGTGCTTTCGGCCTGCGCACTGGTGACAGATATGTCCTGGGGTGCAGCTTCATATTTCACGACATCCCGCGGTGTTTTTGTCTATGCCCTCTCCAATCTACAAGATCACTACACCATCGCCTGCGCATCTTCCGACAAAACTTTAGCTGACCTTTTGTGCCAGACCGCCTCATCCAAAATCTCCTTCACCTCTCGACTTTCGGTGGAACAACAAACATGGGTCTGACATTCTCAAAGCTGTTCGATCGACTATGGGGAAAGAAAGAGATGAGAATTCTGATGGTTGGTCTTGACGCTGCCGGAAAGACCACTATCCTGTATAAGCTCAAGCTTGGTGAGATTGTGTATGTGTTATCAGCCTCCGCTCGGAAACCTTCGCGCACGTTCCTAGTAAACTGGTACTGACGTCTGACAGCACCACGATTCCCACCATCGGTACGACAATAGCCCCTTTTGTGACCATTCTCCACCTAACCCTTGTTCGCAGGCTTCAACGTCGAGACTGTCGAGTACAAGAACATCCAATTCACAGTGTGGGACGTCGGTGGGCAAGATAAGATTCGGCCTCTGTGGAGGCATTACTTCCAGAACACCCAAGGCATTATCTTCGTGGTCGACTCTAACGACAGAGATCGTATCGTTGAGGCACGTGAGGAGCTTCAGCGCATGCTCAACGAGGACGAGTTGCGCGACGCCTTGCTTCTTGTCTTTGCCAACAAGCAGGATCTTCCAGTAAGCATCGCGGGCATCGCGGTCATTGTCCTCTTGCTGACATATTCTAGAACGCCATGAACGCTGCCGAGATCACCGACAAGCTGGGTCTGCACAGTCTGCGACAACGAGCCTGGGTAAGATCACAAGACCATGTCTGACTGCACAAGTTTGCTGATCTATCGTACAGTACATCCAGTCCACCTGCGCCACATCGGGTGATGGTCTCTATGAAGGACTCGAATGGTTGAGCAACTCTCTCCGCAAGGCCGGTCACTCCTAGACAACTCTGTTCTGTAAACGCGAGTCACGGGCCAAAACAGTCGCGCTGAACACAATATTGCTCTACACACAACTTATCCCTCGAAATTGTCTCCGCAGGACCTGCAGTCTGTCCTTGTACGTCCGAAGAATCGAAACATGGCTGCAGCCAGCTTGCCAGGTGATAGGGTGAATACGATGACAAAAGCTCCCATCATTCGACGGATACTCACGATCTGCTTTGTGCCTGGTGTGTCTACGTCTCACATGGTTTCCCCGGGAGGAGTTGAGTCGCTTAGGTAGTGATAGTTATGGCCTTTTGTGCAAATTGCTGGCATACCTTGGTTTCGGCGGCAGGATCCGGGACCTGTAACTCCGCGTATTGCAGAAACACGAAGACAAGGTTGCAAGCAATGAATAGAATTGGGTTTCTTAAAGTTCCTGCTCTCAGAATAATGGTCTTGCCTGTCGATCAAGTCGCACCGCCGTCACCTCGTGCTGCTCCGCATGTCGGCCAGTAACTCGTAAGGTGAAGGCAAAACCCAACTTCGCCGCGTAGCATGACGAGTTCCCCAACTTGTCAACTCGGGCACCAACCACTGCACACCCCAGAATGTGCCACGGAAAGGCATATTACAATAAACCCTGTATTGATATATGAATATTTGCAGGGCGACAGCCAGTTCCTCTCACGGTCGACACGGCGTCGGCGCACGCTCGGGCTATTTCGCACCTCATACGAGCTCTGTCGCTGCTCAAACGCCGCTCCTGTTTACCACAGTGGAATAATACTTGAAGAACGAGTGACAAGAGCCGCAGAACAACAAAATCTCGACATTCACCCGTATCATGCCTGCTCCTCCACCGCCGCCGCCGCCGCCGCCTCCCCCTCCTCCGGGTATGGGTGGCCCTCCTCCACCACCACCTTTACCTGGGAACGCTCTTCCTGCGGCTCCTCCAAAGGCAGTTGCGAAAGGTCGGGTACGTCACAAGGCCCTGAGCTTGATAGCGGAATGGAGAAGAATCGACTGAACATGCGCGAGCCAAGTTGCTGACTTCATGTGTAGGACGCTCTACTGTCGGACATTACAAAAGGCGCAAGGCTCAAGAAAGCCACCACAAATGATCGTTCCGCGCCTATGGTGGGCAAAGGTTCGGGCGGAGGAGGAGGGCCTGTTGCAGGAGCACCACCGGTGCCTGGAGGGCTAAAAGCACCCAGTGGCCTCGCGCCGCCTGTTCCAGGTGGAGCGAATCGAGCCCGAAGCCACAGCGACGCCGGACGAGACTCAACCGCCAGCCTCGACGGACCACCACAATTGGCGGGATTACTTGCTGGAGGCATTCCCAAGTTGAGGAAGACCCGAGGAGGTGTTTCGACTGGAGCTGGCATGGATGGTGCTCATTCAGACTCGGAAACATCAACACCGGGTCCTCCCCGACCTCCTGTCGCAGCACCGCCTCGCCTACCATCAATGCCTGCTCCTCCCATACCGGGTTTCAGGCCTCCTCTTCCAGGATCAGTCGACTCCGCGCCAGCAGTCCCAAGCCCACTCGCCAACCTGAAAAAGCCTCCTCCCAAGCCACTGTCCAAGCCCTCATCCGTGGCCAGCCTCGCGGCTGGAAAACCACCACCACCTCCGCCAGCCTCGCGCAAAGTAAGCGCTGCTGCTGCTCCGCCGTCGGCACCACCCCCTCCGCCTTCGTCATTCAGTTCTGTCCCTCCGGCACCGCCGCCTCCTCCACCGCCGCCCTCCATAAGTCCGGCTCCGCCAGCGCCGCCTCCACCCCCTCCCCCAGCAGCGAGCCCGTCATTTGCACCACCACCACCCCCGCCTCCTCAATCATCTAGCCCGGCTCCTCCTGCTCCGCCTCCGCCACCACCGCCGGCAAGTTCAGCATCCTCATTAGCACCACCGCCGCCTCCTCCGCCATCACTACCGCCAGCAGGACCACACTCGCGATCAACACCACCTCCTCCACCTCCAGGCCTACCTCCGCCTCCTAGTCATCCACCAACGACAAACGGAGCAGGGCCATCATTAGCACAGAGAGCTGCTGCAACGGCATTTGGCAGACAACCATCCTATCAGCCTCCTGATGCCCCACCGTCGCCCTCGTCTCCCATATCACCGCCCGCGTCTCGACGCGTTTCTCAGATCCCATCGCGTCCTGGACTGGACGCGAGCTCATACACACTAACCAACGGAGGCCCTTTTGGACTCTCCAGCGGGTCAGGAGGTCCGATCCGCATCGAAGACAACAGATGGAAGTTCCAGGATGAGAGCCAATTACCTCCGCCACGGCAGTTCACAGGCGTCCAGAAGAGATACCGGGCAGGAAGGGGGAGTACTGTTCCCCTTGACCTTGCGAGTCTGGAATGAGGCACCACTCGTGATGGATAGCTGGAACACTCCACAGAGATCAACGCTGTACCATCGCTGCCAGGAAAACATCAAGGTTAATGGTCTACATCCGACGCGCCGGAACACTTGCTCGTTCGGATTCCGCCTTGCGGTCTTCATGATTTCCAATTCCCTCTGATCGAGTTCTCGCGGCAGCCACAATTCTGGTGAAACCTAGGAGCGTGCGGAGAAGTCAGGAGGTCGTGGGAAATACACCCGCACGTCACTTGAGCGAGACAAGAAGCCAGAAACCGAATACAGGCCCGGGAATGCTTTGGCTAGCGTCTGGCTAGCCAGGAGCGACGCAGCGATCACCATTGTAGAAGTCCGGGGCATCATTCCGGAGAGTCGGCGTGGCTGGGTGGGGTACTGTACAGCAAAGGCCAGCAACAATGAGAGACCGGGTGACGATCGAAGCAGTAACGAGGACAACAACACGAGAGGAGAAACCCGTGGGAGTTGTAAAGTGAAAAGTAACACGGGATCTATGGATCTGAAGTCATTTCTACATGGAGGCTCTGTGTCGTGCTGTGTTGCTATTTCCACCGCCCGGTCTCAAAATCAACCACCATCCATACTTGAGTATCGCTCACTTATTCCTGACCTCTACCTCTGGTAACTCTTCCTTACCGGGATATTCACTGTCCCGTCACCTTCCCCCCCTATCTGTCCGGGCCAGTAACTGGGTATTTCTCTCACCGGCCTACTGACCGAACCCTCCCTGTGTGTAAATCCCTGCCTCACCACCCTTATCCCCCGACTTTCGTTCACTCCCACCATCACCCGACATTTCACCCGACTGACGGGACTTTCTCTCCTCGATTTACCCACCCTGCTACTAACACTCTCGAAGATCTTCTATCAGGTATGTACTTTAGGGCATACCTCGCTGCCGTCTTCTCAATACATTTGCAACAAGACTAACTGAGTTCAAGCAGTTCGACCTACGCTAGCGCTGTCACTTCAGATCCACAAGAAGACTTTAGTCGCAAGAAACACAGAACCTCGAACTCGACAAAACAAATCGTCAATATGCCAATGGTATGGAATGACGAGGCCGACGCGCGGGTGAGTCTAGTCTTTCCTTTTAGCTTGTGCCTCTGGGAGGGAAACTACTTCCACCCCTTTCCCGAACCGTTGCTTTACATCACGAAGGAGGCTCGGCCTCAACTTCAAAGCGCTTTGAAAATAGAGACTAATTTCATTTCTCGGCATAGCTGTTTACCGCTGTGCTCGCCACCACGGACGTCAAGATCGACTGGAAGGCGGTTGCTGCGCTCATGGGTCCTGGTAAGTTCGCCTTGGAGATTCCACTCTGCCTCCACTGGGAGTGCATCATAATACTGTCGTCAGCCGTGAGTTCAGAGACATGAAATATCGAGAAGGGATGTGGCTCTACCTGAGCGGATCTGCGTCTTGCCTTGGCCTTATATTCATGTCGTCGGACCTGGCACGCCCCGCCATGACTTCAAATGCCCGTCTGCTCCCATTGTGGAGTGGATGTGGATATGAATGCCCAGTCGACCGCCACGCTTCTTCCCTGCCTCCTTACCACGTTTGAGCCCGATCCTCGATGTTCTCAATCTTTGCTCCAGAATTATCAGCTAACGCCCCATCATCAGAATGCACGACCAAAGCCCTAAACCACCGCATTGCGGCCATCAAGAAGAAAGCTGGACTGTTGGCTACTGGAGGCGGCATCGCATCCCCCACCCCAGCCAGTCCTGCCACTCCCGCGTCCGCTAAGAAAGCAACCCCACGTAAGCGTGCCGCGAAAGGAGCCATGGAAGCCGAAGCCGAAGACGACGAAAACGACGACAATGGCGCCCCAGTATCCAAGAAAGCGAAAGCGAAGAAGACCAGCACGCCTAAGGTCGCTAAGAAGGCTGCTCCGACGGCTGCAGATGCCACGCACAGCAAGGGATGTAAGAAGGTCAAGTGCGAGAGTGAGGATGAGGATGATGGTGCGCAAGATTGAGGCACTAGTCAGGCCGGAAGCTTAGCCGGGCAGTCATCATGTGGATGATTTCCTTTCCACCTCGGTGACCGCATCACCTCATGGACATGCACAGGGTTGGATACGGACAACAGCAATAGGCAGGATGAGCAGATCCGGTCATCAGGACCAGGCATTGGCATGGCATGGCATGGCATAGCATAGGCATAGGAATTGGAAAACAGCATACCCGACACAGACGCAGCACATACCAGGGCATAAAAGCTACAGAATGAAGCTGTGTCTTAGCATGACAATAAGCATGACCTTAACCCTGGAATAACTTTCAAACAGTATATCAAACCTTAGTAGAGTAGAACAGAGTCGATCAGCCTAAGGTAGAGTACTTACCTACAGCGTGTATATCCGGAGGACATGGAGCAGCGCGGACAGGCAGAATCTTGAGCGGTCAACCGCGGACACGGCACAGTACGGTTCTACTATTCGCGGACGGACGCTTAGTACGTTCTTTTCTCCAGAGTAGGGGTCGCGACTACTGGGATAGGATGGGATGTAAATTAAATTACTCTGTGCTGCAGTGCACTCCACTGCACTGTACTATCACGGTGTTTGATGCTCGTTCACACGCATACTGTATGTAGCACAAAGCGCGACATGGCTTGGAGATTGATCTGTGGCAGAGTCGGACAAGACAAGACAGGACAGTACAATCGTTGGATAGGTATCTTGTCCCCTCACAGCACAGCATATCATAGCACAACACAGCGCAGCACAGCATATGCCTTGATTCGTGCCTTGCTCCGATTTCCTCTCGCATTAGGACTGGTGGAGCGCGAGATGTCTTGGTTACTTACAGCGATAACTCGCCACCACCATGCCACCGTGCCAGCCAGGTATTGGCAGATAGTACTAGGACCGGTACCAGTACTATATGAGCACATTCATTGTCTTGGTCTTGGTCTTCTTCAGGGTCTCCGATGGCCGGGAAGGCGAACACATTCAGAACCAGCTTTCAGATGTAACTTCAGACTTAAGGTTCAGATCAAAGTTCAGATTCAGATTCAGATCAAGATTCACACTTGCTTGCCTGGTTGCCCGAATCGCTCGTTTCAATCGTTCATTGAAACTTGTCATACTAGGTACGTTATTTCTTATTATATTGTAAGCTCAACCAGCACGGCATGGCATGGCACAGCATAACACAGCACAGTCTAGCTCCATACCTAGGTAGACAAGCAGAGAAAACTTTAGCAGAGATCCATCCTGACTTTCGTCTTCCCAGGATCAGGGTCTCTTTGCACCGGTCGAACCTAGCCGCAACGTGAATATGTCCTTCATATTCTGTGGGTGGAAAACGACATTTACAGGATAACGAACCCGTAGTCCGCACATCCACCCATCCACGCACACACACATCTGCGTGTCGAAGCATTGAATCTTGCACTCCGCGGCCTCGGGCGCAAGTCTGAGGATGGTTCCCTTGCCATCCGATGCGGTACGAACACCAAAGACCACTTCTGTGTTTCTTTATTTGCTTGTGATCTCGAAAATCGAGGTTGTCAAAACCGTCAAGTCTCAAGTCTTCGCCCCAAGCACGAAGATCCCCAAAACCTCCACTTTACCTTGCTTGTTGGGGCGTTCCGCGACGGGTCTTTCGATCTTCCCGATATGAGAACCCCGAGAAACTTATTGGACCGAGCTATGGGCGCCAAAATTGCAGAGCTACAGACGCCCCATTTGGCGGCCTTCTTCTGGGTCGACGTGCTCCAAGCCGTGGAGGTATTCATAAGCGCGTACATACACTTCCCGCAGCCGTCGCTGGATGTTGTGGTGTATGGTGGCGAATAACGTCCCTGGCGTCCATCGGATCTCGCCCGGTGCGTTCGTCCATCGGGCAATCCGTCTTCTTGGTCGAGCCGTCGACGAGTAGTTGAAGTTGCCCGAGGGTATTTTTGCTGGAATGGAGATCTTTACCGCGTCGCTCGACCTAGGATGGTAGGTATTTGACGCCGCCCCAGTCAGAAGGTGCTGATCTTGCCGAGAGGCAGGACATAGCCTTGGGGTTCATTTAGCGCTTCAACATTTTCGCTCGGTGTCGGGTCCGAGGGATCTGTCAGGCGCCTTGTCGTGCCTGCATGTTCACCCAGTGTGAAACCCGTGTGCACGGATGTACCACCCGTAACGTCGTGGATGTTCCCTTGCAGAGAGAGCGTCACGTCGGCGAGGGAATCGTAGTTGTGAACGATGTGGTGGAAGTAGGCGTGGGATTCGTGATCACACTTTGTCTTCTCGGTAGAGAGACGGGTTGGTCGGATGTTGGCCTTTGGTGTACACGAGGCGAAGGTGAGTATAGGATGACATCTGATCCAGCGACTCATTGTAGTGGGCGATGACGTTGTCGAGATGGCGGATGTCTGGCGGCGGTGGGAGCAAAGGGGATGAGGTGATAGAGTGGGATGGAGTGAGACCTGGGGTGGGCAGGTTGGAAGATGAGGAAGTCATGGTCGATGTTGGAGGAGGATTCGAGTAGAGTTGGAGGATTGAATCGATCTTCGGGAGCGACTTTCATATGCTCAATATGTTGCCAGCGCTGAGGATGATTTTGCCGGTTATTATGTGCTGCCACAAGTGAGGTAAGAAACAGCTGCTGTCAAGCCTGTTTTAGTTCGTATTCGTGCCGGAATTCTTGGTACACAAGGCAAAGGAGCGAATCACCAGCCGCCGAGAGAGCTGGAACTGTCGTAAAGGGGCCTTGAGCCTTGTGAGGAGTAGGGGTAATTTGCCGCACAATGGAAGCGCCTTTCCGGTGCAAGACGAAAGGTACTCGACTTGAACGGTGCCGCAGAGCAGAGCAACCTCGGGTGGATCTTTCCCCAGCCGATCCCCCTCCAGACGTAGAGCATTTGTGAAAGGGGGAAAGGACCACTGAATCACGCGCTTATTGATGGCGCAAGATGAGGAACGTCCCTTCTGTCAATGGGGAGTGCGACTCAAAGGTAACCATTGGAGGCTGACCACTGACAGAACCAGTATAAAATCCCAGGAATCCGGAACGAGAATGGAAGCGTATATAAGAGGACGTAGTGCATAGAGCCTCAATAGAGAATTATGAGTTGAGGATCCCAGATACAGCCTCAGCCGCATCTCTGTCTTCAGGGTACCACAGACTCACGATGTTAGGATTGCCATTGCCACACGTCAACCCTGGTCGAGCCCGAAAGTCTTGTAGCCCTTCCGTCCTGGATAGTGACTAGATCGTTAGCGAAATTCCCCTCCTTGATCAGTTGACAGGATAGCGAAATACTTTTCGTGGGGTATGTCGGCTGCGGCTAGGCAAGGGTGTCTCGTTTGGTATGTACTCGACGAGCACCATCTTGGGTTTCAGGTGCATAAGTGCAGTTCACTCCATGTCTTGATGTACCCACCCTGCACACGAGGAACGCAATGACCAGTCGCTTTGCTGAATCCACGGCCTGGAGCTGATACCACTGTCCGAACACTCACATCTCCCATAGCGGCACTCAGGTAGAACGCAGCTGTGCTTCCTCTTTCAGGCAGCCGAGCTACCATGGTTGGCCGGACAGCTTGTCAAGCATTGGTGCACGTCTCCCTCAGCCACCTGCTGTCCTGGACATCGGGACCGTGATACTGGTGCATAATTATCTTCTCACTTCCTCACCTGATCTGACTGGTCAAGGGCAGGTTAACTGGCCCACGTTGACTGGTGCTCTCGAAGAAGTCCGCCGACCCGGCATCCCAGAAGTGAACGAGATTTCTGCATGTTTGCCAGATCAGGGCATCAGCGGCCGCACTAGAAGACTTCCACTAGAGTCTCAGGATCTAATCCGGCCCGTGGTTTTCTCAGATATCACCTGTGGCTCAACGACGGACTGCCAGAGATCTCCATGGCTCAGGTCCAGTAGAGCTCAAGACTGGGGTGAACATGCGTCGTAGTACCTAAGCCCTCTCCGTCAAGACATGCTACCGCTGGACGGTCAAGATGAAGTCTCCCCTGAACGCGCCAAGTTTTTACTCAAACAAGCTGCCGGTGCACCTCATGCGTACATGCAATGCAGTTCAAGGAAGGAGACAGGTTTGGGTGCTTTCTGCTAGTGGCTGAAGGATTTCTGTACATTCCCGGGATCCAAGCGTAGAAGCTGACGCTGGATCAACCATGTCTGCGTTTCACGGAGCAAGCAGGCTTCTCGAGCGCGAGTCGTATTCACCTTCTGGACACGATCTCCGGACAGGAATCGCTGGATGTGGTAATCGAGAATACCTGGATCCGGTGGTCGGCGACTGATTCATTCACATTCTAGAACATCTTCTCTTCTAAGCGGTTGATTCCCCGTTACGCCGCGTATGTAAGCAGCGGCTAACATTGACAGCGCATTCTTCATGTTGGAAATGTGGCGAATGGAGAAGTGCAGTAGATAGAGCTCCGGGTCCGACGAGCGTCGAAGAAATTGATACTGAACTAATCAAGGCTGAATGTTAGCACCGTCGACCCGCCAAGGCTTGCCAAGCCCCGCTGTCTCCACTCCCGTTCGCCTACAAAATTTCTTTTCTGCGCTCCCTCCGACCTTGTCCTTCTTTTTTCTTCTCCATCATCAGTAGAGGTGTTAACATTACCTTATGTTATACATCCACCGGAGCTCCACTACGGTGGCTTGCTGAGGGTTATTCTCATGATCGATGGATCTCCTTCCGTTCCCGGCTTCGCAGACGAAGTTGCACCGTCCTTTTTCCCAAACACATATGGTTGCATGCCAGTCCGTGGCGTGGAGCTGTGGAGGAGATGCTACACATAACACAAGCAGACAAACGCGCTTCAAGAGAGCTAGGAACTGGTGGTCTGCACGCAAGGGCAGAAGCAGCCTCAAACTGAAGCGGTTCAAGCCCGAGACCTGTGGCTTGGAGAGAAATGAATTTCAAGACGACATTTTGAAGAACCTTTGCCCTGGATGCATTGTCCTCCCTGGAGTCGCGGAGAGTTCTACGTAGCCCTTTTCGTGGTTCCGCCACGGCGCCACGCTATGTGTTTTGTTCGAGTTGAATTTTTGTCCAGCCGTTGCACTCATTCGCACAGTACTCAGTAGTGGTAGCCTCTATTTTAATTCAGTCGGTATCTTGGCCTCGTCCGCAAGTTCATACAAGCACGCTCAGGACACAGCCATCCTTCCCGCTCTGCCCAGCTGGATCCTCACTCCTGTGCCTCTCTCATCACTTCGTAAAGTGGACCAACTCACGGAGCCGTCGCTCTTCACGAGGTTCAGTTCCAACTTGGTGCCCATGATCTTGTATTGACTCTTCTCCGGATCGATTTGGGCGAACAGAGGTATTACTGTCGTAAATCGCTTGCCGTCTTGAGTTGGTAGATCCAAACCAACCGTAAGCCCATCATCGCCGAACTCCACTTTTGCCTTGTCCTTGTCGATCTTCTTGAGATAGAAGCTGGCAATGACACCCGAGGCGGTCTGGTAGAAATCGTTCCGCACGGTCTCGAGCCGTTCTTCTGATTGTTCCGTGGCCACACCGTCTGCTTTCCTTCTAGGCTTGCCTACATAGCAGTGCCTCTTCTTGGTTTTGCAGCCTTCGATCTTCATGAATTCGTCGAATTCAAGGACTCGTCTCTTGCAGCATGTCCATCCTTTGCTTCCCTCGTGGAAAAGCGGCACGCCCGGGTGGTATATACACTCCTCTTCGTCTCTGGGGATTTTGTCGTCTCTTGACTTTCCGCATCCTCTCCGCTTGCATGTCGTGCTCGGAGGAATCTCTGCACCAGGGTCGTCTGACTCGTCTTCGGGGGGTTCGGGTTTGGGTGTTACGGAAGGCGAGGGTCGTTGCGGGGTTGCAAGACTAGGTGCCAGTGGTCGGGTGACGGGGAGGGGTGATGGTATCGGTGCGGCGGCAAGGATATTCGAGGCTTCCACTGCTTCGGGTTTCGGAGCGCTTACTGGGGTGTCATCGACTGTGGAGTGTTTGCCTTTGTTGCAGGGAGGGATGTTGAGGAACTCGTCGAAGGTCAGGACACGGGGTTTGCAGCACTTCCAACCTGTCAACGTAGCGTCATGTTAGTTGTCATCGCTTTACTTAACCTCGAGAAGCAACATGGTTTTGAAGCACTAAAGCCCCGACGACGGTCGACGAACCTTTTTGCCCCTCGTGAAATTCCGGAGGCCCAGGGTGATATACACACTCCTCATCAGGGTCTGTAAACACCTTCCCACACCCCTTATGGGCACACTTTTGCGCCATTCTGTCCGGAGGAGAATGTGGTGAAAATAGCCGGGATCAGTAGAAGCGAGAGAACGGCAATGCTGGACTGCTGAGTGGTAAGAGTTGGATGCTGACGGCTCAGGATCACTCCGGACAAGCGAAGTGCACCTTAACTGATCATTTCTCGTTATTGCCGCTATTACTGTTTATGCGCAGCAACAATTCAACGCAGGACCAGCTTTGTTTACCGGGGGAACTGCGTCGACTGATGCAAGACTTGGCACACACCCGCACATGTTTCTGGAAGCATCTGACGCAATGACCCGCATGGTAGAGCCTTGTCTCACTGTACCGCCAGCCTTGCACCCCAACCAGCCACTATGTACCCCTCACCAATGGGCCTTCCTCCCACACTCCTAGCGGTTACTGCTAACCCGCGTCGTGCTACCACATGTGAGTGTGGAGGGACTGGTGTCTCGGGGCAACAGACATACGCCGGGGAGTACATTCCTCTGTGCGGAAGCCTTTCCGTTTGTCTTTCCCTGACCGTTGTTCCTTGAACAGCTACTTGCACGACGGTCCGGTGGCTTCGAAGTCACCTCCGGGCCGGACGCCGTGGTATCAGGCGGCATACTCCGTACTGCTTGCCGCCAAGAGATATGAGGGTTTATTCAATGCCTCGTACTTGAAGTACCGGCTCATGGTGTTGCGGCACGCACGACCCACTTGATGAAAGCTACTGCTTGGTCGTGCTCTGCTTATTTGGCGCCAAGGTCTGCCCTCAGACTCATCTTGCAACGGGGCCAGCAAGTATCTTACTTAGCACGATATAGCCTGTGTCGAGCTCGTTCTGGAACCCCTCTTCTCAAAATCTACCATTGCTGCGAACAGGGATACGGTCCCTCGCGCTCGGTGTCTGAGAAGCACCCGGGATTAAGCACGCCGAGAAAGTATTCATCTACATTATTCGTGGTTCTCGTCCAATTGCTTTCCCAGACTGCTTACTTCCTCTGCTGTGCCTCTAGGCTAGCAACCACTTCCAAACGCCATCCAAACCACTTCTCGTGACGAACCTTGCAGCACACTCCAAAAGCCATGTCGACACGGCAGGGCCGTCGAGGGTCCGTGGCGTATCATTCAGGCAATGTCTTCACGGCCGAGAGGGATGCAAGCCGAGCTGAGGCTTTCATCGTCTCCGAAGATGGTACTTTTTCAGCGGTAGGGAGCAATAGCGAGATCCTGGACATCGCTCGACGCGAGCAGCTTCCTACCTTTGACCTGCACAGTCGATTTGTCATGCCGGGGATCCACGACGCTCATGTCCATATCCTTCTGGGAAGTTTCGCCTCTTCATCATACCTGCAGCCGGGCGAGGACGCGACCATGTCGAATATTGGTGCAAGGCTCAAGTCACCTGAATGCGCCTGCGAGCATGCGCATGTCTTTGGCGACTGGATCGTGGGATCCCTCTACCGTATCGACGATTTCGACAGAGAAGCTCTGGACAGAGACTACCCCGACACGCCGGTGCTGATACGTGGAGGCGCGGGGCACGCCATGTTCATGAACACTGCCGCCCTAAGGCGGTCAGGGTATGGCTTGACAGAGCCAGATGCGCCGCACGAACAGTACTTTCGACGCCCAGACGGATCCCTGACAGGCGAAATGACGGAGCTGGCAATGACGAAGGCTGCGTTGGCGTTCCCAAAGCCCGAAATGTCTCACGTGTAAGCCCTCTGGTTCCAGGACATTGATCCTTTTCGAGACGTGTAATTATCCCTGGTCGTCGAAGGTCTAGGTACTGACTGGCCACTGCAGAAAACGAAGCATCCTAGAGGGCATAGGCCGGCTCCACTCGGTGGGAGTGACAAGTTTCCAGGAAGCAGCCTCCAACACGACCATACTGACAGCACTTCGCGAGCTTGACGCGACCGGGGAGTTGAAGATGGACGTGCAAACGCATATTGTGTACAAGCCAGAACATCTAGCAGAGGAAAGCTTCAAGACGCTGCACAAAACGCTCGATGACGCAGCCACCTTTCAGTCAGCACATGTGCAGACAAGCTTTGTAAAGTTCATGTTGGATGGCGTCCCCCTGCACCCTTATTATACACAGGCCGGCCTCACTGACTCTGGAGAGATCGACGAGAGCAAGATCCAAATTGACGATCTGGCGGAAGCCGTCGCCAAGCTCGACGCAAGAGGGATGACCTGCAAGATCCATTGCACTGGACATGGCAGTACGCGTCGGGCGCTGGATGTGTACGAAGCTGTCAGAAAGAGTAACAAAGCTGGGCCAAGGCACGAGATTGCACACTGCAGTGGAGTTCACGATGGTGAGTTTCTCTTGTCATGCTGCCATGAATGAGGCTGATCGACAGATGATTACCCTCGCTTCAAGCAGCTGAACGTAACCGCTGAGATGTCGCCATCAATGTTCTTCGTCCATCCCGTCACCAGCATGAGTAATGGACTGATGGACTGGAATTTCCCTAAGATGCTGCAACATGGAGCTCATCTCACCATTGGAAGTGACTGGGCTTTCCAAGATCCTGCGATCCTTCCATCTTGCGCCCTCATACTTGACAGCGTTGCTTCTGCTCTACCCGATGCACCTGATGCAAAAAGTAAGGCCGCTGAAGTGATCTGCAGGATTCTCACGGCAGCTGGAGCTACAGCTGTCGGGCGAGAAAGCACTACTGGAACTATTGCCGTCGGCAAAAAGGCCGACTTCATCCTTGTCGACCGTGACTTGGGCAAAGGTGACTTCGAGGGAGCCCAGGTCCTAGGGACTTGGTTTGAAGGAGAGAGGGTTTTCGATGCCAAACAGTCGCATAAATAGATGCAGATGCACTGTCTAGCCGGGGAAACTGCATATTGTCAAGCGAGGGTAGGCCATTTCGTCACATTTAGCCTAATTTCGCCCCGATTAAGACTCCTAGAATAACTTATGCAATTGTTGAATCGAGTGTGTTTAGGTGGTATATCTTTCACCTCGGAGCTGATATGATGAAGGGCTATGTTGCTCCGCTCTGCGTGGCTGCTTTCTCCGCTGTGCTTTGGTTGAACCTGTCCGCTCCAGACGCCGGCTTCAATCCGCAAGAGGTCCTGGCCACAGGTCGCGCGATAACGTCACGGTCGTGGGAGTTTGGGACGCTCGTCGAAGCTCTCCTGGAGTTTCATAATCACGAATTGACGGTCTTTGGGTCCGATCCCTTTCCAGGTGGACTGATCCCACAAATCAGCGACCCTTCGGAAGTTGAGGGCCTTGCATATGCGAAGTCTGTCATATGGATTAATGGTACTGATCTTCTTGTTGACGGCGAAGGTAAGCAGTACATTGCGCTGGCGAGGCGACAGATACATACACTGCTCCGGGCATATCATCCAGACTCACGAGAGCATAGGCTCGGCAGCCGACCCTGCCTCCTTAGGTACCGCCGCATTACTTCTGTCTCATCATGATCCGAGATATCTCGAGGCTGCAGAACGGCAGGCTGAGTATCTCATGACGAAGGCTAAGAAATTCCACGTCAATGTCACCCATTCAGCCATATCTCACAGAGAAGACGTCCCTGAGCTCTGGGGCGATTTCATCTACATGGTCCCTCCATTTCTTGCTTATCACGGTGTTGCAACTCAAGACCTGAGATTTCTGGACATGGCGGTGCTTCAATGCCAACTTTACGACCACGTCTTGAGAACGGGCATCGAATTGGAAAACGGAGAGACCTGCCGTGGCCTTTGGCGCCATATCGTCTCCGACCCACCGGACTTGGAGTTGGGAGTATGCTGTTCAGACCCGGACGTGTGGCTCACCAGCAACGCTTGGGCTGTCGCGGGCATGACACGTGTACTAGCAACCATCTTGAAGTGGAAGCCACCTCCAAATAGTCCAGTCGGGCAGACCGAGTATGACAAGTTCAAAGCCAACAGCAGAGTGGTACTGGCCGACTTGATCGCCTCCATGTTGCAGTGTACAATGGCACAGGCAGAAGACGAAGGATCTGGACTGCTGAAGAACTACCTTGATGGGTCATCACATCGATCTGCTGCCTGGGCATATGGTGATGCTGCAGGGACTGCGCTTATGGCTTCTGCCATGTATCGGTTGGCTGTTCTTCTCCCAGAAACCTATGGTGGTTCAAACGCAATGGAATGGGCAGAAAGAAATCGCCGAGCTGTTGCGAGACATGTCCACTCCGGTGGCAGAGTTAGCCCCGTGGCAGATGTTGGGCATGTCCCAAGCAAGAGCCCGGTTAGTCAGACCAGTGAGGGACAAAGCATGGTGCTCTTAATGTACAGTGCGTGGCGAGCCTGCAAGGAAGGCACGTCCTGGAAAGCAGGGTTGCAGCGACTGACAGGATGGTTGTAGTTGGGAATAGAAGCCCATCGACCTGTTTTATTTACAAATCCGATGATGGTGGCAGTGACTGGCGGTGGCAGAAGCGAAAAGCGAGGCCCAAAAGAGGAGCGCAGGCACGTGGCGGGGTGACGGAATGCCAAGGCGAGGGGCAAGCCCGGAAACGTTTCCTTATGCGACTAAGTGAGCCCACCAGGCCCGTGCAGGCCCAAACGGGCCAGAACATTGTGGCTGTCACGCTGGCCACACCTGTGACGAAGACCGAGGCGGGGCAGGCTTTTTAAGCATTCTCGCAGGCCCCGTGCTGTTCTATCAAATCGATTCCATCCCGCCAACCAAGTCCACCCCCGGCGACCACTTAATCCACTTCTATCCGCTTCGCCTGTGCTTGCATCCAACCCGCATAGCTTGAAGCAAAAGCAGTTTACGGTTTTCCTGACAAACCGAGCGCTCCGCCTGCTGCCCGGATATCCCATACTTCCACTTGCCCAAAACCTCTAGAACGATCACCGAGACACGATACACAGTTTCCGAATCCCTCCTTCACGCAGGCGCTTCACAATCCTCTTTGCGACAGTTTCCTTGTGGACACATCGCGGATCGTCCTCTGATGACCACGACCAGTCATGTCTGATTCTCCCATCACGACTGCGCCCGTCGGGCCTCAAGAGAAGCCGATCCTGGAGAAGCTGCTCCTCATCAGAGACAAACTACTGCTTCTGAAGCAAGATAAAAGCACCTATGTCAAGTCCTCGGACGTCCTCCCTCTTTACGAGGAGGTGATTGAGCAAGTGTCAATCCTCAATGAAGTCCGAGGTCCCGAGCATCTGCTGCAGAACCGGGTCGACACAGTCCTAGACGACTCTCTACAACTGATATCTCTCTTCTTCATGGCTGTGGGTCGAAACAACGAAGCGCCTGCGCTTTACGCAATGACTGGCACCATCACTCGCCTGTGCCGCCACCTCCTGGAGGCTGCGTTTTACAGCAAAAGAGACTTGATCAGCTTGGAACACACGCTTAACAAGATGCAGGCTACGCTGGACAGCAGCAAAGACAAATACTCCCATCACCTGTTGACCCGCATCCAGTATCGGTTGCAGGTGTGCCAAGGGATGCTGCAAGAGCTGCACAATTTCCTTGCTACCTTGTCGCCAGAAATGACACCGACATGGGAGAAGCTGGTGTCAATCCTACGTGCCATTGCAGCATTAAACACTAGAAGCAAGGTATTTGGAAAGATCAAGCGAGGCTACCACCTATACTGACAGATTCACAGTACAGTCAGAAAGATCTCGATGAGTTGCGTGAGCAACTGCTTCAGATAAAGGCGACCATGAAGGATGGCGGACTGCCAGACGAGCAGGGCGAGGTTAAAGGCGGGCAAAACCTGGTTGTCCCACTTCTTGAGAGATGTCTCAAGTTCACTGATATCGTTGAACAAAAGTTGGTCTTTCTTTTCTCGTCCGACAATTCCCTCTAACTCCTCGAACCAGGAAAGGAAAAATCGACGAGCGATTCAAAGACATCTACGAGCAACTCATTGAGATCCGCAATCAGCTCGACCGGCTGACCATGACTCAAGCATGGTCCCTTCGAGAGACCGACTTGTTCATGTGGCAGAGAAAGCTAGATCGTATTGACGACTCCAGGAGAGATGGGAACTTTTTCGATGCCGAGGGTCACCCGGCCGATCTTCACGCACAGAGGGTATGTATGCTCCGATCGAAATCTGTTACTTCCGTTAAGATATCCCGAACAGACACTCCTTTACCTCATTCGGCGAGGATATGCCTACATTTACCAGTTATTGATAGCATCCGAGCCGGTGTCCGAAGCTCTGCTGCCGATATACAACCAACTTCTTACCCTACGAAAGTGCCTGATTGAAGTGAAGAAGGCGGGAGGAGTGTCGAACCCACGAGAACTATACCCCTATAGCATGAAACTCAATTCCATTGACAACATGCGGGTGGACGGCAAGTTCCAGATTGGAAATGATATACCTGAAGGCCAAGGGAGTGTCAATGATCTGCTGGCGGAATGCTATGACCTTGCTTATGACCTGAGGACTGCAGCCGAGGAAGAGAACGAGGAGGAGTAAGAAGTCTTCAGCTTGCACCAAAAGTAATGAAAGGCTGCATTATGCCGGCGCCCATCCTCCTCCCAATATACCTTTAGGCAAGCTATGCGTTGCTGAATGGGATTATTTGCGCCTACGATTCAAAAGCACCAATGGTGGATCGCGTTGTACATATCGTAGCGGGTGTCGGTGTCGGTGTCGCTGCCGCCATCGCTTGCATTTCTTCGGCACATTGGTATCTTGCGAGCTTTGTTGTTGTGCTGAACAGTGGATACAGCTCGAGTCCATAACATCTTATTTCCAGATCTATGTATCGCATTGAAATTAGTATGGCATTCAAAGCCCTAGGTCAGTACAGATTAAAGCTGCTCGTTTTCGAGACTGTTGTGTTAGGGGGTTATAGAAGTATGGGACGCCAATGACTTTTAGGTCGTGTGCTCCCCCACGCTTAATAACACGCTGTGAGAAAAGACCCGAGGTCTCCGCAGGGGAGACCGGAAATTGGTTCCTCCCAATCATGACTATGCATTGATCGAACCAGGTGCCCAGCGTAGAGCCACTAGCCATAAATGGTTAGAGAAGCAATGTTATTGACCCCTTAGCACTTATCCACAGCTTCACTCACCAATGACAAAGGAGTCCGAGGCCGACGATGAGGCGTTGGCGCTTTCTAGATTTTCATGGGCGGTAAAAATTCCCGCTCAATTAGCCGCCTCACTGCGAGTCTTGGACGCTTATCTTGGAAAGCCACGGGTGGGTGCTGGCATCGCCAGCGTGCTCAGGAACAAACTTCCGGCACCCTACACAATCGGAACATAGGGTCCGCATCATGTCCCAGCGACCACTTAGGCCTTTAGCACCGGCGAAGGTGGCCGCCGAAGAGGCCAGCAGCTCGTCCAGCGGGCCAAGTCTCCCAAGCCGAGGCAGGAGCATCACCCGGAATCCCAGGAACAACGCGAGCGCAGCGTGCATGCAATGCAAGGCCAAAAGGAGAAAGGCAAATTCAAGCACCGTGGCCCAATGGTTCCTGACTGACCTTGTCCCAGTGCAGTGGCGCCCCACCGCCGTGCAACGCGTGTATCGCCGCGAATACGGGGTGTGTATTCCGGGAAGATCTTGACAGGAGACGCAAGGAGGCCATCAAACGGAAGGCGGAGGATGCCGAGCACCATCGTGACCTGTTGGGCGGACTGCTCAGGTCCATCCGCTGGAGTGAAGAAAGCGATGCTCAGCACCTCTTCCGTCTCATTCGCGATGACGCTCCACTGGCCGCCATAAATGCCTCGATTGATGCGGAAGTGAGGAAGCTTCGCGGATACAGCCCGGGAACAGACGCCACAATCGATGGACTCCTCCAGTTGCGATCCGAGGCGGCAAATCTGCAAGAGCAGACAATGCTGGCACGAGCCCGGAGGAAGACGATGAGCGTTGAGGAGATGTCGGACGAGCCTTTGTTTCGATTGACGGCAAAACCGTGGACAACAGTCACAGACGATGACTATCTGGTCTCACATCTGACCTCCCTCTATTTCACTTGGTGGAACGCCTTTATGCACCCTCTTCACGAACCGACACTCATCGAAGCCATGGAGAAAGGCGATACCAGTAGTCTACTCTGCTCACCTTTTCTGGTCAACGCCATGCTTGCCCTCGCTTGCGGCTATTCCGACTTAGCTGGCGCCTTCTCCGACCCGAATGATCCAGAGACCTGGGGAGAGCACTTTTATGATGAAGCAAAGCGTCTCTGGGATCGCGAGGAGGGGCGTGCCTCACTGATCAACCTCCAAGGTCTCTACTTACTCCTGTTCTATTGCAATATGCATGGCAAAGATCAGCTCGGCTGGTCGACGCTTTCGATCATGGTTCAGATGTATCAGGACCTTGGTCTCGCTCGTCAGACCAAGATCCCAAGGGGCTGTCCGGCAGAAGACGTGGATAAGTTGCGCGCGGCCATGGTGAATGCTACTTGGTCGGTCTTCGTCTGCAGCACGTGAGTATTTCGCGATTTGCTGGATAGTTGATTCCCCCTACTGACAGGACAGGATGTTTGCAATGTTCCTCCTCAAAAGGCCCACGCTGCAACCGCCGACGGTCGCGCGGCCGTATGCTGGAGAAGACCTCAACCCGTCCGTGCAGTGGAGACCATATCCTCGTCTAGAAAGGGTAGAGCCGCTCTACGGCAATTCTCTCTTCAACGCGCACTGTGACTTTGCCGAGATAGCATACGAGGTAGCATTGAGTGTGCCGTTTACCAAGAATGAAGATAGAAATGCGCCAGTGCAGTTGCTGCATCGGCTACACACCTGGCACGACGACTTACCAACGAAGTTGCGACTGTATCCGGAAGCCCCCGGGCCTTTGTTCGAGCTGCAGTGAGTTATATCCGACGGGCAGTATGTGATGCTGACCGAGTCAGCGCGGTATACTACTGGTGTGCCCTTACCTTGAGTGAGGTGTCGGACAGGGAGCCATCACGGGAGCCGACACCCCCTCCATTCTCGTCAACTTCGGCAGTGGCCGCTGGGTTGACTGTTCGCGGCAATTCCTTGCTCATGATCCGTGAAATGTTGCCCATGTTTCGGCATTATCGGCGGACGTACGGGCTTGTTCGTGTCATGGCAGGCAGTTGTCAGACTGCGGCCGTGGCGTATTTCATTCTTCTGAAAGCTCTGCGCAGCCCATCGTCGCAATCTGGAGAGAACGAAGAAGCCCTAATCGAGTTGACACTGTATCTTATGATGGGTGCACGGCGCTGGCTCGTTTATGCCGGGATCATCCGGATGCTGCGTCCAACAGCGCAGTTGATAGGCGTTCAGCTCCCCCAAAAGCTGATGGAAATGCTCGACGAGTTCGACAAGACCGTTTGGCCGGTCAACGCACACCGGCGGATCAAGAGCGTATACCCGAATCTCGCGCTCGTGAAGAAAGACGGTTTGGAGGACGAAGAGGTGACCATGGGCGAGTTATTGACAAAGTGGGAAGGGCTCTCAGCAGAGGACGCAAGCGAAAATTGAGCGGACGGCTACAATATACGACTCTCGGGCAAACTATGCTAGGAAAAAGAATCCGGGGTGGCTCAGGCGAAATTACTGGGGCGGGTCTGAATAGATGCTAGGGGGACAGATTCACCTGGTCCAAGTGGCTGATCCCTGCGGGCGGAAGACTTTTCCTGGCCAGAGGCTCGCGCTCCCTATCAATCCCGGCCTTTGCCACTCCCTCCGCCAATGCGCCCCAGCCATGAGACCGATGGCACCCAAGCAATTGCTTCAGCCTCTGGCGTCTGGAAATGTATTCCTGCTGTGTACCTGTTCAGTGGCTGATCGCCACTTTGTTTCGGTGTACCGAACATGGCCTTGTAGGGAAGTTGTCGAAAAGAGTCAAGAGGAAGAGGGTTCCTCGCACCAGCCTTCATGGATCTCGCGGGAAAAGAGAATTGGTGGGTCGGGTCTCCCCCCGAATCATCGTGCTTACCTTTGTGGGAGACATACTGTGTAGAGGCGCCTGTTTGTGTGCTGGCAAACATCATTGTCGCCGCTGCGGAGAAGCTTCCACAAATAGTTCCCAATTTCCCCATTAAAGCTCAGAGTCGAGCCGCACAAGACGAGAGTGCACAGGCCATTCGTACCGGCGTTTTGCTAAAAACAGCGATTCAACAGATCAACTGGCCCATGATCGTCAGGCATCGGAAGGATCGTGAGAATGGTGAGGAGCCAGGCGACAATCAGACCACTGCGGCACATTCCGTTTCATCTTCCCCTGGGTAACGGCCTGTGCACACCTGCTCCATTCACAGCGTTGCATACCTTTCCTTCCTGAGCTTAGCTGGACCGTGCGCACCAGTGCATTACCCCATGTTTTGCCGACCAATGGAGTGGACCACAGTATGGCACATATAGAATTACCAACAGCGGGCAATTGTAGTTGTCATTCTCCTCCAAATTATTTGTGTGGATGAACATGAAACTGACAGCCTGGCTATTTTCCTTCCAGCAGCTTTAAGTCACGGGACCAAGCACGTGATGAAACACGTGATGCGCACTCGCTGTTGCTCTGGCTCGACAACCAGCACGATCACGAGTATTGTGGTAATTTAGAAACGCCAAGCTGACGAAAACAAGGACAACGATTGGTGGCTCAGGCCGGCTTTACCTCGGCATATTCAATCGAATCTCATTTTTCCCTCCGAGGTCGGCCAAGCATTTTCATCTTTCTTTCTACTCAGCGACGAGGTTGAGTGCAATAATGTCGGCCCTGATGCAGCGAGCCCCTACAGCTCGCGTCAGATGTCCTCTTGATCTGGGCTCACGGCTAGGTTCTCGACGAGCAACAGTAGCTCGCCGCGACTATGCTGTGCACCAGTCTCAGCCACCCATTCGAAGGAGAGCTGCCGTCCCTCCCTACCAGAAAATCCTGACGAATTTCGAAAATGTCAGGGACATTCTGGGATCGCGGAAGCTTACTCTCGCCGAGAAGATCCTCTACTCCCATCTCGACAACCCAGCCGAATCGCTGCTGACCAATACCGACAACGGCACCAACATTCGCGGAAATGCCAACCTCAAGCTCAAGCCCGACCGTGTCGCAATGCAAGATGCCTCTGCTCAGATGGCTATACTCCAATTCATGACTTGTAACCTCCCCAGCACGGCCGTACCCGCAAGCATCCACTGCGACCATATGATCGTGGGGGAGAAAGGTGCGGATACGGATCTGCCAAACTCGATTGCTGGGAACAAGGAGGTCTTTGACTTTCTCGAGTCTGCCGCCAAAAGATACGGAATCGAGTTCTGGCCTCCGGGAGCAGGCATCATACACCAGAATGTATTGGAGAACTACGCCGCGCCTGGTCTTATGATGCTGGGAACGGACAGTCACACGCCAAATGCTGGTGGACTGGGTGCGATTGCTATAGGCGTTGGCGGTGCTGATGCCGTAGATGCTTTGGTCGACGCTCCGTGGGAGCTCAAGGCCCCTAAAATCCTGGGAGTCCGGCTCGAGGGCAAACTCAGTGGCTGGACCTCGCCGAAAGATGTCATCCTCTACCTCGCTGGTCAGCTGACTGTCCGTGGTGGCACCGGCTCCATAGTGGAATACAATGGCCCTGGTGTCGACACTCTCAGCTGCACAGGCATGGCTACCATCTGCAACATGGGAGCTGAGGTCGGTGCGACCACCTCGATTTTCCCCTTCTCCGAGACCCATATTCCATACTTGCGGGCCACTGGACGAGATTCCATCATCGATGCTGTCAAGGGAATCGCATATGGCTCTGAAAAGTACAATTTCCTGCGTGCCGACAGTGGCGCCGAGTATGATCAAGAAGTCGTAATCAATCTGTCTGCTCTCGAGCCGCACATCAATGGGCCCTTTACCCCGGATCTATCTACACCTTTATCGAAGTTCAAGGATGCAGTGGAGGCCAACAGATGGCCTGATACCTTTTCGGCCGGTTTGATTGGCAGCTGTACCAACAGCTCCTATGAGGACATGACGCGTGCAGAGGACCTGGTAAAGCAGGCACAGGCTGCTGGCTTGAAGCCCAAGTCCGATTTCTTCATTACACCTGGCAGTGAGCAGGTCCGAGCTACGCTCGAGGACAACAAGACTCTAGATACCTTCACAAGCGCGGGAGGCACTGTCCTAGCCAACGCGTGCGGGCCGTGCATTGGCCAGTGGAAAAGAACTGATGGCGTGAAGAAAGGCGAGGACAATGCCATCCTTTGCTCATATAACCGCAATTTCCCCGGTCGAAACGACGGTAATCCTCGCACAATGAGTTTTCTCGCTTCGCCTGAAATTGTGACGGCTATGTCATACTCTGGATCGACTTCGTTCAACCCTATACACGATGCCATTCCATTACCATCTGGGGAGAAGTTCAAATTCGAAGCTCCGAAAGGCGCAACGCTGCCCGGTTCCGGCTTTGCCGTTGGAAATCCTGCATTCTTTCCTGTATCTGCCGACCCTGATCAAAGCGTGGAAGTAATCGTTGATCCCGAATCCTCCAGATTGGCTATCCTGGAGCCTTTTGAACCGTTCCCAGAAGGCGAGCTGAAGGGACTGCAGGTTCTGTACAAAGTCAAGGGCCAATGCACCACAGACACCATTTCAGCAGCTGGACCGTGGCTTAAATACAAAGGACACCTCCCCAATATTGCCGAGAACACCTTGATCGGTGCAATCAACGCGGCAACTGGCGAGACAAATGTTGCATACGATAGCGACGGCACTACATCTTCCATACCAGAACTCGCGAAGAAGTGGAAAGCAAAAGGACAACACTGGCTAGTTGTGGCCGAGGACAACTACGGCGAGGGATCCGCCAGAGAACACGCCGCTCTTCAGCCTCGATATCTCGGAGGTCAGATCATCCTGGCAAAGAGCTTTGCGCGAATCCACGAGACCAATCTCAAGAAACAAGGAGTGGTGCCTGTGACCTTTGTCGACAAGGCAGACTACGACCGAATTGATGCTTGCGATAAAGTCGACACCGAGGGTCTGTGGGATGTCTTGAAGAACGACGGCCAGGGCGAGATCAACCTGAAGGTCACGAAGAAGGACGGAACAAGCTTTAGCGTTCCAGTCAAGCACACTCTAAGCAAGGACCAGTGCGGATTTATCCTTGCTGGAAGCGCGTTGAACCTGCTTGCGAAGCGCCAAGCAAATTGAGTGCAACACGCCGCTGCTTCTATGGACGGAAGGCAGAGTGCTGCAGCGAGTTGCGGAGCCTCGCTTTTGCCGGTGTCGGCTTGGCATCATCGGCGCTTCTGATTAGCCATCCAAGGGACCACAGCAGAAATTGGAGCCTATCGCCTTTGTCCAGTCGGTCGTCGCCACCACGCTCATGCATTTGTTTCTCGAACTCGATGCGTCGATCGCCGTGTCACCGAAGACGAAGATTGGCCCTGACAGCTCCGGTTGTATCTTGTCTTGGTCCTGCACGGGGCAATGGCCCAATTGAGCATGCACATCGTAGTATATAAGCACCAGAAGCGGTGGACGACGCACGCAAAACAGACAGCTCCTGTACGCTGAGTTACAAAACGTCCAACCAGCAGGAGGCTCGCAGACATGCTCGTCGTAGCAGCAATATTTGGCCTGGTCCGGCTGGCGGACGCATGGGGCACGCTGGGCCACGAGACGGTTGCTTGGATTGCTCAGTCATATGTGTCACCCGCCACAAAGGAGGCTGTCCAGGTGATCCTGGATTCAAGCCAGTCTGACTATATGGCGAATGTATCGACCTGGGCCGACTCGTACCGCTACACTGACGGAGGTGGATGGTCTGCGCCACTTCACTACATCGACGCCAATGACAACCCTCCCGAGTCATGCTCGGTCGACTTCAATCGCGATTGCGGCGACGAGGGATGCTCTGTGTCGGCAATTGTTAACTACACCTCAATCCTGTTGGACGACGAGTCTAAAGCTTCAGTGAAACGGGATGCCATGCGGTTCATCATTCACTTCATTGGGGACCTTCACCAACCTCTTCGTAAGTAGTCCTTGTCCTGTCTGCTATCAACCTGGGTGATAGGATATGGACTCTGACGGGCGTATAGATGATGAAGCCATCGACGTCGGTGGCAACACCATCAATGTCACATATGATGGGGACGACACCAACTTGCACCATATCTGGGACACTGAGCTTGTCGAGCAACTGGCAGACGGTCAGGATGCAGAAGAGTTTGCAAAGAACCTTACCGCCGCGATTCGTGCAGGGGCCTACGGATGGGATTCCAGCACTTGGCTTACTGGGGCTAGTCTCAACGATACCAAGGCGTCCGCCATGACTTGGGCGCACGAAGCGAATGCATATGTTTGCAGCGATGTACTTGCCGCAGGTGTGGACGCGGTCGAGGAGGGCGATCTCAGTGGAAGCTATTACAAGGCACATTTCGATGTGGTACGAGTTCAGCTTGCCAGGGCCGGGTTCCGGCTGGGTGCATGGTTGAACCTGATCTACACGGGACAGGCAGGTGACTGATGCCTTGAACGTGGGGCTTAACGGCCAGGCAGTAAGCTGGGGAATTTGACGCTTGGGAGAGGTGAACGGTGTCACTGATGTCTACTGTGTATTGGATTGTGGATCATCCTCGTTGCGCAGCTTAGTGCCATGGGGAACCGTCCGAGGCTCTACCACAGTAATTACAGTGGGAGCATGACTGCATTGCTCGCGCTCCTACATGTTTTCCACCGGCATCGTCCTCCAATCAAGACTTTCCTTGGCCACATCGCATGAACTGTGTTGCTGCTTCGGCGTGGATCGACGAGGTCCATGTTACCAACTCACTTGAGGAATTTTACCTGTCGGTAAATGCTAGCATGCGCATGGGTCCTGTGTTCTACGTTCGCGCGGCTGTGGTGCCAGGAGCAAGAAGATTCGGGTCCGCAGTCATTTAGGTTCGTTAGGCGGGCATTCTCGTTCTGTCCCCCCGTTTCAGGTCCATGTGTCTCCCTCAGAAGGGCAAGGAAAGGTCGATCATACATACTCGTTTCGGAATGAAATGCGCAGGGACGCGGTCACCTCTTGTCCGCCGACAATACCGATTGCAGTGCATGATGCCAGCCTAAAGCATTGACGCAGTAAAGCGATGCCCATATGCAATGCAGCGTCAAGCCAGCCAACAATCTTACGTCGGGCTGCCTTTCAGGGCCAGGTGGACTAAACCGTTGTTGCCCTCTCCGGTGCTACGCACGATAGGCAGTGATGACGAGGCATTCAGGGCACCACTTCGTCCTGTCCAATTCTGATAGATCTGCTGTCATCTCCAGCTAGTATGTACCTTTTCGGGAGCACTTTCCACTTCCTCAGAATGACAGCCGCCATGAATGAGGGTGGAGTGAGGAGTGACCTGTGGAAACCAGCCTCTTGCAGATCATAGAAAGTGCTGCTTCGCCTGCTCTCTCGCGCACTGTTCATCTAAAGGTTCAGATTCTGTTCACAGTTCCCTGAGCTGAGTACGAAGGCAGACGCTCGCTACTGGAACGAGGCTGTGCCCAACGCAGTGGACACGAAGCACACTTTGCTGTAGCCAGTTGAACTCAACACTCAACAGGGCGCCCAGTGGCTCAGCAGCGGTACATGTCAGGCTTGACACGCAGAGCCTCTCCCTCGTCATTCCTCGCTTCTGGCCCCTTCTGATCGTGATTGTTCTCGGTGCACGAGCAGCAACTCGCACCCTTCACACTTTTTCTTGGGGTCGCGGGGCAAGGCTAATTTTGGGGATACTGTACCTCGTCGTGGCAATCCGGAGCGCCATCTCGAGTTCTCTCAGTAGTCGACCCTCAGACATAATAATATCCGCCTCGCTGCGCTCAAACCGACCCCATCACGATCGTTTCACAGCGGCGCAACAAAGCAGGAACCCCAAGGAGCGTCGCCAATACCGGGATCGCCCTTTCCGCGCGTCGTTTTCTCCACCAGGCTACGACGACCTGCACCCACGCCATCGCCTGACTGCGTAGAGCCCTCCTCAACTGCATACAGGGTTCCCACGCGATCTACGGGGATTATATACCTCCCCTCGGCGAACGGCGTCGTCCAAGCCGCGCGACCACTGGCGTGTACTGTTTATGTACTTACCGCAGCTTCGGCGAAGACCACCTGCAGCTCGCGATCCGCTGTCAGCACTCTACTGTTCCAAGCATCCAGTCACGTTGGTTCAGTCCACTCCACGATCGCACGCGTGCTCACTGGGCTCGAATACACCGGCATTCGGCAACTACACGGCTACCCACGAGCCCAGTAAATTGTCTAAGCCCCAGTCACAGAACGCCACCATTTTGATCCTTCCCGTGCTTGTACGAGGTACGCCTGCGGCCATGCCGGCCTCCTACTGTGCCCAACCGACCCGCAATATCCTTATTATCGGGGCGACGGGCGTCATAGGCACATACATCACACGGGCCATTCTTGATGCAAGAGAACATTTTGATCGAATTTGTATCTTGACCAGCCAGAAGACGTTGGTGGAGAAGGTCCAGGATATTGCGGCGCTGGACGCGTGGGGTGTGGAAATCTTCACGGGCAGGTTGGAGAAAGAGTCTGCGGTCAAGAGGGCATATGAAGGTACGCCATTCACACATATAACCTGAATGCGGCGGGGCTATGGGGAGGCGGTACTGACACAGGTCGAAACGGATAGGAATCGACACGGTGGTTTCCTGCGTCGGTAGGGGTGGCATAGAGAAACAAATCAACCTCATCACATGGGCCGAGCAAGCGGGCGTGCGACGCTTCTTCACCTCCGAATATGGCACCGACATTGAATACTGGCCCCAGTCGGCCCATGAGCCACCACATCAGCTCAAATTGAAAGTCCGCGCCCACATGAAGACTATGAAGACGCTGGAGCATACATATCTGGTCACTGGTCCCTATAGCGACCTATATTTTGGGACCATGAAGGCAAGACCTGAACTCGGCCAGTTCGATGTGAAGGAAAAGAAGGCAGTGTTACTGGGAGACGGAGAGGGTCCAGTCAGTTTTACTGCCATGGCTGAGTATGTGTACTTCTTCGTCGTGACGATTGGACTTTGACTGACGGCGCATGCAGTGTCGGGAAATTTGTAGTCGCAGCCCTGATGAACACCACCGCATCTCGGAACACGACATTGATCGTGCACTCATTCACCGCAACGCCACACGAAATCCTAGCCGAGTACGAACGACAGACTGGCTGTCAGTGGGAGAAATCATACACGACGCTCGAACGGTTAAAAGAGATTGAGAGAGAAGAGTATCAAGTCTACTCGGCGCTAGCCACAGTTGTGACGCTACGGCGGATCTGGACCGAAGGCGGAACGCTGCACAAATACTACGACGAGACCATCCTCGGGCAAGTCGATGCAGAGACACTGGAATCTCAGGTCGCAGCAAATATCCGGAAGCAAGAAGATGGTGAAGGCGACTTCCCCAGTCTGATGCGAAAGCTGAGTTTGACTTGAAGAGGGGGAAAGCGACCATCATTTTGGCCGCGAGAAAGGGAGAAATTCCTGCGATCACCGCACCGATCGGGTCTCGACTTTTAGTACGCAACACGAACTACATTATGAGGACCGCGAGAGCATTAGACAGCCTTTCTGATACCCTGGCAGATGCATGGTAAGGGTATAATCTAGGGGAGTATGGACGAATACGAGGCCCCCTGACCTGTCAGAGCCTTGCACCAGGGCGAAAGCGATCACTTTATATACATCATTTGAATCCGTCCAAAAGCACCACTCCAACTGCCCGGGACTGGTGGGTGCCCTTCACATGAAAAGTTCGGCTGTCTCTTATGGTCGGGTACAGGCAATCACCGCCAGACCGGACCGTGCATCAGGCCGAGCACATATAACCGAGGTTCTTCCCCCAGCGGTGCGGTCGATACTCCTAGATTGGACACCTCTGTCTTATCACTGTAGGCGGTTTCGGACCAAAGTGGACCGTAAATCGTCTTTGCTGCTCAGCGGCGTCCGGTGTTGAAACCGAGGAGAACAACCGGCCCGGCAAGCCCTATCTGCTCGTTCATGTGGAATCTTGTCGTTCTAAGGGCGCAGCCAATCACAGCACGTGGCACCGAAGCAGGTGCTGATGTCCACTTCCTTCTCTATCTCCAAGTTCCATGTTCGAACCTTCGTCTCGGCTTCTCCAACTAAATTGTAAATTCTACCGACCGAGCACAGCGTACTGCATTAGTGCAACAAATCATATTCTCTCTGGGTTCTGTCAGACGGCTCACAGTTTCAGAGGTGTCGAACGAGCCCGGCCATCTCTCATTGCTATTCCTCCGGCATCTAGCCCTGGGGGTAAGACCTTGGTAAGAGATTTGTACAGGGTGCGGAACCCGCAGAAGCGGCGCAACAAGTCTGTGAGTTGCAGCAGGAAGCAGGAGAGGGGCAATCATTTATCGGTCGTAGCCCGTGGAGTCAGGCTCTGATACGTGGTCGCCTGGCTTGCTTGAGGGATTCATCTCCCCGGCCTTGATGCCGAGACGAGAGCGGAAGGAACGAGAGACAGTTAAGTGCTGTATCGTGGTGACTTGGTGGTAGCACTGCAGCGGACGGCATTTCGGAATCAGCAGCAGGAACAAGCCGTCGGCCCTTTACAGTACAACGCCAGTTCCCACCACCAGTCAAGATCTTGTGCCGGCGAGCGGTTTGGACTCCGTGGCTCCTGTCACTCTCAAATGCTATGGTTGATTCATGATACTAGCTGGCCGAGTTATCCACGATAGTGTCACCCAACAACCCTTTGCCTCCAGAACACCACGATTCGCAAAAGCATTGCTCTCGCAGACGCGGCGCAGACTCACCAGCGAAGCGAGCATTCACATATCAAGTCCCTCCTCGCCGCCCACTCGAACATCTTCATTAGCGGCCAAGCATAGTCTGTTCTTGTCGTCCGTGGGACCCGTTCGTTCTCAGTCACTATCCGCAATCTCTTTTGCTTCTGCCGCCAAAATGCCTTCCCCGTCACTTAGCCAGCCTCCTCCGTTACCTCCAGGCAAGGACAGACACCATATTGTTGTGCTCGAAGGCATCCACGCCGAAATGCCGCCCTTTGACTTTCCACATACCATCGATGTCCACCAACGGACCGCGCCTTCCCAGGTCGTGGAACGGATTAAGGGCGCCACAATTGTCATCGCCTGCATCGTCCCTGTGACACCAGAAGCCATGGACCACGCTCCCCACCTCGGCGTCTTGGCCGTAATGGCCGTGGGCATCCAATGGGTCGACAAGCAAGACTGCGCCCGCCGCGGCGTCACCGTCACGAAATGCCCAGCCGGCAACGTCGACGCCGTGACCGAGCACTTCCTCGGCCTATACTTTGCATCCCGCAAAAGGGTGGTCCAAGTGCACAACAAAGTCACCAAGACAAACGAGTGGCTGGAAAAGGGCACGTTGACCAAGCTGTGGCCCAGCGGACCGCCCATGGGAGCCGGCCAGGAGACACTGGGCATCATGGGATACGGGACCCTGGGGACTCGGCTTGAAAAGCTGGCCAAAGCGGTGGGTTTCAAAGAAGTCCTGATCAGCGAGAGGAAGAACTCCAAGGCCACACGCCCAGGGCGAGTCAGTTTTGAAGAGACGTTGCGAAGAGCGACGGTCGTGGCGATTTGTTTACCCAAAGAACACGACACGATCGATCTACTCAGCGAAGCAGAATTACGGTCCATGAGGAAAGAAGCTCTAATCATCAATGTCGCGCGAGGAGGGATCGTCAACGAACACGCCCTGGCCACGGCGTTGAAGGAAGGGTGGATCGCCGGCGCCGCGACCGACGTGTTGGAAACAGAGCCCGCAGGCCTGGGCACGAGTCCGTTGATCCCCGACGTGGCGAAGGGCGAGGAGGAGGTGCCGAATTTGACGATATGTGAGTGGCGCGCTCTCTTTCTCTCTCCTTGTCTCCACAAAGGACGCATGGCTCCTTAACTACTGTAACTGGTATCTAACTGACTAACCTGCTTGTGCGCTACCAGCCTCGCATATCGCATGGTTCACGCAGTCCACGATCAAGAACTACCAGCGCCTGCTCAAGGAGGGTGTCGAGGGATGGGTGAATGGCACGTTACAGCTGGATGAGGACAAAGTGCACAAGGTCGTCGTGGTGCATAATGGGACTGTGTGGAATTGAGGGCAACACTGAACATCACATCGCACCATATCGCCGCACCACAATTGCCAATGAAATGCCGGGAGAGGCATGCGTCCGGATCGCACTCGATGATTAGAATACTGGAGTGGATTGACCAGACGATGGGTCGATGATCGGAGAGAAGTGAATTGACAGCTAGTGCCTCGCACAGTTGATCGCAATGGACAGGCGATGGATCAATGGTTGGAGATAAGTAAGCGTGAAGCAATGTCAGACCAAGTCCGTCGTCGATCGAGACGCACGCTCGGACTTGCGGCAGTCGTCCTTTTCCCTGTGGGTGGCAAGGGCCGTCAGTTTGCGTTGATCCCCGTATGATATCCAGCGTAACAAGGTACAGTATGATAAGGTGTCCCCATCCATCCGGTGGACGCGAAAACGGCATGAGAATAGTACTGTAGTAGCAGGATAGATACCTACAGTACGATCTGTTAGTGGGGCGCTGCTTACAGTAGGAGCGGGCGAAGAGAACAGCCCTGAACCGCGCTCTAAAAGCAGCTTTACCATAAGCGATACGGTTACGGGGGTAGACCAAGAGCAACACAATACACAGTAGATCGGATTGCCCGCGATTCGATGATGGTGGCAGTAGCAGTAGCAGCAGCGGTAGCGAGGTCATATCGCTTTGGCCTTTCCTAGTCTTACCTTGCGTAGTATGCGCGATTGTAGTGATTGTAGTGATGGTGAACCCTCACAGACGTCGAGAATGAGACACGCACACACACATCATTTTATTACTGTAAGCAGGATCGGAGGCGGCGGCGTGAATTGTGAATTTGGGAATACTATAGACAGAGGGAGGGTGATTTGGAGCCTGTCAAACTGCAAACTGGTTACGTGACTGGCAAGACTGGCAAGACTGGGAACTGTGTTCGATCATACTGTATCGTTTCGGATACAGTCGACATTCGCAACCTTTTGCTGGCACCCATGTCATCTACTACTGTACTCAGTTGTATGTACAGAGGGTCATCTTTGCTGTGGTCCAGGTGGAGAAGGAGAAGTGAAAGTTTGACTACTCCTGGGAAGACAAGGGTTGCTTCCTTCCTACAGTATGTGATGATTCTGTCGCACTTACGGTGCTAGAGCACCGAGTCATCATGGCATGCTCGCAAGCATTGATCAAGGTCAGCATGCCTTGCATCTCGGACTGACTTGTGTAGATTTCAAGGTCCCGAAATGGATTCAATTCTGGATTATCGCACCTCAGCACGAAGCTCGCGGGTCAGGCGTGCCGCGTACAACTTCGTCAGAATGCCCGATTGGTCCTCGACCCTGACGGGGAGCTCAGGCTCATTGCAATGGTCATAGTGTACATGGGCACCGCAATTCTGAACCATGCCTCATCCCAATTGCTAGGCAAATCTCCTGTCCCAAGCGTCCCAATTCCGTGTCTGAACATTTCCATCCGCAACCAACCACCAAGACCGACATGCGCACTGGCTAGACAACCCATATCTCAATAACTCATTACCGCACGTCTTGCATCACCACGTCCCTCATTCCCGGATGTGACGCGTCCTCAGTAGCTGGAGCTGCTTCAGATTGCCGGCTAAGTTCTTTCAGGACGTTGGGTCCGGTGCGAGTGTCATCGTCTCTCTTGGCCACGGTTGCTTCCTCATTGGACCCCTGTGCCAGTTTCCTCCCTTCACCATCAGCAGTATGAGCCATGTTCGCCTTAAAAGCTTGCTCATTGACCTTGTGTTCGACGGCGAGCGCGGCCTCAAGCTGCGAGTGTGAGTGGGGTTGTGGCTGCTTACTCGGGGTCGGCACCGGCCCATTGGAGCTTGAGTTGCGTAGCTGTTGAGGGCTTGGCCGCAGGTTTTCAACAGGCGGGAGGATCGGCGTGCCGCTAACAGAACGCTTCTCACCAGGGTAAGGGGCGGTAGTAACGGTAGGCAGTACAGGCTCATTTGTTGGGTGGAGGGCGTGCTGGCTTATGGACGAAATGGATAGAGGTGGGGATGTCGGTGCTGACTTTTGAGAATTGGCGCTCGGCGCAGCTAGAGGACCCGGTGTCTGTTGTTTTCTGGGCGAGAGCCCGGACAGTGAATAGTTGGGTGTTCTTGAGATAGGAGTCCGATGCAAATTTGCCGGCTGGTTCTGAGAAGTGGGTCCAGGAGTTACTTGGGATTGAGATGATGTCGCGTTGGTAGGGCCAAAGATGCCATTCGACGTGAGCTCGGGAGATTCCGAGGCTTTCTGAGGGATGCCGGCAACCGGACCGACGTCCATGTTCCCTTGTGTCGGAGACATAGTTGGACGATTCAACACGGGGGACGGCAGACGAGCACTGTTGGGCGAGGAATTGGGAGCTGCCGAACGTGTCGGAATGGTCGACGGCGCCAGGGGTCTCTTGCCGCCAGGATAGTCCTGGTACTGATGTGACACACCATTGTTGTGGGACGGTGGGCTAGCCGCAAAGGGAGGTGGCGGGATTGTAACCTGGCCGTTGCTGGCGGAGGGGAGGTAAGGCTGGATTGCTTGATAGCCAGAGGGAAGAGGCCGGCTGCCATAGCCTTGTGGATACTGGGGAGGGCCAGGATGCGGATGCTGAGGGGACCCAGGAAGTTGCTCAGGGTATGTGCCGTTGACCAGTGATGGCTGGTGACCTTGGGAGGCTTGGCCCGGTGTTGAAAGGTGCCCAATCGATTGTGAACCCTGAGTCCGCATACTGGGAGCCTCAACGCCAGCGAAGGTGGACCGAACAGGTGCCGGACTTGGAGGAGCCGGAGACGATGATGCACCAACACGGAACTTGAGGGAAATCTTTGGCTTCTTTGAGTCCTCTTCTTTCTGTCTGCATTCTTTGCAAACGAAATGAAAGTCTTTCTTCTCTGCCGCCGACTTTGAGATGCCCAAGCATTTGCTATGCTGCCAGACGTTACAGCTCTCGCACGAGATGATGTGGGTTCCATCATCCTAGACAGCGGAAGTTAGCATGCAGCGGGCCAGGCCAGGTTGAACGAGATACCCACAAGATTTTTGCCATAAACCCCACAGCCAGAGCAGTCAAAGGTCCAGTCTTCGTCGGCGTCAAGGTCCTCCAGCTCTTTCTTGTTCCGCTCCATGCGCTGCTTGAGTGCTCGATCGGACCCTCGACTCTGGCCTTCCTCGATGCGCTTCTGCTCCAGTTCGTCTCGGGCGAGCTCCTCTTCTTTGAGGATTCGCTTGTATTCGCGGTCCTTGATGCGTTGTTCCCGCGTCATCATGCGGTATTGTCTCTCTTGCTCCATCTTCTCTTGTCTTACTTGTTCACGATGAGCAGCGGCGAGGTCGGCTTGTCTCTTTTTCTCGATCTCAGCTTGTTCAGCGTCTCGTCTTTCGCGGTCGTGCTTGTCGGCCAAACGACTGGATCGTTTAGCACCGACCATCCTCTCCATCATGAGGAGTTCCCTCTCACGACGCTCAGTCTTCCGACGTCGCTTCTCTTCGGCGGCTTCGATGACCGGAATGACTTCCTCCATTAGTCGTTGTCGCAGCAGCTTCTCATTGGCATCTTTGCTCTTTTTGAGAGATTCACAAAATTCCTGATAGTCAGGAAGATTTATGCAGAGGCATTCCCACTTGAAGCCGCCGAAGGTATCAATCTCCCAGGAGTCAAGCTTTTTTTCTTCTTGGGTGGCCTCTGTCTCTTCAGTGTTGTCTTCGTTATCCTCCTCGGTTTCGACGCTTTCGACTTCCAATTTTCTCCGCTTGGATTCCCGGCGTCTGGCGGCGATGGCTTTCTTAGAATTCGCTTTCGGTTTGGCCTTTGGAGCTGCGGGCAGGGGAGGTTCAGTGCGTCTGTAGAAGCGATTGTCGTCCAGGAGGTAATACTGTCGATCATCTCGGTCGTAGCCGAACTCTTCAATGCGCTTTATGAGCAACGTTAGTCCCACTGTGGACATATCTGAGCGGCAGAACTCACCCATTCAGTTTGATCCGCTTCACGAGGATGATCGGCCATCTTCTCCCTCATGCGGTCGGGGTTCCAGAATGTCCATACCGTCAGCTGGTGAAGGATCCTAATCTTAGTGCAGATGTCAAAGTCCCGAAACCGCTTGGGTTCTTCGTCATCGCCGTAAGGGTTGAGATGAGGGGCCTTGGCCAGGTACTGTCGGCGGGTATATTCATCCCAAATGTCATAACTGCACTAAAGTCAGTCGGGCACAAGACAGTATAGGCAAGGCAGGACTGACTTCAGTCCTCGATGCGAGGAAATCCACTTGAGAAGGGTGAGGCCGATCTCCTCGAGTTTCTCCGAACTGCCTGGCTTCAAACACTCGTTCTCGAAGTCCTGCGAGATCACCATTAGCCATTCCGCGCGCCAAAATTACTCCGCCGGAAGCGTTGAGCGCTCAATGCACCACAGCATTACGGACATTGTAGGCGTACCTCGATGTCAAAGTCTTCGTCGATCTTGACGGCCTTGCCGAATGTGAAAATGTACTGCATCACCGAGGCAAATTCCCACATATTACGTATCCTCTGCAGTAACGAGGTCTCCTGCTGCTTCTCTTCAGGCTCGGACGCCTCCATCTCGTCTCGCGTGCGTTTGCGCGGCATGGTGCGAGGGAGGCCGGCCGGGAGGCAGAGAGGTGAAGAAGGGAAAGGGTGATGGCGAGTGTATTTCAGCTTGTTTGTATCATCAAGAAGAGGTATGACAGATATCTATGCCCTTTGTTGGCTGGTGGTGAAGTGATATCGCCGATATTGACGGAAGTGTTGCTGGATCTTTTCGGCTGGGTACGCGGGATTGCATCTACACGGAGCGAGGCGCGACTCGTGAGGCCCATTCAATTTGCAGGTGACCGCAACAAGAGAGGCACGGAGGCCAAGGGCTGCGGATAAAGGTTATTCCGGGGTCCGGCTGCCCGTCTGGTCACTCATTCACTTCACTTTACTCCGTACTTGACTGTATTTACTCCGGACTTTCCGACATTCCTAGCGCTGAACCACGTATCTTTCATAGCATCAGTTGTATAGACGGTTGGATACCTGGCCGTGCCGTTTATGCGAGGTTTGAGGCTATTCAGCTGTGCCCCTGCCTTCGTTTCAGTGGGCCACCAAGGTCAAATACCTGGCAAAGCACGGACTTTCCTCGATTTAATTGCAGTTTAAAGGTACAATCCCAGTGATGTGGGATTGGAAGCTGGAAGTGGTGTGAGCGGTTTCAGAAACTGCCCTTGGGATCGTCATAAACACAAAGTTTCTTGCTCCGAAACTAAATCCTTCTTTCATCGATCAATACCACTTCTCTGGTTGCAGTCACATTATGTCCACTCCTCCGACACGCCCATCTACCTTACAAGACCACCCTTCCCTCGCCCCCGCCTTTCACCTCACCATTCTGATCGGCCCGGCCACTCCAGTCGGCTCGCTCTCCCGAGGCACGCCACTCACGGTCGTCCCACTCGTATCAGGTTCTTTCGTGAGCGAGCCGGGATTTGATGTTAGCGTCGATGCCAGGTTGAGGGGACAAGGGGTCGATTATGTCCATAATGACCCCGATGGCGGCCGTATGAGATTGAGGAGTGATTTGCTCGTTGGGTGAGTCACGAGACCTCCTTCGTTTCCTCCTCAAAGGCGGAATGCAAGTGTGGCGTCGACGAGTCGGATGTGCCGAGACTGATTGTTATGTTTTGTACGGGACTCAGGGATCAGAATGGAGAGGTATGCTCTGACGTTGTTGATGCTGTTGTGCTCTGTCCTCGAGGAGAAGAGTCGTCTGCTAACAGCCAGTCTGGCTCCTCAGACGATCCACATACATTACACTGGCATAATCGATGTCACGAATGAAATGCGCCGCATCCTGGGTCGGAGCGTGAACGCGAAGACGACGGACTTCGGAAGCTCCTGTGAGTCAATCTGAACAGGGACCTTCCCTCGTCTTGTCCATTGCCTTGCACTGTCCATGTCCTTGTATTGTCCAGAGTTGTTGATATCTCCCTTCAACCACCAAAGTCATCCATGTATCCTTCGAAACGGGCTCAATCCGATATAAATCGTTGGAACAGGCACTCTTTGTCGGATCTGGAAGATTCATTATTGATGAGCGCGGGCTTACCGTCGAATACCGGATAAGCAAGGTCTGTAAAGGACTTGGCGCGGCCGCGGAGGACCCTGAAGCTGCTCCTGTGGAAGGTGATAACGCTGGCGGAGCTCAAGCAGAGACCTCAAGACCGAGCGCCTGAAACGGGTCACTCGGCTGCGCGCTGATAGATTGTCGGCAGAACCTGTCGTCTGGGTAATTCAAGTTCTGAAAGTTGCCGTGAAATGATTAAGCAAGTAGCGGCGTGCTTTCGCTGGCGGGTGCTGGTCCGCTAATCTCACTGCGCGCCCGAGCTTCCGTCTCCGCAGAAGCATCCTTCCTATCGTTAATACCCCAGACCCAGCTGGGCGCCCAAATACTCATCTTCCACCACCCCTGCCTCCTCGCCTTCCATCTCCGTGCCGCCCACCTCCCCAACCTCACAGCCGACCAAATCACCAACAGGCCTATAAGCGTCCCGAATACAGCGACAACGACACTTAGGAACGTCATACTCGAACATCGACAACTGAATGGCCGAGCCCTCATCTCCCATCGCTCCCGCCATGCCAGAGGACATATATCAGCGGACTTTATCGGTGCAAGGATTCCGAATGGGTACGGGGAAATGGTGTTTGGCACGCAGGTTTGCGATGTTGCGCACCAGGAGCAAGGGTATGGATTTGACGCAGAGAGGCAGGCGGGACAGTGCGGACGGGTCCAGCAGTGGAAGAAGAGGTCGAGGTCATCTTTGGGAAAGGTGGTCGTGTTAATGTTGTTGAGGATGTTGAGTACGGACGGAGAGAGCTCGGCGAGGTCGTATGCCATTTCTCATCAATAGTAGATAAACTCTGGAATTCACTCGACGCCAAAGTCCTCCATTATCCTCACATTGTAGGTCCTCCTCGACCTTATGGGTGGAGCTCGAAAAGGTACGTGGCCGATTGTGCCAGAACTTCAGCTGGGACCTCCTAGAAAGGCCCAATTTCTTTCATAATAACTGCCCTGGCAAACAATTACGGTGGCATCGATTGCGGCAGACCGGAGAGCACGAGTCTGCCGCTCCCCTACGAAGAGAAGGAGGCGAAGAAGGGGGCAATGGCTACTAGGAACGCCCGCTCGTGCCCGAATCGGATGTATGTGGGGATTTCTCCAACACCACGCCTCCATAAGAGTAGGCACACGCTGTGCCTTTTATCGGAAACCCGATCTTTCGAGTCGTTTGTTCATGGATAGAAATCTGCAAGGTTAGCGTCATTGCCATTCTCAAGCACAATCGTGAATATTCATCACTGAAGCTAGAAACACGCATCGCGAACGGCAGCTCTACGGGCATAGGGAGGGAGGAGGGGAACCCAGACCGGGTTCTGTTAGAAAAGCTCCAGATAATTAGGAACCAGCCTAGGTGGGCCACGGCTGTCTTCGGATTTGGAAATCAGCAAAAGTCACCAGCGAAACCCGCCTGGCAGTCTTCGGCCGGCGGACTCGGCGACTAGAACAGGTCTACTTAGGACTTCCTGGCACTCGCGCCGTAGGGAGCCTCGAAATCATCCCGCGTCAACCATGTCGGATTCAATACCAACAACGACCAGCGGCTATCGAATAGATCTTAAAGCTGGCAGCTTCGATGGCCTGCATCTCGATGAATCGATGCCCGTCCCGGCGTTGGGAGCGGACGATGTTCTCATATCTGTGCAAGCAGTCTCGCTAAACTATCGGGACATTGCCATGCCCCTAGGACTTTACCCGGCATCCGCAAGGGGAGACGTTGTGCCGTGTTCAGACGGCGCAGGCACTGTACTTGCGGTCGGAAGCGACGTCAAGTCTCTAAAAGCAGGAGATATGGTGTGTCCGACCTTCTTCCAGGATTTTGAGGACGGTTACGCCACAAAAGAAAGCAGGGCAACGAGTCTCGGAGGGCTCAATGACGGTGTCCTCAGAAAGCATGCCGTGTTCAAGGAGAAAGGGTTGATCAAAATCCCGGACTTTCTGAGCACCGTCGAAGCGAGCACTCTGCCGTGTGCAGCTTTGACGGCCTGGAATGCGCTGTTTGGTGTCGGAGGCAGGGCGCTTGAGCCTGGCCATTGGGTCTTGACCCAAGGCTCAGGAGGTGTTAGCATCTTCGCCTTGTTGTTCGCCAAGGCTCTCGGCGCGCATGTTGTCGCTACGACGGGCGACAAGGGCAAGGAGCAGAGACTGAAAGATCTAGGCGCCGACCTCGTGATCAATTACCGGGAGAACCCAACTTGGGGCCGTACTGCGATGGAATTCATTGAAAAGCAAGGTGGAACAGGAGCGCAGCACGTTATCGAAGTTGGCGGCGAGACCACAATGGAACAGAGCTTGAAGGCTGTCGCACCCGAAGGTCTCATCTCGATCATTGGCTTTCTCGGTGGTAGTACGGCGGAAAGGAAGACAGGGTTCTGGGACTGTTTTGCAAGCGCATGTCTGGTCAGAGGTGTGCTTGTTGGGAGCAAGAAGCAGTTCCGCGATATGTTGAGCTTCATGGAGGATAATGGAGTGAGGCCAGTTGTGGATGAGAGAACCTTCAAGTTTGAGAGGGCCAGGGAAGCATACGAGTATCTTGAGGCTCAGAAGTTCTTCGGGAAGGTCGTCATCGAGGTTCAGGATTGAGAAGGCTGGTAAGGCTGTGTTGCACGTGATGAGGCTGGGCGGAAACTTCCTCTCCGCTACAGTTGCCTAAATGAGCTATCTAGGTCATGGAGTTGCGCCCTCACTTGTTCACTTCAACTTCACATCATCTTCAGCAATATCATACCACGTAGGTAATGGAGCCTGCACCCGGTCCAGCCTGCCCTCTCATATGCCTGACGCCAGAAGCCACTGCAAATAGTGCCAATGAATCTGCAGATGGAGCACAGCGAGCTTTCCACATCGGGCATGGAAGCTGCTGAGCAGGCAGCTCTTCGATCCTAATGTCAGTCAGCGAAGAGCGCAGCATTCGGTATCAGTAGCTTGCCTCACAATACCGAGCATGAAGGTGACTTGTGTATTGTGGCTTCCGCAGGGTTGCACAAGTCTTTCACATCTGAGGCGGAGCACCACATCATTCTCTCGGTTGACCACGGCAGCTGCGTACCCCAGGTTCTGGACCTTCGACCTCAATAAACTGCATTCCTAACCCTGTATCAACCCATTCGTCGGCTTTCCAAGGAGTCATGCTCGGTACATGCCCGTCTGTCACGGTGGCACGGCTCACCGGGCCTCGAGTTGTCCACCCAGATCAACCCATGGCCAACAAACACTGAGCTAAGTAAACGATACGGCTGGGAGTAGGCGCAAACGGACGGGAAGGAACGCCGAGTCAGGCAGACTTGATGACTCTGTGACAGAAGACTATATGCCCAACGATCGCGCTTGACGGATCGAGATCGAGGATGCGGGCTGCAAACCGAGAAATTCCGTGGTAATCTGCACTCAACACCATACTTGCTGACAATCGTAGATACGCGAATAGTCTCATACGTGAACAGCACGTTTGAGAAGAAGGGTGAATCGGTCGGCGAGGACAATAGCTGACAGTGACAGGATGAATATGAAGAGTGAATGATGGCGCGAATCGTACCGCACCCACCACTTCAATACAAACACCAACTCTTCACTGAGTCACAGGATGAATCAATCGCGCAGTATCGTTCACTCCCTCCGCCAAGGTTATTCTGTCTGCGGGCAACTGCCTCTTCCACGATCTTTCCCTTCATCCACCTTCGAGTCTCTCTTGAACCCTGTCTTCCCTTTTCCCCTCGCAACACCACTTCTCCCACATCCTCGCAGCAGCGAAGATGCAGCTTCTCAACACCATTATTGCCCTTGTGGCCGCGTTCACCGCATATGTTGAGCAGCAGACGACCGACCTGGTTGTCGCTTTCCGGGAACGGGCCTTCCAACCCGTTTTCCATAATTTCCTGGCCATCGAGCCATCCACCATCATCTCCACCGTAACCTCAACAGTCACCGCATCTCCGACAGTGTCCTTCACCACAACCGTATATCATGGCGGGTCCATCGCCGTTGTGGCAACCTCTGCACCTCCTCCACCTCCTGCACCAACCTCGACCACAGTCCCTCAAGTGCAATATTGCCTTGCACCACTAGCCTGGGCAAACTGGGAAGAACCTTCGGTCTGCATGTCAGAACACGCGTTTGAGCGTTTGTCTGCCTTCCTCGCAACGTTGTCGGAGGAACCAACCCTCCATATCCCTCAGTTGATCCTCGCCAGACTGTCATCCTTCTTTTCTTTGCACTGCGAACGCATCCGGATAGCTACTTCTCCGGTTCAGCAATGGACCTTGGAAACAATGGCCGCCGTCGTCAATGACGCCATTTCCATTGGGGGGAAAATCAGAGTCGAAGCTTCAGGGCTCATTTGTCCGATGAGAGACTTCCTCGCGTCCTTGACATTGCCACAATGGCTCATCTACTGCTTCCTGTTCGTCACAACCAGCTCCCTTCTCATCAGCGCTAGCATCATAATTTTGGGAGCAGAACTGAGACGTCGGGACCTACTGCAACGCATGCAGCGTGAAGAGGAGAAATCGACCCGCGCCCGTCGCTGGAATGTTATTGCGGAAGCACTGGAGTTTTACGAGCAAGGAAAGATCACCATAAGTTCGACCAAAGAGGAGGCTCGAAAATTGTTGGTTGACTACCTCATCTCTTTCATAACCTCGGAGAAGCAACCAGAGTTCCCTCCACCAACAATACAGCAGCGCTGTCCTGAACTCCGGCGTGCGAGGACCTTATGGACGCTTGCCTGCGGTTTGCGCCACAAGCTATTCGCTGCCATGAAGTGGATGTTCGACGTACAGTGCTTGTTTTTGGTGGAAACCCCTCTCAGATTTTCATGGCGTGTCATCATCAGACCTCTTGGAGAGGGCGTCGTTTGGCTGTTTGACATGTATGTCGAGAAGTTTGTCCTCGGTATCATGCCGTTTTGTTTCCTCCTGATGGTCAACGTCCTGTCCTCCCTGCTTGGCCTATCGATGGCAATGGGTCTTGTCTGCCTCGGGGTTGCCCTTGCAGTCCTTCTCTGCGGCATCCACGCCGTGTCATATGCAATGCTACCAGTAACTCGCTTTGTTGGAAGACTGCGAACTGAGGTCGTCAACGAGTTGCGCGAGGCTCTGGAAGGCGCCAGAGAGTCCTTGGAAGCAGAAGAGGCTGTCAGAAAAGCACAGAAACACAACTATACCTTGTCCTTGCTCGCGCGACGCACGCCAGAGACACCTGACCAGCCAATCGCACAGCCTAACCACTGGTCGGTCCCTTTCAGCAAAAATACCAGTGTTCCCACACATCCGTCCCCTCGATATGGCGATCATTTTACTTCCGACCCATCAGTCACAACCCCGATCATTTCCTTCGGACGCCTTCAACGTCTCCTCTCTCTTGAAACTGAGTACTCCACCATTTCCGAGAAACTTCAGCAAGTTCCAGGTTTTACAGTGATCGCCAAGATTGACTGTCTCCTTCGCTGGCTACCACCACACCCCATAGTAGGCTTTCGACGACCTGTTATATGCGACAAATGCAGCTCGAAGGATGCAGTCACGAAGGCACAAGCATCAGAGAATGCATTGGCTGAGACACAGCAGCTTAAGAAGAGAGTCCAAGAGCTTGAATCTGAACTTGGAAGCCAGAACGAAACGCACGATTCGGCTGAGGTACAGCAGCTCAAGACTAAAACCCAGGAACTTGAATCCAGGCTGAGCAGCGAGCATGAAAAGCACGATTCAGCCGAGAAGCAACGCGAGACGAAAGTCCAGGAACTGGAGTCCAGACTCAGAAGCCAGAACGAGACGCACGATTCGGCGGTTAAGCAACACCAGGCCAAAGTCCAAGAGCTTGAATCCGAGCTCAGAAGTCGGCAAGAGAAGCATGAAGAAGAGGTCAAGAAGCTGAGACAAGAAGCGCACGCAAACGCAAAGCGAGCTGAGGCAAAGACGCAGGAACTGGAGCAAGTCCAGGCCCATCTTTCACAGACACAGAAACTCTCCTCCAACGAAACAGCCGTCACCAGTCAAGTGCAGGAGACGATAAATCAGCATTTGGCTGCGGCCGCTGAGAGAGAGGTCACTCTTCGTGCCGAATGTCAGGCACACATTGAACTCCTGATGACTGCTGGCCGAGAAGTCGAGGTCAGCCGTGACCAACAGCAGGCTGAAGTGGAGCGGCTGATAACTGCTGGTCGGCAAGTTGAGGCGGAGGCCGAAAGCCTCAGAGGCAAGCTGCAGACAGAGAAGAGCGCACATGCTGCAACCAAGGTCCAACTGGACGCGATGCGAACGCGGTTGGAACAAACAACGCAAGCGTTGGTGGCAGAGCGACAGTCTGCTGCCCATAATGAGGGAGCCATGGCTGTTGATGAGCCTGGCCACCTACGGAGCAACCCGTCAGGCAACGGCTCTACTTTTGGAACCGGCTTCAACCAGCCTGCAACCTCCGGCGGCGACGAGGCGTTGCGTGTATTGAGGGAAACTGCGAGCAACTGGCACAACCAGCAGCAGAGAGCTAGATCTGGTGCCATGTCCTCTGCGCAGCCGCCAGCTCAGACGGCCACATCGAGAGGAACCCAGCCAGCAGCGTATGTTACCACTGGCGGAACCTCGAGCCATGCTGACCAGACTATAGTGGCAGAAAAGTCAACCGCCCCACCGGGTTCACAATGCTCTGACGTTCCGAAGGCCCGTAGCGGCAATTTCATTCCGAGTCAGCACATCGCCATATACAACGCAGCCCCTACTCCAACCGCAACGAAAGCCACTCCACCACAAAACCTCCCACCTCATCGTCCTCTCACACCTACAATGCCGCTATATACCCGGCCGACCTCCCAACCAGCACCTCCAGCCGTCTATGACGGCTCTGAAAGAGATCCGTTACGACGACAGATGATGGCGATTGTCACGAAAGCGCATCAACCCACAAGACGAGTCAGACTCCGACTCCGAGGAGGATTTCGAGGACGTCAGCCTCGAGCCTGCTGCTCGTGGTGACGATGACATAAACGCCGCAGTGGTGAGCGAGCCGGTAGAAGCTGGCATTGGCACAGAGGTTGTGAATGATGCTTCCAAATGGCTGGAGCTGGAAGGCGGGGGTTCGTTCAGGGCTCTTGAGCTGAAGGCGGGGGTTCGTTCAGGGCTCTTGAGCTGGAAGCAAGGCAAAAGGCGGACGAGACCGACCGTCAGAGATGGAGAGAAGAACAGGCACAACTGCAGAGAGAACGAGAGGAGCAAGGAGAGATTTTTGAAGTGTGATGGGAACTGGGATGGAAAGGTGCCAGCTCGCTTAATTCAGCGCAGTGGCAGCCTTACCATGTGTTGGGAACAGGGAAGGGGAACGAGATGAGGCTTCATTGGGACATTGTGTTGCAAGTGTCATGGTTGCTGGTTACTGAGTATGGCGCGGTGTCGGCGTGAGGGTTATTACAGACGGGAACGATGCAGCAGAATGCATCAGAACAGGGCGTTGAGATGGCTGTAATGATTCGCGGTTCCGGTATGGGTAGAGCATTGCTGGGCAGCCGGGAATCGAGATCAAAGCGCATAGTTCTCAATGACAATTAAATCAGGCAATCCTGTCACGCCAGCCTTTGTGCGATTCAGCGGGACATCATTGTCAAGTCTTTGATACAGTTGGTTGGCAAGATGTAATTGCGAACCTCCCTCGTCAGGCGCAAGGCGTGGTGGACGAGGCAATCACACCATAGACAGGAATGTCTAAAAGGTCGTGGAGAAGGCCTGGGCAAGTGACTTCTCCCGTCGCTGGAAATTCTCCCAAGAAGCAGCACTGAGCGAGCGGGATTCGCTGGCGGCCAACTTAACTGTAGACAATACCGAGAAAAGCGTCACTTTGCATTCATACGAAGCTCCCTCGGTCTTGCAAAGCCCGAGATTACAAGCGAGGCCGTCGTCACTGTCGGTTGTCAAGCCGTGTATAACTACAAATGTAACTGCGACTTCGGCGGAAGGCCACCGCGGCGCAGTCTTCTGCTCGACATCCAGCCAACTTCTACCTGTACTGCATACCATCAACACAACAACCATGGCGGACTCTCAAGCGGACGTAACCCCGAACAGCACCCCATCGCGGCTCTTCCGACCAGTGAGGGTATTTCTAAAGGAAGTCGGCCTACTCACGCTCTACCACAGCCACATCGACACAAAAATCCTGATCCTCCAGCGCTTCGTCCGCCTGTTCGCCTACGGCGGCAGCACGCTCATCTTGGCATCGTACCTATCTGAGCTGGGAAACGAGGACGCCCGGATCGGGTTGTTCATGACCCTGACGCTCGTGGGCGACGTGTTTGTCAGTTTCCTGCTGACACTGGTAGCCGATCAACTAGGGAGGCGATGGATCTTGGTCCTAGGCGCGGCGTTGATGTGCGCCAGCGGTGTCGTGTTTGGGCTGAGCTCGAGTTATTGGGTGTTGCTGGCGGGGGCGATCTTGGGGGTTATCAGTCCTGCGTCGGTCCCAGCCTTTTCCTAGGCCTTACGCGATATACATGCTGATGCTGACTGATCGGTGTTGATTCCAGGGGGAACGAGATCGGTCCGTTCCGCGCGATCGAGGAATCGACCATCGCGCATCTTACGGCCAAGGAGGACCGCAGCGACGTTTATGCCTGGTACAGCTTGATCGGCACGGCGGGGACGGCATTGGGATTCATAGGCTGCGGCTGGGTCATCACCTACGTGCGGGATGAGAGGCATTATGGCACGATCGAGGCTTATCGCATCATATTCTTCGTCTACGCTGCTGTGGGGGTTGTCAAGCTGTGCTTGGCCCTCATGCTGAGCAAGGCGTGCGAGCTCGATCCGAAGCCGAAGCCAGCGTTCGCCGATGCGACAGAGACGGAAACAGCACCCTTATTGGGCAACGGCGCAGCGTCAACTGCAAAGAAGCGACAATCGCGGCTGCTCCCGGACATCAGCAAGGAGAGCCGCGTGGTTCTGATTCAGCTGTGCGTTCTCTTCGCCTTTGACAACCTCGGGTCAGGATTGGCACCGCTGTAAGTGCAATGTCTCCCCTTCAGGCCGCAAGGCCCTCTTGTTTAAGGTGCTGACGTGGCAGATCATGGGTCACGTACTTCTTCAAGCGCAAGTTCGACCTCTCAGAGGGACAATTGGGGTCCATATTCTCCGTCACGGGCGTCATCTCGGCGCTTTCCATCTTCGTGGCGTCGTCTATTTCGAAACGGATCGGGAATGTCAAGGTAGGGAGCGTCCTCGCAAGTACTACGCACAATGTGTACTGATTATGTTCTAGACCATGGTCTTCACCCACCTCCCCTCGGCCATCTGTCTTGCCCTGATCCCCATCCCTTCGAGCCTCGGCGGCGCTCTCGCCTTTCTCATCGGCCGAGCCTGCACGCAGGTCATGGACGTGGCGCCCCGCTCGGCCTTCCTCGCAGCTATCGTCCTGCCCCATGAACGGACCGCGGTGATGGGCACGATCAACGTGGTCAAGACGTGTTCGCAGAGCTTGGGGCCCGTGATTACGGGTATCTTGGGGACGAGGAACCATTTTTGGGTGGCGTTCGTTGCTGCGGGGGCGTTGAAAGCTACTTATGATCTCGGCTTGCTGGCGGTGTTTGCGGAGAAGGAGGCGCCGAAGAACAGGACGGAGAGGGTGGATGAAGGGCAGCGAGCTGGCGCGAGCGGGCAGTAGGAGCACCATGGTGGTGCAATTGCGCCGCTCCGCCGGATTATACTCGCGACAATGCTAACATGGTGTGGAAACCCCCTCCTGGCATTTCCGTGGCCGTCTCCAGACCTGATCCAAAGCAAGCTCGTCGACTCGATCGCATTTCTTGTGGTAAATCCAAGCCGGCACCTCATTCACACTCACGCCATGCCAGAACAGTCTTCTCATCTACTTCCGGTTGCTCAACCCTCGCCGACTGAGGTCTGAATGACTGATTGATGACCAATCCCCTACCACAGTATTCAAGAAATACACCAATCTCTTAGAACCTCCGATCCGCGAAACCACGCCATGTTACCCGTCCGCGAGCCCTGCGCCACCGCCGCCCTTTCGGCCCTCAGCCTATTCTTGACGGTCCCCGGATCCGACCGGTGGTTGTCCCCCCACATGGCCATCGAATTGCGATGACACCAAATATTGCACAAAAACCTGGCATGCCACACGCCGTCGACCAGCTGGGGTTTGGTGACGAGGACACCCGGATGCTGTGCCGCGCGCTCGATTCTCCGCAGATGGGGCAGGACGACGACGGGATCAATGAGATCTTGCTTGCCCAGGGACGACCAGGGCGCCACTCCAAAACCCGTGGCGTCGCCGAATTGATCCTGCACGGTCTGGTCGTAGTGCACGATCGCGACGACCTGCGTGTTACTCGACCTGACTTTGTCGACATCTGTCAAACACTGTTCGTCCTCTCCCTCGGAGGGTATCTGGCCCGGCGGACCGGGGAAGATGTAGAAGTTGTCGTTGAGGGGCGTGTCGAGCGACGCGAGCGGGTAGCCCGTCGCTTGCAGCCGGATTCCTGCCTCGGTGACTTCGGCTTCGCTATCTTCTTCGGACAGTAGGACTTGGGTGGTCATCAGGCTGATGGGGACACCGATGAGCGAGCGCGGCGCCCAGCGGAAATTCTCGGCCTCGAGCTTTGGGACCGGCAGGAAGACGAGGCCCGCGGGGAGGGTGCCCAGACAGGCATACAGCATTTGCATTCTCTCCTTCGGGGGCGTATCCAGGAGGATTTGCGGGTCCAGACCCATGAGGGTCGCGAGGCAGATGGGCTCGTCGCTGGATCTGCTGGTCGCGCGGTTGCAGAGAAGGCGGAGCACACGGCGGCGGTACTCCATGTTCTCCTTGGAGATTTTGCGGTCGACGGTGATGATGCCGTGTTCGTTGGCGAGGTGCGATTTCTCGATCAGGTCGTTGAGCCCCTCCTTAACGCGGTCAGACGAGAGGTCGGCGCGGTTCATGACGTGCTCTTCCGCGCCCGCGGGCACGACGTGGCTCAGGTGCATCGAGCAGTCGGCGAAGGCGACAAACAGATAGTCGGGCAGCACGCCTTCCTGGAGCGTCCACAGCCGCCGCCACCAGTCCGAGAACATGACCGACATGACGAGGTCTTTCTGCCTCACCGGTGGCGGAGGCCCGCGGCCCCTGTATGCCGACACTGTTTTGGCTGACCTGTCGTCGGTCCGGAGGGATGTGTGCAGAAGACCCTCGTCGAGGACCAAGACCGAGTGTGCCTGTTCGTACACTTGGGCCATTTGCGAGATCGCCATCTTCCGCACGTCGACATTGGCAGGCTGCACGGGGACACATATTGTGTCGAGCCAGAAATAGCTCAATCTTCTGGCTCGGATGTTCGGGCGGACCGGTGGAGCATCGATTGCACTGAAGCCAGCCAAGAGAACGACAGTCCGCTGGTGGAGTGACTGGAGCTGGCACCTTGGTAGGGTGTTCTTTCTGGTGTTGCCCATCCCATGAGCCCAGACGTGGCTGATGGCAACGTAAGCATCCCCTTCCCCCAGATACGGGACGATGCTGAACTCAAACTCTCCGTACGCGTTGATCTCGGACTTGATAATCGGGGTCAGCCCCGACCGGATGGTCTCGCAAATGGTGTCATAGTCGAACTCGACGTCGTCGCAATCTGTGCCGACGCAGCCCGACCCCAGCGTCCCATGACGGGTCTTGTACGTCGCTTCGTCGATGTTGTTCGCGGTGCACGCGGTCGTGCTGCACGCCATGTGGCGCTGCAAACTGCCGTGCCGGCGCAACTGCGTGGCGTAGATGATTTCGTTGATGCCGAAATCTCGCTTCAAGATGCCAATGTCAAAGGGACACCAGCCCGAGAAGAGAAGCCCGTTAAACACACTCTTGGGCGCATCCCACCTTCGCTTTATGGGCGACCAGCCCGGCGGCGTAATCTGGGTGCCGCGCAGGTGCAGGGGCAGGAAGTCGTAGAAGCACCGGTTGTTGACGACCACCATCGCATCGTCGATGGCGTTGCCGAGACACATCAACGACAGGAGCAGCTCTTCGTCGACATAGCTGTGGTAACCCCGCACCAGGCGGAAACACATCTTGTAGCTGGTCTGCAAGTACGTGTCGATGCGCATGCACAGGCGCTGGACGTCCTCGAAGGATAGCTCCCCCGTCGCCCTCTTCTGCTTGAAGCTGTCAATCCAGAAGGCGAGCAGCTCAGGCAAGGCGCTGGTGTTGACCCGTCGCGTCAGTCCTCTCCCCTGGCCATCGCCTCTGACCAGCAACGAGTCTTCGGAGATATAGTCGCGTTGATGAAAAGGGCGCCCGATAACTTTGTACACCTCGCATAACAGCCCAAAGAAGAGCCACGATTGCAGGAAAGACTGCACCAAGGTGATGCCGACGGGCTCGTCCTTGCCAATGGGGGACTTGCGTGTAAAGTCGCCTTCTAGCACTCCCATGTCGTCAAATCCGCGTCGGGACGGGTAAGTGAGGAAGTCCCCGCCATCGTATGGTGCCAGACACAGGTATGCGATCTTGAATTGATCTTTGACTGGGTTGGCCGGTCTGTCCAGGTGGTCCATGTTGCTCAGGGTAGACCATGTACTTCGCCGAGCCGGGTCAAAGCGATGAAACCTCGGGGATCGATCATCGAAGACACGAAGAACATCGTGTTTGAAGGGCGGTCTAAGTAACCGTGACTCTTAGTACCTAGCCGTCCTACGGCCGTGAGCGCCCTGGGCAGTCGAGGCCGGTCCCTCTGTTGCCTGTATCACGTAGGCGAAGATAGGCGAAGGTCGTCTCCACAAACCCCACCTGAGAAGTACCTTTGTACATACGTCGTCTCGATCGCTTGCTAATCGGCTAACGCATCGGTTCATTGTACCGTTACCCACATGCGGTAGAGCATGGAACGTATTATAAGCAGAAAAGTAGTACTGTTGCAATAGTCGTATGGGTCATGTATGAGGTTGGGAGATAGGGCCGTAACCCCTGATGGCCTGATGAGAAAAGGCAGGCTACCAATGGTAAGGCAAAGGCAGGCCAGGCAGACAGGACGGGACGGGACGATCCAAGATCCAGTGCTGGAGATTCGGGCATCCAGGAGGGCTTCGGGTGCTGGGCCTTCGAAGTGCGAGGATAATCGTCAGTAAGGAGCGCAAAGAAACGACAAGACATTCCATGGCAAAAGGGAGCATCTATTGCTTGAACCTCGTCCTTACCCGCCCGGGTCTATCAAAAGCGTGCACGATGCTCAGCGATGGGTAACTCCTGACCCAGCACTCATGTCTAATCTATCTCATTGATCAATCGATGAGATGCATGCTTTTATTCGGACTCTGTGGACCCATCGCGTCATGCGCCTGCGCCATGCCTGCCTGACTGCCTGCCTGTTGAAACATAGTGTGATAGCAGAGAGCGCAGCACACTCAAGCACTTCCATTCTGATGTGTTGTCTCGGCAGACTTGATTTCGCCTCTAATTCCGCCTTTCCCGCCAACTTGCCGTGCTGTGATGGACAGAGAGAGCTCCGCGTCGACGTTGACCGTCACCTCGACTTTCGAGCCCTTCTTCAAGCCCTTGAAGATGAACTCTGCAAGAGTCTGTTTTGGCTTCCAGATCTTCTCGCGAATCTCCTCGGGCTCGTCATCCTCGTCGTCTTCATCTTCGTCTTCGTCATCCTCGTCATCTTTCGTCCCATTTGTCTCTGGTTTGGGCTTTGGTTCGGGCTGAGTGACCTTGATTGCTCGGCCGCCTTCCAGTATGCGGACCAGTACGTCTCCCTCTAGGCCTTCGATGACCTTCGTTCTCCGTGCTGGAACGGCTGTCTCGGGGGGAACAATCACGGTGAATGAGTCCTCAGGCTGCTTTGTGACCTGGAATCCAATTGCAGCCGTCAGATGAGGCGTCACAGTGACCATCTCATGCGTTGACTGGTCGATGTCCTCCTTGTCGAACTCCTGGATCAGAGACGCTTGAAGGGCAGCACCTCGTGCTGACAGCTCTGAAGGATTCAATGCACTGGTCGAAATAGCAGGAGCCAGCACTTGTGTCGACTCTGAGAAGAGGGCCTCAATATTCTTTGCGATCTTCGGCGTGTGCGATGTGCCTCCGGACAAGATCACCTCGTCAACGTCAAGCACATCGAGGTTAGCTTTCTTAATAACCTCCTCGACAAGTCGGGTGAAACGCCCGAAGACCTTCAGAGCGATAATCTCATACCGCGTCCTGTTGACGGTTGACCTAAAGTCAAGACCATCTGCAAGACTCTCCACGCTGAATGTGGCACTGTTGCTTTGGCTGAGCGTCTTCTTGACCGCCTCTGACTCGAGTTTCAGCTTGGCCAGACTCCGCTCATTCTTGCGAGGGTCGGTCTTGTTCTTCTTCTCAAATTCTTTCGCAAAATGGTCGACCAGCACTTGATCCAGCTGAGCTCCGCCCAGTTCGTAGTCGTGAGCCGTTGCCAGAATGCTGTACATCCCCCCTCTTGATGCCACGACTGCGGCGTCAGACCGGTTTCCGCCAAAGTCTGCGACAAGCACAAGCCTGTCGGCGGTGGAATCGGGAGACCGTGAGTCGTAAGCAAGGAGTGCGGCAATGGGCTCGGGCATGAATTGAAGGATTTCGACATTGGCGTCCGCGGCGGCTTTCGTCAGGGCTCCTTTCTGCTCATCGTTGGTGTCCGTGGGAACCGCAACTACCGCGGCGGTGACGGGCCTACCGGTGAAGTCGGACGCGGAGTTTTTCAGTCTCTTCAAGTGTCGTGTGGCAACCTCGAGGACTGGCACCTTGTTCTCCGTTTCACTATCTGTGTCTCGAACAGGGAAGCAGATCCTGCCATCTTCTTCGATGGGGTGTGCGGAACCATGGCAAGGCGTGGGATCTATCGACTTGTAGTCTCTGCCAATATAATCGCGGAAGAATGCGACAGTGTTTTTGCTGTTCCGAACCAACTGCGCCTTTGCCTGGGTGCCGTGGAATTCTTCTCCCTCGATATATGATAAGATGGAAGGGATCTGTCGATCTCCTTCTTCGTTTGCGATCACCTCAACCTTGCCCTCTCCAGATATGTGCGCAATCGAACTGTAGGAATTTCCGAAGGAGATACCAATAGCGTACTGTTCTGGCGACCCTTCGGCGGGTACTCCGTTCGTTTGCTCACTCATGGTGAACGGCTCCAATTGGAGAAACGGGAACAAGCAAGATACAAAGCGAGAAGTTCCGAGAAAGAAACGTGGTGATCGTGACCTTCTTCTGGTATTCAAAGACAGACTGAACTTGGCGGCATGAAACTTGTGAAAACCCTAGGAACTTTTTTTCGAGGCTCGCAGCCTGAGGAAAGTCGGGCGAGAATTTCAGCCTTGCCCACATTTTCTCAGCCTTGTCCCTTCAATCCTTCTCCAACGGTGACGGCAGATCAAACCATCACACTAACTAAGAGGCACGTCGGCGGCTACATTTTTGGCATGGCCGATTTGGAGGTTCTGCTCCCCGGAGATCGAATCTCCGCGAACCAAGTCCCAACTTCTCAGAAGCGCAAAATCGGCCATGGCCTCAAACAAGAATCAGATACTAGTGATTTCACAGCCACCATCGGTGGCCTCCTGGACGTCGACTACAGAAAGAAGACGGCGCAGGTCGCGACACCAAATGGACGCTACATTCCTAAAGCAGGAGATCTGGTAATCGCTCAAGTACGGATGTCGGCAGCGGAGTCTTTCCACCTCTACATCAATGCATACTCACCCCAGGCTATCTTGCCCCAGCTGGCATTCGAAGGGGCGACGAAGAAGACAAGACCGCAACTGAAAAGCAATGATCTCGTCTACGCCAAGGTGGTCTCGGCCCAGAAGAACATGGAGATCGAACTGAGCTGTGTCAATCCGGCGACTGGAAAGGCCGAACCGGACGGATTAGGCCCACTCACAGGAGGGATGGTGTTTGATGTCAGCCCTGGTCTGGCCGAGAGACTACTGAAGAAGCAGGGAGTTATGGCGCTGGAGGAACTAGGTTCAAGGCTTCACGGCGGATTCGAAATCGCGGTTGGAAAGAATGGCAAAGTGTGGGTCGATTGCCCTGAGGCCGGTGTCAAGGGTATTTGTGCAGTAGGCCGATGCTTAAGAGAGATGGACGCGAACGAGATGAAGGACAAGGAACAAAAGAAGCTGGTCAACAGAATCATGAATGAACTCGAGCGTGGTTGAAGTCCTTGCAGGATTTTCAAGCCGATCTTGTTGCTCGAAGCAGGAAGGCAGTAGAGCTTCTCGTCAAGGATTCACGAGGCAGCCCAAGCAAGGGACGTCGGCATGCCCACGTCTGAAACGGCAAACTGGATGCACAAACGAAAGCCCCATCAGCGGCATTTCGCACAAGCAGAGGCGAAGCTCAATCTCATGGTGAGAAGTGGCGCCAGCAGCCGAAACGCCTCCCCGACGCTGTACAGCACTGCGTGCTTTCCAGCCACATCCGTCCGGGAAGAGTGTCAGGACGAGTGTTACGAAACAGACGTGACCGGGAGTTGGCCAGGAGCGAGCTACAGATCGTTACGCGAAAGGTTGTATGCCTTTTGAAGATTTTCATTGCTTGCCTTCTGTACTACGAGTACATCGACTATCCATGAATCCCACCACCACTGGTTTGGAGCCTAATGCAAGGTCGTAGGCCTTCCTCAACATCAAGACGCTGCCCTCCTCACGTATGTACGTTCATGCAGAATCCGGATGCCTCTTGCCCGGTCATCCCATTGCAGAAGAAGACTTTTTGCGAAGGGTATTCTTGTTCCATCGATAAAAATCATTAACGCCAGGATTCTTGTCGTAGGAGAGAAAACGTTTTGCCTGCCATGCTGTCGTCAAGTCTGTTTTGCAAGATATCCGGAACTCCTTTTGGTTGCGGCATAGCTGGGGTGGGATCCATCTTCTATCTAGCAAAATTGCTCAAAGCCGTCCCATTTTCATTCCATTTGTGGATTATCGTTTACTTTCTTCGAAATGAGCAGCCCTCTGTGAGTCTGGCCTTGCCACCGGTGGGCTGGCAAAGCACAGTCGAGCAGCCTGCACAGATGACGACGGTCTGGGCGTGTGAGAAAACGGTAGTGATGGTGAAGCAGCCGGGGCACTTGACGTCCATGAAGAAAGATCGAGGGGCAGGGACTAGAGTCTATTTGTTTGTTAGATTTTGGCATGCTCCAGATCTACTCGCCAGTGGTTCGTACCTTGAGCTTGTGCTTGCGGGCCTCAGCCTGAGGCGTAGGGTTGAGAAGATCGACTGCGAGAACCTACGACCAGGAATATTAGCTGTGTGCGTGGGATAAAGACGATCGAGTTGGCGTTGATAATTGTTGCCTTGCTCGTGTGCTTTGCGAAGCCGAGAGGGGAAATTTTGAGCATCGTTGACGTCCGCCATCATTTTCGGGCTGGGCTGCATACCATCTTGTCTGATTTCTTGAATTGGCCTGAAAGCTGTCTTTCCTGTTGTCCTTTTCTTGGCCTTGTAGAGCTGGATGAAGATGCGACTGATCACTTGAGGTGCAACGATGGGAAGTGGCGGTAGAAATGGGCTTTGAAGAGGAGTCTGGGAGGTTTCGTGCGTGTCTTGGCAACTTGCTTAGGGCAACTTGCTTAGATCGGACTAACACTTTATCCGGACCAATCATTGTGGAAACTGCTGGCAACTGATTTCTGGTTCTCAGGCTCACTTCATTCTTGACTCACAAAGAGTCATCAAGAACATGCTGAGCGCGGTGAAGCTGAGCATCTATGTTGCGCATCTACGTCTAGACCGGTCTATCACCTCTATGGGGCGTCTAATGTGACGTCTGGCATGCACAATCTTCTCAGAATGGCACTTCCATGTCTTCGACCCGTTCCTCCTGCTCTGGCTTCGCATCAGCAGACGACATCCTCTGCTTGATGAACACCGCGATAGTGTCGAGATACTGCTTTCCGCTCGGTACGAAATGTCCGCCAGGATGACTCACAACTTGGCTGTTCTCTGCACCTCCTGCAGCATCGACCAGGGCCTGTGTTCTTGACTCCTCCACCACGCTATCTAAACTTCCAATAAAATGACATACTGGGGTCTGAATGTGCGGCTCCTCGTAGAAGCCTGCATATCTCGGGCCAGGTGCTCGAAAACCACAATATGCCGCGCAAAATTTCAGTGGTGGATGGTTGAGTCTCTCAAAGGATGGTGGGTATGGGATAGCGAGAGCTGATCTTGACCGTGCTTTGTCGAATGCTTGTTTTCTTGACTCTCCTTCCAGTAATGAAGCAATCATGGCTGCTAGCGCTGCGCCTTGAGAGAAGCCTATGACTCCATGAAAGGGGCCTTCTGATTCCAAAACTTTGGCGACTGTCTCCAGCCCTTTCTCCAGACCAACATATTCGGGTGGGTCGGAAGTGTCTGACCGTCTCCACCAGCCATAAGCCTCGATACTGTCCGGGTCCTCGCTAGAGGTCGGATCAAAACCTGGGACATCGCTTGGCTTGAGTTGTAGAGGTCCAGTTGGGTAGCTGAATGAGATGCCCGGCAACGCCTTCTGAAGGTGCTTCTCCATCGCGCGTGTCTTTGCGTGGAACAGAGTGCCATTCTGCGTATATCCATGTAGCATCAAAACCTTGATCTCAGAGCGAGGCTCTTTTGCTGCGGGCATGATGTGCAGGTGTCGGTGTTGCGACTTTGCCACTCGTGGCAGGCGAGGTGTCGGAAGCGCGGAGAAAATGGGCTGGCTTCTGTTCCCAAAGAGAACTCGATTCATCAGTTGCCGTGGTTTGCGCCGGAGAAGTAAGGCAACATGAACGAATCAGAGGACTGTGCAAGGAGGACCTTGACGAGAAAGAAGATCTGGTTCTCGAATCCTAGCGGCCTCGAGATCTTGCCAAGTTCGCCTGCAAGTGGCGGAGATCATCGCCGACCAGATTTTCCAGCCTCGTCAACCGTCAACACCGCGAATATCTGGTGTGCCATCGACGCTTACATCGTTAGCTTCGGACCAAGCAGATATCGCAGAGTGCGACAGTCGTGTCTATTTCTTTACCTCGTCGCTGAACGTAGTAAACAAGGTCTCCTCAACCATGGCGCTGGTACGCTTCTCATCTCCCAACTGGTCCGCCGCCAAAGACTCCGAAACGCGAACAGTGAGTCCAAGCTCAAGAAGCGAACCGAGAGTCCACCCTTTGCGCTATGCGGAGCATGTCTGGGGAGAGCGAGGACCTTACGCAAGAAAAGTGTCTATAAGTTCGAGCATGCTCCCTGCAGGATTTCGTATTCCGGAGCTCACAAGACCTTTCTTCAAGACGTCCACCTTGAGCCATAAGTACACCCACAACTTGCTCTTGCTCCTTTCCTTGGTCATGATCAAGCGAGTGCCCTTCTTAACGACTTGCAAGCTCCTGGTTGACTTGAGCAGCGGCTGCCTCCCCCATTTTTCACTTCCATCTCGTCATTGTTCCTGCCGCCTTCCAGCCATTTACTTCGACGCCATTCATTGACAATGTCCCCCCGTGTTATTACCAGCGCCGTCGAGCGTGTTGCGCGCATCGACGTCCAACACGGCCAGGCCCGTGTTGGGAGGGAGCTCCGTCCCCGAGAGACGGTGCTCCCCATCGCCATCGCCTCCTTCTTCCTCTTTTTTATGTGGGGCCTAGCCTACGGGCTCCTCGACATCATGAACTACCACGTCAAGGTAGCCATGGGCGTTAGCCGCGAGAAGGCTGCCATCCTCGCCGCGGGGTACTACACAGCGTACATTCCCGGCACGCTTCTCATCGGCGGCCCGTTGGTGAAGCGGTGTGGGTACCGGGTCGCCATGGCGGCCGGGTTGTTCATCCTTGCGGTGGGCAATGAGCTCATGTCCATCGGCGCGGCGAATTGCTCGCTCTGGGGCATGGTGGCCGGCCATTTTGTCATCGGTCTCGGTGTGTCGACGCTGGAGCGCTCCGCGAACCCCTATGCCGTCAACTGCGGCCCCGAACGCCAGGCCACGTTGCGCATCCTGGTGGCCCAAGCTTGGGCCGGCATCGGCACGGTGGTCGCGCCTTTCCTGGCCAACGCCTTCATCTTTAACCTGGATACCTCGACCATGCGCCCTGCTGCCGATCCCCTCCGCAAAGGCCGATGCCTCATGCCGGACAAGGCGGCCTCGGGCTGCGACAAGCTCGGCAGCGTCATCACTTTCTACCGGCTCCTGGGCGCGTGCCTCGGTTCGTTGGCGCTGGTCATCTCCATTCTCTTCTTCCGCACCACCTGGTTCCCGGAGATCGCAGTCCCCGTCCCTGCCAACAAGGCCACGTTTGGCTGGAAGCTGTGGAAGCACTCGCTGGTGTCGACCCGGTTTGCTCGCGTGTGGTGGGCCTTCTTCGCCAACTTCGTCAACCTGGGCTGCCAGGTGACGTTTGCTCAGTTCTTCATCGAGCACATGAAGGTCAACGCGTGCCAGAGCGATAACATGGCCGCCATTTGGATGTCGGTGGCCCAGACAGCATTCGTCGTCGGTCGCTTCTCTGCTGCTGGACTCGTCGCCTTCCCCAAGGTGTTCCGGCCTCGATGGGTGCTGTTATGCTTCATCGCCGGTGCGGTGGCCTTTGTCGGCACGGGAACCGGCATCTCGGCCGAGGCTGCAATCGCCGTAGCCGTCATGGTCATGTTCTTCGAGGCACCATCCTTCCCCATGGTGTTCGAGAGCGCGACCGCCGGCTTCGACGAGTGGAAGGCCTCTTGCGAGACGCTGATGATCGTCAGCATCTCGGGTGGTGCTCTCCAGCCGGCGCTGATGGGTCAGCTTGTCGAGCTCGTTGGCATCTCCCCTGCCTGGTGGTTGACCGCTGGGTGCCTCGGCCTCGTGCTGACATACCCGTTGGCCATCAACTTGATCCCGCGGTTCTACAAGGAGCTCGACCGGGCCGAGAGCGGCATCGGGGCAAATGAGCAGACGGGCGCTGATGAAGAGGCAGGGCTCCAAAGAGCATCGAAGGAGGGGTTCCGGGCTCGGGTGATGAACATGGTGACGTGGAGGCGCAAGTCGGCCAGTTCGGAGTCAGCATAGGAGGTTGCTGGTGGCGTCTTGGTTGGGTTTGGGAGTTTTAGGTATCTGTTGGTCTTCGGGTGTGGGTATAGACACTTGTACAAATGCTCAGGGTTATACGTGAAGACAGGACAGGCAGGGCGTTTATGATACTCGAGATACCCATAGTCAGATACCTGACTGACAAGCCATATTGATACAATGATCCCTGACCGAGAAGCCATATTGTTACAGCCATCCCTGACCGCGCTGTGACTATCCACCCAACGCCTCGCTGCGCTCATACACTTCAAGCCTTGCTTTGGCGACCTGACCGCCTTCTTCCGGCGCCGTTCGGAGTCCCATCAGATGCTGAAGATTTCCCGTCTTTCTTCCCACCCTTGGCTGGCTTTTCTTCCACCGTCTCCTTTGCGATCCTTGCAGCAGCTTTGGTTGGTTTGAGTGGCTTTGGATTCCCGTTGGGCGTCGGCTTTGCTTCTTTCCTCGCTTGCGCCTTGCCACGAGCAGTAGTTTTGCGAGGTCGCACCTCCTCCTCTTCGTCTTCATCCATTTCTCCGTCCTCAGTCTCTTCTTTCTTCACGATCTTGCCCCTTTTCGACCTCTTAGGCTGCTGCTCCTCCTCGTCCTCCTCGACAGCCTTGACGGCCTTGCCTCTCTTATTCGGCTTCTTGGGCTGCTTCTCTTCCTCGTCGTCTTCGTCATCCTCTTCCTCTTCTTTCACGGCCTTGCGTTTCTTCCCCTGTGCTTTCTTCGGCTTTTCATCCTCCCCGCCGATCAGCTCCGCTTCATCCACGTCTTTCGCAACCGGGCCCGTTTTCTTCTGAATCGATGGAACCACGGCGCTGGTGCGACCACCCACCGTCAGAAACGCGATCTTCTCACCACTGGGCAACGCGTTCGAAGCGTTCTTCTTGCCCTTCTGCCATCGGTGCTTGAAAAGCCAATCCTCGGGAAACTTGTCGGAGTCGCCCAGCAATTCCACGGCCGTGCCGCAGATGTAGTGGATGGCCCTGTGCAGCCGTTCGATCTGTTCGTCCTTGAGCGTGTTCGCGTACTGCTCCGGATGGATCTTTGCATTGTACAACACCTCGTCACCCACCCAATTGCCGATGCCCGAGATATTGGCCTGATCCAAGAGCATGGCCTTGATGGGGACTTTTTTTGACCCACACTTCTGCCGGAGCCAGGCCACCGTGACAACGTCCTTGTCAATAACAGGATCCGGCCCGTTCTCCTTCAGCGGCGTGTTCTGTCGAATCTCGGCGGCAGGACAATCGACCAGCCTTACACGCGCAAGTCTCCTCATGTCGACGAATGCCGCTTCGACGACGTCCTCTCCCTTTTCGGGCTTTGTCTCGAGCATGAACTTGACAAATTTGGGCGGCCACGGCTGTTCGCCCTTCTTGGCCGCCTTGGGCGCGTAGTAGTACGTGTGTTCAGACTTGAAGTTGATCCAGCCCGTCATGCCGAAGTGCATGACCGGGTGGGGCGGGCTCGACATGATCATCCAGAAATATTTGCCTTGCTGGCCGGCGTCGACGACTGTCTTGCCGGCCATGTGCTGTTCGAACTCGGCGGCGGACGTGCCGACTTTGCCGTAGACGATGGGGTCATCCTGCGCGCTGACTTTGGCGAGGGTTTTGCCGACGAGCAGTTTGCGGATATAGTGCACAATTCGCGCGACTTCGGCGATCTCAGGCATCGTGATCGATGTAGAGATCGGTTCTGGTGAGCTGAATTGTGCGTTTAGAGACGTGGTCACCGCTTCTCAGGAGTGCTCGAGTAGGTCGGCCTCCTTTACTTCGGGTTTGGCCTGGTCAATCTTCTTCCAACGTCTCCACAGATAGACTCTCTCGAGTGAGCTACGGCTGGAGGCAGACTCCTTCGCGATACTCTTTTGATGCACACGGCGAATGAGTGCCCGAATTGTGCGGTGAATGATTGGTGAATTGATTGGTGGAATGAAGTCTCTTGAGTCAGAACGCGTATCAAGTGACGCGTTGAGTGGTTCGAGACAAATACGGCAATACGAGCATCGATGACATAATGCATGTGCGTTGCGTCGTTGTCAAAAGTGCAGCCTCGTCGTCTCCTCATCCATTGCACGTCACAATACCGTTGGTGCTGTATACTACGTACTGCCAGACCATAGTAACCATCTCAAGCGACCCTGATGCCCTAAAGTAAACTTTGTTGCTTCTCATTTTCCAGCAATAGTCCGTCACAGTCATCAATCTGGCGTGGTTTTGGACCTCAGCATCCCCTCCCTCGCATTCTCAAGACTCGCCTCCACCCGCTTCTCAAGCTCTCCACACGGACCCTCCACCACGAAGTAGACAACCAGACCTCTCGACACCAAGGCGAGCTCCTGTACCTGCCGCGCGACCTCCTATAATGTCCAAACCGACCACTGCACCCACGAATCTCACCCCACAATTCTGCTTCAACACCCGCGTGCTTCGGGACTTCCTGCGCCTCTCCCGTGCCAGCATAGACGACAGCATATCAACGAACCTCAACGCCCTACTCACACCAGCCTCGACAGCGCCCTTCGATCCGTCCTCCACGTCGATACGAAACCCGTCGCTACCGACATCATTAACTCGGGCGCCTATACCGAAGGAGACGAGCCGGACATTTATACATTCTGTTTTGTTCCCGAGCTGGCAGGCCCGCGCTGACGTGATTTCATACTGCACAAGCGTGGCGACAAGTCCGGATCCCAACGATCCGGACCTGATCGAGCGAGAAGCCTTGAACAGACGGGACGCGGAACGGATCGTGAATGAGCGGCTCGATCCGTATTCGGGACGGTTTTTTCCAAGGGAGTCGCGGGCAGAAATGCTGGCTGGGTTACTGAGGACCGAGAACGCCGTGGAGCAGATCGTGCGGACTCGGACGTGGGGAGTCGTCCAGGACCGGTGCGAGGGCGTCGATGAGGTGACGTGGGATGAGGCTGTGGATAAGTGGCGAGAGGGGAGGAGATGAGAAACAAGCACTTATTATCACTGCGGAAAGCCAAGTGCGGCGCGAGTGCCTCAAAATACAGTCAAATGAGACGCAGTACAATGCAATGCTCACGACGCATCGCCTCGCTGAGAAATCGAAGTGCGGGTATCCCCGAGAGCAAAGTAAAGGCCTATCAACAATCAACCAGAATCTCAACTCATACCGACTGCCTGCGAGCGTCGGACTCAAAAAAACCATGACAGTGCTGCGCGCCTTTGGGGCGTAGAGCCACCCTACCTAAGGTCCGGCGCTCATCTCTACCCTCGAATATCACATCTCTTGGCGGCTGGTCAGACGCCTCCCCCTGCTCTCTACGCCGACAAAAAAGACAAAAACTCCGCGCGTGGCCTGTGTTGAACAGGACCTCGCTGGTGCAGAGAAACCCCGGGATGGGATTTTTGACCATTTCGCAGCGCTCTCGGTTGTGGCGGTTCGAATCGCGGACCAGTCAGTCGTTCGAGTCTAGTGTTGGCAAAGGTCGAGTCGTTCCAGCAAGTCATTCGAGTAAGTCGATAAAATCCGTCGGGTCGCTCGTTCGAGAAGTCGGTCGTTCGAGTCGTTCAATTGGATCGGATCGGATCGTCATTCGAGTCGCGAGTTCCTGCCATCATTAGTTGGGTTACTTATTGCGGCTTGGATATATATCCCCAGCGGTGAGAATGTGAGTATTGTGGTCTCTGAGGGAAAGTAGGCCGGATGGCTTGGTGAAGGTCGATGGGCATTCACTTGACGCTACTTGCACGACAAGGCTGAAGACGAGGCTGAGGATGAGGCAGGATCGATATCTCAGGACTTCGGATGTAAATAGGGGTTGGCTTAGAAGACGGAGAGGAGAAGCTCCTCCATGTGTAAAGGATGTGAGTAACGCCTGGCATATACTGTTGTCTATGCCGAATCTATCCTGAGCTGTCCTATGCTGGATGCTGACCCACTCACCCCGGAAGTGAAACCGGGGTTTGCGATCGACTTGCGTCAATTCTCGTCTCCAGATCTATTTCTAACCTTTTGCCTGTCCACGCGATGCAAGCTCTCCTTGACTCCCCAGCCGTGTCTTAACAACTCGCCTACGTCTTCGAGTCCCAGCCCCATGGTTTCCGGATAGATGGACCATACGACCACCCACCCGACGGCACAGACGGCGGCGTAGCAGACAAACGTCCACTGCGGTCCGAGAAAGTCCATCATCGGAAGAAACGTCAGCCCCACGACGGTATTACACAGCCAGTTCGTCGCGGTGGCCAGGGATGAGCCCAGCGAGCGGACACTGAGCGGGAATAGTTCGGATTGCTGCCAGGGAACAGGCCCGAGACCCATTGCATAGTTTGCCACGTATATGATCATGGCAACAAGGATGCTGATAGCAGGAAGCCGTGGGATGGGATCGCCATATGGATTGCGGTTGGGCGCACGAGCGTCCACTTTGTCGTCATCTGCGGGGAGGCGGATAAAGAGGAATGCGACCGCACAGAGGAGCAGGCCCAACGCCATGAAGGGGATTGTGAGGAGTAACATCCTCCGACGGCCAAGTCGGTCGATCAGATTGAATGCACCGATCGTGAAGAGGAAATTGGTGCCCGCGACGCTCAAGGACGTCAATGTCGGGGATTCAAAGCCTAAAAGCTGAATGTTGAAAAGTGAGGCCTGTTAGCATCTTGTGACATTGTACTCATGTTTGATGCATAAGCATTGGTTTAACAAACATCAGTGAAGCAACGAAATAGAGTGAAGGTCACTTCTCACCGAAAAAATAGTCGCGGAAAAGTACATGAGGCTGTTGAAGCCGCAGAGCTGTTGAAGGGCTTGTAGCGAGCAGCTGATCGTCAGAGCTCTCGCGTGTGGTGGGTGGAGCAACAAAGATTGTAAGGTTGGATTGATGAAGAAGGGTGCTTTGGAGTCTGGCGAGTGGCGGAGCTGAGCATGGGCTTCCTCCTCGTCAAGAAGTTCTTTTCGGATGGCGAAGATAATATCGGTGACAAGGTCTTCCGGCCTGCCGGTCATTCCGTGGTACACCTTTCTAAGAACAGCCCTGGCTTCCGCTTCCCTGTCGATCTTCGCCAGGAAACGCGGAGTCTCCGGCATGAAGGCCAACATGACTAGTTGTGCCAGGGCAGGGGCAGAGCCGAGACCGACCATCCATCTCCATCCGCCTGGCATGGTAGAAAAACCCCATCCGATCAAGTATGCAATGACCTGTCCGCCGGTAATGAAGAGCAAAGATACAGTGACCAGCCTCCCTCTTAGGTGGCTCGGTGCGAGTTCAGAGATGTACAGCGGCACAATGAGACTGGCGCCTCCAATGGCGAGTCCAACAATGCTTCTACCGAGTATCATTCCCCATAGTGAGCTCGTCAAGGCTTGCCAGAGCGCGCCAGCTATGAAGAGTGCATCTGCGAATAAAATAATGTTCTTTCGTCCCACCTTGTCTGCCAAAACTCCAGCAACAGGACTTGCGACGAGGGCGAAGAGGCTGGTGCAAGAGGTAATAAGCCCTTTGTCGAGAGTGGTCAAAGTCCGACCAGATAGATCGGTGCCAATGGAGACGAGTGTACTCGAGATGACACCGGTGTCATAGCCGAAAAGGAGGCCGGATATACAGGCGGAGACTGTTAAAGTCCATATGAAAGTGTTCCCAGAGTGCTCTAGGGTTCCGGAGCCGGTGGTACATTCATTGTCATGTCGCTGGCGGTCCGCAATAAGCGGCGCATCTGGTGGAGTATCATCGTCTCGGGCGGCGGGCATTTCTTCCAATTCCACCTCTTCTCTCTTGTACTCTTCTGGCTGACTGGGCATACAGAGCCGATATATGCATGCTGGTGGTGATCGGGCGTGGTCGTGTGCGCTGGTCAGGAGCAGGCAGAGGGTCGTGTGAGGTGGACATTGGACGTTGTACACACTGCACGCAGACTGCGTCGGAGAGACTTCCTAAAGGGATGCTTAGTCATGCGGCGACGCTACCACCACGTGATCTCCACTATCACCATATGGCGGCGAGGGGCGAATACGTCAAGCCGCAGGCGATTTTTGCGAGGCCGATGGTCGGAGTTCGTGCCATTTTCGCCATTAATAATTCCTGCGCTGCGAGTTGATAAACAAACGCCCCTCGCCACCACCAATTCATTCGAAGGTTCGTCAATTTCGAGGGCGCTCGAATTCTCGTCCTCCGGCTACATCACGCAGCGACCATGAGCGCCATTCTCTCAGCAGACGATCTGAACGACTTCATCTCGCCCGGCGTCGCCTGCATTAAACCTGTCGAGACCCTCCCCAAGCAGGACGGCTCGGACCCCTACGAAGTCACGACCGAGGACAAGGTCCAGGCACAAAACCCTGCGCCCGCATCCATATCCTTGACTGATTGCCTCGCCTGCTCGGGCTGTGTCACTTCAGCCGAAGCGGTGCTCGTTTCTCTGCAGTCGCACACCGAAGTCTTGAACACACTAGATACTCATCCTTCGTTGGATGTACGGTACTTGATTCACAAGAAGAACGGCGTGGTCAATGGGCATGTTTCCCCGCCTGCGGATGCGAAACTCTTCATCGCGAGCGTGAGCCCGCAGGTCCGGGCAAGTCTGGCTGCTACTTACGGCATATCGGAGAGCCATGCTGGTTTTATGATTGAACAATTTCTTAGTGGATCGCAAGGTCTGCGGATAGGTGGACAAAACAACAGTGCCTTCTCTTATGTGGTTGATACCAACCAGGCCAGAGAGGCGTGTCTGGTGCTGGGAGCGGAAGAGGTAGCAGATTCAATAGCCAGCAAGTCCAAGCCCAGGCCGGTTCTGGCTTCTGCTTGTCCTGGTTGGATCTGCTACGCTGAGAAGACACATCCACATATCCTCCCTCACTTATCGAACCTGAAATCTCCCCAGGCACTGTCGGGAACACTCCTCAAGTCAACGTTAAGCAGCACTCTGGGCATCCATCCTTCGCAGATTTGGCATCTGGCAGTTATGCCGTGCTTCGACAAGAAACTCGAGGCCAGCAGAGAGGAGCTTACCGACCGTTGGTGGAGAGATGCCTCTGACACTTCCACCCCCCCAATACGCGACGTCGACTGTGTTATTACTTCCCGCGAACTCCTTTCCCTGGCCTCGGCACGCGGCATTCAACTATCCGAGCTCCCACGCAGACCGCTATCCGCCTTCGAGCGTGTCCCGTTTCCAGACTCTCGAGTCTCGCAGTTCCTCTTCCCAAAGCCACGGCCGCGCAGTGAACAACAAACAGTGAACGCTGGCCCCTCAGGCGGTTATCTCTATCACATCCTCCTCACAGAACAGTCCCACCATTCCGGCTCGACCATCTCCGTCCAACGTGGCCGAAATGCCGATGTAGTTGAATATGCGCTCCTATCCTCCTCCGGCGTGTCACTGATGAAATGTGCACGATACTACGGCTTCCGAAATATTCAGAACCTGGTTCGCAAACTGAAGCCAGCGAGACAGAGTAAATTACCTGGAGCGGCAAGACGGATGACGCAAGCTGCCGGCACCGGCAGTGCCAGCGAATACGCCTACGTGGAAGTCATGGCTTGTCCCGGAGGTTGTACGAACGGAGGCGGCCAGATCAAAATTGACGATGTCGTTGAGATTTTGCCGCAAACAAGAGGCGAGGTGGTTGCAAATTCCGTCAGTCCTCAGGCTCAGAAGGAGTGGTTGCGAAGGGTTGACGAAGCATATTATTCCGCTGATTCGGAGGAAGACTTCTCTTGTGACGACGATCTAGGGGAAGTGGAGATGACGAATGGTCTCAACGGTCATGTCAAAGTGAGTGGCCACAAGGAAGGTCAAATCATCAACGGCATCAATACGGATGAGGTCCACGACTTGCTCCATCACTGGTCACATCTTACTGGTGCGCCGATATCCAGTCTTGCATACACGACCTTCCGCGAGGTCGAGAGTGATGTGGGTAAGAGCAAGCCAGCGAGCAAGATGAGTGACACGGAGCGGATAGCGAGTATCGCTGGGTTGAGTGGCGGAGGATGGTAGAGGTCGAAGACCACAATTCAAACATGGGACTTGAGTCGCCTACAACCAGGACCACAGGACGGACATTTTCTAGAGGCATTTGATACCCAGTGACATCACTCCGAGACGCAGTTTGGGATAAATACACAATCATCACGGGCTCAGCTCGTTATAAGAAGGCTCCTGCTGTTTCGTCCCTTTCTGAACTGACCCTTTTCTGAATTCTACCATCCGCTTCGGTCGCCCTTAGGGCCGCGATCGCGACCCGGCAGTAACGACCAAATGAAGTTAGGACGTGATCGTGACTAGCCGACGCTAGTGGCAATCAGCAGCCTCGCCTCGGCGAACCTTCCTCACAATTTCTCGACGAGGCTGCATCTACCTACTGGAACAAAACGTTTCGCGATCTCCAAACACCCACCGACGGAAACCAAAGGAGAGATGAGCGGATGCCCCGTCTCCTCGCTCCGCACAAATCGGGGCCCCATCGACTAGCATGCCTCGCGCTCTTCAGGTCTCTCCTCCGCGAGAGCCGCCACGTCGGCACCGCAACCTCGAGCACCACCACCGCTGACACCCTACGCTCCCTTGTCCGATACCGCTTCCGCAAGGACCGCGGGCTCCAATCTCGGCCCCGTATCGTCCACGGCCTCAAAGCAGGCCACGGCTTTCTCGACCTTTTGCGCGGGTGTGCCGCGAAATCACCCTCCGCGGTCGACCAACTCAGCAAGCTCCTCGAGCAAGTCGCCCTGCAGGCCGAATCGACGGCCACGTACCGCCGGACGCTCGCCGCGCGGTGGAAACCGCCTCCTTTAGGCCGCTATGCGCACCTGGAGAATCTGCGGCGCGTGCGCGACAAGAACAACCATGTTTCCACGCCCTCGGCGCCGCGGATCTTCCAGCACCCGCGCCCGCTGAGCGAGGTCAAGACAGGGGTGCGCAAGGTGCCCAACTTGATCCTCGCGCAGGGGGTGCCTCTGCTGAAGTACCCTGGGCCGACGCCCGTGTTGGTAAATCGCATACTGAAGGAGAAGATCCGCTGGGGGGTGCGCAAGTGGGAGCAGCACAAGGATGTGCGGCGGCGGATCCAGATCGCCGAGTGGGAAGACGAATGGGACGATATCCTCGCGGAGGAAGGCAATTTTGTCGATGACGACGATGGTGGTGCTGGTGCTGGTGCTGATGGTCTTCTGATGGAAGGAGACGAGGGGCTAGGGTCCGTGAAGCCTCATGTCTCTGGGACGAGGATCCGGTACTATGATCCGCAGAATGAGGTTGCCGACACTGCCAGTGCCACTGGCGCCTCGCGAAAGCAACAGCCAGGCTCGGGTTTGAAGCCACGACTATCCTGGACTACCCATCTCCGACAGGTGGATCGCGAGCTCGAACTGGCCGTCATGGAGCGTGGGAAACAGTACGCCCTGCTAGGGAATCGGTATTGGCACGAGGTTGTGGTCCCGGAGAGAGAATTAAAAGAACAGGAACGCAAGGTCAGGAAGCATGCAAGACGGATGGAAAGGAAGGCCAGGGTGCAGGCGAGCAGTATCTTCGGAACTGAGGGTCAAGTCCCTGGACGAGAGGACCAGGATCTACAGCCCAGCAGCGTATCTTCGGGTTTCATCTAGCACGGAGAGCAGAATGGGAAAACTGTGATGGTTGGGATTGGAGGATATAGTTCAACGGCTGTGCGAGGTGGTATCTCCTCTCTCCTACCACTCGATGTGCAAGCCTGTAAATACGGTTTGGAACCCCCGCGTGTCATATCAGTATGAGAAGCCAACGCCGGCTATGCATGCATTCGTCAACCTTCGTCAATTCATCCGTATACCGTTTACAAGCTTGCTTCGGCGGCAACGATCGACCCTTGTGTGCTCCGGCGAGCTTAGAAAGTAGTCCCCTCCTGAGGCTGTGGCAGTTTCTTGTGCTGCGGCAGAGCCATGTATCTGCGCGTACGTAGTAGGTTAGCCTCGGCGCCTACACTAAAGTCTGCTCAAACGTACCGTCTCAGCTCGATCAAGATGGTCTCCATTGTGTAGTCGCGCTTCCAGTTCGCCAGACAAGGCAACCTCGACGGATCAACCTGACACCGGGCCACAGACGTTAGCATGTGCTGCACGCCCTGACTTCCCAGATCTCCTTGCTCTCCAGTGGTGTCTTCTCCTCACCTTTCCGGTCTTCTGATCCACGCACGGCAGATTGACTCGCGAGACGAACTGGATCGTGGGCGGGAGGTCAGGATACCGGTCCCCGCAATGGATGTTGACGCTGTAAATGCGGTTCTCGTGCACGCTCTGCAAAGGCACCTGAGTATCAGTCTTGATCCCTCTTGACATGATGCGTACACCTGTCACCCGAGTAGCCACGTACATGAGGAGGTCCGAGGATGGTGCCATTCCAGTTCGTCATCATCAGATCGTCGCCATCGGCTAGGCCGTACGAGCAAGCCTCTGCAATGCCGCCAGTGTTAGCTTCGGTGTTGCCAACGGAGAATCGAGCGCGCGCATGTGCGTCCACGACATCGCATGGCGAGACGGATGAATGGCCGAACTAACCTGCACCCAGGCCTTTCTCGCCCTTCTCCAGCTCTTCCAGCAGCCGGAAGTTTCGAGGTACCTTGGCACCCATGCCGATCGACTCGGTGTCTTCGTGGAAACTGGTAAGGTGGTGCAAGTTGTGTCTATATACGGAGTACAGGATTCTGCTGTATGAGGGGTGGGTGTGGGGGGTTCGAAATCGAGGCTATGAGAAATTACCAAGGTCAAGCAGCGAACATGAGAGGCACGCGCCGCGAGGCAATCGAACGGTGTGGCGGTGCAAGGTGGGAGAGTCACGTGTCGCACGTGGGGTGGCTTGTCACAGCCACAGTGAGATCCAGCATGTCGACCCATTTAGTATCCACTCACCTCTCACGTTCGCACTCAATTACTTACTTTACTCACTCTTTACTCACTCTTCATCGTGGAGAGAGATATTCAGGACATTCCGCTGAGGCTCGGGGGTATTTTCGCATAAGTGCTATTCCGGATCTGAGTATCCAGGCTGTAGAATATCCTCAGATCTAAGCGAGACGTCACGGTGAGCTAGAGGCCGATTCGAGTAGCCCGGGATCTGGACTACTTTGGGACTTGCTCTTAATCTCTACCGCGTTTCATAGGATTCGGTAGATGATCCGCCGCTGAACCCGCGCTTCAGGCGGCATCACCCTAATTAGGCCACGCGACCGTGAGCAGGGGTGAGCTCAGAGTAGACTCTACTGTATGTGCAACTCCTCCTTGGCTATTATCAGCACCTGAATGCCTAGATTCGTGTCTACCATATTATGAGGATCCATGACTTCGACACGTAACGGGACCTTTCCGAACAAACTCGAACACAGCGAATACCTACCACTGCCACGCTGGCTGTGCTTCTGTCCGTTCTAGCCCACTGAGCAAGTGACCTTATAGACTTCTTTTACCATGGGCGGGTTGCCCCTTTGCCGATAAACCCTGCCGCTGCGAACCGTCGCCATATCCATCTGTCCTGCTCTTATGGCACCTGGACAGGCAGCAACCGGCTCAGTCGATGGGGAACAACTCCTAGCCCGAGAGCGAGAACGCCTCTTACAACCGTCCGACGAGGAAGAGATTCCATCGCATGACTCGCATGACCAGGAAGAATGCAACGTTCCCATTCCCGATGAGGAGCTTTCAGAACAGCAACCCGTTCCACACTGGCAGCATGAGGAGACCTTCAAGCTTCTCAGCGTGATACTCGATTTCTTCATCATGGGCGTCTGTCAAACCGCAGTGGGGGCTTTGATTCCCAGTATCGAGCGGTTCTATCACCTTAGCGACGGGTCTACGGCGTCACTCTTCGTGGCGCATATGGGTGGCTACCTCTGCGCCACGGCAATCATACAGCATCTTCACCTCCGTCTTGGTCGAAGAGGGATCGCACTGTTGGCGCCTCTCTTCCGTCTCTCCGCTGCTGCTCTGCTCTCCACAGGACCGTCCTTCAATGTGGCGCTAGCGACTTACTCTTTGTTTGGCCTCGGGACAGGTCTTGCTGACGCTGGCTGGTGTGCTTGGGCGAGCAGCCTGCCTTATGCCAGCATTTGTCAGGGTATGATGCATGGCGCGTTCTCCGCCGGTTGTGTTGTCGGTCCCATCGCTGCGTTGGCTGTCTTGAACGAAGGGTTCGAGTGGCATGGATTCTACTGTTTTGCCGTAAGTCACCGAACCATCGCCCCTCCACGCATCTGAATTCTGAATTCCCCATCAAAGGCCGCCCTTCTAAGCCTAGAACTCATGGCAGAAGGCTTAGCATTCCGGCACGACACTGCCGCGAAGTATCGTAGCACCTCAAGCGAATCGCGCGACATTCGGGTGTCAAACCCCTTCCGAATCACCGCCACCTGGATGTGCGGTCTGTTCTTCTTCGTCTACGTAGGCATTGAATGTAAGTCCGATGTTCGAACCAGGTCGCAGCATTGTCACTCTTCGGACCCCATGCTAAAAAATACATCACAAAGCATCATTCTCCGACTGGATCGTCCTCTTCTTGCGCCGCGTCCGGCACGCCGACCCCTTAAAAGCTTCCCTCTCCTCTTCCTCCTTCTGGGCCGGCATGGCTGTCGGTAGACTTTTTCTCGGCTTCGTGACGCAACTCTTCGGCCTCCGCATCTCTATTTCCACATATATCGTCTGTTCGACGACTCTACAAATCCTGTTCCGACAGATCAGCACCCCGGCCTTCTCGCTGGTCTTGCTCGGCTTGAATGGGTTCTTCTGTGGTCCATTGTTTCCCTCCGGCATCTTACTTTTGGCGACGAAACTGCCGACCAAGGGACACGTCGGTGCTGTTGCCGCGGCCGCGGCGATGGGACAGGTTGGCGGCGCACTTGCACCCCTGGCTATTGGTCTGCTGGCGGACAGGTTTGGGATCGGCCACCTGCTGGATGTTGTTCCGGCGCTGTCGGCGCTCATGCTGGTGATTTGGTGGGTCTTTTCAACGCGGTTTTAGATATCAGACGGTACAAAGCGAACGCGAGGGAGAAAGGAATGGGCTCAATATTCAGTATGTCAGTGTTGGACCTGCTCATGGGAGTAGTGATGAAGCAAGCTCTTGCAGGGAAATTATGGACTGACGTGTTCTTCACGCCGATTTTGATTCTTCAACTGCTATGTGCGGCGGTTCTGGGCTGAATCGACAGACTCAACTTGCGCACTTTTGGGGTGCATGGCATCGTCCCATGACAAGGAGTCTTTCCTCATGGCATCCTCCATCCGGAGTCGTGCTGAAGCCAACACTCGAGCCTTTCGTATCATGCCGTGCTACGGTCGCCCACCAATATGCCATGCCACTTCATACCGAGGATATGCATGCTTCTCCACTTCCAAGCCTCAACGTTTGTCAGGCTCGCTCGTACCATTGCCAAGGTTCATGTTCGCGTAACTCTGCACCAGCGCATAAAAGCCTGGACCGGGCTCATGAAACTTGCGCGGCTGCGCCGCCTGCGGTGGGGGAGGGCCGTACTCGGGGCCATTGGCTCCATAGACTTTGCGGTCGCCGATGATGGGGGATCGAGTACGGACAGGCATGATAGGAACAGGAGCTGGTTGAGGGGCCGGGTCGTCACCCCACTTGGACTTGACGGTAGTGTTGGAGGCAAAGGCATTGAAACGAACTGGCTGATCTGATGGTTCGGCTCCCCACTTCGAGCTGATCGTGGTCTTCGATGTGAATGGCTTGGTGCCAGTAGTGGTTGGGGCAGTCGTAGGCTTTGTAACTGCAATTTCTTTCTTAATATCAGCCGGAAGAGCAGTGGTCAAAGTGGTGTTCGCGCGATCGTGGCTCACTACTTCACGCGGCAAAAAAGGATTGACATGACGTGCTGGAATGACCTTCGTGGCGGTTGAGGAAGAAGTTGTCGAGGACGCCGCATTGGGCTGTGCAACTGGCGCGTCGACAGGCTCAGTCGGTTTCTCAACAGACCGAGCGGCGAGGACTTCGGTTGTCACGGTGGTACTGAGATGCCTCTCAATGGCTTCGCGGAGTGCCAACAGCTCGTCCAGAGAAACGTACTTCCGTCCAGCGAATTCGATGATGTTACCTGGTTGAGCAGGCAAAACATCACTCCTGACATCGTCAGGAATTGGCGAATCCATGATGCTTCCCGTGGGTGACAGGCCAGCCACCTGTGCAGTAGCGTTCGAAGATTGGTGCACGTCTAGGAGTGTGGCCGCTGCTTGCAACTCCACGTTGCCGATACCAAGGCCGATCAGGTCTCTGCCATGGGATTCGGTCTGGACTGGTGCTTGCTCATGCATGTCTGTCGAGGCCGAGAAATCAGACATCGTCATGGGGCTAGGATCGCCATCAGTATGGGTCGCCACATCGCCAGGCGCCAAAGCAGCATTGGCAGGGAAAGAAAACTCCTCGACAGGGACGCATCGAATGGAGGGATCGGATAATTTTGGATGTACGTTCTCTTGAGCAGCCGCGGCTGGTGGTGGTGTGGGAGTGTCATGGCCAACATTGACATGCGGAACCGGCACGTTGTTGTTTGACTGGTCTGCTTTCTTGGATGGACCTTTCACTGCCGACATAAAGGCCGAGGGGTCAGAAAGGATGAATGACTGAGCCTGTCGAACAGGTGCAGAAGGTGGCTTCATTGGCGCAGCCTTTGCAGCGCTTTGGCCACCTCCGGCGATACCAGGCATCCTCTTTATAGCTGTCTTGGCAGCCAAGGCATTGAGTTGCGTGTCAGGTGCTAGACTGGGCGTGCTAACGGGCGCTGCTGGTGGCCATGGTCGACCATGCTCTGGCTTACGCGAGGCAGGAGGATTTGAAGCCTGCGTTCTGGGAGTAGGACGGGGCAAGAGTCTACCATGCCAATCAGTATGAGCTCGGAACGGACTTTGGGACAGACATACGCTTGGGGAGGATTGAAACGACTAATAGAGTGCTTGTTGCCGGCGTGTCGACCCCCACCAGGACGGTCATCTATGTGTTCGAGACTGAGGTCACCAACTGACTTAAGTCCAAGTCGGACTGCTTCTTCCTGCAGCTGATCTCTGGTCCTGGCACGGTGACCATGCAGATTACGAGCTTCATTGGTGGCCATGTCGGACGCGTCAACGGTGGTGTGGAAACCTAAACATAGATTAGTATTGAACCATTACATTGATACCGACAACGCACTATTCCAACTATCCATTTTCGACTGGTTCAGGCTTGCAACCTCTGCCTCTTTGGTCCCCTGTCTATCACACTGCCGCGAAGAAGGGAAATTTCGAGCATGTCGGCGACTGGCCTCGTCGATGCCGTACTTGATGTCGTGAGCACGGAATTCGCCTAATTCGGCCTGAAGGCGAAGATCAGTATCCAAATCGAGAACAGCTTGAAGACAGATACTTACGCGCTGGAGCAGCATCATTTCGCTTTCACCCTCCGCATTAGGGTCAGAAGACTGGATATCGGCGGGCTCTTCCTCACTCGCCCTAACGTGGCGACGTGGATTCGGCACCATTGTATTTTTGTTGATGTCTTCAGCCACACCTGAGACACTGCAGAAGAATAAATGGAGGAGGGTAGTGACTAAGGCTGTTCGAGAGAATCAACGAACGGAACGTGCTGCGAATCTTGACGGGACAGGGCCTACCAGCTGATATCCGGGACTAACCTTCAGTGAGGCACCCGGGTCTTGAAAAGGAGAGATTGAGGGAGTATGGATAAAGTATCCAATAACGAAGAGGTCAAGGACAGAAGACGAGGATATGAGGGGTGCGAGAGGGTAGAGAAGGAGGAAAGACGAGAGCTGGATCAGCAGTCGAAGATGAATTTGAGGCAGCAAACAGCAAATACTGCTTGGCAAAAAGTCGCACAGTTCCCTCTGTGTCCGGAACCCTTGACAAGGGGAAAGGAGGGGCAGTAGACGTGATACTGTTGTCGATGTGCGAATGGACGACGTGGTCAGCGAAAAATGCCGCGATGTTTTCCCACGTGCAGAAGCACCCCTGTTGGAAACTGTTGGGATCGGCCGCAATCAATTCATCTGAATCATGTCAACCAGTTGGAGACTAAGCAAGTAGACAAGGGGAAGTCAGAGGTTGGAACGAGGGGGACAGGAAGGAAAAGGCAACGGTGAGGTCGATGGTCTGGTGGACATGAGTGGACACTAGAGGCATAAAGACATCTTTCCTGGGCCTTCTTTTCATGTTGTCTTCCTTGGCTCTGTTTTCATCTTCTGTCGTTCAATGGACTCTTCGCATTTGCAGCACAATTTGAGCTGTTGCTGGGAATCGACAGAGACAGGACAAAAGTTCACCAACTTGACCGTTGCCATTATGATGCCGAGCTTCCTGGAGGCTTCCTCCTCGTTCGACATTTGTGTATGGCGACTCCGCGCAGGACCCTGACCGTGTCAACTTGCGCTCGGGTGATGGCACCTGACATCAATTTTCTCTTCAGACTGTCTATCCCACACCCTGCCTCGCAGCCAGATGTATTCATGTCCTCAACCTTCCTGAGCTATCAATCTCGCCATTGACTGCCACAAACAGCGCCTCGATTGTGTAAAGGTCAGCTTTCACTTCCACATACCCAGACTCATGCCTTCTTTCTGATCTTTAGCTGTAGGATCAAACCGTTACATGCGTTACAATGGATACACCAGCAGCCAATCCAGAAGGGGAGCGTATACCACCTCCTGCTGAGAATATCCGGCAGCTCGAAATCAAAGTCACAGATGGCAGCAACGAGCTTGTCTTCAAGGTCAAGGGAAGCACCAAGCTGGGAAAGGTTGTGAATAAGTTCTGCGTACATCAAGGCAAGGATCCAGAAACGGTAAGGTTTCTTTTCGAAGGAGAGAGATTCAAGGGAGTAGAGACACCAGACTCAGTGAGCCCCAACGCTCCAACACCACGATGAATTCTAACAGAATACCAACAGCTGGGGATGGAGAATGACGATATAATCGAGATGAAGTCCGAGCAGATCGGAGGCTGGTCAAGATAGCCATCACCCAAGGTTGTCAAAGACTGAGCTCGACAACAAGGTCGATTAACTTTACATCAATGAGAGCTTACGGCTGAAGAAGGGTCAATAGCGCACAGGGGATTGGAAAGCAGTGTCCACTTCCTAGCTCATGCGGACTCGAATATCCGCTCACGATCCGAGGTTCCCCGACCAAATTTAGCAACTCCTCAGCCTCATTATTGATTATGATGACGGGGATTTGGTTAGTATTGGGAAAACGAGATACGACGTACGAGACACAGTACTCTGTACGTATGCTCAACGCTGGTTATGACCATCAAGTCTACGAGGTACACAGTACGAGATCCAGGTCGACCGCGGCCAGGCTATTCGTTCTACCGCACATCCAGACATCGTGTGGCCAGTGTAGAGACCACCAGCAACTCGCCGCAGCCCGCAGCTATGCAGATTCACCAGTTTGATCCGTCTTCCGCTTACCTTTCCTTGCTATGTAGTTGCACACCGCCCTTGCACAAAAGTCACGAGACGGCAAGTTGGCATACTGACACGAGGTACTTTACCGTGGTGGGAAGTGTTAGTCGATTGTTGAGACCCCGCTTTGTGCCTGAAGGGCGTCTCGAGCCGACCGGGTGCATCTTCGGACTCCGCAAATTGCTGCTCAACGCTTAAGGTCCGAGCCACATTGCCCAAATCGTAGCCATTGAGCAGCTAGTCAGGGTGGGCCCGAGCTGGCCAGCTGCATTGAACGCCGACTGATGAATGAGATAGAGCTGTCTTCATAAGGGGAGCAGGGTGTCCCGGCTCTGAGGTACATCTCCCTCCCGCCTCTGTTACATATTTGGTCTCCCCTCGCACACCGACGACCACCCTGCATCACAAACTGTATCAGGGTCACCGCCATTTCATCTACGTCTCACAGCTGAGCCCCGGCTTCCCCATACTTCGGAATTGCATATGAACCCTCCACAGGACTACATCGACCACGACATCTTCCACACCATCCACTGACCGCCGTCTATCTTCTGCCCTTCAGTTATCAATTGTACCAGCATATCATATCAATCAAATTACCATGGCAGCACCTCGAGCCTCTTCTTTCAAGGCACTGCGCAACCTTCAGCGCACTCCTGGATCGGCTTCGGCCAAACGGAACTTGCACATTACTGGCGTTCATGAATCCCCGAGGCCTATCGATCCCAATCACAAGACGACCTATATGCCATGGAACCTACAAGACCTCCGTCATGAGTGTCAGAAGCGGACGCTTTCGGCATCGGGTACCAAGCACGAGCTCATCGACCGCTTGGCTGGTCATGATAGCCTGCAAGCAAGAGCCTTCTCCATTGCCATGAAGAGGATTGCAGTCGAACAGACCAGAAAGCCGGTCTCAGGGTGAGTAACAGCATCCAACCTCTATCAATCTCTACGAACTGACCTGTTTGCAGTCCGTCTGAAACAGCGCCGCAGAGGCACTTCAATACCTCCCGTGTCCTGAAAGCGGTGGGCGACACTTCCACTATCGACTTTGCATACCTTCCCAAGCTCTTTGAGGAGTCATGGGGTCCTGCACCCGCTGCCATTCGCGTTCCCATCCTCCCTAATATTCAATCCGACCATGCCGAAGCTGTCCTGGAGAAATACCCAGAGCTGGATTCAGCCGCAGGCGGTTACCAAGATACGCCGGGCCATGAGACAATCTTGAAGCCGCAGATCTTCCACAATGGGGATTCGGAAGGCAGCGTGGCAAGTCCTCTGAGTGACGTGCACGACGGACACCCTACTGAGCTGTCAGTCGAGATGCTCACCGCGTTGACGGAAACTGTGGGCAAGAGCGCCAGACAATTCCTCGACCAGGTCAAGGACAAAGACGAGCAGACGATCCGCAAGATCTGGAGTGGCTTTCTTGACGATGTCTTCGGCGAGAAGAGAAAGGGAGCCAGTGCATGAGCCTTGCAGATGGCGCAAGGGGTGGCAAAGCAATGAAATCATTGTCGCACCGTCATGACAGCGTTGCAGTAGCACGAACTAGCGAGCCGTGTTTTCTTTTATGACCTATACCACGTTATATAACGTCGGTTGAGGGGATGAGACCGGGTATTCCTTATAATACAGTGCACAGCGCATTTCTTGAAGGGAGAACGAACTGTTTCATCCATGAATGCCTTTCTTTTCTGTCGGCTGTCGAGGGCTGAGATGTCAGTTTGTGGAGGCCTTGCTTGCGATTTTCGGACGAGTGTTTCTGATCCGCCTCCACCAGCCCGCTTAGACTCCGCAAACCTCCACTATGACCATTCCAGCCGGTTGCCCCTGCGCCCTGCGCTCTGGGACACTTTGAGATTCACACCTCGCGCCGCTTGACTGTATCAGACAGAGGTCTTGACTCAGGTAATTGATGTGTTCGACAAGACCTCGCCAGCATCAGCAGCAGGACTCTGGGCTCGATCCGAACTCTGGCTTACACGACGGGTTCGTCTGGGGCGTTCATTATTGATGTCTAGCCGCAAAATGTGGGTGACTAGCTCATCCAAGCACCCGCTAAGCCAGCCACAGGGGGTTGGTCTTCGACGCCCGGGCCTCGGGCTGACGCCAGTCGTTGCCACCAGTTCGGGGCACATTCCAAGGGCCAATTGAGTGAGCACGCAGAGAGATCGTCAGGTACGCGAATGGCGAATCCCTGCCGTACCTTGCCCGATTCGCATGCTTCTCCTGGATGGCCGACCCGTCCGAACTTGGCATGTCGACGCCGCCGCCGAGATCTACAAGCTATGCGATGGCGCCCGCATATACAGCCGCTTCTAGGACTTCATCTTGTGTTTCTTCAAATTCACTGATTATTGTTGCATCGCTCTCTATCATCATTGTTATACTCCTGTACCTCGTTTTGCAGAGTGTTGTTTCGGGATCTCTTGATTGAGAATTTCTCGAGTTCTGTATCGATCACAAGCTACTGCCTCTGTGCCACTATTGTCGTTCATTGATTCAACTCATTTGGCTGGATACCAAAATCGAAAAAAGAACCTTGCGATGTTATAACAAGGACGGGCTCCTTTCAAACTATCGCCTCAAAACAGCAATTGCAAATGTGGTGATCTTATCCACATCTTAATATCACAGCCATGCATCGACGGTGGCTATCAGTACCTCTCTTGTCGAGCTACGTTTCAGCATTCTATCCTTATCACTCTGGCGATGGCGGAAACGACAATAGCAAGAGGTTCATACCTATGGACCAGGAGCCTCAAACGAAAGATGACTCCGGAGTTGTGATTCTTGACATCAAGAAAATAGTAGGTCAAATCCAACAGCTCCAATGCCACCGAATGCTAACCAAGTCAGTCCAGGAGAAACAATATATTCCCCGTGGTAACCTCAACAGCAGCTAACATGCCGAATGCGATGGCCATCAACCAAGACGGCAACGACTACACCTACTTCTCGACCATGAAATTCGGCTCCAAGGGTCAAGAGATGTACATGCTGATCGACAGTGGCTCGGCCAACACCTGGGTCATGGGTTCGGATTGCGGATCCTACGCTTGTCAGACCCACAACACCTTCGGCAGTGAAGACTCGAGCACCCTGAAAACAACCACGCAAACATGGTCTATGACTTATGGTACTGGAGAAGTTGACGGCGTGGTGGCCACGGACACCGTGCAGCTGGCCAACTACACAGTCAGCATGGACTTTGGACTCGCTTCAACCGCTTCGGACGATTTCAACAACTATCCCATGGATGGCATACTGGGCATCGGACGCGCCACGTCGAGTGCGCTAGACTCGCCAACCATCATGCAAGTGCTGAGTAACCAGGGCCATCTAGCCGAGAACATTCTGGGCATCCACCTGCAGCGGAGCTCCGACGGCGCGAAAGACGGACAAATCACCTTCGGTGGTGTCGACTCGTCCAAGTTCGCAGGCAAATTGTCGTACGCCAAGACCATCAACAGCGATAGCTGGCAGATTTCAGCAGACGACGCAGGCGTCGATGGCAAAGCAGTGGGGTTTCAGGGCAAGACCGCCATCATCGACACGGGCACTTCATACATTCTGATGCCTCCGGCCGACGCTGACGCCCTGCACGAACTCATCCCGGGCAGTTCTCACAACGGCGAGCGATATGTGGTCCCCTGTTCCTCCTCTGCGAATGTGTACTTCACCATATCAGGCGTCAAGTATTCCGTATCACCAAAGGACTATGTCGGCAAGCAGAGCGGCTCCGGCTGCCAGAGCAACATCATCGGACACCAGCCTTTCGGCCCAGACGATTGGATTCTTGGTGATGTGTTCCTGAAGAACGTGTACACCGTTCTCGACTTTGATCAAGCTCAAATCGGGTTCGGAACGAAGGGCGGCAACGGCAGCAGCGCAACGTCGTCATCAGCCTCCGGCGCTCCTTCATCGTCAGGCTCGAACTCGACGGTTTCAAGTAGACCTTCCCCGACGTCAAGCTCGGCCTCTAGGGGAACCACGATTGCTACATCGACGACAAAAGGAAGCAGCTCGACAGCAACCGGTTCCGCCAGCGGCGCGGCAGCGACGAGTACTGGGGACAGCGACGGCGGCAGCGACAGCGACCCCTTCAGCCAGGCGGGCGACACGGGATCGTCATCGGGCTCGTCCTCTTCCAGCGCGACCAAATCAAAGTCAAGATCAAGGTCCAGCTCACTGATACCCATGATGGCCCTGGCATTTGTGGCCGGCTTGATTTTGTAATTCTGCAATTATCCGTGGGTGGTCGTCGGGCCAGCAAGGACGATCCGGATAGGTACCGTCTGGTCTTGGATACAGACCACGACAAGCTGGCATGTCACTCATAGCGGGGATTCCCTAGCGTCGATCAGTAATTGTTTAGTCATAGAGCCGTGATGGCACATGGGCACCAGTCCGAACCAAAGATATCAAATATATTTCCCACCGGTCAGTGGTGGGCGTGGAATAAGAAGCAAGTTCCATCTGAGAGGTGTTGTTGGACTCTGCCATTTCATTCACGTCAAGGTCTCGTTCCTGCGGAGCGTGGCGTAGCAGTTGTATATGCCATACCTGCCACTTGGCCTGTGACGAACATGCTGCAAGAGGCATCACGGTCTCGGTAGAGTGCGATGCCGGACACACCCGAATGAAAGTGCTATAGTACGTGTACGTTCCAAAACCCGGAAGTGGCGGGTTCGATGTCGCAGTCTTTAAAGAGTGCCATGCATTTGACGGGGCACATTTCTCACAGAGTGCTATGCGTTTAATGGAACACACTTCTTACAGAGTGCTATGCCATAGAGACAGTACGCTTCTTGCAGAGTGCTATATACTTGACGGAACACATTTCTCGCAGAGTGCGATATAATCAATGGAGTACACTTGTTATAAAGTGCTATACATTTGAGGGAGTACATTTCTCACAGAGCGCTATATATTGGACGGAGTATCTACGGTACACTTCTCTCAAAGTGCTATGCATTTGATGGAGTACACTTCTCACAGAGTGCAATAACCCAAACACTCGCCGGTCGCAGTTCTGGCCTATTGCAGTTTGCGCAAAGCGAAACACCACCGTCCTCTTCATGGGTTTTTGTCCTGTTGCAGGTCTCCCAACTCCCACACCACATCCTCTCCGCCGCTTTGCATCTTTCGCTTGACCGACTTGTGCTCGTTCATATCTGCATACTCACCCTGGCCATTGGCTACATCCAGGCACCGTAGACTTCCTGGTTCGGCTCTCCTGCGACTCGTCTGCCTTAAGCCACTGACCAGCCCTTGTCGATGCGCAATTCCGACCCGTTCAACCCCACGGCAGTTGCCAAGAACACGATCGCGTTCGCCGCGTCAATGGGGTCACAGTTCCCGCACTGTGTCGCCATGGTCGGCATCACCGTGTCCAGACCTACCTTGTCCGGAACAGCCCTGCTATTCTTCAAGATCTCCGTCGCAACACCACCGGGCAACAGGACGTTCGTTTGAATCCCCTCTTTGGCGTACATCCATGCCGTGCTGCGGGAGAGGCCGAGCAACGCGTGCTTGGACGTCGTGTACGCCACCCCTGCGGTGCCGCCTTTGACGGATGCGAGCGAGCCGACGTTGACGATCCGGCCTTTCTGCTCGGCCTCCTTGGTGAGGAAATACTTGATGGCGGCGCGCATGACGTTGAACGGGCCATGGAGGTTGATATTCAGGACGCGGTTCCACATCTCGTTTGAGACGTCTCCCGTGCGTTCGAACTGATCCATAACACCGGCGACGTTGCAGACGATGTCGATAGTAGCCCATTTATCCAAGACTTGTTTGATGGCGGCGGTGACGGATTCTTCGGAAGAGACGTCGCATTTGATGTTGAGAAGGTCGGAGCTTGAGCTTGATGAGTCGGAGGCGTCCACGATGTCCAAAGCCGCGACTTTGGCTCCATGGGAGAGGAATAGTTGTGCAGTTGCAGCGCCGATGCCGTTTGAAGTGCCGGTCACGAGCACGACCTGGTATGTCAGTACAGTAACGGAGAGTGGAGAAGCTTTTTGAGAACAAGGTCGCTAAGAGCCTGTTCTTCTTCGTTTCTTACCTTGTCCTTCAGGTCCGCCATTGGAGATATCTGGAATTTTAGTCGGATGTACTGTGTAAGAACACGAAGACGCGGCTCTGACAGCTTTAAAGGAACTGGATGGCCTTGCTTACTCTGCTTCAGGCCACCCCTGAAACAGTCGACTCTCGGTGAATCCTACTCTGTCCATCGTTCTTTTTCCCTATCATCGACTAGCTTACGATGATTATCGAGCGACCATGGCCCGATCCTGCCAATTTCGAAGACCGCAGACGGTTAATGAGTACAGTCGTTCCGGATGGCCTCATGCAACAGGAGGGAGGGGCTCGGCGGTTATGTGGGGTCAGTCGCTGCCGCATAAAGTTATGAACAAACCTTCTCGGTGCTGACACGCATTGCTGGAAGTACAAAGGACTGAGGAATGTGAAGCTGCAGTGCTGCAAGAAGAGAAGGAATTAGATCAATTCAAGAAGCCGGCTGCCCGCCCGAGCTCCATAACTTGATGGAAGGCCTCCAGGAATCAGCACTCGTGAAGAATCAAGAGTGATCAGCGCTGCTGCCACCTGTGTGGTTGGGCTGTAGCGTTCGCCTGATCTCAATTGCCGTCAGCGCCGAAGTTACATGACATCGGTGTAGTGATCTCTCTCCCTTAAGCTGTGACGCAAAACCAAGCTCCAAGTGAGAAGAGGGAAGGCAGCGAGGCTGAAGCTTGCGGTTCGGCCGTCTACTGTAGCTCACGGAGTCGGTTCCTGGCGAGCCTGGTTATTTGCGAAAACGTAGCCGATATCCTCCACTTCACCAACTTCTCACGCTTACGTACGTTCGTTCGAGCACCATCTCGCAAATTGTGAACATCTCTCCCTCAATCACTGCTGACAGGCGAGATGCAATTCCTGCGACATGCCAACAGATGATGAAGATAGCAATGGCTTCATCGGAAAAGTCCCTAATGGCAAGATCGAGAGTTACCGGCACCTGCTGGCATCGGCGGACGACAGCCCTGCCTTGACTCGAGACCGAGACTCACCCCCGGAGTCAGTCAGTCATGGAAGCCGCCCACCCTCCCTGAGACAGTCGTCGCTTTCCCATCCTCGTCCGCCCGGTACTCCTCGAACCAACAACAGGGTGCGATTCGACCTTGAAGACGTGGCGAGCAGTCCGCAATCAGAAGAATGGGTAGACGAGGAGGACTGTCTCAACTCCCCAAGCCAGCACGCTCCGCTGCTGACCGATATCACTCCACCGTCTCAATCTCCCTTCCTGTCCGAATCCTTCCAGCCGGAGGACTACCTGCCTGATGCGAGGCCCAAGAGTGGGATGTCGAGTGCGTTTATGAACATGGCAAACTCAATCATTGGGGCCGGGATTATTGGTCAACCATATGCCTTCCGACAGGCCGGGATGACAATGGGCATCATCCTGCTGGTTGCTTTGACGGTGACGGTGGACTGGACCATTCGTTTGATCGTGATCAACAGCAAACTGTCAGGCGCAGACTCGTTCCAGGCGACAATGCAGCATTGCTTTGGGTCTAGTGGCCTTGTGGCCATTTCAATCGCGCAATGGGCCTTTGCTTTCGGCGGTATGATTGCTTTTTGCATCATTGTGGGGGATACGATTCCCCATGTCATGGAGGCGTTGATTCCAGGGTTGAGAGAGGTGCCTTTCCTGTGGCTTCTGACCGAACGGAGAGCTATCATTGTACTTTTCGTCCTTGGTATCAGCTGGCCATTGAGTTTATACAGGGATATTGCAAAGGTAGGATACGCTTTCGTTGCTCCTGGGATCACTACTGACCCTGGCAGCTGGCAAAAGCATCTACACTGGCGTTGATCAGCATGTTGGTCATCATTGTGACCGTCGTCACCCAAGGAGCCAGTGTCGATCCAGAACTACGCGGGAACTTAAAGGGACTTCTTTTCGTCAACGACGGCTTCTTTCAGGCAGTCGGAGTCATCTCATTTGGTAGGGCATCTGTTGGGTTGGAATGATCCGAGCTAACATATCCAGCTTTTGTTTGCCATCACAACTCGCTACTAATCTACGGCTCGCTCAAGACGCCAACCATAGACCGGTTCGCGACAGTGACGCACTACAGCACCTTTATCTCCATGATAGCCTGTCTGATCATGGCACTGGCAGGTTTCCTTACGTTCGGCAACAAAACCAAAGGCAACGTCCTGAACAACTTCCCCTCTCAAGGACACGTAATAGTTCAGATAGCTCGGCTGTGCTTTGGACTCAACATGCTCACAACTCTCCCCCTCGAATGCTTCGTCTGTCGAGAGGTCATGAACAACTACTGGTTCCCCGAAGAGCCTTATCAGCCGAACCGCCATTTAATCTTCAGCAGTGCCCTGGTGGTCACCGCTATGGCCATCAGCTTGATCACATGCGACCTCGGCGCTGTCTTTGAACTCATTGGAGCGACGAGCGCTTGTGCCCTGGCATACATCTTACCGCCACTGTGTTATATCAAGCTAAGCACCAGAAGCTGGAGGACCATCCCTGCTGTTGCATGCATTGTATTTGGTTTCGCTGTCATGGCTGTCAGCTTGATACTCGCTTTGAAGAAGATTATCAGAAGTAAGTGAGCGTGTGACCTTTGCCGTATGTCGCTAAAACAGGTTTTCCCAGATGAAGGCGAGCACCAGCAGTGCTAGACCGGTAGATACGAGATGATAGACGACTTTCCATATAGACACGACATGTCTCGCGGACAGAAACAGAGTTGCAGATGATCTGCCAACCATTTCTCGATCGACTTGTTTTTGCTTGCTGGTTCTTATTATTCCGTTGTTCCCGATTTCACATGGTTATGTCCTTGCATATCGATGGTTGATATACAGTGATAACCATTTGCTAACGGTCGCAAACGATGAGTTTCCTGAACCATTGACATCTTTCCGCAGCACAACAACTCGTAATGGGCATACCCATCGGGCTCTCCGATGACGGAAGACCCGTCGACAGGTATCGGCCCCGTAACATCGAATAGCCTGTACCGCGCGTCTGAACATTGAGCATGCATCCTCACGAGCTTGACCACTTTTCAGGCTGACAGGCTTGATCGTCGAGCTACCTCATATGTTGTTCCTAACCCCTATCCTGCTCAAAGGCATCACAGCAATTCTACAACGACAGCCTTCCAAGAGTATGCAGGCCAACCATTCCAACATGTTATGAAATCTAACGACCTCGATATCATGTACGATTGCCGCTCCCTTGCGCATCAATACTGGAAAGCAAAAGGTCCGAATCCAAGTTCGACTACCAAGTCACCCTGCTTACCAGAGCCAACGCGAGCAAGCACTTGAGCAACAAGAAGCCCACGCCATGACCAGAGAAGACCCGAGGAACACTGCTTATACTTCAGCACATCCTCCTTACACAAACACCGTCAGATCGAGGAATTCGATAGACCTAGCGGCCTCGATCTGACCACGACCCAAAGGACGTCCACGGTAATCTCCCCCAATGGAACAAGGAAGCTACTGCAGAGGCATCACACGTCGGCATTGTGAACATTCTTCCAATCATGGAACGAAGAACGAGCAGCGCATCACTCACTATCCTCTCCCACCGCCGTGTCTCTGTTCGAAATCTTCTCCAGACCTTGAACCAAGAACGAGCAGCGTATAGCGTATCACTCACTACCTTCTTCCATCACCGGTGCTACGTGAAGAGTTGAAAACAGATAGCTGACGAGCATGGAAATTCCGGCCGAACGTGTCCTAAGTGGCAGAAAACAGGAGGAACCCCTTGCAGTAACAGATGGACCACGCGCATGGAAGTCGACCTGCGAGTCCTCCCCAAGGTGGTCAATCCCACGACAAGCTTGGTCCTTCACGACTTGTCATCCGCCCATGGAATTACCTCCTACGTCTGCGTCTCCCCTAAGCCAAAATAAGGACCTACAATGAGCGTTAGCATGGCAGAGAAGAAGCTGCAAACTCCCAATTCAGCGCGCGCGGAAAGGTCTCAGTCAATCAATCGATCAATCGCCGAACCTCACGTCCGTCTTGGATGCACGACATCCCAGATGCCGTGCCGTTCATGAGGAGATTCGAGAAAAGGTCAGCTCTTCAAAGGTGGATCAGTTCAGTGACTCTGCTGTGATATTGCTGCAAGTTGCCGGCGCGCGTCTGTGATTACTCACAATCTCGGGACGCGCCTGTGGAAGGGAAGAGGAGCGGCTACAATACCTGAGAGGGTAGCTGAGGACATGAGTACACAAGTACAAAAGATACCATACCTCTCAGGTAACCACGTGTGGCATTACCGTCGTCGAAACCGCCACAAGTGTCCGGGGTAGCCCTCGAGTGGTATATGTGTCGTACGTAAGTACGGAGTACCGAGGGAGGAAATGGAGAATACATACTGTAAGATACAGTGCCTCACTCTGGCTCTCACGCGCCCTTAATTATTGATTACTGACGCACCGCACTTCCGAACCCGGGCACCCATTGATTCTTTCTCGCACTGACTGGGTGCCGATTGACCGACTCAGTAAATTACATACATAGTTGACGAGAAGGCTCGCCTATGCATGTCTTGGATCCTCCAGGCTCCTCCCTCCATCATCTTCAGTGTTCACCTTTCCTCATGCCTTTAATTCGATTAGGCAGGGTTGTTCTCAATATCACGGCACGTCTTGCGTTTTCCCCTTCCTCATACTGAGTCCTGACTCCTCTTCATGTCTTGATACCTCGATACCTCAGTACGCAGATTATGCCGAACATCACGCGTGTCTTGCGTTTTCCTTCCTTGTATTGACTTCCTCTTCATGTCTCGAGGCGCAGGCTATAGTATGTACTGATCGTCACACAACGACACGCAGGCTATAGTATATACTGATCGTCACACACAACGACACGCAGTCCTTTCCCTTCTTCATCCCGTTCAACGTATTATTTTTGCGATCGTCGAGAGGGCCAAGACAGGCCGTCGAAACAGTAGGAGAGTAGGCAGGAAGCCGGGCAGGCAGGCAGGCAGGTCGGCCACGGCGATGTTTCTACTGTATGCTGAGGGAGATTCCAATTTCGATATCTCGCTTTTACGACGGTGGTCACTGATGAAGGGAGGGAAGGGGATGCATTGCAGTTACAGTTTCATTCTCAACCCCCTTTTTTTTCATTTCATTTCTTTTCTGTTCGTGGCCATATCGTGTTGTGACACTTTTGGTCAGGAGCGCAGAGCTAAGAGCTTGTTGCTCGTCCCAACTGTTGCGGTACACTGGCACTTCTGCTATCTCGAGCTCATTGTTCATCTCGCCGTTTGTTGCACTCTCCATAGCTCAAAGCTCAAAGCTAGTCTCTCTGTCGTGGCACTTTTGCTAGCGTAGAGCTCGTTTTTTAACCTCACTGTCGTTGCACCCCTCATGGCGCAGAGCTCATTGCTCATCTCGCTGTCGTTGCACCATTGCGATGGAATGCTCATCTCGCTTTCCCAGCAATGCATAGCTCATCTCCCTGTCCTGTCGTGGCACCTTTTCAGCCGTGCATACTGCATAGCTCACTTCACCAGTCCAAGTCTCCGATGCTTGTCTCTCGAATCTCCTTGACACAGCTCACTCTCGGTACCAATGTGCACATGGCCTGATATCTCCCATTTCTCACAGTAAGTCCAAGCTCACTTCTTGGCCTTTCGCTCGGCTCGCTTCGCGGCAATCTTGGCCTTCTTCTCGGCCTTCTTCGCCTCGTCGGCTGCCTTGCGCGCGGCCTCTCTCTCCTCTTTCTCCTTCTTCTCTTTCTCCTCAAGTGCAGCCATCGCGCGGTGCGACTCCTCTTCTGCCTCGCGGTCGATTTGGGCTGAACGGTCAATAATGTCTTGCACAGCAGCCGCGCGGCGCTCGCGGACGCCACGCATTCTCTCGGCCTGACGGCGCTCGTGTTCTGCGGCAACGCGCGGATCGCGAAGTCCATCGATCTGCATGGCTTCCAACTCGCCAAGGTAACCGCGCATACCGCCAATGTCGAACGAGTAGCCCTGTTCGCGGGCACGAGTGTTGGTTGCGTTGGGTCCACGAGTAGGTCTGGCTCTTGTGGCTCTTGCTCGCTCGGCGCGACGTTGTTCTTCCGCCGCATTCAAGGCATCGTCTCTTCCCTCTTGCAACGCGGCTTGGGTGGCGGCAGTGGCGGTGGGTCGAAGGGGCATATCCCGGCGGGCGGCAGCGAGGGTCTCGGAGCGTAGAAGGCGTTGTTGAGCCTGCGCGAGGGCAGCGCGACGGGCAACTGGATCCATGCCGTGAACAGCATCCAACTCGACCCCGATTGCATCGTAGAGTCTCTGCATGGCGCGAGAGGAAGCTGCGGTTTGAAGTGGTGGCGGACCTTGACGACGAGAAGCTGCACCTGGACGTGGAGTTTCTGGAAGACGAGAAGCTGCAGGTTGACGAGGCTGGGTTGGGAGACGAGAAGCTGCACCTGGATGCGGGACGTCTGGAAGATGAGGAACTGCAGTCTGACGTGCCTGGCCAGGAAGACGACTGGGACCGGCGACGGTGCGAGAAGTGGTGTGGGCACCAGCGCTGCTGTCGCCAACAAGAGTCATAGCGTCGCGAATTTCCTCATCGCTGATGTTGGAGCGACCGAGGAAAGCACCACGGGGAGGCGGAGCTTGACCGGCCATGATTGCGCGAGCAATGGAAGCAAAGTCAGCTTCGGTGGCATCGGGCGTAACAGCAGTGGCAGGGAGAGAGGCTTGAGCACCCATCATGGTTCGAGCGATCGCAGCAGGGTCATCAGGCCTAACACCAGAAGTGACAGCACCAGCGATATCGCGGACAGCTGCAGTGAAGGATTGAGGTCCAAAACCGGTGATCACAAATTCTTCGTTGTTGACTGGGTGGACTCTGTACTCTGTAGGAGCTGGAGCCACGGGAGGAGCAGTGCGACGCTGATATTCTTCAATGGTCTCGTTGCGACTGTGTTTTTGACTTTCCGGAAGAGGTGTCATGATACTCTCAGTGGCTTCTTCAGTCCCAGTGGCAGGCCCGGCGCCGGCAGCAGCAGTGCTAGTGAGAGCACCTGCAGCCGGGCGACGGCGACCATCGCGGCGTGGTCGACGAGGGGGAGTGGGCGTATCAGCTGGGTCGGCGAGAGAGGTCGCATCTGCAAGGTTTCGTGGCTCGGTGTTTCGCGCAGAGGCAGGACGAGCAGCACGAGGGCGGATTGGCGTGCCGAGATATTGGCTGAGACCAGGAGGTGGGCGGGCGCCGTACATTGACAGCGCTTGCGTTGCCATTTCCATGGCGACGAGAGGGTTATCGGGATCAAGACCAGAAGGAGCGGTGAGGGTAGGAGCAGGATTGGTGATGGCAGCTTCACGGCTGGCTGGCGCAGGCGTGGTGACGGCTGCTTCATTGCTGGCGGACGCGATTTGAGCAGAAACAGCTTCATTGCTGGCAGTTGCAGCGTCGGCAGGATCACTGCTGCTGGCCTCAACGGCAGTGTCACCTTCAGCGACTTCGGTGTTGTTCTTCTCGTTCTCCTTGGCCTTTGCGGCGGCTTTCTTGGCTGCGCGCTTGCGAGATTTCTTCTTCGATTTCTCGAGAGCGATCGCTTGCGGGTCGTAGATTTCTCCCATCTCACCGAACGTGAAGAAATTTGGTTCGTCTGCCATACTGCTGGCTCTGGCACGTTCGAAAAGATAAAGTGGGTTTATTTTTTGATTCAGGCGATGTCTGTTTCTGATGAAAGCGCGGATGGCGATGAGGCCCAGGTAGACAAAGGTTTGGACGCTGTCGTGGAGCGGATCTTCAGTGAAGTCTGGCTTGTCGGGAAGGCTTGGCAATTCTGCACGGGCACAGTTGAGGGCAAAGGTGCGGATTGATTCGAGCGCGCCGGCTTCAGTCGTTCCGGACAAGTACTGACGCCCCGTCTCTGGATTCTCAAGCAGTTTCAGGTTTTCAAGCCCCGGAGAGTTGCGGCAGGCCTCCGCAAGGACACCCAGGATGTCGACGTCCACTCGCCACGTCTTCTTGCCAGTCTCTGTGTCTTCGTCGAGAAAGGCAGCCTTGAACATCGCGACGAAGACGGGGTCGCCCGCTTCTTCGCTGTCGAAAATTCGCTTGCCTTCGTCAAAGGCCTAAAGGGGTGATGTGTGCGTCAGTTTCGACGCGGTCAAGACTTCTCAATGTTAAGTGGAAAGGAGAAGGACTCACAAACTCGTCGAGGATTGTCTGTGTTGCGCTTTCAATCGTCGCGCAATCAATACCCGGAACGGGAGAAGGGGGAGAAGGCGACCGGTCTGCTGGTGCAGCAGACGGACCTCCTGGTGGTAGTGGTGGTGACTCTGGATCTGACGACGACCCAGAGTCCATGCCGTAAGAAAACAGCGCATTATTTGCGCGCTGGACCTGCGCGGCCCGCGGGAACTTTGGTGCCTTCTTGTTCCGCCCCATTGCGGCTCAGGGCGCTGCGGTTTGCAGCGATGAGATGCGTGGGTTGGTGGTGGGCGATCTGCAGTGATGGTAAGAGTAGAGAAGACCGCGGCGACGAGGACCGTGAAAACAAAAGCCTTCTGTGCAGCGCTAGCGCACATTTTGCGCACTGCTTGGCGGACCGCAGCGACGTGCTCACCCATCTTCACCGACGGTGCGGTCGTAGAGGACGAGCACGTCGCTGTGGTGAGCTGATGAGGTGAAGTGAAGTAAAGCACATGTTAATATGGGGCGTTAGTAGATGTGCTTAGCGTGTCTTGGCAGGGGCAGCCTTGCTCTCAGCCTTGTCCATCTATGCATGTGGGTATGCATAATTATGCATGAGACACACCACGGTCATCATTCTTCCCAGCCAGTGATGCTGATGAAGCATACTGCGACTCAAAGCAGAGTGCTGTTGTCCATCCAGTAATGGTGATGAAGCACACCGCAACTTGAAATAATGTGCTTTTGTCCACCCTCAGACGACCTGTTCCCAGAGTCATCAGCCTGATGCTGCCGCGGGCATCTCGATACAGCATGAGCACTATGCTGAAGTGTTATTCGTTTTGTCCTCATTGATGATGGAGTATCCTTACCTCTTCACAGCACAAAGCCACCCATCGTCCCCAGCATACCCTCTCCACACACTTTCTGTCCTTTTTGTGTCCTTCACCCTGCCTGTTTTTGACTTCTGTAGTCGTTCGACTTGAGAATGCAAAGGGAAGGTGCCGCAAGGGCGGCGTACTGCATCAGTTACACCTGACATCAACCACGTCCCTCGTCCTTGCTCGACCACTTTGGATAGGGAAGCTGTCTCACGAATCGATCATATGCTGAAATGCAACTGTAGTCAATAGTCAGCGATAGCATTAATCATCAATACCGAAGACGGATACGTAGCATCAATCATTGACATCGTTAACTGGCGAAGCTGGTATCTCGGTAACTGGTCATTCAAAGGGCCACAAGTCCCTTCCATTCCTGCATGTTGTTGCGCCCCCGTCCAAAGATCGTATATACCCACCGTATCTATAAGTACGCCACAATCTCCAAAACAAACCCGCTCAATCATGTACTCCAGCTCAGCTACCCATATACATATGCTGCGATCCCTGTACTTGGTGGGGGTTTGCAAAGTCCATCCCAGTGCCGCTGACGTATCCGTCCGAAATATCTTCATCATAATACTCCCCGCCACTCGACCCATCAAAATTGGGCTGCCCCATACCGCCGACATCACTCAGATCACCCGGGTCATCCGCCACAGAGGAGATCTGACTCCAGTCGATATTCTGCAGCGCAGGGTATTGTTGCAGCAGAGCGGCGGGCAAGGCAAATCCACCGGTGCCGGTGCTGGGATCCATTCCAATCATCATAGGTTGCGGTATGGGTTGCAGGCCGCCCTGCTGAGCATATTGAGCGTGCTGGGCTTGTTGTTGTTCCATTCTAGCTCGGTTCTGGCGCTCTGCTTTTTCTTCCTCAAGTAGAGGCTTGATGCATATCCGGCCAGCTTCACTGCGGAAATGTCGACCTAGGGCATCTGCTCGCGCGAATCGTCTTCCGCAACCCCAGTGTTGACCTGGCGTGGAGTGAAGTTCACCTTTACAGACGAACTTCTTCTCGCCGCTATGCAAGCCCTCGTGCCGTTTGCGATCGTGCTGCCTTGCAAAAGCTTTGCCGCAAACGGTACAGACGAAAGGCCGCTCGTCAGTATGCGTCCGCAGATGCGAGCGTAGGTTATAGGCCCGCGTGAAACGCTTGGGGCATAGAGTGCATTGGAATGTTGCCGGGTGTTTTTGAACTCTCGTGCTCGTTCCGGACTGAGACGCATTGGGCCTGTTGGGATCCGCCAGATCGAGAATGTAATCCCTGTTCTGACCCATGGATGAGGTACTAGCTCGGCGGTTCTTATCGATGCGGCCTGACTGTACCCCGGGCCCCGGAGACGATTCTCGCGATATAGAACCGCCCCTTTCAGGAGTGCTAGAGCGTACAGATAGATTGTTGCGGGCTGCATTGGTCGCTGTAAGGCCAGGCGAACTCGATCTTGATAGTGGACGTGTGAATGTGACATCGGACTTGCTTCGGTTTCTACCTCCTATACGGACTGTCAACTCAATTTCAGTATGCATGACGAAGAAGTAACTCACTATTACTGGAAGGTGGACTCAAAGCACCCTCCATCGTATCTCCTTGTGGTCCGAAGCTTTGCTGCCTTGAAACAGGCGCAGGCTCGATGTTGATTGTCGGAGGCGCAAATTGATCGGCCTGGCCAATGTCTGAGACGATCGAGCTATTTCGCATGTGGTTACTTGGTACAACAGGGGCTTGGACTTGGAATTGTGGTGGTGACTGAGTTGAATACACATCCGGCACCGGAATGCCCATCGGTCGGCTCAGCAAGCCACTACCGTCCATCCCGGAACCGTTTTGGCTTCCTTCCATATGGGGCATGAGCCTGGGTGACCGGTAAGCCTGGTCACCCAGGTTGAAGGATTCTATGCCAAAGGTATTGCCGGAATCAGTTTGCGCGGGGAGATACGGGGAATGGCCGAGATCCACTCCTGCATTATGCAGTTCTGCGTGAGCAAGATAGGGGGAGTGCTGCGCTGATGAAACATCACTGTGTTCTGATGGCGCTCTCCGATGCTGGGTAAAGCTAAGACCAGAATAGGCGCTTGAAGGGTCAAGCGAAGCATTTCGTGAATGCTGCGGAGTATAGAACTGGCCATTGGTTGAAGCCGGTGAGCCAGGTTGAGAAGACTGCGTCTGGTTCTCAGGGGGCTGTAGCCCTGGAGATTGATGATCTTGGGGCGAAGATACCTTGCTCAACTCTGCCGGATTGACGTTGTTCTGGGGATGCATGTCAAAGACCTGGTTCATGGGGTAGTTCTGGTTGAAATCATTGTTCATGTTATCGCTCTGATATATGAAGCCGCCGTTGTTGTAGACCTGACCGAGATTTTGACCTCCGAATCGGTTGTCCGGGTAGATATTCTGGTGATATTGGCCGTTGTTATAGAAAGGGGTTTGGTTGGGGTCAGCCTGGAGTCCGCCCTGTTGTTGCGAGGCAAGAAAGGGGTTGTTGAAGATGTTTGCCGTGTTGAATTTGCCGTGTGTCAAGGCTTGCTGTATAGAAGGGTCGACTCCTGGCACTGTATTGGGGTAATGGTTTGGCGAAGGTTGAGGGCTTATGTGCTGCGCATTGCCTCTTGAAGGGGACCTTCCCCGGGTGTTATCCATCTCTTGGACTCAAGCTCCCGCAATGCTCCACTACCGGCCGTGTCAAGGATGCCGTTGGATGGACGTATTAGGAAGCGTTTGAAGGGGCCGATGATGACACTCCTTCCGGAGTTTTTGGTTGTCGGTAATGGCGCAAAGTCTTGATAGAAGTTCGAGTCGCACCAAAGGGGGTGGCAGAGAGGTGTACTTTGTGGATTAGACTGTGGCGCAGCAAGTTAGAGGGGACATTGTCTCTTAAGATAAGTGAGTGACCAGGCTAGCAACCTACTCAGCCAAGCAGTGAGGCTGTGGCCCAAGCGGAATGGGCTATAAAGTCGCCAGGGCGCCCAATGACAGTACCAGTATAGAGATGTAGGCTTTCAGACTGGTGCGACGCTATGCAGGGTGATGGGAAGGTCGGCGACGGGTTGTGATCGATCTGTGGTGTGAATGCGAGGTGAGTCGACATCCACGACCACTGGCTGGAGAAGGTCTGGACTGCGGGGATGAGGTCCGGTAAGATAAACCAACAGCGAGTGCGCAAGCCGGACAAGACTGGCAGGGAGAGAGGCCGAGATTGTGGAAGGCAAATCACCGAGTATATCCAACTTGCGACGGATATGAATTGAAAGCAGGTGGGTGTGGGAATGGGAAGGTGAAGGCGGGAGGGAGGAAGATGGAGATGTGAGCATGTCACGCCGAACGGGGTCCTGAACTTGCGGTTCCAGGGTGTCGGCGGCACGCTCGAGACCAGCCGGACTGATCGCTTCACCTCTGCCATGGACCTGAACGGTCGGCTTTTTCTCCGTGTCCTCTGATTGGCCTTCCTAGGTGCTGTTCACACACCAAAAGGCTACCAAAGGCCCCGAGAGGCATCACCTCCAGTTCTACAAGTTGTACACATCTGAACATCACTTGAATCTTGCTTTAGTCACGCACTTGCAAACAATACTAGAACTGCACTCAACACTAATCCTGGCCCGTCCCGAAAGGACATTGCCTTCCGACTCCAGCACCCCATCACAGGCGTCAGGTCTGCTTCTTCTCCAAGTGCCAACCTATCGCGACTAAATAGTCAGTCCTGACCGGGCGGTCCTTCTCAGTCAAGGGTATCGACACACATCCAGCCAAAGTATACAGTCCAGTACTATCCACGTTGATGGGATAGGACCTCATCAGGCACAGAGCCCCGGAGAGCCTCGCTGTGGTCACTACAATGTATGCTTAGCTCAGTTGTTCTGGAAGGCGAGGCCTGAATCACCCTGCATAACGGCTGCCTTCTGCGAGGCCTTACACGAGACCCACCCTTCCCAAAGGCCACAATCACCTGTCTGCCTTGCATAAATCGGCCCCTCCACCAAGATCTCCTGTCAGCATATCTATCTTGATGCCATGGTTCCTGATGATCATGACGTGGAGTTTCACGCAATCAACGTCGAGTCGAGGTACGGGTATGAAATCGACGCGTGGACAGGATTTGTTTGTGTGTTTGCATTACTGCTTCTTGCCTTGCATGATCACCCCCAGTTTTGCTGCCCCATTTCTATGTTACAAAGGACACCGTCATCTATGCTCGAGGACGAAAGCTCCACTCTTCGTTTTGTTCCTTCGGTCCCAGCTATGCTTCTCTTATAGAACTTCTTTTGCGAACTCCTCGTTGTGCCAGGGAGCGCCTTTGGATTTTGGTAGTTTGTGACGCCGTGAACGCCATGCTCCCCACTCGGAAAATGCTGCCATAAATAACACCCTGCTGAGCCTTGTACACATAGAAAACATAGGGAAACAAGGAAATATGCCGTGCGGGAAAGTATTCGTCATCCATCGTGAAAGGGATTTCGTGTCTTCGGCTGTCCTTCCTGCCGCGACTGAGTAATTGAGCGTTTCAGCCGAACCTAGGTCGTGGACAGGCAGACTGGATTTCTGCCAGAGAAGATGTCTGTGTGCATTCGCCAGCGGTGCAAAGTCCGTGATATGGTTATTTTCGGACGCGTTGCAGAGGTTCCGACACAGACGCGTGGCACGTATGCGTACCACGGGATGATAGCCTGGGACGGGAATTTCAACCTGCTCAATGGTGAGTAGACAGACGATATACCAGAGTAGAAACAGAACGTACCACAGCATAGCACCTTCATAATCTTTTGCATGAAACCTTGGTTCTGCTGTTCCTGTTGCGGGGCGGAACGTCCTTGGTTGCTCTGCAGAGCTCCAGTCGCTGGACTCGTTCTCGTTTGCTGGTTCACCAGATTGGCATTGCTGTTTTGGAATTGAGCTTGGGTGCTTGCTGGAGGAGTGTTCATGTCGAGTTGGCCCGCTAAGCCACTACCTCTCTTCGGGAGATTGCCCCCGGCGACGCCGCTTGTGCGATCTCGAGCGCTCTTCCCCATGGCTGCCACTCCGGGTTTTGCGGGTGAGCCTGGGGGCGGGGGCTGCGCTGCGTTTAAACGATCCGCCGATATTCCTGCTCGCTCCCGTGGAGTCCTAGTCCCGTCTACTCGGCCTTGCACGGCAGAGGCCCCATGCAGAGCGCGAGCAGATGCTTCAGCTGGGGGATTGGTGTTGTGGAGATGAAGTTGAGATGGATGTTGCTTGACAGCCTCCCAGCCGCGGCCGCCGTTCAGCTTCATCCAGTCATACTCGCCGTCCTCTACTTCGCCGGTGTTTTTCAGTGCCTGTGTGAACAAATCTCGCAGGAAATCGTAATCCGGAGTGTCTTCAAAACCAAGATTCCGAACGTAACTGAGATATTTGTTAAACTCCTCTGAGACCACGTTAGCACGACGACATCGTTGTTTGGCTGAATCGAATTTCGCATACCAGGGAAGCCTTCACACAGATCTTTAATGGCTGTTGTTTGCTTCTTCTCACCAATCTTTTCGTATTTCTGCTTATTGGTCGCGGCCTTGAGGCCCTGCCAAGGAAGGCCACCTCGTAGAAAGTACATGAAAACATGGCCTAGGGCCTCCAGATCGTCTCGTCGTGACTGTTCTCGTCCCAGATGTGTGTTGATACTCATATAACGGGCTGTACCAGATAACGATTTCCGTTCACGATAAGGAATGTGCTGCTTTGTCTTGGGATCACGATATTGTTTGGCCATGCCAAAATCCACTACGTGGATGACATTGGCAGCTTTCGTGTTGGGTCGGCCAATGAGGAAGTTGTCGGGCTTGATATCGCGATAGATCAGGTTTTTCTCGTGGATTGTCTGCACTCTGGACAGCTGTTGCACGGGTCAGCCAAGGCGGCGCGTGTATGGGAGAGAAAATACCATCTGTTTCGCAACCATCACCACTGTTTTGATTGAGAATCGTCTGTTGCAGTGATCGAAAAGGTCTTCCAGACTGGGACCAAGCAGATCAATCACCAAGATGTTGTGCAGACCTTCCTGTCCGAAGTAATAGACATTGGGAATGCCGGCTAACAATAGAGTCAGTAATTGCTTTGACGTATAGGTTGCGGTGCATGTAGCTTACGGCAACCGACCAAGATCTTGTATGTCCTGTACTCATCGCGCAGCTGAGGGGCATCGCTTTTTCTAGGTTCCTATTCACAATTTATAAGTTCCCCCACCCAGCCATCTATTTTACTTTATTAGACTCACGAATTTGATAGCGACCTGCTGGTTGTTGAGCAGATTGGTGCCTTCGAAAATAACGCCAAATGAACCCTCCCCTATCTTCTTGCCGACCCGATAGTGGACTCCGACAACATTGGACGATGAGGACGCCATGATCAAGTGTATGCAGTCCTGGCGTGCAGGCGGAAAGTAGGGACGTGTGACGAAGATTGTCAACTGCGCGGTGGTCGTGGAGAAGCAGGGCGTCTGAGGTTGGGTGCGAAGTGCGAATTCACACCTCCGCCACCGCCGTAACTGCGGAGGTCAGTGAATGTGCACAAAACGGAGACAAGATGTCGGATTGGCAAGTGCATACATTAACAAAGAGGCCGCGGAAAGATAGAGCACATGCGGTGTGATATTCTGGCGGTCAATGGGGATGGCACTGGCCGTGGGTGTTGTTTTGTCTCGAGGAGATTGAAGTTCAGCGGCCAGAGCGAGGGAGCTCCTGCCAAGGCTGAGCAATGGCTGTAGCCGCAGCCCTGCCACCCACTCGTCTGCTGCACTCCACTAAGAGGGTCTGTTAACACAGACACTCCAGTCCGTCCTTCTGTCAGAACGGAAGCAGGGTAGCAATTCTACGGGAAGAGGAGAACGAGGATGACAGGCACCAGGACTATCATGTTTTCTCGTCTGGCTCCGCACTCCTAAGGGATCGGGCACGAAGCTTGACTCGCATGCGGCTACGGCGGCGGTGAGGCTTCTTCAGGAAACATAGCGATGCCTGGAGGCTAGAACTCGCCGTTAACCGCCGCACCATCTCCCATATCGAACAAAGCAGCAGGCCTAGAATCTGGCTCGACGAATCGCTGTCATGCTCCGTTTCTCAATACTCCAATAGGCCAACCAGCCGTGGCAGGCATGCTTTACTACCTCGTAATTATTCTACATAGGTAGTATGAGCAGACGCCTGTCAACTCCAGCCAGGACCGTGAGCGATAATCTGCCCTGTTCTTGGCCTTTACCCAGTCCGCGCAGACCCCCGGGGCAGAGGTTAGAGACAGGATGATGCATCCCTTGCATAAGCCTTTCACAGTGGGCCTGATCACGACGAGGTCTCATGCTCCGATATCGTCTTGCTGGGCTTCCTTCTCTCGAGCTTCTCTCTTTGTTACGAGCCCTTGTACACATCTCAAAGCGGTTCAAATGAAGTCCTGCACTGGCTCTCTGAGACAAACATCAAGCTGTCGTCAGACCTCTTCTGTGGACGGGATCTCAAAGCTTTGCTGCAAGCACCTACACTAAAACGCCCCATGCATGCTGCGTGCCGATGCATGTCAAGTTCCAGTATCTGCTCGAGCTTCGAGGCTCCATAAACGCCCCACGCAGGCACAATGCACGCCACCCGCGTAGCTCTGCATTTGCCGCACACCGCAAATTCAACAAGCCATGCAACGTCCCGGTCTCTCTTCTTGTTCCTCTCCAACCTTGTATTATATACCAGTTATTAATGCCGAAGCCAGATAGTCGCATCGCCTCCCCAGCTATGCCTTGAAGGTTCTACCATGAAGTCTTTTCTCAGTGCAGCGGTTTGCCTGGATCAACCTTCCCCCGTAGGTTTTCCACCTCGTCCTCTTTTTTGCCCCTGACCACACTTCGGCCAACCCTACTTCCTCCCCGACAATGCCGTAGGAGAGCTGCCACCTCCCGTCGACTGACTACCATAGCGCATCACCTTTCTCAGTGGGGAAGGCGTTGCCGGCTGGAACGGAGAAGCTGGGACCGACGACGGCTGTAAATCGACATGCTCATCCTTTCTGAAAAGTCCTCCAAAGTGTACACTCCTGCTCTTCTTGACCACGTTTCCTGCAATATTAGTCATTTTTTGATTCGCGTCACGTTGGTGCAAAGGTCCGCCAGTGACCCTTGACTTGTTATCAGCTTTGGATCTCGAGAATAAACTGACACCACTCCTGCTTTTCTTCAACAAACCGGATTGTCCCTTGGCTGAATTACGGTTCTTGATGGGACTTCGGGTAGGTGTTGGGGCTGCAATCTGAGCTTTGCCGGTGTCAGAAAGTGCAATTCTTCCCGATCGAGGTGTATCACGAGCATACTGGCTGAGATCGCCGAGTGATGGCGAGTATATCGGAGCATCCTCAAGCGAGATAGAGTCGGAGTCAGTGTCCATCTCTGCTGCCGGAGTCGTTGCCTGCGGCCGGGAACCAGCTTGAGGAGTACTGCCGTCTGCCGGTATGGTCGGGACCGTCGGATTTGCAACGGCAAGCGGAACAACCATGGTACCCGGTGGATGCATTCTCAAAGGGTTGACACCTTCAGGTTCCCCGAATTCGGCTGCGGACGCTACATAGCCGATCTTCTCGTTCGAGAACACTATCGGAGACAAGACAGATCGGCCGGCAGCAAGTGCGTCACGCTTCGATCTGGCATCCGAGGTATTCGTAATCGATGGTACACCCCGCTGTGGTACTGGCGGGCGACGCCTTGCTTTGCTTCCCGGAGTCGAGAAGGCGGACACTTTTGCCCGAGACGACGCAGCTATCGGTTGGCTGATCGGCGGTGCAGGTTTCGATGGCGAGATGGGTGGGAAAAGTTGACCTGGCTTTTGCGGGCTACTGACAGCTTTGTCTCCCTTCTTTAGGTCGAAGAGAGACGACCTTGAGCGAAGGAAGGACATGTTTCGTGGAAGCGTGGAGTAGAAATCGAGTTTCTCTACCGCGCTAACGAACGATTTCGTAAGAGAGCCAAAAGGTGAATCGTTGTCGCTATGTTCGGCAGCCAAATCTGTCGTGGGGACGTCGATGATGTCGCCCAGCAGAGGGGGGTCCGGAACTCCTTTGGATTCTGCTATACTCTTGGTGGTGTTCAGGGACCTGCGTCGAATGTGGCCATTACTTGTAAGTCCTTTGATCTTCCCTTTGTAGAGATTTACCGTTTCCGCGCGACGACTCGGTGAACCTCGCATCAGTGCTGGTTGGTCGTTTACTCTCATCTGCACATCTGTTTTCTCCATCTGCTGCGGGTCTGGAGTTGCCGCCTGGGTACGTTGACGACCCGTCCGGACCTTGTTCCTGATGATGTTTCTAAGCCGCAAGATCCGTCCCCTTTTCGACGCAGTTCCATCACCACGCCGGTGGGCTCCATTCTCCCCGAGTGGCATGAGGGCAGAAGTCCCAGGCGGTGGACCTTGGGTTCCCTCTCCAGAGTTTTGACTATCTGTTGCGACCCAGCCCACCTGTGAGTTCCACGTGGACTGGGAGAAAGCGGCATCAGATATCTCTCCGCAATGGACCCCTTCGGCACGAGCCACGGAGACGTTGGTGGTACTGGTCAGTATAGGAACGGAGATGACACTGCGAGCAACTGTGGATGTACTGGCAGTCTTGGGAAGTTGAGTAGAAATGCTGCGGGGGTAAAGAATTGGTTCTACCGGGCGTGTGAAGGGCAGCCATGACTTGGGCCGCAGCCGATGCGCTCGTCGACGTATGCTGTTGAATCTCTGCGGTTCCTTAGGAGCCGTGGCTGTCTCCTGGATCTTCAGTCTTTCTAGTGAGTTGGTCTTAACAGGCTCTTCCCCGCCATTGTTGACGAAACTCGGTTCAGGTGTTGGAGGTGGCTGATTGTTCGGGTCACATCGATGCGAGAGACTAGACTCAGCGCCCGCCCGCAATTCGTCCTTGGACGGGATCCTCGAAGCTGAGCACTGGTTAGTCCTGGTAGGGTATGCTTTAGAGGTTTCCTCACCTTGTCGTGAGCCAGCACGACTAAAAGACCGTATTGTGTTCAAGGAGAAAATCGAAAAGGAACTCTTGCTCCTGGAGCGGTTATGGGTGTGCGACACCATGCTTGACAGGATATAGGCGTGTCATGAAAAGATCACGTCGATACTCGACATCTGACTGACATGGTCATGGTGGTTCTCCAGAAAAACAAACGAGAGACCGCGGGAAGGAGAAACGCAGGTAGCAGTGGCATGGTGAGAGAAGTATACAGGAGAGAGCAGTTACTCTTCTGTTGCAAATCGAGGGCAAGATGGTGGAAGGCGGCAGCGACCATGGTGAGCGACGTCCGTTGAAGTACGGCAGGCGCAGGCTGGCTGCGTCGATAGGAGCCATCCCAGCGAGACAATGAAATGGCGTGGACTTCAAGATCACAACGCCGCTGGGAAGCAGCAACTGATATCCGACATGCTTGATGCTTAAGTAGAAAACAGCGAGTGGAAAGTCGGGTCTTGTGTTTTTGCATTTGCTCCTCGATCAGAACCTGCAGGCCAGGCTCTTCACACTTGGACTACCACATATTCGTCAGATATGCTTCATCCCGCCCAGATCACGTTGCAAGCATAGTCAGTAATCTCCTATGCCTGGGGGCCGCGGTTATCAACCTAGCTACTGTGTAAAGCACGATGTCGTCGAGATAGCTGAGACCGGAGTGCACCGCCCCCTCCCCACTAACGGATGATGGTGATCATATACGAATCCGTCGGCAAACGAGAAAGTACCGTGGTCTAGTCCATACCGCGGCATTGGACGGCCAATTCGCGGCGTCAGCCCATTTGAAATGAATACGAAGTGTGGGTTCACCCAGCACGGTACGTGCTCCCTCTTGTTGTGCCGCCCCGCATAATCAAGCGTACTCGTGAATAATCACTGTAGGCCGGGCATCCCACTCCAAAACTCGGACAAGCTATATATCCGGTCGAGAGGGCTAGAATCCTAGTAATACCGAGGGACACAACGGCGTCAAAGATACCAGTGGTTTCCTCTGAAGATGCCCTACTCTCTCAAAGGCCGAAATGTGTTGGTGACTGGAGGGTCGAGGCAAGCATTGAGACTGAAACGCCTCAAGACATTGTTGACAGGTAGAGCAGGGGTTTAGGAGCGCTGCTATGCGAAAAGTTCGCCGCAGAAGGGTCCAACGTGGTTGTTAACTACGTGAGCAGCAAAGACAGGGCTGATCAAGTGGCCAACAAATGCAAAGAATTGGGAGCCAAGACTGCTGTCATACAAGCCGTGAGGATACGCCGCCCCTCCAAAGGAAAGTCTCTTGTCGTCTGATCGCGCTTCACAGGACATTGGTGTTGTCGAAGACACCATCCGTCTCGTGAAGGAAAGCGTTGAGCAACTAGGAGGCCTTGATATCATTATCAACAACGCAGGCTGGACCAGGTTTACCAACTTTGGAGATCTAAATGACATGAGTCATGACGAGTGGAACAAGGTACGGTTGGAAGCATCGAGAATGAGACTCCTTATTGACTCGGGAAGTGCTGGTCAACCAACGTCATGTCCCACCTGGTGCTGATGCAGCAAGCTGTTCCCATCTTCAACGCGAACCCTGATGGAGGAGCTTTCATCATCTCATCCTCGATTGCAGTAAGTGGACCGGATGCCGTCCAACCCAGGCATATTGACACGGTATAGGGGGTCAGCCAAGGTGGAAGTAGCATGGGCTACTCAGTCACCAAGGCAGCAGGACTGCATTTGATGAAATGCCTTGCCACTACGCAGGGTCCGAAGATCAGGGTCAATGCCGTACTTCCAGGTCTCCTTCTCACGGAGTGGGTAAGTGGCGAGAACAGGGGAGAGCTCAGAGAAGAGCATCATCGATATTGACCATATGACAGGGCTTAAAGTACAGTGAAGAGCGCATCAACACCATCAAGAACAATGCTGTTTTGAAACAAGAGGTCTGTATTCCCCCAGAAGAGGATGCATTCAACGGACTGACGTTCTAGACTCGACTGGATGACTGTGCCGATGCATACATCTCACTTGCGAAGAACACCTCAATGACAGGCCAGCAGATCATTGTCGGTAAGTCTCCGATTTTTTGTGATAATCAGTTTGGCGTTGGTCGTGCAACGAGGAATTAGTGCTGACGACTCCAGACTCTGGCATTGTCATTCGATAGACCCGGCTCTTCGATGGACCTACGGGGAAGTGGTAGACTCCGTAGGCGTTGGCTGTGCAGTGAGTGGGTGCGCGAAGCGGTACAGTGTGAAATGTCCGAAGGAGTCGGGTTGTGCGAAGAGTCTGGCGCGTGCAGCAGCTGCAGCACCGGGAGCCCTCGACATAGCAGCCACAGTGACCTCGGGAATCACAATCTGTCGACTTTCTCCATCGGGACCCTTCTTCGCGTTGACGATCAGAGGCTTGTGACTCTCACTGATGTTTTTCCGTGCGCAGACGATCGCGTATGGAACTGCTTCAGGAATCGATAGCGCTGCAGATTGGACTTCTTCAGGAATATCTCCTTCATCGAGAGTTCGCATGGCCGCGTCGAGGTTGATTCGACGCGTCTGGCCCGGCTCGGAACCAGAGCTAGCGAAGGCATGAAGGGGTCCACATGCTCGGTTGCGTCTGAGTATCTCTGTTCTTCTGAGTTGTGTGAAGTCGACAGCGCGGAACTCCATCTTGATCTTCGGAGCGTGAATCAAGTCCGCCTTTGAGATGTGTCGGTCAGGCTGAATGGGATTGTACGGTGGGATGTACAATTTGTTCTTAATTGCGTCGACCAACATTTCCGCGCCGATGCGAGCCAGGTAACCCTCAAGCTCTTTTGAGGTAATTGTATCTGGGTTGGGTATGCCTATTCCAGGCTGTGGGGTTTGATCCAAAACTAGCCCCTCGTCGAACCGTGAAGGGTGAAGCGTCTGCAACGATACGCCCGTCTTCCTCCGGCCAAGAAGAATAGACCACTCAATAGGTGCCGGACCGCGCAGGTCGGGGAGCATTGACGGGTGAACGTTGAGACCGCCATATTTGGCAGTGCCCAGAATTCGAGGCGGTATAAGAAGCCCAAATGAGACAGCAATGATCAGGTTGCATGGGTCCTTCCTGGTGTCGCCGAAAATGGGAGGCTGCCAGCCGGTAAATGTATCGATCTGGTGCACAGCCAGACCACGTTTCACTGCAACGTCCTTGATGGCTGGCGCTCGAATTTGCCTCCTTGATCGGCCAACCCTCTTGTCTGTTTTTGTTACGACATCGACTGAAAGGATACCGCTCCCAGGTGTCTTTGAGTAGTTGTGCAAGGCTTCTAAAGAGACTGTGCTGAAGGAGTCTGTGCCACAAAAAAGAATCCTTAGGGGGTCGTCGCTCAGAGGTTCCTGGCTATACCAACGGCGACCGGCAAGCCTGGACTTCAAGAAGAATTTGGAAGTGCGAGGCCATATCCGCGAGCAGGTCGCCGATGGTGAAAGGAGCCGCCTCATGCGTGCTGGGATAGAACACAGGTCAGATACGTGTCTACGCGGTGATTAGTATTCGAAACAAATGCAGTGGCATTGACGCGACGAGGCTGCAAATCGACCAATCATGAGCCAATCTTTGCAATGCCCCACGGCCCTAACAATTCCGACGACTATCGTCATGCCTCGGCCTGCCGGATTGATGGCGCTCCCGCTGTGAGTGATGCCTCGCAACTCAAAGTACGGTGGTACGAGGATCGATCTGAAGTTCTGCATATCGAGGTGACATTGTCGGGATCATTGGATTCAGCTGATCTCCCACAAAGGATCTCTCACGGACACTGTCACTCAAAACCCGGCCCTCAACCCTTGCGTTTCGCAACTCAGCCGAGACTTGCGCAAAGCCTTATTGAATTAGAGCCTTGTGCGATTCGCGGGCGCGCAGGTGAAAGACATGGCTGAACGGCTTGAGTCGAAGCAGTCCAGCACGGGCACCGAGTCGAAAGCTACTGCAGCGGAGTCGGCAGCACAGAACCCTCCCGGAGCAGCATTTGAGGACGACGACTCGGATCCTGATTTTGACGACCTCGACGGTAAGATTAGAGGCTCAAGCCAGCCACCCCGGCACAACAACAACCACATACTAATATAGATTTGCGATCCAGACGTCCTCGACCAGTTTTCCGAAGCTAGGGCCACACAACAACTACAGCAGAAGCAGCAACTACAGCAGAAATCCGAGCCTTCAGAACCCACGCCTTTCTCCTCCGGTCCAGGTAGACCCGCCTCCGAAGCAGCTCTCCCCCCCGACATTCCCTTGCCGTCCGGCCCACATGAAAATGAATCTGAAGACGCCTTCATGGCGCGGCTCACCGCCGAGATGTCCTCGGTGATGTCGAAGATGAGTCTCGATCCCGCCGCCAGCGCAGCCACACCAGAAGATATCGCCAAGATGGGCCGCGAATTGGAGGAATTCACGCAAAAGATGGAGGCAGAGGGCATCCAGCCAGAGGACCTGCTTAAAGCTATACTGGGCGAAGACGCCGGGTCCAAAGTGTCCAACCTAGCGCACGACGAACGCGACCGTCGTGAGAGTGAGAGCAAAGGCGACAGCAAACCAGCGGTGAAATCCAGAGCTTCCGAGTCCACAAGCCCCGAGTCATCACGACCCGCAAAGGACAGTGTTTCTCCCTCTTCCTCCAAGCCACTACCGAAACAACAACCCTCCACCTCGTTCGAAGACACCATCCGCCGCACCATGGCCCGCATGTCGGAATCCTCCGCCGCAGCCACCAGCGCCACCACGACCGCGACGCAACAGAAATCCGAGGAGGACCTCCTCGCGGATCTTCTCCGCTCCCTGGATTCCGAATCTGGGGATGCCTCCTCCGAAGGGGACCTCTCCAAGATGTTCCTTTCCATGATGGAACAGTTGACCAACAAGGAAATGTTGTACGACCCGATGAAGGAGCTAGCGCAGAAGTTTCCGGACTACCTGGAAGCCAACGACCCGAAGGCGTCGAAGAGCAGTAGTCGCAAGGCACCGAAACTGTCACCCGCCGACTTTGACAGGTTCACGCGCCAGCACCGGATCGTGCGCGATATTGTCGCCAAGTTCGAAGAGCCGGGTTACTCGGACGAGGACCCCAAGTGCAGGGAGTTCATCTGGGAGAAGATGCAGGAGATGCAGGCCGAGGGCGCCCCGCCCGAGGAACTGGTTGCGAATCCGTTTCCCGCCATGGGAGGAATGGGCGGTTTGCTTGGCGGTGGCGGCGCTGGTGCTGGCGGAGACGGGTCGGAGGAGGGTTGTCCTACGCAGTGAGGCGCGAGAGAGCGAGGGAGCTAAGCGGCGTTGTCGCCGTGGATGCGTGGATGAGTGCCAATGTCTCGATCATGTTGAACCCGGGAGTGGGGCATACATGCCATACAGTGACTCGGCATGTAAGCGACTTGCCACGCCCAAGTGATGGACATATCGAACGAGAGGTGTCCAAGATGGCGGACAAGGAGCATATGACGCGACGAACGGACGAGAAGCGTAAAAACACCTGGAAGACAGATGAGAAACGTATATCACGACGGACGGAACGAGATCGCAAGCCAAGTACAATACGAGATGGTATAATTTGACGATGGATCGTACTCCAAACCACACTGTCTCATTGCCTTCCCCTCCGGCAGTTGCAGTCAGTAGGCGGCACCGAACATTCATGAGCGCCGTTCAGAGATAGGCCCCTTTCATATCTTCAGACTTCTTCGCTTCTCCCACAATCGCGTAAGGAATCGTATTATCAATCAAACCAGAGCGGAGTACATTCGGCCGTCATGCATGTCCATGGCATGGTCGCGGTCGTGGTCCTGATCCTGATCCTGATCCTGATCCAATTCCTTGTTCTGCTCCCCATGCATCATTTCGCCGATCCGTCCATCAATCATGCCGATGTCTTGGTTGGCTGCTGCTTAGTGGCAGTGACATGAAAGAAGATATAATGTACATTATATCCACGTCGCCGGTCGAGTTGTCCCCTCCCTCTGTTGGCCTCTCCAAGCGGAATGGTTGAGGAGGGAGATAAAATCTATCGACCCTCTCCATGCCATCACGCACGTCGTCGCACCTGTTCTGCTGCTCAGTCATTTACTGGCTCAACCCGACCGTCCTCAGTTTGGCTCCCGCATCGCTCTCCCCGCTACACCGAAGATGAATAAAAGCCACATTCCATGCGGATCCGTTCATCGCAACACACCGTATCTGCACCGAACCCGTTCCGGGAGACGAAGGAGGACACCAGATCCGAGTACATGGCAAGATGGTGGACATGCGACCTAACTTGGAGACCCTACGCCGAGCGAGTAGATGAAGCTGAGCTGGCTTAAACGAGCCGAATCAAGCTTCGATTTTAACAAGGGCGCGCTGGGGTGGCGTGTTCTCGGGTCCTGGAACCACTGAGATTGAGCGGCCGGCTGACTGCTTGCTTGGCTGCATGCCTGGTTGGGTGGAGTGGAACCAGGCGAGGACCTGATTGAGAGGCAGGGGGGTGGTCAGATCCCTGAGTGGGTCGTGCATCGGAGATGAGCTGAGCTGAGCACTGCTGAGCTGATCTGCTATGCATGCAGCGAGGCACTGCGCGGTACAGTGTACTCCCTGTCCATTGTGCTGCCGAGGATCAATACATAGTTATGCTCCGGGGCCATCACCACGAGTGTGCTCTTTCGACGATTTCCTTTCTGTGGAGGACGATGCGAGTCCTCGACAATATGCAATAGATCAAGCCATTCCGAAGACCAGATCGTGGGCACCGCTGCTGACGGCATTGGGGTCAAACAAGTCCCATCCCGCGACGAAGCCGTCGGCACTGGCGCTCCTTGTATCACTGACGCTGAATTCCTCCCAGTTCAAGGTCCCGACATCAAACGTGGGAAGACCATCTCCTTCATAGCCGGAGCGACTGCCGAAGCGCAGTTTGTCGAGTTGCGCAGGGCCGGGGTACAGCATGCGCGTGAGTTCGGCGTCTTGGGCCGGACCGAACGACGAAAGAGACGGAGGTCGGTTCGAGAAGACGGATTCGAGAAGTGGGCCGAGGAGCCGCTCGTACACACCTGCGTAGTTCGAGACTTCGTTCCAGCCCTGTGCGGCCAGGGCCAGAAAATTCGCCGTGAAGACCTTGGTCATTTCGAAGATCTGCTGTGCGTTGAACCTGGCCGAGATGGTGTCGAAGCCGTGTCTCAGACAGAACAAGACAACCATACTATTCTCTAGCACGTGATGCGCGATCAACCAACTCCGTCGGTAAAAGCCCGTGAGGATGTGATCGCGAAGGGACTTGGCACTCGAGCAGGCCGCTTCAAACGCGACCATGAGGCTCCTGGGTCCCGGGAGCGGCACTCTGGGACTCGGCCGGTGCAGGTTCGTCAGTCCATGGGCGAGCGTAAATTCGGTGAGCTCGTGCCCGTCATTGTAGTCCTCGTACCACGCCTGCAGGCGGCGTTCCATGCTGACGAGCCAATCCTCCCAGCTTTGCCCGTGTTCCAGCGGTTTGCCTTGAAAGTGCACCTCCGTCATGGCGGACTGGAGCCGACGGAAGTGGATCCAGCGGAGATTGTGTGTCTTTGTCTCTGCGCCTGTAGCGTCGATGCCGTTGGGGTGGATGTGCCGATCGTCCAGGACGGAGGGGAAGTGCGCGTCGATGCTCTGATCGGGGATGGAAAGCGGGCGTTGCAAAGCCGAGCAGATGGCACGGTCGAAATTGTATGCACACCAGAAGAGGCGGCGACGGAGGTCCAGGGTCAACTGGTCGAATTGTAGTGCCTCTGGGGGTTCGCGGTGCAGACCGAGTTCGAGGCACGCGCGCATCGCCGCACCAGTCAACATCCACACGTTGGCGAGGCGAGGATTGATCGATGCGTACTGTAGGACCATGAGCGTGACTTGTATGCCTGCTAGATCGGAGGGGATTTTGGCCTTGTCGGACAGGTGCTGGATGCCTTCTTCGAAGAGCGAGCCGGAAAAGACCATGTGCTTGGCTTCGTGGCCCGTCCGGGCGCTGCCCAATGTGGCGGAGATGGAGAGCATGAGGTATATGATGAGGAAATCGAACGAGGGGGCCACAGAGCGGTGCTTTTCTGGCAGTTCCTGTAGAGTCTTGATGACTTTTTCAAGTTGTTGCCAGAGGGAAGGGGCATGGAGAACTGGATAGATGGGGTACACTCGCGTCATGTACTTCTTGATTAGACTTCGCAGAATCGGTGTCGGGATAGATTTGAGCATGGTACAGCTGACCTCGTGGTTGGCGCGCGAGATGGATTTCCGGCGTGCTTCTCTGGGTGACCCGGATGCGATGGCCGTGGACGGTGTCAGGCTCATTCGGACCCTGGAGATGAGGTCGGTGATTCCTGGGCCCGTCGGCAGGATGGCAAATATCATGGCCTGTAGTTCGCCGCAGGTCATGACCTCGTCGCGGATGGTGTCTCGCGGGGCGGTTGAGGGTGCGAGGTTGTCGGTGTTGAGGCTCAGCTTAGGAGGAGTGTTCGGCTTGGTGGCAGGCAGCTCCATGATTGGTAAAGCTGAATCATCGATGGGCACACCGTCGTTCGTCGGCATGCCGGCGAGAATGTCCGAGGCGTTGAGCTCTGCCAGATGGCCATTGCGCGCGAGTTCTCCTTCCACTTTGGCGATTTCGGCCTCGAGATGCTGGACGATGCTCCGCGGGATATTGGGATCCTGGTCCTTCGAGCTGAAGCCCGTGCATTCCGACTTTGCGGCGATGCATTGGCCGCAGGGGATTGCCCGGTCGCACTTGATTTTGCGTCTGCGGCAGCGGGCACAGGATAGTACGGAACGGCGACACTCGCTCATGGTGGTGTTGATCAGCCGTTCATCGCAAACGTCAATGTTCGACGGTGCTCAGTGTCGGTCTCGATCTCCCGGGTCTGACACTTAAGCAGAGGATAAGATGCAACGGCAATCAGCAGCCGACGGCTCAGGTTGTATGGCGTGCTTCCGGCTGCCAGAATAAGAAAGAGAGATGAGACGGCCGGTATCGACGTGCTGGATCGTGTTGGAGCAATTCGCCTTCCCTTATCGCGCAACCCCGCCACCTGCGCGCCTATCGAAAGAAAGACAGAAGGGCGCGGGCGGCAGTGCGGGCGCCTCTCCTCTTCCTTCCTCCTCGCCGCCCTCGGCTAATCATTTGCATCTGCATTCTCCCTCTCGAAACCACAATATTGCTGTGAGTGAAGCTGGAGACAGGTCTGGCACTTGATATCCTCGACTTCCAAGCTTTCGCGGCAAGGCTGCGTCACGGAAGCGCACATGTCCTTGTTCATACACGCCTTGGATACCTAGCTACCCCGTAAAACGGACTTGGTCGGTCGGAACTGACACAACATGGACTTCGACAACACGACCATCTCCGAAGCAGATCTGACACGCCTCCTGCCCACCTGTCAAAGATGCCGCCGCCTGAGGAGGAAGTGTGACACGAACCTGCCTGCCTGTCGCCTGTGCCTCAAGGGCAAGGCCGAATGTACCTTTTTCGACCATGCCTTGCAACAGACCCTACCGCGAAGGTGAGTAGGTTGCACTGTCTCGCGGCGCCTGGACTGACTGGGAGAAGCTATGTGCATTCGCTATTGACGCGTCTCAGCCGGTTACGAGCTGTCCAAGCCTCGGTGAACGGGGAGGTTGTGCCATTGACTCCCTTCCAGCCGCCGCATCATGAAAGAAATGCTTCGCTCACATCCACCAACCTCGACCCTCCGACCAACGACTGGGGCACATACACAAGCGACCTATCTTTTGACAAGCACTTCATCATCGAACATGCAAATCCGACGTGCTGGCAGTTTCTCGGCAGCAGCTCCCCATATGCTTTGGTGGTCGAGGTCCTCGTGCACGCCCAGGCGAAGCTAGGCCCCATGGTCCATCATCCAGACTATGCCGGTCCCGAATTCTGGCTCAACGCTCAGAGCACCGAGGTCGCCGAGCCTCTGCAGCCGCGAGCTACCCCATCTCGAACCGAGATCCAGATGCTCATCGGTCTGTACATGTCCACCACGAACATCATGATGAACTTTTTCGACCCGGAAGATATGACCTACGAGATCGACACGTATCTCCGCCATCATGGCTCGAATGTCAAATACCTCGCCGGAAAAGAGGCACACCAATTCTTCCGGGTTGCCATGATCTGTGCCATCGCTTCGGCGAACAAGGCAAGGCATCATTCTGTCTACGATACCGAGTCTATGGCCTATTATGCCGAGGGGCTGCAATGCGTAGAGGAGGTCACATCCGATGTGTCTTGTGATGCCCTGCAGGCACTGCTGCTATTGATCCTCTTCACACTCTTCCAACCCCGAAAAGGCGATCTCTGGAAACTGTTGGATTTTGCCTGTCGACTGAGCGTGGAGCTCAACTATCACACCGAACCCAACGATGAGTACGAAGACGAGAAGAGTCGAAAGAGACGCCGCGGCATTTTCTGGGGCCTGTACTGCATCGAGCGAACCATGGGTCAACACCTTGGTCGACCCTCGGACCTGACCGAAGAGATCATCACTGCAGAATATCCTGCCGCAATCAACGAGGCTACCATGGCAGATCCAGAGAAAATCCAGAGTATCCTCACATCCCACTATTACAGACTGACATATCTCCGCTCGGAAATCTTCCGAGAACTATATCTGCCGGCGCTGGCCCCCAGTCTACCTCGGATGTGGTATGAGCACAGTGTTGAGTCAATGTTGGCGTGGCGACGAGAACTCCACTTCATTGAGAGCAACGTGGGCATGGGCAGCATGACATGCGACATGGGATTCGACACGTCAATCTGCTTCCTATTCCAGCCTCTGTTGTTGCGAGCATTGGCGGCCACCAAGGAACCCATGCTTGGCCCGGAAATCACCGAAGTCATCCCTCGAGAAAGCTATCATTCAGCTGTCAAAGTGGTCGACTTCTACAACAAAATCTTCCGCGGCGCCGAGGGAACTGCTTGGGGCATGTATCCGATCACCATAGTCTCCGCGCACTACATTCATCAAGCCACTATCACCATTATGGCGCATTGCTTGTTGGCGATTGACGGGCGTCTGCCCGTGGTGAGCTTCTCCCGCGAGCTCAGTGGTGAGGCGGAAGGACCGGTAGACTTCCACGGAATCCATGAGATCTCGGGCACATGCTTGATTTTGCTGAATACACTGTCCAAAAAGTGGGCAGGCATGGTTGGTATTCTCGACATCTACAAAAGCCTGCAGGCCAAGGTCTTGCCCATCATGATGCGGAGCGGGCTCGGCTGAGCTCAGAATCCGAGGGGGTGTGCGCCTCTATCAATGTTGGAAATTTCGAGACCCCCAGTCTGTGCTGTAGGCCAGTGATCCCTGATCACGATGCCTTGCACAAATGAATAAGACGACAAAGCGCAATGCAAGTGGAAAAGACTTGGTGGAAAGTTGTGTTGTGGGTTGAGCCCATGTCCACAGGGACGAAACTGTGTCAAGCTCACAACGCGCGAGAGACAAGTTCTCACAAGCCTGCACCATCAGTCAGACATGGCCCATGACGGTCTGCTACAAAATCACACAACTGCGAGAGCTCACTTGAGTCGCTCAGGCCATGTTTTCGGTTGTTGTTTGCCTTTTGGAACAGGTTGTGGAAAGGAGACCCTCAAACAAAGAGCATTCACCCCATCAGTGGGACAAACAGGAACAGAAATCCCACAACCATTGTCAACATCAGCGGCGCCAGGCCCACGAGATGTATGCGACCAAACAACGTGTCTTTGCTGAGAGGCAAACAGTTCAATCGTTGTGATCCTGGGAAGACATGAACAAGGTTCTCTCGCTCTCAAACTTCGACATTCACAAGAGGACCTACAAAGCATAAATCTAGCCATCCACGAACACGCGTTGAATTCCGATCCCGCAGTCCCATCGGTTTCAACTCTACAATCGAAAGAGTCAGGATAGTTGTCCAAGCGATTGCATCCAAGCAAGCCCAATTTCCATCAAGCTCTCAAGCCAAAGCAGGGCAACAGGGACACCACTTGCTCGAAATGGGGGTTACGAGACGGATAACAAGTGCATTGCCCACCTCCTACATCCCATTCTGCCATAGCACTGACGAGGGCCACCAGGAGCAAGCAGTCACAATGGCAAGAGATTACCTACACCACTCGGGACCACCATGAACGGCTCACCACCCGTACAGCCATGTCCAGCCTGGAAGGCGGGAACGTCCAACAACCGACAACGGAAACTGATTACCGCTGGATCCAAATGTTCGCCTGCCACCTCAGCTCCGCAACTGACGACGACGGGAGGAGACAGAGCCACGCGCAAAGGAACCGTGGTGCGCTTCACATTGATGGCCGGCAAAGCTGTGAAGGCGGAGGTGGTGGGTTGAATAAGACACAAGACGGTCCTGTGTTCCGTATGTCATGATGGCGACATTGTCAGTTGATTGAGCGTGGAATTGCGATTGGGACGTCCTTTACATTTATTGCAGCTGCTGTACCGAGTAGTCTACTCCTATCTATGCACTGTACGGAGTGCACACGACGTCGTGTGCAAGCTGCATTTTTCTATGGGGGGAAAGTCTAGGCGCACCGAAAAAATGTCCCAGGTGTGGGGTTGCGCCTGGCGCCGCCCCGAAGATCACGACCCGATCGAGCTCGTGCTCTTATGGCAAGCCCAAAGCCCAAGCTCCAGCTCGGACTCAACTTTGCAAAGCTCCTCCTCTCACCTACCGTGGTGGCTGCTTCTCTCCTCTTCTTGATCAAATGATGCGCTGAACAAAAGTACTCCTTGCATCACCAAACGCGGCATAATGGCCACCCTTGTCGCTGCCCTCACCACTCCCAACACCTACGACACCCCCCTCACCACGCGCGAAGCCCTCTCCGGCATATTCGGCTCCATCTCGCTCGCGTGCTGGATCTTCCTCCTCGTGCCCCAGCTGATCGAGAACTACCGAAACTCCAGCGCCGAAGCCATCTCCCTGGCGTTCATCTTCGTGTGGTTTCTGGGCGATATTGCAAACCTTGCGGGCGCGCTGTGGGCGGGGCTGGTGCCCGTCGTCGTTGCGATCGGGGTTTATTTCTGCATTGCGGACGGGGTGCTCATCGGGCAGTGCATGTATTATGGGTTGAGAAACAAGAGGCGGGAAGGCAAGGCGTTGCTGAGCCGCGAGTCCCTACTCGGCAGTTCGAGTTCTGGTTCTGGTTCTAGGCCGCAAGCAGACGGGCACGCACAGGTCCCCGCCCGCCAGCCCGAGGAGGAAAGCCACGGGGAGGAGGAACCGCTGCTCAAGCGCACGAGGACCAATAGTATGACGATCCCGGGGTCTATGGATCGCAGGCGAAGCAGTGCCAGCCTGCGACGGCGGAGGAGCAGCGTCGCCGCGCAGAACGATCATCTGGCCAAGATCCTCGAGGAGCGCGACGCCTCCGGCACGACGCTGTGGTTCAAGAACGCTATGAGTGTCATTGCGATTGGGGTCATCGGGACTGCCGGGTGGGCGCTCGCCTATGAGTCCGGGGCGTGGAAACCTTCGCCCATGTCCACGGGAGACGAGGCCGAAGCTATGCCTGCCGGCGCATTGGTGCTGGGATACTTCAGCGCGGTGGCGTACCTGGGTGCGAGAATCCCGCAGATCATCAAGAACGCGAGGGATCGAAGTTGCGAAGGTATGCTTGTAACCGTTCGTTCCGCTGTCCAGGCGCTTACACATTGCCAGGCTTATCCCTCCTTTTCTTCATCCTGTCTCTAATGGGGAACCTCACGTACGGGGCCGGTATTCTCTGCCATTCCACCGAGCATCAGTACGTCCTGAAGAACCTGCCCTGGCTGATTGGCAGTCTGGGCACAATGGTCGAGGATGTCACCATCTTTGCTCAGTTCCATATGTACAGCGTGCAAGGCGAGGAGGCGAGGCCCGAGCACGCGGTGATCTGAACAAAAGGCCCGCCATGGGCCATGCATGCAAGATTATGCTGTACCATCAATGCAATATAATGGGATATCTGTTTGATCTACCGAGTAGGGCAGGAGCACCTGTAATTCCGACTCGGGAGACAGGAACGTTCCCTGTAAAAGGGGAAGATTGTGCACGCTGTATACAAAATTCCCACCACCAGGACCACGCGAACCATGTCATGCAGGCTACAAGTGTGTAGCAAGCGGGTTCGACGACTTGGTGATCATGTACAATTGGTCGAATGGAAGACGCCGAAGGAGTACGTTAAAGTTTATCAGTAGCACAGCATGGGACAAGCGACACGCGCGAATAGCTGGGACCTTGAGGGCTATTCGCAGGGATCTGACTAAGACGGCAAGATACGTCTTGGGTCGCATACGTATCTAACAGCGAAGACAGCTGGATCTCAAAGAAATAGCCGATTCCGGATAATCCGTGGACGATGCTGATGTTAGCCAGCACTCGTACCGAACACGACCAGATGACCTTTCTTCACAATCAAGGGACCAATACAAACACCGCCTGACTTTGTAATCGTCCTCGGAAAGTATGCACCGAGAGATCTCACGGGTTTCAGCCATGGGCTTTTCATACGCCCGCACCTCACGCCACCAGATGGCGTCGCATGCGGCCCAACGCATGGACGAGGATGCGTCGGTAATGCATGTCATTTCGAGAAGACTTTGCGAACTGCGTCTGCGAGGCATCTCGTGCATAGGGTTCCCGTAGACGGCTTTCACACGATACTAAGGTTGCATTACACCGCGATTGTGTGCCACCCTGCAACGTCGACGGCCGTCATCCAATCAAGCTGTCCGTTCCTTCGATTGCATGTAGGGATGCTCTATGCTAATGCACGGAGCGGAACAGATGCGTACGAGTGCTCCTTGCCGCACCCAGAACTGCTACCTCGCACTGTACTCGGGCAAAGGGCAAGATCTTGTCGGAGAATTGATCTTCGTTCATCGCGAGGCCTGAAGGAAAGCCGCCCGATCCAACAGCGGATGATCAACCTCAATAGAGTCGTCAGTTGGTGCTGTCTTGGATCGGCCACAGTCTTGAGTCTGGAGAAGACACTGGCGATTTGGCGGCATGGGCCCGCACTGGCCCGTCCCCAAAGGCCAAAGGGTCCCTGAAACGGGCCGTCGGGATTGGTTCAACGCCCATTACTGCTCGTGCTCCTTGCACCTGAAGTGCGCCAATATTGCCGCTCAATCCCGCCGAGCAGATTGGCGTTTGCGCTTTCTGGTCATTCATTCTCTGCACTTCTCTTGCTTTGCAACCTTCTGACACACTTCACCGTGAAGGCTTTCCACTTTTCTCTTTTCAGTCTCACTCTTCAGTTGAACTCTTAGGAGGGTTTCCGGCTTTCTTCTCATCTCTCGCTTTGTCCCTTTCTTTCTCTTGTCAACACCCTTTCTTTCAACCAACGTCGGACCGTCACCAGCGTTTACGCTGTAACACCCAACCGAAACCTCGACACGTGCGTACTTTTTCGACTGTTGCCGAGATTGGCCCTTCGTTTCGCCCCGACTTGCGCTTTCCATCAGACAACAAACCTTTGACTCTCGAAAGAGAGAGACACTTTTTCTCATTGACATTCGCTTGAGGGCGTAGTCGATCGATCATCGACCTCGGACGCGAGGCCCCTCCCTAAAACCTCCTCACAATGCGGTCACTCGCTTTTCTCCTATTCGGCATGCTGAGCGCATCAATCGTTTCCGCCGACCCGCTCGACGATGCCATTGCACTCTTCAAGCGTCAGAGCATTGCGCTGACCACAGGTGGTTCGAGCTCGTCCACCGACTCTGCCACTGTTTCAGGCACTGCGACGCCGACCAGCAGCGATGGCGACGACGACGACACAACTACTTCTGTTACTGTAACTAGCGATACCACATCTGCAATCACCATCACCACTTCCTCTACCGTTGTTCTCCCTCCCACCTCGTCTCAATCCGTGACTGTCATCACGACGACATCTACACACACTCCTCCTACGAGTTCATCCGAACCCACAAGCTCCTCCGATGACTCCACATCCACCGTCACGAGCACGTTGACTCCATCAAGAACCCTGATCACCAGCAGCTCGGTTTCCGAGGTGGTTACCACAATCACAAGTGTCAGCGCGGGCAGCACCATCCACCTGACGAGCACAAGCAGCAGCGTCGTCCCCTTCACGACCAGCGTCGACCCTGCTTCACTGACCAGCAACGGCTCCAAAGGTGGTAGCTCCGGACTCAGCGACTCGACCAAGGCTACCATTGGAGGCGTGGTTGGTGGCATCGGTGGTGCTCTATTGCTCGCTGGTCTCGCTTACACTGCGTGGAGAATCTGGGGCAAGAAGAAGAACCTCCATGACGACGATCTCTACGACCCCAACAACAACCAGGACAAGCTCAGTGGTACCACCGCCGATTCTACCCCTTTCCGTTCAACATTGGATCAATACCACCAGCCAGGCCCTGTCAACACCGCCTCTAACTTCTGAGGCATGCTTGGCCGCCGGCTTGACGATCCTTATGAGAAATCTTGTGTTGTGATATTAGCGGAAACCGAGCATCGTCGATCAAATCATGGAAGCGAGCCCCAACTCCGGAGCTACCCGGAAGAAGAAGAGGTGCAGTGGGCACCTCGACAGAATCTTGAACCGTGTTAGAAGGCGCGTAATTGTGCAGGTCAGCACCATCCTCAGAAGTCTCCTATTTTGTTCGATTTGTACATAAGACAAATGAAAAAGGAAGTGGTGCTGCAGGGCTGGATGCCTCAGCTCATTGGCCAGGTAGTAGAGAGACAAATTTCATTTCCTTCATGTACTCCGTTTGGCAGAGCCAGAATCAGTACCTCCGTAAACACCTTCTCTTCCACATGCGAACATCATTATAGAGTGCTTCACGCAACAACGCGTTATACTGTACCTCGTACGCCGGTGTAGCCGGTCCATGCCAGCGCCGAACGTAGAGATGATGTTGAGGGTACCACGTGACCGACCACTTAACCCGGGTTCGGCTAGCCCGGTCCCACCCCCCGAACACGCTTGCCCGGTCGCGCTTTTCACCACGCGTCATCGGGAGCCGTTGAGCCGTTTTGATTTCTACCTAACACATTGCACAGCACTCGTACAGCACTCGACGCCGCAGCGCAGAACACGTGAAAGTGGAAGCAAGAGCTCGACACAACCAGGCAGTTGTCTTGACATTGCACCACGGTCCTATCGTACACTGTCCCGTCCAACCTCTCTCTTACCGCGCATCGATCAATAGAGGCAGAAGAATGTTCTTCCTCTCATCACCGATACCAGCGCCAGCGCCCTTGCCTCAGCCCCAAGCACTACCAAGCTGGAACTCAAACCCGTTCACATCGCCGGTCACGAAACAATACGGCTCTCGTGTAGCCCTGACGGCTTCGCACCCACAGACGAAACAACACGTCTTCACAGACCCTTACGCGGGTGGAAAGAACCACAAAGGATATTACACCGCTCACGCCCCGTCGCCCCTACGGACCGCCCGGAATGCGAATCTGAACCTGATGTCGAGTCCTACGCGGGATGGCCTCTCGAAGAGCGCAGGGACCCTGTTGGGTTCGAGCCCGCCCCGGTGTGCAGACGCAGCAGACGGGGATGGGGTTGATGAGAATTGGATTACCGACGAGATCGATGGGGATCGACCTGGATGCGATGCCCGCGCGGACTCAACGCCAGCGGGGAACTTGAATGCTTCAGTGGCAGGAGGATCGTCCACGTTCGTCACAGCGCCTTTCGATTCGACTCCTCGGCCGCAGACAACCACCCGCGTCGCTGCATTTTCGTCGCCTCTTGACGATTCATCGTTCACCTTCCGGGCCGCGGCCCCTCAGCCATCGCGCGTCTCACAGTGGGAACTGCGTTCGCGGGAGTCCTCGCCCTCGACCCTCCTCGCGACCCACACGACGAGGAATCGAGAGGAACGCAAGTCAAAATTCCTGGATCGCATACGCCGGAGGAGGGACAACGAGCGAAGTGAACTGGTTGGAGACCAACTTCTTCGTATGGACTTTGTGAAGGAAAGGAGAGGCTGGCAAGAGCAGATGGCTCGACGCGCCGCCGTGGAGGCCGGCGTGGAGATTGAGGAGGAGGAGGAGGAGGAGCAAGAAGAGGATGAGGAGATCTTGCCGGAAGAGATGAGTCCGACGGAGGAATATGACGACCTCGTGAGGCAGTACGAATTCGAGCATGAATTTGACCGACAAGGCGGAATGATGCCACAGGACGAGTTTCCGGTTGATGATGCCGACGACGACGCAGAGTACGAGCGCTTGTTCCGAGAAATGGAGATTCTGAGCCAGCAGAGCGGGAGCGCGTCTCAGAGCGCGTCTCAGTCTCACTCGGGCGACCAGTCCTCCGGCGGTCAACGGCGGGATATCACTCTTCCGACTCGGGAACAGCAGCCGTCCCAGCATGAGGTGGAGCACCGCAGTGGTGGTGGTGGCGGTGGCGGCGGCGGTGATGCCATGGACATTTCTTGAGAAACCGGCTCCTCTCATCACTTCTATCAAACGTTGATGGTCATGGTCGACGTCCTTGTGCGCGGGAGGTCCCACCGAGATGCAATTGAGCTGGAAGGCATACCTGGTGATACCATGCCGTTACCGTACATGGCCACCGTGCTGGTGAGGCTGGCATGATTTCGGAGCGATGCTCTTTCCAGGTACAGTACAGAGTACAGAGTACAGTACTGTTGATTACAGTTCAGTTCGTACCGTCCCGTACGGGTCTCTTAACATACCGAGTGGGTGTGTGTATGTACCCCAAATGTACTGTATCCTCTGACGTCCGGAATGTACTGTACTGTACTGAGTGTGCCGTGTCGTGGTGTGGTGTGGTGTGCTGCGCAGGTACTGAAGACATTCAAATCATGAAATCGTGGATTTCTGGCCCTGGCCCTGCCCCTGGCCGTTGCAATTCTCCCTTTCACTGTTAGTTGATTGATTACTGAAGTGATCTACCCTTAGATGATCTGGGCTGAACCCGAGCCCAAACTCGGATATCTGGATTCTGGATGTTGAGACACTATTACTACCATGGTTGTACCTCTCACCCTTACTCCGTACCTTAGCTTACCTTACCTTACCTTACCTTCTCACCCAGCCTACGGAGTAAGAAAACACCATCAGGACTAGCATATTCATCGTCAATCACATACAACACGTACCTCATTTCAGGGGCTATCTACTCCGTATACTACCTAGGTATATTATGTCATGTCATATCATGTAGTGTCGGCGATATAATGCGATCATGATGTCTAGGCGATCTGATGTCTAGGGTTCAGAAATGGAGGGACTATGAATGCATGCATGCCATCGCTGTATTTTCTGGTGTTTGGTATATATTGTACTCCGTACTCCGTACTCCGTACCTAGAGTGCTGCCCATGGCCGCCCTTCTCGAATATCGCTGTATGGCCGTATCCCCGCAGAAGCCCGTCAGGACTAACCTACCTAGGTAGCCACGCATTATTCAACTTCAATCAGCGTCATTCATTCATCCTTCCTCGCTGCTTTGAATGGAGGGAAGACTGCCTCGAGTCGCTGCACCAACGTGGGCGGAACTTTCACGCTCACATTCACACTTTCACTCCCACTCGTATGCTCTCTTCCGTCCTTACCCTGGGTACCGAACTCTGTGATCTCACTTTCCGCGCTCGACGTCGCTTTCAGCAACGCTTGCCAATCTTGCACCTGATAGAGCTTTACATTCGCACTGACATCACCTTCGCTGCCATGTTCCGCAGTCTTGCCAAAGTCCTTTCTCCACTGCCTCCAGACCAATCCGTCGGGGTTGTCCGCTGATCCCGATCCAGGAACAGGACGTTTTAGAGACATCGACTTTAACACCCCCTTATCGGCGTGCAGGTCGACCTCGTGACTGTCGAGCATGCCGCTCTTGAACTCGAACTTGGGCGTCTGCTCGAAGATCCAGCTTGGGGACAGGAGTTCTTGCACACCCTGCGCGAGCCATGGGTTCTGCTCTTCGAGCTCGTCCAAGGAGGCCGGTGCGGAGAGTATGATCTCGTTGACGCCACGTTCTCGGGGCTGGCCTTCCCCATACATGGCCCAGAACTGTTGTACGATGGCCTCGGTGATGTCCTTTCGGATATTGTCCCGCATATTCTGGCTTGCTGTATGGGCAAGGTTCCCAACTTTGCTGCGCACGCTTTCGACGCCCTGGGCGGTGATGAAGTCGCGACCGGGACTTCTCAGAAGGTCGGATATACGGTGGATGTACGGGCTGGAGTAGAGCAGCGTGCCGTGATGCAGGGCCCGACCTCTTGTCAGCTTGTACGCGCTGCCGCTGACTTTCAACCATTCGGCTGCGTTGGGTCTCTGCATGACAATGTCATTGCGCTCGTTGACCCGTATTTTTGGGAAGTCGCTCCTTTGGCTTTCGGACGAGAGCCACTCGTGCGCTGGGGTCTTCAGAGCCCGCAGCGCTTGCACGACCATTTCAGCATGTTTGCTTCGAGTGAAGGACCTCGTGTTGGGGACAATGATCGAGTAGTTGAGATTGCCGGAGTCGTGGAAGACGGTGCCCCCTCCACTGCGACGGCGGACGAGGTCGACCGGTACAATGTCCCCCTGGCGTCTACCCGGTGCCAATTGCTTCTCAGCCGGATCCGACACCTGCTCTTCAGGCCCAAGACCTTCCTGTATTCTTTTTAAATCCGTCTCCAGCCAAGGGTTCTGGTTGCGACCAATAACTACGCACGGTCGATTGGTGTAGAACAACAGTATGTGGGATTCCGGAGAGGATTTGGTGAGCAGGTAATGCTCTATGGAGAGGTTGATGTACGGATCATCCGTGAGCAAGTGGAAAACAAGGGGCCCGGTCTCTTTCGAGACGCGCCATAGCTCTTGGAGATTCCATGTCGCAGAAGTCCCTGGCTGCGCGCGATCATGTACTGCCCGACGCTGGGCAGGCGAGACAGGACTGAACGAGACGGTCGTCTGACTACGGGTATTCCAAGTTGAAAGGGTTAAGAGTAGCCGCCGGGCTGCTCGCATTGAACCGGGCAAGCAGTTCCCGTGGACGGAGCTCTTGTGAGAAGGAAGGATATGTCATAGAGAGGCACAACGCAGGCCAGCCTGACTGGACGCGCCGAGCATTACAGTATCCCAAAGGGGAAGGTAGAGCGCGACTAATATTGGTACAGAGTACGCTTTCAGTTAGTTGTATTCGTACTCGTACAATGCCACCAATCGACACGCACCATACGGTCGACGCTGTTGGTGAGACTCGAATCGTGAAACTTCAACCCCTCCGCACCCGGAAGATACTAGGCTGAGCTCTCAAGCTTTGGCTCTTCCGACCTTCACTGAGTTGACCCCAGCGAGAGACGAGATCCTTCCTAGACCGGGCCATCCATATCACAAGTGCAGCATTCCACCTGACTACCGTCGTTCGCGACTGTGACTGGGAAGGTTATCCGAAGGGTTGGCCAGACAGCCTCAAGAGGTGTACTGGGCCATACCCCCTATTGTACGATACCGTATTGTTTACATAGGCCTTCGTAACTATATAGCTGGGTCTGCCCCCAGACCCCTCTGAAATTCATCATGTCCTCCAATTGAGTCACACGACAATGGCCATTTTTGAAACATAGTTACGCTAGTATGTTTACCAAATTCTTCGCTTCCTTATATCCGGCTAATAATTCATTCAAACTAAACCTTCTTTTTAGGTCAACGAGTTATCATGATATCCTCCTGGAGAAAATTCCAATTAAGCCAATTGAGAGATTGGAACTGGTCAGCCATATAAGGCATACTAAAGTCGTCATCAGGTAGGTTATTTTCACCCGTCTGAGTTTGAAGAAAGGGCGAATCGACCCTGGAGCTCTTAAGTCGATCGGGTGCGTGAAGATCCGCGACATCGTCTTGACGCTCGTGGCATCGCGGCTGTTGCTCTTGCAATGATTGAGGTTGTCGTGAAAGACTACTATCTTCATTCTCCTCGTCATTCTTTGCCTTCTCAACGAGAGAAGAAACAATCTTGATGAACTCTCCACTCTTAGTTAGCAGGATATTTCCCGAAGAGATGTACTCGATTCGTCCAAACAGACCGAGGACACATTGCATGAGTGCGATATCGGCCGTGGCAGAACTGGACCGTGGGTTGCTGGCCAGAAACGTGAAAATCGTGATGATCGCGGTGAGCGGGTAGTATATGACAAGCCAGTTGGGTGCATAGCTCTCGATATCGATGTACTGCGTCAACAAACACATGGATCGGGCAGACTCCAGAGAATCTGCCGCTAATTGATCCAGCGCGAATCTTTGTAAAGAGGTATTTCCCGCTCGGGCTTCAGCTATGTCTTTTAGTCGACGTGCCTTGTCGAGCGACGCCACGCAGTCATGGTAGAAATACTCCAGCACAAGGCGTTGGTGAAAAAGGGCCATGGATGTCATTTTCGTTTCTCGAAGGGACGCCCAACCCTGCAATGCATCTTGACCTGCGTCCGTGGTCGCAACACGCCTCCACTGCTTGAGCTCCTCATACAGTTCGACCACCGTTGCCCCTCTTGCCTCGGCGGTCTGCATAAGAGATGTCGTCGAATACAGGTTTTTGATGATGCGGGAGCAGATTCGAGAATAGCGTGTGACGTTGAGAAAGAAGTCTCGAGACTCATGGGAACCGTCTTCACCGTGGTGATCAGGGAACAAATCGCGAGGGAAAGGACAGGCGATGTCACTATCATCCAGCAATGAAGGCCGGCCCGTGCGGAAAGCGATTGTCTTGTCAAGACAGTAAAGACTCCAAAACAGGCGGTTGCGGTCCTCGATTTCGAGGTCGGACATATGCCATGCCTTGGGCGAGGATTTGTGCAATCCCAATCCCGTGGCAAAGCGCACAGCAATGGCGCAGTAGATGTACTCTGGCTGAGGCCCCCCCACACCTTGTGCAAATACTGTCATCAATGCAAAAGTTTGCACGGCCTGTAGAGACGTCTTCTGATACATCAGATTGGATTGTACCGAGACCGTGTTGTCAAAATAAGCCCAGGCTTCGTTTTCCGAGTCTCGAAAAGATTTGAGTGTGCCAGAAGAGAGGCAAGCTCGACATCCGAGTGCGAGAACTACATTGTATAGCGCATACCAAGTCTTGTCACAACTGGCAGGGTCATTCCAATACCGTTCGCAATGCTCTCGAAAACCAGATTCCCGAATAATCGGCCACAGCCATTGTTTGGCAAAGTATACATCGATGTATCGCTTCGCCACCTCAATTGGTGGAAGATTTGACTGCGGGCGGTTGCGAGATCCATTCTCGCCACGTGTGGGTAGTTTCAACTGAGAGAGAATTTCGTTCACCATTTCCCTCTGCTCGTCCAAGCTGATGCTGTTGCCGTTGTTGCTGTTGCCGGCCTTCTGAGAGATCCATTGTAGACCGGACTGAGTCGCAAGGGACATGCCGCAAGAGGAGCCCGCGTACTCTTGTCCATGCTCTCCAATCATCAGCCCGGAGCTTTCATCGTGGAAGTTGCTCATGGTGTTGGGAGACCAGAGGATCTCATCGACCATATCTGTCCTTCCCACTTTCATGGACTGGTGAGGGTGCTCAGGAAAGGAAGTGGCCGTGCCTGTCCCTGGCATGGGAACTCTCCGCCCAGACTCCACTTGCCGAATGATATCCAAATCTATCACTGTCCTCTCCGGCGGCAACGAATTGACATTGCGCTCTCCAATGTTCCCGGGATGATGCGCAGCTGACGGGAAAGCCTGGCAACGTTTCTGGGGTTCGCTTTCAGTCCCGATACTCTGTTCTCGCTCATAAAGGCTCTGAAGCAGACTCTCCATGCGTAAGAGCCGCGCGTCAACATCAGCTATACATAGGAGATTTCGTTAGAAATCTTTACGGAGAATAGGCGTTGTGTGTGTCCATCACAGGCGCTTACAATCTCTATCGCTTTCTCGTTGCTTTCTCTTGGCCCTGCCCGGGTAAATGCACTGAAGATGGTGATCCTGTTCTCTAATCAGTGGCTATCAACCAAAGTGGTCCGTCTTGAATATGACTGATTACCCTACAGTATTGACATTTAGGTGTCGAAGAGTCGCCTAAATTCAACGTCTGTAAGCTCCAAACTGAACAGGGGTTGTTTTCATGGTAGCACGCACATTTGACCTTCTTAACCCGGCAGATTTCACAGGCCATCTTGAAGACAATATATGATGAAAAGATCAAACTAGACTGTGCCGGCAACCGATGGTTAACCTGAGGTATGCGTTGGTCCCAGAGGCCCAAGCTGGCTCGTTTGACCGGAGTTGACTGGGAGAAACAGTGGAAGATGTGGAAACGAACACTCGACAAATAAGTTACCTAAACTTGCGCGACCCCCAGGCGCGGGGTCTCCGCACAGGCTCTTGTGGATTGCCTCGGGTTTGAAAAGGGCCCTGGCGTGGCGGGAGGACGCGAGTGGCGAGGTTGGGTTATGCATTTGTCCTACATGCTTCTATTGGGCGCTATTCGCCGACAGCTTCTCTGGCGCAAGATGCGTAAGTACTATGCATCTGTATGCACGAACAATAGTCATCTGGTCCGATTCTGTCAGGACTCCTCCTGAATAGCTTCAAGCTGGCTATCACCAAGGTTCATGATTTGTGCTATTTCAAGGATTGCGTTGCAAATGTTTGCTCGAAGAACGCTTCAGTATAATTTCCCTCACTATCGAGCATCTCGGACGCCTCGGCCCACTTCCTTCTAATCAAAGATCCTCGCTCTTCAGCCCGGACCGCGAATACAGCACTGTCAATGTCAGCGGGAATTCGAACTTTGAGGAAAGATACTCACTCATATTGAACAGGCATGACGAGAAAACCAGGTGTCAAAGCATCGGGATCGAGTGGCACCAACTTCCCGTCTTTATCAACAGGACGTGACATTTTGAACCCCCAGAGTAACCTCGAGATGGCCGTGAACAAACTTCGCTCAGCAACGTGGATTCCAGGACACATGCGTCGACCGGCTCCGAAGGTGGTGAATGGTCTCTCCGATGTATCGGAGCCTTTTGGTTGCCCTACTGGTGGATATTTCCCAGGAAGATGGCGTGTAGGATCAAAGTCTCTTGGGTTGGTACGGTCATTGTTGATCGACCATGCCTGTTGGGTATGGATCAGCTCATGAAACAGAGATTACCTCCGTCGTTAAGAACGAACATTGTTTACGATTGCGGCACCAGCAGGAATTCTGTAACCTTTGTAGAAATCCTCGGTAGTAGTTGCGTGGGGCACTCCGCCTCCGATCGTTGTTGGCATCCCTGTGCGAAGTGGGTGAGCTTTCTTGCGTTTTCTTCGTTTCGGAGAGGTCATACATCTGATCGATTCTTTCACCACGGCCATGATGTAAGGTGTTTCTGCAGAGTCATTCCAAGTGGGAAGTCGATGACTTCCAACAACTCTGTCAAGCTCTTCTTGAGCCACTCTCTGGACCTCGGGGAATAGTATCATGGCCTTGGATTAATGAGTTGCTATGATTTTGTGGTTTAGGGAAGTTAGCACACCTTGACGAAACCTAGTAGTGTACTGTATGTGGTGTCCCTAGTATTTCACTATCAACCTATGGGCATAGTTGAACAAAATGCACTTACGCAGCTGCTGTCCAAGCATGGCCAGCCGCAAAAGCAATTTCGTCTGCGCTGAGTGCATCTGCTTTGTCAATATCTTTTGCTTCGGCGCCCAGAGTTAGTAGCATGTCACGACTGAAACCTGGTTTCGATTCTGGTCAGACACTTTTTTCAGAATAGGATCTGGGAATAACCGACTAGGGTGCATTTTGCCTTCTTGGATCAGGCCCGAAGCCTCTCTCAGGAGCTGGACCCACATATCCCATTCCATATCCCGAAGCTCCGTCGCTTCGGCTAGGAACCCGCTCACCCATGCTGGGAGTCGCAAGAAGAGAGGTTTGAGAACAGGGTACCAATCCGCCAACTGGCTTCTCTCTTGCAAGAGGGAAAAGCGATTGAGCCACTACAGGACAAATCAGTCCAGATTTATGACTCTGACTCGCCGCATCATTTGCACTTACAGTGTAAAGTTTCTTGACAAGCGGCGTGTCCAAGATTGGAATTCGGCGGCCGTATGTAACAGTTGCCCCAATGCTGGTGGTGTATCTTTTAAGGTGGTCCCAAAACTCTTCTGGACTGTCTAACATTTCGTCCAGCAGCTGAAGACTTTCGAACTCCTGATTTAAGCATTTCAGCACACAATGAAGTTTCTATCTTTGGCAGGACAGCCGGTACTCACCTGGTATGGGATATATCTGTTTGCAGCAGTGAGATTCAGCCTTAGATGGTACATCTTTCGAAACCGCCGCCACAAGTCGTCATTTCTGATCACTATTCAGTACAGAGCTTCCAACAGTAGTTCTGTAGTGAATGACATCCAACTCACGGTCTGAAGAGCAAGTTCCAGTTTTTTCCCAATTCTGCCACAAAGTTGCTCGACTTTGAGGAATAGACAGTACTTCTCTTCTCAAAGAGGTCTCGGATCGACTCTTCAGTGTTCAATACTATCATCGTCTGCGTTCCAAGTTTGATTGAGACAATAGGCCCATATGAAATCGGAGTCAATATAAGAGAATCAACCTGTTGACGAGGCACCGTCCTTACATTGTTTTGCCCACTTATCGAACAACTGATATGGTCGAGCTGTCATTTGGTGCAAGTTCCCAATTATAGGGAGTGTCGGTGGTCCTGTGTCACAGATGGGGTCAGCTCAAACATCTCTAGTTCACTTTTGAGCATCTATAGATGGGACCTCATCTACCTGGTGGAAGATCTTGGGGACGCATTCCAATTTTCATAAGTCGTGATGCCCCACACACCACCACCATTAAAAGCAGTGATGCCACGGGCCAGCTATACAGCGAAACAGTCATGGTGTATATCGTCAAGATTTATCAAAGCGGATGCAAGAGAAGACGATCCAGGTGGCACCACTGTTCGTTCGCATATGTGGTCAACTGAGTTGGTCTGTTTGCAGAAGTATTATATGCTTGGCAGGACTACAGAGATGCACGCACACCCGGAGAACAACAGGAGGTACAGCGAGACTGAGGAACATTGGTGGTGGTCGACTCAACATGGTGCGCTTCAAACAGTGACTTACTCGGCCTCCGATTCTTTCAACCTGAGAATCACACCGAGGACGCGAGCCGAGGCTGAAGCCAAGCGTGCTTCACAAACTACGAGATGAGTACTCGGCTGGAGAAGGTGGAGTGTACCCCGGATAAGGGGGACATAAGCGAGATTTCGTGGAGGGGACAATTACCATCTAGCACAACACATGGCACAATCCGGGGCTAGTGTTTGATGGGGGTTTGGACTTTCGGGATTCCGAAGTCCCAGAACCCGAGGACAACGGTATTGCGGTCCCTTGGCAGGAAAGGGAGGACTCGGGCCAATCCACCAAGTAATTGTAAGTTAAAAATGCCTTATCCATTTGCTAACTACCCATGAACACCATTCGTCAGATTGCCCTCCATCCCATCACTGACTCCATTGTGCGTCGGGGCAAACTGGCCGTAATCCCGGTCTGCCACCGCCTCCCATGCTTCTGGGAACCCGGCCCAACGCAGCCATCTCACAACCACTCTCTGAACAAACGGGTCAAGCTCGGCAGCGTACTCGTAGCCGGTCGTGCCAGCGTTTGGCATCTCAAAGTCTGGCCGGTCCATTGCCTCGACGGAATCCATTACCATGTGCGCCATTTTGAGAAAATCCCCTCCCTTTAGCTTGATTCCTGGTGCCGCTTCAAACGCTTCAGTCACAGCTTCCCCATTGCTAATCGCGCGGATCAATTTGGACGTGTGACCATCGTCCTGATACTCCCTAGCCCGTGCGAATATTGACTCCCATCCACCTCGCCTCTCAGGTCGATATCCACGGAGATCTTGTAGTCGTAGTTCAGGCGCTTTTGCGGATGCATACATGAGCAAGTGTAGTCGCCCCATGCATTCTACCAATCGCCCCTTTGCTTTTCTCGAGATCCAGCTAGTCCGGTTGAATACTGAGAAAAACAAGGAAGTGTTGGCACAATGCATGAAGAAGAAATCGAATTTGATCGCTTTGTCGGCCCGCTGAGCAAGTGCGGTCATGTACACTGTTCCGGGCTGATGTCAAAAGGGGCGCGCTCATATACTGACGAGAAAAGGGACGCTTACATCCGGCATTAATCATCTCAGCCGTCTTCTGCTCCAAGTCCTTTGCTGACACTTCCCAACGAGCAGCAAGTTGAGTCATCTCGTCTGCGGCTCGTATGTAGAGCCCATCGGTGACTTTGTTGGGAGGATCAGACCAGACGACGGCAGTTTGTAGTTTATGATTTGCTTTGATTTCGTCCATCAGCTGGACGAGCGTATGATCAGCAGGCTGAGTTAGGTTTCTGGCGGCATTCTCTGCACCCCAAAGAAACGGTGCGGGCCAGGCCGGGTGAATTGCAGCTTGTGCCAAAGCTTCTGCCACGATCAATGGTTGATTGAATTCGATTCCATATCCAAGATGGATAATGGGGTGCAAGAATCCTTAGAGAGTGAGCCGAGTACTTTGAAGGTCTCTCAAACATTACCTGAAAACATCCTTGCGAGCATGTCATCTGCCCTCGCATCTCCCTTAAAGACATATTCATTGACGACAGATTCAACTCCACGCTCGGAAACTAGCTTCTGGAAGAAAACCACGTAATCTCGGTAACGCTCACTGTCACCAAGATGCTTGACGAATCCCTCAGGTTGTCTCAATGTTTCGATGTTGATCGGGTCCGCCGGAGGAGTGGGAAGCTGATACCCCGTATTATTTCGGTAGGCTTTCTCAAGCTGGGACGGCGAAGCCCCAAGTGCGTATATGCTGAGTAGATGATGGACGATGTGGTCTTTGGACATGTTCACATTAGACATCTGTTCAATGACCCAATGATCCAGATTATGCTGACTGGAAACACTTTCATGCCACACCGATAAACTTCGGAGATGGTGAATCTCATGTCTTCAGCTGCTTGAAGTAAGACTTACTGTGAAGGCCAGCGTTGTCAAAGTAAATATGATGTCGCTCATGATTCTCCATTATAAGGGTATTGGCGGTGCTTGCACTTTCGGGCAGCAAATTCTCCTGCGTGTTGACACAACCACGATCTGATGTGGACAGCGCCAGCTGGTAAGGGCTCGCCATGCTGCTGGAATGAGAAAGGACTAGATTCGAAACCCGAATAGTGAGGAAAATAGTAACGATTGCGCCACAAAGATTGAAGGCGTGCCTTACATATCACCTACCCTGAACTTTGAGCATTCAGTTGCAAAAGTCTTATGACCATACAATTGGCAACATCGGGTTAGGATGGTGCTGATTCGGGGCCTTGACCCCGTAATCCGGTGTCTAGATCTTGCGGAGGATGGGGACCGGACGGCCCATGGGCCCCTCCGCCGGATTGATCAATTTTACTCAGCCATACCAACTAGCCCACTGTATATCAAGGTGTAAATGGTCGTGGACATCCGGACACTCACTGTCGAGCAGATCAATCTCGAGCATCCAAGCGGACGAATCCCGCATTGCACCCACAGCTTTGTTCTAAAAGTTTGAACGATACAACTCGCTCATTCCACCAGGACATATATTGATCTCTATCGGCGTTCAGGGAAACATGGCTCCAGGAAAAGTCAATTTCGAAGGTATAACTTGTTCAGAACTGAATTCGTTGATTTGTATTTGAACTGATCTCTTCACAAAGAGTGGCAAACATTGAGCGAGATAACTTTCGAATGGGCAGACAGCTATGATTCAAAGGTGTGGAACGATTTCAACGCGGTTTCAGCCGATATATACTAAATCCGCGGCGTTAGCAATGGAATCGACTTGAGGCAATAATTGCGCCCACTATGATGGTGAGATCATATATCCGCAAGCTGGGATTGAATGCTGAACACGGATCAAATATTCTCAGCTCGATTACACGGAGTCGTTCGGGAAAAAGTTCGATGATATTCCCAAAGCCGATTTCATGAAGATGACAGTGAGACCTGATAATCTGGGAGGCTTACTTGATTGCATTCATGTGATTGGAACCTCAAAGTTTGAAAAACATTCGGACGACAAGGCGGATGGACATCATCAAGTCTACGTCACCTATAGGCGCTGGACAGACATGGACAAGAAGGTAGTCGAGGCTGAGGGTGAGGGACTTCTTATTATGACTCACCACTATTCCAAGATCAACGGAGAGTGGAAACTGAGTGGAACCACGCCACATGGACGGCTTGGAGATCTCAAACTCGACAAGGTCTTTCGACCATAGTGGCACATGAAGTGTGAAAAAATCAAGGCTTGGAAAGACGACTGAACAGTGGTACACCACCAAAGGATAGCTTGATGAGTAGGCAAGATTGTCTATTAGAGTTGTTGTTCTATCTCAAGATGTTTGCCTCCAAACCCCGTTTGTTTTCTCTCCATACCGATAACGTTCTTCGAGCTTGTAGTATTCTTCAAAGCCCACCCCACGACAAACTTCCTCGAAGGACAGTATTTCTGGCGGCTTTCCAACGGTCAAAGACATCTTCAGATTTTCGAGTGCCTCGCGAATGCTTTTGAGCTTTGCCGCGACCAGAGTCAGAGGGTAGCAAACGGCACAATACCCCAAAGCGGCGAGTTCTTTGGCCGAGATGTTTTCCGTCTTGCCGCCTTCAATAATGTTGGCAAAACACGGGAAGTTGATATCCCTTCGGAGACGCTGCATCGTATCTCTGTCAGGCATAGCTTCTACAAAGATACAGTCCACGCCGAGTTCGATGAATTTCTTGACACGCGCAACAGCTTCATCGTAACCATGAATGAAACTATCGGTACGAGCCAAGATCCAAATATCAACTCCTTCGTTGCGTGCGTCAACGGCAGCTTGGACTCGGGCAAAAGCTTCCTCGCGAGGAACCACGGCCTTACCCACCGTGTGTCCACAGCCTAGAAAACAGGATTAGCATAGAGAACTTGAAACAATGATGCTCCGGGACTTTTGTACGTTTAGGCCATGTCTGATCTTCAATCATGATTCCAGCAGCTCCTGCAAGCGCAAATCTGTTGCAGACATCGTTAAAAGGGCCTCGACTGTTGATTCTGGCTTCTTACCCTTGTACAGTCCTTCTCATGTTCATTGGACTTCCGTATCCGGTGTCTGCATCCGCGACGATAGGTACTGTCACCTGCCTAGCTGTCTCTTGAATCTTTGAAGCCATTTCTTGGAAAGCTATGTAGCCCGCGTCGGGAAGACCAAGAGATGAGGACACCGGGAAACCGGATAGAAACACCGCCGGAAAGCCTGCTTCTTCAACAAGTTTGGAGCTCAAGGCATCGTAACTGCAAGGCAGTGCAAGAATTTTTGAATCGTCGGCGTGAGCTTCCAATATCAAGCGTCTTAACTTGGTTGCCTGAAAGGACGGAATTGTTCCCCTGACATGGGAGCCGCTCTTGAGGTGTTTGTCGCCTCTTGACAAGTAGTCGACTTCGGTAGGGACAGGAAAAAGATCTGTTGGCGAATCAGCCATGGGTACCATCTTCAAATCGGTTTTCAGAGTGTTTGTCAGTTGCACATGCGACGCAGCGTGAAAAACACTTGTTCTTATATAGTACCAGTTCGTCTATTGTTTGAGCAGCACCCGTATTCATTATCGTTAAGAGACACAGGCAATGCCGGACGCGCCAGCATAGGCCTGCTCCGAAATCGCTCTCGAAAAGGCCAATATCAGATTGACAATTTAGACTCAAGACATTCTATCCAATGCCATCACTGTTTTTAGTTATCAAAGTGGCATGTGAATCTCTAGCCGCATGGTGATGCCGAGCAGTCCCATCGGCAGCACATGGTGTCGCACACTCCGGACCCGGCTTCGGACAACAAGATCGATATCCCGTGAGAAAACCTATTTCAGCCGCAGTTATTCGCGCGAAGAAAGCCTCCTGATGATTTTTGTCAAACGAGATATTGCACAGACTCCCATCCGACTCGGATATCCACGAAAAACCTCGACTCTCTGAGAAACGGAAACCATGGCAACTCCAAGCAGAGCCTGTTGCTCGTAAGTCCCATCTCCCACAACCCCGTATCGAGGGTGACTGTTATAGCATACCCCCCATTGTCTCTGAGGGCTACAAATATAAGGGTGGGTTTGAAACTATCGATGGATTGAAAACCTGTAAGACAAATGAGTCGAGAGCACCATCGCTGGGTGATTTCCCCTTTCTGATTGGAACTCCTTCTGTTAGACGTGACTGGGCCCAAAGACTCAAAGCATGCGATATTAATCATATATGGTAAGCTGGTCTCTTCAAAGAAAGAAATGTATCTATACTGAGCACCGATGTAAGATGTGTTCGGATTCTTTGACCAGACAATTCAAGGGGCAGATATCCTCGCCAACTCTGACTCCAAGCGGAAATACAGAGTTTTCATGCCGGATTTCTTTGATGGAAACCCAGCCGATATCAGTTGGTATCCTCCTCAGACCGAGGATCACCAGAAGAAGCTAGGGAACTTCTTCCAAACCCAGGCTGTTCCACAGAAGTCTCTTCAGAGGATCCCGGGAATTGTTGCCGCCGCGAACGAGACGGCAACTGCTGGGAAATTTGAGTCTTGGGCAATCTTGGGACATTGCTGGGGAGGAAAGATCGCAACTCTAGTAGTTTCTGGCGACGGTGGACTGTTCAAGGCAGCTGTACAATGTCATCCTGCCATGCTGGACCCTAATGATGCAAAGAGCGTTGCAGTGCCTATGGCACTTCTGGCATCAAAAGACGAACCAGCCGAAGATGTCGAAGCTTTCGAAGCCAACCTGACGGTCCCTCACCACGTCACGACGTTTCCTACGCAGATCCATGGCTTTATGGCAGCGCGCTCAGACCTCAAAGACGCAGCAGTTCGCAAGGAGTACGAACGCGGCTATCAAGTGGTGCTGGAGTTTCTCAGTAGGTACACATAGACAGGCTGACTAGTCTAACCAGCTAGCGTCGTATCTTCATCTATACGTCGTACCAGAACATAGAAGCCAAAAGTGTTAGACACGATACGGAAATATGAGATAAGTCTCGGGCGAAATATCAGACGATTTTGATAAGTACCTCTAAAACTTCGAGCGTAGTTCGCCAGACCACAAACACCTCTCCAGTTTCCCATCGAGCTTCGGGCCGGAAAAGGGACCACTAACTATCACCCCTTGGCGAATGGTGATGCACTCGGGGCATGTTCAAGGTTGCCCGCCTGCTCTAGTCATGATAGGGTAAGATGCTTCGAGAAGAACGCATTCAAGCTCGGGTATTCGGGATTTGAGATCCCAATCCCCGAAATTCAGGTGAGCCCGGAGTTCGATGTCCCATACGGACACGGTGGAGGAACTGGGATCCCACGGAACATAGACAGCATGGCAAAGGTCACAAAGGCCGATGACAACCTGACCAGTACAATCGCTGGCGCTGTCAAAACGTATGGACCGTGTCAATCACTCATTCAGCAGACTACATTCAATGTACATATCAATGGTCTTGGACCCTGAAAATTTTGCAGATTCTAGCTCTTTGCATCTGCAACACGTTATCAAACATGGTGCAAGACACTCCCATCAGTTTCATCATCATTGGCGCCGGCTACGCGGGTCTGACCTCCGCTATCGAGTTAAGACGAAAAGGATGTGAGGTTCACGTGATAGACAGGGAGGAGTCCCTGTCAAGACTCGGTGAGTTCTCACATTGGCAAAGGTAAATAGGATATACTGATCAAAGACTCGCAGGTGATGTGATCATGCTCACTGCCAATGCTACTGTTGTTCTGGAGAAATGGGGCCCGGTGATCGAAGACATCCTCGCAACCTCATCCAACCCGACACACATCACCATCAACGACGACAAAGGTCAGCCCCTTCTTATTCAGCCCTGGAAGCAGAACCACAATGGTCACCAGAACGTCTGGACCAATCGCGGCCGTACGCAAAAAATGATGTACGAAGAAGCCGTCCGGAGAGGTGTCAAGTTCACTTTTGGGGCCAAAATCACAAAGCACTGGGAGGACGGAAACAAAGCTGGAGTATATCTGAACGACGAACTGCTCACCGCGGACGCAGTCATCGGAGCAGATGGAGTCTACAGCCGAACTCGTGAGTATGTGACAGGAGACGCTGACAAACCCAAGCGCAGCGGATTCGCCGTCTATCGCTCATGGTTTTCGCTCGATCGTCTCTTGGACGATCCGTTGACCCACGAGCTTGCGAGCTCAGGACAAGACCGCACTATGGTCTGGATTGGGCCGGATACCCATGCCATCCTTGTCATAAACTCCCAAGTGCGATACATGTCAGCATTCATCACTCACCGCGACACGTACACCGTGGAAGAGTCATGGAACTACCCAGGCACAGTCAAGGACATGTTGGCGACCATTGAGGGCTGGGACCCCGTTCTGCGAGCCGCAATCTCAAGGATACCAGAGGAAGTGATATGTGACTACAAGTTGCTGTGGAGAGACCCCGTGAAGAAGTGGGTCTCCGACAGAGGTCGTGTGGTTCTGGTTGGAGACGCTGCCCACCCTCATCTCCCAACCTCTGGATCGGGTGCTGCCCAAGCGATCGAAGACGGAGGTACCCTGGCTACCCTTGTTGAGAAGGCTGGCAAAGCAAATCTCCCGCTCGCATTGAAAGCATTTGAAAGGCTCCGGTAAGTTCTGGACCTAGCTGTACCTTCGAGATGATGAGGGGCTCACGAGAATCCGTCCACAGGTTTGAGAGATGCAGCTTGACACAACGTATGGGATGGGAGCTTCGGCACCGATGGCACCAGACGGACTGGGAACATGTCAAGAAGAACCCGGAATTTCTTCGACTCCCGCAGCCGGACTGGCTGTATGGAGCAGATGCGGAAGAGTATGGGCAGGCAAACTACGAGGCTGTGATGGCGCACCTTCTGGATGGAAAGCCTTTCCAGAACACTAACCTGCCACCAGGCCACACCCATCAAGACTGGACCATCGAGACCATGATGGAATTAGATAAGCAGATTGGAAACCAACGCATGTACCTGGTGCACTAGATTGAGCTTCAGAGGTAGCTACACGTATAGAGCATCACCCCAGGATGGGGAGCTGGGCGACTGCACATGTCTTGTGACAAAATGGCATTTATCAGATAATAATACACGCGATCTTCATCCTAAAAATTGTCCATCTATAACATAGGAAGTACTGGCAACAATATTACGCTGTCTGTTTTCTTGGAAAAGTGTCATGTTTCAAGAGATGCTCGCTCTACATCATTTCATACCCATTGGATTTTCTTCCGATCTTCTGCCTACTCTGCAAACGATGATCGAGTTCATATCTACCGTCCAAGTTCACAACGGCAAATCCGAGCTTACCGATGAATCTTAATCTGAATAATCCCAGCTCAGTGAAATTTTTTGAACCTTCCGTACCCGGGGTTTCGGACTCCGCAACCCGGGTCTAGTATGCGATGGGCCTGGCACCTTGATATTTTTTGGGCTAACCTTTTCAAACTTCGGGTCTCTCCACCTGTCTTGCCTCTATTGACTGGACAGTCAGTCCGGGGAAATGGGGTTATAATGGCAATACTGATTGGAGCAACTCTGGGCACCCCGGACTTTGTGTAAAGAGCCGTGCTTTGATTTCGGAGATTGGTTTGTCGTGGGGAGATCCAGATATAATGTATATGAAGCTAGGAGGCGAGCTTTCACAGGTTCCTGGACTCTTCAAGAAATAACACCCTAGTTGCATAGCAGAAACTCTTCCTTCGTCTCCATGTCCAGACGCCCATCTACTGAAATGACTGAGAAACCAATTAATGATCCTCCTAGTGCGGATGTGCAGGAGATCGAGGGCCCGGTAGACACCGAGCATGTTGCCCCTGAGGAGGGAGAATTCCACTTGTCTCAGCTGGATAGAGTGGTATGGCCTGTGTCGCTGGTCAGTGGAAGGCTGAGATGCTCTACTTTCACACCCTGGAATACTGACATGGAAACAAAAGGGTCTCCTGTTGGCCTGGACATCTCAGCAACAAATTCCGACTGTTGTCAATCCGATTCTTGGCCCCATCAATGCAGACGTCGGCCCGTCCGAGACTTTTACCTGGATGGCCTCTTCTTACAATATGGCGGTGGCCATTTCATGGACCTTTGTGGGTACGACTCCCCTTGCGCAACTGTCCCTGCTGCTGCCTCTTTGTGCGTGGATAAGAGGGTCATTAACAAAAGTCATCAGGCCCGCTGTCTGACGCGCTTGGGAGGCGATGGTTTTTCCTCGCTGGAGGGATGCTCGGCCTCGTTGGCGCCATCGTAGCTGGAACCGCAAAATCAGTCAATACCGTCATTGTTGGCATGACGTTTCTGGGTGTCGCAGCTGCCAGTCAACAGGTCTCGTCAGCTGCCACGGCGGAGATCTTCCCAACCAAGTGGAGAGGTTATGTTCAAGGTTCGTGAAACACTTCCTTGCAAAAGATCGTCGACCACTGCTGACCTCGACTCGATCCTAGCGGGTATTGAGGCACTTCCGTTCGCCTTCAACACCTTTGGCTCGCTCATCGGATACTCCATGGTGCGAAATGCTACATGGCGCTGGGGCTATTACGTCAATATCATTGTGACTGCTGCCTCTGTCCTGCTTCTCTTCTTTTTCTACCATCCTGTATGGCTTCCGCAGTCCAGAATTTCTGCGCTTGAAACTGATGACAGGAACAGCCGGTACCGCAGAAGGAGTTGTCTCGTTTTGAAATTCTCAAAACCATCGACTTTGTCGGCTGCGGGCTATTTATCGTGGGTTCCTTGCGAGACCATGCCTTCCAATCATCATGATCGCTGACAGAAACAGGCGGGACTTGGAGGGTTTCTGCTGGGGTTGACTTGGGCAGCCGGATCATATCCCTGGAAGTCGGCCCCGGTATTGGTTCCTATGCTCGCAGGTGTGGGTTTCCTGGGCTTATTTGGTCTTTGGGGTGAGCAAGATTTGATAAACGTGAGACTGTCCGCCGGACTGACTGAAATCTTCCACCAGAGGCCTATGGTTCATCCAATCCGCTGTTTCCAGGACGTTTATTCAACAGATCTACCGGGTTGGTCTTCCAAGCCCAGAAATGAATCCGCAGCTTCCTAATATTTTTTACCTCTATCATAGATTGCTCAACCTAACGATAGTCGTTTTTATGGGCTCTATTCCACTCTACGCCATGCTCAGTGGCTGGGCACAGGAAGTGACGATCCTTTTTACACAGGATCCTCTGAAGATCGGCATCTACGGCATCCCTCAAGGCGTGGGACTCGAATTTGGAGCAGTACTTGCAGGACTTCTTGTTAAAGCCGTTGGTCACATGAATATCCAGTTGACAGCTTCGGCATTTTTCACCACGCTGTTTGTCGCTCTCATGGCTGTTTTGACACCCTACAAAATCGATCCTGCCTTCGCTTTTCTCCTGCTGGGCTGTACGGCCATGAACTACCTCCAGGTTACTGCGATGATCATGGCCCAGCTTGGAGTAGAGCACCGTGATCTTGCAAAGGCCACGGGCATCTTGAGCATTGCTCGAAACGCCGGTGGTGCCATTGCCGGTAAGTCGACTGCTACAAGTATTTTAATCGTTCAGAGACTGACTGATTCCGTTTGTAGTCGCGATGTTCTACTCAATCCAGCGCTCGCGCGTCAACGCAGATCTCCCGGGACGCGTTACCGCGGCTGTGGTACCACTGGGGCTTCCAGAGTCTTCCCTATCACAGGTAATACAGGGTGTCGCTTCTTTCAATCAAACTTTGATCAGTGAAGCGCCCGGGGTGACACCAGATATTGTTGAAGCCGCCGTCCTTGCTGGAAAGCTGGCATACGCTTCTTCCTTCAGGTAAAGTTTATGGTGGCTCTGTGTGCTCTGAAGTTATTGTTAACATCTTCGTCAGAGTGATTTATTATGTTGGCCTAGGATTAGGTGTGATCTCAATTATCGCAGCATACTTCACGCGCGATATGCGATCCCGGATGACAAATAATCTCCAGGTTGATCTACATGAGAAGGATCACGCACGACTCTTCAAGCCGGCTAAAGTCGAGGGCGTGGTTGCTAATCAACATTGATACTTTCTCGTGATGAGATCAAACTTGACTCAACGCTACCTAGCCAGCGTAGTGCAATTGTACTGGGACGTCCGAGTTGTCTGACAAGGCCATTGCCATCACTTCATACTGATCTCTTTCCAACCCAAACGCTAAAAGCCATGATTTTATTTCTCCTGTCCTGTTTCAAAAGTCTCAATAGCGATGGGCTTCACACATCTCTAAGGACTCTGTAGCGCTGGTCTTCGGGGCACCGGTGGCTGGAATTTCATGGTTTCAAATCATGCTAATCTATTTCACGATCGTGTCAACCACCTGAGGTTTGTGTTAATGTAGGGGTGTCAGTTTCCTACCCACGACACTGAGCAACATGCGCGCACTACAGCGCTGTTCTCCCATATCGCAGGATCAACGTCGTGTAGCCCCTGCACGAACAGACAGGATACGTGTAGACTCTATGTGGCCACAGTGCTGTCTCAAAATCCGGTACTCTGCAAGTCCCCTAAAATGTCAAGTTTTGAAAAAGCACGGCAACATCCACGTCAGCGTCGATCCGGAAACCCGGAATTTCGGATCCCGGTTATCCACCCGAATTTCGATGAGATTGAACCCGGCAACTCTTTCAGCTCGTCCGTCAAATGCCGATAACGTAGGCATGTATTGCAATTCTTGGGTTTATCACTAGCCAAATGGAAACTTTGGGTAAGGGAGTCTTCACGCCAATCACTTGGTGCTCCAAGGCCTTAGAAATCGACAATGGGGACTTTTGGACGGAAATACGTTTGAAGATTCAGTAAGCATTTAAAGGAATGATATACTCCAGAGCCACCACCAATTAGACCCGTGGAGCCTTTCTCGAGCCGCCTCAGTCGTAATTGGTAGCAACGAGTATGATGGCGCAAGATACCCAATTCGCGTTGAACACAGGGGCGAAGATTCCTGCCCTTGGGTTTGGGACTTGTAGGTGCTTTGTGACATCACCAGAAGCGAAGCAACGGACTAATTGTGGACTACCAGGGCAAGATGAAGAAGCCCAATACGATGCTTGTCTTGAAGCGCTGAGGGTGGGATACCGGCACATTGATACAGCCAGAGTGTTTGTCTATCAGCTGAAGATCAGTTGTCGTCTCGTAATTTCATGTCTCGCTGACAAGAAATTCAGGTATGGAACCGAAGCAGCTGTGGGTAAAGCCATCCGCGACAGTGGTATCCCACGAGAGGAGCTCTTCGTGACTACAAAACTTTGGAATACCGATCATCACCCTGATGATGTTGAGGCCGCACTAGACGCCTCTCTGAAGGACCTGGGCTTGGACTATGTTGATCTCTTCCTATTGCATTGGCCCATTGCCTTTCAGCGAGGCCGTGCAAACCCCTTTCCAACCGATGACCAAGGCAAAATAGCTCTTGAAGAGATCGATTACGTTGATGTGTGTGAAACATTCATATCTCCCCACCAGCAACCTTCCCCCCACCAATGCCAGGTCTGACTACTAATCCCACGTCGCTGTCCAGACCTATAAGGCGATGGAAAAGTTGATCCCAACAGGCAAGACGAAAGCGATTGGGATCTCAAACTTCTCCTTGGCAGATCTCAATCGCCTTTTGGAGAGCACAGCCGTGGTTCCGGCCGTGCATCAAATGGAGCTTCATCCGTGGCTACAGCAGACATGGTTCCACGAGTATCACTCTGCAAAGGGTATTCATGTGACGCAGTACTCACCATTTGGGAACCAGAACGAACTGTACAGCAGGGGAAGAAGCACTACCTCTCCAATACAGAAGATGATGGACGATCCGGTACTGGTGGAAATAGCGAGGAAGTACGACAAGACCGGTGCCCAAGTTGCCTTGGCTTGGGGCCTTGCTCACGGTCGAAGTGTCTTGCCCAAGTCAAAGACACCTTCCAGAATCGCAACAAATCGACTGGGGGACTTTGCGCTGGAGGCCGGAGATGTTGCTATGATCGATAGCATTGACAAGAAGCTCAGATTCGGGGATCCTTCGAGCGTCTTTGGCACAAACCTTTTTGTTGACCTCGATGGCAAGATTTCCACTTGAAATTTAAAGCATTGACTACTTTAAGTATATCACTATTCAGCACGTTTATATCTGAATCAAGATCTTGCCGCTGTAGACCTCAACCAGGAACCCTTGGTCCCGTTGTTGGCCCTACACTGGCTCTTACCGATTAGCTTTAAGTCTAGGTGTCGAGAACGAGACACGCGTCATACGCGCATCCGCATACTTATGCTTTACCTTTACCACCATACAACTTGACCAATATAGATCATATTATGTTAAAGTAGCATCAATCAACAGCATCTTTTTTTTTTTTAGCAAGCCCCTGCCGACCATCAACGACGGCGATACTCCTTGATTCGCAGCGTGGATATTGACATAGGTAAGGCCATTCTCCCCTAGAATTCACAGATAGCCCTCCCCAACCCTCCCTATAAAGACAATTCCCCTGTGTGGCCCCAGGCCCATGGGTAGTTTTATTTGCTAAGAGTCCGGTAGATAACCGTTTCACGAATCGACCAACACACCTTCACATGGCAAGACTTTGATATCTCTACTCCGTACTCCGTACATTCAGGTACTACTGACGGGTTGGCCTTGGCGTATCCAGGGCTGAAAGAAAAGCAGGGATGGTCACGACCTACAACCGGTGAGAATCTCCACATATGATCATATCCCTTGCGTAGCTCGGTTGCTTCGCTGGAATGAGCCTTGATATACTGCGAGGGTTCGGCAAACTCTTCAGATTCAAAAAGTGGTTCCAGAAACGTTGCATCTCGTCCGCAAGTCCACATTCTTGCTCGAGTTCCAAAGCTCGTCACCGCGTACACAATAGGGAGCTCCTCGTGAGCAGCAAGATACTATGTAGGATATGCAATCACCGAAAGCCTGATATTCAACTTCTTGAAGGTCACTCATTGTCGCTTCTTTCCGCTTGAGCTCGTGGTGGCGGAGGAGCTCAAGGGTCGTGCCTCCCAAATATTGCACCTTGAGACCTCTCCTCTTCGGTGGCTCCAGTTCTGACAGCGCATCTTCCACAGCCACGAGCCAGTCCTTCCCCGCGAAGACATACTTGGTGCATTAATGGAGCCAGACGTTGACCGCAACATTTTCTCGTGATCCCTTTTGCTGCACCGGAGTCCAAAGATGGAGAAGAGGCTCGTCCGTCACGAGTGACATCTTCACCCAGCGGCAGCACTGTCAGCTCCGGCGTTATTCGCTTGAATCGAATATAATTCCAACCACCCCGCTGTTGATGAGCTCGGAGCAAGGCAAATCCCCGTGCCCCATCTCTCATTTAGCACACTTTGGCGTTCTTGCTTGTTAGCAGCCATCCCGCTGGGGACGAGCGGAATGCATCCCTTCATTTTTGGGGAGTGAGGGGGAGTGTGTGTTGTATATATGCGTGTACGTATATGGTTGATTGGTTATGCGGGATGCTGTGTGTAGCCTTGTACACGCTTCTCTGCAAGCCACCATCGAGCCCGTGATGAATCCAGGCTGATGGCAGGTAGATAGTACCTATGTCGGGCGGGAGCCATCGGGCTTCGGAGCCCATGGGGAACTTCAGTAGAACCTCCGCCTTTGAGGTATAATGGGGTTTCAAAAGACAGGTAAGCAGATATCAGTACGGGCACATCTGTTCTGAAAAACAGCCTCGCCCGGTTTAGCCGATTTGATTGGACAGCCTCTGATCACCAAAGGTATCCAAAGTCAGGGTGCTTGATCTGGTCAATACATACGCGTGTATTGTAATAACTGTAACTCGGAATCAGAAAGTCTATGTTGGAGTCTAGGTCAGGGACGCAGTGGAGACACCTCGGGTGCGGAGGGGATGTATACCCAGGGATCGACCCCTTCGTCCTGCATCTTTATACTGGCCCTAAACCATATTTGGAAAACGCTGCCGACCAACCACGAGCTCGGGTCGATATGCAGCTTGTCGAACTAATGCACGTGCGCAAACGTCTTCTGGCTATTATCGAACCTTCCCTCGACACACCGCAGCATGAACCCACGCGCAAAGACTCCAATGGCTTCTTCTCCCTGTACGGCGATGACAACCTGGCCAGCTTCATCATCAATCGTCCGCTCTCCGTTTCCCTGAAGCGACCGAGACCGAGCCGGCGCGTGATCCGCCAATGTCCTCCTCGGGTTCGCTGAAGAGGAGATTCGTGTCCAGTAATGGCTCTCGCCAGCTGCAACCGGAGGCTGTGTAGAGTCCTTGCCTGACATCTATCCCCCGATGCGCTCGCCCCGACTCGATCTCTTGGTGAAGTTTCTCTGAGAACAGGAATTGCCGGACCACCTTCTTCGTGTCCTCCCACTCTGATACGCCCATGCTCTCCGTGTGAGTTTGGTACTGACTCGCGAACCAGCCTTCTTCAGCTGCGCTGACAGGGTGGACCTTTTCAGCCAGTGTACCCACATACAGCGCCCACAGCCGGAGTCGCCGATGTTCAGCAACGGCGCCCTCGGAGTCACTTTCAACCAGCTTCTTGCGTAGGTCCGAAAGCAATTTGAGCCCGAAACGCACGGGCTCCGGTGCCCCAAGCACCATCGCCGCCATCAACCCCGTGGCGGCACAAGTGTAAGCCTGCGTCAGTGGTCGCAGAAACAGATGAGGGTATATCGCCAAATTGCAATCGTGATCCGCCAGTCGTGAAATGCAATCGAACTTGCGTAGTTGTTGCCATCGGAGGAGTTGATCGTCGCCCGGCACGTCGTGGATTTGAGTGTACTCATGCGCTTTGAAGAGCTCCCGCAAGTCAGTCACAACAGCTTTCATGACGGGATGCTCAATCAGCGGGTCGACACTCGCCGCGTGGTCTCCGAGGATCCCTGCCGCCAGCAGCCGTGCCTTCCATGGTTGACTCAGCGGCCCTGGAGTCCACTCCGAAGCCGGGAACAGCGGGCGCGTACCGTATTTCAGTGCGAAATAGCAGTCGCATGACAGAAGGTCTTCGCGGAACCAGGCGTCCATTAAAATGACGCCTCCGGCTGCGTTGACGAGATTGCGGAGCATTTTCAGATGCATGCGCGCAACCGATGTATTATCCACAAGAGTTTCCGATGAGAAGAGCTTCAAGATGGCCTTGAGCGTGATCAGGTCTTGAGGACCGGGTCGCGCCACTCGCTGCCTCAGCTCGGTCATGGCCTGTCCTTGGAAGTATCTCGAATGGTAAGTAAGAGTGTCATCCTCGGTCAGCGCTCCCATGGCGGCCGTCAGCAGACTCAAATATGCATTAGCATAGCAGGTGTCCTGATTTATCAGAATCATATCGTCCCAACTCCTGGCAATCTCGTATGAGTTTTGACTCTTTTCCGATTCTTTAGGCCAAGACTGTGGAATGAAGACTTCGTAAGCAAAACTGATGAGGCTGTTGACGAAGGGAGTCACGGGGAAAGCAGATGGGTCGAATGGGCTTGTGCTGGGATCTAGCGACCGATTGATCGAGTTGAGAATGGCCGCTGGGTCATCTTCAATTAAGCTTGACTGTGTGGAAGGGGTCGAAGTAGTCGATGTCTGTACTCCGCTGCTCCCGGACGCCTGAGCAGAGCCAATGCCAGGGTAGCCAAGTTGCAGCGGCTGCTCGACCATCCATGGGTCAAACCCAAAAGAAGTCGCTGACGGTACTGTTGGGGGCTGAGAGTCGCTTGTCAACCGAGCCCTCTTGTTAGGACTGTCAATTGAAACTCGACGTACAGACTGTCCTCGTGGACGAGATGGCTGTGGCTGCTGCCGCGGAGTAGGAATCGGGGGTGGCTGTTGTAAAGGAGGGGACAGAGGTCCCACGGGCACGTTGGCAGAAGCTCGCAGCTTCTTCGCCTGCTCCTGCTTCTTCCACCTCTCATAACGGTTCATGACATGCCACGACACGGCAGCATTGTGGTCTTTCGAGTCAATGTTGCCGGCATCCTTATTGACAAAGGAGAATTCCCCCTTGAATGGGGCTGGTTGACTCGATGATCGATTATCCTTCGACATGGAGTTTTTGTAACGGTGGTGGGCAATATCGTCCACCACGGAATGCTGGTACACGAGAGTAATGCTAGTAGCCATCTTGCCGGAAATGGCATCGGGATACTGTTTTGTATGATACAGGATGAAGGGTCGAGAAGACCGAAGGATGTTCTATAGTGATTGCAATATCCTTACCTGAGCATTTCGATTGCCATGGAAGCTATCGCACACCTAGAGCCCAAGGGCCTAGACGTGAGGCGCGGACGCATGGACGTTCCCCTAGGACTAAACCGTATTTTGAAGGGCATCTTTGCAATCCCATTGGAGGTTGGCTGGGAATGGAAAAGTTGTCAACGCATGATTTGACTTGAGAGACAGCTCAATGCATCCCACTCGGGAGAGCCGCAGTCCAGACACCAGTCGAGAGCCGAGCATTAACTCCCAGGCAGATAAGCGCACACACATTGATTCACGATCCTGCTTGCACAGCTCCAAGGCCAGTGGTTGAGTAATGACACAAGCATTGCTGCTCCATGGTGTCTTTGGGCCATGGAAATTGAAATCCAGACCGAGACTCCGTGGTTGGGTGCGCGGAAAACACGAGCGCATTTGCGGCGGATACGAGGTTGTGAGGGCCGGCGAGCAGCCAAGGAGGAGCTGATGCTTAGGTCAGAAAGTCGTCATTCCCTCGATAATCGCTCGAAGAGCAGAGACGCGGGCCTCCCCAATAAGTGCTAACCACCTACCTAGATAGGCATAGATTTGAGTGAGTAAACTTTTTGTGGTGAGCATGGCTCAGAATTAGCTAAGCCAGAGCCCACGGTTTGCCAGGAGCACGAGGAGGGAGGATGACTGACCAACCTGCCCAGTCCTTCCTGAAACCCGATTGCTTTCTAATTCGGTGTGCACTCAAATTTCTCGCCGAGTCGCTTCGCCTGAAAGAACTTAGTCATTGCATCCTGTCCACGACTCCGTGATTAATGGTCGCAATTGCCGACTCGCGACCTCTGCCCGCGCTTGTGCCCTGACGATTGTGGCCTGTCCGCTTCTTGCCAAATCAGCTCTCCAGATATACTGTGTAAGCCAATCGGCGGCAGGAAGCAAAGTTGTCTTCTTTCGCTGAAGGAAGATGCGACTTCGAAGAGGTCGAGGCGCTCGGCTACCAGTTCAGGATAATGCCTCCCTCTTGGGGCGTTGAGATGACATAACCAGAGCTTCGTCCATGTGGCACCTACCTGGAGCGGCTACAACTGTCTGTTTTCCATCCTAGGGAAGCAGGGTGTGCTTTGGCCAGTCTCTGCTATGCCAATTGGTCGAGCAACAAAGGTCGAAGTGCAAATTTCTGGTCACCAGCCAGTAATGGCGCAGATTGACAAGCGGAGCACGAGGCAAGGGGGAACTCCTCTAGCTGGCCATGTCACCGCCTCAGCATGTCCCAAAATAGTGGCTTCAAGTCGACGAGAAGTTGCAACGGCCCAACAGTCTAGATGATGGCGCCGCGTGTGGCGTCTTGACTCCGGCCAGTGATCGCATGTCATCGGGGCAATGAGCCCAACAAGCCGAGTTGCAAAGATGATCGTTGAGGTTTGAAGTCTCCTGATCAGGTTGAAATGTTTCTCGCCCAAACAGACGATACATATTGCCATGGCATAGGAGAAAAACGCGAGACTATATGTGGGAGAAAGCTACATGTTCGACTGTTGGCATAGAGGTGTGCGATTGTTTGAAAGCTCACAAACCTGAGCATGTGGAGATACCAAACCTCAGCGCAGATAGGAACTGCTGGGTCTATATAGCCCGTGTGGCTATCAAGCGAGAGCCTGTGGTCCGGACGACTTCGTAATGGAAAAGCTGCAGAATAAGCAAGAGAATTTGTAGACCGCTAGGAACTATTGTCGGAGTAACCAAACTGGGCCGCTGATGAAGTGAATTTGTCAGACGCTCACAGGGTAGCAAACCAAAGCTGAGTTGAGCAGTCGTGGCAACGACCTGGCCGGACCAGGCGCCTAAGAAGGCGGGAGGATGAAGCTCCTGGCGAGCACCATAGAGCCACTTCCGACACGAGTTTTCTGCTAGCTTGTTCACGGTCCTGAACATCGGTCGGGTAGGTTCGACCTGAGGAGATGTGTTGTGCGTCATCCAGCTGGTGCTGTACTCTGCGCGCGCTCTGACAATTGGCCTCCCTGGGCGCTAAATTGAAGGTGGCAACGATATCACGCAGCTTCCTCCAGCTTATGAATCGTTGACATGGCTCTCAGGAGGGCGCACCCAATATGCTATGGCTCGGATAGCTATTATGCAACACGGCACCGCTTCCTGCAGGCCAAGATGCTCAATGAGTTGCTCGGTCCCTGTGGGCTTAGCACAACCTGGGTACATGCCACCACATCACGGTACGCGCCTTTCGCGTGTCGTCTTCTAACGGCCCCCCTTCCCAGTGTATCAGTGTATCGCCACCAGTGGAAGCCATTCACGCGCTGCTTGGTAAATGCAATCGTCGTTGACGAATGCATCCTGCTCGCAGTAGCAAGCTTTGACGCAGTTTCTGACAAAGGTCTTGAGCGTAGGGTTCGGGAAGCAGGAAATGCATCGAGACAGACGAACCTGTATGCACGACCATAAGAAAACGCAAGCCAACAAGCCTTTGCTGCCACGGTCGGTAGCGTCAAGGTAAAGCTCCTAGTGCGGGTCGTGTGTTTCTTTGATTGAATCGGCGCTGAAGACCTCCTCATGCTCATAGTATGCCCGTGGTCAAAGGGGGTCGCATAGCCCGTATCTGCCAGGGCTGTAAGTTCGCAGGTCACGCTTCATCGGACTCACCATGCTGTAGCAACAAGGAGATTGACAGCACGACAATGGTGATTCTGCCGGCGCAACAAGTGACCGGCGGCAATTTTCTCACACCCTCCATGGCCCAGATCTGCTTCCAGGCACCGACCTCCGAGGTTGAGACACGCCAGGGGTTGAAATCCTGACGCGTGCCTACCCGGTACGAGGTATGCCCTGTGTCACAGACACCTTGCACGAACGTGGCATGGACTGGTCGTACCCCTGACACGTGCACGTGCGGTGCTAGAGCATGGTCGGCGGGTCGGCGACGGCAAGCGTTCTTTTCGTGAAATACGGAAGGCTAACTCAAAAGAGCTGTTGGTGAAATGTCGTGCAGTAACCAGTAAGACGGCTGTCATCTCCGCGGTGGCTGCGGCAGGCTTTCGCCCGGGGTTGTCGATCTCGATTCTCGAGGCCGGAGTGTGCTATAATTGGTTGCGGTCCCCTGCACCTCATATGCCCAGACGATCTCATTTTCGTTGAGTACTTGGTACACTCGTATGAATGGGGGGATACTTTGAAAGCAAATCGCCGCAACACGACCAGCCAACCTCATCGCCGACAGCATCCACCGAACCTACTACCTTGCTATCTTTGTGCTGTCACAAGTGACCAGAAAGCGACATAAATTCAAAGAACAAAATATCGGGGAGATGAAATCTCTTCATCCGCTCAGTAGCTGCTCTCCTAAGAGACCTTCGAACGTGCTTTGGTCCTTCTTCCGGGATCGGTGGTTGCAAACATTGCCTCCTACAAACAGGAGATCTGCGAGTACTGGGGACAGTTGGAGCCTAGAAGGAGAGTACGTACTGCGTAGAAATCCGAAATTGCGTCAATGAATCTGCTGGGGCGCCAGACCGGGCAAGGGACAACGCGAGATGTGATATTTCGTATCACACCGACCATCACGCGATAGACAACTCAAGTCTTTGCCTGGCCTCAATCTTCCATTGAGTATCAATAACCCAGTTATCGTGTATTATGTACTGCGTAGCTCGTTCATCAGTGCTCATATTTGAGTGAAATTGGGCATATTTGCACAAGGTCGGCGGAATGTTCGGCGTCCCAGTTGAAGCGAGCGGCCCTCTCGTGGAAAGTGGATCTTGCGGCGTGGTCGTGTGATAAGATTGTCACGGCGTCATGGAGACGACGGCTGACCGGCCAAGGTGGAGGGGCGCTGTCACTGGAACTAGCAGACGCTGTGTGACCATGATGCCGCGAAAAGCATCGTTGACAGGTCCATGAACCTAGTGAGGGCCTCAATTCTGGGTGCTCAGGAGACAGTAAACTTTGAAATGCAGGACTCATTTTTACACGCCCAGCGCATTTCTTGTTACGAGGTACTAAGATAGTGAGTCTTGTTGAGTACACAGTAAGAGTTGGGTGAGAGCCGGGTAAGGGCGAGGCAAACCGGCTACTTCCGGAATGGGCGCGCTAAGATATGCGCAGGGCCGCTGATCTCAAACAATCGCGGCGGCGATCGCAGGCGCAAATTTTCATCGTCGGGCTCGAAGCATGTGAAGATTTCTGAGGGTGGGGCAAGGTTCAATGGCTTACAGTTTGCGCCTTTCAACACAGCCTCTGAACTGCCACTTGACAACGCACATTTTCGACCCAGTCTCCTCTACAGCCAATGCATCAGTCACCGTCTCACAGTGTGCCGCATCTCTCCACTGACGTAGCTAGAGCGGCACGCTTGAAGTTTCGATGGTTGACTCTAGTCAGAGCGGGCTGGAGCGGTAGGATTCGTTGGCTTTTTGGCCTTCTGCTAGCTTCCGTGCTTGTATCTAGGCGCGGCGTTTCATTCGCCTTTAACCCATGCCGCCAACCGGTTTCAGCATGGCACGCGTGGGCCCGTTGAGCCCTGGCATGAACTTCTGCATCTTCTCCACACTTTGTTGGCGCTCATCACTTTCGTGACCGAGAAACGGCACGCTCACAACTCCGTCAACTCGTCCACGTTGCGAAACCTGGGGCCGAGCACGGAGACTCAATAGTGCGGGAGCGACCAGAGCAGGGTCTGCATCTAATGTTATCGTCCGAAGCATGACCAGAAATTCTCGGGGAATGGCGGTTAAGGGCACTTGAGCTGTCACCAGCTCCTTCCTTTCAGCTGAAAAGCCACGGCGACACGCAGATCTCAACCTCGCTCTATTGGGAAATTCGATTCCGCACCAAGCAGGTCGAGGCTGCGTCAAGGCTGCCCAAAGTTGTTGTCGCTCGTATTGCTGCGAGGCCTGGAATCGATGTGGCGACTGCGGGTGTCCCAAAGCGTGGCCTGACGATAAGCAGCAGCAGTCCAACTCGCCAAGTATCGTGATTGACCAGTTGGTTGCAAAGTACGCTGCAGGCTGCACGAACTGTGCTCGCAGCGCCCCGATGATGGAAATGCACACTGTGTCTCCGGCATTGTACAGGAGACTCGTACTGTCGGGCAGAAAACCAGCCCGAGATGCCGCCTGAGACATTTTCCTCCCCATCCTGGTCATGATGATCTATCGTGCTGCCGGAGAATGGTGTTCTTACAAAGACAGCAGACTGCAGGTTCGTGTCTTTGCAGAACAAAATTGTCTGTCGCCGGGACCGTTGGACCCTTTGATTGCACTGGATCCAAGCGAGTGGCTCGCTGGTGTTATGCAAGTCAGAGTCATCTTGGGTGCTGAGGGGTAGGTGCTAGCATGGGTTCAGAAACTGTACTGTGTAGAGTGTAGCCGGCCTCTGACCGTTTGAAGCCCTGTCGAAATGCATGCTGTGGAACTCAGAGAGACAACCGTGCGAACAATCGACAGTGCTCTACTGCATCGTATGCTCTCTTTCTTCCTGCTGCTGTTCACATACTTGATGGGAAAAGAGAGCGGCCCGCAGGCAGTTTTGCCATGGGTCTGTCGGCAAAGGTTTAGCTTCAAGGCTTCAGCCACCAGCTCCATAAGACACGCTTCGGGCGGGGGGCCGCCAGCTGGATTAGGCACTAGGACACCAAGGGAGGCCCAGTGGAGGCCCAGTGGAGGCCCAGTGGAGGCCCAGTGAACGCCGCCTGGGCGACATTTCCGGCCGCCAGCAGTTACCGTCGCTAAGCATGATGGACACACCAGACACGATAATTCCACCAACAGACGTAGCCCACTGAGCCCGCTGCACCCCTCGTCATCTTCTGCGCTCCTCCTCACATCCTCTTCGTCGCTGGTCTTTGCGCCCCAACTCCATCTGCAGTCCACCATCCACCCTGCAACCATCCTCGCCATCCAACAGAGTCGACTGACTGATTGACTGACTGACGATCTACGGCCACTTCGTGGCAGCCCACCCTCTCTTTCCTCCTTCATCCCACCTTTCTTGTTGTACATATCTTTTCCATCTGAGTTTCGAACGCTTCAGCGGATTGCTTTGAGCATTTTGGGTCCGCCATACATTGTCTTCGCTGAGCGGTCCTCGAGGCCGTTGATACGCCAACAAGAACAAATTGCGCCCTCACTCCTCCCTCACTCCTCACTCCTCGTACCAACTGATTCTCGTCTATACCGATAACATTGTCGCTGTGGTATGCACAGCTGTAACCTTGGTTGCACCATCAGGCTGTCAGATACATCGTCTCGCCCACATCTGGTGAGGGCACGAGCAACACTACCCGTTTGGGACTTTGGGACAGACCGGTCGCCCAGGCGCATACGTGCAGTTCCTAGTATTCTTGGGGATATACAAGAGCTCAGATGGCTGGGGTGAACAGTTGGCAAAGGGTTGTCATTTGAGTCGGAGGTGCTGAGGATCCAGTCCAGACTTGGGGATATTGATCACGGTCTCCTTTGTCAAGCGCCCTACCCGAGACGAACGTACCCACGGGAACGAAGTAAATGATGTCGGACAATGTCGCTATAACGTGGGCGCCAGAGCCGCGACTGTCGGACGGCATGAATGCTGCTGAGGACATGAACAGGTCTGGGGAATATGGTGGGACTGGCCTCGACGACAATCAAACAGATCTCTCCCAGAGTGTTGGCACAGCGACAAACACGCAGAGAAACACTCCTATCGCCCTCTCCGCTCAAGAGCGAGCTGACTTAGTGGAGGATGATGAGTTCGACGTCGATGCGGCCCTACCGTGGTCGACGGGGTCGCCGGGACTTACCCCGTCCGCAACCCAACAGTCCTATTCTTCGTCGAACCACAATTCCTTCAGTTCGCTAAACAGCCTTACGGGGCGTGACAGCGATTTCGGTTATCAAATGGGGAGTCCAACCAACAACCGCACCCTCACAACCAGACACTCACGAAGTCTAAATCGCGGCCATCGTTCACCTCACTCAAAATCTTTCTCGACTTCTTCCGCAACCACAAAGAGTGTCAATAACGAACGTCCGACTTATCCTGCTCAGTCAATCGAGGAACTGAGAGGGCACCTTCATGCCCCGAGGCCCACACGGCCACTACGGACGAAAAGCTCGCTTCCTGCCCAGAACCTCCTGTACAACGAGATGTCCCTCTGGACCCAACAGACTCGAGATCGAAATTCTGGCAACGTTCACGGCACTCGGACTGCAGACAACACACCCATGTCCAGCCCAGGTCTCCGGTCAGACGATCGAGCTTCCTCTGGCGCATCCCTTAATGACCTAGATAGGGAGCCTCATCGCCTACCACCACAGACAATCAATACTGTCACTGTCGGTCACGACATGTACTCGGGCAACAAAATCATCAATGACTATGAGGTCATCGAGGAGATAGGTCGCGGCGAACATGGCAAGGTCAAGCTTGGGCGCGATCTCAGGAAGGAAACAGTCGTCGCTATCAAGATCGTACCGCGCTTTTCAGGCAAACGACGCCTCGGCCGATTAGGAACTCCAGAAGATCGGACGAAGCGAGAAGTCGCCATACTCAAGAAAGCAAGACACCCGAATGTCGTGAGTCTTCTCGAGGTCATCGATGACCCCAACAAGAACAAGGTCTATCTCGTCCTAGAATATGTTGAGAAAGGCGAGATCAAGTGGAGAAAGCCAGGCGTGCGTGAGGTTACGGCTGTTAACAACAACCGGTTCCAGCAGGAGCGCAGAGGCTTTGCAGTTTCACTCGAACCCACCGACCAAGATCTCTTCAGCGTTGCCCAGGCAAAACGCCGCCATGAAAACGCACTACGAGCGCAAGCTTTCCGAGCTCTGACCTCGCACCGGCCAACACATCCAGAACATTGGGGTGAAGATGTAGAGGAGGAGGAGGACCTTCGCGGCATATCTCGTTCTGCGTCCAGATCATTGTACGAGCCTAGCAACATTAGCGGAACACACTCTGAATATGAACCCCTTGAGGGTTCTTTGGCAGGAAGCATGTATGGTGCGTACGCACCAGAAGATTACACGTTCACTCGGAAGTTCAGCGTCGCGGGCAGCCTGAGCGCCATCTCACACGTGTCCTCAGAGTGGGATTTCGACGCCACAGACGACGAGCACGCATATGTCCCGGCCTTGACACTGGAGGAGGCTCGGCGTGCCTTCAGAGACACCCTCTCAGGTCTTCAGTTCCTGCACTTTATTGGTATCATCCACCGCGACATCAAGCCAGCCAATCTCTTGGTATCAAGCAACGGTACAGTGAAAATATCGGACTTCGGAGTTTCATACCTTGGCCACCCGAAGGATCCTGAGACAGATCCGGAATTCGATCTCACAGAGCACGATGTGTCGGCGATAGACGACGAGAGAGAACTGGCGAGATCAGTTGGCACTCCCGGTTTTTGGGCTCCTGAACTGTGCTGGGAGGATTCCTCCATGTTCGAAGAGAAGGACGGGCCGAAAATCACCGGTGCCATCGATCTCTGGGCGCTGGGAGTCACACTATACTGCATGGTGTACGCTCGCCTGCCATTTTATGCAACTGAAGACATGGGACTCCACGAGGCGATTTGCACGACCGAGGTCTTTTTGCCAAAGACCCGACTTGTCCCCGTGGACACTAGTCAAGAGAAGCCTACTTCCCAGGTTCCGAATTCGATCAACAGCAACAAGCGGCTTGATTACGAGCTCAAGTTTGAGGCAGTCCCTGATACCGTGCGTGACCTTGTCCGTCAGCTTTTGATCAAAGAACCGACAAAGAGAATGACTATTGAGCAAGCAAAGAAGCACCCATGGGTTGTGGAGGGCCTGCAGGACCCATCACAATGGATCAAGAGTCCTGAGCTGGGGAAAGAAGGCAAGAAGAAAATCCTGGATGTGGATGAATCGGAATTATCGGGTGCAGTGAGCAGAATGAACATCATTGAGAAGGCTCTCAGTACAGTCGGTCGAGGTATAGGGAGCTTGCTCGCAAGAAGCACTGGGCGGAAACGTGCTCCCAGTGGTGCAACATCTACCAGTCGCTCGAGCGAGTCGTTTCATTCCCCGTCAGCCTCCAGTGCCAGTACAGTGGGCAAGAGCGAGCGAGAGAAACTCCGCGAAGCACGCCGCTCAAGTTTGCGCGGTGACGAACTTCTAACGGCCTTGAAGACTTCAAGAGAGAACACCGAACACCCGTTGGCACAAAGTCAGACTGCTAGCCCGGACGACTCTGCACATGATCAGTATTTTAGTGGACATTTGCCCGCTGGAACAGTTGCATCGCCAATCTCCAGTGCTTCAGCGAGACACGAAACAAGACCTCCCGCACCGGATCGCTCGGTCTCGACCATGTCCAATGCGGAATCGATCCGAACGATTAGAGCGTCGCATTTCAACCGACTCCACGTCCCTTTTCCCGAGACACCGCGAGACGAACGTCCGGCTTCGCAAGACAGAGGCTTCAGAGCCAGAGTTGATGGTCTTTGGGAAGGTACAGCAAAGACGCTTGCACGGCTCGGAAGCAGAGATCGACGTGCACCGCGAGATGAACGTTCACCGGCTTCAAGTCGCCATTCGTCAGAAAGTGACGCGTACGCAGGACCTAGCGTCGCTGTAAGCACAGCCTCAGCCGAGGGTTCTATCGAGCCGCCAGACGTGTTGCGAACTGAAATACCTATGACCGACAATACCTCTCCTGTACCACTGCATCTCCCTATTCATGGCAACAATAAGACTTCATTCCAACCACCAGCATCTACCCCTGAGGCATTCGAGCACGCCCAAGAAGTCAACCAGCGCCGCCTTCTTCAGGAAGCTGAAGCCCAAGCAGCAGCTGCCGCGCAAGCTGCTTTGCAACCTCCAGCCCAGGTGACGGCTCAGTGTCCCCCTTCGCCCGATGACATTACCTTTCTCGAGAAGCATCACGCACGAGCCATGAATGAACCGACAGGGTTCTCACTCGGCTCTAATACCATCCATGGCGGTCCGTCTGCCAGCACTATCGCCTCTTCACTTGATGGTTATGGAACGAGCAGCGTCTCGCAGAGCTTGTCAAATCCCAGCATTGGAATCATTTCCGGTGCTTCTTCTCCACCTGGCGAGGGCTTCTTCAGCTATTCCGACGCTCCTGCGAAGGCAGTCGTCACGAAGGAGCCCGAGCCCGAGTTTATGCGCACAGCGGATACGGTGATCAAGCATGGGAAGTCGGCGCAGGTGGCGACAGCACCCGCCCTCGAACATCGCGGGTACGATGACGACGAGGATGAGGATGACTCTGACGACGGAATGATGATGCCAGCTTCGTGCAAGAAGCCGCTGTAAATTCACAATTTCTCATGGCTTGTTTTTGCGCTTCGGGAACGGCACCGGCGCCACGTTACAGATACCCTGGCTTTTTAGAACGACATGTTTGGGCACGCTGGGACTGATGAAAAATGGAACGGACGGCATTTGCATACGGGGTACATTGAAGGAACAGGAAAGGAACAAGGCATCAAAAGCAGGGAGGATATTGTGCTTGTGTGCTGAGCTAGCTAGCAGCAGGGAATCCAGGCCATGAATGTACACGATGTACATCAATAAAAGTGCCTTTCAACTCTCACGCTGACTGCCAAAGTGAGTCCATGGCCACCCGTGCTTGCTCTCATTCTACTCCTGAGTGCTGTTAGCTGCTTGATCTGACGAGATGTCAAGACGAGGGTTCCATCGCGAGGTGTCATTCTGTCATTATGTGAACCTCTTGGAGTCATTGTGATCACACGAGACGGAAGTATCATATGCGTGCACGTGTCAGGCACCTTCGACTTGGACGCCACTTCCTTGCCAACACTCCGCACACGCCTGTCTTCCTTGTTGGCGTTCGAAACAGAATAGCACTGATCTGGCTTCTAGGTACGTACCACAGCAGTATCTTCACTCTGATCCAAGGTCCGTGCTTCCGTTCTTCTGCTGGAGACAGGACAACAAGCGTTTGTTGCATTTCACTACAACACACATTTTGTTATCACAGTCCTTGATTGCAAGTAGAGAGTCCAGCAACGACTTCGCTGTCTCAATACCCCACTGGCCTCATCTTAGGTTTAGCCACTAGTCAAGAACCTTTGTTGTGCGAACCGGTCTGTAATCTTCCACGACCTGTGCCTGCTCGTGTCGTGACAGAAGCTGGAAGCAGCAAACGTCGATGGCTGGGTATCTAGAGTATGCGAAGAGTACACTCAAGCTCCGAAATCCTTTCACATGGGCCCCTGTCAAACCCAGGGACTTGCCTCAGAGAGTCGACGACCCAGAAACCCACCGGAATCCGTTCTTGGACCTGCCAAATGAGCTGATCCTCGCGATCACCGACTTCCTCGAAACAAAATTCCGACTCTCACTTCGCATCTCCTGCCGGCGATTCCGTGTCCTCAACGACCGCCTCGATATGTCGCAGTGCGACAACGATACGAAGTCATGATTCTTCAGGCGTCTCGAACCCGACTATCTGGCACATCTCCCGTGCCAGACGTGCTGTTTCATGTTCAAATGGGAACCGCGGGAATTTTCGGGCTGCCGCTATCCTCGGATTAGACAACACACCTCTATAGACATCTGGACGTCGTACGCTTAGGGCAGACAAGGAGGTCGGAACATCTGCGTGACCCGCGACGTTGTCGACTTCATCCTCCGTGCCGACGAGAAAGGTCCGCAATACGGCCTTCCCTCCCTTACATGAGAACGAGTGGGTATGACCATCGCGGCATCTTCCGTGGAAACGAGGCCCGCTTGATCGGAGGAGAACTTGTCCTTGCTAGTCGATGGAGGTGAACGCGGAGTCAAAAGAGGATAAGGAACCAAGGCTCGACCCTTCCACGCTGCGCTGTGCTTGCACCATGGATTTAACGTGTATCGGGAGAAAATTTGGCAGAATATAGAGGTGGCTGTCGGGGGTGAGAGAAGTTGGGAACTGCCGCTGCTGTTCAAGTGTCCGTTCTGCGAAACCGACTACGAACTCCAAGTTCAAAATAACACAGACGATGGAGTGAGAATCATACTGACGGTCTGGCGGAACTATGGGCGCCGGTAGGGAAAAGGCTAGGAAACGAGCAAATGTTTCATCGAGAAGCCGACATTTCCTCGCGCATCGACCCCGAAGAAGTCTCGCCGAGGGATCTGCGTTTGGTGTTTGGGCCTTGTGAGTAGGCCACTGACAGTGTTAGACAGCATGATCATGCTCCGAAGCCGTAATGAGAGTAACGAATATCATGTACAAGCCACCCCGTTCTCAGGCGCACATCAACCAGACGACCTGGAGAGCGCGCAGCGGCGAGACCGTCAGCCAACAGTTGATGTGCATATGGATTAGTAAGCGCACCATGGACACGCACGTGACAGCATCTACAGTAGAGCGGCGGCTGTGCTGGCTACAGCATTGTTCAAATTACAGTGGAGAAGTCGAAGGCATTTTGCTAATGTCTCGACAATTACCACAGCTACGGCTACACACAACCTCATTAGCCTATCTAGCTGGACTGCGGCGACGTACCTCTCTCGCTCCGCCTGACGCCGTACATGTTCTAGCTTTCGTTACAAGCACCATGCCGCGATAGCATTTCTCACACCAATTGTCCTTTCCACAACCAACTCATCCCCTTCGACAGCCGTCGTCCTCCACCCTCATCCGCCGTCGAGATGCAGCGCGTCCTACGAATCAACCTGCAATCGCGCAACCAAGCATTGAAAGCCGCCCGTCGGAGAAACCGTGACGAGTACCTGAAAGATTGGAAGGATTTCGAGTCGCGGCAGATCATCACGCAGAAGCAAAAGAATGAGTATATCAAGGCGGAGCGCAAATCTCGGAGGGAAGATTGGATGCTCGGACCGCTCGCGCCGAAGAGGGACGTCGGCACGAAGCAAAACTTCTACGGCACCGTCAGCAACCTGCTGTATGCGGGCCCGGTATTCCCGCCCAGGGTGCGACGCGGGCCAAAGGGCAAGGGATGGGACTTTGTCGGTGGGGAGGGCCGACCCGAGGAGCAGAAAGAGTGGGAGGGGTACGGGAATGAAGGGAACATCGTCGAGGGGGATCGCGTGGTCGTGGTGAAAGGGCCGACCAGCCTGGTCGGGCAGATTGGGAAGGTCAAGGAGGTGGCCAGCGATACCAAGGAAGTGAGGATCGAGGGGTTGAATATGGTGAGTCTACTTGTCCACTTTCCATCCCGGTGCGCAACAAGGCCCTTGTCTCTAATTCCGATCGACAGGCCGACGTCGAAATCCCAGAGAACTTCCCCGATCAGCGGCAGAAAGTGCACTACACGTCGCTCGAGCTCCCCGTGCCCATTGCCGATGTGCGACTCGTGCACCGCCTCACCGACGAACGCACGGGGAAAGACCGTGACGTGGTCGTCAAGCTCCTCCGCGGCGGCGCGCCGTATATTCAACAACCGCCCAATTCCCCGCTGCCGCGGCACACGCGGTACATTGCCGGCGAGGACATTGAGATTCCCTGGCCAAAGCTTGAGGTGCCTTCGTACCAGTCCTACGAAGGGGACACGACGCGCTATGACGTGGAATCCCAGACATGGACACCGACGCTCTACGCACCGCCCGTCCCGCCTGCGGCGTTTGATAATTTGATCGAGGACGAAAAGTACAAGCGGGATAGGCTGTGGCACGACGACGAGTACGTGCGCATGAAGGTGCTCGAGGACGCACGAGCGGAGTGGTACATGGAGCGGAAGATCCAGGGCCCGCTGGACACCTTGGTCGCGGAGAAGATCCGGCAGGCGAGCCAGAGGACGGAGGCCATCAAGGCCGCGGGCATGAGTGAGGAGACCAAGGCGCATATCGCAGAGCAGATGAGCCGTGGTGTGGCCGAGGGCATACTGCAGGCCCAAGTCAAGTCGGTGCCACGGAGGAAGAAAGTAGAGGCAGCCGCATGAGACGGGACGTTGGCCTTGCCATACACGCCAGCATGACTTGGGTTGTACAAGGATAGGATGGCCCCCTCCAGGCGAGCATTTTTGACTGTACAGTATCTGGGAAGCGGAGTTGACAGAAGCACTTAGCGGGCTGGATATGAAGTGCATGCGCTGTATTTAAGAAAACAACTAGACGTTTCCCAAATTCGTGTGGAAAGAGCACCAGGGAAAAAGTAAGGGGAAATCTCGTCGTTTTCGACAGAAAACTCATTTCTTGGATGTGATGCGCTTCGTCTCTGCTCTGTAGCGCGTGTACATGTGCACAATCCATCCGAACGTTCTCTCCACTCAAGCAACAGATATGAAGCGTCCAGTGCTTAAGCAGCATCTTCTCACTGAAGTAGCTTCCGACGGAAGCAGCGCGCGTGTCCTCATGAAGGGCACACGTCGTTCTCTTCGAAGAGGTTCAGATGGATCTTCTTACTTTGCTTCCTTTTATCGTTCAGACCCCTGCACAGGAGCTCCAACCGCTGGATGATTCTCGTTTCCCCTGCACTTTCTGAAGATCCTGTGCGCTCGCTAAAGTCTGCTGAGTCTCACCGGACGTCAAGCCAGCGACCCCGTACTCGTCCCACAGACGGTCTATATCAAGCTCGACCAACTAAGTCACCAGACTGCCTACATATTCGACTCTCCCTGTTCCTGGCGTTTCCTTCTCGACGAGTTGCGGCCATTGCACTAGGAAGCGGTCCACCAGGGGCTTGAGCAGTCGGCCACTGAGAGAGAGGGTTCTAACCCGCGCCCAGGACTCGATGTAGATGCTCCGCATTTGACCAGACCTGGCTGATGCATTCCCATCGCCGGTATCGTGCTTCATTACTTTCTTCGACCGTGGCAAGGCAGCCGACGGACCTGCGATGCCGAAGAAGAGGAGAATGATCGATGCGAGGATCACGATGACGCCGGTCCCAGGGCCGTTGGTGAGGATGAGATCCGGGGTCGATGGCCTGGAGAAGTGCGCGCAGAAATCGGGGTGCGTTCCTCGGAGTACTTTGACACAGTCCCACAGGCAGCGAAGACTTGAAAACGGAGTGGTCAGGAGATTTTGGTGGACGCGTCTCGCGCGATGGACTGTGACGATGTCGTATCCCGTTGGCCCTGCCGAAAGTGCCGGATTGGCATCCCCACTCGGGTCCGCTTCCTTCGACTTTGAGAACATGTCAATCTCAAATTCGCGTGCCTTTGACGCCGAGAAGTCATCACCCGAACTGACGACGTAGGTTCTTTGTGGCCAGTCGTGCTGTAGTCTGCGGTATTGGCCGAGGATATTGAGCATTTCGGCCGTGTGCCCGCCCGAGCCCAGCACAATTAGTAGATGGGGTGGGTTGTCGGAGGAAGACCGTGTGCGGCGATATATCGGATCCCGATTAAGCACTGTCGCCAGACGGAAGAAACAGAAGTTGATCAGGATCAAGGTGAAGACCAGGACAAAGAGGAGAAGCCTGCTCATCGGTGACAGCGAGGTGATTGGCGTCAGGATGGTGGTCCATGTCGGCGGGACTGTAGAGAGCAAGGGTGCTTCCGGGTCGTCCATTGCGATTTAGTGGCCACTCTATCCATAACAGCCAACAGCAACCGAGGTGGCGTGCGAGGAGGCTAACATTAATTAGTTGGTGAACATGACAACGGGACGCGGCAAGGCTGAAAGAAAAGGATGTGAGGGTTCAGTGAGACAAGGCTGAAGCATGGCATCATTGAACATGTGCTCCTCCGTAGCACAAAGACCGGCGTATCTCCGCAACCAAAAGCACCTGAAAGCGGTACATTGTTGATGTCGCCTGGACTCGGGAAGACAAAGACACTGTCACTGTCACGGAACAGCTCGCTGCTGCCGCGCAAGACAGTTCTTCTAGTGTCGCAAGACCAGCTGCCTCTCCTCCCAATCATGCAACCGACACCATGCCGGTTACACTCCGCCAGCGCCTCGACTGCCACTATTGCGGCAGGCGATCAAAACAGACGCCGGGCAAGAAACGTGGCGGCAGATTTCAGTGCGAGCACTGTCTGGCCGTCAACTTCTTCGACGAGGTACGTGCCTATCCATTCTATGCGTACGTCCTCGAAATTGACCATACAGAACGGAGAGATAGCGGACGTTCCTCTCGAGGAAGCAGCGCCAGCACAGCAGCTTGCGCAACCGGTCGAGACCGACCCGCTCACAGATGTCTTCTCCGCCCGAGACTCGATCTTCTGTTCCACGTGTCTCAAGAACCAGCATATATTCAGCTATACCCTCTCGCAATATCTTCCGGACCCAGAGCATCCCGACTATGACAGACTGGAGAAAGAACTGCCAGAGTATAAGAAAGGCCTGGAACAACGATACCCACAATGCTGTTCAAAGTGTGAGCCGAAAGTAAGAGCCCAGTTGCAAGAGGCCACCTACAATGCGAGAAGCGACCACCTTCGGAGAGTGTTGGAAAAGTCTCGGCAGCGAAGGATTGCCAGCCGGTGGGGATGGAGGAGTCTCCTCGTCAACGCTGCAGGATTGGGATACTTTGCCAGTCTCGCTGTCCAAGTAACATGGCACTTGTACGGGTCGCAAATCACCAGTATAGCCACGGTGGAAGTGATTCGGCCCGCCGAATGCCTTCGACAAGGGTCTCTTCATTCTTCGTGCTTGGATGCAACGGAGCCGCTGGTGGAACTCTCCCTCGTGTTAGGACTCCTTTGCGTATGGTGGAATCCCAAATGGCAGGAGAAGTTGCTCAACAGCGAAGGGCGCCTGGTTGGTTTACACCAATACTACCTGATGCAGCTTGTTCTGCTGGGGTTGAGGTTCAGTGCTTGGATCATCATCTTCCACCTCCCCGTCTCACTTTGGGTGAAGGCTATGCTGCACGCCTGCTTCGCCGTCGCACTGTCTGTGCTCGCAGGCTGGTCTGTGACTCGGATCGTTCAAGTCAGATTTGCGCCACCGATCAACTGGCATCAGGATCCTGCTCCCCTACTGACAAACCAACAATTCGTACCTTCTGGTCGTTCGGAGTCCCAATCCCAACCACTGCGGGATCGGCCATTCAGCGTCGATAGTCTAGCTCAACCCAGCAAACCGACTTATCAACCATGGGACCCTCCCACCCCACCTCCAGATCCAGCAGAAGCTATGGATTGGACACCCACACAACGAACATTTCAGCCACAACCAAAGCAGGTTCGATACCAATCTGTGGAGCCTACTCCATTCCACGGCAGGTTGCCGGCTCTTAATTCAAGAGGAGTTTCCAAAAACAATCAGAATCAAAAATTGCCCGGCAGAGATGCCATAGGTCTGCCGCCTGGGTTCTTCGACAAGCCGAAGACGACGGCACTGCCTCCTCGTCAGACCGCAGCCGCAAGCGAGACAATGGCGCAGCCGACCTTCTTCGGTCACAACCGAGAGTCTGATACAGGACTTGAAGACATCTTTGATTCGGTGTTCTCCCTTCGAGACCGATCTTCTGGAGAAGACCCTCCCGCCTCAGCAAGAACCACGCAGCTGGTTCGAGACTTTGGGCGGCACCAGACGGATACATTCGAGGTGCATCCCATGACCAATGGCGTGTCGCCTCTGGCTCTCTTCAGCGGCATCGCCATCTTCTTTATCTTAATCGGCTTGGCTTTCTGGATATTGGAGGCTGCCATCACATCTACAACGCCCCAGCTCGGTTACTACCTTGTCCTTTCTAGCACAGCCATCCCGATCGGTCACATTATGATCGGCCTGTATCGCGATGGTGCTCACAAACGGTCTCTGAAGCTATTTTTGTACGCGTTCGAAGCAATCGCGCTGATCGCTGTGGCCAAGCTCCGCGAACCATTTGGAGATCTCCTTCGAGATCTGTGGGACAAGCTTGCGATCGGGGCTGTGGCTTTGCTCCTGCCGCAAGAATATTTGGCCTTGAACCGTTCATACTCCCCTCCGAGCTCTAGGCAATGGAATACGCCACAGAACCCTGTTCCTACAAGACGAAAGCCGAAACAATCGGGGCAGAAACCTATCAGTGAAACAGCCATGGCAGAGAACTCAAGTGCGATCATGCCCGGACTCGTCCGAGCAGAATCCAACGAATCAATCGGGACACGACCATCCATTTCTACAGACAGCGAGCCTAGAGAGTCGAGCCCGTGGGACTCGCCGCTCAAACCTCAGAATGAGCGTTTCGACTATTTTGACACGATGAAGCCGCAAACGTACACAAAGAGCAATACGCGACCGCAGGCCCAGAAATGGAATGCCCCACTCTTGTCCTCTGGCGGCAGTCGTCTGGCAACCACACAGCCGTTCGGCTTGGATGCCCCCATGCCGCCTCCGGATAACGACCGAAGTACGGGCTTAACGAACACTTTTCGACGGAATCTGAAGCTATCAGCACCCGCGAAGCACCCTGGCGCAGGCGCAAGTCCCAGGCGGAGATTATGAGCTTGCTTCTGCTAGGGAGGGTTGGATCTTGAACTCGGCTCCCATGGCGGACCTCAACAGGACGAATTGCTGAATGCATAACGCGAAGAAAAGGGGCATTGAGAGAATAGGGCCTGTTTTGGATCTGGCATAGCGTGGTCTGGCGTTTCCTAGGCAGGTTTTTGTCTTTCCAGCATTTTTATCCATGTAGCATAGGTAATGTGTCCATGGACATATAATTGCCCGGCGGCGTGTTAGCACACTGAGTGACCTGAAGTCCACGGTCTCCTTCTCTAGGTAGCGAGTAAAGTCCGCTTGCGCTGGTTCCCATATTCTCCGCACAAGTGAGAGACCTGGTTTTCCGACTCCAGATACTGTCACCGTGACAGCTGACCTCGTCGGCCGATCTGATCTGACTCTCCACGCCTTGACGGGAGCGCTGCAACATCAGGATTCCCAGCATCAGCAACCCAACAGGTGCGGAGAGGCTTGTTGTGTTCTGTCACCGTCCGTCCATCCACCGGCTATTTTCTTTCCCGCGTAGATGCCCTTTTCCCTTACCTTTCCCTCGCTATGTATGCATGCCACACGCGCCCCACTCAGGTGCCGTTCCCCTCCCCTCGCTATGTATGTATACCACACGCATGTTCGCATGCTGTCACGTCAACTTCTGCTTGATGAAAAAGGCCCGCAGGTGAGATAATTGCCACGCGCACGTCACGCCCAGCACGCCCATCTGGATGAGCGTCCAGCGCACGATGCGGGCGTTGACGGCCTCGCTCTGGTCGCGAAATTCAGCCTCGCGTTCCTAGATACCGGCAACAGTCAGAATTGAATTGGCACACTGACGGATTTTTCTCCGCGCTTTTCGCAAAGCATTGCACGGGAGGGTAGGTCACCCCCATCTAGAATTTGTGATCAACTCACCCGCTGGAAAACCTGCTCGCGTCTAATGTCCTGCAACCGCCCATTCAACTCGCGGACCTTTTGCACGATGGTGTCGATCTTGCCCTTGTCCTCGCTTTCGATCTTGCTCGTCTCGCCAATGGCCATGTCGACGGTCAGTTTAATCCCGCCGAGGACGTTGCCCGCGCTGCCGCTGAACCAGCCGTTCACGCTGATGGCCGCGGGGCCCGAGGGCGTGAAACACAGTCTGTGGAGGCCCGAGTCTGCGGCGCTGAAGGTGAATTTCGAGGGGATCGAGGAGGAGGACGTCGTCTGCGTGACGACGCGGTGGTCGTTGTCGAACGTCTCTTCGACGGTGAAGTGCATGTTTAGGTCGGGTGTTGTGATGAAGGTCTGGGATTGCCGGTCGAAGGCTTCGGCACGGTATGTTCCTGTGTGGTAGAAGAAATGTTAGTTTGGTGGTGGTGCTGGTAAGGAGGGTTGCGGTCGACGAGTGACAATACAGCGTAAGACTGCCCTAGTGTATGAGATGTTTTGAGTGCGGCATTGTCCGGTTGACTCGATGGCGAAGAGTGACATTTCGCGCGACCAACATCAGAGACTATCTCACTTACCGACAACGAGCGTCCCCTTGGCTAGATCCTCGTAGAAGCATTTCGGTGTCGTGCCGTCGAGGTAGAAGTACAGTGCGTGGGACGAGGAAATAAGTGAGGTGAGAGCGACCGCGAGGGTTGCGGGAAGTAACTTCATCTTCAGTGCGGCACTGTTTGTGGTTGATATGTGCCGGTTGAGGGGATCGAGGCGAGCGCTGGCCTGGGAGAATCGGATTGAACAAAATGTCCAGACGCCTTTGCGACGGGGAGAATGCGGAGGGACGTGCTGCGTGCCCCTGACTCGGTGCCAAGCGTCGGAGATAATATCCGTGACAGCGGTCTTATTGGTCAGCGCCGTCCTTGTTCCGCAGCCACTCACTTTCAAATGACAGAGGTGCGCACTCATTTGGTGTCATTTCAAACATTCAAGCCGCAGTTTCGCGAAGTTCACACTGCCCTGTCAAGACCTCCATCCCAACAGGTTGACCTGCGTCTGGATGCGTGTCCCGCTGCGAGCGCCTTAAAATCCAGCGCTTGAGCCAGATATATCCATATGAATCTTTTCCCTCGCTAAAGCCAATTGTCCTCAGGATCCCCTCCACCATGGCATCCACAAGCGACATCCGCGACATAATGAACTTGGGCCAGGCCGGTCCCCGCCAGCCTGCGCCCAAGAAGAAAAAGACGTCCGAACCTCAACCGCGTGTCACGGGCGTAAGACGAGAAGTCCAAGCACTTATGGGCGATTCAGTGCCTCCGATCGCAATCATTGAACAACGCTCCTACAAATCCCGTCCGTCGATCTCGCAGAAGTTGTTCAAGCCGCGGCATTGGGACGAGAGACCATTCCAACATGCTGGGAGGACCGATGGGCTGGTATTGCGGCACTGGAAGAGATCGATTCCGGGGTCAAATGGGCGTGCACCCGCGGTTGCGACGGAATCGGCGGATGTAGAGATGACGGATGATGCGAAGACTACTTCGCCGGCACAGGAGTTGGCGTTTGAGGACGAATATCCGTCACACAAGTGGAATGTCAAGGTGGAAGTGCCTTCGTACACTGACGAGCAGTACGACAGTATGCTCAAATCGGACGACTGGACACGACAAGAGACGGACTATCTTATGGAGCTGTGTCGTGACTACGATTTGAGATGGATCATCGTCGCCGACCGATACACACCAGAAGAGATCCCCTCTTCCACACCAGCTCCTACAGGCGTCGAACCCAGCGGAACCGAAGTTGCCGTAAAACAACACTACCCGCCCCGCACAGTCGAAGCCCTCAAGCAACGCTACTACACCATCGCGGCGAAGATCATGGAACAAGTCACTCCAGCCTCCACAATGACCGCGGCAGAGTTCCAACTGTGGGAAAAGATGCGTTCCTTTGACGCCAAGACGGAAACGATGCGCAAAGCCATGGCGGAGAAACTCTTCGAGCGCACGAAAGACGAGGCGGACGAAGAGAGAATCCTGCTGGAGGAGCTTCATCGGATCACCAAGAATGAAGACGACTTTATCAAGATGAGACGGGACCTCTACGCCCGGCTCGAACCAGTAGCCCCACTACGACGATCTGGCAATGGGGAGGAGCAATCTACCGCCATGTATCAAACTTCTGGTGGCCTGTCCATGCTCTTACAATCCCTCCTTGCCAAGGAGAAGAGACTCAAACGACCTGCCATGCCAGATGGCGTCCAAGGCAGTGCCGCGGCAACTCCAACCGATGCACGTGCCGAGAAAGGTCGCCAGTCCTCTCACTACTCTCGACGCGACACACTCGACACGCAGGCGACGAACGAGGAGCCGCAGAAGAAATCGTCCATTTCCCAGGCCCCCAATGTGCGGATCCTCGCCCCTGCCGACGCTGCGCGCTTCGGCGTCTCGCACCCACAGGAACGACTCACATCAGGGGTACAATTCCGGCACGAGAAAATCAATCGTCTAACCATGGCCAAATCACAAACTCAAACCACAAAGATCCAGGCTGCGCTCACTGAATTGGGCATTCCACCGAGGTTGCTCATGCCGACAGAACGGGTCTGCAGGGAGTTTGAGCGGTTGGTGGGGGAGATCAACATTCTGCTAGATTGTAGGAAGGTTGCCGAAAAGGTGGCTTCCGAGGTCAAGATCTTAGAAGAGCAGAGACGGATCAGACTCGGACTACCCAAGGAGGGCGAAGAAATGGTGCCTGCTGCGGGAGTTGGCAATACTGGGCCGCGGGAGGTGAAGAGTTTTCCCAACACAACCGATGCTATGGAGATTGACGACTCTCAAGTCGGAGATGAGTCGAAAGTCGACGAGTCGCTTGCCGTCGATGAGGACGAACAAGATGCTGAGGCGGAAGAGGATGAGCCGGCACGAGCTGTTGCAGAACGTGATGAAGACGGTGCACAAGATGAGAGTGCTATACAAGTCGATGCTCAAGAGGACGGAGAGGCTGACGCAGAGGCGAATGACGACGCTAGTGCCAAACCTGCGGATGATGAAGACGACGACGAAGACCAAGAGGAGCAGGATGAAGAAATCACCGGCATCGACAACGATGAAGACCAAGACGAGAACCCGGAAGAGGACGATGATGATACTGCGATTCGCCTCAATGCGGACTCAGACGAAGACGAGGAAGAAGAAGCGGAAGCATCGCCACAACAAGAAACTGACGCTGAAGAGGATAATGCAGACGACTCGGAGGCCGAAGACGATGCAGAGCCCCAGGCTGAAGCTGAGTCTGAAGATGACGACGAAGATGACGCAGCAGATATCAACGAAGGCGAATCTGAGGCAGAGGCAGAGGCCGAAGCCGCCGATCAAGTCGAAGATTCCGAAGATGAAGACCAAGAGCGGGATGACGATGACGAGGATCCTGCCCCCGTGCCCGGTGCTGCAGCTGAAGATTCCGATCCCGAAGATGACGATCAGCCTAATGGAGATGAAGAACCTGAAGCCGTGGCAGCAGTCCGCGCACACAAGCGGTCCGCAAGTGTCATCTCAGAAGCGAGTCGCGCGGGAAGTAACCGTAGCGGAATGGGCAGGAAGAAGCGTCGCTAACGATATGGTCGCTCGTCAATCATGTACGTTCATACCTAGGACTCTACAGGAGTAACACAGAAGCCAATGTCGAGAATACAGGGTTCGCCGTGCGACCTGCGTGCATTCTCACTGGAGTACCGTGACTTGTGAATAAGGGACTTGGTGCCCTCGCAGACGATATATTCAATACGTCCTCGTCTCCTCTGATCTGCGATGCACCCCACCCGCCGTACTTCATGGATATGCCTACAGTACGTAGACATTATACTTGTCTTTTCAAGATACAAATTGTCACTGGAACCTAGGTATTCATGACTGGTGTACATGTACGTACTGTAGGTGACGGCGCCCCATCACAGCCACGGCGAGGATGTAGTAAGAGGGTGATCCTGGAATCGGACGATACGACGGCTAAGCACAATGAAGCCACCTTATTGAGCGATGTCGCCTCCTAATACGCACGCTAGGCACGATGTACATACCTGACTTCGCTGGAGTAAGCTCGTACCTAGGGATCTAGGGAGGTATAGGATAGCATAGCATAGCACGATAACCATGATGGTTTGATCAAGTACCATGGCGCACGATACTGCTCGATAAGCATGGATCAAGCACAATAGAGTAAGTACGACGTTACAGGACATGATGTAGCCTGAGACACACGATAAGCACTACACAGGACCATACGTACTGCGATTGGAAAAAAGATGCTGGACAATAGAGCGCGATGTAGCACGATAAGCACGATTAAGCACAGTGACCGGTGTAGACGACGATGGCACATACCAAGTCCGTGGGACGTCAAACTTGCCATAATTATCATTGTCTTGTCCATTGACTCCAGGCTCCTGGAGGGACAGTACAGTATCCTATGACCATTCCTATCGCCTGTGCTACTGCTTCATCATCCGTTGTCCTTGCCTTTGCCTGCCTGGGTTTGAAATGCAGTACTGTGTATCCTGGATCCTCTCTGGTCGTTTGCAATGCTCTGTTATGCTTTGCTTTGCTTCGTATTGTGTCGTGCTGTGTCATTCATTTGCTTATCACTGGCTTTCCTTCCTTCCTTCCTTCCTTCCTTCACAGCTCACTTCCTTATGCTTGCGTTGCTTTGCTTTCTGCACCCATTTCTTTGTCTCGTCAATTCTCCTCGCTGATTTCGCCGTCACTGTCAGCCATCAGTGGCGGATCTCCCTCGAATAGATCGTCCAGTGGATCTTCCTCCGCTGTGTTTACCTCTCCCATGTCAATGTCTCCCTTTGGTATAGGGGCACTCGTGTCGCTCCCGTTGTCGTCGTCGACTAATAGTTTGTTGTATGGGGATCCAAGGTCCTCTGGATCTTCGGCCAATAGTTGGTTGTACGGGGATCCAAGGTCCTGTGAATCGTCGGCGGCTCTGTTCGACAATGGGGCGATCGTGTCGCCTTGGTTGTGGTCGATGACTAGTAGTTGGTCGTGTGGGGGTTCAAGGCGCTCTGAATCTTCGGCATCGGAGAGGTCGTCGTAATAGTACTTGTGTGGTTGGGTTGCGGTCGTGCTCGAGGTTGTTGTTGCTTCTGTAGTCGAGGTTGAGGTCGTGGTCTTGCTTGCAGTCGCGCCGGCTTGTCTAGCCGGCTGCTTGTCCAGCTCCTTGTCCAGCTGCTCGACTGCGCTCTTCTCGAGTTGTGCCCGACTCTTTGCTGCCTGCTTGTGGTTTTCGTGTTGGCTGAGGTTGCCGCTGCGGTTCTGGTCTTGTTCTTCGGTGGTGCCTTTGGTTTGGTGACCTTTGAGGCCTTGGAGGAGAGGACGGTGGAGTTGTTGTACTGGGTACTTGATGCCGCATTGCCCTTCTTGTTGTTGGTGGTTGTTGCCCTGGCCGCTGGAGACGCGGCTTGTGCAATGGCAGGTTGTGAGGTGAATTTCGAAGTTGAGATCGAAGCCGCGGCCGAAGTTACAGCCACGAAGTCGGCATAATCGGCAGCCCTGCGCGCAAGGCGCAGTTCGTCTTCGACCTTCTTTTGCTCAAATTGGTCCTTGATCAGGCCCGTAGCCTTCAAGAGACCGAGGTTCTGGGGCTTTTGCAGCCACGAGTAGCTGCGGTCTTTATTTTCCCGCTTGGGAAGGGAAGACGCCGTCCCTTCCGGGGAGGAGGTTGGTGGCGTTTTGAGTGGCGCCGGTCGGTCCTCTGAGGTTGTGGCAGCGTTGGCCACAGCCTCCACCTGAGCTGGTGCGGCGGAGGGAGCGTCGCTGGCCTCGGATGCCGCTGGAGCAGCAGCAACAGCAGCATCCTTGGCCTGGGTGGCGACCTCACTCGAGGCGCCGAGAGGAGTGTTGTTGGCCTGTACGGCCGCTAGGGCTGCATTGGCAGCCTGCCGGTGGAGGGAGGGCGGTGCAGAGGCCGCATCGACTGTCAGGTCGATGGTTGGGGTCGGCTGCAGCGTCACCCGAGACGGCTGCAGGTGGGCGTCAGGCCCGTTGTGCACTGGGCAGAGGTGGCAGAGGTCGGCCTTGAGGATTCGCCGGCCCGCTGCTGCCACGTTTTGCCGTCTTGTCTGTTCATGGTGCTCCCCGATCATGTCCTTGAGGTATCGCACATATGCTGCTTGCAGAGGTGTGGCTGGCGCCCCATGAGTAATGTAGGCGACGGTGTCCGTCTCAGGCACAAGGGGGAGGAGCTTGCCGTCGGTGCCGATTCTGAAGTCATAGTAGCCTCGCAACATATTGACGTAGTTTCTGGTATTTTGACATTCTCTCTTTAGCGTGTATTTTTGGTTCGCTAGGATCTCTTTCTCCTTCTCAAGGGCGGCAATCTTCTCTTGAAGCTCTGTGACGGTCTTTTCGTGCTGTCCTGACTGTGCCTTGAGTGAATCTTGCAGCTTGTGATTTTGTTCCATCGATCTCATGAGTTGTTTGTTGGCCTCTATGATCGAAGCTGTTAAGTGATGGTTGTCTCGCGAGCTGAAGGTATTGTCGTTGACGCCGTTGAACAATGCGAAAGGAGTGTTATCAGATGAACCCAAGCTGTTGTTCATATCATTGGTGGTGAATGCGCCAGGAAGGCTGTAAGAAGGGTTCAAAATTTTGCTGTTCATGCCGTGGTTGAATGTGCCGGGACTGTTGTCTGCAGAGCTCAAGACGTTGCTGTTCGTGCCGCTGGTGAAAGTGCCAGGATTGGAATTCGAGCTTGCGTGCCACTGTGCGGTGCTGTTGCTGAAACTCTGATTTTCGATGTCGAACATACTTACTGTAGAATCCAGGGGCACCTGATCGCCACTCGATCGACCCCACGAAGCCATGCTGTTCTGCATGTCAAGGTGGTGCTGAATGAGCGAGCCAGTGCTGCTGTAAATTGGACTCTGAAGATTGTCGCTGGTGGGAGCTGTGTGAATGTTCTGGTGAAATTGGGGGAATTGCTGATTCGTATTTTGAGGCAAGCCTCGAGTGTTGTGGATGGGATTCATGGTGATGGAGTCGTACAGCTGACAAGGTTGTCTGAGTGAGATGATAGCAGCCGCTGTGGGAGTCAGTCACTTTAAGTGAAGGGCTGGCTGGTCGGTTTTCCCCGTGCCGTTTGCTCGTTGGAGAGGTATCAACTGTAACGGTGTAGAAGGCAGGAAGAAGTTGAAGAATGAGCGGGTTTGCAGGGACAGAAAGAGAGAGCAGACCTCGAATAACAGGGAATCGAAAGATCGAGCCTGCAATGCACAGACTTGAAAGTTCTGCGCATAGAACTCTGCGGGAAAACACCAAAAGGAGTCTCTCAATGGACGTCCGCATCATTGGCCGGGGGCACAGAGATCAGGACGAAAAAGACGGTGCTGTTGCTGCAGCCAGACTTCACCTGGACGACTTCTGCTCTTTTCCATCGAGATCGGCATTGGTATTCATGGTTCACCTATTGTCGACGCCGCTCAGGCTTTCTGCTGGCGGCAAAGCTGACTGCCTGCCTCTGGTTCACGCTCACCCATTGGGCTTGGACTGGATCTTTGGCACTTTCATAGGTCCGTGATCACGTTCCCAGTGCCTGCAGTCTCTTGCCCACGATCCATTCGACGCTGAGGGCTGTCTGCCCACAATTTTGGTCCAATCCCAAGCCTTACCGTAACTAGCGTTCAGACCTCTCCAAATAGGCACAGCGTGATCCTTGGCGACGGATCTTGTATTGCACACGACGCTCTGCAGGTCATCCGCCTGAGGACCTGTGAGCGACGACATTCTGGGCGGCTTCGACTACAGAGGTGTGGTGCAGTTGCTATATCACCGCATGAGGAAGGACAGTTAGGGATGAGGTCAGTTTTATATGTGCTGGTGTCTGCGATAAGCAGCTTTATCAGGACTGCACCGCTTATTGGTTCGCTTAGGGGGCTGAATGCTTAAAAGCAACAGCAAGACAAGCGAAAGCCTCGCCCGGGCCTCATCACTCACACTTCCATCCCCACATCACTGCACCGTCCTGCCGAGCCTGCATGGACGCGACGCATCCACAAAGGCACAGAGAGGCGGCGTGGGCTATGAATCGCCAGAATGAGTGTCATCCTCTGTACAGGTAGTGTCTCTCGTGCACCATGCGTCGCTTACAGTGCTGATCCTCTTGTCAGCTGGTTATGACCACACAATCAGGTGCGCATTCTTTGTCGACAACACCACCACCGTGCCTTGAACTAACGGTGGACCCCCAGATTTTGGGAAGCACTCTCCGGAATATGTTCGCGCACGATCCAACATCCAGAGTCTCAAGTGAACAGGCTATGCATAACCCCTGACAAAAAATACCTGGCCGCCGCTGGCCGCCACATGGTGCGCCTGTACGACATCAAGTCCAGCAATCCGAACCCTGTCCAGCAATTCGAGGGCCATACAAACAACATCACGGGTGTCGCGTTTCACTGCGAAGGAAAATGGATGGTCACAAGCTCCGAAGACATGACAGTAAGAGTCTGGGACACGAGGACAGGCATGGTACAGAGGAACTACCAACATTCGCACCCGGTCAACGATGTCGTGATTCACCCAAATCAAGGCGAACTCGTCAGCTGTGATCGAGGTGGAAACATCCGCATCTGGGATCTTGGGGAGAGCAAATGCACGCACCAGCTCGTGCCAGTCGAGGACGTCTCGATGGCCAGCGTGAGTGTCGCAAGCGATGGCTCTCTCCTAGCAGCTGGGAATAACCTGGTATGTCACGTAGTAGTGGTACAGCATGAGAACCACTACTGATGTTTTTTCTAGGGCGACGTCTATATCTGGCGCATGTACCAAAACCACGACTCGACTACCCTCCTGCCCTGCCGGGTTTTCAAAGCACACAAGGACTACCTCACCCGCCTGCTACTCTCCCCAGATATCAAACTCCTCGCCACATGCAGTGCCGACCACACCGTTCGGATCTGGAAGATTGACATGAATGAAGAACACCTTGAAGTCATCCCCGAACAGCAGTCGCCGACTCCGTCACCTCACCAGAACGGAACCTCTAGTACACCAGGAGCGCACGCCCCGAAACAAAACCACCATTCATCCGCTTCGTCTCAGTCGCAATCATCTCTGCGTCTCAACACTGAGGAGCAGGACGGTAACACCAGCGAAACCTCACTCAACCCAAAACCCTTCCGCTCTGCCACGTCCCTCGCTTCCACCGCCTCGGGCACAACATCCAGCCCACAGAGCCAATTCCGCGCCAATGTAGCCCCAGGATTCGGCACGGATCTCATATCTGCTAGGCGCCCCCTGCCGTGCGACGTTATCCTGGACAACCACCAGCGATGGGTCTGGGACTGTGCATTCTCCGCCGACAGTGCCTATCTCGTCACGGTCTGCTCCGACCACTATGCACGTCTGTGGGAGCTTTCCAGCGCGACCATCATAAGACAGTACAATGGACATCACAGGGGCGCCGTCTGCGTTGCGCTGAACGATTACAGTAGTCCGCCTTAGGAAGAGGACGAAGAAAGCGAAGCGCACCGCCAGCCGGAAGCCCGCCGTCGGATCACAGCAAAGGAGCACGAAAGAGCCAAAGCTCTTGTTAGGAACATGCAGCAGGAACACGAGAGAGCGAGGACCGTCATTCGGCGCACGCAGCGCACACAGCGGAAGGGGCGCAACGGGCGAAAAACTCCCTCAGACTGATCTAACACAGGATCAGTGGTGTTTGAAGGTTCCATTGGGCTGGGCCGCCGAGGCTCTCCAGCGTAAGAACCACGATCTTGAGGGAAGGGCAGGACAGGATTGTCAAAATTTCTTCGTTTGGTATACTAGCACCGCAAAGCATAGTATGACGTTCTTGCTCAGAGCTGGGCGCTTGGTCGAGCTTGGAGCTTGGGCCTTGGATCCCTCATCCAACTTGCTGCATGATACGACATTACTAATTATCGATGGTGGACACAATGGCATGGACCTGTCCGCGCGCGACTGTGATGATGCACCGGATACACAGTATCTCGACGTTCACTCCACGCTCACGTTGCACAACCAAGCAATTCCACCAGCATGTCAAGGTCTTCATCTGCTCCTTCTTGTCCTACAAGGTCCCCTATGCAGAATATTGGTTGTCCTTTCCGTTACTATCCTACCCAATTTACTGTGACTTCTACGTACCATCCCTCAATTATACCCCAGATCCAAGTCCGTGCAGTTCACATCCACAGTCGACTCATCGATGACTGGGGCTTGCACGTACTATCCGTCAATTATACCCCAGATCCAAGTCCGTGCAGTTTACGTCCACGGTCGACTGATCGATATTGAAGCAGGTGAACAGATCCGTGCCGTTCGGACTGACGACATTGATGTCACTCGCATAAATGTCCGAGCAGACGTCCGGGCTCGAACACACTAAGTTGCCCACCAACGGCAGGTACTTCTTGGAGGAGGTGCCTTGGAAATGCCGAAAATAGACGTCCGAAATCGTCAGCGCCGAAGGATTCTGTTTACAAAGCGTGGTGTTCTTCTGGCCGTAGCACTGGGTGATCTCGATGGCGTAGTCGACGTTGCGGACGAAAAACGTGTCGTACGTGATATTGGTCACGGCCCCCTTGCCGCCCCCGCCTTGCAGGTCGGCGCTCAGTTCCGAGGGCGCGCCGGGCCAGACCTTGATGCGCGCGCCGTCCGTGGCGTTGCTCATCGAGACATTGTACACGTGGATGTTGCGCACGTAGTCGGTCTCCCACGCGTACTGGCCGAGGCTGCCGACGCTGATGCCGTGGGAGCCGTTGCAGTGCATGTTCTGCACGAGCATGTTGGTGCTGTTGGGCTTGAAGCTGACGCAGTCGTCGCCGTTGTTGACCACGGAGTTCTGGATCGTGATGCCGTCGCTCCGGTACGTGTCCCAGCCGTCGGTGTTTTTGGCCGTGTTGTTGGAACTGGAGAAGCCCGTGATGGAAATGTCCGAGAAGATGACGTTGCTCGAGTTGGCCACCCAGTTGTAGTACTGTGGCGAGTAGATGAGGTTGAGGTTCGAGATGGTGCCGGCGTGGAGGCCCACGGTGCCGAAAAGGATGGGGCGCAGAGTGTAGATGTCCTGCGCGTACAGGTCGTACCAGACCTGGCCGTTGCCGTCGAGCGTGCCCCCGCCGTAGACGTTGACGTCCTCGCCGCCGAGTTCGAAGAACGTGGTCGCGTTCTGGAAGATCTGCTTGAACGAGTGGGCTTGCCAGTAGTCCGTGTCGTTTGTGAATTGGATGTATCCTTGAATGTCGATGTCGATCGATCGGAGGAAGGTCATGTCCAGGGCGGTGCCGATTGTGTATTTCGTGGAGGCGTCGAAGATGACGTGGCCGCCATTGTTGCAGGCATGTAGAGCTGAGAGGATGTATGGTGAGTCGTCTGTAACAGAATCATTGTGGGATTCGACGTAGCAGACTCTCGTTCGAGGAGGTGATGGCTGATTGGGGACTGTTGGATGATGAGGATACGTTACGATGCTGGGTCGTGGAGAGTGGTGCTTCCCACGGTGCAGTGAGACGGCAAACGTCGATGCGGCTTGCACCAACAGCAGCATTGACAGCTGCATGGTGGTTGACTTGCGGCAGGACGATCGCTGGCAACGAGCCCCTTGCTGATGGGAGGATTTATGCACGCTGGCCACCAGCTTCGAAGTTGGAGTAGACGGATTCGCCGAGCGCAGGTTCCTCGAAGCGATCTCGGTTGGCTGTTGGAAGTCGACATCTAGTGTAAAGATCGACAGCGCGGAGGTGTTGACGATGTAGCATTTGACATTCGACAATGTGCCGGAGCATTTCAGCCTCAACCCGGCCAATTGGCGATGGAAATTCGAGCAATACTACCACGCGGTTTTCTCGCCGTACCCCAGATTCCAGCTGTCTCTCCGCATTTCGTGCAGGGCAGATGCAGTGGAAGCAGGGTTCCTGCATAATCTAGGAGTTTAGGAGTCCATATCCGCCCTCTTGCAGGATTTGGCGTAGGCAGCTTCCGTGTTGAGCCAAGGTCTGGTGTATTGTCGCCCAAGGTGTTTGAAATCGTGCCCAAAAGGGACCTCACCTGACCAGAGTGTCAGGGCAAGGTTCTGCGGCGCTTGGCTATGCTGAAAGAAGCCACGGCCCCCGAAATAGCATGTGGCTCCCTCGTGGTGGCGAACAACACTTGGACAGCTTGTTGTCTTTGTTCGAAGTCATTTCGTCGATACCTGCCGTAAAGATGTGCATGAAATTGAGAGCAAGCTGACGTGAGCGGTGGAAGGGAGCCAACGGCAGACGATCAACCTTTTCCATCCTTAACTGTCATGGACATGACTTTCTCGCTCAAATCAGTCTCATTCTTTGCCGCTGCGCCAGCGCGAGAATCATCTTCCTTCCGTTGCTCCATGGCGCCCAACCTGGCCCTCCAGTAACCCTTGCCATAACTCAAGCAGATTTCCTCTCCCTTCGCAACGCCGGTACTCAACGGATTCACCCAAACTCCCATCCTCGCCTCCCACATCTCTTTACCCTTCGGCCCCTTGACCTTGACATAGTACTCCTCGAAAACCGCATTCGGTCCATCTCTGACGCCATGATAATCGTTGATGAAGCGAGCTTCGTTGCCCATGCCGGCACCATCTATTGCAATGGAGGCATCCCGGTCCAGGAAAGCAAGATCATAGTCGCTGATGCTGCATGTAGACAAGGGGCAAGAGTGCAGCAGACCTGTATAGTCGATAATATGCGTGCCTGGGGCTAGCTGACGAGCAGCGAACAGTCCTGATTGCGGGTATGCTGGGTGCGAAGGTAACTTGATGGATTCAATGCAAACTGAGGGGTTCGAGCTTGGCGAGAAAGTACATTGAGCGGACACCATGTATGCATCTGGGTCCGGGGAACGAGTCGACTGAACCAATTCGCGCTGACTTGGGGCGAGTGAACTGTCCAGATGTACAGTAGATAGATACGGCAGGTTGGTCGGCCAGTTCTGTGGCGGACGCGTGTATGTTGTCATCTTTGCTGGGGGACAGACTTTCGTCGAATGTCCACCCCGCCTTGTCTGGCCATTACTGCCCTTGTTTATTCGAGACTTGCTGCTTGCGTTATGGGCCTTTTGTGGAGGTTTCGCTGAACGTCCCATGCTGCTCCGCGAGACAAAATACCAGTAGCCTAGTCGCTGGCGGCTTGAACACCTACCCTCCTCAATGCTTCCGTCGCAGTGGTCAGAAGTATCAGGACACGACGGTGAGTCAGTCCCAAGTTCAAAGTGAAGACAAGAACACCAAGAATTTCTGTGGGCTTACCTAAGCGAGGCGCGCTTTTCGGCCAGGATGCCGGTGCGATCCAAGCAGGTAGACGGGCTGGCAGAAGTAAAGGAAGGTTGAACATGGTGTAAGAGCATGACGAAGCTGCTAGGGCCATAATGGTTGTGCTGAAGCGATAGCTTGACAGAATAACGTCGTCTGTATTCATTTCCAAGCGGCACTCGTCTGCTCGTCTTCTCTGAGAGATACATGGAGAGGTATGAGGTATCGTATCCATCAAGCCCTCATACCTGGACACTTGCCACACTCGAACACCCAAAGAGCTTCAAGAAAAGGCCATCGTCTTTATTGAAAGAGCACCTCGATTCGGCCTCTCCTTTCCTCGTCATATATGTCACGTGTCTCCCACACTACTTGTAAGTGACGCCTTGTGATTCCGATCACGTCTACAAGTTCTGTACAATCCCTATTCGTGAGTTGTGCCTCGGGCTCTGAAGCCCGTGGTTAAGCCTCGACAACCCTGAGGACGAAATTGACTATCACGGCAGCCAGAAGAGCAAGAGCCAAGACGGTGGGTCCAATCCTGTCATCGAAGCCACCCTGACCTCTCACCCTTATACTCTTCGCTCGCCAATGGAAAGTGACAAGTGCGTATATCATAGCCATCATGGCAACCAGGGTGAATAGTCCAGCGGAGATACGGCCGACCGAGTCTCCGAAATTCAAGAGCCCAACAGCAAGACCACCGAGGATAACGGTGAAGTTGAGCCATGATAGAAATGTACGCTCGTTGGCGAAGAAGACCTTTGGCTCAACGCGGGTCGGAAGGGCAATGCGCTTGCCTACAGAAGAGACCAGTCAGCAGGTTGAGATTCGGACTGGGCGGAAAGCGCGAAGAGAGCTTACCAGGGGCACTTTGAAGCAGAGGTCTTTCGGACATGTTGCTTCGAGGTGGAGAAGGAGATCGTTGATTATGACTTGGAGGATCCCGATTTCGGATTCGGAGATCACTGTCAGACCTTATGGAAACCCTGTTTAGAACCTGAGGGTTCTGGTTTTGACTGTTGGTGTTTTGTGGTAGCAAAGGTGCTTGTTCAGGTACGTCGATAACGAGCTTTCCGTTGGCAAGATTTCTCGCTCGATATCGCTTGGATGGTGACTTGATTGTATGGAGAGTGTATGATGACTTCTGGTTTGTGGAGGACTCTTGCGTGTTTTCTAAGTTTCTTCGGTGTGCGTCCTCGCCGTGCTTGTTGATTCCACGAGAGCCTTCCCCAGCGAACAGATGGTTGTTGATAACGTGTTTGTAACTGCTACTTCTGTATAGAGCCGCGAGTGGCTTCAAGTGCGGCGTTGACGGCGATGTCTGGGGTTGTTCTCGTCTGCTCTGGCGATCGCGCAGGAACCCTGGCAAAGCTCTTTCTGTAGACTCCAATCCACACAGTCAAGTCCTGAGCTTGAGAAGCCGAGACGACGGGCTTGCGGGGAGCTCGGGAAGAGGCTTTTGCTTTGTGGTACCTTGTGGTACGACGGATACTCGTTGCTCAGATAGTTCCGGTGAGTGATGGGTACCCTCAGGCCAACGCAGCTCAGCAAGCAGGAAAGGTCAGGCAGTTGTTTGCTTTGTTCTTTTTTCCACCCTCAGCTTTCTCCAACCACAAATTACCGCGGGCACGATCTCGACACAACAGCAGTAAAGTATGTTCAAGCAAGAGTAGAAGGATATGCGGCTGCGAATCCGCCGGCTCAAAAGGTATAGTCGACGCAGCAGTCAGTGATCTTTCAGCTAAGATACAATGTGCACAGAAGAAACTTCTAAGAGGTGACGGAAAGGCTTTTGCTGCACCTTGAGCTCATTGAGGCTCGGAACTCAACGTTGCGGGGGCACCAGCGCTGCACCTGCTCAACACCGAGCTTCCCATTCGCGGTAGCCCCTCCAAGCTTTCCGTTGTTTCTCCAGGGCAAGCCCGCAGGCGCGGATTAAGGACGACTCGGCCGTAAGTTGCGCCTTGATGCCGAAATGTCTACCGTGCGCACATTACGGTCGATCACAAACCTGCTTGACTGGGGTAAACATTCTCGACCTCAACAGCGAGATGCACATGCGACCACACCGGACTCTAGCGACCAGTCAACAGCAACATTCAAGCGTCACCGACTGACGAAAGCTCCACACCTGCACCGCTCTCATTCGAATCTTGTCGACGCATCTGCCAGTGCCCAAGGTACATTTACTCCGCAGCATCACCAATCGGAGCATCCATTGACAGAGTTTCGGCGGCGACTGGCGAGGAAGGCTTCGACATTTAGCTTGAGAACGAGACGTCGCCGGGGTGAACGCGACCAGCTCGAAGCAGCAAAGGAAGAGGAGAAGCTTCGGGGGCTGGTATTGTTGGGAAGCGACAAGGGTGCCGTCCAGCCGGCCCAAGAGCGAAGCCCCAACAACTGTCAGGCCGACGAGTCACACCGGGAGCGAGCAAAGGCGGTCGAGACCCAAGAAGGGGAAGCCCACGAGCGACCATCTACGAGAAATTCTTCGCTGACAACTGTGCGTGTGTGGGACCCTACCGAGAGCCCCTCTGTCAAGCAACTTCCTCCTTTACCAACCACCGCGGACTCTGCTGAAAACACCCTTCGGCTACAGGAAGTCATACACCAAACCCAAGAGACATTCGCCATTAAAGAAGTCGCTGGTGGAAAGACTTGTGTCAAAGAGATGGCGTCGGAACAACCGCAACCTCCTGTCCCCTACACCCGGCTCAAGGAGATCACTGAGCATGTGAGTATCGAATGGCGTCTTCGGCGCCCGTTCTCTAGGTGCGCTCACGAGGGATGGTGGTGCTAACCCGTGATGGACAGGCCTGTGAAAGTGCGCTCTCGGGCGTAACGTCCTACATCCACTCCGACACTGAAAAGTGGAACACCACCATCATCAGCAGCATTCTAGGCGCCCTCGTGCAGGGAACCACGCAAAGCCCAGCTGCCGGCTCATCAGCCCCCGCCCAACCACAATTCAAATACGTCGTCAACAGCACCATCATCCAACACGCGGCTTCTTCATCCTCATCTTCCGGTGACGATCCGAGGAAAACCAGTGGCCGCAGAGGTATGCACGCTGCGAGTGGGGCTTATTGGAACAACGAGAAGGATGGCATGTGGAGCTTCAAGTATCCCGGTGCGGACAGCAAGGGGTTGGACGTGGTTGTTGGGATCATCTGGGTCTGGGTTGGTTGAGAAGCCCTTAGACTTGCAGGGGCGTCGAAGCGTTGGAGTGCTAGGGAGCTGCAGCGGAAGGAACGGGATGAGGTGCAGTATCAGCGAATCCCTGAGTCTTGACTGTGCCTTGGGTGCGCTACTATTGGCGACCATGGAGGAGAGATACACGTTCCTGACAAAATTGGTCAATCTGTTTGGCATTGAGAGCCGACATGGGTGGACGCGAGCCGGTGGTAGATTATGTCAAGAAGGTGTTGGAGCTCGCAGTGCCAGAAGTGTTGCAAGGCATTTGTTTCCCTGAATGCTAGCCCAGTCAAGTGTCCCGAGGACAGTCCCTGCTGCAGAGCATCTGTGTGGGCTCCGCCTTTGGCGGTGTAAGTGCCAGTGGCGCACGAAGTCGATATGATGCTTCTGTTTTCCCCGATGAGAGTCAGGGTCTGTATGCCGGCTGCATAGCCATCAGGCTACCATCTAGTCTGATTGGATTCCTGCTGAAGGGGTGTATGCTTCTTCTGACGATATGTTGGGATGGTGTTGCCGTTTGATTCCAATGACGGCACGCCCCATTGGGCTGCTAGCTCAAACCCAAGACTATGAGCTCGTTCACGAATATCGAGGAGTTAGACACAATCGATGTGCATAGCCGCAAAGCATGCGCTGGGACATGTCAGCCTTGGATGTTAGACCAACGATGGCCAATAGACAGGTACACATACTCTGTACCCCTGAGCCTCTCGGGGGTCACTCGTGTTTGCTGCTGCCATTCAATTGCCGATCTTGTCCACGCACCTCACCTTTCTTGTGGCATTCTTGAAATCCCTAGGCTTCCCAATGTGGTTTTCATTGGGTTTGTCGAAGACGAGTAATCGGCGACCCTCAGTCATGTCGTTGTTTCAGCTGCACTGAGAAGATGATTGACACCTACGGAGTACTTGCGGCTCCATCAATCAAGAGAGTCGACGTCGTAGGTGCGCAACAGATATCGGTGATTCCGTCTGTCTCAATATGCACATTGTCAATGTTGTGTCATCTCGCAAGCTGTTGCTGAGCAGAAGCAAAGCTTTATCTGACATATAATAACCCAGCGTTTACTATGGTATGATGCGATCTTTGAGTTTGCAGCTGGAACAGCCGGCGTGCCCGACGCAAAAGCCGGAGCACTTCTCGCAGCTCATTGGCTGCTCTGTTGAGGCTGAATGTGGCTCCAGCTAGTCTCCTTGGTGTGAGCATACCAGTCAGAGCTTGGGCACGTACCCGAGTACGTACCCGGTCCTCCGCAGCACGCCATCACGAGGCTTGAGTCAGGTGGTGACTGCGGATCGGGGACCAAGGAAATCGGAGAATTGGGCCCCTTGGCCAACGCGCCCCTGCCTCTGCCACCCTGTCTGCAGGGCACAGAAGAAAGCCCTTTCTCTGGGTCAGAGCTCTTGGGTAAATGGTGCCTCGCTGAGCTTCTCGCGCAGTGACCATCGGCAAATGCTCAACCACGGGGAGTCGTGCGAGCTGACGACTCACGTACATAGCGCGACCTTATTTCTCGCGAAGAGCAATAATCTAGAGCAGGCGAGGAGACGATGCCTATCTCCTCCAAAGATCGGCGAGGGGAAACGAGCCACAGGCTGTAGCCTGTGTGCTGAGGACTGTGCAGTAACCTACAGATCGCTTAAGCGACGCGCAGGCTGGAGCAGTCCTCAGGGCAAGATCATCATCGACGGTTGTTGCCCCTTCGACCGGCGCCATGAGAATAGAAATGTACACTGTATCTGAGCATATGGTGGTTAGTCCTAGTGTCATCTCGCATTCAACAACCGGCTCAGAGTACTCTTTTGTACTGTAGCTACCTCTGATTCTGTGCTTCAAATGGCGACCCGGGAGCCTGGCGCGAACGCAAGTTAGGCGAGTTGTCTCAGATCAGGAACCTCCACAAGAGGAATAGTTGAAGCTGTCACCTAGCTGGCGATGGGTAAGATGCTATCCCCGGCTGCTCGTCCGATCTCCGACCCATACCAATGTGTTGGCATGTCCCGCGAGTCAGCGGAGTGTGAATTCCAAGGGCTGCGGACGTTCGGTGCATCTTCGCTTCGCCAGCTCGAAGGAAGTCGCAGTAGAGCTTGCCGGATCACCGTAAAAGTCGCTGGATGGGTGCTTGAGAGGAGGCTTTCAGGATCTAGTAACGAGCTGGGGGGGAGAGCCGCGGGGTTTAGCTGCATCGATAGACTGATATTGGCCGATGGCTTGCAGATAAACGAGGCGAATGACAAGCACGGGCGTTTTCCTGCTGAGTCGAGACTCCTTCGTTGAGTCTGAGGCGAGGGTCGTGGCTGGCATCGTGACGTTTTGGACTTGGTGCAAATTTTCAGATGCGTTTCAGGCAGGTACATTGTGCCTGCCATTGGATCCTGCTGCGCCCACCAATCTCAGGATGAATTGACCATTGAGTGATTGATGCTCATGGTTCCTCGCTGGCTTGCACAGTCAACTTGGGTGCCGTGCATCACAGTCCCCTGTTAGGTGTCCATGGCATGCTGCAAATTTCGGATTGGTGTCACCTTCCCTGCCCACCGGGTACTCCACGCTCCCGGGCTTTCCACTATACACCCTTTCGGCGATGCTTTGCTGACCAGGGTGTCTAGAATCGAACCCTGTCGACCTCGTGTCCCTTCCCCCTCTCGAATGCACAACAGCTGTGCATCATGCAGATATACTCCAAATATAGGACTGGGCGCTGGCCTGTGTTTTCGCACACCTGAGCTATGACATTAGAGACTGCGAAAACATTCGCTCGCCTACTGCATTGTCCAGCGCTATCACAGGTCCTCCATCTGCCCTCTGCACCGGTGGTCGCCGGGTGCCAGCCGGATCAGACAGCATGTCCTGGACAGGGGTGTTCGATGCCTGTCGAGGTTGCTCCATTATCAACCTACTCCACTCGGTCATTATCGGTCTATCGATGCAACTAAATCCTGCGGGCCTCTTCCATCTCAATACTGGATCCTAATGACCAGCAGATCCGGCAAACGAGGTTTTTAGGACGAATCCGTGCCTCGGAGCCAGCAGCCGCTGACCGGTGGTCAACTGACGAATTTCTTACTCACTTTTACCGAGAACTTCGTTAGCAAATCGAGCTACGACTACATACGCCAGAAGAGGGGCCAAGTGTTACTGCATACATGAATATAGCGAAAGAGAGCCAGGTGGTAGCACAACCATGTGATCTTGCCCTCGTCGTAGTCGGTCCTGTGTTGTCGTTACGCCAGCCCGCTCCACTGGATAATGCAATGGATAGGCCCTGTCACGACACTGCTCAGCTGTACAATCCAAGCTGGACCGCGTGGCAAAAGCATTGTGGACCATACCATAGTCTTCAGGCGGATGTGCAATTCCTGGCTGCCAGTGGTTTGAGACTGCGCCCTGAGAGGTTCGTGGCCTGTGTTTTCAGGACGCTGCCTGCGGCTGAAGGAGAGCTTGTTCCCATACTGGCGCCCCGGGCAGCATCCATCGTTGGCATCTGGGTTGACTGGCCTGTTTAGGGGCTGGTGCTAGAGGATTAGACTGACGACTAGCGGTGCCCTGCTCCTCTTTCTTACGGGATTGGGCTTGAGCCAGCCACTGCCGCTACGCCTTTCTCAGCCTCCCCTGCTTCGAAATCTGAGATCGCTCTTCCGGGGTTGCCATTGCACAGCATCTGACTGCGTTTTTCAACAACTGGACGTGTCCACCGGCTCTCTCATCCACTCTTTACCCCCCTCCTACTCTTTGTGGAAGGCGGCAGTCTGCCGAACGGCGATCCCGGCCCACGGACTGCGGCGATCTCGCATCTGACATCTTCCTATGGGAAGCCAAGTGCAGACTCAGGCTTTGGGCCAAGGAGTAGTTTGCTAGGCGAGAAACCCTTGCTCACCTGGCCTGGTGTCCCCCCGAGTGAGCGGTGCTCAATGCATTTGCTTCTTTCCCATGGCTCCACGACATCGTCATGCTTGTCATGCTCCCAAGCTGGACCAGGTCCTACTGCCGATTCTCGATTGAGCATCGAACCACAGCAACTGGTCCCTATTTGCTGGTGGTTGCCCAATGCAGGCTGCATTCGTCCCAATACACTTCGGCCAACGGCAGTCGAGCCAAACTTTACCGAACAGACTGGCTGACCATATTCTGCAACTGGCTATCGGAATATAGTCCTGATGGTGCTCCTGGAAAGGCAGAGCGGGTCGTGATCGCAACTCGGCTACAACCCTGCCCAAGACTCCCTCAACTACGAGTTACCAGCACCATTTGCAGATCTGTCAGAGCACTGGACTCTATACAGTTATAGCGGAGTATCCGCCAGGTCCGCGACCTGGTCAGATTCTAGGAACTCAACTCGTCCACGACTGATTGTCGACATTCGATTAACCTTGACCATTCGCAGGCTGGCCGTTGTCGCCGTTGCACTATCGCACTTCCCATTCTCCTGGCTGCCCAATCAAACCCAGTATCCTCGTCTCCTCCTGAGCGGTTGATCTCCTTTCGCGTCAAACCGTATTGTGGCCTCCCTAGCTGGCGTTCCAGCCTTGAACACCCTGAGTCGCTCAGCTTCACGTCTCGATCCTCTCACTGGAGGACACTTTGCAGTCGGCGGCCCTGTGCTGCTGCGGGTCCTCCCTTCTGCGCGCCCGGCCTTACGTATTGTACGCCTAGGACCTCTGCACAATGTGAAAGCCGCCCAAGGTACTTGAATGATGTCGGTCGCCACAGAGATCATCCATCAGTCCACGAGTAAATACCTTCACATTATCGACATGTCAGAGTCTGGGAGTGAAGCGAGCAAAGCAGCCAAGAAGAGGTCAGTTCGATCCATTCGCCGTAGTCCTTCTACGCTTCTCACTGATTGTGTCCCAGAGAGTACAATCGCAATGCCCAGCGAGTCTTCCGTAAGTAGCTCTGCGCCTCCCGCGGATCGGGCCTCTGAATTTGCCTCTCAACGGGCACTAATTTTCCCACTAGGGCAGCGACGCAAGGAACATTTGAGCAAGCTTGAAGCATCTCAACGAGAGTTGAACAATATCCAGGTCGAGGAAGTCGAACGTCTACGCCGCGAGAATCAAGCGCTCGTGCAAGAAAACGAATCACTGAAGGCAGCCTACGGGTCGCAAGCCAGCTCACCAGGGCCGACAACCATCAGCCCTAGCGAGGTTAGAGGCTCGCCCTCTGGTTATCTTGCTTATGGCACTACACCTGGTGGCTTCTTAGGACCAGTCGCGGCCTCGCAGACGTTCGTCCCAGGCGCCGCGTCCGTTGCTTTGCCTGCACCTGCCACCACCCCATTGTCGAGTACCAGCAGCGATCCCAGCAACCTCGTGGTGGTGGTACCGAACAACATCCGCGAGATCCGCCGGTCGCTTCATCAAATGTTCGCGCCACTCCTGGAGATCCACGTTATCTCCAACCCTCAGACTCATTTGGCTACCCTCGCAGCAATGGAGCCATCGCTACCAAGCCCTCTGAAACCTTCCCAACTCCAGCTTACTACGCCACATCATGCATACATCGACATGCTTCCCTCGCCGAGCCTCAGAGACCGACTCATCGCGATCGGGCCTGCAAATACCAACACTTTTCTTACAGAGGCATGCACCATTGCATGCGACACCGAGGACACGGGACAAATGATAGTTTGGGGAGAAGATTGGCTGAATGAATTCTCGTGGGAGTTTTCGGCTAGCGTTCTGGAACGATGGGGAGGCTGGCTCCTTACTTCTGAATGGGGACAGAGAGCCAACTTTTGGCGACGACAAAGAGGAGCACCGGTTCTCCCAGGATACGACTGATGATATACGAAATTGGCGTCTATCTCTACTCGATCCCCGTGAACCCCCAGACCGGGGAAGAAGTGAGGCCAAACGGCTCGGTCTGAGCCAAGAAGCTGGAGTACAGCACAGACCAGGCCGGGGTATATATGTGGGACGGCGTCTTCTACAGCATAGTTCGATGTCTTCGTGACGGAAGGCAGTTCTCTTCGAGCCACAAATCGCCCTCGGGATAATGTGCCGGCTCCAAGAACAACTGGCTGCCCGGTTCCTTTGCTGAAAGAGGGGCGCAGGTCGCCCTTTACAACATTTCCACCTCTTTAACACTCAGAGTGCACCAATCTCGTCGTCTCTGTGCTATGTTGCTGGCGGAAGAGCCATTGCAATGCCGGTGTCTTCACGGTCTCTTATGCCGAGGAGTGGCCTCGTGTCCGATTCGACCCTGGGCGTATGCCTCATGCGCACGTGGATCTCGTCTGAGCTACGTCTTGAAGGAGGGCCGCGCGTGTATTGAGTGAGCAACTGCTATACCCTTCTCAGATAGCTCGAAAGAGTGAGGATTCAGGCATTGGGGAAGCGAAAGACTTGACGCTTTCATGCAATCTTGGGATTCCAGGTACCAGCGGATGGTCCTTAAAGGTACGAGGGTGCTCCTTCCGGGAGTTGCACCTCGAGACGTCGCTAATGCCTTGACCAGATGCGCAGAGTCGAAAAGCAGGCTCGGGCGCAGTTGTGCCGACATTGGGATCGAAGATTCGGTGAGATCGCTCGGCTTATCACGGATTTTACGTACAGAATCATGAACCACAGCATCACAGCAACTCCAACGGTTGGACTGGGGAGACGCGTGCTCACCCACTTGCGAGAGGGCCCGGATCAACAAGAAGAACGACTGTCTCGTATCCTGAAGTCAAGTCTAGACCAGCTCAGACACGAACAATGACGACGGTCAAGCACGGACTGCCATTTCAGTACTCCGTACATCGCAAAGCCTCAAACGGATGCTGATTAGCGCGCGACAAGGAGGATCAGCCTCGGACCCGTTTCGGGGCATTGATTGCCCGTCGAGGCGCACGAAGTTAACTTAATAATTATGGGCATTTCGAGCGAAGCATAAACTTTGACTGTCTGGGCTCTGTCTGTTGCGTGAATGAAAAGTTCCCACTCCGCCCAGCGGCCAGCTATCGTAGCCAACCAAAGGAAGCCCCGAACTCGAAACTTTGAAAGAAGAGCTCCATCCGTCCGCCATGCGCATGGATGCTATGCTTCAGCCGGGCTGAGCGAAACAACGAATCGCATCGAATCATACCATGACATCTTGAGGCGAGCCGTGTTCAGATGAGTCAAGTCAATGCATATCACGATAGAGTCGCTTCGCTCGGAACTCGGAGGTTCGGCCAGCCTCGCTAATCCCCCACCAGCGAAAGCGCAGCGAGTTGTGGACGGTGGCACATGGTCCCTGTTTACGGCATGGCTGTACTGGTAGAACTCTGCTTCCCATGTGTCGTGATGAGTACTCCGTACCTTAAATGCGTGTCTATCCAACAGTAGGGTAGCGCAGTAGGTGTGCGGTAGCTAGCAAAGAGTAGCCTAGCCGGTAGCGAAACCAAGCCAGTCCCGTCCCTGTGTACAGTACGGAGTAATTACATCATAACGAACATGTAGCACGGCCACGATACTCCCCATCCAGACCGGTCCCGTCCCGTCCAGTACAGTACTGTGTCCTACAACACCCATCAGTGCATCCAAGTAAGGACAACCACGTCCTAGGATAGGTGGGTAACCAAGGTATGTAGGTTCGGCCAGGCCAGATTTTTTTCTCGGAATGGACTCCGTCGCCAGCTTCGACCTGTCCGTGGAACGAAGGAACGAAGAAACGGAAAATAAAAGCAAACAAGGTATCTAGGTACCTACCTAGGTACAAGGCACAGTGTCGGTTTATGGTTTTGTAATGACTATCGTAGACAGGGCCAGATGCGCGCCCGGTGCATTTCCGTTGTATGTACTGCGTACAGTACGAGGTCCTCCCAGCAGAGAGTGTAAGTGGCCTGACTGAGGGTCGGGTCCCAGGTTGCTCTGCGTTTCTATGACACTGCCGTCGTGGCCGTGTGCACCATTGCATCCATGGCAGTGACGCTGTATTCTACCTAGGTACCTGTGAATTACATCTTCTCCAGTTTCTATCCTTGACCAATGTAATTTATTGCGTACTGTGTACTCCGTACTCTTGACCACATCCTCTGTTAAGCCACAATGGTGACTCAATGGAGGAAGGACATTGCCACCCACATGTTAGATTACTGCCTCCGGGTTGAAGGCCGTAGCTGATTGTATAGTAGCTCAGGTTTGGGTAGCCGGTCACATATCAATACGCGTCACGGTCCTTCTTTGGCGGGATATCGCCATCCCGTGGCGGTCTGAGACTCCCTGTGCTACCTACCCAGGTACCTACCTAGGCCTCAATTCACGACAAGTCGAGTCGAACATCACGTTCGCCATTGCTGCCCAATAAAGGTCGTTCGAAGGACTTACCCAGAGCTGTACTCCATACAGCATGACTTATACGGTACCACAGTATGTAGGACTGAGGCTTGGCTCTTGCGAACTGCAAGTCACGCGCCCCAGGACACGTTACCATGGCAGGCAGTGACAGGCAGCAGTTCGGGGGGTTGGTGTGGATTCAACGTCGACGACACCTCGTCCAGCACGGGCTCATGCCAGCGTGACTAACCACCAAACCGCGACGTTCGAATCAAGGCCTCCGAATCGGGCTTCCTTGTCATGCTTCAAAGGGGAATCACCTCGCCCATGCACACTACCCGCCAATCCGACCTTGATCACCTTGCTCCAATATCCTTCCACGCGGAATGCCAAACGACAGACTTCAAGCCAATCAATACGAAGCGTTCTGGCGCACCTTCACGCTCGTGGCCCCGCCACGGCGTCGGCGTCGGCGGCTGTGGCATCCTTGTGCCAGTAAGTATCGCTGAAATAGTTGTTCCTGCATGAACCGTTCGTGGAGTGGGTCGCGTCGACAAATTCACCTGCCACCGTATGGCTCTTTTGAGCACCGCAACCATGTCCCTGTGAAGTTCCATGCGGGATTGCGAGCGAGCCTCGTCGGAATTAAAATGTCGGTAGAAGGACCCCGCGTTGGGGCTGTCCTCGCGGTTTTCGGGGTCGCGGTCACGGTCGAAGTTTCCTATGGCTCTCTCCTTGGAGAGAGACGACGGTGTCTTTTTCAAAGCCCTTAATAGGCCGCCGGTCTTTAAGACATGAAAATCGATGTAGGTTTGGACGGTTGCCGCTTCCCGGTGTGCTTTGGCATACAGGTTTAGCAAGCACATGAGTGTTCACATGTTCGATCCATGCATAGCCGCCGCCGAACCTCTTCCCGCAACGGTCGATCAAATGCTCCGGAAAGCACCGTTAAGCTCGACTGCCACATCGACAGAGCAAATAGCACTCCATAGAAGTAGGACTCAACTTTCTCAAATGTGCGCTTGAGGTCGCCCCCAACGAGGACAGAGTGGTGATATTCCTCGTTCAGAGCGGGGGAGCTCATGCACCAGTATGTAACGGCGCCACATACGAAGAATACCAGGAAGTCGAACAGACTGGTCTGGGTCTGGTAGAACGCTAGGGGCCCTCTGGGAGCGATCTTCGGTGCCATGAGCAGCAATAGGTCCGAACACATTCCGCTCCAGCGAAGCAACTCATACCAGTCCCATCTCGTCCGCAACAAGACCAGGATCTGTCCATGAAAAGTCTTAAAATAATGCCAATTGTCGCCTGGCGTGATTCCGGACGAACTCCGGCGGCCCTGTTCCTTCTCCGTTTGACTGGCACTCGAGATGCACACGCATTCGGGCATGTAAGAACCCGTCCTCGCTGGGGAGACGCGACTCCGACATGCTCCTTCTATGATATCTGTTGCTTGCATGCTCTAGGGCAGCTGTCGATGCTGGAAGGTTAGGGTTTGCTGTCGCCACTGTAGATCTGGGGTCGTTCGAAGAGGTGGGTGCTGCTGTAGACGGTCCGGCTCATCATGACCCAAGGTGGAGGTGTATCAATGCAACGTGTCTTTGTATCATGCATGGACGGGATTGCGACATTTCCAAAAAAGATCAAGAATACGTGCTTCGGTGTATGGGGTGAACGCCTGCATTCTCCGCGATTGGATTGCTCGTCGACCTCCTTTGCTTGGATTCTCGTATCAGCTCATCGTCGCTGCTGGTGTCGGGCTCCGGAAATAGTATTTTTGAGAGCGGTGACTGGTTGCCGTTGGGTCGCTGGCCCGCCGCATCGTAGATCCGTCACCATTCGGGGATCGTGTTGAGGACTCTGTGTTGTCAGGACACTTTTGCCGGAGAGCTTCGACCTCGGCAGCGCTGTAGGCCCTACCAACCGGCTTGTGGGCAGGTTTATCCCAATCCAGCGTGACGAGTTATTGTTCATACACGACCAACATGTCCGATGCCTTCAAGCTGAAGCTCCCAGCCTGTCAGTCCATAGAGTCTTGAGCTTTCGTTCAATTTGTGCCGAGGCAAGTCCTTTGGCAAAGGCGACGGTCTGTTCCTTGAGGTCTTTGACCAGGTCTGTAAAAGCCAAGACGAGCTAGCCCCATTTGGCGTACTCTACTTAGTAGACACCTCCCTGACTCCCATGATCGCGGTGCTTCCAAGTGCGAAGGTGCTGGCTGGCACAATGGATCGAGAGCGACAATTACGGCAATCGACGCCGCGGTGTTGCGAGGTCTACCAAGTTATCCCTGGGGGGGGTTGAACGGAGCAACCCTCGATGTGTTGCGCTCTCTTTAATCCAGCTACAACGTCGGCCGGCCACCGTCGGGTGTCGCACCAACACTGGCCCCCACGTGCGGTGTTCGGAGTAATCATGTGGTAGGTCAAGGTCGAGGGGAGTATGGGCGGAAAGCTGGTAGTGGTCCTGGTCTGTCATGTGTGAAGAATAGCTCGGGTCGTAACACGGGTTGGCTCAGTTGTTGGGGGTGTTGCTTCATGACGGCAGAGATTATCAACCAGAGCCAGAAGTGAGAGGATCAAGAGTCACCAAGCTGCATCTTGCTACTTAGTTTATCCAGACACGAGAGTTTAATGTTGTGCAAAACTAGGAAATGAAGCACCGGACCACGTCTCCCCGGGTCACTCTCATGCTGCGCCTTGCTCTCTCAAGGCTGTCTGCCTTACTGCTATATTAGCAGATGGACGGGAAGAGCCTTGTCATTCACCCTCACCATATATTCGGCTGAGAGTGACGGACCTGCCTCCAACGACGGGACCCGCAGATGGAACGCCAATTCGAGACCTATCTCAACCTTCAGCCTTTCTTTATTCGTCACCGGCTCATGTCCCGGCTTTATGCGATCGGACGCAACCGAGTCATGTCACCCACGCCGCAAAGGACGAAGCTCTACTCGGACCCTGAATACATACATATTATGCTGATTTCTCCGCGGTGCCGTGCGCCATCTTCTCAACGCTGTTGCGTAAATGCAGCCTAGAGCTACTAGCCTAGGTCCACGCATTGAGATGTAATGCGCGTCTAGCGTGCAATACAACTAAGCTGTCGAACGCAAAAAGCCAACATCAAAGCCCAGGGGGTGAAAATGAGAATGCTGCCACAAATACCTTTATCCTGACCCTATGTTACCCATGGTCTCTGCTCTGCCGATGAGGAAAACTCCCATCACACCTTGAACTGTTTGTAGCCCTCCACCAAGCCATCGCCGCCTTTCGTGATGGCCACCCAGTCAGGGACATAATGCATTGCTTCATCAAATGCAGGAATCACTCCATTTTTATTAGCATCGCTCCATAAACACACCACTTTCCCGTTCATCGTGCCGTTGGTGCCAGCCTTCTCCTCCTCGGATGACGCATTGTCCCAACTGACATAAACAGTCCAGGCACTGCCCCATGTCCGACTCCACAGCCTAATCTCCTGGCTGCCGGCTTCAGGGACAGGGGCAAAGCGCTTGTCCTTGGCCGCCTGCCCTTTAACATGGAAACTCTTGATTGGGGTCGTATCAAAAACAAGCTTGCAGGCTCGAGTGTTCTTGCCATACAGCACAAAGCGTGCTGAGTTGTCACTGTCACTGACGTTCAAGCGGGTAACATTGAACGTCAGCCAGCTCTCGGTTTCTTTCGCAGACCGGACATGCGCAGAGGATGGATTGGCAACGTTGGGCGGGATGCCCGACCAAGAGCAGCGTTGCACGTTGCTAGAGTTAGAGGGGCCAGCGGGCGTACACTTAATTTCCTGTCCTGCCGCGCTGGGTATGTAGTCCACCGCGTGACGCGTAAAGGGTGAGACGCCCATTAAATATACAGTGTTGTTTCCTCCTTCAAGGTCGACATGCTGTTGGAAGAAGAGCTTCAGTCTGTTGTCCATCGAGAAGGGGAATGCAGTCAAGTTGTATGCCAGAGTGCCGATCATGACCAGCAGCAAAAATATCGGTACATGCCAGGTGAAGCGATGGAGGATGGGCACGAGCGGGGAGAAGAGAAGTATCGTGCAAACCGCCATCATAATGTATAGAAGGAACATCGAGCTCCCGTCCTGTCCGGTCTGGTGCAACCCTTCGGTCAGTAGCAGACCAATCTGCCCGACTATGATAACGTTGATCGGGGCCAGAACGAGTAGCTGCAACAGCCACAGGAACGACCACTGAGACTTGCTCCACTCCGGCTCGGCTTCACTGTGGGACTTTCCGTCGCTCTCTTTGGTGTCCGAGTTATGCTCTTGTTGTTCCCGACGATAGCCTCGTCTTAGCAAGCCCGACCTTTCTGTGGGTTCGTCTTCCTCATTCGCAGTAGGATGCTCTTCTTCGTCCTCATGGCCAGAAGTTGAAGTAGCCTGTGTAGGGGTCGAGCCATCTTCACCGACCAGTTTCTGACAATATGCCGACTTTTTGGGCAAACTGAATAGTTCTAGAAAGGCGACCCAGGTGGCCAGCCAGACTAGGGCTGCATAGATCAGGACGAAGTACAGGCCGACCAGGTGAAGGTGCTCTTCGAAAACCACCGCCACGATTAGGAATACCCACCAGGCGCCCCACATCCAGGAGAAGCCATAGGCCCGAGTAAGCGAGGAGGGCCGGCCGTAGTCAGCTGCTCGACAGAAGAACCATGCGACGAAGATAAAGGCCGCAGTCATCATAGACCAGACAGCCCATTCACTACTGTGGGCGATGTATTGATTCTCCTTGAAGATGAGATACGCCAGGGCAACTGGGGCTGCACAAGCCAAAAGCAGAATCAGTGGGAAACGGAAGAAACCTCGCCACCCGTACAACTTGATTTTCTCGTCTCCGTGTGGGTGATGGGCATATCGAGCGCCTGAGAAGAGGTAAAACTTGTCTGCTCGATACAACAAGGCGACGGTGATGAGAAGTATGATAGGTCCAGCGGCAAGCAGGCTGACGGACAAGGCAAAGAAAGAGTGGCTCCTCAGAATGGCAAAGGTTTGGCCAAACACATCGAACCAGAGCGCCCGGCTGCCTTGAACTTTGTTCGGGTCCAGATCCGTTCTGAGCGAGGCGGCAGTCAAGGCCTCCGAGGTTGCAACAGCTGCAGACAGCATGTGCCACAGAGAACTTTTGCCGGTGTGTCGAGAGTCATCTTGATCGGTATGGTAGCGAGCTCTGGGCCCAATAAATGCGAGATCGAGGCCACGGTAGCCCAATTTCCCATTGAACACCACGTAATCAGTCTGACTCCTGACGAGGCCTCGATTGAAACCATCTGCCGAAGTGGAGGAACCGAAAGGATATTTGGAGTGCGCATAGGCCTTCGTCACACCCTCGTCCGTGCTTCGAAAGAGGGCAGCTCTTCCTCCCGCACCAGCTCCTTCAAGGTTGAGAAATGAGCTGACCATCTTGGCCATAGGATGTTGGCTGAACACGTTTGCGCCATTGAGAAAGTCTTCTTCCCCGTTGTTCAAGAGTAGAACCAATCCATTCTTTGGGCTGTTCCGAGGCGTGGTAAAGTACTTGAGCAGCTGCAGCACACATATTACACCCACACCGTCATCCGTCGAGCCAAAGCCTGTAGAGACACTATCATAATGTGCGTTCACCAGTACGGCATTTCGTGTAGAAGGCTTTCCGTTCGGATCCTGCCACCATTTGGAAGTGTCATCCTCCTTGCCCGGCACATAGACGATAATGTTGGTCCCTTCGAAGTAAACAGAGACGCCCGAACTGGGGACAACCCCGGCAGATGAGAAGGTCAGATTGGAAACATTGTCCTCAAAGATGTATGCCGTCGCGTCATTCTCTTTTACTATCGTCTCGATTCGCTTGAGGAGCCAGTCGTGAACCGCGTCGTTGCGGCGACTGTTGTAGGGACGGTAAGAGGAAGTCAGAAGCTGAAGGTCCAGCCACGCTTCTGTAAGGTTGATGCCATGAATCGGAGTCGGCGAGCTCGGAGGTGAAGGCACAGTCGTGTGGACGATGATTAGAGCGATACCGATGGCAAGGTAAACAACGCTGCTGATAATGGTGACAGGCCAACGAGTGAATCCGAAGGGGTTAGACACCCTCGCCATCGCAGAGGAAGGGATGAGGATGCTCTTAGGACATTGGAGAACACTTGTCAATACAGAGCTGCAAGTATGCTGGCCATGGCGTAGAACTTGGTGAGGCAGCAGTCAATGTTCCCTCAAACCTGAAAGTTGAGATCATCGTGTCATGCTTTCCCCGCAGGCGAGGCGCCCCCAAATCTACAAGCATGTGCGCTGCAAACCATACCTGCATCAATGCCCCCACGCCTCATACGGGCGGGCCAACGAGGCCTTGTGGCCAAAGGCTCGCTTGTGCCTAAACAGACAAAGCCCAATCAGAAGAGCAGCGCCTAACTTGAGCTTGTAAACTAGCACGTGCGGCAACAGTGCTCTGCTAGCGTGTGGTGAAACTGCTAATGCTTGATTTCTAGAGAGATCCTTTGCTGGATCTTGTTACTCGTACCGAGTACTTCTGCGAGGGATCTCCAAGTTCGCCGGAAAGGCTGAAGAATTACAGATGGCCACGTTTTTTTGGGAGCTCACCAAAATGAAGCTCCGTTATTCTCCCAAAGCCGAAGCGTTGAACAGTCAAGGTATCCTAGCATGCACGGGGGAGCTGGAGGCCGAGGACATCCAGCGGGAACATGTTTCCTGCTGCCAGAAATTATCGGGCTCTTGAGTTGCTCGCCGTGAAGTTTGATTTTACCCTAAGTCCATCAGCACTCCAAGCAATGCAACACCGTTGGATTGATATGTCGCAGCAGTAGATTTTACACACAGTGGCCTTGGATGAAGAAGGGACGAGAACACGGGTTGCCCGTTTAGAAGAAAGCGCTCCGCCGAGTTCAGTGTCTGGACTGCCTGAGCCAGCTCTTACGATCCGAAGGATGAGCAGCCATGGCTAACATGGTCAGACATGCATGGTAAGCGTAAAACTGATGGCCGAAGCACTTGGGGACTGTGCGTGGGCAACATTGCGTAGAGCCTCGTGAGGGATAGTGCTCGGCAGTAGAGGCTCTCATCGGTAAGTTTGATGAGAGTAGAACTCTCATTTGACGCTTTACTCGCGTGCTAACAATCTCCTTCCAACAAGACGCTGGTCTCCTGAGTTAACTCCCTTCAAGTTCGTAGTTGACACCTAGCTGGTGAAGAACAGGCTTCGAATCGGGGAAAAGCTGGGCAAGAGCTCGTCGAGTTCCCCATTAAGAACAGACTGCAGTCAAAGGTAGGAGCAGACCACTGTCTGCTACTGACAAACCTGGACTGATACAAAGAGTCACGCCCTTGAAAGGGCGACAAGGAAAAGGCAATGTATGCTCAGGGGCAACACTCTTTGCGAGTCCTCGCCTAAGGCTGAGTATCGCGTGCCGATACTGTCTTGGATTGTCTTCGAGGACCGTAAATAACAATCGCCGCATTATAAGGCAGTAGCAGGGTACGGAGTTTTCGAAGGTCGCGTCGATTGCATGCAAAAGGTTTGCTGCATGTGTTGCGTTCGATGGGATTCATGGCTGCCAAAGCCCGGAGCCTTGCCGCGCAGAATGATTCTTCAGCCGAGGCCTTGTATCTGTTGGCGTGACTTCAGCTATCGAACCGCCGTCAGCAATAACTTCGGACGGTGGCGGGAAGGAACCCGCGGTAAAAGCAAGGCAATACATATTCCAATACCTCGGTGTAGACAACTCAGCCAGCGTCATCTGTGCGAAGGAACCCCGGGGAAATCCGCCAAGAATCGATATGTGTTCGTCAAGACCGAATGCAGTTGCACCTTTCATTCTTGAGAGGCAAATTAGATCATCCTAACCCCAGATTCTGGAATATCTGAAAATGACCCAGCCACGATCGCGTGGGTATGGATGTGCGCAAAGCTAGGACGCCACCTGGAGTACAATCTTCGCGTGCGCGGGATTCGGCCGAACCAAGTAGCTCTCCGCAGCCTTGCCTGTATACCCGCATCATAGCTGTGGCCACGTGGATACGAGATTCATGCCGTCGTGCGGGTTATGGTGTGGGGAAAGATGACAGGAATGAGTATTTTCCTGCGCGCCGTTGCCTATTGCGGTCAGCATCGTCACCATGGAACGATCCATGCACAGAAATGCACCGCCAGATAAACCCGCATTAGATAAAAAGTGAATGCAATAGTAGATTTGAAACGATCTGTGTCCGTGCTCAGTATGGAAATAAAGCATTCGAAGAGCCCTCAGCACGCCAGCATCTTTACGACAGCAGCTGGATACTCAGGTGGCATCCAAAAAAGCTCATAAGCGTTGTAAGCTCATGCAGCTTCGGCTCGAGCCCATGGGACGAGTAGCCGGAGTCTGACAAGCTGCTATATATACCTTCGTGCATGATCACTTGCAATGGCCGAGAGTGGAAAGCATGTACGTGTCTAGTTTCAAGATACTGCTGCAGGCACAAATGTCGAGATAATTGCGCTGCCCCTCGCAAAGTGGCCGTGGACAAAATCAGTCGGGCATTTGGAAACAGTGAGAGAGAGCAATGGAAGGACTGGGTCGCAAGGTCAACTCGCTTGACTTTCCTCCCATGTCTCAGCCAATCAGGGCACATCGACAGAAGGAATCGGCGTGGCCAAATCCCGACGCGCCGACACGCCGATACTCTTCTTTCAACAGCCCCTCACATGTTGCTCATCCAAGCAACACTTTTGCTTCTCGCACCGTTCACATCCACATAACCATCGGTCTTATCGCGGCCAGGCCGCTGAGGACCTTTAGACCACTCAGAAACGATCTATGAAACGCTGGAACCACTCCTCACGATGGACTAACCAGGCGTCCTACCCGGTGTTACGTGTCCAACCCTGGTAGCTGACCAGTAAACTCTTTGGAAAGAACTCTGATACCTGCCGCGGTGTTGGCTTGGGAGGTATGCATCCGACATTTTAACTGGACGGAAACGGTACGAAGTGTCAGTTGGCGGGTGCTCTGCCCTCGGTCTTGGAGTGCCGTTCCCTCTGCTTTGCGATGAGGACCTTCCTTCGGAGTATGGACCAGGAATCACCGACGGGAAGGCATAAAGGGACCTAGTATATAGATACCGCCGGTTTGTAACACCTTCGAGCCTTCTTCCCACTAACTCGAGTCGAGTGAGATTTGGAATACATTGTCACTGTCACACCTGCCCGTCGCTGCTCTGAACTGGCTTATATTTCTCCCACCTAGTTCTCCTCGCGACACTTTCTTTGGGTCAACCAACCCAAACATGACCAGCAATATGGCATTACTTTGCGGGCCGAACTTCTTCTACATGACTGCATCCATCCTGATCGGCTCGGCCATCATCACATACCTACTCAAGTTCATCCAGCTAGACATCCGACCTTTCATGTCAACAAAACCCGGCAAAATCATCGAAACGACCGCAACAAAAGTCTGTGAACGGGTCGTTGACATGCTCGCTATCTCGGATCCACTCACTCCGCCAAGTAGTTCTATCACCAGATCCTCCCGCGGCTACCTTGAAACTCTCCCTCTACGTCGCGGCTCCCGGCCCGAGGTTCAGGGCATCAGCAGCCCCGTCCAGAGAAGTCAACTCCCGCCTTGGGAGCAGAAGAACGTGCAAGACCGCCTGCGAAACCTGATCATCGAGATCCCGGAGAAATGCCCTGTGTCAACATACTTGGGTCGGTCGACATTCGAGCCTGCCTCTCCGACTTCACTTTACGCCCGACATCGTGCATTCAACGAGACGCAGTACTATGGCGAAATCATCAGCGCGAACACAGAAGATGGATTCATCCACTCAAGTCTCCACCCGAGTGACGTTAGGGTGGTAATTGAGAAGGGTTGGGGCCAGAGACATCCACTGTCCGGACGCCTTACCGCTCGACTGACGGGACTTGTGGATGCAAATCAGCCTAGCCCGGTTGAAGGGTCGAAGGTATTGCTCTATGCGCCGAGAAACAACGAAGACCTGGACGTGATTGGGAAGATTCTGAACGCTGCTGTTTGGTGGGTTGGCGGAATTGACAACAGCTTTGACAATGAACAGGTTGTGGGTAGCACTGAGTGGTAAGTGATGACCTGCTGGTGAAGGCTTTTTTTATGTCTGTTACGGATGGGCGGGTTCTTGATGTTGTCTACACCTCTTCAAGCAGGGCCGACATTGCAATCCGTTCTGTCAAAGCAGATAGACGGACAGTATGAGTCCATGTCCAAGGTTGAGATTGTACTGTTAGCGCAACTACACATGTTCGATCAGATCATGAGACTGTCGCCGCTCCTCGTGATCGAAATGACATCCTCGTCTCGTCCTACCCGTTGGTCGGGAAAGTGCTGAAGCCTCTAGTTCATAATTTCTGCCAGGTCAGGCTCCACTATTCAACTTCAAGTATAAGCAACCCCTGAAACCCCATTTGGTAAGGTATGGCCCGAAGCGCGGTGCATAGTCGGTGACACTTCAGCTCTCTCATGCCCGCATAAGCGACACGTCCAGTGTAACACTCTAGATATACGTCGCATATTTCGATGTTCCGTTCAAGACCTTGACGAACTCCATTGCGATGTTTCGATCCGTTTGCTCACTATTGCCCCCATCGCAGATTAGTGACGTCCCATCCACGGCTGAAGCACGAAAGAAGCAAAAGTAACTTACCTAGGATGCAATTCGTCGAACCACAGATACCCATCACTATTCGTCCCGTTGGCCCGCTTCACGCACGTCGTCTGGTTGACATTGCAGTGGTTCTCGAACCCCCACACGCTCTCGCCTTCCTTGGCCACGCCCGTCCCGTTGAGATATTTCGCGGGGTTGTTGTAGATGTCCGTGATCAGCGTGTGGGTATCGAACAGCGCGAAATGCGCGCTGGGGTACCGGTTCGCGACCTTGACCTCATACGGCGTCTGGTATTTGAACACGTTGTTCACGCTCGTCGTGTATTGGCGCATCGTGTACGCGATGGCGGTGTGGTTCGTGGGCTTGTCAGGCCAGTACTGGTTGTCGCCGACGCCGTGGTAGCTGTCGTTTGCGTACAAGGGCGCTAGGTCTAAGGGTGCGGTGTTCATGAGCACGAAGTGCCGTCCGCCGCTAGCGTACAGCTTGTCGAAAACCTGGTATACGCAGGACGTGTAGTCGGCGAGGACTTTGCCCGCGATCTGGCTGTCGGTCAGGAAGGCCCAGACGCCGAGGTCGTTGGTGCCGATCCAGAGGGCATAGACCGCGTCCTGAGCTGTGGGTTTGGGATTGTACAGCGGCACGGCGGGCGTGGAATTGACTTTCGTGGCGGGCAGGTCGGCGATGAAGGCGGGAATCTCGTACTCGAGCACGGCGGGGAAGGGCGCGTCGATGGCTTCGAACCACCGCGGCGTGATGTTGTTCGAGCACACTGCGCCAGAGACAGCGTAGTTGTAGAGCGTCATTTGTGGAGTCCATTTCCCCTGCACGGTCGCACCGGTATATTGGACGACGTAGCGAGGCCAGGTGCGGCCGCCGCCGGCGGTGGCGAAGGACTCAGGGAGGAGTGTGCCCGGTGCCGGAGCCGAGCCATTGTGATTGATGAACCACCCGAGGCGCGACTCGTCCGTATAGCTGTCACCGAAGGTGATGAGGGAGCTGAACTGCTTGGCGGACCATGGCTTGCTCTGGCGAGGGACTGGAAGGATCGAGCCGTTGGTAGAGACGGCAAACAACGAAGCGGCAAGGCTAAGCACCGCGGCTGAGAAGCGCATCTTAAATGGCGTGTGGGACAGGAATAGTCAACAATACTGGCCAGGGTAAAGCTCATAGTCGCACAGGAACCGACCGAAGCTTTATACCTCCACGACCGGCTCTTTACCGTCATTTTTGTCGTCAAGCTCAACCCTGGAAACAGGCAACCCCTACCTGCCCCGTACCTAGATCCATCCTAGCTCGTCCGGATTTCAATGTTGCGGGAAACTACAGACGAGCCATCCACATTCAATGCGGAACGAAAGCTCGATGCGAAGCTTCTTAGCGGTCCAGGAACGGGCTTGAATGCATCCGACAGCTAGGCGGTGGGCAACATCAAGCATCTCCGTTTGTGCGGCAGTTGAATGGTAGGAGGCAAAGCTTGATTCGAACGCATCATTGACGTTTGTCCTTTACAGATTGGGCAGCTCGACATTGAAGCCAATTCAGCCTGAAAGGAAGAAGGACAAGGAGAGGCGGAAGTGACTGAAAGGCAAGGCGGGGCGACGATGTGGGTTCCCCGCATTTTGCAAAGCAGGTGAATCGAAAAGACAGCATCCGAGTCTTTGCTCGCCGAAGACCCATGACAATGTGGAGGGCGGGAACAGAAAAGACACGTCGTGAGAGCCGCATCGCCTCTCTTGGATATTTCTGGTCTCGAAGACCTGTTGCGACGTGGGCCGAGCTACCCGTACATGAGGGGGGTGCGTGGAGCAGCCTCGCGTGACCACGACTCCGCAGCTTCTTCTGTGACTGGGAAGGTTATCCGAAGGATTGGCCAGACAGTGCCAAGGGCTGTAATGGGCCGTACCCCCTATTGTACGATACCGTATTGTTTACATAGGCCTCTGTAACTAAATAGCTGGGTCTCTGCTCAGACCCTCTGGAATTCATCATGTCCTCCAACTGAGTCACACTTCGCTTGATCTTCAATCACGCCCGCGGCGGCCCGAGCTCCTGTCAGGTCTTGACCACATAAAGTATTGCAGCCTTACCTGTGCAGTGGCCACCCGGTTAATCACCCATACCTCCACCCACTCTAACTTGAAATGAGAATTGAAGCAATTAGAATAGTCCGTCCAGTATCGAATTAGCAAGCGCTGAAGCCAACAATGGAACGGGGCGCACGGAAATTCGCTGCAGAAACGAGCTGCCGATGAGCCCACGGGGAAGGTAGGATTGGACTGGATCATGACCCATGTTGCATTGTTGTCCTGTGTATCAGGTCGTGGGTGGCAGCCAAGCCCGGCAGAGATAAATCCTTTAGGACCACCTGCCACACGCCTTCCGCATTACAGAATACGGGAGGGAGCGAAATTCCAACCCAGCTCAACAACGTTCATGAGTCTCATTGCCAGCACGCTGCGGTGGTCCAAGTCGTTGTCGAGTGCACCCCACGTTAGCTGGCCTATTCAATGCCGCCACAGTGTCCAAGCCCCCAAGAGAACAAACATGCCAGCGGGCCGTCCCAGCCATGCAGGCGTTACTTACCCTCCGCTAATTTGAGGGCTTCTCGCGGAGTGATGCGTATACCGGTCTTGTCAAAGTGCTTGGCCGCCAGTGCAACACCCTTATTCTTGTCGTGGTCTTTCCTCGCCTTTCCCGTCTTTGCTGACTTCTTCTCGTCGTCCTCCTGCATCGTGCTCAGTTCAGTTCTGCCGAAGGATATAGGGGTCCACTATCGTGGGGTGCCATACCTTCTTCGCTGCCTCTTCCTTGGCCTTCTCCTCTTCTTCCTTCTTGGCTTTGCTCTCGGCCTCCCTGGCAGCTTCTTTCTCCGCCTTCCTCCTCAAACCTTCCTCCTTGCGTAATCTGGCAATCTCCTCTTTTGCCGTGGTCTTGCCGTTCTTCTTGTTCCCGTCGCTGACGTCCTTGCTCTGCTCGTCCAGATGGTGCTTGATGTCTCGGAAGCGCGCCTTCACTTCACCGAGGTGCTTGAACGTGCTTGTTGCCGCCATAATATCCTTCCATGATGCTGACGGATCGGTTCCCTTCATACGTAGAATGATGCGGTCATCATCGGTGAGGCCATCATCGTCTTTCTTGCCGGCGTTGTTGGCTTTGGCCTTGTCGCTGTCCTTGGCTTTTGGCCCATCCTTTGTGCTTGGTTTGGGCGTAGCGCAGTGAACCTTCCCGCAGCATGGACACTACAGTGTTCAGCATGGCACCACCTCCAGTGTGAAGCCAATTTCGAGCTTACCTTTCTCGGTGGAGTCTTTCGAGGCTTGCGGTCCGGAACCCCTTTGAATGCGTCCCAGATGGATACCTTGAGGGGAACTTTGGTGCCATCGGCCTTTGTGTGGATTATCTTGAGGGACATTTTGAAGGGGTGTAAAGGCGTTGGAGATCGAAGAGGGAATCGAAAATCTGGTGAGAGGGAACTCAAGACGGACATTATGAAAAGAAGAAAAAGCGCAGGTGGGCAAAGACGGAGGAGATTTCACAGAGCAACACAGCAGAGCAGGGCGCGGGACGTAGTCACCGCAGATAGATCGGCAGGATAACAGCACAGCGACAGTAGTGGTTACTGTGGTCGCGGCATAGAGTACATATATTGAGCCGTGACTTAGGACAATACCACGCTGCTTCAGGACCCAGCTCGAGACAGGTTACATTTCGTTGCTGTGAATGCATCGGTGTGAGCAGGAGAGGCTCAGGGAAAGGATTCAAGCTCATCAGGCGCCGGCGAAAAAGGGGCAACGTTCGCCAAGCGCGACGCCTATTGGCCCCTCAAGTTGCAGATCGTCCCAATTTCAGGGTCAAAACTGCGGAGTTGCAAGTCAGTTAAGGACACTTTTTGGCGTTGCGAATACGGAGAATGGATTGCTAAATTGTTGCTGATTGCTACACTGTACCAAACATCGTCTCCTCGGCACCTCGGTCAGCGTAAGTCTCTCTCACGAAATTGACGAACCCCACAGCCGGCCCAATAAGACAGAAAGAGGAGGCATGCGCTTCTCACGAGCAGCGGCCTATGCCGCGTTCGCAGGATGTATAGGCGCGGGCGTGGCACACAACATCGCCCTGAAAGCGCATACGAGGGAGTGCTTCCACGAAGAACTGCACAAGGACGACAAGATGACGGTGACGTTTCAAGTGGGCGACCGGGAGTTTGGCGGCGCAGGAAACCTGGAGATTGATTTCTACGTATGTCATTCCAAGTTCTGCTACGCGAGACCGAGCGCATATAGGGGCCAATAGACTAACAGGATACGCGTCGCCCAGATTACCGACCCTTCAGGTTCATACGAGACAAAGCTCAACTCCGTCTCATCCGGGGACTATTCGTTCGAAGCCCGCATGGACGGCAAATATGTCTACTGCTTCAGCAACGAGCACTGGTCGGCAAATAGCAAGGAGGTATCGTTCAACGTCCATGGCATTGTATACGTGCCCGAATCAGAGGCTCCCCAAGATCCGCTCGAGACAGAAGGTACGGAGACAGACTTGTCCTGGTGGGTAAAGTCAGGGCGCAGGCTAACAGAGATGTGTGTGTTCTAGTGCGCCAACTCTCCGACCTCCTCGCCCAAGTGAAAGACGAACAGGCATACATTGTCGTCCGCGAACGAACGCACAGAAACACCGCCGAGAGCACGAATTCAAGGGTCAAGTGGTGGTCAATATTCCAGCTGGGCGTGTTGATAGGAGAAGGGGTCTTTCAAGTCTGGTGGTTGAAGCGGTTCTTCGAGGTGAATAGCCGGCCCCTTCCATAATCAACCACTCTTGCCAAGATCAGTTATGAGGAAGAACATATGTACAGAATATTCATGGCGGACATCGTTCTGCTGGTTTTGGAAAAGCATGATTGACTGACGAGTGTGTCGCAGGTCAAGCGCGTTGTATGATAGTTCCGAGGGAGACCGAAAATGGGAAGAGACGATACAGGCGGGATCACTGTGTCGGCAACTAGGAGGGTTTGGCGAGCCTGTTCGCCATCAGCCCATTCAGCTGGAACGCAAGACAGGGAACGTGCAGTTGAACCATGGTGAGACTGTCCGACGTCGATGCCGTAAAGATGAGATCTCTGCGCAGTGTCGACAGTTGGCCCATAAGAGCGAGGCCATCAAGTCAAACTCAGTGGCAGGATGGACGCTGATGCGCAAGATGAGTGGCACGGGTGAGTGCACCGGTGAACAACAAGACTGCACTTTTCAGTCTTCGAGGGTCAGACTCACTTACGAGTACCAATGCTGTTCCCTGCACGGAAGCCCATTCCGACCGCGCTTGAATCTACCTACCTAGGCAATGGACATGAAACGGAACGAAAAGTCGCTGGTGCGCTCCTTCGTGCGTTCGCCTTGGATTAGTTCCGAGTCAGCGGTGCCTCAACTTTCACGCGACTCTCTCTCACACAACCACCTCACTTTACCCTCACCTCGCTCAACTACAAATAGGCGTGTCCATCGCACGCTCCCTGACTGCTGTCGATTTTACCATCCTGTTCTCCAGAAACAACTCCGTGAAGTCGCAGTCGCAAGCGTTGTTGCGCAATGCTCGCTTGCAGGAGGCGCCCGGCAAGCACCGCTGGAAATACGAAGCTTCTTCAAGAGCTCGTATCGCAACTCCACATACAAAGTACCTACTGTGGTAGGCTTAACCTCGGCGTTCGCTTGGACTTTTCACTTCAAGCAGCCCGCTTTACTCCGTACGAATACGGGCTCCAGGTTCCAGCAGCGCCGGCGAAACATCTTTCAAAGCCATGATCGGGAATAGTTTACGAGCCCTCAAAGGGCACGCTGCAGTTCGCCCCGTAAGCGAAATCCGCTCGTTGGCCAGCGCTTTGCCATTCCCTTTCGCTTCGGTAGCCTCTTACCCACCATTGGTTTAAAGGCTTGTTCTCGCATCGAGCCGGTGTCAACACCGTCGAGGTCCGTCTCTGAATCTCTATTATCCTACTCGCTCAAGAACTGCCTGCTTCCGGAAGTGGCTCTACCCGAGTGCAAGCTCGTGGTGGTTCAAGATGTCGCAATGTTTCCCAGGTGGCGTGGGTGCCTTCTCTTTCTACTGTATGTTCATGCTGATATTCAAATCGAGACAAAACTCGTGCTGTCAATGCTTCTTTCTGCTCCTGCGTCCAAGCGTGCGTTTCAGCATTTTTAATTACACCACATTCCCATCGACAGCGCCATTGTGATTGGAGGCCATACAATATCTCTCGCTCGAGGATCGTGATGCGAACGCTATGGGCAAAAGTCGCTGCGGCGGAGAAGTCTACCTCGGCGTCAGAATCAGGTATACACGATGGTGACGGCGGCGCCAGTCCGACCAGACAGTCCTCCGAACATCCTCTGTCAAGCGAGGCACTGGACCCCGAGAAGCGGACGGTGCCAGGCGACACGAAAGCCAAAAATTATAGTGATGGGTCTGTCCATTCACGCTGCAACCTAGCAGCCGTCGCACCGATACAAGACGGCTCCGCCGCCGCCGCCAGCACCACCGCTACAGCAGGAGCAAACGCAGATGAGAAGCACCCTGCCGAAACACACAATGAGGATCTGATCCGCAGAGCTTCGATGTCAGCCTCCTCAGCAGGCGAGCCCGGCGAAGATGACGAGTCTAAATACGTAACCGGCCTGCCTCTCCACCTCCTCACTTTCGGACTCACGCTCTCAACGTTCGTCATTGCACTGGACAATACCATCATAGCGACCGCAATCCCGCGCATCACCACGGTCTTCAACTCCTTAGACGATGTAGGCTGGTACGGCTCGTCATACCTCCTGACGACCACTTCCCTGCAGCCCAGCTTCGGAAAGATCTACACGTACTTCAACGTCAAGTGGACGTATATGATCGCGCTGGTCATCTTCGAGCTCGGCTCCGTGCTCTGTGCCGCGGCCGTGAACTCCACGATGCTGATCGTCGGGCGCGCTGTGGCCGGCGTCGGTGCTGCCGCAATGTTTTCCGGCGGGATGACAATCGTGGGATATTCAGTCCCGCTACGTAAAAGGCCCATATACATTGGGCTATTGAGTTCGATGTTTGGGGTTGCGAGCGTGGTAGGCCCGATTTTGGGAGGAGCATTGACTGATCGTACGTACCCGAGTCTACGAAACAAAACCAACTGAATGCTTTAACATAGCATAAATACTGACTTCTTTGGTCTCAGGTGTTTCTTGGCGATGGTGTTTTTACATCAACTTGCCGATCGGAGCCGTTGCGATCACGGCCGTTTTCTTCTTCTTCAAGAACCCGGTCCGGGGACACAGCAATTTGACGACGAAGCAGAAGATTGGGCAGATAGACTTGCTAGGGGCTTTCTTTCTCATTTGCGCCATTGTTTGCCTGCTGCTGGCTTTGCAATGGGGCGGAACCACGTACCCGTGGTCGAATGCTAGGGTCTGGGGCTGTCTTTTGGGATTCGGCCTGTTGATCATTACATTCACGGGAATTCAGTTCTGGAAGGGCGACATGGCGACCCTTCCTCCTCGAATCCTCCTGCGACAGCGCACCGTGTTCGTGTGTGCATTCTTCTCGGCTTTCTTGGCTATGGCGCTCTACACTCACATTTACTATCTGCCCTTCTACTTCCAGGCAGTCAAGGGCACCACGGCGGAACAATCAGGCATACGAACGATCCCATACCTCGTCAGCATCACCATTTCGTCAATCGTTGTCGGAGGGAGCATCACTACCTTAGGTCCATACGTCCCCTTCACGTGGGTGGGATCGGCGATTTTCGCAGTTGGCTCCGGCTTGCTCTACAGCCTGAAGGTCCACTCATCGGCTGGTAGCTGGATCGGGTATCAGATCCTGGCGGGTGTGGGCGCCGGCGCGTGCGTTCAAATCCCCTTCATCGCAGTACAAGTCGTACTCCCCAAGAAAGACATGCCTGTCGGCAACGCTGTGGCGATCTTCTTCAACTCCCTTGGAGGTGCCATCTCCATATCCATCGCGCAGAACATCTTCTCAAACACCCTGATCAAGGAGATTCCCAGGTACACGAGTGGCGTGAACCCATGGACGATCGTCATGGCCGGGGCGACGCACATCAGGGAGGTCACGCCGCCGGCGCAATTGCAGGGCGTGTTGTACGCCTACAATATCGCGGTGACGCACTCGTACATCCTGTCAATTGCCTGCTCGAGTATTGCATTTCTTTTCTCATTAGGTTTCGAGTGGAAAAGCGTCAAGGGAAAGAAGCTTGAAATGGGTGGGGCTGGGTAGAGGATATGTTCTCCTCCCTGTCAGGTCGCTTGGTTCGGATGGGACAGACAACGTCGGATCTCAGAAGAAACGGCCGATCATGTCAGACAGAAACCTGCCGGGACCGCGAACGCCGGATCATCTTGATACCAAAAGGCCATAAAATCGAATCTCAAGACAGTCTTGAGGAGTTCGCACTACAAGCGTCAGTCAGCACAAGCCCTGCACAAGAAATGGTAACACTAACTGCATGAACAGGCTTTTGAGGTTCAGGATCCCACGATAGCGCTGGAGCCGGTATTAAGATGCTTTCCAAGGCTGTGTCATCACCATACGGCCTCCGCTTGAACCGTAGAATGTACGACGCGGTACGCACATTGAACAGCATATCAACCAGTCTGACGCGGCTCTCCTCGGGAACATCAGAGCATACGATCGGCTCGGTGACACTCTTCTCCTCAATCCGCATCACCCGCAGTGCGACCCTGGCAAGGAGTTGACCGTCCAATCCACACTGTTGGAGCAAATCTATCGCCCTACGTCGAACGCTAGCGTTGCGGTACCTTGTGCCGACCAAGAAGAGGATCGGAATGATCCGCATTTTGGCTGTGCGGATGAGGAAGCCACAGGCGACCATGGCCTGCTCTATGATGCTGGAGTAAGAATCGAACGCCAGCTCTCGCTTGAATGGCTCGCAGCGTGAGAGCACGTGAACGCAGCTATGGTACATCCTAAGCAGATACAAGTCTGGGAGGTTTGCACGTGTGGGTCTGGATTGTACGCTTGATTCGAACAGAATGTATTGGCCGAGCCATTCGTTGAGCCTTGTCGTAGAATTCGGAACGGTATGGAATCTTGTCGGTGGTGGGGGCCCATCTAGTTGTAGAGATGTACATTCCGATGCAATAGCTTGCAGTGATCGAGCTGCATCGTCGACGGTTATCCACTGGCCTTTTGAACCATTGGGAGTGGCATAATGCTGGATGTCGCCGGGGAGCCATGACTTCCGGTTTTTGGTGAGCTGCCAAGTTTCGGAAAGTGGTCTGACTTGAGAGTACAGCTCGCCGGTCTGCAATTCCAGCCGGGCAAAGATTGGGCCGAGTTCTTCGATGGTGGCAGATTGGTGCTCGGTATATCTGCTTCGCTGATACGTCGCCAGAATCCTTCGTCCGGCGATCAGGTGTTGCAGTGCCGCGAAAGAATGGTCTTGAAATTCGTCGCAGAGAATGAGTAGCAGACAGGCCACGAGCAGGAACGCAGGGTCTGGATTTCGTTTGCCGCTGAGCAACTTCAAGGCCGTCCCGTAGTGGGAGAGAAATACCGAGTCACCGTCGGCAGGTTGATGAGAAGGGTCTGCTGAGTGGTGGAGTCCTAACCGTGAGGCTGCGATGGTAAGGTGCTTGATGCTCTCATCCAGGTAGCAAGCTTGCAAGACCAGCTCGTTCCAGAAGCGCTGGCTTCCAAAGTTTAGCAGTGCTGGGGCGCATACTTGGGTGAAGAACTGGAATGCCGTCGAGGCCGCATGGTCGCACTGAGAGAGAGCCGGACACCCCATCACCATCATCAAGATCACCGGAGGATCGTCACTTGGCCGCGGCGGCTCAGTCGCTGGATAGCCGTCGCATTTCCGACCCGTACTCAGACAGCGCTGACACGACGGCCTTTCGTAGGAGCACTTGACACGTCTGATTTTGCAGGTAAAGCAAGCTTTATTGCGCCGTTGCAATATGTGGTTCTTCGGCCGACTTACCGGCCGATCTGAGATCCCGGCCATGGGTCTAATTAGTAGCTGATAGGCCTCTCTGCGTAGCGATTGCTGAACGGTGCCAGATTGACACATCCTTTAGTGAAGTTTGCCAGAAAAACCACAGTACTTAGCAGAAGACGAAGCAAGTAGGTAGGGTAGGGGCTTTGAGGTCCTCCTGCCGGGAAGTGTCTCGCACAGGTCCCCCTCATGATGAAGAGGCCAATCAGCATCATAACGACGCCATTTCTCACTTGTCAGCATCTGCAATCTTACCTAGGTACACAGTACGAGACACTAAGTATGCTCCTTGGTTGCGGAGGTGGTGACGAGGACTGGGGTGGTTGAGGCCTTTGCGAGCCGGCGTGTCTTAACGCCGTCTGCTTGCGATTGGCCTGCTCGCGAACTAGAGACTAGCTGCATGAAGTGGCTTCCGGTGTTTGGCTCTCCATCTTCCCTCACTCACCACATGTTGATTTCGAATCAGGCGTTCACGGCATCAGTTATGGAAGTACACCACAATGAAACGATCGGACTATTACGTCCGTGTGAGGGTGTGCTTTTCTCTCATCCGCAAGCACGGTAAGTCCGACCGACAACAAGGGAACAAGAGGTACAAAAGCAGAACGAGATCTCCCAAGTTCTGATTGCCCTGCATCCAACTCGACTCGCGATACTCAGACCATCCGCTTCGCTCACGGTCCTAGCATCCACACCAACAATGTCTGCCATAACATCCGACCATACCCTCGTCCTGGTTTCTGGCGCGAATCAAGGCCTTGGGTACGAGACAGTCAAGAAGCTAGCAGCCGAACAGGCGAATTACCATATCCTCCTTGGCTCCCGCAGCTTCGAGAGGGGCAAGCAAGCCGCCAGCGGCATTACCCACCTGGCCCAGGGCACATCCGTCGAACCCATAGAGCTCGACATGGACAGTGACGACTCCATCGCCAAAGCCGCCAAATACGTGTCGGAAAAGTACGGACGTCTCGACGTCCTCTTCAACAACGCCGGCATCAGCAACGTCCAAGGCGCGACCACGCGTGAGAACTTCAACCGCGTGCTCGCCACCAACGTCACGGGATATGCCTGCACGACTGAAGCATTCATCCCTTTGCTGCGAAAGGCTGAAATCCCTCGTCTGGTCTTCATGTCGTCCGGCCTAGGGTCGATCACCTGTATTTTGGATCCCAAATGGCCATTCTACGGGCTCGGAGATGCCCTTGAAAACAAGCCATACATTGTATCAAAGACTGCTGACAATATGCTCGGTGCGCTGTACGCTGTTCAGCTCGGCAAGGAGGGGTTCAAGGTCAATATGATTGATCCGGGATTCAGGGCTACCAATCTGAATGGATATGCGAGTATGGCGGGCAATCCCAGCGACGGGGCGATACAAGCGTGCAAGTTGATTACCGACACTGATAAGAATGGGCTGCATGCGACCTTTACGTCCATGGACATGACATATCCGTGGTGAACAATCGCTGTGCTTTCATAGATATTGTGTAGTTCAACATTTGTAATTATCCTTCGTGGTTGTGCCTTCGACTGTCTACTTTTTTGGGTGTGCTCTGAGTTGGCGAGCTCCCGCATCAATCATGACTCAATGAAAGAGAACCTAGTTAACCATCTGGGGACCTGAAGTAAGGTAGCACCGTAGCTATTGATTACTCTTTCTCTTTCGAGAATGCCACCTGTTTACCCTATGCTCCTTGGTAGCCGCACACCCCTCCAATTGTGACCCCAACGGATCACAGCCCAACCGATTGGGCACCGTAGGTAAATGCCGCGCTGACTGACTAAGCGGCCAGTAGGTGATGCCTCGGCACGATCGTCGTAGCGGCTATGTCAATACATATATTGATATATCTTCAATTTGAACTCAAATATCAGCAGACACGATGGCCGAGCGGTTAAGGCGTGTGACTAGAATTCCGTCTCTAGACTATCACATCTCTTCGGAGGCGTAGGTTCAAATCCTACTCGTGTCGAGGATACCCTCGAAAACATGCGTGATTGTGTGTAGGACCATATTCTTGAGGTTCGAGCTTTCACTTTTTGTGCGCCTGTGTGCGCTGAGGCTTAGCGGCCATATTTCACGGATCAAAAATCTCTTAGCGCTTCACTTTACTTCAATTTCTTGACTCTCTACGGAGTACTTCGTGATCGGATTCTTACCTAGGTAGGTACCTGCACTGTTCATGGAGTACAACACCCCCACGTTTTTGTAGTGGTTGTAGGATTGGCACCAGGTCCCGGCGCGATACAGAATTCAGCCGCGCGCATATTTTCCCCGCCCTCGTTCGCTGGTCTAATTACAGCTCTTCATATGTACCCACGGACATGCGTTCGCTCAAACATGGACATTCTTCGGAAAACCACAACCTACAGTGGCACTGCAAGGCTGCCCGAAAGCACAAAGTCTTAGAGATGCGGAATGGACTCCACTCCTGGCCATCGGTCTAAGCCCAAGGTAGGCCTCCCAGCTGAAGCCGCTGGAGACGACGAGCGTACAAGTATCTATTCCTAAGTGCGTGCTCAGTGTCTCCAGACGGAGGCCTCAACAGCTACGTTTGAACGGGTCGACAGGCATGCTTGGTCTTCATCTTCCTACTGTTCCTTGCCCCCTGGAGTCCATCTGTGACAAGTTTACACAGCAGCATCTTCTCAACGTCCTCGTCCCACCTCAAATCTAATCCGCCGTCGCACAAGGAGGCAAAGCAAACAATACCTATGCTCCAGCATGACCGGACTAGGCAGTCGAATCCACCATCTAGAGACAAGCGGGCATCCAGCCATTGAGCGACACACATATGGCTCGTATTTGTGTCCCTACCACGGCGTTTGGCTCAACCTCCTTTCTTCAACCAAGGCAGCCGGTTTGCAGACTCGCTTCCTTTGATTACGCTGGTTGGTGTTTGATCCTATGTTTCATTGCAAGTCCCTAAGCCTTTGTCCGTGTGTGTCTGCCTCAGCGCCAACGTTGACGAGGCCACCATCATCTTAATTACCGCAGGTACTTATAGTCGAAAGTATCCTCACAGCGGAAACACTGCCCACGGATACGTCACTTGGAGCGTATCCTACGCAGCCAGAAACCCACAAGACCAGTAACAACACCACCACCTACCACACCAACGACTAGCCCAACCAACCTACGACCCACCATTTCCAAATGCCAAACATGGAAATCTGGTACCGGCCCATCAGCTGGCGTGAGCCCCTCTTCTGTGCCCGTCCCAGTAGGCACGGGCACAGGTACCGCGACGACGCGGTCTACATCGACTGCGACCATGCAACGATCAATATCGCGCGAGATCGGGATCGGCATCGCGGACGACGTCGCCGACCCCACGACTGGGACTACGACAGTGATTCGGGGTTCTCGTCGTGCTCGTCTTGGTAAGGACTCCCAGTACTCCATTTCATGCCATGCCGTGTCTTCACATGCATATTCTATGCTGCTGCAAGGGGAGAAGGGGCGGTGACACCATACTAATCCAGTCTGGCATAGGTCCGACGACTCCGAAACCATCTACTGCCGATTGCCGCAGCCGCCGCCGAGATGTCGAGCAGGAGGCCGAGGAGGAGGCTGGAATATCAACCGGCAAATGCAGATTAATACGCCTGTCAATCTCAATCGCGCGTTTGCCAATGCCAATGCCATGAATCGTGTGGTTGTCAATAACATTTTCAGGCCGCCTAGACATTGGTATTGAGTGGGCAAGCAAGCGAGCGGCCATGATGGGGGAAGAGGAGGAGCAGATGGGGCAGGGAAAGAAGGAGTAGAAGAAGGAGCAGAAGGAACCAAAGTTTGAGGTGAAGGTGGAGTGACAGGAGCAGAAGTGAGATGAGTTGTTGTGGTGGGATGGTGGCCGCGTGAGCCTCGGTCTAGATCCCTGTTGCGGGTTCGTGAGCACGAGTCACACTCTGGTGAAGGTTGAAGCTACATGGAAGGGTTCGTTCGTCCATCAAGGAAGCGAAGAGAAGCGGATTCGGAGTAGCACCCGTGAGAGCGAAAGACAAGGAGGATGGATATCGAGAGGGAGGAGTCATAGGCCATCCAGACAGTCGCACCGCACACACTTTCGGTATTTGCAAGCACCAGTGTGGAGGAAGACTCTGTTTGTAGCGGACCGAGGTGCGTTTCCCTCCGGTTAAGTCCTCATTCTGCTAGAGTGGAAAGTGATTCTTCTGCTAGAGAATGACGGGCTGAGAATAGGTGCGTGCATGTTGGACTCTGGCTTTTCAGCCATCGCATCCTCGCCTCATCATTAGGGCAAGTGCGTGCATGTTAGATTCTGGCTTTTCTAGCGTCGCAGTCTCACTTGTCGTCCTGGCATGCTTCTCGCCCCGACTTGACTTGTCTTCTACGGCACAGCATCCCATCCCCTGGCTGGGAGGGTTCTGGCTGGTCGGACATCGATAGCTAGATCTCGTGCTTCACATCGTTTTCCGCTATTGCTTGACGTGCGTCTCGTCCGTCGCGAGGATCGTCCGGATTCGTATTGACGCCTGTAAATTGGGACGGAGTCGTTTCGATCTCTGCGGATACCTTGCTCCACATGACACAGATATGGGCACGAGGATGTGCACGCTCCCCACAGCTGCGGAATTGATGCCAGAACAGATCGAGGAGATGTATACGGATACTCCACAGTAGTAGCCTACAAACTGCATCACTACTTGTCTGCCGTAACGTAATTTTGCAATCGGCGAGATTGAGGTTTCGAGCCCGCAACATTGACACAAGACAGAATCCCTCAGCGCTCGGACTTGCATGTAGAATCGCTGCTTGCTGCGGGCGGCCATGCAGCGACAATGGGAAACTCTCAGAGTTCTCACAAGATCTCCGCCCAGGACAGGTCAATTGCCCTTCTGCGACCGTCAATGGATTGAGCTCTGACTGGTGCTCCTGCAGGGCGATCCTGGACATGAAGAACCAGCGCGACAAGCTGCGCCAATATCAAAAGCGAATCACGGTGATCACGAACCGAGAGACCGAGATCGCAAAGGCGTGTCTAGCGAAAGGCGACAAACAGAAGGCGCTCCTCGCGCTGCGTCGGAAGAAATACCAGGAATCCCTGCTCTCCAAGACCGACGGGCAGCTGGAGCAGCTGGAGAAACTGACGAGTAGTGTCGAGTTTGCGTTGGTGCAGAAAGACGTACTGTTCGGCTTGCAGCAGGGGACACAGGTACTGAACATGATCCATAAAGAAATGGGCGGGTTGGAGGCCGTGGAGAAGTTGATGGGCGAGACCGAGGACGCCAGGCGGTATCAGCAGGAGATCAGCGACGCGCTGGCCGGCCAGATGTCGAACGAGGACGAAGACGAAGTAGAAGATGAATTGGAGGCAATGGAAAGGGAGGTCGTCGGGCTGCCTGACGCGCCGAACAAGACAATCGTAGGCGAGGGGACACTCCCGCAAGTTCCCAGGACGGAGCTCGATCGGGAAGAAGAGAAGCTGCAGAAGCAAAAGGAGAGGGCGAGGCAGAGACGGGTGGCTTTGGAAGCTTCATGACGCGTGATAATGATGATGAAGTTGGTACATGGATGATATGCATTTTAGCCGTCTGGCATGAACTGGTTGATACGTTTTCTAGAAATAGAGCATTCATTGCTGAGCCTCACTGACCCGACATAGACTCGTGGGTGTTGGTCAGCCCCTGAATCACCTTGTGATCTTTTGGATTGGCCGCCGCCTCGTACAGAACATGCACGGGCTCACGATTCAGCGCCATGAAATCTCCCTTGAATCCGAGATAACTGATTCTTGTCACATCCTCTTCCCCTCCGGAGTGATTGTCCTCGAAGAAGAGGGTGATTGAAGTTGTGCCGTTCCAAAGCGCCCGGTTCAGAGGTATCTCGGCCACGTCGTTGCTCTTTGGCAATGTCAGTGCCTGGGTCGGCTTGAGATCTGACGCCAGGCTAAAATCCATGTCATCTCTGTTGCGGAAGAGTTTCAACGTCTGCGGCGCAGAGTCGGAGTCTGAAGTCCTTATGATGAGGGAATAGAGCTTGCACGATCCGGCGAAGGGGATGTGCATCAGGAGTTGTTCATCCGCATCACTCTCAAGGACAGGCTGATCATTGCGCCTCTCGTCCCACGTCTTCTGGACGATGGCTGCTCCTGAACCGTTCTCGGCCTCGTTGAGTGTGGTGATCCCTTCAAAGTTGATTTGCTTGTAGAGATTCGACTGCAGCGCTGGCTCCAGGTCATGCGAATGGTCATGTCCATCGCCGTGACTGTGTCCATGTCCGTGGTCATGGCCATGGTCGTGGTGATGATGATGTGATGACATCTTCTGCTCACTCATTCGACAGTCATTGACTTGCTGGTCACAGTATTCGGATGTAATACTGCTTCCCGGGCATACTCCACGTTCCCTGCTCCCGCGTTCCTGAAGACTGTGCATGCGTCTTCATTCTCAGTCTCCGCTTGGTGTCTGGTCATTCGTCGACCGATGACGACGCTTTTGCCGCCGCCGAACGGGGAATGGTGGCGTCGGTGGGGTCCTTGGCAGGCACGTTGCTCAATGTCCCTGGGCGCGCCTTCCTCCCTCCCTCCTTCTATTCATAGTGCTGCTTCTTTTAGGCCGGGTTCATCATCGCTCTCAATCCTCTCTCTCGTCTTTCAAGTGCTTTGTTGTATGACCTCAAAGGCTGTTCACTGCCCATCTTACTTGAGGGGCTCTAAGCTGTGTGATGACGTCGACAAATGTGGCAACGGTGACCAGTATGCGGCTGAACGACGAAATCTCTACCACCCTCTCATAGCCTGTTGAGCACACAGAGATGCTGTTGCAAAAACTCCATGTGCATGGAGGAGGCAGCAGTTTCTGTGCACAATCAGCAGGAGCTGTTTCACAATACTCCGCAATCAATGTCGAGTACACGTCTAGTAGACGCTGCTCAACAACGACAGAGCAAACTCAGTCAGGATTCAACGGCTTTTAATCTTCAAGAAGTACTTCCTTCGGTATAGTGGCTGGGAAGCTCACCTTGGAAGTCATCACGTGGATGTCGCGTCGTCTGACACCCTGTTCATGACCGATAGTGTTGTTCTCAACCAACAGTCTCACTTTGTTGGCAGGACCTTTGTCTGCCTCGTATGCGCATTTGAACATGTAAGTCCAGAGGTATGTGACTATTTGTCTCAATGGTCGGCGGGCGAGATACCATGCTCCCTGCTGTCTCAACGCGGCCTACCTTTGTCCTTTTATTTGCGATCCCCAAAGGACAGATGATGTGGACGCTCCTGGTATCCTCTGAATATGACACCGAAGTGTGTCGGGAGGAGCTTTGTTGGCCTTGCCAGCCTCCCTTCTTCACGGATGCCGCCATCGCACCACATGCACCCAACCCTTCTTTGTCCCCTTCACGTTGACCTGAGGACATCGGGAGGATGCGTGATGGAAGATATATCTCACAGTCACCAAGGCTCTGTTTAAAGCCTCGCGTATCTCACATGCGTTGATTCACGGAAGAGTCATGGCTAGGACAGGGACGAGGACTGGTGCTGTTCCCTTCAATGAGGACGACGTGGAAGATGGAATCTATTCCGAGGCGGTGAATACACATCAACGACCTCACCCGGGCATGGACCAGCAATAATATCACGCCCACAGTTACCATCGCTGCCAAGGCGCTGAGCTTGAAGTGCGCACTGTCGGCTCTACAAAAATCCCTTCCACCAGCGTCCGGTGTTGTGATTTTTTTCCCAACCATCTCCTCTCAAACCATCACCTTCTTTAGTACCAGAGACACCACTCGTTCTCAAACACTCACATTCGTTCAACCGTCACTTCTGCTCATCGTCATGGCTCGAGATGTTCCTGTGAGGCTCACCACGACTCCGTGGGACATGTTCAGTGAGTTTCACGAGGATCTGGTCCCAAAGACCGGGATCTTGAGCTCCTCAACAAGGTGTGCTAACGACGAAGCAGTGTTCGTGCTCACCTACATCGCCGCTGTCTTCATGACTCTCGTCGACGCTGAGGCATGCAACACCACCACCGTTTCCCTCGTGGTCACGGTCACCGATCTCGTCTCTCTGCCAAACACTTCTACGGTCACAATCACTCAATCCGGCTCAGCCCAGCAAGAAATGTCCACATTTCTCTCCGCCAACGCCACTGGTACCTTGACTCTGACTGAAGTCACATCTGTCACCGAGACTGGCGACATCGGCGTGCAGACCGCCTCAGGTACGATAATTCTAGTGCTCTTCGTTGACCTCTGTCTAACTTAAGCGCAGTCGTAGATTCTAGCTCGACCAGTACCTTGACAGTCGTCTCGACCACGACCATGGCACTCTCTTCTGGTAAGATAAACCAGTAACCTCTTGATCCACAACAAGATCACACACTTACAGCCTCAAACAGTGACCAGTACTGTGACCAATGCTGGAGACTCTGAGACGCCGGCTCCCAGCGGTACTCGTGGTAAGTTCTCGCAGCTGCCCATCCTCAATCTTGGTCGCACACTAACTCCCAGCACAGTGTCCATTCCAGAAACTCTCAGTCTGATGTTCCCGACCGTGACTTTTGGTGTCCCCTGCGATCCCAATGCGGACTGCAATGCCAATACTGGAGCTCCGGTCCCCGTCAGCAATATGACTTCAACCTACACAATGACTGTCACCAAATCTGCCCGTGTTGACGCGACTCCGTCAAACCCTTCGCCGTCCTGGGGTGCTCCAGATGTTGACGCTTCAGTTCCTCCCTTTCCCAACACCACAATTGAGACAAGCTTTCTCTTCTCGATCCCTCCACTGTCATCAGACTTGACTGTTCCACCCTCAGTCACTGGGAGCATCTTTACACTACACAATGGCACTGAGACAATTTGGGCCTGGACTACGGTCACACTTCCCAGCAATGGCGCCATCATGGCCACTGTCGAGCCCGTCGCCTCAGTCTTGAGTCAAGCCTCTTCACTTCTCGGTGGCGCTTCTTCAGTGATCGCGACCAAGACACAGTCCGTCACAGTCACAGATATTACCTCAGTCTTGAGCGAAGCCTCTTCGGTGCTCAGTGACGCTTTATCCATAATCGCGACCAAGACACAGTCCGTGACCGTCACAGATGTTGCTTCGATCCTGAGTGCCGCACCTTCTCACCTGAGCATCGCCTCTTCCGAGATTGCGACCAAGACAGTGTCGCTTACCGTGACAGATGTTGCCTCGGTCCTCAGTGCTGCAGCTTCCCATCTCAGCATTGCCTCTTCAGAGATTGCGACCAAAACTTCCCATGCTGACGCTGGCAACACTTCCACCGTGACAGTCTTCACCACAATCTCTAAGACCATCGGTGCTGCTGTCGAGCCTACTGGCATTGCTGTCAATGTGACCTTCCCGACTCTTGAGACACAAACCACCCAAACCGAAGTTCTCACCGTGACCTCAGTCGTCACTCCAGAATACACCAGCTCGACTTCAACTACCACGGTCTTTAGCACAATCCCCGCCATTGCTTCTGGCAGCGATATCACATTTGTCTTTGTGTCTACCGTCGTCACTGCTGGTGTATCCGATGTCGCTGCTGCTCCAGGTCCTCTCACAGAAAGCAACAACAGCACCACTACTGTCACTAGCGAGGTCACCACGTACGTCTCGGGCAACTCCACTGTCGTTGCGACCGCGTCTTTGTCGACTGCCCTGCCGCTCTTCAACGGCACCTTGAACGGATCAGCATCATCTTTGCGCGTTCCACCAATCTTCAGTCTCTTCAGCATGCTCCTCAACATGAAGAAGAGTCTTGTCGGCGCTTATGTCAACGCAGGTAACCTGGTGCTCTCGAACGATCCCACCGCTACACTTTCGACTGACGGCGGTGAACCTGTCAAGAGAGATGACCCTCTGATTCCGTCGCTGGACCCGGCTTTGCTTCCGTTCCCAGAGCTGACGTCCCACCCGATGAGTTCGGTGCCCGCACATCCTGCAGTTGTGTCCATCTCTGTAAGCGTCAGCACCACCACCGAGACGTGCAATGCCACTGGCACTGCAACCATCGGACATGGTAGCACGACGATCACGCTTCCCACCACCGTGCTTGATACATCGACAGTCTTCTCCACCTTGACGACATCGCTTACTGGTCTAGTGCCAGTTTTCAACATCCCGACATCTGCGTCCACCAGTGCGTCGTTGCCGACCCTGAACACCACCTCCGCGCTCCCGTCAAGCACACACGCGTCACCTGCATTCGGCATAATCAACAATCATACTGCCACTACGGCATCCATGAACGTCACGACCACGCATCCAACCATGACGGTGACTCACACCACTAGTGCCGTAACGGCCACCGCGTCCTCGGACGTCGGTCGCCTCGAGATCACCGTCGGCCTGTTGATCCTCGTCGCTGTGGGCGCTTGGTTCGTGCTGTGATTTGGCATTGGCATGGCATGGTGCACTGCGCGTATTGCATCGACGTCACTGGCAACGTACAGATCGACGTTGATACCGTCGTGGAGCCAATTGCTTCCCGGCCACATTGGCGTCAAGGAGGATTGTTTCGCGCTGGTTATGCCTGGTGATCGGCAGCCATTGCGCGCATGTTTAGGATACGAACAACGAACGGAGAGTGGATCAAGAAAAGGTCCGTCATGAAGTGCGTCGACGGAAGATGGCAGAAAATGCCAATGGCGTTCTACTAACTACGTACGATAGCACAATGAAAAGAAAGTTTCACAACGTCGGTGCGTCCTCTAATGATGTCTCGTTGATGCCAACACCGCTAACATCCCACGTGCTGCTGTCTTTGTACTCAAACTCACTAACATAAAGTATCCTTGTTGTCATTGAGTCCATCGGCATTGTGCGACTGTTGACTAAAATACAGCGTATCCTTTGCTCCCCGTACTGCTCGCATTAGGCTTGCAGGGGTTGCATGCTTTCAACCTTGCGGATCAATCCCTCCTTTGCCGCCTCCTTCTCCTTTCCAAGTTGCGATTCGAAGTCCACTGTGCTGTCCCTCAACTCTTCACTTTGCTTGGTTCCGACAGCCAGATTTCCATCGTGAGCTGGTCCAGGCCCATCATCCAGGCTCGTTCGCCGCAAGTGCGGGTCGCTCTTCAGAGCAGAAAGGCTTCCGACGCAGTCACGGTATGTCTGGGTCCAAGGTGCTGTATCCAGTGGCTGCCGCAAGCGATCCTGCACACACCCTGCTGGATCTCGTGGATGCTGATCATCGATTTCCATAGTTCCGTCCAAGTCTGATCGCCACCCGAAGCTTCCGGGGACCACTTCAAGCTCGGGATACTCAACACTCTCACCGACACCGATGCTGCTCCGGTGCCCATAATTGTGTGTGTACGCTTGGAATTCCATGCTGCTAGTCCGGTACAACCTCTTCCACCGCGCGGCAAGCCCTTTCTTGCTCTTCTGTGGCCACACTGCCGGCGCACCACGCAGTGAACCAGCACTCCTCGTCTTCCTTTTGGTGAAGCGGCCTGTACTGAAGGACAGCATCTTCCAAGATTCAGGCATCTGCACATCAAACATAGGATTCAGCTTCGAGTGGCCAGCTGAGCAGGACGGACTGTTCTCATCTTGACATGCAAGAGCAAAGTCTCGGACCGCAACACCATCTTTCGCGCCTGCCGAGCCACATCTGTCATCTCTTGCATGGCTCGGAAAGCGACCCCAAAGGCCCAGGAGATCCTTCAGTGGAGTGCTGACTCCCGAAGTCCGCTCCGCCTCACTACAGCTTCCGATTACACTGCAGCGCCTTCCAAGGCCCAATAAACTTTTCTTTCGCGAGGTCTTTGATGGCCCAACAGTGTTGAATCCCCTTTTGCGAGCGTCCATGATGACAATGCTTCGTCGGGGATTGACCGATGGCAAAGGATCGGGCTTTCTCATACACATCTCGAGAAGACTCTTCTCCACAGGGTGCGACGAGTTATTCTTGACTCTAGTTTCCAGCAGATCAACATCCGCTTCCGAGACGCGGTGCTCATGTGGCAGCTGTACCGTACTGATGCTCGACCTCGTACTTCTGCGTCGACCGTCTCGATCGAACCTGGGCGCTGTGAGGAAACCACCCAAAGAATCATTCTCAGACTCTTCCAGTGCTCGTTTGAAGGTTCTTTGCCACATGTTAGTGGCAGACTCCGGCAGATTCGGTCTCCCATCCAGGGAAGGTTCCAATGGCTCCTGGTTCTCGGATTTAGACCGTTCTCGTGGTCCCAAGAGTCCCGTTTCAAGCATGGATGGCCCAGTATCAGACCAGAATGAGGTCAGTTCAGGTCGGGACTCTCCGCCATGACTTTGGTCAAGTGGCCCGATCTCGCTCATGTTTTCATCGTGTGCATCGCGAATAGCCTGTGCACTCATGTCTGTAAATCTCTCGTTCCCCGCCTCGTTGCCTGTTTGCGCGTTACTCCTTGTCGCTTTGTCCTTCCTCGCACCTTGTAGCTGATCAGCATCAATCACACTCATTGTTTCATTTGCCTTAGTCGGGTGCTGCACCCGACGACTAGCACGACCAAGCCCGGGACGAGGCTGATGAGTAGGCCCGTCGGGCAGACTAACACTTCTGTTTCTCTTTGTAGACGCTTGCAGCGGGCTATCTGGTTCAGGACTGCGTTTTTGGTGTGACGACCTCCTGCTAAACCAGGCGCTCTCTTCTGCCACGGCGAGACTACCGACGCTAGACCCAATAGGCAAACTGATGGACTCTGATCTGCCTCCAATTGCAATGCTGTTCGGGTTTCTCTTGACCGGGCGAGTCCTTTGGAGTCCATTATTTTCCACTTCACCGTCACTCCAATAGAACGATGAACCATCATCTGTACTCCGTTGTGGGCCTGGATTCCTGTTTGTAGTTAAGCTCGCCGGTGAAGTGCCATTTCTCCAGGAGGAGGATGGCCTTGAACAAGTTCTGTCACCTTCAAAGAGCCGTCTAGTTTGAGGATCAGATGGCCGTCTGTTGTGCTCAGCTGTAACGCGGCCCACGATGTTTTCCGATGCTGATGTCCGCCCGAACAGGTGCCGTCCCTCGGGGGAGTCTTGCCTTATTACTTGGCTTGTCGTGTAGCTCGTGTTTGGTCTGGATTGAACGGCGATAACAGAAGGGCTGGCGAGGCGTTGAGAGATTCGCATACAGTAGAGGTGAATAGAGCTCCGTTCTGATTCGGTCAGAGAGGTAACGTCCCGTCTGGAACTATTCTCGCTTGCCGGCATCGCAGGCCTGACAGTTGGGCAAGCGTCCAATACCTCTGACATTGGATCAACCACGGCATCAGCCGCATGGTCTTTGGATGGAGATCCTGCCATTTCAGCAGAGATGCTCTCGCCGTACCGGGAGACGAATTCGACCAAATTTGGATCGAGGCGGGACATCAAGCTGGCACGAGGGTCTGTCCCGTTGGTGATCAAAGACTCTCGGTTAGGTGCTGGAAATTTATCGCCTTGGGGCTTGAGCATTTCAGTGAAATGTGTACCATGCTGAGCAGCATGTGGAAGGTCGTTCGGCGAAGCAGCCGTAGTAAACGGATCTAGCTCTTTCGTCCCCACGACAGGGGACATATGTATTGTCTCGAACACGGAGCGATGGAGGAGTTCGATGGCTCCCTGTGATGCGCTGATGTCCAGTTGCTCCAAATCAGTTGATTTCGACTCCTGGTTCACATCCAAGAAGTCCTTCGTGCACGACGTCTTTGACGGACTTGATGAGAAGACTCTGAGATCCGGTTGAGGTCGTAGGTCATCATCGTCTGATTGTCTGACTTCCAGTGATGCAGAAGCTCCATCGTTGGCGATATGGCGCAGAGCAGCAGTTGGAGATAATAATGTCTGTGCTCTTGTAGGGCTCAATTTCATAGTCCCTTCTCTCGACTTCAGCATGGCGGTCTGTATACTCTTTGCATCGCTGTCATAGCCGCCTTCGCTTACGGTCCGTGACTGCAAGAGGTCGAGAAGACCAGTAGAGCGCTGGCTCAAGCTAATCTCGGGGATACTTAATCCCGGTTGTGTATTGTCTTGGTCAACCCAGTCGTGAGCGTTGTCTTCAGACGCTATGTGAGATCTCGAGCCGCTCTTACTCAGGGCTGACTCCGACAGCTTCTGCTTGATATGGTTTCCCAACTGCTCCAACCTGCTGGGCTGTTTCCGTGCGGGGTCTTGCAAGTCGAATGCGAAGTCGGCATCGAACGAAGGTTCTCTTTGGACATGGGAGCCAGATGGAATCGATGCAGTTCGATAGCCACGAATGGATGATGACGTTCTGAATAGCTCATGTAGTGCTTCTGTATCTGCCTGGTTTGGGCGACAGTGACCAGCCGCATGAGGAATCTGAGAAGCAGGAAGGTGCAGAGCAGAAGGTAGGGTTTGGAGGTCAGACGTAGGATGCTCTTCGCGCGGCCGAACGGGAAAGCAGCACAGGAACGGCGACAAGATGCGATTTAGCAAAGGCATGTTGAGAGGAAGTGGAAAGCAGGTCAGGCCGCCGATATGAAAAGCGATAAAATGTAGACTTGGTAAGCTCTGCTGGCTCGAGCAGCTCGAAAGGCATTTGTATTGCAAGATGCACCGAAAAGGAGCTGATACTGAGAAGAGCAAATACTTGAGGTACAACAGGCAATAGCAAATGCGATCGACTCACAGGGACTTGAAGAAAGAATGATGGGGTTGACGAGGAAGGAGCGTGGGCGGTCTCGAACCTACTCCTTCAAACGTTGCCTTAGAGAGCGCTGGGAGCATGAGACTGGGTATGACCATTGAGTCCAAAGAAGCGTGTACACTATTCACCGGACAGCAGCCATTGAAAAGAACGACGGGAAGCGCACTGTCGAGGTTGTCCACCATCGGCCAAATCCAAGCGACTGTGCTTGGTAACAGTCCCTCGGCAGAGAAGGCGACCACCCTCAAAACAGGCCACACCATCGACAGCTGGAGGGAGAATTGCACAGTAGAGAGAATAGAGCGTGGGAAGCAGACCGGTGATGCGAGTGAGAATCTTAATATACTTTCAGATTGATTCGTGAAGAGGCACTGAGGTTGCTTTCAAATTGATCTGTGGAACTGCTACAATCTGTCGATGCCCAACAGTATGCAATTCTATCCGGTGGATCACAGAGCGTCACATGGGCTGTTTCACTTTTGCTTGACGATCCTTGGAGGACAATAACCCCGACCTTCTCGAGTGTCGGATGGTTACAAGGCTCTTCTTCGCACATGCATTCCCCCATGTCACTGCCGCGTTAGACCCGGTCGAGCCACTATCTTCAGCATCAAGTCGCCTGCGCCAGCCATAGATCCGCAATCGAAGGGTTCCAAGCTTTCACTATTAGACAGGCGAAACAGTCAAGCCCAGCCATGGAGATCCAGCAATTGGACTCCGAAGGTCAACCAACAGTGACGTTCATGTATGACCCAGTCAGCATGACCTTCGAAATGCGTCCTTTGCAGGGCTCAGCAAGTACGTCATTGATGATGAGATTGATGGACGTTTTCTTACCCGCTGGGTACCCCTTGAGCGTCACCGCGGATTACACTTCCTACCAGGTCTACGACACCTTACAGGCTTTCGCTTCCACTATTGCGGGACTGCTAGCTTCGAGAGCAGTATTAGTCGGGATGGGTGTTGGGTCCGAGGATGCCTCACTTGTAACCACCATGCTGCTATACATTGCGCAAGAAACCATTGGCCGGGTAGCCACCATCTTGTTCGCCCACTACTTCTCTCAAAGTATCGAAGCCGAAGTGAAATTTTATCGATTCTTTGCAGATATCGTCAATGACCTTGCTTTTATCCTGGACTGCTTGAGTCCAGGTCTGCCAGTGTTAGGGCGGGTTTGCACGCTTTGTGTCAGTAACGCGTGCCGAGCTGTGTGTGGGGTCTCGGGTGGGAGCTCTAAGGCCATCCTTTCGTCCCATTTTGCAAAGTCGGGTAACATTGGCGAGCTGAATGCCAAAGATGGCAGTCAGGAGACTGTTATCAGCTTGATTGGCATGTGGGCAGGAGGGTTTGTCGTCAGCAAAGTCCACGGCACGTGGAACACCTGGTGCTGTCTGCTCCCGCTGCTCGCGCTGCATCTGTGGGCAAACTGGATGGCAGTAAAGAGCGTACGACTGACTTCGCTCAACGGCGAGAGAGCCAGCATTCTGTTTAGTGCGCTTCTGAAGGGTCGGGTCAAGAACCTAAACGCCATAGGTAAGGAGGAATCGATTTTGGGCGTGGCTAAGATCTTGCCTATGCGTTTAAACACTTTCCGAGTGGGTGTTAGCGTGTCGGATTTCTTACATGACTTACCTGGCGACAACGACGATCGTGGCCAGAAGTGTAGGCATTTTGACCGACTGCGGCAGATATTCCAAGATGAGGACTATTTGCTCTGGCACGATGCTCACACCAAGCGAGGAACTGTGCTGCTGAAGGAATCGGCAACAGGTGAGACGCAGGCAAAAGCCATATGCCACTATCTTCGGATTTCCGTGCCGATAACAAAATATTCCGACTCTCCGAAACCATTGCAATATCGCGATCAGAGCGAGGCTGTCCAGAAACCTTTGAGGGACAGTGACTCAGAGCCCAGAGTCACCCCCAGTCATGACAACAACGATCCCGCGGGCCAGTCCGTAGGCCATGTTGGTGGAGGCCAGAATTTTGAGTCCATCTCTCAGAGTCTCCGACAAAACAGGCAGCAGTGGCAGAATTTGCGAGATCAAGCTGAGGGTGCCGGGTGGGATCTCAGTCTAACAAATCTTGTCGGTGGCCGAAGCCATCGAGTTCGGATGAATGATACGCAATTTGAGAAGAAAGACCAATGAGGAAAGGGGTCCGCCAGGAGAAATTTCAGGCGATTCAATCCAATCGCTGACTTGTTTCCAGTGACTCCCACTGACTGCCATAACACCTGTCGCAAAAAAGCGGTGGATCAATTAGGCGGAATTGCAACGTCTGCAGCGGAGTAAGGTAACAGGACGAAGGGAAATTCGAAACCACAGGGTTTCGGAGGTCGCTCGATGGATCAATTCGCTGGCAGAGAATCATTTGCTGCAACGTAAAGAATTTTTTATCGTGAAGAATGCTGCCGCCGCCTATTATCCTGGAGCTGCACCAGCGATGGGCCTCGTTGGCAGCAAGGATGCCCACGTGCTCGAATGGCCGCCGAAAGTCGCTCCTTATGTGGAACAGGAGGTAATGTCGATACTACCATCCTGAGTAATGTTCGAGAAGACTTGAGGAATTTTGGCAAGGGAGCTCCATAATCGCCACGTCAAATTTTCCGGAATCCGCTGGAGGAACGAGTCATATTCTAGCAAAGATTGAATACCTCGTCGGAGGCCAGGAGCCTTGCTCCCTAGACTGGGGATCGGCTGTGGAGTTAAACTGGAAAACCTCGAAAATACTTACCCCGTTGTTACGTGCACTAAGCTCGTCGTATGTGGACTCCTGGTTGAGCTGGCGAGTCAGGATGCGATACAGCACACGAAGTCCTTCGCGGTCACAGGCCGTTGGAACCTCAGCGGCGCAGGAGAAGGCGATAGGGAACGAGGATATAGAGTAAATCCGCAGTGTCACGCTCAAAGTACGCAGTCCGAGCAGATAGCAGACAGGGGGGCGATAACTCATTCGTCGCTGCGGCATGCGAGCTCCTTCGGACCAACTGAGCCATGGTGCTCGTAAGCCGTATTGAAATGGGAAACATAATGTCACGGCTTCTGAAAATAGCTGAAGTTGCCACTTACTAAGAGCAATCACGCAACATCGAATCATCCACCATGGCAACATTCGAGAACGACCTTAATACTATCTCACAAGAGCCGTCACCTTCACCGCCCCGAGCTTCCGTTTTACTCTCACGGGCGGAGGGAAAATGAGGGGCAATGGCAAGCAATTTTGGGGTAAGCACAACCGAGAAGTCAAGACAAGAGCGCGCGGCACAGCGGGTCAGATGAGAGAAATGCGGAAGTCATGAGCTTTAATACCTCTCGGCCTGCGGGAGCTATCGAGCCCGGACTTGAGATACTTTGAAGATGATAGGACTGGTGCCGAAGATGGCTGCGCAAAGGCAAGAAGTAATGAAGACCATCCTGCCGCATTTACACGGAGACCATTAGACAGTTCCTAGCAATCCAGAAAGGGAAAGTGTGCGGCCTCACGAACAAACGATACAGTGACGAAATGAAAAGAGCTTGAGAGGGCTCACTCATCGGTGGCGGACTTCTAGAATACGCGTAGAAGACTGCGTAACTTTCGAGAACGAGCAGTGGAAAGACGACAGAAGGGCAATCGAAGCTTGCACGATTTGCTAGAAGCCGCCTAGAAACCACTCAAGCGGCGGTCGAACCGTGCACGTAACACACGAAGGAGATGAACGCCCCGTCATTCGGATCACCCAGCGAACCAACTTCCAACCACAGCCCATCTCGTCCATCAGCGAGATTTGGCCAGCCTGATGGGACTGCATCTACAATCGTGCCATTGCCCTCCAACATGCATTCAACATGCTGCGTGTAAGGATACGGCATCCTCCATTTGACCTCCTTGGCCTTATGTGGTGTGCACACCCCTCTTTTTTGGCATGAATTTGATCATCATTCCCATCGTAATGCACAATGCCAGGAACCAATCCGAGCGCGGATGGAGGTCCCTCTTCAGGTGCAGCCATGTTTTAGGCCAGGCCTAGTGGGCAAAGCGGTAAGGCTTGCAGGGGCTAACGAGGCAGCGTTGCAGCACTGGGCGGCCCTGACCATGCTCGCTCCACGCCTTTTCGTGTCTTGTCTGCCCTGTGCTGTGCTGTGCTGTGTTGTGTGTTGCCTATCCCATCCTTCCTCAGCCTGCGCCTCACTGTTGCCGTGCTTCTGTACGTTTACGCTGCCCAATTTCTCATCCTTTACGCACAATTCCTCTAGGAGTCGTTCCCGATACCAAGTCCCTCAGTCCCAGCCCCCGTGCATCCTTGTCCCTCTTTCGAATCTGGTCCAGGCCCTGTCAACCTTCCAGCATCAGCCGTGGGCAAAGCAGCTGCCTGTCAAGCCTTACTACCCGAAGGACCGCTAGTAAAGGTTAACGACTCATACGACATCGATTGGGACCAAAGACCCATAGCCTTTGCTCCCCGGCCCCTTCTTCCACTGACCGTCGTCGCCTCTGCCTGCGGTCGCTGTCACGCTGCTGAACGGAAAATCTCAGGCTTCCGCAGTGGCAGCGGACTCTGCAATGACTCTTACCTAAACCTTCTACGACGTCCTCTTCGCCCTCTCCACTTCCCGGTTCCCTTGTTCACCCAGCATCCTGGCAGTCCACATTTCACATCCACCTCACTACCACCTTTTACCACAGTCCTCATCCCACCGCCCCGTCACCATGACTGTGTTGAGGCCTTGATCTCACTAAGCCCAAAGGCAACATTCGTCGCACTGCCAAAATATCCTCCTACTTCCTCGGCGACTTTGCAACATTTCACCATACGCCCGGAATCAGATGGTTGTGGTGGATTCGGATTGCGGCTGCGCTGTGAACGCACTTCCCGTCGCTCACTCAAGACCTGCCCATTGCCACACGAGAGCCTCGCATACGACTAATTAAGCCAACGACTGTCTGTCCGCCGCCTATTTGCATCTCGACGGGCTTCACTTCAATCAGAAACGCAGACACACTTTTTGACGGGCTTCTCGAACAAAACCCGAACGAGCACACGACGTGTACCATTGGCCTTATACCCACTGACATAATCTCCTTCGACCAAAGCGGTTCTTTTCCTTCCATGGGAATTACCCCTCAGGTTCAACAGTCAGGACCGCTAGTCTGAAAATTTCCCACGGTCCTCGTTTGGTTGCACAGCATCCTTCCGTGACACAAGAAGAAGCTCGCTGGCGGGAAGCGTCTCGGATATCCACAACGGGGTGCATATCTGCCTTGCAGCATCCTTGTGCCGCATCAGCACGTGCCAGCGGTCGATTACCGGGACAGATAACGTACGTCAAGGTTACAAGTCGGTGGCTGCATTTGTGGGATTCGCGGGTTTCAGGTCAGGGAACAACGGTGCTGAACAACAGGAACCGTGGTGGCTTAGAGGACCTCCCATACAATATCCCTGGCTTATTGTCCCCGGTCAAGCAACGGTCAGCGAGGACAAAGACGAGCGCCATGGTGAAGAAGAAATCAACTTGTATAGCTTGGCCATACACACCTGAACCTTCCCCTCGCCTTGAAGCGACGGTCAGCCAATTGCAGGACGTTCCGGAACATTTCATCATGTCTGAAGGAGAGTTCACCAGAGCGCGGCCAATTAGTATGGCTACTCGAAAAGACGGCGTTCTGTCACCCGGAGCAAGACCGACACTTGAGGACGTGCTCAACAACAAAGCACCGTCGCCTTACACCCTAGCCGCGTACACAGCTTTTCTATCACAACAACACTGTCTAGAAACTCTGGAGTTCACCACAGAATCTAAAAGGTACGCCGATAAATACGATGAAGCAGCAGCCGGCATGGCCGGCATGCCTCTCACGATCGAGACGCAGCAAGGATGGGAGCTGATCCAAGATTGGCAACGCATACTGGAGATATATGTCAAGCCTGGTGCCCCGCGAGAGATCAACTTACCTTCGGAGGAGCGGGACGATTTGATGGAGCGTTCATACGATTTCGCGCCGCCCCAACCTGAACACCTGGACGCAGCGGTAAAGCGAATGTACGACCTGATGTCGGATTCCATCTTCATACCCTTCTGCAACAGCCTTAAACAGGTTTCATATGCACAGACATATAACGTCATGTCCGACTATGACGACCCGACTGATCTTGAGCCAACACGACTGACTTTTGATGAACGATCCTTGCATCGCCGAATGCCTTCTCGCAGACGGCGATCACCTCCAAACACGTCAGCAGGGCCACTCGAGACATCTCGGTCACCTCCACAACACCACCGCCCAACACAGTCCTCCTCCTTGTCGTCAGCGTTAGGTCGACAGAGCGGAGCACGCTTATCGACGCACATTTCACATTCGTCAGCAATCTCGGAGAGTGCCTTGACTGACTCTAGCGGAGGGCCCGAAAGCCCTCCTGCTGGCGAGCTGCTGGATCACGAGCCCATCATGACCCCGCCTACTACCCCGCCCACGAGCGAGCTCGGTGGCACTGCCAGTCATGGGAGTGCAAGCGGAATGTCCGCGATCAAAACCCAGCGTAGTGAAAGCGGCGGTTGGAAGAAAGCGATGAAGATCTTTAGTGGTGGGAAAAAGAAGAATGGCAGCAATGAACACGAATGACACGCAAGGGAGAAGTCCCCATCGACTTCTCCGACTGCGGCATCTTGCGCCTTCATGTGCTTGCGCCTGATTAAGTGACAATGTGGATTTGCTGCAATGGGATTATCATGGGAATAGGTTACAGGTGCGCAAAAGCGGGCAGCATTTCGGATGGGAATAATTGGACACGCGGTAATGGAGTTGGCCATGCGCTTATGAGATACGAATTGCATGATGGCGTTGGTGCGAGAGTTATGAAATGGCGACGATGCATTTTCGACTGGCTTGATCACTTCTTGGTCAGTCTTTATTGTTTGTGTCTTCTCTGGTCGGAGCGGCCAAGATCTTTATTCAACAACGGCAAACTTCTCGTCAAGAGGTAGAGAGTGGTATGTGGCAACATCCAATGGTCTGGGTGGAAAGGGCGGAGGGCTCCGATGTGGAACGAAGCCACATTCCTGATGTATACAATAGGCAGTGGACGTGATGCTTAGGTCATGATAGCGATAATCCCACTTCAGCGGTGGTGAATGATACGTGAGAGACGGACCACTCCTCAGAGAGAGCGCTTTCGAGTGATGTACCTCGTACTTCTTCGACGTGGTCAAGCGATACTTGACAGTTTCGGCGCTCGGCTCGTCCTCATCTCTGTACCACCTCTATCCGCTCACTGACACGACTCGTTTACATCCGGAATCCCCAGATCGCCCGTCAATATTGGGCCTAGACATTCATCCGCGAGGTCGAGTAACACTTCGAACTCCTTGGCGGTTGGCCATCACCTGTTCAAAATTCAAGCATCTCACATCCATGAAATTTCACATGCTTCTTGGTCTCCCATGACAAAGTCCTCCGGTCTATTGGTGTGTGGATTTGCTTGTAGCGGCCGTCTCCACCCTCAGAACTCGTCTCTGATGAGCACCACCATCACCTGCGCTTGAGGGTTACTCGTCGCCAGCATCCGCTGAGAGCATCAGTACAGTTTCACAAGCTCACATCAAATCAGGATGACGTTAATTATGGCATTCACCTAGCATTTCGCAGCTAGCGTCCAACACAGCGAAACCCAGAATGGTCGCTACGCGTTCCCTTGCGACTAGTCACACACTCACGTTTCGACTTCACACTTTGAGTTCTTTGGACTTTACTTATGAGGAGGATTCGAAAAGCCATGGCATTCTAGTCTCCTGGAAATGTCAATCAGATCGCTGGTGAAGTGACTCCTAAGTCGGACGATAACAACACATTGGGATGACAGCGTTGTCGATCAATGTTTCCTCCTCTGCACACCAAATGATAAGAACCCCGTGATCCCCGGATTGCTCCACTGAGTCTTATCAGCAAACCCGGATGACCGACTCATTGGCAGGCAGATTTACTCGGTCATGGGCGATTCCTTCTCTCCGCCTTCTATGACCTTTCCTCTTGTGGAGTTTGGATCGTCCTTCCTCCTGCTGAAGTCAGACATGGGCAACTGTAAGAGGTACTCGGTATTCACTAGAACCTTGCACCTGGTCCCGGCTACTTTGTTCATTGGGCGGTAATTGTACGGGTACCCAGTACGACTACGAGTCACGACTGCCACTGGACGGCGAACCGGGTGTTCCCCTAACTTGAAAAGTCGGTTCCGCCTGCGTGGCCTAAGATCGACAGCAATAAACAGGGCTATTGCTATATCCGTCTAACATAGTCGCCTGCAGCACCGCATCATATGATGGACTGGCATGCCTTCGACTCTGTGAGAGTAGTGCTGATCTCGTCCAATGGGTGGAGGGAGCACCTTTAGCAATGGTGCCGGAAGTTTCCAGGCACCGCGTCTCGTTTGCTGGGATACACCGGACATCTAACAAGGGCATTTACAATCACTGGGACGAAGCGGCAATACATCCATCAAGCCGGAGCCCTCGCTGCCTCCTACTACACAGTAGCACGAAATAATGCTTTGGCGGCGTCTTACCGTGCCGGCTATCACAAGCTCATCATGGCCATTTCGACCCTTCGAGCTTATCCTCATATTGGCTGGCAAGTTACTACCATGGGTTTTGGCACCCTCCCAACAAAGCAATCCTTCTACCGTCCCTCGTTGCGACTACTTTTGTCCGCCTCACTAAACCTTCCCTCCCACTGGTGGTGCAGAAAGTGTTTCTAGCCCGAAACTATTGCCTGGCGCCATGGGCCGTCATTGAGCGAATCACAGGCTTGTTTCAACTCGTCTTGGGCACCACGCCAGCTTTCCCTTTCCAGGCTTGCAGATCATTCACTTCAAGGAAGCAGGGTAAAGCGGTTCAATTGCCCGGGCTGCGACGGCGTCAACACGAGTAAAGGTGGATGGCGCCCTTCGGCTTTCGTCTCGCGCGACACTCCGGCTCTGGCTGTTCCACCCCGGGATCCACGGAATATGGACTGATTTCGGATACATCCATTTCATCGACCAAAACCTCGCACCCGAAGAGGACGAAGGACAGCTTACATCCAGTGGCCAAGCTTTACGACAAGTCTGGTGTCGACGAAAATTGACAGTCGAAAGCTCCGAGGACAACGACCACGGTGCAACATAAATGGGTACCATGCAGACTGGGAAGAGACGAAGGACACCGTATTCGAGAATCGAATGATAGGTCGGACAGAACCAACCGGCGAATGACCACACTCCTAGTATCAACGGGTAACGCGCTAGGTTTTTCCTCTCCTTCCTTGAGTTGTTGTGTTTCCAAGGCTTCCCCTCTACTGCCTGCGAGCATGAGACAAGGCTACCCTCCATCCTGTTCTCAGATACGGAGGTTGGTTTCCACGTTGAATGCTTCCCGGCTGTAGATCCGTATCGGCAAAGAACCGAGCTCGTGCACTCGAAAACTGATGATCTCGATATTTTAGCTCCATTTAGCGGCCTTTGAAATTTCGGCCGGCGGATAACACTTTTTACTTTATCGCATGTCGACACATCAGCAAACACATCGCCATGACACATGGTGGCCTGGCTCGTGCCGTGGGTGCATGTACCAGTCACTAGATGCTGTGCCACCTATGGGATTGGCTCTCCGCAATGAGGAAGGCGATGGAACGGACTCAGAAGGGTCAGTCCAAGCAACAGCGTGACCGAAAGCAACGCCAACGGTGAGATGCTCGTCATACACTCGGCTTTGCAACGAGGACAACCCTTTCGAACCAAGAACAGGGGCTGGAAGACGGTCTCCAACATTCCAGCCTGAGCGTGATTTTCTGGGTCTCTGCTCTCAATTTCCTCAAGGCTGGCAACCAAGAGCAAAATGACGGACATGTACTCAGTAGAGACGGCGAGGAGGTGAGCAGACTTGAAGTTGGTTTTGCGACATCAGAGCAACGTTGCATGAGCGGGCAAGACCTGCGGGCCACGTTGACGCACGACTGACCTTGATGCTGGTGCGTGTTTTGTTATCTCGGTTCGTGTATCCTGGCTTGGGACTACTGCAGCCTTCCCGAGATGTTCTGCATGCACGTCCTTGACGCAGGCAGAGTGCCGATTGGGTGCAGTGAGAATATGACGGCAGCGTGCGATCAGCAGACCAGATCCAGGGCCAACTTGGCCTGGGCTCATCGCCACAATCTACGGAGTACTCGGTCGGAGATTTTTAAAAGGACAAGCGAGTCACCCACATGGCGATGGCATGAATCGGCGAGGGTCAACGGAGAAATAGACCGGAGTGTTAGATGAGAGATATACTCCGTACTGTGTACACGGAAGGGACGTCAAGGACCATGGCCGGTCTCCGCTGTGTTTGAAACCCTGGCAGCGATGACAGTTCGCAGTAATGAGAAGCTTCAACCTCAGTCAGGAGTTTGAGATAAGATGCGTCTAACCTGATCCAGACTGGGCCAGTTTCTTAAGCGCGTTCATCTGCCAATCAGCGCATCTTCCCTCGCAACTCCACCCAACCTCCTGGATTTGTTCACAATTCCGTGTCAATCGTGCGACACTCTCATCGTCGTTCTCACCAACCATCCCACTTGTCATTCTCCGTTGCTTTCCTCTCATACAGGATCTGCACCTCCTTCGTCTGCGCTGTGGGATATGGTGTGGGCTACGATGGTTCTATGCCCGCCTTTCCGTGCTCCTACAATTTCCCGGCGCTGGTCGCGTGCTACCCACCAACATGGTACGGTACCTCCGCTCATGGCCGTCTCTTCTCTCCTCGCGTGCTCTGTTCTCGTCGTCTTTCTTTGATATCGGGTGCGCAACAAGTCGTCGTCGTTCTTTTGAAACCTTCTTCTCAACGTCCTAGAGACGTCAGTCGTTCTTTTTCAGTTCTCCGCCGTCGTTCCTTTCGCTACATACACTCATTTACTCGCCCGGTTGACTCCGCCACGGAAGAGATAGACGGAACAGACACTTTGACAGGTCTCCCGAAGCCCCATACGTATCGAAGTCAGGGACCAGCCCAACCAGACCCCCGGCGAACATGCATTTTCATACTGTCGCCGTTTTGGTGGCTTCTCTGTCGTTGGCATCGGCGTCGGCGCTGGTACGCCATGATGGACGGGTGGCTGATAGACGGCTCCCCAGACGTCAGTCTAACAATGACACTGCATGGACAGACTGGCCTGAAACGGCCGCAACGAGCCTGACTGTGGATGGCGCATCGGCCAGCTCGATTGCAACCACATTCAGTCCAGTTGTTAGTAATGTGGCAATAGCAAGCAGCTCTGGAGCTCCCAGCCCTGTCAGCCCTGTCATTGCTGCTGCGACCACATCGAGCAGCTCCGAAGCTACCGCTGCCACATCTGATTCAATGACCTGGTCGGACTGGACATCTTCAGGGAGCAGTGGCGAGACCCCCGTCAACGGCGCAGCCACCAGCTCGTCGACAACCACCACCGAGACGAAGAGTAGCGAGGCTCCTGTCAATGTCGCAAACACCAATTCATCTTCGACGCCTGTCGAGGCGGATAGCTCCACAAATACGACTACGGCCAGCTCCTTGGTTGAAGCTGTCACAGCTCCAGCTTCGAGTATGAATGGAAGCGCCGAGACCTGGTCGGACTGGGCATCATCAAGCAGCAGTAGCGCGTCGGTCGTTCAAGACGCCAAGACAACCACATCTACCGTGCCTGTTACTGTCAATGTCTTGTCATCAACGACAAGCACGAGCGATTTCATCGCGGCCGAGACGACCTCTTCATCTAGCGCGCAAAGCTCTGAGACCTGGGGCGATTGGGCTGTTACCAGCTCAGGCGGCGGCAGCTCGCCGGTTGATACTACAACAGAGCCGACTCCTACCTCGACCGGAAAGCCACCGGTTGATGCTGCAACGGAACCAACCATAACCTCCAACGGAAAGCCACCAGTCGCAGCAGTTGTCGACTCGACGGCCAGCACCCCGGAAACCCGGTCGGACTCGACTGAGGCAACAAGCACCGTTTCGACCGGAGAGGAAGTCGCCGTCAGCACCACCGTCGAAGCTACTGTAGCGACATTAACGCTCGGGGCCGGACCATCCGCCTCCGTCGTAACGACCACTCTACACCTCACGAAAACTTTCATGCTGACAAGAACTATTTACGCCACCATTACTCGCCCGTCCCCAACGACTCAGCCTCAAGGACCGAACGATGTCGTCAACGTCGCTGCTGCGAACAATGAAGCTACCACCACCATCACTCTGCACTCCACCACGACAGAGACAATCACGCTTATTCCCATGAACACGGGTGCTGGTTCTTTGCCCGCAGGATCGGGCAGCGAAGGCGCCGCGTGTTCTGTTTCGTATGTCACGGTCACGGAGGTGGTACAGAGCACGATCACCGTTACAGCGGCCCCGAGCGAGCTCAAGCCGCTTAAGCCAACCGCAGCAATTGCAGCAGTTGATGTGTCCACCGCATCTCCAAGCCCATCCAGCGCTCCGGCCGAGTCCACGTGGGCGGATTGGACGAGCAGCGAGTCCGCCGCCACCCCGGTCGAAAACGCACAGATCACTAGCAAGACAACGGATACCGTCGACGCCACCACATCGAGTAGCATGACCAGCTCGAGCAGTACATCTGCGCTGACTCCGGTCGAAGATTTAGAAACGTCTACCACCAGCAGCACTAGTAGCGTCACGACTGCGACTGAGCACGCGTGGGCGGATTGGAACAGCACGACGGCTACGAATATCCCAGTCAACGCAGTTATCACCACCCTTGCGACAACCACGCAGAGGCCAAGCTCGGGATTCATCACCATGTCAAGGTATACCACCCCTGCGGGATGGAAGCCATGAGATATCAGATCTCGGGGTTGTGGATGACAGGTTCTGGCTGCAGAGCACACGGGGACTTTGAAAGCCAAGGAGGAGCAATCTTTCAATTCTTGTACAAACTGTTTTATCATACCCCAGGTGGAATTACGACCTTTCGAGATGTGATTCTTCGGTCTGTGTCAGATGCGGGAGAAGTCGAACGAAACGTATTCTGATTGAAGTGTGTTGAGCAGCACTGAGAGCGCAGTAGGATCAGGCATAGCATGCACAATGACGACAGTTGCCGCGTGTTGTACTCGGTCTCCGTACTTGTTCGCGATTTCGAGTCATGGAAGGGTGTTCGTATTGACGGCCATGTGGCGGTAGCCAGTGAGGTTTCCTGTCCCGCTTCTTGTTTAAAGCTTTTTTCCAACGGTGTCCAGCATATGGGAAATCCCAGTTCCTGGGCATCTCCGCCCTGATGCCGCCCATTCAAGCCCTGAGGCCCAAGCCCTGAAGTGACTGGCTCGCTTGTCTGATTCGCCCTTCAGCAATTCCAAGGTGGCTTACTGGTGGTGAGCGGAAGCTTTATCACCCCCCACCAAGTGCCCCGCAGTTATGATGCTCGCTGAGCTTGGTCCGCGTCCCTTCAACTCGGGTCACCAGAGGACGCAATCAGCCGTATCTTTGCCAGCCCTCTGGCTTTCGACTATGACGCACCTTGATGTCGTCAGATCTTGCAAGATGATGGGCATCTCGCATCTCGCATCTCGCTACGGGTGTTAAGGTCTGGTCGAGCGGCGCATCTGAATTCATATAGTCCCCTGCGTCTCTCCCACGCCCCTTCGCTTGTGAAACTTTGAACATCTGTATAGAGCAGCAGCAAGACCCGTTTCACTGATCTCGTCAAGGAGCAAGTAACAGCCGGACACTCATCATGGAGACTATCAAGAACACCGTCAACCACCTTATGAGCGGTAACAACCAAAACGTAAGTCGGGGGTGCTCGTCGGTTTGAAGCAATAGCCATAGCTGACCGAGGCCACAGTCATCAGAGGAGCACAGGTAACGCTCTTTACAAAGATCACAAATCAGAAGCACAAGGAACTGACGCTTCGTAGCAGCCACCACCACCTCCCCGGGCACCACAAGCAGCACGACGACCAGACCGCCGCGAGCACAACTACCCCTAGCAGCCACGAGAGCGGCCACGGGACCAGCCATGGAACCGGCGACGAGAATCCCTCTCCCGCCGAAGCCGTCCCATCTAAGCCCACCTCGGCCGGCAACAGCGGCAACAACGATCAACAAGCCCAGCCGCCCACCGATGGCGGTGACCGAGTCCAGTCCCCCGACCAGGGAGCCGACCCGGCCTTAGTCGGCGAGCCCAATCCGACCGAAAAACTCAGCGGGACCGCCGCCCCAGGCAGCCATAGTGCCCTGTTTGGCCTGACTCCCGATGGGAAGAAAAACGCCGAAGCCTCAAAAGGCAGCGGCGCCCCGCAGCCCGCTCACAGCACGGATACCGCCGTTGGTGGCGGCAAGCCCGCCGAAGAAGGCGATACCAGCTCCCGCGCACCCACGGGCAACGCGCAGGTCAGCGAGCAGTTGCAAAAGACTGAAGCGAGTCCCGGTGAGAAGGGCGGCCAGAGGAAGGATCCAGTGCCGTTGCCTGCCGAAGACGGCACGAAGCCGGGTGCTGGTGCTACCGGGTTGCAGCAGGGTGGTGGCGATCTTTGAGCGAGGATCGCGGTGGATGTGGAGTGGTTGCAGTGGGTATGAAATCTAATGAAAGAAGGACACGGAATCAAAGAGGTGGGAGAAGCGAGCGCATGGGAGTCGAAAGAGGTGCAACAAACACGTATGCCATGTACAGTACTTAGTGGCGCGCAGCCTGTAAGGACGCGAACGTCGGAAGGTGACACCAGTGGACATTTCTATCCTTCCTGTTTATGTCGTGCCGACACGGAAGACGAGATCAAAATATATATACTATATTCATGAAGTCAATCCTTGCCGTTGACATTGCGCAAGTCGTTCGCTCTACGGCGGACCCTCGGGCAACCCATACCGTGGACGAAAGTATTGCTGCTCGTCAAACTTAATTCTCTTGTGGAAGCGAGGGAACGGATTTATATTGCATTGTGAGGCTGGCGAGCCGACTCGTTTTCGTTTTTTTCTTCTCACAGCTTCCCACTGGCTTCCCCTTCCAAGTACAACCCCCTCTCTTTAATCCAATCTCCGACGCTCGCCCCAACCAGCTCTCTCACTTGAGCCCAGTTCCCTTCCTTAACCGCATCCCTTACCTTCGTACTACTCACGCCCTGGGCCTCTCCTTCCTCGTCCACCACCAATTCGACTCTGTCAGACCATTCTCGTTTCATGCCCTCCTGCTCCAGCGCCCCCTCCCGAATGCCCTGGAGGTACTTCGACTGGCCTTCCGGCGTGCTAAAGTCGGGGCTACTTACAGCGCCACTACTCGATCCGCCCTCCGTCTTCTGCGCATCCTTCAAGTTCGCGCTCGGACTGTCCGGGTCGACCCGTATCGTTGCCCTCACACGATGGTGCTCCAGAAAGGGTTCCAGCGCCGACAACGGCGGGTCATGCTTCGGGTAGTACTTCGGGGTGAAGATGCGGAGCAGGGTGTCGAACCCGGTCAAGTGGATTTGCTCCGTGACGCCGTCTTCTCGATCTGGATTTTCGTAGACATTACTGTCACGGATCGCGCTGGCCTTGTCCACGAAATACGGCTGCTTCGTGATGCCGATGTCGATGATCGGCGCTTCCACCGTCCCTACCGGCGGGTCTGACGAGCTCGAGGAGGCAGAATCAGAAGTGGTAGTAGAAGGCCCATTTGACGAGAAAGTAGACCGCAGGTCCTGTGCAGCCAGTGCCATCATGACGATACGGTCTTCAAAGTCGGCGGGCTTGGGTTTCTTATCGGCGTTGACTGTTGCGAGCAGGAATAAAACTCGGGGCGTCTCGCTTTGGCTCTGACCTTTCCTTTCCGACTTTGAGCGCTGAGATCTGAGTGCCGTCTTGACGAGGCTGGAGTGGGCTTTTGAAGGCGGGTTGAAACTCGAGTCCAGCACGTAGAGCGTCCTTGTGGGGATGGGTTTGCCATGGCTGGGTGCCGATGTTGGAGGAATGGTATGTAGGATCCGAAACGACGATGGTGAGCCCGCAAAGTCTTTTAGTGCTTTGGAGAATTCGGACCGGAGGTATTGAAGTGCTTGCATGTCTAGGGTTGCTGGGGACATGGTCGATTTGTTCGTGCTGGTATGTTGGGCTTCGGAGGCAGTCCGGGATATGAACGGATCTGGTTTGCTGTAGGTTCTTTCAACTGGCCGGCAAGTTGATCGGTGATAGAGATGGCCCGATGACACCAATTATACTGTATGTTGGATATTGCCGTCACTTCATCGTCTGTATCGCTGGAGTCAACTCGACGGATGACCTACGTTTATGCGCTCGCGTAGAAGCGCGGCCGCATGACGCCATTGGTCGGCTTCTCAGCCTCGCGATCTCGGAGCATTCAGTCACAAGGCTGAAGAGGGGACAACGGACTGGGAGCGAGCCTTTCACACGTGACGAACTTTCTGCTTGGCGCGCTAACCGCACAACCAAATTCGGGCCAACAGCGACTTTCGAGCCATTGTGCGCGCAGCTTCAACTTCGACTTCAACCTCCTCGAGACTCAGTTAAACGGGACTTACTCTTCACACCAAGTCAAGATGTCGACTGCTGAGCTCGCCAGCGCTTACGCCGCTCTCATCCTCGCCGATGATGGCATCGAAATCACCGTATGGCAACCCCCATCCAGTCCTATCGCACTTTTGTCCGCAAATGCAGTGGAGAGACGAGAGACGAACATATGTGGGCGTCTGCTGACCTCCGCTCTTTCTATCTAGGCCGACAAGCTGAACACCCTCATCAAGGCCGCCGGTGTCGCTGACGTCGAACCCATCTGGGCCACCCTCTTCGCCAAGGCTCTCGAGGGCAAGGATGTCAAGGACCTGCTTCTGAACGTCGGCTCGGGTGGTGGCGCCGCTGCCGCTGCTCCCGCTGCTGGTGGTGCTGCTACCGGAGGTGCGGCGGCCGCCGAGGAGGCTCCCAAGGAAGAGGAAAAGAAAGAAGAGGGTACGTCTGCGGCCATACGACAGAAAGTCCCTGCCTTAGGAGGGGTACACATATTCGATTGTTAATACTAACCTGTTCGCGCTTCACAGAGAAGGAAGAGTCCGACGAGGATATGGGTTTCGGCCTGTTCGACTAAGCTGGGCGCTTGGCTTTTGCTCAACCTCGTTCTCCTGCCCCCGGTTTTACCCACTCCGCCTCACCTGGGCTTGACTGACAGAATGGTGGTGGCGAATACGGGTTGCTTGCTTGCATCTGCGCCTCGCCGACTGACCGACTGAAAGAACCTAGAGGTCTGGGTCTTGTGTTTGCTGGGACGGGTTACCGGATAGAAGCCACCCCTGATGGCGATTCGTGGATATCAAAAAACGTCGAGAACTTCGGTCCGGGACGAGCTATGGCCGGCTAAGACTCATGCGGACTTAACAGAGCCACACAGCCAGCATTCTTGAGAACTTTGATACACAGATTGTCCACACGCTGACGCCTCGCTTTGTTGATCCGTTTGCATGCGTGTGTGCGAGCGTGCTTGCTGAAATCCTCCTTGGGCAGCTAGGTCGTTTGGCTTGAAACGGTCTTGCAGATCGATGGGCGCGGGCCCGTTCCATTTCTCTTGCACTTGGTCCGTGCCACTGAAGTGCCGCCGTGTCTTCTCACGCCAGACACGCCAGGATGCCTATTCCATCTCTTTTGCTTCTCGTCCGCACAGCTCACCCGGCGCCATATCATCTCTTGGTCCCGCACACAGCACAGCGACACCATTGATTGCATGGTCTCACGTGTACGCCTCTCCCTCGCCTTCTCCGCTACAGTCATGACTACATGCCGTTTCATGCCTGCGCTTGTCTTTGTGCGTATGCGTAACTCCTGAAGCTTTGCGTGCATCAACCTACGCACCTGTCGGCAGGTCTGTAAGGGCGCGCATCAGCTTTGACCTCTTGGCTACTGGAGCTAGGACATTCTCAGGAACTGCGAGGTCCATGGGGTCTTCGTCCCTGACCCTCATGGAGATGCTTCGTGCGCCACGTCCACCCACTCAGAGTATGGGCACAGAGTACGAGTAGAAAGCTCGTCCATTCCAAGCGGTTAACTGCTGTACGTCGATCCTCCAAGTGCCTGTTCTCCACATCTCCGCTCTATGCCATCAAGAATACTCGTGAATACTCCATGGTCGTTAATCAAGAGATCACTCTGCCTGCCATTTAAACTCATCCATTTACCGCCTTGGTATACTCTAGACGGACACAGCAGGAGCGGTATATCCCGTATCGGAGACGTAAAGTCGGCCTACACCAAGCGCATCCTTCCGCCTCTCTCTCTCTGTGTCGGCTTCTCCCCTCTGTACATATTTTACATGTGTACATGTCCAATGCTCCGTACATATCGCAGACAGGCAAGCAGACGGGTATCTTGATTCCAAGGTTCTTAACTCCTAGCATTACCCCAGGTGCCCTCCTAGCAATCACCACCTCACAACCCGTTGGACCGCTTGGCACCATGCCATTCACCTATGTAATTACCGTACCAACCACCTCGAACGGACCCTTCCCCGACCGGGAAGTGCCACGCGTAACATGGGGTCTCCCCTTCGACGAAGCCTGCGCCCACCACATCAGACACACCCTAGGCTGCTCGCGCGTGTACACGGTCGCGTCACGCTCTCTGGCCACAAACACATATTCACTAGGAACCCGCCTCCGCGACGCGGTGGGCGATAAAGGTCAAAGTCGTGGGCCAGCGCATCGGCATGACGCCACCCACGCACTGGAACGAAGTCCTCGAGATCGCGGCGGACGCGCCGCCAAAGAACCCGGACTGTATAGTCACGCTGGGCGCCGGGCCGTTCACAGACGCCGTGAAGGTCATCTGCTGGGCGCTCGCGAATGGGATCACCACGTCTGAGGGACCTGGAGGGGCTGTTGACGTACTCCTCGTCATTCGGCCGCGGAAACACTGGGTCCCCGTTCAAGGATTCCGACATTTACCACGTCGCCATCCCCGCGAGCCTCTCCGGCGGTGCGAATACCAGAGCACCGCGGGCTTGACGCGCGACGACGGCACCCACGCAAAAGTCCTCTTCCAGACCCCGACGCGCAACCCGAACATCGTCGTCCTGGACCCGGGCATTGTGGCCCTAACACCTCGCGAGGATCTGGCTCAGCACGGGTGTGAGGGCGGTGGACCACTACGTCGGGACGCTGTGCAGCTTACATCCCAACGCCAAGGGGGACGGGGAGGCCGAGAATGGATCATTGCGGCTGGTCCCCGCGCTGATCACCACGCACCAACACCCCGACGACCCTGGACGCGCGGGTACGAGACCATCCATGCGCGGCGTCGTCGAGGCCATGTCCGCCGTGGGCAGCGGCGTGCCTTTGGGAGCCAGCCACGCTATAATTAGGCCACCAATTGGGCCCCGTTGGGCGCGGGCCACGGCGAGACGAGACCAGCTGTATCTTGTTGCCGGCCGTGTGGAAGTGGAATGAGCTCGGGGGTGCGAACACTGAGCGCCAAAGGTATACCAGCGATGTAATTATTGCTTCGGTCGCCCGTCGTGAGGACGTTGGTGGAGGCGAAGTACCGAAAGGGGAGGGTGGGGGCCACAGCACAGGGCCCAGTAATCGGGGATAAAGTCGACCTCGACCTGGGCGATATTCTGGACTTGATCTTTCGTCAGTTCGGCATGCCGAGGGCGTCAAAGGACAAGGGCGTCGGGAGGGACAAGCTGGAAGGGTTGGCACGGAATAGTTTAAGGATCATTGGATTCGGACGAATGCCAGGCCCATTACGGAGATGGAGCAAGTGATAAAGATTCTAGAGATGGTAGTAGAATGAAGCCAGAGGTTAAGAGTACAGTAGTAAATCAATGTGGTCTGTCTCGCTGTCTGCCTGCCTACCAGGCTGGCTGGCTGAATGACTAGGCTGTCACTATTTTAGCATCCGGAACTATTCTCCCTGTCTACCTACTGTACTACGCCCTATGACCCATGATCCACCGCCCGCGAATCGGTTCTTGGTACAGCCATGCTGATCTTGCTCTGTCTCGAGAGCGGAAACAAAGTTGTGAACGTCGAGATAGCAGTGCTTCCATTGCAGCTTGGCCGCGTCGTCACTACCTCGCGGTGTGCTCTGCCAAGTGCACAGAGGACACAGGCTAAGCTTGCACTGAACCAAGACAGGAGATACGCTGAACCCGGCTGCTGCCGAAAATGCTGTCCCCCTACATCCTAGCCCCGGTTGGCGGATCGCCTTGTTTAAAGCATCCCGCTGACGGCTGCGTCCATCTAACAACTATATTCCCGTCGTGGTGGCCATTGAAACAAATGTGTCTACCGACCACGGCCATGGATAATTAGCTTTACCGCCAACTCCACCATGCCCCAGCGTCCAGGTAATCTCGCCAGCCACAGCTTGAGGGATGTGTTCTGGCACACTTCGACATCAGGCACTCCCCCAAGCCGTGCACTCATACCTGCCCGCGCCATCCCCAATATCTCTGAACAGCTTCACCTCCGTTCTCCGCATTTGCTTCACAAATTCCCTCCGCTCCTGCGCTTCACCAACACTGCGTTTGCCAGGGTTGCCCCGCCAGATCCGCCCCTGCCGATAACATTGACCGCAAGAATACAGGCTGGTAGCTGTCGCCCAGGCGGCTTCATCCTCAAACAGCGTGATCTCCGCGAGGTTGGGTAGGTGCGCCCTTGCGTTGATGATGCTGGTGATGATGTCCCGGCGGTAATCTGGCAGACGCATGACTTGCTCGATGTCAATGTCCAAGGTAAGCGTCTGGAGGCCGTCCGGGAGGAGATCGGCAAACGAAGAGGCGGGCCGCGTGACGACAACGGGGTGGTTGGGGAGGCGATAGGGACATAAGTGGCGGCCGAGGTACATCGACGGATCGATCTTGAGGTGGAGGAGGGCTTTCATGTTGCGAAGTGACGGCAGAAGCGTGATCTCCGGCGATTTGTGCACGCTATGGTACCCGAGCGTCAGGCTGGTGAGGGAGGAGGACACGTTGCGGAGAACGTTGGCGAGCTCGTCCAACAAGAGGGCACCCCGATTGCTGGATGGTCTCGTCAGGGTAAACGCTCGGAGATCGGTGCAAGTGCAGAACAGCTTGACGAGGGCATCGGCGTTGATGTTGACCTGGCGCAGTTCGAGGCTTGAAAGCCGGCCGAGGCTGTTGAGTTCCTCGATGGGCGGATACTTGGAGTGGCTCCTGTCGTCGTACAAAACGACGTGCATGTCCCAGAGTATCATGGTCCTCATGCTTGGTTGTCCCATGTAATGGATCAGAGTGTCTGTATCCACCAGGGTTTGGAGCTCATGATCTCGAGATGGCGTTGCAGTTCCGATGTGGAGTGTTTCAAGCGCTGGGCAGCGGTAGCAGAAACGCAGGTTCGGCACATCGCTCTGATCGAGCGAGATTTGTTGGCTGTTCAGAAGCCTCGCGGAGAGTGTGGGCGCCCGTAGCAGCCATGGAACCTGTTGCTCCATAGTGGTAGAGGGTCCGCATGAGTGTGCTACCTTGTATACAGATAGATCTGCAACTCACTCCTGGCCGCTTCTGCAGTTTGTGTCTGGCACCAGTGGAGGTTCGCTAAAGAGGACGCGCCAGATCGTAGAGGCAGCGAACGCGCGAGTAACTTCCTGCGGAGTGGAGGCGTGAATACACATAGCAGCCAGAACTGAAAACATCCATCCTTCGTCTTCGTAGTGATAGGTACAGTGCGTCTGTGAATATGTGAATATGTGAACAACAAGTTGTCACAGAAGCCTGTAGCAGGGTTGAGCAATGTCGGAATAAGGCTGTGGCAGCGCTGCTACAAGGCTGATTCTTGGCAGGGGCTTCGCCATGTTCATATCGTCTGCATCATCTGCAGCAACATGGCGTGTAGGTTCAAAGACCGCGTGTCCCAGGATGGTAACTGGAGCAAGTAAGCAGGATAATGTCGTCGTCCAGACCATATGAATTTTCGGCCATTGACTTGTCTCACGCTGAAGCCACTGGCAAGGGCTCGATGGTTAGCCATGATGTATGTATGAATCGTGCAGAAAGCAGTGGCTGCGCCGGTGTTCTGTGGATGGTGGGAGTACTGTTAGGAAAATCCTCTCCTCGAAAAGCCATTCTCGGTGATGAGGACGGCACGGAATTGGAACCGTAGTCTGAATTGCCCTTCGATTCATCTGCTCGGCCTACGCAAGCGCACCGACGCAAGGTTGAGCTTTCGCCGTATCGGTCGTCACCGAAGAGTAAGCCAGCAGGATGAGGGTATGACAGCGATCACGAATCAGTGTTTGCATATCTCATAAGCGATGAACCTACAGTGAGTTGATTCCGGAAACATTCATTCAGAAGCATCTGACCAACTTTGATGCCGTTTGCCCTCGAAGTAAGCTCGTTGCACAGCGTCTGGGCTGGAAATGGCGGCCGACCTCAGAAGGCCTGAGATGCTGTCCGTCATTCACTTCGCGGGACTGGCTTCCACAAACATTCGTTTGCGAGTAGGCTTTTAGGACGGCCGGACAGGCGGGGAGGGGGGGCACTCAGGGGACGCTTCCATCTTTTTCTGATTGCTTACTCACTCAAGTCATAGCTTGGCTCTCCGTCTGCTCGAGGGCCTGGTGACCACGGGGCTTCTATTGTTCATCATGTAGAAAACTGGTCCGAGGAAAGTGGTCATGACAGGAAGGACAGGTGCGTCGTAGGACGTCTTGACTTGGGCTCTCTGCACCTTGGTGTAAGATTTTCTCCATAGTTCTGGTCCGAGGCCGCGATCCAGAAGAGACGCACTGCTGCGAAAGGTTTGACAGCAAGGAAAGTGAAGTGGTGTTTCAGATGAGTTGCTGTTCGACAGACTGGTCGCCAACTCACCACCGTGCGGGCTTCCGAGCCTTACAGGCCTGCACGTATCCATGCCAGAGCGTTGGGCGCTGGCAGGGTGAGGTGTGCAGCAGCATGGGATTATCACAAGTCCACACGGAGTGAGAGCATCCAAAGAGAAGGGGTGGATAGGGCCACGACACGATGGCACGAAGTGTTCCCTGCATGAAACGTGGCTGGGAAGGTTTCCCGAGGGCCGTCAGGAAACAAGCCTCACGTGACCTTTCATCTGGAGCGAACCACTGGGAGCTTTTTGGCAAAAATACTGCTCAGCGCGCAGTCGCATTTTTTGACTCAAGTGATGCGATTTGTTTCTTCTTTGGCGTCGAAAATTGACCATTAGTCCCAAAGAAAGCCAACCACGTGCCGCCAGCCTGGCTGTTCAGACTCTTGCTCTATATCTTGGTCTGCCCGAAAGAGCGCTTCCTCGAGCGGTATGTCCGTCAGCGTGACGATCTTCGTCCGCTTGTGTATCTTCCACGCCATGTAGGCGGTGATCACAAGTGCAATGTCCCTGGTTTAGCGTTAAGATCAAGGTCAGCACTTCGCGAGGGGAGGACAGGCTGCGGGTAGGGCTTGCGGCCACGTACAGATACGATGAAATGAACCCGCTGGTTGACCAGTTCCCCTTGGTGAAGACTGGAAATCCAGCAGTGAGGAGGATGGTAACACACAGGATCAGAGCTGCGGGCGTTGAGTATTCTGGCGGGTGGGAAGTGAATCGTTAGTACAGGTTGAGGGCTGCACACTAAGGGCACACCATACCAGTTAGCTTTGAATGCCATGGTAGCTTTCGCAGCTCGAGCTCCTGGGCCTTCATGGCGCGCATCAGCCGCAAATGGTTCAAAAGCACGGTGATCCATGAAATCAACACACCACACGCGGTGAGGTCGACGAGCCACCAGAAGACCGTCAGGGCACCTGTCGACAGACTCATGAAGGCAAGGAACATGAATGCCCCGAAGAAGAGTGTGCAAATGTATGGTGTGCCCCAGGGTGTCGTCCGCAGGAACAGCTTCGGCGCTTGATTCTTGAGCGCGAGGCCGTACAGGACGCGAGTGCCGGAAAGCAGGGACTGGTTTGAACTCGACCACGCGGAGGTAATGACGATGGCGTTGACGAGGGAGGGCACACCGCGGAGGCCGGCAGCGCTGGCGGCGATGACGAAAGGGCTCTGTGCCGCAGTCCCGGACTGGTCATCGAGTCTGGGGTCGTCGCTCGGCACAAGCATGCCCACGACAAGCACGGCAAGGATGTAGAAGGTTGCCACTCGGATGAACACCCGTTTGCATGCCTTGGGGATTGTGACGCGCGGGTTCCGCGTCTCGGCGGCGGCCATCGCAAGACTTTCGGTCCCAGCAAAGCTGAACACGGCGTTGCTCATCACTGCCCAGTACCCGAGGAAGCGGCCCCAGGAACCCGTGCCGATGAACTCCACAAACGGGCCAGGATGTTTCCAGTAGCGAAAGCCGATGCGAGGCGTTCCTGAGACGCCGCCAAGGTCGATGATCAGGCCAAGCAGAACCAGGAAGATGATGAAGACGATCTTGAGCAGAGCGAACCAGAACTCGATCTCGCCGTAGATGCCGATGAAACAGAGACCGACTGCAACGGTTAGAGCTATGAAGATTACTATCCATAGTGAGGAGTTGATGTCGGTCCAATACTGAAACAAGACGCAGATGGCCGTGATCTCGGTCGGGATGGAGAGGCAGTTGCCGTACACTAGGTTGTACCTGTACACGTGTATTAGCACCCGAGGTGCGGGTTGTATGGTGTTGACAAACCCGATAGCAAAGCCTAAGGCCGGATCGACTAGGACCTCCGCATGGCGGACGAAGGAGCCTGTGACCGGAAACAGCGCCGTTGCCTCGCCAAGCGCAAATTGCACAGCGCAGACAATGAGACCGACGGTCGCATAGCCAAGCAGTGCTCCCAGCGGACCACCAGTCTGAATGGATCCTCCGAGACCTAAGAAGAGACCGGTGCCCTGAATAAGGATCAGCTATCCATTTGGGACGCGGGAAGCAATCAGCGTACAATAGCCCCAGCGATGGCAATGAGCGACACGTGCCGTTGGTGTAGACCTCGTTTGAGATCGCGGTCCTCTGTGGCGGTGACAAAGTCACTTTCGTCGAGCCGAGATGGACTCTGTGGTGTATCCGGATCCCAATCTGCTTGGGGTTCAGCCAAACTTCGGACCTGCTTGCCGACTGATTCCACGCCATCAGACATGTTGCTGGACTGTTGAACGCCCAGCAAGGGGGAAGCTTCGTCGGGCTCGCCCGCCGCCATCGTGGCTGTACTTATGACCGCTCGGTGCAATGACAAGTTGTTTCCATCGAATGGCGTGCTTTAGCCGACATAGTTTGCCATTGGACGCGGTAGAGTTTAATTACGTCTTCGTGGGAGGGTTTCTGTTTGTTACGGGAGTGGCAGTTGCAATGAACGGGTGAACAACTCGTAGCTTGCCAGAAACACGATAGCAAGATTCCGAAGGCTTCGTCCAAGGGCTGATATAGCCAATTGGAACTTCAGAACGAAGAATAGTACGAAGCGACACAAAGACACGAAAAGAAGTGGGATTTCGAGCACGATACGAAGTACGGAGTAGGGTCGAATGCTTAACCAGGATAAGCATCGCTCTAGGCGGCGGTTGGCTTCCCGGCCCTCACTTCTCCTTCAGTGGTAGCCCGGAGCCCCACGCATAACAGGCGGCGCTCCCAACTTGCTCCTTAGTCTTCAAGTCTTGATCATGACTTCTGCACCTACCAAATTATTTTGCGCTCCCAGACATAGTCGGTCTGAAGGAATACTAGACGATTGACATCTGGTTGCACCAGCTGATCTCACTGCCCTCGATGGTGGTGAGAGTGCACGTGTCTAAGGAGCCTTACGATGGTTAGCACCTCTGAGCGCGGTGGGATATCTTGCGACGATCGGAAGGAATCGTATGACTGCTCACAACGCCGCTTGGACTGAAATCTGCTATTTCTGCAAGAGGGGGTGTCTAGATACACTGGGAAGTGGGTGATGTGATATACTCATTGTCCCGAAGACGGGGGCAGAAGCGAGCATGTTGGCAGAGGAGTGATGCAAGCAATATTCGATGTCACGGTTGTGAGAACGTGAGGAAACGAGGGTCATTCAATTTGGATATATTGTCGTCCCAGTTTATAAGGCCAGTGGTACCAGTGCCTTTTCCAGCCTTACCGAATTGTTCCATCGGTCGCACCGCTTCCTCTGAAGTTCTTGAATAGCCCGAATTTGGTCTTCTTCCCTCCAGAAGTCGCAGTCGTGTCAGCCGTGGTAGACGCTGTGGCGCCGGGAAGTATAGACATCGATGTGAGATGCGCCGAGTCTTCCACAGTCTCGAACCCGATTCCAGTCAAGGGAACGGACAGCGGTGCTTGAACCGCCACCGGCCCTCTCCATCTGGCCAAGTCGCCCTCATTCAAGATGCAGTCTTCAGCAGGGTCATCTGTACCAATGTAGCCTCCCTGGTCGTCTTTGGCATAGTGCTTCTGATACTCCGTTCTTGTGACTTGACACATCTTAATATTGACCCTTCTTGAAGAGGGAAAGTGGACGCTGGACCTCTTTCGGCGGAAGAAGCTTGGAAGACCCTTGTCTGTTTGTTTTAATCTGGTGCCTTCCTTTCCGGCAGTGTACCGGTCGGAGGAGCCCGCATCTGATACTGCTTCGTTCTGTTTCAGGGCTTTCAGATCGAGCACGGGCACAGTCACAAGAGTGTCGTCGTTCTGGTCACTAGCCTTGCCCACTGGCTGGTATCCGGGGCCGCTCAGGGTGGTGTAGGCGGCGGGATTCACGCCGCTGGTTGCAGCAGTGATAGCGTCCCATTTCCCCATCCTGGATGGACTATTCCTGCAACAAAAATTCCGTCAAACTGTCTATACTTATGGTGGAGGAATCTCGTAGGTGCGGCACATACGGGTTGAAATTTCAAGACGGAAAAGGGCACCGTGGTTATGGATGGCAAAATGTCTCGATGGCGTAGCCTCTGGTGAAAGACAGGATGTTGTAGTCCTTCAAGCACTCGTTACTAATATGTTGGTCCAGGCGAGCAGACCGTGCCGAGTCTGCCTTGCTCATGCTGATTGGACTTCGCAGGCGGCTGTGCGTCTCTCGTGACTGTTCAAACCCCACACGGGGCGTTAGCAACTCGTCGAGACTATGCGGGGGCGATTCCATAGTACCTTGAACTGGTTTGATAGACATGATACAAACTTAGATGATGGCGATCTGCGTATTTGTAGTCTTCGATAGCGTGTTCCTCTTCTCTGGGTCGGATCATCTATGCCGAACGGCGTCACATCGCGGACCTCGTACACTGTGCCTCCATTTTATTTGTGCATACTCGTACATCTCTGAATTACTTCCTGACAGCATGCACATGAATGCAACAGGTATCAAGGATGGGTCCTGGCGGCGGGTCTTCGTTAACGTCACCCGTTTTGTCGCAGTTTTGCCAGAGCGGCGGCAACACCTGAACTTAGCTCTTGTTCTTTCCGAGCCGCTGGGACTGACGAGTCGTCTTGTTCTTTCTCTGCGTTGGCCTTTGCGGCTTCGGCCTCAGCAAGTGCAAGCCACGCAGCTTCATCGTCGTCATCATCGAAATCATCGTCAAGTGCTTCGGGTCTCGAGCGTTTATGGCTAGGGCCCGCAGGGGTGTCGCTCGATGCCATGACGGTATTGGAAGCCTGTCCATGCGAAGTTGGAACGGAGCTGATCGGTATGGGTTCACGTGCACTTTCAGGCTCATAATCGGTGTCGAGACTGGTTGCCGTACCCACAGTTGTTTCCTGCCTCAGCAAAGCGGCATTGGACTTCGCTGCTCTCCTCACTCGGAAAGGTTCACGGAGCGTGTTGTACCAGTCCTTGACCTTCTTCTCACCAAAACCAGGGACTAAGGCCAGTTCTTCGGGTTGAGCATTGACAGCTGCACGAAGCGATCCAAAATTCATGATCAAGCTCGCGGCGTCCGTTTTGTTGATAGATCGAGGTGTGGTGACGAACTCAGTCAAGCTCTCTTGATAAGTCTCTGCTCGGTGAGCTCGAATGGAGGCCGAAGACGCGTGCTCATAAGACTTGAAGAGTTCCAGGTACCGGCCGGCTTCTTGAGAAGACCAGCACAGGATCAAGGTGAGATTGTTGATCATAGAGGTTTTCGACAACTCCTTCAGTGCTTCTTCATGATTTTCGATGTCGACCATCGCCAGCAAGATACGAAGATTGTAGAGCTTCCCCAACTGGCGGATGCGGCTATAGACGTATTCCGGGTGCAGCCGGTGATACTTCAGGGATAAGAACAAGGCGCAAGTTGTGGCTCCAAGAACATAATCGCACGGTATATCGGAGTACTCCCAGGGTAGCTGGGTGACATGTTTGAGGATCGGATTGCCTTTCTGACGCGTCGACACCAGGATGGCTGAGGGACCTTGTCTTGACGGTAGTGCTTGGGGCTTTGGCTGAACCACTTTGGTCGCAGAATTCGTCGCCGGGCTCCCCTTCCGCTGCGGTGCTGATGATCTTTTGACAGATGTCTCCCCAGAAAGAAAATCGACGTTGTCGAACTCCTCAGCCATGCTTTGTAATGCTGAGGCTGAAATCGGGCACAAGGACAGCTACTGTATTTGAGATGGGGTGTTCATGTTTTCCTTGTTTCCTTCGAGGGCTCGGAGGGTTTCACTCTTACAGTCGTCAGTTACGCCTTATGCTTGACCGTAAATTTATGCTCCGCCAGATTGTTACTCCGCCTACTTGGAGAAATTTTTGAACTGTGGAAAAAGTTCACTCTCGCTCTGGAAGACCCGTTCACAACGACCGCAAATGAGACGCCATGACTCAAGACAGCAAGAGGCGCAAGCTGTCTAACGGCAGCTACGAAGCCACAAGTCCCAAAATCACAGAAACAAACCAAGCCACCGAGGCAGCGCCCCCGGACCAGAGACGATCTCTCTTCGTTCGCTCCCTGCCGGCGTCAGTGACGACTGAGCGGCTCGCTGAACACTTCTCTGACTCCCTCCCAATCAAACATGCGACCGTCGTTATCGATCCAGAGACGAAGATCTCGCGAGGCTTTGGTTTCGTCACATTAGCAGACGCCGAAGATGCACAGGCCGCTGTGGCCCAGTTCAACAATTCTGAGCTGGATGGGAGGAGGATAAAGGTCGAATTAGCCGAAGCAAGACACAGAGACGGAGATATCGAAGGTAGGGGTACTATCAACACGACTGCGCTCAAGCTCAAGGCTCAAAGGGAGAAGAGCAAGGAAGACTCGCAAGCACCCAGACTTATTGTGCGAAACCTGCCGTGGAGCATCAAGACGTCTGACGAGTTGGCCGCGCTATTTCGGAGCTATGGCAAGGTCAAGCACGCTGTCGTACCGAAAAAGAACCCAAAGGTCCAGTACGGCTTTGGCATTGTTTTGTTACGAGGCAAAAAGAACGCCGAGAGAGCAATTGCTGGGGTCAATGGCAAAGAGATCGATGGCCGCACATTAGCTGTGGACTGGGCGGTGGACAAGGAGACTTGGCAGGAAGTGCAGAAGACCGGTCAGGTCAAGCCACAACCGAAGGACACAAAGCAGCCTACAGACGAAGGCGAACGTGACAGTGCTGATGGTGTTGGCCGTGAGGGCGAAGAACCGGAATTGGACGGAGATTTGCAAGTGGATCAGAGTGCTGAGGATAGCACTGACTTAGCACAAGGGTCCGACGAGGACTCACTCGATGGTTTGGACGCTCAAGCCGACGACGAGGACCTCGGATCTGAAGCTGAGAGTGCCCTTTCAGACGACGAGCCGGCCCAGAACAGGAACGACACCACCGTGTTTGTGAGAAACCTACCCTACAGCACTGATGACGATGCTCTGAAAGACCACTTCTCGACCTTCGGACCAGTACGGTATGCTCGAGTTGTCTACGATCAGGATACCGAAAGGCCGCGGGGAACGGGCTTTGTCGCTTTCTTCAATCTCGAGGATGCCAAAACTTGTGTCAAGAACGCTCCAAGGCATGGGGCTCCAACAGAGCAGGCGGCCAAGGACAAGAAGCGTCGCGGCGAAACCCTCAAGCATTCGATTTTGGAAAATGAGGCATCGGATCCTTCTGGTCAATATACCCTTGAAGGTCGAGTCCTCCAGGTCACCCGTGCATTGAGCAGAGAAGACGCAGAACGACGTGCCACCGAAGCGAGCGACAAACGAGACATCCGCGACCGTGACAAGCGCCGGCTCTACTTGCTCTCCGAGGGCTCCATCACGAACGGATCCAAGCTCTCCGAGCAGCTAGGCAAGGCGGAGATTGATATTCGAGAGGCCAGTGCTCGCCAGCGTCAAAAGCTGATCAAGAGCAGCCCCAACCTCTGTTTGAGCTTGACTCGACTGAGTGTCAGAAACTTGCCCCGCGGCATTGGCAGCAAGGAGCTGAAGGCCCTGGCCAGAGAAGCCGTGGTTGGATTCGCCCAGGATGTCAAAGAGGGCCTACGGCAACCCCTGAACAAGGAAGAATTGCGCCGCGGTGGTAGCGAAATGCAAGAGGCCGAGCGCAAACGCAAGCAATCCGGCAAAGGCATCGTCAAACAGGCCAAAGTCGTGTTCGAGGATAAAGAGGGCGGGAAAGTGAAGGAGGGTGCGGGTCGAAGCAGAGGTTACGGCTTCATTGAGTATGTCAGCCACCGAAATGCTCTTGCTGGGTTGCGTTGGCTCAATGGACATATGGTGAAAGCGAAGAATGCCGGCGAAGAAAGAGGGAAACGACTCATTGTTGAGTTTGCGATTGAGAATGCTCAAGTGATACAGCGCCGAGCTGAGAGAGAGCGCAAGGCAAAAGAAGAAGGCGGCAAGAGAATGAAATCGAGCGAGAGGTCCCATAACGAAGGCGGCGGGAAGGGAAGCAACAAACGGAAACGCAGCGACAAGGACGTCGAAGAGTCAGGTCCTCAAGCCGCTAAAGCCTTGGATCCTGAGGAGAAGAACCGCGTGGCGAAGCGGAACAGGATCATTGCAAAGAAACGTCAGGCTAGGAAGACGCGCAAGGGATAAATCAGTGGTCGACGACCTGCAGTTGGGACGCGCTGAAGACATATAACACTTCATTCGTTGCAATGAGAGCCGTCGTGCCTACTGCCTTGAGGGTATCGTATCATCCTGAGGATCACACAGTTTCCTTCCTGCGGTTATTTTCCGGTTCCCCATCAGTTTCCAGCGTTGTGCGCACCAGAGACCTACAGCAAGGTAAATGTAGTCAGCGCGAGCCCGCAAAGTGTAGCCGCGCTCTTGCTCGACCTGATATAATCATATGTCCGTCTCTTGCACAGTGATTCTTGTCTGCGATTCTTCTAGTCTTTCATTGCCCGGACTCGTTCGAACGCATGTTCACACCTTCATTGTGCACCCTCACAACTTGGACATACTGACCTTGCCCACAATATTATACCGCTTGCTAAAGAAGGAATACCACTCGTCAAGAACCGTCTTGTACTTGTCGTCGAGGTCGTCCCAGTTCGGCACGCAATCTTCAGGCTTCAAGCTCGACAGGGCGAGGCCGCGGGACGGATCCTTGCCAGCGAAAACTGGTAATTACGACTTTGTGTCAGAAAACGGCGACGGGAGAGCAAAGTGCAAGCCACCAGGCCAGCGTACCATGGTATTGACCCTTCTCTTTGTAGGCCGGGTTTTTGGAGACGTCGAAGACGGTTCCCTTGATCGCAACCCAGGTAGGTCTCTCTGGATTCGTTCCTGTTCGTGCACGAGACAGACAGTCTTAGTGAGTTGGACGTTTATTCTTCCCTGGGTACCGCACCATCATTTTGGGCCAACTCTTCCAACGTTATCTCGTCATCCTTGGGCGGGTTGAGCTCGACCGGAACTTTTGGCTCGAATCGTTTGTTCTCTGAGTAAGGGCTTGGTGAGGTCGGGTCCGACATGTTGGTGAATAGCAAACGAACGAACCTCGGTTGGTTTCGGACACTGTGAGTAAAGAGAAGGACGATAGAGTCAGTCTGAGAACAAGTCGGATGGCAGGGTAGGTGCAGTGCCCCAGTGACCTGGGTGTTTCCATGCACGCTAGGTTGATTACATACTCTTCGCGCAGGTTAGGAGAGCGGAGTTGGAAAGCGTGAACGTTGACTTGATTGGGATCTGTGGCAGTGCTCTCGGCTCGTCCGCGAGGCTAATTGGTCTGGCCCGGGATCCTTCGTAACACCTACAGGTACCTGCTGCCGTCTCCAAGGGCAAGGGATCACCAGATGTCGATGAAGAGGCTTGGATCAGGGAGGGGAGCGGCGAACCCAGGCGACTTTGGCTACTGTACCCCGCGGCGACTCTAAGAGTGCCCCTCATTGGGTGCGTTTCTGGATTCTTGTTCATGGCCGCAAGTCATTTCCGGTTTGAACGGCATCGCACCTACACACTACAAGGTATAACACCGGCAGGGACTGGCTGCTATCCACCCCCGGGCAGGCCTCCCTAATGGCAGCGTTAGACCGTGACTGGCCGTGCCCTCTATTATCGGACCGCCGGCTGTAGGCCATCTCTATGTTCTGTATTGCCCCCAGCGACACGCCGTTCCAGCCGAGTCTTGCTCTTCTTGAGTCTATAGTAGAGACATCATTACAACGGGTCTACACATGTGCCTTCTCCAGAGGCTTCACAGGAGTCTCCACCATCAAGCTCATCAAGCTATGAGCGACTTCAGCGGCGGCTAGGACGGTGGTCTCTCCCGGGTTGTCATAAATGGGAGCCACTTCGACCACGTCAGCACCGATGACCTTGAGACCTTCAAGTCCATCCAGGATGCTCAACAGCTCCCTGGTAGTCCAGCCTCCCACCTCTGCGGTGCCTGTTGCCGGAGCATACGCCGGATCCAGAACATCGATGTCCACAGAAATGTAGACATTCGTGTCACCAACACGCGTCTTGAGCTTTTCCACGACCCCAGAAACACCAATCTTGTCAATGTCTCTGGCGGTGATGATCTCGAAGCCGCACCGCTTGTCGTTCTTCAAGTCATGCTTCTTGTTGATGAAAGGAGCCCGAATGCCTGCATGTGCCGAAGTGTTAAGGATTAGCCCTTCCTCATGAGCAATATGGAGAAAAGTCCCATGGTTCAGACCGGCATAGTCAGAAATGCCTGCGCCCAGAACCTGAGGATCCCAAGTGTCAATATGACTGTCAAAATGTATGACACTAACAGGACCCCAGTGGTTGATAGTCGATCGCAAGGCAGCCAAGGTGGTTGTGTGATCCCCCCCTAGCGTGATAATGCGAGGTACGGCCGCGACCTCCGTGGTGTTTGCCGTACGACCTGAAATCACCTTGTGTGCCTTTACAAGCTGCTGCAAGGCTACCGTGTTGTCTAGGTACGTCAAGGGTGCGTCACCGCAATCGACAATGCGTGCCCACTCGAGGAAGGTGTTCTCATGAGTATATGCACTCCATGCCATAGGAGCTCCTAGTCGTCTCGAGCCCCATCGGATACCAGCAGGCCCGAACCGTGCACCAGGTCGGGCGGTGGTGCCTGTATCAAACGGTGCACCGAGAAAGGCGATGTCGTAGCCCTCTACATGCCCATTTGGCGACAAGCAATGCACCCAGGGAAGGTTCGCAAAAGTCGTCAGTCCTGCATATTTCTCGAATTCGACGAAAGCATCTTTGTCTGAGGTGATCGAAGAATGATATTGTCCTGTGTGGCCTTGGAGCTTGGCTTGTGCTGGGCTGATCGGAGGGAAGATAATATCGCGAGCCACTGCGAAGCTTGCCGTGACCAGCAGCAGCAAGCTCAAAGACGTCAACATCGTTGAGTCGCTTGCACAATCTTAGTCGTTGAAGGTGTTTTGGAATTCCAATGGAAGAGCTGGCTCATCGCCAGCAGCTGTTGGGCAAAAGTTCGCGGAGAATCCCGCTCTACATGCTCGCTCATCGACTTCGATATTCGCCGTATTTCCTGAATTACTCCATCGGATGAGTATCAGCGGGCGTGATGCGTACGGCAATTTTCAGTTCCTGTCCTCGAAAACCACACCATCAGATCGGCAGGGAAAGCTGACACTTTCCTCCACTTAAACCACTTCTAGCGCTGCTCAGTGTCTTCATCTCTCTCTTCGAACACCGGCCGACACCCGAGGTGTCCGACGAAAACTATCCACCGAAACGTTGCTTGCAGCAGCAAGGCTCTCGAGCCCCTTCATGTCGGCTGGTTGTCTCCAAGGCCAACGTCCTGTTCAAAGCTCCTCGTCTGTGAGTCGAAGGTGTCGCCTGGTCATGATGAATATAAAGTGTCACCCTTACCCAACTTACAGGGCTTATCAATCAGTGCATCCTTTCCCCTGCATAGCTTCTCACATGCTCACTGCCTAGCTTCTCTGATTTCTCGTCATGAAAGAGAAGTCCTGTCTTCACCAATCTCATCAGAAGATCCCCAAGTGAAAGAGTGAAGACGATGAGCTAAAGGCAGTGTAATCGGTGACGGCTCGGATGCGTTTCTTCACTCCTGCTCAATGACGATTGTTGAGGCAGCAAACAGGCACTTGCGAGCTGCCTGCTTGTCACTCACTGCAGTTATTAAATGTGAATAACATGAGAACTTGACCGGCTTTCACACTCTGCGCATATAAATATCTCTCTTCATCCTGTCGATAAGGTCTTCTACCACTGTCGCATTGTCAACTTCAGCGCTCGTTACTCAACAAACATCCTTACACCATCGCCTCAGTCACTCATCATGTTGCTTCCGACACTTCTTGCCCTCGCGTTATGGCTACTCCAGCTCCAACTTCCAGTGGTTAATGCCAAGTGCTGCCTCGGAGACCTCTTCAACAACATGTGTAATGATCGCTCGTGGGGTACCCCTTGCTGCGGCTACAAGAAGTGCAATGCCTTTTGCTGCGCCTGTCACGGAGGTAAAGCATACCTGTCCTTCTGTCCGATTCTCAGGTGACTTGTACTGACAGTACCTTCAGCTCAGGTCATCGACCAATTCGTGAGCAACTGCGGTAACGAGTTCATCTCCTATATCACCGCTGCCCCAGGGACAACTTGGACTTGCCGCAACAATCACGTCACGACCATTTTGCCTTGCGTCAAGCACCGCAACCCGTCTCGACCTACCGCGATGGTCGACTCACATGACCGCCAGCCATTTGCAACCATCACTCATATGCCCCGACCGACGTCACCGGCCTCGTTAGCCCACCCAGGCTACAGCCCCGATGATTTTGCGCAGTTGGAGCACACATTCGATCGAGTCTGCGCGGGAAGGATACACAAGGGCAGACGTGCTTTTGATCTAGACCAGTACTTTGGGTTCTTCAACGTCACTGATGCCCAGAAAGGCGGCGACTACGCCAACAGCGTGGAAGCGAAGTTCCGAGCGCATGATATCGATGGCGACGGATTGTTGACCCTTGACGAGATCCAGTTGGTCTGTGATGCAGATGGGTGTGACTGAGCTTGGAATGGGCAGCAAAGTTTCAGTTCTGTATCATAGCAAGAGCACGCCCAATTTGAGTGCCGAACTGAGTACTCCACCGTACTAGCATTACGGGCGAGTGCTGGAGCAACGCTACGTCAAGATCGGTTCTTTCATCAATGCTTCACTTTCATGTCATCCATACCTAGGTAGGCAGGCCGGGAACTTTTATTCTATATCGCAATTCCAAAGACCGGTCTTCAGGTCAACAGGAATGGCTTTTCTTTCTTCGCGTCTCTCTGTGGGACTTTCAGGCCACAGTCGTCACGCAGAGGCAATGCTCGCACCAACGGGACGATCTCATGCCTTTTCCAAGCTCCTGTCTCTTTGATACTGTGCTAGAAATGATGACGGAAGACCATGGTTTTGAACATCAGACGCCGATCCAGCAGCACCCAAATAGTGCTCCACTAGCATCAGCTGGGCCGAGCTCTCTTGCCTGCGCGATTGCACGATGGCGCCATCGTCGTCATCCATCTTGCTCAAGGCTGCCTTTCATGCTGCAAACTCTTCGCCAATCTTCCGGACACTTTTCAAGTGGCTGGCATTTATTGTGTAACTTCTCTTTCTTCAACTGCGCCACCGCTAGTGATTTGTGGATTGCATTCCAGATTGTCTCCCATTCGATCTGGCGCTATCTAAGTTTGGCGTCACATACTCGAGTAGAGATCAATTTCCCTTGTTGGGAAGAGCAAGGTCCGTGATGAAGACCGCCTCAACCTGCTGTCGCTCTTCCCTTTTAGGAGCTTTCAATCAGACCGGAACGTGATAACGTTGGCGGTATGCTTCTTGAATGTCGACACGGCGGTTGATGGTCAGCAAGAGCATTCCAATGGAGTAGTATGCCAGCTAGTGAAGAAAGACAGAGACTAAACATTGCTTTCGATGTCGATGCAGCAACAGACAAGCTCCTGTCGCGAAGCATCTCCATGCTCATCCTGGGATACCCATCACCTTCCGCAGGGCCAAATTCTCTCAGCGTTTCAGGCTGTCTTGGTTCAGCAGTCACCTGCCTTTGTCAGTAGAGGCGCGGCCTCCCAGTCATACCATCGAGGACTTTGAGTACGTACTCACACTGACGTGCAGAGCCTTCACGAGCACAGTTTTTCTCTTCGCTTTTGCTGTCATGGAATTGTCGAGCAGTTCCGGACCGGTACTACAGCAATCTCTACGGCTTCATGTCGATAATCCACGGCTACGTGTTTGGTATGGCGGCTGACTTGGGATTTCACAAGAGAATGGAGTTCATGTGTCTAGTGCTATTTGCCTCCACCCGCGATAGAGACGAAGACGATGCTCCTACTCGCCTTCGAGATGCTCGGGAGGACCATGATGGCCCCGACGAGAGCTTCATGTTCACCTCCAACCTCATAAAGAGCGCCGGTCCCTTTCCCATTGGGACTGAGGCGAGCCCGCTGGCGACGAAGGTGGTTATCCATCAACCTGGCACCGTAACTCTAACCAGATTAGGACAATGGCAGCAGCAGCGAACAGCGAGCCCGAGAGGCCGGCGCCGTCAGAGCTCCCACAGGGAAACCGCAAGAGATAGAGAGCATGCGACCATGGCTCTAGTACTCATTAGGGAAGTTTGAACCGGCGAGGTTCCTTGGGAACAGCCGAGTCCCATCTTGGTGCTCTCATGCGAGGCTGGTATGACAAACCGGCTAAGTGCCACTGGAGCACTTCTAGTCAGGTCTCGCATAGGGCACTGTGTAAGCCCCATGCTGATGGATCTGGTCACGAGGACAAGGCAAGGCGTGGCTACATAATGTAACTCGGCTTAGGCAATGGGAGTTTGAGGCGGGAGCAAGTCTTCGGCACTATCTCTGTCAGAGCAATGTTCCAGATTGCGAACGAGCTCTGGAAGGACCCAGTACCGGATTCGAGGTAACAATTCCAGCTGAAAGGGTCCGATATCAGAAGTGGTTCTGCGAACCCGCTACGGTACCCCAGACAGAGTAACCGATCTCGTACCGAGCCAGGACAGCGAATCAGAGAGTGTTCGACTCCACTTAGCCGTGATAAAGAACACCGATAGCGAGGCCGCCTGATTCGAGTTAAACGATAATAGGGTGTGATTGTCCGCGATCTTACAAGATGGCAACGAGATGCAACGGCACGACAAACTACTTAGGGGTGTCCGGCACTCCGTAGCGTTCACCCAAGCAGACACCCAAGCCTAGAAGGGCGGGAGAGGGGAGCTTGGGAGCAGCTGGAGGAGCTTGTCTGCATCCCGCTCGTCGGCGCCTCCACCAACGAACTGTGCAGGTCGCATGCCCTGCCAAGAGCCACGGACGCTTTCCAAGACCGACTAGGGCGTCAGCCCAGCATCGTCCTTCAGCGGTCATCCAGTTCCTCTGTTCGTCATGCAGTCCACCCTTCTGCTGTAACCTCGTGGCTTCTTTGCCCCAGGCGCACGAATTTGGCTGACCTTCAGAGGCAATCGAAAACGATCCGCGCGCGATAAGGCAGTGCCGAGCCTTGCGGTTCGAGAGTTTGCTGCCGGACCACCTCTCAGAGCACGAGCTTGCCCGGGTAAGGTAGCTTGCTGGTTGCGCGATGGATCTTGCAAAATCTCCAGATCGTGGTCAATCCGATGCAGTTTTGCTTTTCTGCGACCCTCATATACAATGCCATTCCCACCTGGCGACTTCTCGTCCTTTTTCGTTCACGCCTGACACCCCCCTGGTTTTTGGAGTGTCACCGCTTTGTCTTTTCCCCTAGACCTCCAAATTTCTGTTGACCATGGCCTCCTCTGCGCGCGACTACGGCTACGATGAGAAAGACAGTGTGCCTCGTCACATGAGGGATGAGACGCCGATCGCCCGAGGTGTGCGTACCAACTCTACGAGCGATGAAGAGCACGCCGTCAGAAGAGGCTCGCGCAAGCAGTCTGTTGTGGCGTCCATCAAGGCCAACTACGGTCTTGCCGAGGCCCCTACGTATGCCGAGAGCATCAAAGTAGGTTACGACAGTACCCATCGCAAACTGAAGCCGCGACATATTCAGCTCATCGGCATCGGTGGCACGATTGGCACGGCTCTGTACGTGCAAATCGGCCGAGGACTGCTTAATGGCGGGCCGGGGAGCTTGTTCCTGGCCTTTACAATTTGGTGAGTGTGACGACGCAGTCAAGCTTTTTCTCCAAATGCGTCGGCTTGACTGCGGCGGGAAGTCGGACACCGCACGCGACACAGATGGCAATGATACTACTCGGTCTCTGCGCACCATGAGTCTCTTGCACTGGGCTAACCAGTCGGCCACATAGGTGTACATTCATCCTTTGCGTCACGAACTGCATGGCCGAGATGGTTACCTATGCACCGATCTCGTCGCCCTTTATCCGCTTTGCTGGCCGCTACGTGGACGAAGCCTTCGGTGTGGCAGCAGGATACAATTTCTTCGTCTTCGAGGCCATGTTGGTGCCCTTTGAAATCGTGGCCTGCAACGTCATTATCCATTTCTGGAGCGACATCGTACCCGCAGGGGCCATCATCGCCATCGTCATCTGCTGCTACGCGCTCGTCAATCTCTTTGCCGTGAAATGGTACGGCGAGACCGAATTCTGGCTCGCGTTGGGCAAAGTGCTCTTGATTGTGGGGCTGATCATCTACACCTTCATCGTCATGCTGGGAGGAAATCCAGAGGGCGACCGCTTTGGATTCCGCTACTGGAACAACCCAGGCGCATTCACCGGTAAGTTGACTGCATTCCCACCGGCACATGTGGTTTCTCATACGTTCTCTGCCACTCAGAACTCTACCGCCCTGGCTCGCTCGGTCGATTCCTGGGCTTTCTGCAGTGCCTGATCCAAGCGAGTTTCACGATCGCCGGGCCGGACTACGTCTCCATGGCCGCAGGCGAGGCCGAAAACCCCCGGACAGTGCTGCCACGAGCATACAAAGCCGTGTTCTATCGGCTTACCGCCTTCTTCATGCTCGGGTCGCTCTGCGTCGGCATTCTGGTGCCCTACAACGACGAGGAGCTCATTACGGCCTTTTCGACCGGCCAGCCCGGTGCCGCGGCGTCGCCTTATGTGGTTTCCATGAACCGCCTCCGCATCAAGGTCTTGCCGCATATCGTCAACGCCATGGTCCTCGGGAGTGCTTTCTCCGCGGGCAACAGCTACGTCTACTGCGCCAGTCGTAGTCTGTTCGGTCTTGCCCTCGAGGGCAAAGCACCGAGGATCTTTACGCGGTGCACGAGGAACGGTGTCCCTATTTATTGCGTGGGCCTCGTACTGCTGATCAGCCTGCTGGCCTTTTTGCAAGTCAGCAACGACGCGGCCGTGGTGTTGAACTGGTTCGTCAGCTTGGTGAGTTTTGACGTGGCTTTAAATCCTGAGTTTCCGGCCCGGTGCTACTGCTGACTACATCCAGGTAACGGCCTCCCAACTCATCAACTTCTCCGTCATGGCCTTCACGTTCCTCAAGTTCAAAAAGGCCCTCGAGCGCCAGGGCATCGACCGCAACACTCTCCCCTACAAGTCCTGGTGGCAGCCCTTTTCGGCCTACTACGCCCTCACAGGCTGTTTCATCATGACCTTCGTCGGCGGCTACACGGTCTTCCTGCCCGGGTTCTGGGACGTGCCGAACTTCCTCTTCTCCTACGCCATGGTTGCCGTGTTCCCTATCCTGTTCGTCGGCTGGAAGTTGATCAAGCGGACGAAGTGGCTCAAGCCCGAGGAGGTCGACCTGACCAAGGATCTGGATGAAATCGCCGAGTACGAGAGGAATTATATGCCCAAGCCGCCGAGGTGAGTAAATTACGGTTGTTGAGTCCATTCGTGGTCCTCCTATTCCTCACGTGTTTATCTGTGCACACGCTGCCCCGCGAACGGAGAGGATACGTTCCGCTGACTTGAGATATCTGGCAGGAACACCTTTATGAAGTACTTTGACAAGATCTTTAGCTGAGGCGGGATATACTGGCACGTCGGTGGCAAAGTGACACTGTGACACAATGTGTTTCATCATTCAGCGGCTCGGCGGCCAGCTAGCAAGCTACAGTAGTAAGAAGGGCAGGTAGGCAGCTAGCGAGCTACAACAGTGAGCTGGCAGGCAAGCAAGCAAGCAAGCAAGCAAGCAAGCAAGCAAGCAAGCAAGCAAATAGATAAGCCTTTTGAAATGCTCTTGTGTATTTGTCAAATTTACACCAAAACATCTAATGCCTTCCCTTCCTGTACTGGATGCCGTACCGCGCCTCGCCGCCATTCGGGACTCCCTACATACTTTGCCTCGTTCACCAGGCCATCACGGGAGAAAGCGGACACAGTAGAGCAGAGCAGATTGGAACAAAAGGTAGGAGGACAGTATCGCACTGCATAGGATAGGATAGGATAGACCACGACAGAAAACCCCTTACCGCGTGTCCTCACTCTGTGACCTGGTGCAGTTGTAGTGTACTGGCGCTTGCTTTGATGTTGTCTCTCTCTGTCTTTGCGTAATCTGACCAGTCTATACGCGTACACGAGTCAATGTACTACTGTAATCAGTCAGAGATGTGTTTGCTCAGGTCAAACAATGACGCTGGAGACCCCAAGCACTCGAATCCGTTCGCAAGGCCGGCGAATTACCCTGGAGGTGATACTCAAGTTACTTAGACACCACCTCGTACTTGGTGAAATGAATGCGACATCTACAGCCTCATCTACCTAGGGTATCCGAGAAAACCAAGATACACACACACACACACACACACACACACACACACACACACACACACACACACACACACACACACACACACACACACACACCAGAATATAGCAGATATATCGATCGCAGAATACAGCAGGTATACCTGATCCACGTCCCTTCCCTTCCCTTCCCATCGTCGATGCCCAGCAGAAGAACTGGATTGATTGATTGAAGACGACGAGCGCCGAGGAAGGCCACTTGCATTGTCTTTACTTGAGGCAGATTTTCCACCGTTGCGCGCGCTCTGGTATGCAGGCAACGCTTTTTCCTTCCCTTCCTGCCCCTGCCCTACGCCATGTGAGGCAAGGCACGCCCACGGGCACGAGCACGGGCAGCAATACATGACTACTTAGTCATAGCTGAGGGACTAGCCCTCCGCGTGGGCAATCAGACTTAGTTGAGACGATGGCGATGCCCAAACACTCACTCATTGTTGACCACGCTGTTGCTCACGCTGGTCCCAATGGCGGGGATAGCGAAGTGGTGAGATGACTTGCGTCACTAGGCAAGCTGAGCTGGGCTGGCGTGGATGGGGCCGGACAACGGGACACGGGAATCATTGACCTACTATACTGTATTATATTATAGCAGAGTCCTGGAGGGCAAGTAACGCTCCCCTGTCAGTCTGGGCGGGAGGCTCGGTGAGCTGGAACACGGGTACCCTACCGGTGTACTCATGTACTGGGGTGGAGGTGTGACGTTGTGAAAGAGGATGAGGATGAGGGTGAGGATGAGATAGCCTCCAAATTGAGAATGAGATAGCAGGTAGTAGCTAGACATTATATTATTCTTTCTACCTCTTAAGGGTGGATATCGCGATCGAGGTATCTCCGTCTCCATCTTTCATCTATCATTTATCATTATCATCTACTGTATCTACACTCACTTCCCACAGTTCATCAGACCCATTCTCTCGGCGTCTAGGGGATATAACTTTCATGTATCGCTGGTGGAACAAGGCTGGCTGGCTGGCATTACAAATTGCGTTCGCTCGTAAACGTCTCCGGCGTTGGCATTCGCATTCTTGGTCAAGAATTTTCTGGTTTCATCGACATCACGAGGTGTCTGGTGGATCCAGTCTCACCCACTCACGCACGCCCTGCTTCTTTCAAGGAGTCTGGTCCACGTGCTCCCATGGACGGCGTTAGCGCTTATGCGTACGGGTGTGCAGCGCACCATACACGGTACACGTATACTGCAGGCTGTTGACCTCATGCGGTTGTGACCGAAGGTCGATTCTCAGGCTGTGCGAGGCGTTGCGGCCAAAACCCTTAAGAAGTCAGATGGGTGACGTAGCTGTGGAAATACGGTGCGCACAGCAGAGAAAGAACTGGGAATTAGCTGGACCAGGAGTGGCGAGGTCGAGCTTTTTGACAATGGTAACATAGTCTCCCATCTTTGTTGTCTGCGGCGATGAATCGACCGGGTGAGGATTTCGTGACGTTGGAGGTGTAGACATTTCCATGTTACAGGCGTTGGCAAAGGTTGTCTAGCTCGAAGCTTCAACGTTGGTGGGATGTGCGTCGCCGGTCATGCTGATTGGCATCGGCGCGGTATTGGGACCTACTTGGAAAGTCCTGGCTTCAATGTCGCTGGACGCCATGGGACAGTAGTTAGAAGTGCGGGCCATCGCCTTGTGATATCAGGTGGCAAGCCTGACGGAATACCGTCCTTGTCACCCCAACCTTCGGTGTCCCAGCTCTCAGGCACGACGCAAGGCCTCCAGGAATGATACAACCCTCTCCAGTTCCGCTGACTGAGCCCCGATAATGCACTGCTGATCTTGCTCTTGAGATCCGCTCATTATCAGTCACACCTGGTCGTACGTGGCTTCACTCTTCCTCCTTCCACCAAGCCACGCGCCTGGAGGAGGTTGGATTAACCCGTCCACCTCTTCAACGATCTGTTCCCGCCTCTGCTCAGCAGCAAGTCTTTCCTCTTGTTCCCTCCCGGTCTCTGCTCGGCCACTCAACTCAACCGCAGCAGCATAATTGCCTGCACCACCTCGACCCGCATGCACGTTAGGATGTAGATTCTGATGTTTCGGGCTAGGCGGCTTGGGCGTGCTCGGCGATATTAAAGTCGCAGGGAGGGTGACGCTTCGTTGGATGGGCAGCGTGTCGGTAGAAGCGTAGTTTCCAGCCCCACCGCGACCGAGGTTTCGATATTGCGCGGAGTTCTGGCGCAGGCGCATCGTTTCCCTTGTGTCTATGTGTTCAAGCCGGGCCGCTGCGTTGCGACGCTCAGCTAGAGATGTCTGTCTTTGCGGCATGTTTGCTTCAAGGTCGACTGGGGAGCTTGATCCTGGGGCGAGCTGGAGATCCGTGTCCCAGGTGAAATTGCCGGCACCGCCGCGCCCGGATTTCACGTAAGGTCCATAGGCAGAGGACAGCGATATAGAGGACACGGAAGAGTGGCTTTCGTGGTACGACGACTCAGAGATTGATTGCGAGTCTTCGTGGTGGTGAAACGATGTGTCCGTGGCCAGAGGCGACACGGACGAGGCGTACGAATCTAGTAACCACGAGGCCCATGACTGCGTTGCGGCGGCCCAGGATTGTGTTGTGGTGGACGCCATTGTGTGCCGGGTTCAGGTGTCACTGCAGGACCAGGTTCGGGTACGACTCTTGTCTCTGCAGTGACGTGATGGCAGCTGGAAATGCAATGGAGATGGATTTCGAGCCCCTGTCAACAATGGGTGGGGATTCGGATTCTGGATGCTTGATTCACAATGCAGTGACGATAATGAAAAATAATGCCCGTCTGCGTTGAGAATGAGGGTTGCCAACTGTCATGGATCGGCACGCAGGTAATTTTACTTGGGCAGCTCGAGGAAGTGGAAAATATGTGACGGCAATAATAGCAGTCAGTGACAGCACTCACATCCGTGGCGCCGGGAACCAAAAGCGAAAGGGAATGCGCAGCAGGCACAAGCAAAGCAAGCGGAGGTTTGATTGGGCCTCTCGGAGACCGCCATAACGACACCATATTGAATCACTAGCCACAAGCGACAGCAAACGGCTGTTCCTTAGAGCCTCAATCCAGAGTCCGACCACACACGCGGCGCCCGGCGAAGAGTTGACGGACTCGCCTTCCAATAGCAAGTGAGGCCTGCCGGAGGAATAAGAGGGGAGAGATAAGCTGCACAGCCTTGCACAGGCTCGAGCAAATAGCGAGCGCAGAGGAACAGCGCACGATGTCCGGCTCCGACTAAAAGAACCAGGCACGCCGCGTCGCTGACTACTGGCGAGCTGGACAGCGTGCAGTGATGGCCTAGTACGCGGCGAACCGACGCTCTCTGTGCAGGCGAGCACCCGGTACTCAGTCGCTGTTGTGGCTTCTTCTACAGTGACCGAGCCTCGATACAACAGGGCACAGTCGAATATCACAATACCTACCCTCGAATGCCGACATGGGAGCCGAAAGATCCAGTGGTGGGGCTTCACCACAGGTCCAGCGTTGAGAGTGCCAGGTATCCCTCGCTATGTGTACTCGGTGCAGTGCTTCCCCTCTTTGGGGGGCAATGTGCATACTGCAAGCTAGCCAGCTGTCGGGCTAAGCAAATACGGTCGCCTCTCAATGTGTGTAGCGGGAGAACGTGAACAAGCACCCAAATGGTATGGACGTTCAGAACGAGCCCGAGATTCACCCCGGTGATCGTTTCAAGCCTGAGTTTCTGCACTGAGCCGGTAGCTGGGCAGGCGGCCTTTGTGATAGCTGTTGCTTACTGTCGCGGAGCAGAATGCGCGTCTTTTCTTGCGATAGCGAGCAACGTTATCAGCAATCTTGATAGCGGCGATAAACTTTAAGAGCCGTGCATACGGGGTAGTGCCCCTTGGACTTCTTAGCCTGCCGATTTCGGGCGACATACAGATGATCTGCCATGTGGTGCAGCAGGGGCTTACTGAGGTACTGTGTTAGAACTGCAATTCATTGTTACCTCGCCCGAAGCGGCTGCGCGGCATCAGCATCGCAGCATCTACTGTGTGGTTAGGCACAATACTGGGGTAGAACGAACAGGCCTCCGCCGTCAAGCTGGACAACGAGGGCTGCAAAAGCTGGGGCAAACTCTTACGGTAGTCAGTCTGGACCGAGGCTCGCCTGGACCTGAAACCCCCGCCGCCTTTCGCGATAGCGTTAGACTGTCGGGCTTCCCTACCACAACAGACAGGGCTACCTACCTGGTACCCAGACCGAGTTGCTTCCACATACTGGGATCCGGTGAATGAGGACATGGACAGAAGGTTTCTCTGAGTTACAAGGGGAAAGGGATCATTCATCTTCGAACGTCGTTCTAACGCACCAGGCTCGGTCCGCAAAATGCTGGGTGGAGGTGGGCTGTGTGTTCGCTATGCCAAAGCTCCGAAACGGACGCTTCGGCAGATTGGGGTCGGTCAGGATGGTTTGTGAATTCTCCAATGGGGATATTTTTGGGGCTCAGCACTCCGATTTGATCGACAAGTCTCGGTTCTGTGCGGATGAGTCTGCGGCCGACATTATTTGGCTGATCTGTCTGTCTGGAATCGATGAGACTCGGACGAGCACTCCGTCCCAAGTCCGCTGACCGCGTATCCAGGGGAGTACCTCTGTACCGACTCGGATTCATAGACTTGGATAGCTCCCGCGTGCGTGCCGTCTCCAGATCTCTCGACGGTGACGAACCCATGCAGGCCTGTGACGATACTGACCTCGTGCACAAAGAGTGTATTACTCAAAACGAAAAGTGCCACGGGGCCACGGGACGACGCCGTATCTTACGCAAGCCATGCATTGCAAGCCACACGCCGGCACGATGACGGCATCGTGGGCTTCCCAAACGTGCGTGATTTTTGTTGCCTTGCGCCCGTCAGGCGACCTCGCTTGTTGTTGGCTCGCAAGCTCGCACTTGGTCTGCAAACTGACCTGTCAGAACTTGCCCCGTACCGTACCTGGGTACTGCTCTTCTGCATGAGTTCGCATGCCCGTTTGGCATTTGGGAAGCATGGCTTGGATCCGCTTGAAGCCTGTCGCTGGTTTGACAAGGCGACTCCTGGGTGTCCCACACGTCCTCAAACAGGCCTTAGCCACTTTGCCGCAAGCTGGCGACGTGCCTATTGCTTGCTAGTGTTTGCCTTTGTCCCCGCTCTACCAGAATATCACGGCCAATAGTGTGCCTTCTACCTGCCAGCCAGCCTGAGTGGCGGGACTGCACCAATCAGCACACCCTTTCGCGGCCGTGAGGAGGACTGGCTGATTGGCGGAGTTGCGGCTGCGGTCGGTTCTGGAGCGGATACCGAGAAGCGCTCATCATTGCCACGAGTGTTATGAGCACCACCTCCTCGCAGTGCCAAATGATACCTTGAGGGCGGCTCAGTCGAGCCACCATTGTTCCTCTCCGTCCAAGCCCACAAGAGGCATTCCGTTGGACAGCTTCTGTGGTCTTGGTACCGCGGTCGCAGTGGGTAAACCTTCGAGCCGTGTCCGGTCGGTCCAGACATTTGGAGAGTTTAGAGAGGGGAAACATCGTGAGCTTCTGTGGTTTGGCGCCTGGGGTGAAGCCAGGCAGTTTTTAGTCAGGTACGGAGCGAGAGAGTCTGATGGCGCTTTTAGCCCATCAGCCCTGGCTTTCGAGACCTGACCCATGACCTTGAGCTGTGCATGACCTGATCGGGCCATGCTCTTTTGGGCTTTCTGCCCCATGTTTTACCATCGCTGGTGCACCGCACACCACGGTCCAAGGCCCCAGACCTGTGATCCCGTCCCGTGTCCATCGCAGGCTGATCCATTCCTCGGATCATTGTCATCGTGTTTGTTTGCCAACATTTTTCTTTTCCACCCGATCCCGCCATCGAATTTCAGGACGCGGTTGCATGTGCACAGACGCGCGCTCGATCCAGAAATAATTTCTTCAGCCGCCCGTGATGCTGAAACAATTGCCAGTGCACTGGACCTGAACTCGCTGCGATTAATTTCCAGCTGCGCGAGCCTTGAGACGCTTAGGCCCAGGCACGGGCGACCCCGCAGCGAAGGGCGGCAGAAGCAAGGAACACGGTCAGCCAGTCAGACAAAAGGTCAGGAGGAGAAGGCCAGAGAAATAATATCAGCACGAGGGTTCTGCAATCGGCTCGATCAGCAGGCCTGCCAAAAAAAAGAGAAGGCCTCACGCATCATCTTCGACCCTCTCAACCTCTTCTACACGTCGTTGCTGGAGTCCTGTGCCAACTTTGTTTCTTGACAGACATCTAGGTGCCAAATCCAGTAGCCCTTGGACAGACCCAGAGGCGTCTGTATCCGGCGTGAACTCCACAGCCACGATCATCGATCGGCAAACCACGCTATTCACCCGCTGCGCGCAAGTCACGAAGCAAATTCCTAATAAAAAGTCCACTGAACTATTTCCGCTGTTCCACGCTCGCGCTCACGCTCCCACTCCAACAGGGCGAGGTCGCAGGCCACTCGCTCACTCACTCACCTACCCTCACCTGCTGGACCAACGTTCCCATTGGAAAGTAGTTTTGGGAGTCTACTATACTCGAGTCCACCGTGACAGGTCGATCTATCCCGTCTTTCGAACAGCTGTTCTGTTCCTGCAGTTGCCCGCTCCGTCGGTTCCCCCTCGCGCTCGTCAACCCATCGAATTCTCGCGGCATCCCCACCCCACAACACACAACACACAAAGCTCCCTCTCACCACTTTTTGGTCACCATCGTTTCTTGACGGCTCTCAAGTCTCAAGACTGTCTACGGTTTTGAGCTCGGGAGTCGTCTGACACTCACCCTAAACATTCACAACATGGCATCCTCAAAAGTGAGTCGAGTCATGGCCCGTTCTCGACCAAGTGCCCGTGCTGACTTGTCTTTTCTAAACGAAGGAGCTGCCGACTTCCCGTCCAGCTTCTGGCAGTTTTTCCTCGAGGCACCCTTCGACAGGCAGTCGACAACACTCCCACTCTGTCTCACTGTCTGCTACGAACCCTTCCCACCGAGTCAACCGGCGGAAAAGTGTCAACGCCGGAGCCTCTAGCACCGCCCAAGCAGCCATTGCTGCCGCATTGAGAGACCAAGGCGAATTGGCCGGGATGCCCATACAACACCATCGGAGGAGTATGGGGTCCAGGAAGACCGCAGAATCTCAGTCGATGAGTGGTAGACCAAGCATGCACTCGTACTTTGACGCCGCAGCCCGTGCAACTCCTGGCCAAGACAACGATGCCCTCGACGATAATTCCAACGATGAGGACAACCAGTCTTCGTCCAAGAACCTCAAGAGCCGGAACAGAAGGGCAAGTGAGGGCTCATACCTTATTAAGGGCGAGGGCAAGAAGTCTGCGGCAGAGCTGCGGTGTGATACCTGCGGGAAGGGATACAAGCACAGCAGCTGCCTCACCAAGCACTTGTATGTTTTTCTAGAGGCCTGTCCACACTTTTACTAATATCCGGAATGTCAGATGGGAACATGATCCAGCATGGGCAATTACGTCTAAACTGCTGATCTCCAAGCATCAACAAGTCCAATTGCTTGAGGCAGCCTCGGTGTTGTGTAACATGACAGTGGAGAACCCGACAGCTACTCAGTTCGAGCTCGAGACCGCAGCGGTCGACCCAAGCGAAGACTCCTCTGCGTCGCCAGGTTTCTCGTCGTCCGAAATGCAAGACGAGCTCAGCTCGGTGGAGACCACACCCCCTCCCATGAGTGAAGCAGCATACCCTGTTCCGAACTCGAAGCGATTCAGTAGCAGCAGCAATGGCTTCTCGCGTTCCTATCGATCCGTTGCGTCCAGCTCCTATGCTGAGAGCTTCCACTCACCAGGTCTGCCACCTCACCGACTCTCCGGCGTCGACTTCCGTCCGAGCACCTCCGGGACCGACGACGGTACTCTGGCCGCTGCCACGGCTGGGCTCTCGTTCGGCAATGGGACGCCTCGTACAAAGCCATCCTATCTCGGTGCTGACGTGCCACCTGTACCACCATTGCCACAACAATATCAATCTTTCAACAGCAAGTCATCTGACAGCACATTGACAACTGTATATAATCCGCTGCTGCAGATGCGTCCTCCTACCTTGACACAAAACCTCTCTGACGAGCGCAATTACCGAGATCGCAGCGACGACAGGGACATTCACATGGACGACGACGAGATGTTCAGGATGGATCAGTAATGGCGTATGATTTGACCGAGCCAGCGAGGCAACCACGTCCGCCCATTAACTCCGACGACGGTTATTTTCGACACTCATTTAGGAAGATTTTCCGGCATCACTTTACTTATTATGTGTATTTCTTGACTACGAAAACCCCAGAAAACAGAAAAGGCCGGGTGCAGGATTCAGCGCTATGCAGTTGAAGGGCGTCTTTCGTGCGAGGGCTTGAGGACGAACGGGATCGGAACGATGACACCTACATCTTGGAGAAGAAAATCCATATTAACATCCGCGCTCCGCAAGACAGATACCTAAAAGCACCGATGAGTCGACTCATGCACGTGCTACGATGTCGACGAGGTTAAAGTGAGTGGGACTGTCGGGCCTGTGCGTTGAGCAGGATACATTTACTATAACGGAATGAGTTTCATTGACATGTACCAGCGCACGGGCGGCGTGGATATGCTTTTCGTCAGCTGGAGAACACTTCCGTGAATTGAATCGTTGTTTCCCACAACGTGGACTTTGGCATCTTGTGTAGTAAAAACTGCACACCTCTAGTCCGACGTGACAATCAGCTCACAGGTCAAATCGCCCAAGGCCCTAAACAGTCAACCCCACCGTCTGGGATCGGCAGGATTGACAAGATCTCATCCATTGCGTGAGGTTTGTAGCGCGATCTTGGAATGGCCCGCAGATGCGTAGCCTTCGCCGGCGCTGTGCTGATCAGGGGCAATTAACCTTTACAATTGATCTTATCCGGCGAGAGGACCCGGTGATTTGCATCGACGCTTACTCGTACGTACACGTTTGCGCCTTTCTGGTGATCTTGGGTGTTTGATGATGTAAGTACGCGTATATTTTGCATGGTACCTACATGGTGACACCTGGTGACAGCGATCAGCGACACGCATGATGACTTTGCTGCTCCAGTCATTTCGAGATCCTATGCGGATCATCCCGAGGTACTCCTTACTCTTTCCAATCTTGGAAATGAAACTCTCATTAGTATGTTGAACCCGGCAACTCTCAGAAAACCCAAGTCCACACGCTCCACTGAGTAAGATTCAAGCAAGGTGCCACGCTCACTCCGAGAGCCTCGCTGTTGTGTCGCGGACTGTGTACATCGATATGCAGCGGCCTCTGGCGCGACAAGCCCCAGCACCGAAGTTCACCCAGGCCGAGGCCATGAGAACGAGTGACGAGCTGAGCTGAGGTTCATAACCGATTCAAGGTACTGCGTACAAAATAGGAAGCCGTCGTTCTGTCTATATGACTGCGCGTCCCTTTCTTGTTCTTGTCATATGCAATAATGACCTTGTCCTGCTTGCGACCACCCGCACCATGCGAGTTACAGCCGGGTGCTAATGGTAGCGCCGATGACGTACAGACACAGCTTAGAGCCGGGCTAATTCCTTCTCATGAAATCATGCAGCCTCGACAATCTTGCATCCTGATCTCATTTTCGAAGCCACGATTGCTGTCCGACTCCATCACGCTTGCAGTAGACTCGTTTGATATCCGAAGTTCGTGTTAGACCCTTCCCAAGCCTTCCATCTAGCATTGCCGTCCTTCCTCAGCCTCGCCAGCCTCGTCGGGTCCCGTCGCCGGTCCGGTTGGCACTTGTTCTTCAGCTGACATTACATCACGGGCACGCGACCTTCTCACACGATCGCTTCTCAAGCGCACTTTCTCCACAAAGCGTCAAAGTGTGCTCTCAATCAAGTTACCGTCGCTTTTGATTATCAAGGCCGTGCCATGCCCCTCAAAGCCGCGGAAATTATCTCCTACCCGGCGTTCAACACAGTTGAATGGGAGTTACCGCCTACCAAGAAGGGCTATACTGAGGTCGCGAAAGAACGGGCTGGAGGTCCGATCAAGCTTTACTATGAGATTCATGGACAAGGAGATGTCAAGCTTGTAGTAGGTGCCTCCATATTCTCGAGCAGCTGTTTACCTTGTGTGCAACGAAGCAGCCTCGCTGCTGTGAAGGACCTGCTGAAGGGGAGGTGCCTGAAGGCGACGGGAGCCCCATGCTGGCCGAGACCTGATGGGCTCTCGGGCACGAATGGGTTGAGACTGGCTAAGTAATGCATCGACCCTTTTCGTGAGAGGTGGTTGGAACAGAAGCTGCGGAACAACCCAGGCCCAGCACCGGCGGCAATGTCAGCACCTGCAATGTGTTTGCCTATCGTAGGTCTCGATTTCTACCACATTCTCATCTGACATTTCTTTCCGTAGTGGATAATGGGCCTGGGCGCGTTCCGCACAGCATGGAAGCGCCAAACCAAGTACTTCGGCCACGACCGGTCGAGCCGATACTCCTGCCTCATCCTTGACAACCGTGGCATGGGCCTCAGCGACAAACCGTCCTGTCGCTACTCGACCTCTGAAATGGCCCGCGATGTGATCGAACTGTTGCAAGTCGCCGGCTGGTTGCCGTCACCGCTACCGTCTTCAACCGCATCCACAAACCCCTCCCCTCCAAGCCGGGCCTTGCACGTCATAGGCATCAGCATGGGCGGCATGATCGCGCAGGAACTCTCCCTCCTGATCCCCGACTACATTGCTTCTCTTGCCTTGATCTCCACGGCGCCGCGCCTGGTGCGCACGATCCCGTTCATCGAGAACCTGCGCAACAGGATCAACATGTTCGTCCCGCGGGACATTGACGTGCAACTCGACGAGATCGCGCACCGCTTGTTCTCGGACGAATGGCTCGCCCAAGAAGATACCGAGAATGAAGACCCGACGAAGAATTTCCCCACGAATCGTGATCGGTTTGCCGCTGGTGAACTGCAGAAACGGATGGATAAAGCGGGCTTTACGCGCAAAGGGTTCACACTCCAGGCGATTGCGGCGGGCTGGCACTACAAATCCGCCGACGCCATAAAACGGATAGGCGACGTCGTGGGGAGGGAGAGAATCTGCGTCGTGCATGGCACGCAGGATCGTATGATTGATTTTCATCATTTTGGCATGTTGAGGGACCAGCTTGGGGGGGAGGCCGGAGGGGCGCATTTCGAGGTCTGGGAGGGCAAGGGGCATGTCCTCGTTTGGGAGGTTGAAAGCGAATTCAATGCGTTCCTGGAGGGATGGTTCGAGAAGTGTGAGCCGATGGCGAGGTGAAGTTCTGACGACTTGTTATGCGTCGTCAACGGGTTATCATCCGGGCCGTGATGAATAGCTACTGTAAAGGGAGTGGACTCCGTGACCCTATAGCGGACATGATGTATATTTCGTGTTGTGTGGTTCCGGGCAACTGTAAGCTACTTCACGGTTCCTTGAGCATTATGTGTCCGACTACCGTTTCCCTCTCGGTGCCGAGGAGATCCGTCTGAGCTCTAGGAGGGTACATTGTCTTTATTCGATAGGAGACCAGAGTTTGACTTGGAGTAAGACCTCTGAGGTTTGATGACAGACATTTGGAGATTGCTTCCCATGTCTCGGGTCCCAGTCACATATAGAGGCTGATGCCCTCTCAACCTAAATGGAAGGAATCATATCATGAGAAAGTCCTCTGATCCCGTCTCCTCCTGTTCTTCCTTTCTCCCCCTGGGACCGAAAGAGTTCCACATACCATATCCATAGCGAGAGGAGATAAAGTCTTAAGTCTCCAATGATGCCCGACCAGCTCAAAGTCTTATGTATCGCCAAACGAATCCGAGAGCAGATGAAAATCCGCTATGCGCTGTCCATCCGCATCAATCCGGTTCCAAAACACCTGCGCTATGCGTTGCAAGGATGACGATTCCGCCCAGCTTATAATGTACATTCTTCGAAGTCAGCCGGCCTCAAGTTCGGGGCCCTTCTCTTTCCAGAAGCTCTTTCGCCTCATTCACCTTACTTGCCAAATACGGGCTTCCCCCTCGATCCGGATGATTTGACAGCATGAGTGCTCGATGATTCTTGCGTATTTTGTCTTTCGTCAATGTGCGTTCGCTCAGGTCGAGGATCAACGACGCTTCTCGTTTCGTCATCTTCTGCTCGAAGCCACCTTTGTAAAAAGGCCGGCCGAGTGCGTTGAGGCCATTGGGATTGCGGTAGCGGCGGAAGGCGACGAGGCCGGCGCGGCCCTGTGGATTACATTAGTACAGAGCGAGAGAAGAGAGGCAAGAAAGCCGTACGAAGAATGCTGCAGCTGCGATGCCAACACCGATGGCTAGGGTGGACGCCATTTGTGGATGGGGTATAATATGTTGTAGAAGCCGAGGAATCAGGCTGAGCGAGAGAGGCGAGCGAGAGGCTCTCAGAGGAGTGCTGGGTCGATAGCGAGGATGTTTGACGGACGTGTGTGCTTGTCGTGTCGTTGTCGCATGAAAAAGATTCGCCGTCCGGAAAAGGCCCCGGCTATGTTGCTCTATCGGGCGGTGCCGATGGCGCAGGCGAGACAGGCAAGACTCGCCCGTCCGGTGCGTCGCGCCTTTAGTTGCCATAACGCGAGTCATGTGGCCCCATGAACTATCGGTGACTATCAAACGAACCGTCAACAGGACAGCTAGCCGACCTGCCCGCTTGCCTCAACAACAGCTCTGGTTTGCTCACTCTAGGGCCCTCCTTCTCGCTTCCTTGGGCAGATCCTCCCTCTGATTTGGCTATACTGCATGATGCGTGCTGTCTCGGAGCAATTCGCGCTGCGTGTGGGCGCAGGTGACAGGCTGACCCTGCATAAGCTAAGTTATCGGTCCAATGGTGCCAGCACGAACACGTTGTCACTCACCATGAGCAATGGTACCGACAACCAGATTCTTCGACGTACAGGTGGGGAGATCATGGCGAGTGGGACGGGGTTTTCCCAGTTCCCGAGGCGTAAGGGATCTAATCCCTGAAGATTCCACGTTACACAGCTTTTGTTTCCATTCCCCAAGTTTCTGTGTCGTGATTGTCGCGCAAAACTTCTGTTTGGTGAGCCAGGTGCAAAGCATGCATGTTGCTATCATTGGAGCCGGGCCTGGAGGCCTAGTGACTCTGAAATACCTCCTTGAAGCCAGTCAGCGGTTCCACGTTGCGCCGATCGAAGCCAAACTCTTCGAAGCCCAGGATGGCATTGGAGGCACCTTCCGCTACCGCACATACCCGGAAGGCGAGGTGAGCTTATATCCCTTCACCGCCATAATGGCTGACAGCACTGACCCCCATACAGATGGTGTCGTCGAAGTTCTTGACTACCTTCTCTGACTTTAGGATTCCCAAGGGGCGCTATCCCAGTGGCGACAACGATTTTCTCCAGCTTGAAGACTATGTCGACTACCTCGAGGACTATGCAGACCACTTCAAGTTACGGCCACATATCAACTTGAACACCAAGGTGACGAATGTACGACGGGCTAAAGGCGGTAATGGTCATGTCGTCACGTACTCTTCACCGGACGGAAGGACTGAGGAATGGGCCTGCGATGCGGTTGCGGTGTGCACGGGGCTGCACGTGGAAACCGTTGTGCCGAGCATTCCTGGGATTGAGAAGGTGCCGACAGTGCTTCATTCCTCGCAGTACAAGAGCCGGGAAATCTTCAAGGAGGGCAGCAATGTCGTGATTCTCGGCGTGGGGGAAACGGCAATGGACATGGCCTACTTTGCTGTGACTTCTCCCGTCAAGACAGTGACGCTTTCCCACCGAGGCGGATTTGTCCTGGCACCAAAGGTAAGCGGTGTATTTCCGTATGGCAAGCTCGTTAGATGACCAATCCGTCGCAGCATGTCGAACGTTTTGTCGTTAATGGCGAGCAAGAACCAGAACATAATGCCTCTCCAATTGATACGAACTGGAACAGTCTGTTTGACACGGCGTATGCGCACCCGAAGCTGAGGAATCACCGGTGGCAATGGCTTTTCTACGACTGGTGGACCAAAGGCGCTTGGATGTTGCTCAACAATACGCGTTATGGTTATGGTCAGCATGCTGCGATTGTTAAAGGCTATCACATGTCTCAAGGTGTGTATTCTTCCGCATGCCCGAGGTCCTCCCCCAGGCACTGACCACACCAGTCCTCTTTGTCAAGTCCACCAGGATACAGCCGTACTTCAATACGCGTTATCACACGTACGGCAAATTCGGTCAGTGGAAAAACAGCAAGATCGACCTTCCCAGGATCGAACAGACCGAGCGGAGCGTCGAATTCGCTCCATGGCCCGAGTATATTGACGACGAAGGCATTATCCATTTCAAGAAGAACGACTCCGTAGAGTCAAAGTACATCGAGACCGTGAAGATTAAGCCGGATGTCCTCATCTTCGCGACAGGCTACAGTCACTTGTCGTTCCCGTTCTTGAGCCCGGGGTATCCTGATTCCAGAGATGCTAATGTTCGTTCTCTCTGGAAAGAGGGTGACGAGACCATTGCGTTCATAGGCTTCATCCGGCCCCAGCTCGGTAAGTTTCCAATCGCCCGTGTCCTCATAATTACTACCCTGCTCACCACGTACTCATGCCAGGCGCAATTCCACCGCTTGCAGAATTCCAAGCCCAGCTCTGGATCCTCCGAATCCTCAACCTCCTCCCCGAGTCGAACCTGCGGCACCTCTCCCCGTCGTACGACCCGGACGCCGAAGAATGGTACAAGTTGAAGCCCCGAGCCGGCGCCCGCGTCCGCCACGGCGTCGATCACGAATCTTACGCCTATCAGCTCGCCCTGGACATGGGTGCCGCACCGTCCATCCTCGACGTCCTGAAGTACGGTAGAAAAGTCTTCATCGCATGGGCCTTTGGCGCCAACTTCAATACCAAGTTTCGGCTCGTTGGCCCCTGGAAATGGGATGGGGCGACAGAGATCATGAGGACCGAGATGTACGGGTTGATTAAAAGGAGACCGGTCTTCTGGGGTGAGTGTCTCGTCTTGCCCATCTCTCTTTTCTCTCTGAGCTGTAGAACCCCGAGTGACCGGCCTGGAGGAAATGCTTCCACAAAGATATTTATGCTCGCTCGTTGTTTCTACCTGCGCACACTGACACAACTGCACCCTCAAAATAGGTCACATCATGCTCAACGCTCTGCCAATGGGGATCTTCGCCCCCCTCAGCCTGCTCTACTGGATCTTCTACACCTTTTTCGAGCCCTTCCTGAAGCCGTTCCTGAAGCCGCTGCGCTTGCTTGGACTGTCTAGAACCCCTCCGAAACATCGATACATCAACGGCCACGCGAGGACGCCGTCCAAGCAGGTCTGATGCCACGCGGATGGACTGACTGACTGGCTGACTAAGTACATACACGCGTACTCCGTACATATATTCGGAATGGACATACAGGCCTACACCCATCTACATACATACCTACATACGTGACGAACCGTGACGACTAAGACGATCAACAGGCGAAGACGGCGTATCGGACCCTTAGAATGGCAAACCAAGTCGCGCATGCATGTGGCTGTCCGTATCATTTATATGGATCTAGCGTATCCTCTCACAATAGTCATTGTTCAGAATGAAGAGCACGCCCAGTGTAGGGCAGGCAGGTGGTTTGCTTTGCTTAGTCTAGGATAATCGGGCTTATAGCTAGCGATAGTGGCAATACCACTATCGCGATCCTGATCCAGCATCCGACATCAGTGATCACAGCCGGTGACAGTACCTGTGCGCATTTGTATTGTCCTCACCTCAGAGACATTAGACGTAGGAGAGGCATTAGGGATACTGGTAGATGAATAGATGGCGAGGCATTGATGAGGTGGCGGTGAGATGGCAGTGAGGCAGCATGGCATGTGTATAAGGAGAGGCTCGATTCACCTCTTTGGCGCCCTTACGCGCAACTACAGTAACGCGCCCTCCAGCGTTCTTTTCATCTCTCACCACTCAGTATCAGCTGTCCTTAACACAGGACTAGTTTCTATTGCATATACAGTTTTTCGTTATCTCTCAGACCCCTTTGGTTCATTGATATGCTCCGTTTCTCATCGACATGTTCCACGTGAAGCCGGGGCCTGGACCTTCGCCTAGGCCCGAGATCTCAAACTGGACGTGCACCTCGCTTCGAGATGCTCTTGCAGCCAACCAGACATCGGCGCCGAGCATTGCTGCCAATGCCGCTACAGGCACAGGCGTCTTTCGGGAACCTATCCTCCCTCCCTTCGCGAGGCAGAATTTTGGTACGGGTGGCAGTGCAGCAATCTTTGAATCCATGCTCGTAAGTTGACTCTATTGCCACTCAAATCAGGCAAGCCCGCTTCCAGCAGTGTCGACACAGTCGCAGTGATTGTGGAAGCTGGCTGCTGTAACGACTGATCGAGGCTTCGAAATCATGTGGCGGATGCCTGGGAATACAATACGAAGCCCTCAGGCCAATCATGCGCTGGATTCTGGCCTGCTCCGACCCTTCCGGCTTCAACCTTGTCTCTTCGGCCACTCAGGACCCTCCGACTAGCCCCTACACGTTTACGAGTTTTAGATCGCACACCGGTGCTCTTGTAAAACTGCGAATTACGGGAATCTTTGAGGAACTTTTGCTACTTGGTGAGTCAGTCACAAAGACCAGCTCGTTTCTAGCTTGTTGCAAACAGGGGAATGCCAGAAGTGAAAAATGGTTGCCCATCCCTGTAGTACGACAGCACCTCGCAAGTCATTTCGAACACGTCTTGCACTGTGCAGCCGAACACGGCTCTGCCCTGGCGGACATTCTTGGCCATCGAGCCAACATCTATTCTCCCTTGCACGGCTAACCAACCTGCGTCACTGGAGAAGTATTTGGGGGCAGTCTGGCTGAACTATATTGGGACAGGAGGTAATGGTACCCCTGCCTGCATGTTGCCCAGCCGTGGTCTGAAGGAAAAGTCTCGGGCGAACTGGTAGGACTCACAATTGCAACAGGAGAGCCAGCCGCCATCGGTCTCAAGAATACGAAGTTCGTGAGGAGGTATCGCGATAGGTATAAGTGTCGGATCTCCTACGCGCTCAGCCCACCTACTATCGACCTTGAATTCATGCACAGGCACATACCACAGAGCACCTTGGGCAGAGAAGTGCACACCCAAAAGAACAATATGGCGAGATTCATTTACCAGCTGAACCTGATTCTTGTGCTACTGCTCACCGCTCTCCAACCGACCCTGGTCAGCTCTGTCGAACTCTCGGACTTCGACGGCATCCCCATCGACGACCAGCAGATTTTCGAAGGCACGATCATGCGTGCGGGCGAAAGTGTCATCTGTAACTCCAAGCAGAACCTCATCCACAACCTCGAGCAGCTCTCATTTTACCTCAAGGCCGATTGCCAAGATCGCAACAGGTCAGCCGTCGGTTGTTCATGCTGGCCTCCGAGATGCGCCAGGTCATGCACCCCTACTCGCGCGTGCTGCGCTCAGAACACCACGGCCCTGGTTGCGGAGCTAGAAGGGTTCAATGCCTTCTATGCGCTCCATTTCAAGGAATTGTTTGGTGGTGCTCCACAGAAATGCGCCCAGCTGGAGGAGTGAGCTGTAGCTGGTGGTCGAAGCGATGGACAGGAACTACAAATGAGCATATAGTATGGTGCAACTCGAACGCTGGTCTGGAAGGGTGAAATCCAAAGTCTAGCGAAGACTTGAACATAGTCGAGGCTCTCAGAAATCTCCAGTCTCTCGTCCAATAGCAGCGGTGACTTGTCCTGTCCCGACTGAGGCCCTGGCAGCGGCAACGGGCAAGAATCGGGGCGGACACGTTAGTCGCGTCACACAAAATTGTCCGACGCCAGTCATTTGAACACTGGCTCTCCGCCGGTCTCTCACGTTCGTATTCTGTCTCCCTATCATATTGCGACCCCAAGAGAAGAAGAATGCGTGTCTTGAGCCCGCAGCAGCTGCAAGCTGGTAACTTCGGCGATTTGCTGTGACGCCTTTCCAGCGCTTCTCGTACCTGCGCAGGGCTGCGGTTTGTGCTCCTTCGCACGCCGCCTAGCCAAGCAGCCAAACATCCAAGCACTCGGCCATTACACCAAAGGAAAGTAATCTCAGGCGACGCTGCCCTTGGTAAGTCGTCATGCGGACCACCCGTGACTCAGTCGATCGGATTCGCTGGCCGCCGACGCTATCGATAGGTTCGTCTGCGGCTCATCGACCACTGCCATCCTCGACGACCTATGGCTGCCTACCGACGTCCAGTTGCCTTGCAGCATCTCAGCGTTTGAAGATACCGGACGCGTCCAAGGGGTAAGGAGGCACTTGTGTCAGGACTTTATCAGGGAGGTGTTTCTTCGTGATGACGCTTTTAGGGGAATAGGACTTCAAGGTGCAAAATCATATACTATAGCATGTTTGCAACTCCCGCCTCTGCCCTGATCCGCTGCCACTGCATTCAATCCGCGCCTCTGGTTGCCATCCCGCGCCTGTGAGTTGGGGTAATGCAGAGCCAAGATAGCCCGCCTCGACATCTGAGGAATGTGCCCGGCTTCCGAGATCTTCGTATCGGCTCGCCTACCAGCTGGCGCTCCTCGCTCCATCGCAGACAGCTGAACGGTGAAAGTCACAGTGACTTATACGAGCTGCTCGACACCTTGAACACAGAATCCGATCAGAACACAACCGCAGGTCATCCAGACACCCGAGTGGAGAACGGCCAGCTCTATGGGGAGCCTATCTATGCCGAAACTATTGTGGGCCAGCCTGCTGTTCCTCGATCGCAGCGCCTGGTAGGCAGCTCGGAGGAAACTCTGACAGCACAGCCATTTCGGCGCGCTGCAATATGGAAAGAGCTCTGGTTTCCTCTGCTGTGCATACACGGCTCGATGCTACTCATTCTAGGTACGCTGGCTGTCCTAGTTTCGGTCTACCGAGTGAAGCCTCAGAGAGGTCTCTTCTTCGACCCCATCGGATGGACCGACAGCAGGCAAAGGGCCTATATACTACTCAACGTCCCCGCAAGTATGACAGCCTCTCAGCTTTGTAGATGAGAATCGCTGACAACTACTCCAGCATGGTTGACGTTCGTTACGGGACGAGCCACACAGATCGCGGGCCTTCTCTCGGGATTCCTCATGCAACTGTGGACTTGGAAGACGGCACAATCGATGGCCGAGGCTTCCAAGTTACCGAAAGCCGATGAATTACCAACTCCATATCAACTCAGCTTGCTGATAGGAATGCTCCTGGCTTCTCCTGACAGACTGCGACGATACGTTTCATATCGATGCTTCCGGCAGCAACGAAAGAAGGCACCACGCTCTCCCGGGCTTCTTCTCCAAGCCGGGCTCATGCTCAGTGTTTGCTTCCTCATGGCGACTCTGATGTTCAGTGCTGATACCTTGGTGCACTACACGACGGAAACGATCCAGTACGACCAAGTGAGAGTGGACAGCATTGTACAGGGATCCGGGCGCGGCTTATCTGAGCAGTGCCTGTCTGTAAAGAGGGAAGAGAATTTCGGGTTTCCCTGTTCGATCAACAACCTCATCTCCAATGAAGCATTCCTTGCCGAACATAACGAGATGCTCTTTCTGTACCACAACAGCTCACAGACCTCGGAGATTCGAGTCGTCGCATCCGACGTCGGCGACATGGCACTCCTGCTTCCCAAAACTCAAAGTCTCTCACCATATGTCGACTACCGTGCTTCCACGATCGGCATTACCTCGCAGTGCAAGCCTGTCACCACGTCGTGCAACTTTGACGTCTGGGGTCCCGAGGATTTGTACTCCGGCTTCTACTGCAGTCCCAATTTCTGGGGTTCCCTGGGTGGATCCGAGACGAACGTTTCTGTGCCTGGCACAGACTATCCTGCCTTGGCGTTCAAGGTCGATTCCAATATTCTGTGAGTTAGTACCACGCATGGTTTGCGTCTGCTCTTGCTGATGACCTGTCCCACGTAGGCTGGCTTTCTTCATGGACGAAGGTCTCACCGAACCCTACAACCCCTTTGGATACAACCCAGACACGGGCGCCCCGGATCCAAACATCCCGCTTATGCCCGACAGCCAACTTATCAATAAAGTCTACGTTGCCTTCGCCACCAGATTTGCATCCACCGCCGTCCTCGCCAACGCCGACCTCTCCCTCGACGCAGGCTTCTTCAAGGGTCCGAATCCCGTTTACGACAGCGTCATCGCATGCAGCTACCAATCTCTCCATGTCGAGTACAATTGGTTCAACGGTTCCATCAGGGACTTGGAGACCACTCCGGCACCGAACGGAACGATCTCGGAAATCTGGCACGGCGGGCACATTTCGTCCTCGGTCTCCGGCACGAGCGCGACGCTACAGACGATCCTCAAACAGGCCGCCGTGCAGAACTCGAGCACGGCCTTTGCGCAGACGTGGGCAAGCCTATACTCGCCTGTCATCATGGCCACTATTGGCGGCCTGAGTTCCCCTCGGGCAAACCTGCTACAACAGACTCGGGTACCAATGTTAGTCATCAAGGTTTCGATTCCTGCGCTAGTGTTCTTGGGCTGGTGCTGTCTCGCGTACATCGCGGTGGGTTGTACCCTGGCCGTGCTTGCCGTGCGGACCGCGTCAAGAGGAGACGTGCGCGACGCCAAAGTCAGACTGACGCTGTTCGGACTCGTCGCGTGGGCCGTGGCTGCGGCGGGACGACGGGGACATGGCGGTGGTGGCGGGCTCTTACCTCGGGAGCAGGATATCGGGGAAGAGGACGATAGAGTGGGATTACTGCAGGGTCGGGACGGTAGCTTTTACTTCAAGGTGATCAGCGGTGGTGATAAGGATGCGAGAACGCGGATCAATCCGTCTGCATGCTAGCAGTGGTTGGAATCGTTGTTAGTGGAATGCTGCATGGAGACATTCTGCCGTGCATCCAGTTGCCAGTACTGTCTGATATGTTGTATGCTATAGTGAGGTATGTGACTTTAAGCAGATAATTACTTTTACTTCTCAGGGTATTCTTCTTGTTTGCGGAGGATCGAGGTGTCACTGTCACACAGCGCTTCCCAGCTGTTGCCGACGGTGGCATGGTCGAGATTCACGTGCACGACGCCTCATCATGCGTTTACACAGTCTGTAGTCAGGGCTTGCTTGATCTCGACTATTATGGAAAACGCAGGAGGCTCGGAGCCCTTCGAGGAGACATGTACCTACCTGCATTGGAGCATGTCGTACTCCGAATGGGACGACTTTTCGACGTTGATTGGTTGGTCCCTGCACTTGGTAACTACTCTAGATGGGGCAAACATCCAGCGCCGTTGGTATTCTCATTGCTTACTTTAGATGAACAACCTCAAGAGTCAAAGGACCAATGATTGGTCTTTGCATTCCTCACTTCTGAGATTGACAACTTCTCGGCTTGAATGGTATGATGTAATCCACGGTCTCTACCGGTACTTCCAAGGTCGACAACCTTCAAACGTCATTGGTATGTATGTATGTGAATGAATGATTGAACTACCCATCCTGCCGCCCTTCACAAGTAGCCACGGGCCCTGTATACGTCCTATGCGCCGAGAGGGCGTAGTTGACAGCAGAGATCAGCATGACGCCGGCAAATATGACTATCGCCCAATTCATCTGCAGCCAGCATGTCAGCACAACACGAATCTACTGATCGGGCGGTATTCAACTTACCTCATCGGCCGTAGGCTTCCAGTAGATGGGCCAGAATGCCCAAAAGAATGCAAAAATCGCGTACACCAAACCCAACGTGTTGACCGCAGTACCCCGTCTCCCCAGGCTCCAATACACAGGCGGCAATGTGCTCGGGTGGACGATCCTCCGCCAGAGCACACAGGCGATGCTAATCGCGTACGTGGCCATCAGCGCCACGATGGCCAAGCTGATGATGGCGTTGAACGCGACCGGGGAGCCAAGGTAGATCAACGACATGACGACCGTGTATCCCCAGGTGACGAGGCAGCTATTGGCCGCAACATTCAACCGGGGATTCACCCTTTTCAACCACGTCGGGAAAGGCATGCCGTTATCCCTGGCGAATGCAAATAGCTGGCGGCTCGTGGAGGCGAAGCAGGACACGGCGATCATAAACACCAAGATGAACATGATGGCCGTGATGGCTTGGGCGCCGGCCGTAGACAGCGAGTTCTGCAGGATCCAGACAAAGGGGAAGGTTTCGCCGACTGCGGCCTCGACATCGGTCATGGCGAAAAGAAAGACCAGCAGCATCGCGAACGCGAGGGGGATGTTCAGCATGTAGGCCCAGAACATCGTCTTGGGTGTCACGACGCTGGCGTTTTTGACTTCCTCGGCTTGATATCCATGTCAGTGCTTGCCCCGGGCTTGCCATTTTATGGTCGCTGCAACTTACAGAGGTGAGCAACTGCGTCGGAAGCAAGGACGTTCCACATGGCTGGGACCTGGCCGACCATGACGGCGAGTCCCACTACGCACCGTGTCAGCATGTGCTCACAAGAGTTAAACCCCCGGGCGCCATAAATCACCATGGCCCCCAGGGTTTCCACAGAGGGCGACCTACTTAGCGGATAGTTGCCGCCGTTGTTGGTAAAGGTGGTGAAGACCTCCTTCGCGTCATTCTTGGGTGAAGCAACAGCGACCGTGATAAGCACGACGAGAAAGGAGGCAACGTGCAGCGTAACAAACACATTCTCCAGTAACGCAAGCTTCTTTGCACCCAACACATTGATGGCTGTCACGATACTTCCGATCAGAATACTCGTAAGGGCCGTATAGTAGTTGTGGATCTCGAAGTCGGGGTTCTGTAATTGCACAAGGGCGAAGATAAGTTGTGCAGCGAACATGCAGTCTGACGCAACGAAGGACTCCCAACATGTCGAACTGAGCCATCCGGAGGTGTAGCTCAAGGCTTTTTGATAGCGTCGAGGAGCAAATTCGCTGACCCAGTGGTATTGTCTGTCCAGCGAAGTCAGTCTGACTATGGTACCAGGTGGTCGTGGCAGAATCCACTCACCCGCCAGCTGTTGGTGCCATGGAAGCCATCTCGGCCAGACTGAGGACGATGAAGAACTGTCCGGCTATGATCCAGGTATAACTCCAAAACATGGTCGACGTGCCACCGTCGACAAGCATCTGGAAGTTGTTCAAGGCAACAAACTCCGTGAGCCTGCAGTTAGTCCTCGATTGCTCGTCGGGTGAGGGAAGATGAACATATCAAGTGCCCATGGTGCAGGATGTGAAGCCAACACTGCTGATCCAATTGAAGTTTCGACTAAACTCCTGTTTCTTGCCCATTCTGGCCATGTCCTTGTCATCTTGATCAAATCCATCGCTACCAACGTCGGTCGCGAATGGTTCGCCGGCGGCACCAGCTTGTTTCTCTTGAGCAGGCTCCATAGGGGGTCCTCTTGGAAGGACACAGGACAAGGAAGAATTTCAGACCGACAACACTCCGGACGAAGGCGGCGTGGGGTTGCGATACAATAAATAACGGCCTAAGTCGGTAACAATGGGGGTACGGAGTATCGTGGTCTGGAGCTTGGCACCGTCCCGTGTATCCAAGGCCAGAGAGAAATGTTGCGGACGTGCTCGTAGCGGTCAAGCTTCGAAAGATAAGAATCTCGGGAGTTGTCCGCAAGCATCCCTGCTGCACCAATCGATTGGGCCACCACTGGTAAGCTCTAGGTAAGCTTCGTAGATAGAGGCACCACAAACTAAGACGAATCAACCCGCGTGCACCGACACATGACAGGGTGCACAAGGCGTCACCCATGGCACCGGTAACCAACGGCGAGATAGGGGGAACTTACCGTTGCCACTTGCCGATTCGTTACGCGAAGGGAGTGACAGATAGAGTGAAGGGTGCCATGTTCTCGGAAGCGAGGTTCATGAAACAGTGACTCGTGCCCAGCAGATCACGCCAAATCAGCCCAGCATGTCCCAGGCAGAGGATGCGGCCCCCAAATGTACGCTGGACACGAGGCATACTTTTTGTTAGCGCGACACCAGTTCTGGACTGCACTGCGCCATCACAGAGCCGCGCCAATTGCTGTAACCGTTATATATCAGTGCACTGACTTGGAATCACTGAGGCTGATGGTATGTTAGTGAAGCCGTCCGCATGGGCAAGACACCACACGTCTTTCCAGATATCGCGGACGTGCTCGCCGAGAGTGTCTTCCCACCAGAGAAACCTAGCCAGGCAACACCTGAAGATCTCCCAGCTGATGTTCTGGTCAATCACCGTTTTGACCAGTTGCCGCAGATACCACTCTCGGTGCATCGTGGCCTCGGATGCGACCGCTCCCATGACAGTTGCCCAGAGTATCAGCTCTCGATAGCGAGTATCAGTATCAGGACTGTGAGCAGCGTTGTAGGCTGCTAAGGGTCTCCAGAGCTGCGCGGCTAGTCGCTGTCTGACTCCGGATGTTTCCGGCGCGGGGAAAAGAACAACGTCGCTGTATATCTGCAAGGCGAAGCGACAGATCTCGGATATCCAGCAACATGCGTCGTGCGGAGAGCTTGAATGGTCCGCAGGGCATTCCAGGCTGTATAGATCATGTTGGAAAACAATCGCCAGTAGGGCAAGCTGGGGAAAAGTTAGGCAGCCCTGTCCCGCACGGCAAGATTGATCCAGTGCAGAAGTGATTTCGCCGGCCCTGAGGGCCAACTTCACAATCTCGGGGTGGCGTTCAGCCAACATTTTCCAGCCACTTCCCATGTTGAAGCAAAGCTCAGCTGCCTCCCCGTCGAAGGAGAGTTGACAACCGTCAGAAGCCTGCCGGAGATCCTTGTGCACCGGGAATGTAGGCCGAGTTCCAAGCTTCGTTGCAAGCATCGCATCGGCGCTGTCGCCAAGTTAGCATACGACTGCCACCCATGACTCCAAACGCCTACAGTGAGAGATGATGCGAAATAGCGGGCGGGATCACCTCAAGGCTTCCGCGTTGTCGAATCAAGAAGCTCAATGCTTGGAAGTGGGGAATGCAAGGCTCGAAACAACCGTATAGACGTATGGGAAACGAGTCGGCGATGGGACTCTCCGGATATCGACTGGTATATCCGGGTTTGGCCAAATCGCCGCCTTGTGCAGCCAATCTACTGAGGCAGTCGATCAGTTCGTCCGAGGGTGGGCCTCTCAGATTGGCGATACTGTCTCTGAGGATACCCAGTGCTGCGGTTTGATGCTTTAACCGAGTCGCCAGTAGCGTCTCTAAGACCTCTGGACTTTTGCTTAGAGCATAGCAGAGGGTTACCGCTGATGAGATCTGGGTATGGAATTGAAGCGGCGATTGAACGGCGAGCATCTTGCAGTGCGTGATGTGGTTGGTCAGCGTCGCGCTACTCAGACCAGGGCTGTTCTTGCGCCAGATGGTTTCCATCATATACTCGAGGCTGTCGCGGGCGATGGGTGGTAAGGCTTGGAGACCATCATTCGCGAATGGGTCGACTGTCCCCTGACCTAGAATCATCATCGGCCTCGGGAGCGTTATGGGAATGATTGATTCGTCGTCGGGATCTGGTGGGTTGGTGGTATGCATAGTGCTGGCAGCCGCTTTCGCATTCAGCTGTTGTTTTACACTGGCACGGTGTTCGGCCCTCGTATTGAGCACTGCGGCTCTCTTGGACCATTTGGTCACCGCCGCCTGGGCGGACGACACTCTTGCGGCGTGTGAGCGTACGGCAGACGCTTGCAGTTCGCGTTCCCTCGCAGACTGTCGTGGCGAAGGAACAAGCACAATCGTAAATTCACGCGCCATCAGATGTGACCGGTGCACGGTGTAGCCTGATTGTGGGTTTCCGGACTGAACGAACCTCCGACGCTGGCAGCACGTCTAAGGTCCCACATGGTCATCCACGACCTCGACGGTGGGAAAAGCAAAGGCGTCTTGGGGCCGAAGCAATCGATAGGGACGGGGTCCACGAAGCACCAGGGAAGGCAGGGTCCAGAAGGCTTGCAGCTTCCATGACCTGCGTCAGGACCATGTCAAGGAAGAGGGAAAAGCCGCTGAGCTGAAGTTGATAATTAGTCAAAGGCCGCTGTAGAGATGTGGGTGAGAGGCTTTTGCCATATTCGGTCATTTAGTCGGCCAATTAGAGCCGTGCATAAGCCAACCAATCGGAGGAGCCCGTGGTGGGGCAGGATTTTTCGCGGGCTTCACAAAGATTTTGAGGAAAAGGTGAATTCGCTGCCTTGCAGTCTGGAACACCAGCACGCTGCCCAAACACTGGTCCTATTCGTGGCAAATACAGTGGCTCTCGACATTCTGATTGTCTTGCGAAATCATCCCATTCTTGCCTTTCGGCTGACACCGCAGCCATGAGGTGCGTGTCACCCCATCGTACTCTGAATTAATTTTCTATATTGACTCATCTCAGGATCGAAACCTGCCACCTCTGCTCCCGCCCGGTGTACCCCTCCAAGGGCATCACCTTTGTCCGGAACGATGCCAAAGTCTTCCGATTCTGCCGCTCCAAATGCCACAAGAACTTCAAGATGAAGCGCCAGCCCCGGAAATTGAAGTGGACAAAGACGCACCGCGCGCTGCGCGGCAAGGAGATGATCGTGGACCAAAATCTGCTGCTGGCACAATTTGCGAAGAGGCGGAACGCCCCCGTCAAGTACGATCGCAATCTGGTCCAGGCGACGATCAAGGCGATGGAGCGGATCGAGGAGATCCGAGCGAAGAGAGAGCGAGTGTTTACTAAGCGACGATTGAGTGGGAAGGCGCAGAGAGATGCGAAGAGGAGGCAAGACCTCAAGGTCGTGGCCGAGGGCGAGCATCTTATTAGGAAGGAGCTGGCGGATCTGGAGGCCGCCAGGGCGGAAATGGAACCGATGGTGGCGCAGGTCCGAGCAGAGATGGAAGCAAGCAGAGTCGTGGGCGAAGAGAGAGTCAGACAAAAGAGGAAGAGGAAGATGCTTGTCGGAGGCGGTACCGAGGAAGAAATGGATTTGGATTGAACCTCACGCTCCTTTTCAAAGATGGAGTGTACGAGCACTATGAGATTACGATACCCAGGGCGTTAATTACTGGTGTCTGGCGATGCGCAATGAAGGGTTTCAATGGATAGATGGAATAGAGAACGTCGTCCGTTGACTCTGGTATATTTGCGGCAAACCTAGTGGGACAATTCAACTTCAGCCATGCAGATACTGTCACCCCAAAAGTGTAGAGGAACGAGCTCTCTATCGAGCCTCGTACCCAGATGACTGCTTTGTAAAGACCCTGAGGCCGCCTCATTCTGCATTTCACTCCATGACCACATAGTGCTTGAAGTCCCTGGTCTTGACGTTCCGCTCGAACATGATGTCCACTTCCTGATAAGTCCTTCCTTTCCTAAGTACTGTCAGTAAGTGGCCAAAAGGACAAGACACAACGGTAACCCACAGTTCAGGCACACGGAAGTACGACCAAAGCAAGCACAAGGCAGCGAGTCCACCGAAAAAGAACCCAAGCTTGCCTCGCATGTTGGCCTGGTCGGGGTTGATCATGTACGGGATGGCGACCGTCATGACGATTCCGGCCGTAGCTTGAACGGCCGTGGCAATTGCGATCGTCTTCCCGCGGACTCGAGTCGCAGACACTTCGCACAGCAACACGAAGCACACGGGCCCGATCGACAGGTCGTAGATGAAATTCCAGATCAGCATCAGCACGCTTTCCGCCCATTTGATGCCTGGCCTGTTGTCGTAATTGGGTGCACAGTCCAGAATGGCGATGATAAACTGGAGGACGGCCAGCAGCGCAAGGCCTGTATTGTAGATCCTCCGCCGACCAAAGTATATCAACAGGACCCAGGAGAAGCACGTGCCAAGGAAACCGAGGGCGAGGAAGCCCACGCCCATGTTGAAGGCTTGGTCGTCCGGGAGGCCCGCCACTAGCGGATTGATGGTCAGCTACGTATTGGAGATTGGAAAGAACGTACGAGTGAAGAAGTAGGTCGCGTAGCCAACGAGATAAATGCCCGAAAGTACCTGGATGGTGTAGACCCCAACAGCGATTTCCGTGCGACGGAGGTTGATCTTCTTGAAACAGTCGACATAGGTGGAACCAGCTTCGATCTCGCGTTCGAGCCGGTCGGTCTCGATGATCATGGCGAGGGTGGGCCGGACATCGACACCGCGTGAAGCCAGGCGCTTGAGAGACTTCTCCGCCTCCTCGATGCGTCCTTGTCTCTGTAACCACCACGGACTGCACGTGTATCAGCGACGAGGTCTCTTGAAGAGCCATGATTGCAGCGTTACCTCTCAGGCGCAAATGGCAGGCCAACCAGGATGACAAGTGGCCAAAGCCATTGAACCGCAAACGGCGCACTGTACGCCCAATGGCTGTCAATCTTGTGGGTTCCAGCAATGACCCCGTTGGCGATGAGCTGTCCCGTGACGAAGCATATGTTTGTGCACGACGTGAGCACTCCTCGCAGCGCCAACGGGCACACTTCCGAGGCGTATGCGGGCGCAATGACCGCGTAGCTCCCCAGCACCAGACCACCAAGCAGTTCGCCTGCCAACAGCACGGGTAGTGACCGAGCAAAGAATTGAATGAAGACGAAGCCCGTGGTAAGGAGGACGCATGCGCCAAAGGTCTTCTTGCGCCCGAACCATTCCAGCGGATAAGCCGCACAAAATGCACCAACCACTTGTCCGATGGGGGAACCCATGCTCAAGCCGGTCTGCCACGGCGCTGAAACGATGTATTTTCCATTATACAGATAGCCAAAGTCACGTTGGAACGCTGAAGTGGCATACAGCTGGCCCAGGAGCTGTGGGTCAAACGCACACCTGGTCCGACCGTTATCGACCTGCTTTCTACACTCAAGTCTGATTCACTCACATGATAACACCGATCGAAAAGAAGAGGGACCATCCAACAGCCATCGGGTAGAGCTTGACAGCCTCCCAAAAGGAGAGTTTGTGCTCACGGTCAGCAGCCGCCCGCGCTTCGGCATTGATGTCGTCAATTGACGCGGTGGCAATGAGCGCCGCGGGGTCTTTCCGGGTTTCGAGGTCCTTGTCCATGTCTGCGACTCCTCCCATGAGTGTTCCTGACCATGCGCAGTGAAAAAGGCAATGAAGCAAAGTACGGGCAAACAGTGGTAGGCGGGGGGTTGACCCTGATGAAAGGCTCTTCCTCGTGTACAAGCGTTATCAAGAACGATAAGAGCAAGTAATGGCCTCCATCAGGCTACGATAGAGCTCTTGACCCCTCCTGGTGGTAACGAGCTACCAGTGCCCGCGGCTACTGGCCAGTGTCGGGGTTGGTCCCATCGGCAGCAGGATGCATCAAAAATTGGCTGCGTCTTGGCCACGAGGTAAAGCTTAAGCAGGAAAGGCTCACCGTTATCTACCCGAGACTGATTCGACTGCAGTCCTAGAAGCGGTTGCTGCTCGCTAGGCACTTCAATGCCGTCCATCCTATCGTGTCTTGGTGGAATCAGGGTATGGATGGCCAGACTCTTAGCGAGAGCCAGGTCGCTGCGCCGTTTCCGGGAAGAGAAAGGAGAGAACCCCAACTCTGGTTGCGTGCATGCTCAGTCGGGGATCTGCGAAGGCTGGGATGTGCATGGGGGTGGGATGGCAGCGCCCTATCGTTACCGTTACATTGAAAGGAGGAGAAGTTGGAATGGGAAGAGCGATACTCCGTACAGTGGAGTTGGTCGACACGCGCATATAGCACGTGATTGGCTGGCAGGGTGAGAACTGGCTACTGTCAAGCACGCAACCTCTGCACGCAGGGCCCCAGGACAAGGCTGAGGTGGCTCAGCCTTACCCCCCACCAGGGGAAACACTGAGCCTTAGTCATCACTCTAACATCAGTTTGCCGCTGTTTGGCAGACTGGGCACTAGATCGTCCGAGTCATTCTGTGAGCGTGATACCCACAATACCCAGCATGAAAATGTGCTCCAATCTAAAAGACGAGACTTTTGTAGAGATGTGCAGGCTCGTCAGCACAGGGTACCGAGTCTGCAGCTCCTACTAATACAGCGCGGACATGGCCGAGGAAGCTGTGATTTTCCCTGACCAGCCTCTGTTCATGGTGGATCGTGGATGGCAGCGACGCAAGAAGAGAGCGGGAAAAGACTTGCCACGGGCCGAGTACGAACGAGAACTTCAACTTCAACCAGCGCGTGTTCCAGAAGTTACCATCACTGTCGCCAAAGCACCTAGTAGTGCGGGATCCACGTCACAATCCACCAAGGAGAATGGCCTGAAACCAGCAAAAGGCACTGCGGCACAGCCTGTGCACACACAGTTCATGAATTATGAGCCTTCCCTGCCTAAGAAAAAGCAACAGCACGGAAAGAAAGAGCGCGCTCTGCCTAGAACCTCCAGCGCTGGCGTACAACTTTGCAATGATACAACAATGGGGCCAAGGGGAACCCCCCAGGGTTCACTCACTCTCAAGCAGTCGCTTGCTGGAACCTCGACAGCTCTTTTCTCGGTTCTAGATCCTGAAGTCAGCTCTTTCCAAGGGTTTGTCGGCTATTGTGAGTACCCACTTCCGCCAGCTTTGGGGACAGGCGAACCCCTGCTGATAACCTACGAGATCCTACCCAGCTTGCTAGTTCAATGTACCCGATCACCAAGGCAGTGGCCCTCACCCATAATCCAGTTGAGACATTCTGGTTCCCCGCTATCGTCAGAGACGAGGTCTCTCTGCACGCGATGTTATTTTCTTGCGCCATGCACTACTTTCTCGGTTCTGGACAACTGACCTTCAGAGATTCAGACCTCTTGATGAAAGCGATCCTCAGTCGACTAAACCGTAGGCTACATGAGGAGAAGTACTCGGACCTGACCATTGGGGCTGTATCGTGCTTGGCTCTTTGCGAGAACCAGCTGGGCAACCATCCGAAATGGAAAATGCATGCGGCGGGCATGTCTGAGATGGTGCGCGCAAGGGGCGGGTTTCAGACTGTCCAAGATGTGCTGCACATGAAGATCTACAGAGCGGATACAATTGGTGCTGCTGACACGCTTACCCATCCTAACTTTCCACGCCCGGCAAGAACGTCGGAGAGTCTGTTCGCGATATTGGCGATCGAGCCGCCGCCCACTCCTATAAAGGAACTACTTGTGGATCTCGGCTTGACGCAGACCGTGTTGAATGTACTTGTGGAACTATCACACCTTTGCCACGCTTTGAACCAAGCCGCGGAGACGCGAATTCTCGTCGATCCTACGGCGTTTGATGAAGACATTACATGCATCCAGCACGACCTGTTGAGATCTATCTCTCCGGAGCAGGAAGGTGCTGAGCGACTTTGCGTAATCACGGCGCTTATCTTCATTCAGACTCTGACCCGGGAGGTGCCATTCACGAGACTGTGCTCCAGCCACATCTCGAAGCAACTGAAAGAGGCGCTACCCACCCTCGACGCCAGCAAAGCACCTGCCCGACTCATATACTGGATGCTGTTTATGGGAGGCCTGGTTTCAAAGGACACGAACGAGAACGTCTGGTTCCGGAAAAGGCTGAGGGAACTCCACCAGTTACGGGATGATCTGCTGGAGTGGGAAAGCGTGAAAGCCCAGCTACAGAAGGTTTTCTGGGTCGGCGCTATGCAAGAGTCATTCGGGCTCGAACTCTGGCACGACATCGGTCCCTCGCGTCAAACAGCTTCTCAGTGAATCTTCAACGCTGCCAATTCCGGCTCAGACTTGTTACCGTCCAAGACATGTTGATGTTTATGGCGCATAGCTTCGCATACTACCATGCAAACCACGGCCTTCGCGAGGATAGAGGATCCTTGGGCGTTCGGGGTCTTGTGGTACAGTTCCCAACTGCCGGTGGTGGGCATCGGAACGTCCTTGTTATCATTGATTGGCGACCAAGAACGGCATGTGAAATTCATTCAGGCGGCCGGAAGCCACATGCGATTCTTCTTGACTGAATCCACGGCTGGACTCGGCTGTGTCTTGCGAGACCATCGCGCTTGAGGAGGGATAGATTGAGCGCTTCGGCCGTCCTATCTTGCGGTGTTTCCAAGTATTGCTCAAAGGCGCAACGCCCTTGATCATCATAATGGAAGAACGAGAAGGTCAGTGACCACGGACCGTCCTTTGTCTCTGCTTCTGCAAGCGCCTTGATAGCTTCGGCTGGAGGATCTTTTCGTGGCCAAACGATGCCAGGACATAGTCACCCGATATTGTGGAAGAGTTAGTACTGCTGAGAATCAATTCCCGGGCAAGATGTGATTCGGTGAGCACAGTCAGGGCGTGATGAAGACTTCTTTTGATATCTGCCTGCTACCGACGGCTCTTGTGTTTCACCGTACTGCGGCACCCGTCCGCCGCGCATTTCCGCCTCTTCGTCTCTCGTTTCCTGCTCTCAAACCATTTCCCATTTCTGCAATAGCTCCGCTGCACATTCCCCTCACTGGAACACGATACCAGATGCGACGTGGTGCTTGATGGATGATAAGCTGCCTTGGTTTGTCTTGTCGATGTTCCGTGCCTCGAGCGCATGGGCTCGGCTATAGAGTTTCGTTTCTGCGAAAAGCGAGCCACTCCGTTGTAGTCGTTTGCAGGTAGGCAAAAGACACATCGTGGTCGTCTTTGTTAACAACGAAGAGGAGCACTCACTCTCAGTAACAACGACCAGTCCTCCTCCAGGCCGAAGGGTTGGTGGCCATCCTCTTCATCATGGGCTCCTACACCCCGGTTCACGACCAGACCGTGCACACAGTCCACATCCCTGAAGATGTTCGCGTCTCGGGAAACCCAACCCTAGACATCATTGCCGAGGGCGTCTCGTTTCTCCACAAGGACGGCATCATCGTGCTCGACAACGCCATCGATGTCGCCCACATCGACACGCTCAACAACAAACTCTCGCCCGAGGCGCTCGAGATCGCCAACGACCCAGACCACCACTTCAACTTCGGCAAGCACACGCGGAACATGGACCAGGCGCCACCTCCGACCCGTGAGCTGATGTTCAAGGACGTTTGGTGCAACCCGTTCGCCGCCGCGATCCTATCGGCTGTGATCGGCCCCAAGCCCGTCATCCACTATGCCAACGGGAATACAGCGCTCAAGGCGGACCCCAAGGGCCGCCAACCCGTCCACTCGGACTGTGAGTTCGCGCACCCGGCGTACTTCCCCTTCGCGTATGTCATCAACATCAACCTCGTGGACGTGACGCCTCGGAACGGCGGCACCGAAGTCTGGATCGGCAGCCACCACGTGAGCGTCCACGAGGCGCATAATCGGTATTCCGGACACGGGGACTGCGACGGACAAGACCTCGACGACATGGAAGGCGAAGGTCTTTTGACCATCAAATCCCGGTACCTGGACGACCGGCGCAAACACTCGCCCCCGATCCAGGTCGCTACAAAGAAGGGCAGCCTTATCATCCGCGACCTCCGCCTCTGGCACGCAGGGATGCCCAACCTGACGGACGAACCGCGGATCATGCTGGCGTTCGTGGCCTCGCCGGCCTGGTGGCAGGGCCGGTCGAAGATCGTCCTCCCCGCGGACGTGAAAGACATGGTGGAACATTGGGCGCGCGAGGAACACAGTCTATTGTATGATGCGGAGTGGATCGAGGGCGAAGTCGACTATAAGAAGCTGAGTAGCGGAGGCGTGGACTTTGATACCAAGAGCGCGGTGCTGGGGCGGTATAAGTCCGAGTTGAGTGTCTGGCCGGAGTATCGGCCTAGGTGGTATTGAGGGTGTTCCAAAGGGTGAGTACTGTAATATTGGCTTGACGAGACACCGATGATGCTACTGTAACTCTGTGAGAATACTTCGTAGGCGATTATTCATCGATTGACTCTGTTGTGTGAGAATTCCCTAAAGGTAGGTAGATATTTGTCTGTAGATTTACATCTCACTGATATTGTAATTTTTCCGCTGCTCGAATCTCCACCTTGTTAGAGTTCCGATGCTGCAGCATGCATGCCGTTGGATTCCCCTCTCACATATACATCTGGCCGAGGCCCAGCGCAGGCATCCAACACCCCTTTCTCAGCAGGCTCTCATGTTTGTCCATCATGACCACGACGGGACCGCCAAACAAACACGCCTTGCCGCTTGCCATGTTCGCGCAAGCCCAGTTCGCTTGGCTGATCGCCTCTTGGCTGACCAGGCAGTCGTAGTAGCTGTCTAGCTGCTCGATGGAGCTCGACGGCTCACGAGCTCTGATGCGCTGGAGGAGTTCTTTGTCGGCCTGCTCTTTCTGGCGTGCGAGGAGTACTCTGTCGTTGTACGACTTTGCTGTGTCGCTGGATGACTCGTCATCCTTGCGGCTCTCAAGTCGAGGCCAGTGATCAGGAGGCGCGAAATCCTCTGCGCAAACAACTTCCGCGGCGTCTATAAATTTCTGCATGTAGCTGTCAATCTCCTCGAAATGGGCGTTGTCTTCCGGACCGAGCGGCCCGTCGGTCCTCGACTGCATCATGTTGTGGTCGCCGTAGATGATGATGTCTACGGGATGCGACAGGGTCCACGGGTTATGCAACCACGACCACTGCAACTTGGCGTAGACACAGTATTCCAGATGATGTGTGAAGGGCGTGTCCGTCTTGCCGGGCTGATGCGGATAGAGGCGGTGGAATTGCCATGGCAGTGGTGAGTGGTAGTTCCAGTAGAAAGCGCAGCCGGCACAATGGACCGCTTCTACGGTCGAGATCTCTACCTGGAGGCCACCTTTCGGGAGACGGGTGGTCTGGCGCTTCTTGCCTGGGATACGGATCGCGCAGGCGTGCTGCGCGTACACGGTTTCCAACGGGGAGACTTCCTCGGACATCAGGCGCAGAGGCCGTTGACCACGGCGTAGTTGTATCGTCTGCTTGGGCCGACGTTGAACACTGCATTCCTTGAGGTTGAGTCGCTTTCCGGTCTGTTGCAGCATCATCGGGCCGATCCTCGGTGGTGCTGGAGGGCGGTGGCCTTGCTCTCTTGGTCGTTGTCGCACGACTTTGAGCGCAGAGTTAAAGTCAAAAAGCCACCGCCGCTCTCGTGCCGGAAAGCCCCAGAAGCGTTTCTGAGGCACGCTGCGTAGAAGAGGGAGCTGCGCCAATTCGCTGGGCTCGAGCTTCATGACTTCGCAGGTGTACCGCTCAGAGATCGCGAGGAGCTCGCGTTCCTGTGAGAGGCACCGGAAACAGCAGCGTTTGAGCTTCAGGAGCTGTAGAATCTCCCCGTGCTCACCGCAGAACTCGCATTTGGTGGTGAAGAGAACATGGACAACTTGTTGAGTTGTCCATAAATTGCCAGCACCGGTGGCAACGAGGGCACGAACCGCGTCGGAGCCTTCTGTCATGGCGGTCCGGAATGGCGGCCATTGCTCAATGAGCTGCCTTGCGTGAGAATTTGTGGCTCGCAGGTCGAATAGCGTGCTGACGGGTGTTATAGAGAAGAGGTGGAGTTGTATCTCCAACGGGAGCATACCGAGCATACCGAGACTGGCACAGGGTTTCTTTGCAGGTGTCCAGCGCCGTGGTTCATCAAGGCTGACCCGCAAGGCCAGCTCGCGGGAGTCGATGAGAACGTTGTTGTAGTACGGTCTCTTCGAGAGGAAGCGGTATTCTTCAGCAGTCAACTGTTTGGGGGCGAGTTCTTTGGGATCAGTTGAGGCCATCTTGGGTGAAAGGTTTGTGGTTGATAAGTTCAGGGACTAGGGGAATGTGGTTGTAACTATGATATATAGTTCTGCGATGAACTCGGAGTTTTGAGAAGCGTCAAGTAGATGAGGTGAGGTTTTGAGGCCAGCAGGGCGAGAGGCGAGAGAAGCAACGTGCTAGTAGATATAGTTAAAATAATAGGGGCATCGAATAGAATTGAAAAATACTTCTGCTCTAACACTCAACCTCTCCAGCCGCGGAGCCATTGTCGAGGGCTATTGACGATCCGGTGCCGACAATAGGGAATGAATAGTGATTCAAACATGGTGAATAGGACTCTTGCTGCACATTCAGGATCCCCGCACAATCGATGAATAGCGGAACAATTGATGAACTTCACATTGAAAAGAAGAAAGAGAGCTTCTCCACCATAGGTAGCAGTCACTGTGGGAAACGCTGAGATTCATCTTTTTGACATGAGCATCACGGTGCGGCTTCAGCCATGCTGCCGAAGTCAGGCGCATGAGAATTTTACCTCTTCTAAGCCTTCATCAGCGGAGCCACGTCACTGCAGTCTACACCACTTGCAAACGGCACTGTCTTTGTGTGCGGCTTGACACATGATCGACTCCATGGTGTATGGGTAAGTGGAGGGATAAGTGAGGGATAGATGAAGGATGGAGACTTTCAGCCTGGAACCCCGAAATTATGTCGGTGGATAAATGTCACGTGTAAAAGCACGTGACTGGATGCGCGATGACGTGTTTGGATAACAACCAACTTTCCCGGCTTCGTCAAATAAATCTGTTGTTCTTGCTCATCAGTAAACTCTCAATAACAACACCATCTCCTGTTTCGATCACCTTCGTGTCCTTGTCGAGATTTACTCCGTTTTGCAGTGTCTCTTGACGCGCTCAGCGTCCAGCGAACGCGTTCAAAATGGTGTACATTCGGCAGCGAAATCTGAAAAAGCTCCACGAGTACAAATATTCTGGAGTCGACAAGTCCCTGGTTTCACGATATATCCTGAAGCCATTCTATACCAATGTTGTCATCAAGTGCTTTCCGATGTCCATGGCGTAAGTTTGTACTTTGGCAGCCTTCGGAACTTGGCTAACATCCCGTCAGGCCCAATCTTGTTCGTGGCTACAACACCAGAAACAAAACTTCTGCTAATTGCGAGATAGATAACCCTTACCGGCTTCAGCTTCGTCGTCATCAACGTCCTGACGCTGCTATGGTACAATCCAACACTTGACACCGATTGTCCTCCGTGGGTGTACTTGACATGGTCCATTGGTCTGTTCCTCTACCAAACCTTCGATGCAGTCGATGGCAGCCAAGCTCGCAGAACACACCAGAGCGGTCCTTTGGGTGAACTGTTCGACCATGGTAGGTTCGACCTTCTGTCGTGGATACCAGCCCTGACCGAAAACAGGTGTGGATGCGTGTAATACCAGTCTTGAGGTTCTTGTCTTCGCGGCTTCTATGAATCTGGGACAGTCCTGGAACACGGTCCTCACACTCTTCGGCACAATCCTGACTTTCTACATCCAGACCTGGGAGGAGTATCACACTCATACCCTGATGTTGGGAATCGTCTCTGGCCCTGTGGAAGGAATCCTGACTTTGGTTATTGTCTATTTCGTCACCTACCTCAAAGGTGGTGCAAGCTATTGGCAACAACCCATGCTGCCATCGCTTGGGCTTCCGAAGAGCGACCTGATCCCACCTTCCCTATACCAGATGGCATGGAACGAATGGTATATGCTCTATGGTGGTTTGGTCCTGGTCTTCAACACCGCCAGCAGCATAAAGAACGTCATCGATGCTCGACGATCGAGAGGTGAAGATCCCTACAGGGCACTTAGGGGTTTGCTGCCTTTCATAGTCACCTGGCTTGTGATTCCGGCCTACCTCTCCTTGAACCCAGTCATCTTACACCATCATCTGGTTCCATTCATACTACTTGCAGGAATCATCAACGCCTATTCTGTGGGACAGATGATCGTGGCGCATTTAGTCAAGGACAGATTCCCATACCAGAACGTGCTGGTCTTGCCCTTGGCATGGGCGGTCGTTGACAGCTTGGGCCCCAAACTTGGACTGTGGCCAAGTGCTTTGGGTGACAATACCTACCAAGTGGCGTTTACTTTCCTGTCACTCGGTCTGGCGCTGGGCGTATATGGAAGCTTTGTCCACGACGTCATCACTACAATCTGTGACTACCTGGACATCTGGTGCTTGACAATCAAGCATCCTTACGTGGAGACCAAACAGAATGACGGGGCTAAGAAGGAGAATTGAATTCGAATGTGGTGGTGTGGAGAATTCACGAGCTCTTACAGTCGAAAGCCAGTGGCACGAACACCGAGCAGTCATGAACCGGTGGCCAGAACATCCAGCAGTCGAATCATATTATCATATGCCTGGCTCGTTTGCAGAAGTGCGACAACAACACGGACTGGTGGCTGGTCGTCTTAGTAGCTTCTCACCAACGAATTTGCTCATAAACTCCTTCATCCCATCCTGATTGCTTCTCGGTCTCTCGCCTCACGACAACTCAAGCGCCTTTTCGGATTCTTTCAGACATCCCGTCTCAAAGCCAGCCACCTGTCGAGATCTCTGCCGGCCATGTTCCCAGACAAAGACCGTCACAATGGTAAGTACTATTGTGTTACTTCTCGAGATACATGGCACATCCTCCCAACATGAGCGTCCACAGCACTTTTCCCAGATTCGGCCACTAACAGCACTATCTCAACAGGTACTGGTCCGACTTCTCACCATCCCCAGAACAACCTCCACTTCGGTCCCCCGCAGGTATATGGTCAGTGATGCCTGCTCATACTCAGCCTTTGGCGCCTATCTCTCCCCTCTCCCTTCCCATACCATCCTCACATAGAAGCCACGCCAACTCCCTTCAGGGCACTTTGCCTTCCTCCCCTCGGACCCCTCTCGCCACGGATTAATCCACGCCTTCACCGGCCAAGTCACAACCACGGTCCACGGCGTCGAAACCATCCTCCCGACGCGCGACTACCTCAAGCACACACCTCAGGACCGCCACAACATCATCCACCCACCCGGCCTGGTCATGGAGTCCGGATACCACAATGCCAAGCCGATGGACCCTCCGCCAAACGCACCGCCTCCACCCCCACCCATTGATATCAAGACTGGAAAACCTCTGAGCGTTGCTGGCGGGGCTTCGGCGAGCGATGTTGGCCCTATACATATCCCCCGCCGCCACCGCCTCTGCCTCCGTCTCCGTCTGCATCGCTCTATTCGGCATATCATCTGCCACCACCACCTCCCCATTCTTCGTATTTCAGTAGCAGTAGCGATGTCGAGCAATGCGGAAAGTGTCAGCATTGTTATCGAGTCAGTATGCCCTCAAGCTCCCATGCTACTCCCTTGTGAGCGTGCCCAGGTTGGCTGACACGACGCAGTAGTTTTGCCCGGCAGTGAGATGAACCACAGTTACCCTGAGGGTGCCGGGTCAAATCGAGGTTGGCGCTTGTTCTGGTGGGTGGACTACGCTGCAGTCCTGGCTCGATACTGGAGTCTGCTGCTTTCAGGCGCTTGGGGGGATCATGCCGCTGGTTTACGAGGTCTAGCGTAGCACAATAGGATCAGCGTTGATAACGTTCCGGCGCACAGAGGGGTTTTTGCTGGGCACGTAGTAGCTCGAAGCCTACATTTCAAACATAATGCAAGGCGGAAGGCCATCATTCTTACTCTAGTTTCACCATGAGACAAACTTTCTAGCTCTCCTGGACTTGACCAGATACGCCAGTCTGGTGGTGCGAAAAGCAACTTCCGGGGCCATGAGGCATGAAGATGGTGCTGGCTGGTGCTGGCTGACGCTGGTTCACGCATTAACAGCGGGGATACGTCTGTCACAGGCAGGGAGAGCAAAGAGCCTTCTGGGCAGATGTTTCAACATTTTCTTTTCATTCGTGCTCGTAGCGGTCCCACAGCCGAAGCACTTTCGAAGACCATGAAGATGTCTAAAACTCCGAGGGTGACATTCACGAACCACATCTTGTCTGTCATCACCATATCCGACTGGTCCAAGCCACCTAAAATTCTGCAATTGGCTGTCGATATTTTCGAGTTTGGGATTAACGAGGATGAGCGCGCCGCCGTCGCCGCGTCCGTGCCTTTGTGCCACCGTGCCAGGCGCTCTTGCCCAGTGGCGCCACTCACCATCGCCATCACCAGTGTCCTTCAAGCAAGACCCATGCTCTGTCCATATCTTCGCCCCCGTCCCCACTCTACTGGAATTGGGTCGTAAAGTTGCTGGCTCGGGAGTTAAATAGGAGAGGACAAGCAGCAGGATCCATGGCCGTAAAGATTGTGCTGAGCGACTTAATAGCCCAGATCGGCCAACTTCTTGCTCGACTCGTGGTCGGCAGTCGACTTGCGTGCCTCGGCCAGGTGTTTCCGTTGAGCCTTCTTTCTCTCGTAGTATGCGGCGCCCTTGACTTTTCTTCTCTCTTCGAGTCTGTCGTAAGTTGTTAGCCATATTGCTTTCGCGCCCGTCATCTCTAGCCTGTCCAAGACGCGAGTCTGGCGCCACGCAGAATGCGGTGTGAACGAACCTGGCAACCACATCCTGGTACTTCCAACCAACCTCATGCGCCAATCGTCCAACCGTGCAGTACTTCCGGCCAGGCTTTAATCTCAGAACTCTCAGAGCCTGGGGAACAACCATGCGTTGCTTCTTGTCGTATGGAGGAGGAACGCCCTCAAAGACCTTCAGTCTCTCCATTGCGGCGGCGCCACGAGCGGTCTTATGGGGAATCATGCCTCGAACGGTCTTGTAGAAGATGCGGGCTGGGGCGCGGAAATGGAAAGGACCGCCCCGGGTTGGGTTGTAGCGGGTGATTTTGCGGAGGTAGGCGTGGTACTTGACTGTTGGAGGGGGCATCACGTTAGCCTTGATCCTATCTCGCAATCGGGGAGTTTCCAACGCACGCTTAGCACGGAAGAATTCGCCAGAGATGTTGAGGGCTTCGCATCTCACGACGACAATCTTCTGGCCGTTGAGAAGCTGCTTCGCGACCGTGCTGGCAAGACGACCGAGCAAGTGTCCCTTGCCGTCGATGACAACCTAGTCGGAGTCAAGTCAGTCGTATGCTCTTATCGTCGATGCATTGATTTGCGCGTTCTGGGATGAAGGAACGTACGACGGGCTCGAAGGTCGACATCTTACTCCCAGATCACTTGCAGAGAGTCGATGTGGAAGTGTTTCGCGAATTGGGCGAGGACGTGGTTGTTGGTCGAATTTCGTCAAGTCCTGAGATCGGAGTCAATTGTTGCATGAAGGTGCGCTTTCCCTCGCTGTGTGAGTGCCAAGCTTCTAGTGCTTGGCACTCGGAAGAACAAAAACCCTCAATTTGTGACTGGCAGCTTAGTCATTCTGTGGGCCCATTCGAGCAGTTCCGCAAAAGTTCCAGTATCCCAAATTTGCTGCCTCACAATGGGGCAACAAGGCTCCTAAGGATTTGATATCATGTCTTGAAAATGCTCACGGAGAGCTTCGTTGCGGCAACGCTTGCTGCAAACAGAGTTCCCGCTCATACTACCGCCGCGCTCAAGGACGTAGGCATATTTCTGCACGAGTTCCAACCACAGAGCACGCTCCGTCATGGATTCAAGAAGTCTTCGAGTCAAGGGGGTTGCGTTGCCACCAGTGACTCGCACGTCTTCGCAGCCCAAGCAGACAAGGCGGTGGTGAATGTCTACAACAGAGAAAGAGGCACCCAGGAAGCAACAGTGCCATTCCCTGACCGAATACACAGCGTCGCATATGCCAAATCGGCCGACATCCTCGTTCTAGGCACAGAGGGTGGGAAATTGATACTGTGGGAGCTGGCCACAGGCAGAGTAACGAATTCTTCCGCGTCTCATCTGCAAGCCGTCTCACGTCTCTGCATTACCCCCAAGAATGAATACATCCTTTCTGGCTCTGCTGACTCGAGTATCCACCTATGGTCTCTAGCAAGACTCGTTTCCTTTGAACCGCTGTCAGATAGCTATGGCTCCGAGGAACCCTCGAATGCCCCCGCCAAAACTTTCTCTGGACATCGAGCCGCCATTACTGCCCTTGCTTGTGGACATTCCCTCATCTCCACCAACTTTGCAGTATCAGCCTCCGATGACGGCACTTGCTACATTTGGCATATCTCAAGCTGTCAGGCTCTTCGGACGCTGTTGTTGCCGTCGCTCCCGGTGTCCATCACCCTTGACCCAGCAGATCGAGCAATCTACTTTGGATGCAACGATGGGCGGATTCAAGCGTGGAATATTTTCATGCATGCAGCAAAATCGAATGTGCCTCTGGCCGGCTCTTCGCAGCTCCCACCCATACAGCTTCTGGAGAAGGACAGCTGGTCAGCGCCGTCCGCAGACCTCGGATCGGCGAATTGCCTGACCATCTCATACGACGGGACATCTCTACTGTCCGGACACGCCAACGGGGCCATCATTCGCTGGGACGTGGCCAAACATCGCATCCTCAACGAAATAGCAAACCTGGGGCAACCTGTCACGAACATTTCGATGCTCAATCCCGAAGGATTTCCAAATCAGAGGGGGCCCAAATATGTCATCCCACAAGTCATCAAGCCAAATCTCGAATTTGCGTCCACGAGAAATAATGGTACGTGCGGTGTTCCTGCCACATACAGCCACCATGTCATGATCACGAACTCGATGCCTGAATCAGAGCACGATGAGTTTGAGCTCGCTCTCACTGGCCCCGGTATCTCGCAGACCATGCTCGATGCAGCCGTTCCTTCTCTCACTATGGGGAGTGCTCCGCAAGCACTGCCCTCCACGGACATCACCGCTCTCGCAAAGACGGAAAGGCTAGAGGAGGAGATCACAAAGCTTAAGGAGCAACTCGCTGCAATACACAATGTCGAAGAGAAACGCAAAGCTAGAAAGTTGGCTAGAATCGCAAAGCGTGACGAGCTGGGCATGAAGAAGCGGGAAGCATACTTCGAGGCCAAGAAGCTAGGAAAGGATGGAGATGCAGCGATGAAGGGTTGGGAGCAGAAGGAGGCCGAGGTGGATGAAGAGAGTGATGAAGAAGCGCTGGAGGATGCTGATCAGATGGATATCAGCTGAGGTTGCCAGACGGGATCAATCCACAGTCGCATTTAAACATTGAACGCACCAAGCCGCAACGAGATCTCTGCGAAAACACCTCCGAGCAACCCCCTGCAGATCACTCCACAGCCGTCGTTGTAGATGGCACCCTTGGGGGAGATACTCCTCGATTAATCCTCACATGACAGGCATGCTCCTGGACGAGAACCCTCGACATGCCGTTCTGCGGTAAAGGCCTTCGCCCGTTGCATCCAGCGCAAAGCCGTTGATCATGACCGTGCTCGGACTCTGGCTGGGCCATTGCCCTTGCCCCTAGATATACCCCTAGGATGGTCCGTCCTTCCGGTCCGGTGTCCTAATACCAGACTCGGTCCTTTATCCCTCTCTGTCAAGGGGTTGCCTTACAGATGAGAGGAGCCGCAGTCGCTTCTTTGCCACTCGGCAGGACTGCGTTCTTGGTAGCGTCCTCCACCGCTTCATTTACACGGCCAGTGATCCCGACGGGATATCGATACTACCACGGGGGGAACAAATCCAGCTTCCAGATCGTCCAACTCTTCTTCCCGCACCACCTGGTGTCTCGCTTGCTCACAAGCCGATGGACTGTGTCCCGCGCACGAGCCAGCTGCGCCGTGCCTCGTACCACAGACTCAGCTCTTGGCATATCAACGGACCAGGAACTGGGCCCTTACGGCAATGGTACTGCTCTGCCTCGATACAGATTATCCCGGGGCGGACTGTGTTCTCAATCGGTCGCCAGAGATTCAGGCTCCGCGATGAACCATGTCTTGGGAAGCAGTGGAGGGCTGTCTTGACATTTCCGCCCTTAAGGACCTGTCCTGGATATATACATGAAATCATTGCTTCTTCCCAGCCCGTGAGGACCCTGTCTTGGGGATCAATCATTTCTTCTACCCAGGATGGATCTGCTACCCTCAGTGCACCTTTTACCCGTGAGGACCTGTCTGGGATACATATCATTGCTTGTTCCCAGGATGGACGCTCTACTCCTCTCAGTGCATCTTTCACCCGCTCTGCTCAACACAACCCACCAAGCGTACACCCCTACAACACTTTCCATCAAAGGCAGCAGTTTTACCATTTGCTCGCCTCATGTCGCGCAACAATACATCAGATACCTCCACTTTGTAACATCTCCAATGTGTGACAAACGCGTTCTCAGGAGCGACCTAGATTCCTCGCTCACGTCCTTTAGTTGGGTCATCCTTCTGACGACCGTCTTGGTAGACCTGGCGGGAGACGTCTTCTTCGTACTGGCACTCAGTATCTGCCTTCTAGTCTGGCATACACGCACAACCAAAGCAACATCGACCATCCACAAGCAGGAGGAAGAAGCAGCAGACGACATTACTAGCGTCGTTCCTGCCGCCGACTTCACGCAGACCACCGACAATGACTTCGAGGAAGCCATGATGAGGAATCCCATCGTGCGCCCGTCTGCAGGGCCGGAAGCACCAAGCGAAAGTATCATCCAAGCCTCGGACATCTCCTCCAGAAAGCCAGCCGTGGATGCATGGAGGGAATCAACCCGTCCCTGCAACTCGGCAAACGTGCAAGCATCGGACGTCTCCTCCAGGAAGGTAATAGTAGACGCGTTCCAGGTATCGATACGTCCCAGCGACTCGGCGAACGTGAGGAGGAGAACAATTCTCGATCACTCCCACTATCTGCCAGCAGGGCATGCCGACTGCTTCAATCGATCGTTCAACCTTCTCACCAGCGGCGCGGAACCCCTGATGATGGCGGAAACGCTGCCATTGAATTCTTGCGTCTCGAGGAGCGGGACATGCCCGCTGCTAGGACGACTGGATAGAGCCCGTACCCACCAGCAAAACGCAGAGGAGCAGCAAGATGATTTTGAGGACGAAGGCGAAATTTGTGGTTGGACTGTGGTATAACACACCATTTTTTGTCAAGTCTGGACACCGCCGATACAAGACAATTGAGACAACAGCTCGCGCTCTGATCAGTGTATCAGGCTGTTTGTACGAGAAAATCGGAATAGGCAAAGAAGCCTTCTTACGCCTATGACATTCCTATTTGTGCGAGTCTGATGAACACCCGGACGTAAACGGTGAAGCTCGAAGCAATGAGCTGTCCGCGGTAGACCCAGCCGATCAAGGCTTCCATCGAGCTCTCCGCTTTCGGGCTGCTTTGCCAGACTTCCGGCAATACCAAATCGCCTGGCTCGCAGGAAGCTTCAACTGTTGTGCTCGCAGAATCTCTGTGGATGAGAGGCCAGATGCCGCTATGAATGAGTCGATATGCAGCAAAATCGCGTTGAGACGACGCATTCGAGTGGCCGGAGGTCGAATGGGCAGAGGCGGGATCCGTAGAAGTCTCAGACAGTGGCGGACTCTTCAATTCTGATGGCGAAAATATGGGAGTGGATCCCGTCTGACGGTGGAGTCCGCATTCTTCGATGAACAGAGTATACAGGTGGAGATCTTCCTGGCACTGTACCCATTCCGACGACAAGCCTGGCTCGGCCCGGTTGAGCTCTCTGAAGGATCCTCTAGCCTCCAACATGAACCGCCGCAAGCTGGCGATGGTATGTGAAGGGCTCTGTCGAAGCCAGTGGGTGAATGTCTGCACTCCGGAAAGGCATAGTTCCTCGGACATCGTGAACATGGTAGCTATTTGTTGAAGGACCGAGTGGCCGTGAGAGCTTCTGAGTTCTTCGTACAACTGCTTGTTTTCTCGTAAAAGCGTGATTCCCAAGGCTGAGGCAGAGTAGATTGTGCGCTCTTGCGCGGGGACGCCGAAATTTCTGAGGGTTTGGTCAACGAAAACATCTGGGAAGAACTCGAGAGATGGATAGCTCGCGCTGACTTCGTCTGCGGTATCCTCTGGAGAGACTGAAGGCAGTGGTAATTGCTGTGCTGCAGAGCGCGCTGCCCAACCGGAAAGACCAAACATGTTGCCATTGGCGACTGACGCAGCTTTGAGCTGTAGATATATACGTGTCAGATGACGCCGGACTGATCTGACGACGTTGACTTGGCTACGGTAACTCACCAAGATAATAGAAGTTTGGGTAGTGCCCCCGTCGACAGCGCTTTGCGGCTCGCTTGTACAACAAGGAGGCACCTATCATGACAAATGGCAACCATCAGCCCCAGCTCGAACTTGAGTTGTAAAGAGACAGAGAGCATGCGACCAGCACTTGGGAGCACTGACTCAACGTATTTGGCCATTGGAAACGTATTAACTTCAAAGGCCAAGAACCTTTCTCGGCCAACTGCTCGATATTTATTTTCCACGAGACCGAGAAGTTTCTACGGTGGCCTAGTCAAGGAATAAATCGTGTGCGCCCTGCTGACGCTCGATGCGACGCAGAGATGTGGCTCACGGGAGGACATACAACCCGAGTGCTGGACTGGATGCGTTCTACCGCACTGCGGTTATGCTGCTTCACGATTAGCTCAGCCGGGCGATGGGCGAGTGCGGTGGTCCTGCCTACTGAAGGCTTTCTTCGCTTTGCGATGCGCATGGACTGCATTCCATGATTCGCATCCAATGTGGACTGGTAGCTCGGAAAGGCAGGTGCTTTGGTCCAATCTTGCCGGCGTCTGGCACCAGTCGAGGCCACGCCTGACATTTTGCGATGTCGGATGGCTGAAGCCGGTGCATATACGGTGAGCGAATCGTGCTCACTGTGCGAAAGTGATGGTGAGGGAAGGGCGATGTAGAGATGGACAGAGACGTGGTGGCTCGTGGAGATTCGAGTGCATTTATATGCGCTGCTGTACGGGCCTTTCCGGTAAAATGTCAGGCAGGTGGCGCTGTGCACCGACGGCTGGGTTTCAAAAACGGCATTACTCGAAAGAGAAATGCCAAGGGAAGTTAGGCATTGCTTTGATCAAGTGAGCCCAACAGGAATGGACCTCGGCGTGATCGGCTTCATGCGCCTTGCAGTCGAAGGCAATCAACATGCTTGAGACAACAATGGAAGAGTCAAGTAGTGTACGGTGCGTTGGCATGGGGCGGCTCAAGATCGCCCAGCAAGGCTTGCTATGATGGATTTTGGAACAGTAGAAATGCCTTCTGGAGGAATACCATACACATATATAGCAGGACACAATCGCAGCTCCCCAATCCAAGTCATCAGGCCCCCTCGCGACTTCCTTGACGCCTGTCGACCGTCTCCGAAAGAATCAACGCATTTGCCTGTAGGCCTGTATCAGGACCTTACCAGACACAGACACAGCCTTGATCACACACGCCCTTGGTGCACACCAGGAATGTTGCAGCTTTTACAACTGTCTCACAGCCCTGTCACTCGTATCCCTCCTCTCAGCCCATGCACCATGAGACTTGAACCAGAACTTTGAGGGCCTCAGAGATTCGCGGTTAGGCCCGGCGAGATCTTCTCCAAAATGTCACTCAACGCCTGCCAGACTTTCTGACTGGCCGCCTCTCCGTCCTTACTCCTCACAAAGGGCGATAGTGCGCTCTCGTCAACCTTCCCGTCATGCATGTACTTCCCGTGGCTCTCCGGCCCGGCCGCGGCAGAAGCGACGAGCGTGCGACTCCCCACCTCTGTGCGGCGCGCGAGGAAGAATTTCAGGACCTCCAGGAAGAGAGGCCCGTCTCTGCTCAATTCGCTGTGGCAGAGGCCCGGGTTAAGGATGTTAAGCGTGACGCCCGAACTGGCCAGTTTCGGAGCCAACTGCTTGACGACAAGCACCTCGAGGAGTTTGCTGGTTGGATAGCGCTCGCCCATGTTTGCGGTCTTTTCGCCGTCAAGGGTCGGGAAGATCTGGTCGGTCGGTTGCTTCCCCTCGGGGAATTTGGTCCATCCGTGCACTTCGCTGGACACGATCGTCAGGCGCGGTGAGGTGTTGAACTGCCTTGCCGTGGCCTTGAGCTTTGGCAGGAGGAGCAGGGCGAGCAGGAACGTGCTGATGACGTTGACGGTGATTGTGCGTTCATGGCCTTCGGCCTGCGAGTACTTTGCGGCGGCGATGCCTGCATTCTCCAGCAGGACGTCAATCCGTTGTAGCTTGGAGGCGCGATCCGCGAAGGCCTTGACCGAGTCGTATGAAGACAGATCGAGTGACCACACTTCGATGACCGAGGGGTCACATCCCGTCGTTGATTCAATATTCTTCTTGGCGTCTTCGCCGGCTTTGGTGTTTCGGACGGCAAGGATCAGTTTACTGGTGCCTAGGCGGGCGATGTGCCGCGCTGCCTCTTTTCCCAAACCCGTGTTCGAGCCCGTGACAATGACGGTTTCTCCGGCGAAGGAGCGCGTCGGATAAGCTGGAGTGACGAAGAGTTGAGAGTAAAGGAATCCCATCGCGAAGGTAGAATGCGTGGTTGTAGAGTCAGGAGCGAAAACGAGGAGACAGAAATGTTGTTTCGAAAACACTTGCCGGTGAACTTACACAGTGCACTGGCTGCGAAGGCGAACTTCACTGCCTCTTATAAAACCCTTTACATCAATCCACGCAGGGCGAATGTCCCTCCGCGCGCACCACGAAACCGGTATCCTTTAACACCGAGGTACTGTAGCACAACTGTAGCGCAAACTTTGGGCCCGCGCCGTGCATTGCTTGCCCTTGTACAGGGCTCCCGATCCCAGCGGGCGCCGCTTGGCGCAGAGCCGACTGTCGTCAACACATGATGACAGAGCAGCATTTCGAGCGAAAATTGACTGGGGCCAACTGTCGATTGGAAGAACGCTATGTCCGTTGTGCTATTCCAGGTCCGGCGATACTCTGCGAACTTTGGTCTCGTCATGATACAAGACGTGCGCGCTACTTGTCGAAGGAGCTCTATGGGACCCTGCAGGCATGGCGCCGAGCGGTCCTATCATTGATGCCGGCGGCTTCGGATTTAACTGTAACAACCTCCGTTACCCAAACCTTAGGAGCTTCTAAACCTGCCTAGAAAAGATTCGTGTCGGATGAAATTGCAGCCGAGTTGTTTTGGCCGCAACTCTTTGGTGGTGCACTTGATACTGCATTTGGCGACGCCTAGATAGTAGAAGAGATGAGAATCGCACCGAAGAGGTTTCGCGATTCGATGAGGCTGAATATCTTGATGGGACGAGGGATCCTGTACTAGCACTGATCGTAGGAGGCTCAGATTCGATCACTACACAGTACTCCGTACTGTGTACGCTTTTAACCCAGTGTCGTCCATCCAAGAGGAATGCAGCAAAGTTGGTGGACAGCGCGGTAGACATGCAAAACATCAATCACACATACGAGGGATGCATCGTTGCTGATGCGAAAAGTATATCATTCTTGACATCGTATTGTCTGGCTGCAATGGCCGGCTCCAGGTGCGAGGCTGTATCGGCCTACCATATTGCAGGCCCGAATTGGACTCGAGGTCGCTGCGACGGCACTCCGTCGATGCAAGCTGACTACGGCGATACTCTATCTTGGCCGTCCTGTTGACATCCGGTCGCCACAGGCACATTTCAAGAGGGTGATTATGTGTCTTTATTGGCCGTAGATGTAGCATTCGAGAGATATGCCTGCGAAAATGTCCTCTGATTGCCAAATGAGATCATGCCTTCGCAGCACCGGCCTTGATGAGGATAATATCTCCGTCTTCGACGACTGCAGCACGGTTGTGAGTATTCAGCTCAGCTCAAGAGGGGATCGAGACTCACCATAGTCCTTGCCCTTGGTCATGACCTTCCCAGCCGCCCTCGTGGCGTTTTCGTCTCCATATTCCCGCAACGTCTCATAGTTGTACACGATACACTGGATAAACGTCTTCTCAAAGTCTGTGTGGATGACACCAGCTGCCTGCGGTGCTTTCGTGCCCTTTCGTATTGTCCACTGTCTGACCTCGTCCGTGCCGGTGGTGAAGAAACTGGCCAGGTTTAGCGCCTGTCGCATGGTGACAATCACCTTTGGAAGTGCGGATTTCGTGTTAAGTTTTTTGTATTCTTCAGCAGCTTCCTCGTCGGACATGACGGCAATACGTTCTTCAAAGGATACGGAGATGGGGATGACAGGGTCGCCAGGGGAATTGGTCTTGATCCATTCCATGACTTTAGGGAGATATTTATTCTTTTGGCGGATGTAGTCCTTTTCTGAGAGGTTGATGAGGTAGACCACCGGTTTTGCCGTGAGTAGGAAGAGTGGGTTAATGACTTCAATCTAGAACCAAGGGTCAGCATGATCGGTACAGTAGGAATAACGTGCAATTGATATGACATCTTGGACATTTCAGGGTTGGACTTCCTCTCATAACAGCCTCGAACGTGAAATTTGGTGAGGCTGCTGTCGACGAGCTGGGATTATGTCGAGCGTATAGCTCTTGTTCATCATGTAAAGACGAGTAAGAAATTGGACGACTGCTCACCTCTTTAGGACCCCAGTCAGCCTTCCTCACGTCCTTGCCGTCTTTCAACAGCTGCAAGATCTTGTCAACGGTGGCTTCTTCTTCCTTCAGCTTCTTCATCTCGAGACTCTGACCACCTCTTCTCGTCTGTTTGGAGAGGTTCTCTTTGGCCTTTTCAACGAACTCGATGTCCTTCAACCGCAGCTCTTCCGAGATGATGTCCAAGTCTCGAGTCGGATTGACATCCCCTTCGACGTGGATAATTTCGGCATCGTCGAAACATCGCACGACTTGGAAGATCGCATCGACGGCTCTGATATGTGACAAAAACGCGTTGCCCAGACCAGCACCCGTCGATGATCCACGAGTCAGCCCAGCAATGTCGTAGACTGTCAGGTTTGCGGGGACTTGTGATTTGGGCTTGTAGTGTTCACAGAGCCAGTCATAACGGGCATCGGGGACGATAACTCGGGCCTCTTCAGGATCAATCGTCGCATAAGGAAAGTTTGCAGGGTTTCCTAGTGAGCACTTTGTGATGGCTTGGAAGAGGGTTGATTTGCCAACATTGGCCAGGCCGACCTATTGACCTTGTCAGCCATGGACAGACAACGTCTGTGTGTGGGAGCTGCCTACATACGATACCACTCTTCAGGTTGTTGCCGGGCCTCCCTAGCAGAATCTTCTTCTCCTCGACAGCCTTCTTGGGAGGCATCTTCTTTTTCGCGTACCCTCGTTTCTGCAAGAGACAGGACGGAGCCCTGATTGTGATTGCACGAAGAGCAGATTGTGAGCCAGGCTCAAGTGCAGATCCGGCTGCAAAAATTGAAAGACGGAGTGGAGAAGTGAAAATCGTCGAGAAGAGTAAGGAGGAAATGGTGAAAGTCGCCGACTCGACTCGAGAGCTGTATGCGCTCGAGATCTTTGCGGCAAGTAGCCCGTTAAATGTCTTGCAAGATTCTTGCTGTCAATGAGTCTGAACTTTTCGACACGTGCAACGAGGGAAGATAAACGCCAAGACAAATGTAGACAGTCACGTGATAGTAAATCGACCCCCACCAACTAAGAATGCTGGACTGACGAGGTACTTACTCCGTAGAAGCTCATCACTTGCAAGCGAAGCCGACTATTCAACCTTCAGAAGCACAACTCGGGTCGGGATTTCAGCCCCTTCTGCAGAAGGACAGCATGAATCTATGCCGGTCGCACTCCTCCGGGGGGTTAGCCCCTGACTATGCGTGAGAAGACTGGACTACCTCATCAAAAGAATGGAACCTACCGCATGTCGTCTGGCGACCAAATCATCACGCTTGGGCTTCTCAGAACCGGATGCTTGATCGCTAATGCCGGACATTCGACTTACGTGGATGGCTTAATTACTGGGCCACCTCAATGAGCTTTGGCTGACACGACCGGAGAGTGGGTATGTGAAAGTAGAATTGCCTGATGCGGAAGCCCGAGATCCCCCTGGTCACTATCAAGGTGGTGGAAAGCAAGACAGAAGTCTTCTCTGTTGAGTCTGTCAGATGTGCTTTTCGTCAATGACAGCATATTGTCATCAGAGTCGCATTGGTCCCGTTGATTTCGAAGCAGACTTTACTCTCCTTCTGGTCAGGGCTGCCTTTTCTGGAGTGCACTGTCCAGCCCTCCATAGCACTCCTCTTTCCTCTCCGTCCGTCCAATACTCATAGCATGCTCGACAACTCCTTCTCCTTCGCCACAAGGTCCTTCTGTGCTTCCCAGACTCTATCCCAGATCAGCATGCCCCGCTCCCACAACTCATCCTCATGATCCTCGTGCGCGTTACCCTGGGAGTCAATCCATCGGAGATATCTCTCTCCCTTGATCCCTCCTCCTACGGTTGCATCCTCGCCGTACAGGAATCGTCCGAAAGGCTCCACGACGTTCTTGAGAATCTGCTTGTCCTGCTCGGTAAAGTCGGCGCGCCATCCACTGCCCCACCAGATTGGCGCGTCGAGGCCATGGCACACGCCCACGTGCGCGGAGATCCATTTGTCGAGGTTCTTCGCGCGCCAGGAGATGCGATACCTGTGGACTCTGTTCCTTGGGAGTCCCTCGACACCGGGCCGCTGAGGAGGGTTCAACAAGGTGTGCGTGAGGCCACGGAGCGAGGCGTGGACTTGGCCGTCCGCCACGATTTGGCTGAATACTTCTGCCCACTTCGCGGCGTCTGCATCCTTGGCTGCCGGGATGGAGTAGAGCGATAGCAGAGCTTTGACGACATGCTGTGGGTAGTAGTTCCCCAGCTGCGTCAGTAGACCTTGATACGTGGAAGGCGGGTTGACGATCTTGTACAGCTCCTTCTCGTCGCTGACTTCGCCGAGGAAGACAGAGATGTTGTTCTGCGCCAGCTGGGTCGTGAAGGTGCCACTGTGCAAGGAGGACAGAAACGTCGAGTTAATGAAGCAATCTTCTGTGGAGGAGCGGAAGGTGTGCATTTTCATCTTGGCGAGCGCCGCAATCAGATCTTGAGACGGAATTTGGCGGAGCCGATCAAGCTTCTCCCGTGGCGAGGATTCTGCCGCAATATCGAAGATTGCGCATAAGTCATTGAATTGCTGCGTCAGCACCGGAGACGTGGTCGGATTGGGTTGTATTGCAACGGCGTTGGACCACAGGTATATTCTTTTGACGAGGCGCTTCTCGCGAGGTAGCTGTGTGTCGTAGTTCAGCTGGAAGAACGTGCTATTCGCGCCTGCGGAAAGGCCTCCCACCGTGATGTTGCCGGGATCGCCGCCGAATAGCTGGATGTTTTTGCCAACCCATTCCAATGCAGCACGTTGATCCCAGAGGCCGAAGTTTGACGGCGAGGGATCTTCATGGAGACTGGCGAGTTCGGCACCAGCAAGGAAGCCAAAGAGGTTGAGTCGATACGTCGGGCTGACGATGATTCGGGGCCTCGTGTTCGCGAGCAGGTCAAATGGGTCGTGGTCCTCCTGTTGGAGGGCGTCGCCGATCTGGAGCCAGCCACCGTGAATGTGAAATTGAACAGGCCAGCCCTTCTTGTCTGGTGGAGCGGAGGCGGGCACCCAGATGTTCAGATACAAACAGTCCTCGTCCTGGATGTTGTCTACAGGTGGGGCCGCATTCGGGTTGGTGAGCATGATCGAGCCATGGTCATAGTGTGGTTGGGGACAGATAGGGCCAAACCGCGTATAGTCCCCCGGTGCCCCTTGGGGATTATTGAACGTGAATTCCTTGGGTAATGGCTGGGGCTGACGCCAGCGGCGTGCACCTGTGGGTGGAAGAGCGTACGGGACTTTGGTAAAGCGATAGAGGATGGTTTTGCCCGAGAGATCCCGTTGTTCGAGACCTTTGAGAGAGCCTCGTGGAGTCTGAAGAATATAGTCATGAGCTGTCGATTCGGCCGGCCGCATCTTGAAGGCGTAAGAAGAGCCTGATAGTCCTTCTTTTGTCGCAAGTTCTTGTTCCAGACGGAGGCTTGAAGCCGGCCAATAATTACTTTATATTGTTCTCACGAACGGGCAGTAGGGAGATGAAAAGCCTTGACTTCCAATGAGTTTGCGAAATGAGAGCACTGGTGCGAATCAAACTCAATGGCACGAAAAGCAATTGGCCCTGTCCTTTTGCAGAAGCTGGTTCATTGACTTCCCATCCATTATTGGTTGGGGAGAGGACGACCGTCGTTGATCTCCACCGGGGATTTATCTATGCCCGCCCATCGCGGGGAGCGGAGGACTTCCGCCGGCATCAAGCCTGAGGCGGAGGCAGAGGCAGAAGCCGAGGCCGTCGAAGGACGATGGGTCAGGGCTAGACTCTCTCCCAAAAGAACCGCGCAATAACTTTGAATGGCTACCCTATTGTCCGGGGTATAACCGGGTGTAGCACTTGCCTCACCAATATCGCAATCCTTCACGCATGACCATCGACCTCGTCGGTGTATCTTCCCTCGATCTCCTCCTCATCGCCATCTTCGTCTTCGTGTAACATGCCTCCCAAGCCAGCCTCGTCTCCACCAACCGTATTTGAGCGTTCTTTGGGATGCCTCATGAAATGACTCGCGATGCTCATAACAAGTGGTGAGAAACCATGAACCATGATAGAAGAAAACACCACACCGCAAACGACAGGCCAGACAGTGTCTATGGCTTCCCGGTGACCACTGTGCTTTGGCGGATGCGGCAATGGCTCGGATGTACCTGTCTCTAACCGTGCCCGGGCCTCGATAGAAAGGAACAGCGCCCCTACCCCTATCGGTCCAAAATGTCCTGCGAAGACTGCTTCTCCGTACGTTTTGACATCTGGGATGAATCTTTTCAGTGCGAGCATCGCTGGCAGACGCCTCAGCAGCAGGATCAACACCACGGATAACAGCAACCTTCCCGGTGCGAGGTTATCTTTGTACATCTGCCAGGGGATGATGGAGCCAAAGTAGACGAACATGGTGGAGTTGAGCATGAGGTCAAGGATGCTTGGAAGTTTCATTCTTGCTGTTCTTGAAGAAAACCATCCATCCCAGCAGAACGCGGTTCCGGCACTGAAGCAAACGAGGAAGTCGTCGAGACCGAGAGTACTTCCAACGCCGACACAGAGCACGGCAAGAAGAAAGTAAAACACAAACAGCGTTGACTCTTGCACGTAGCCGCGATCTTCGCTGAATCGGAGCGTCCGCCTCGCAGCGAGGCCGATGATAATGCCGAAAACAACGCCTGTCAGACACTGCCAAAGAAGAACATCGGTAATGAACATTCTGACTCCTTGTCCGGCGGATTTGGCTATGGCGACATATAGGGCCGCGTACAAAAATGGGAATGCCGTGCCATCGTTCGAACCAGATTCTGCGGATAAAAGGTGTCGGATTCGCTGGGGGACTCTCTGCGAGAACTTTGCCTCAGCAATAACACTTGATGACAACACTGGATCTGTCGGAGTCAGGCAGGCGCCCACTATCAGGGCGGTTACCCATGTAGTCTTGAGCACAAAGTGAACGATGAGGGCTGAAATGATCCAGCCGGCGGTCATTGTCGGACCCAAGAGCACAGCAATACTCCGCTGATGATGCTTTGGATACTTTGCCGGCAACGCTATGCCAACGGCAAAACATTGTACACCAGTAATGATTCGTGCAAGTTCATGTGTGATATTGTCCTCCCATCCCCATTTTGACACTGGGTCAAGTATTCTGGCGCCTTGAGGCCCGGCGAAGACGCCCGCAAGAGTCGCTAGAGGTGGTTCGGAGAGATGAGCTCGATTTCGGATGAGTTCTGAAAACAAGGCGTAGAGAATGAGGAAGAATGCAAGATAGAGGTATGTCAGATGGGGAGTGCTTGGCTCGATTTGAGGCCAGGCCATGGTGAATATCCCTGGATCGGCCTTTGCTTCAACCCGTACTTAGCACGCATCCAAGGCCCAGGATGCCAGTCTTGGAAGTGTGTTTGTCTCAAATATAGCTTAGAATTCAATTGACGTCCGGGATGTTGAGCCTGATTGCACACGTCATTGGTTCCTGCGTCATGGATGCGTCGAGGATTTTGATGGGTGAGCGGGATGAGATCACGATGCTCCAAGAGCCACAAGCACCTCCCTCGTAACAAGCACGCAAGCAGCTAAGTTGGGTGACAAGCCAGTCGTGCTAGTATGGCTGGGTTCGGCAGTCTGATGGCTCCGGCCTTAAAACCACCTGCGTCTTACTGTGTATCTGCATAGGTCCACGGCGTAGCGTGGTAAAGCAGTGCCGTCTATTGATTGCTCATTCGGAACCCGCTCTTGCTTGATGAGCTGTGCTTGCATACCTACGAGTACTCGAGCGAGGAAGAGCTGCACAACAATGGGAAACTACAATCTGTACCTGCGGCTTTCCGGCAATGGCGACATTGAGATCAACCGCGATGTTTATGTGATGGATGATCAGTCAGGCTAAAGATTCTGGACCGGCAAGGCCCCAGCTAGATTATGGCGATCAGGACTACTTGAAACAACTCCGAGAATCGCGCCCCAAGCATCGTCGGTTTGGACACAAGCCTCGACTCCAAGCAAACAACGTTGGTCCTGTGCCCTCTGTGCCCTCCGAGAAGCTGTTTGTCAGTGTGATCGGATATAAGTGGCAGAGATGGGCATGACCAAAAGTTGTCGTTGGATTGGTACCGAAATAGCTCAATCATACCGTCGAGGATAGGTCATGTAGTATCTGCTGATGAGGGCATGTGGTCAGGCCGGTATGGACGTGGACAAGGGTCTTACACTGCTAGGTACCAAATGGGAGCGTGTGCCTCAGGAATCGATCTGAACCAAACTCATCTGTCATTTGTTCATGCTCAGAGATAAATCACTCTCAATGGCCAATAGAGCAGAAGTATTGTACATGATAGGGGATTTAAGGAGCAGATGCCCAACGGATGAGGCAAACAGCTCCTGCAGAGCCACAACAGCAGCTGTCTCTTAGAGGGGCATCCGAGACGCGATGATACTCCGTACGATTGCACGAATTCTCAGACAGCGGAGGTTGTTAGGGGCCATGGGTGAGGCCTAGAGTGAAATCTGCTGGGCTTCGGTTCAGGGCGTGGAGGCTCAATGGCAGCCACCAGCAAGGACGTGGTTCGCCTGGACCGCAAAGGCAACCAAGCTTCACTGCAGTCGTCACTTCCATCGAGGTCCTGAGTTTGAGCCGAGGAGCATTCAAGAATACACAGTTGTGACGACGAGGCGGTGGTGAATTGTCGATGAGGCAGGACGGGTGACATTGTCAGTTGAGTGAAAGGGCGGGCCGGCAGGCTTGAAAAGTGGCACTGCCCCTCTGCTTTAGTGGCCGCGGCGCCTCCATTGGTTTAGGCCTGAGACTCGCTTGCCGGCCTGCTTGTGACCTTGCGACCTTCCCTCATTTCGCTCGTTCCTCGATCCTCGATCCTCCCTTGCTACCTCAACTCTCGTCTTCCTCGTCCCACCATCACCTCTCCTTGCAGCCAGCCAGCCTGCATTCTATCTCAAGGTCTCTGTTTTGATCTGCTCGGAGACCTGTGAGTGTTCGACTCACCTGTCGTCGAGCACTTCAACCGATTGAGCCCTTTGACAATCTCTGCACCAGGTTAGTCATCGTCTATCTGTCGTTCCCGCCTTTGCCCGCTTGGCTCGCCTTTCGACACCGCCCATACCGAACCTGCCTTCCTTTCGCTTCACCTCTCCTTCAGTCAGTACCTACTATCCTGATCCGCAGTTTCTTTTACCGCTCTGTACCTTCAACTTCGAGGGACCAGCTGTCTTTCGCTGTCCAAAGCATCAAGTGCTAGGGAACGGCTTGTGCTAACAAAGGTGACAACAGGCTGAGACCGCCATAATCACCTCCACCGTCACCGCAACCTCCTCGCCTACCGCACTTTTCCGTCATCCGCATCCCTATCGAAACCATACTGCAGCTTCGTAGCTGCCCAATAATTCCATCACTATGACGACCATGGTATGTAAGAGCCTGAACGACGGGTTATGGATTTGAGATACGGCTGCCGAAAACTCGCTCGTCGCTTGGACTCTCATACTGTCCTGAAGGATATGAGGGTTCCTCTTGCTGACGGACTGTGCAGGATTTGCGTGTTGGGAACAAGTACCGGATTGGTCGAAAGATCGGCAGTGGTAGTTTCGGAGATATCTACTTGGGCACCAACATCATCTCAGGCGAAGAAATCGCTATCAAACTCGAATCGGTCAAGGCCAAGCACCCTCAGCTGGAGTACGAAGCCCGTGTCTACAAGTCCCTGGCTGGTGGTGTCGGCATCCCCTTCGTTCGCTGGTTTGGCACAGAATGTGACTACAACGCAATGGTGCTCGACCTGCTCGGCCCCAGTTTGGAAGATCTGTTCAACTTCTGCAACCGCAAATTCTCCTTGAAGACTGTCCTTTTGTTGGCCGACCAGCTCATTTCCCGCATCGAGTACATCCATGCCAAGTCTTTCATCCACCGCGATATCAAGCCTGACAACTTCCTGATGGGCATCGGCAAGAGAGGGAACCAGGTCAATGTCATCGACTTCGGTCTGGCCAAGAAATACCGTGACCCAAAGACTCACTTCCACATTCCATACCGCGAGAACAAGAACTTGACTGGCACGGCCCGATATGCGTCTATCAACACGCATTTGGGAGTTGAGCAGTCCCGTCGAGACGATATGGAGTCCTTGGGCTATGTCATGCTCTACTTCTGCCGTGGGTCTCTTCCATGGCAAGGCCTCAAGGCTGCCACTAAGAAGCAGAAGTACGATCGTATCATGGAGAAGAAGATGACCACTCCGACCGAGGTCCTTTGCCGCGGGTTCCCCAACGAATTCGCCATCTACCTCAACTACACCCGTTCCCTCCGTTTCGATGACAAGCCGGATTACTCCTACCTGAGAAAGATCTTCCGCGACCTGTTTGTCCGAGAGTCCTTCCAATACGATTATGTCTTCGATTGGACCGTTTACAAATATCAGAAGAACGCCCAGGCCATTGCCCAAGCTGCTGGCAACCAGAACGCCCAGGAGGACGAGGACAAGCCACGTCGTGGTGCTCATCCTGCCACGGCAGCAGCCACCGGCGCTCCAACTCCGCAGCACACCTCGCAAGCCGGCAAGCCTGCTGCTATCTCCAGCTCCAGGCGCAAGGTCATCGAGCGCGGCGCCAGCGGCAACGACCAGAATGGAAGTGACAGGATGTGAGTACTTGAAACCTATGGTTCCCATGTAAGGGATCTCCTCTGCGTTTTGCTTCGGTTTGCGTGGAGATTTATATGACACCTGGCTAATCACTACTTTTCGCCCCTTAGGCTTCGTTCCGGTACGAGGATGACCGGTGGCAACGGCGATTATCGTTGAAACGGAATGATTGCATGACCTCGTTCCTTCAACCTCCTGTCAAGACGACCTCTCGTCTTCGACAAACAAACAATGGGCATGTCGGATCCGGCGCGGGGTTTGCTCTAGCACATGGCAAATCCGGAATGGGACTCAGGGGACAACGCACAACTTTTATCTGATGGCTTACTCGGCTCAACCCGACATGCGATACTTGAACGATTACCAATGACTTTATGGAGTCAGCCAACAACTATCACGAGCACGTCTGCATGCCACATCAGAGTTCAGGGAAGTTAGCGTCATACAACGAACAGCAACTCAGATGCTGCCCGTGCACCAGGATCTGGCCTCAAGCTTGATCTGGACAGCCAGCCCTGCTGCATGAGGATCAGAAGTACTACCTCGACATGAAAGCTACCTCATCCTCATCACCGACTCTCCTCACACGACACCGGCACGTTTTCCTTTCTCGTCTTGGCTTCGTTAAAATGCTGAACATTTGAGTCCTGGATCATTGCAAAAAGGGGACGCCCAGAGGATATGCAGCGAAGCTCAAGAAGCACAGGCAACCCACGCCCTGCAAAGTTGCGGCAGGGTTGGAGCGCGTGGTAGCAAGCAAGGAGGGAAGGACGGCGAAGGATTTGTTAGGGGCGGCTTCTGGGGAAGAATATGACCAGTAACTCATTGCGTTTGCTGAAGCAACATAATTAGTGACCGGCAAGGAAGTCTTTTGTGGCTCGACCAGCTAGTCCATCAATATCACTCAATGTGCTACAAAAACCCTGGCTTTCCTACTGACTTTGAGCCACATCAGAGTGGGGATAATGGGGAAAGTCCCTGTGGTGAGCTTCGACTAAGAAAGTTCATAATTAGTACATAGAGCGCTTCGATCTGCGGGACGGACAGGCGCCACTGATGTGCCCGGGCGCGTCGAGCTCGACGTCTTGTGGATGACAGCGGCACGAACGCAACGAAGCGAAAGATCGGACGGTTGTATGGACAGCAAGAACGGACACTCGTACGGTGTACTCCCTCCCCTACAACTCGTAGATCTGGCCTCCATTCCACCTGTATCTGTTCGTACCACCATTTGTAAATGCACCTATCCCGACCCCCTGGCTCAAACTGTCTCGCTTGCCAATATTCGATTGGCTTGAATTTCCCCGGCACGGCTAGACCGGGTGTTGGCGCCAGGAGTTGGAGTTGAGGAGTCGGCCGACCTCGCTCTTTCGACAAAGACCTGATTAGTTAGAGAAGCCAGCGAAAGGGCTACACGTGAGCGCGAGCTTGCTGTAAACTGACGGGCCCCCAGCCACCGTCAACCACCGCCTCTCACCGAGTCACGCCTCAGCTGCTCTCAGCACAAGACGCATACCAGCCGCATCAGACTGTAGTGAGACGACACGACACGGCGTGAGCAATACTTGTGAGCATTTTCTGACAGCTTCTGTTCTGTCAGCTATGCTGTACTGCTGGAATACAAGAGGAGAAGTACTTACTAATACTAAGAGGTTGCAGGAATCCTATACGAAGGACATACCAAGTACCTCGTGCTCTCTTCAGAAGACTTCTTCCGCCAGTAGGCCACCAGCAAGTCCACTCCCTGATCTTTCTCGAGTAAGTAATGATACATCCACTCTCTCGCGGCCATTTCCAAGTGAGGCTCTACTGGCATCGCCATCGTGGTCCGATCCACAAACACGGGGATTGACCCGCCAGATGGCTTTACACGGCTATCGACAACTATCAGGCCACTAATCTCAACGTACATCAGAGTGAGTCTCCGCTTGGTGTCCTTGCGTTCCTAAACCCCAGATCACAACGTACTCTCCATCACCGGGACGAAATCCTCGATATGGCGGACCCTTACTGGAGATGTTGTTTCCACTTGGCCCTCCTTGATGCCTCGGTTTGAGCCACAGAGACTTCGAGGATCTTACTAAATCGAACTCATCAGGACTACCGGTGGACAGGGCCTGAAGATGAGCTAGTAGTCTTGTCCGGCAAAGTCGGCCATCCAAACGTCCTCGGACACAGCTTACCCCTTGTTGACGAGGTCACTGACATTTTCAACTTGTTTTTCTTGCGCTGGAACTTGATTGAACGCACTTCGAGTCTCAACACCGGCTAATTGGGAGCCCTCGCCTTGCAGATCCGAGCTTAGACACTACATTTTCGACAGTCTGATTTCTGATTTCCGATCAGCTATCCTGTTGCTTGTACAGTAGGAAAACATGCCGGTCGAACTGCGCAAACGTCCAGCTCCAAAGGAGCCGGCAGCACCACCTCCAGCGGCTAAACGAGGCAGTAGCAGTTCCGTCAAGAAGCTCGCGGACAAGGCCAAAGCCGCGGTAACGGGATCCGGGTCGAAGAAGTCCCCAACGACGACCATCCCTGATGTTGCAGTTACGGAGCCTGAACAGCCCGCGACCACCGAAACATCTGCCCCGATCATCCCGGAGACTGTCCCCGCTGTACCTGAAACTGCTCCTGCCAAGGCCAATGGCGCCGCGAAGGGTAGTGGAAAGTTGGCGGTAGGCGAGACGATTGATCTCGAGGGCTTCGGGGGGACGGTGCAGACGCATGACGGCAGCAGTGTTACAGTGAAAGAATTGGTTGAGAAGAGCGGTGCTGGTGTTGTGCTTTTCACGTATCCCAAGGCGAGCACGCCGGGCTGTAAGTCATGTTCTGGTATCGCGAATGTGTACAAAAACTCATGTGTTGTTCACAGGCACGAATCAAGCATGTTTCTTTCGAGATAACTATGCGCCCATTACGGGTGCGTCACTGGCAGTCTATGGGTTGAGCACCGATAGTCCGAAGGCGAACACGACCTTTGCCACGAAGCAAAAGCTGCAATATCCTCTTCTGGTAAGTGCTTTGCAGCTCCTCTCCGAGTCAAATGCTGACCTGTACGCCAGTGTGATCCCAATGCAACCCTCACCTCCGCGATCGGGTTGAAAAAGCCCGGCCCCGGTAAATCCACGACCCGAGGGGTCGTCATTATTGACAAGCAAGGCGTTCTCCGCCTGTGGGAGCAAGCTGGTCCTGAAAAGACCGTCAAGGCTGTGCTCGAATACATCAAGTCCCAAGGCATGACTGAGACGGGCGCTCCGGCGGCAGTGGCTGCTCCACCTGCGGATGACCCTGTTGCAAGTGAAGAGGCAGCCAAGCTAGCTGATCCGGATACCAAGATGGATGAGGCGCCTCTGGTTAGGACGCCGACTAAGGCGGAGCAGGATGCTGCAGAGACGGCGGCCGAGGTTGGTGAGAGCGCTGCCAAGCTCGATGGCACGCCCCAACCATGAAGATATCGTCTCCGTACTGCTGGCTCTCTGGGATCCGGAATGTGGGCAGGTGCGGCACGATTACTATTGTCCTGTGCCTTCTCGTACGGTGTCGCGGGATGGGACCCAGGTATTTCAGTAGTAACAGTGCTTTAACACAATCATTCCTTTCGCGCTCAGATGCCCCCTATGCCCGGATACCAGGCCTTGCCTACCCGCTGTATCTCATTGATGAATTTCTTGCTGGTGATCTCCGGGCTCTTCCCTCCATAGTTGGCAATCTGCAAGGGCGTGCGTTCATCGGGCATGTAGAAGGGGTTCAACATGAGGTGGATATAGGCAGTCTGCACGGCACGGAATGCAGGCTTGAGATCTGCATCTCTCAGGCCAACAGCAGCAGGTGGGAACCGTCTCTTGTCCCTCGGGGCGTCCTGATCCGAGGGGTCTTGCGGCGGACGGCCCATCATGTCGACCACAATAATGAACTTGACGCCCGTATTCGTGAGCCAGCCATAGCAGGCCAGACGGTCATCAATGGCCTGGAGGAGACCGAGATCTGAATCCAGCAGTTTCGTGGTGCGAGCGCGCAGATCGAAGATGTCTAGACAACTGTTCAACAGGAAGAGGAATTCGAGTTCAGCGTTGGGATTGGTATTGTGGGGATGGAAGAGAGATATATGAAGAGGCTGGTCGTGCTTGCCGATGACGCCGACGCATGCTATTGCCGGCGACGCGTTGAGAGCCATCGAGCAGGCCGCTCGTGATCATAGTTGCGAACACCGAGCATCTTGGAGGTAATCCGCTACCCCATGATGCCAAGATATTGAGCCAGCTGAATGGTGAGAATGAAGTGGATACTTTTGCCCAATCAGAGAGCTTGCATTTGCCCCGACCAATTCTCGACATCATATCATAGACTTGACAATTCGCCTCTCTCCTTCTCTTCTCGCTCTTCCTCGACGCCTGCTCAATTCCTTCCGCCGTCCACCCTGCGCTACCTGCTTCGACATCTTCTACTCTAAAGCAAGATGATGTCCTTATCGAGATCAGTGGCTCCGCGCGCGCTGCGAGGTACGCACACAGCTAACTTCGTCACCAATCCGATCACCCTAACAAGACTGGCAGCATCAGCCACCGCTCCCGTGACGATTCTGCGCGCCGCCCCTGCTGCTTTCATTTCAACCTCTTCCCCGAAACCCGCCACCTCGATCGTCTCTCAGTCGCCCACAGCCACCGGCGATGCATCCCGCCTCCCAGTCACAGGCGGCGTCCGTCGCGAAGTACCCCTCCCTTCGCAGGAGAAAAAGCAAGGAGCAATGCAATACGCCTTGACCACCCTGGATCAAATCGCAAACTGGGCCCGACAGGGCTCGCTCTGGCCTCTGACATTTGGGCTGGCATGCTGCGCCATCGAGATGATGCACCTTTCCACGCCCCGCTACGATCAAGATCGCCTGGGTATAATTTTCCGTGCCAGTCCGAGACAGAGCGATGTGATGATCGTGGCCGGCACACTCACAAACAAGATGGCTCCCGCGCTGAGACAGGTGTATGATCAGATGCCCGAGCCGAGATGGGTCATTTCTATGGGCAGCTGTGCGAACGGCGGCGGTTATTACCATTACAGCTACAGTGTCACCAGGGGCTGTGATCGCATTGTGCCCGTGGATATTTACGTGCCGGGGTGTCCGCCTACCAGTGAGGCGTTGATGTATGGCATCTTCCAGCTGCAGAAGAAGAGTATGTGTGACTCAACCCGCTTTGTGAGACAAGACGTGCTGACGATTTCTATAGTGAGACATACTCGCATCACGAGGTTGTGGTACAGGAAGTAAAAATTGGATGCGCGACAGGGAGATTTGAAAGCAGACCTTACATTTCTAGCATTGACGGCATGGCGTTCGAATAGCAGACAGGGCGTGGCCTCGGTCCTGCTTTTGCTTCCTCCTACAGCAGTGGAGACATGTACAGAATGAAATCTTGACATGCACTTTCGTTCTCTCGTCGGGTTTCTCGATGATTACCTAAGTAGTCCTGCTCATGATGGCCGCCGAGAAGCGCTCCTACGAGGTATGTCAATTTTGCACTTCACCTATACATGCAATACGAGGCCTACGACGGCCTATCGTGACATCTCTTTGGCACGGTCTGAAGTTCGACGACTGCAGCCTCTATATCGGTTGGTTTATCCCGCTCTACGCTGCCCCCCCCCCCCCCCCAAATCGCCTCCATGGCCTCCATGGTGGGGGCGACGAGGCTTGGACGTGTTCGGGACGGGGGCCGCATCATTTATAAGGAGATAGGGAACCCCCAAAAAAAACCATGACACAAATTATGTCCCACCAACCGGACGAGGATGTTGGTGGATTTTCATCAAGTGCGACTTCCGCCGTATGAAAAGATAGGTGGTGGACGCGTTCCGGCCCGAAATGCGAAATTCGCTCCAGTCGCCCACCCTTGGAATGTAAGTCCGGAGTACGGAATACTGAATAGAGAGTAGGTATTCCCGTTTGTAACAACACATATCAAGACCATGGTCTATCTTGTCCATCATGATCGCCGTCACTGACCGGTAGAAAGACAAGCAAAGGTAAAGACAAGATAGCCGTCCACCGAAGAAAAAGGCGAGACTCATGGACAACCCGCTCTCAACCGCGGACGTCCCGCCGCAATTCCTCAAGGACTCCTGCCTCCCTAGGTTACAACCCCCTGGCGAGCCCTCCCCTCTGACCCCCGCATTAGTTACAGCCTCTACATTCCCCCGGAGCACTAGAATCCTCGCCTCACATCCACGTCGCCACCCGCCAAGAAACTGCCCCTATTAGTCCACATCCACGGCACGCGGCGGAACATCACGGTCATCGACAGCAATGATGATCTCGTCCCCTTTGCGGAGGCGACGCCCTGCGCCCTCCTGGCCCTCTCTTCCCTGCCGGTCTGGACGGGCCCCACGATCTAGACAGTTACAAGGTCCTCTGCTCGCGGACCTTGCGCGCGGATCTCGCCTTGCTCGCCATGCTGGACGAGGTGGCTCGCAGGTGGCCCGGCGTGGACGCTCAAGGGGTCTTTCTGATGGGGTTTTCGGGCGCGGGGCAGTCCGCGCACCGGTTCCTCTATCTCAATCCGGAGCGGGTTAGGGCCGTGAGTGTGGGCGCGCCGGGAAGGGCGACGGTGCTTGATATGGGGGGACCGTGGCCTGGGGGGCATTAAAGGCGTGGAGGGGGTATTTGGGTCGGGGTGTCAGTGTGGAGAGGATTCGAAAGGTAAGGATTCAGCTCGTGGATGGGCGGGAGGATAATCTCTTGCATGGTGGGGAGGGGTTTTGGGAATGGGTGAGGGAGTTCGAGGCGAAGTCGAAAGCTAAATCAAAGGGAAAGGCCGTGGACAGCGAGGACGGTGAGAATGGTGTCGCGATGGGGAATTCCAGTGAGCACGGAGGTGGATACGTAGAGCGGAGTGAGTGTGAGAGTACTGGAGGCTGGCCTCGAAGACATGCGACAGGGTCGCTTGGACACCATCACCGAATTACATGCTCTGTGAAGGGACCATGGCATCCACGTACGGCTGGATATCGTTGAGGGGATGGCTCATAACCAAGAGCCCGCCAGGGGCGTGGTGCTTGAGTTTCTGCGCGAAGCTATGTTGTCTCTGCGTACGGATGGAGGGGCGGCCGTAGGTTGAGGAGAGCTCATTGCGTCCGTACCGTTTGGATCGCGCTTGGAGAAGAACATACGTAGTGACATACCTGCGTTAGTCACTATTCCGAGAAGTCAAGTTGGGTGAAGCTGGGGTAGAGCGGGAGAGAAAGGAAGAAGAACATCGGTACCAGCCACGCCAGCCTGGAATCCCAGCACCTTCCTGCCGCACAGGGACATGCCAATAATTAGCGAGTAGTCACATGGCGCGATGCTCCATCCTGTAAAGGAGCCTCGTCGGAGCAAGGCTGGACCTCTGAGGCTGCGGGTTTTGCAGGAGAGTGGTGCGCGGCACCAGTACCTACATGGAGGTCGCGTCGAACTGGCGTAATTTTGGATATGTATGTACCGACACGGTCGATTGCACAGCTCATGGCCTGCTGAGGGGTCTATTGAGCCGATAGCAGGTTCGTCGTATGGTCAGTTATCGTAGACCGCCCACTTCTGAGCGCCTAGCATAAATCTCAGCTCGCCCATTCCCTTATGCAACGAGGCTATCCAAATGGCCGTCTCCAGAACCAACACTCAGTAAGAGCAAAATACAGAACAGCATAGTAGGCAGTCACCGCAACTGCGACAGTCGTCGACGCCGGTGACGTGGGGCGAGACGCTGACTCAGAGTCTTCCTCCCAACCCGGCTCGGTGCCACGTATGTGACCAGCTAACATCATAAGGCCCTGGTCTCCTGCTCGGCATCTCTCCAATAGCATACCTCGAAATTGTCCTCAGCAGTAACGTAAAGGCATCATGGTCGAAGATACGAACCACTTCGTACGCCAAGTCTCTTGCGACCATTGCGGCAAGAATCTGTGTGAACCGCTGCTATTTTTAATCCCCTGACTGTCCCGGATCAGTTCTGTGTCGACCACATGGAGCGTTCCTGAACGCCGGAAAATCAGCCGTCAGCTTGGTCTCCTCGACGAGCCGACACGACCCATACCGGCAAGTCGCCGTCGACATGGAGGTTCACATTTCTCGTCTGGGCGGCGGGGTGTATCTGGTGACATGGACGCTCAAGCCACCCGGGCCGCGCAAAGCTCGAGTGATTGTAGGACCAGGCGAAAACCCAACGGTGAGGTATGTCATCGCGTGAAAGGCAGGATATAAGAGAACACATGCGTGGGAACCACCGTGACGCTGCAGACAACACTCATCTAGTGTCCGAGATCATTTACGCAGCAACTAGCCACTTTCAACTAATCAGGCTGTCTACAAAGCACGACCCTTTCCGTGAGAATTGCGATCTTGGTTTTCTACCTCTCCTGACTAGATACCGTCGCCTCTGGAGACCAAACGCCGTAGTCACGAAGACACATCCTTCCAAATGAAGTCGACGCTTTTCTCGGCTACGCTGTTCGCTGTCTCAGCAGGTAAGGCGGCACTTCACCACCACATCATTACCCTGCTAATGCTAACGCGCCGTCGACAGCAACTGTAGCCGCAGCAACGATCCTCTCCGACCTCGACCATGCCCAGCATGAGCCCCACGCTGCCCTCCAGAAACGGGGATTCTACGAGGACGGTTTCAAGATATTCAAGCGCAAGCGCAACGCCCACGCCTGCATGATGTCCATCGTCTTCATCGTCTTGTTCCCTCTCGGCGCCATATCGATGCACTTGCCTTTTCGCGGCATCCGAGTCACCACGCGAGTACACGCCCCGATCCAGATCCTAGGCTTTGCCATGATGATTGGCGCCATGGGACTGGGTATCGACATTGCAGCCGTCGATCTGAATTTCTTCGCAAGCAGCACAAGCACGAAGGCGCATGTCGTGATCGGCCTGCTCACGTGCAGTGTGCTGATCTTGTTCCAGCCAGCGCTGGGGCTGTTGCAGCACTTGCACTTCCGGCGTACGGCGAAGAAGAGCGTCTTCGCATATATCCATCGGTGGACCGGCCGTGTTGCGATATGTCTGGGGTGGATCAATTCAGGGCTGGGGTTCCAACTTGTGCCCATCTCCCTCGTTTCCACGGGGTCGCTGGTAAGGAATTTCGTGCTCATGGGGGTGTTGGGGGCTCTGTGGTTCTTCTTGGTCGGATGGGACGGGTATCGACATCATTGGGCGAAGAAGGAGAAGCTCGGGGCGTATCGTGTCGGATGGGACAAGGGGTCCGTGCTGAGAAGGCAGCACGCGGTGGAAGATGGGACCAATGATGAGGTGAAGTTGGAATCCAGTCACACTGGGAATCAGGGCACCACTGCTGGGGAGCAGCACTTGTAGACCGTTGCGGGTTGTATCAAAGAATTCACCTAGGACCTCACTGGTGTGGGATGGGAGACTGTCCTCCTCAATCTGAGACACGAGTCATCATGGATGCAGCGTAGCAGTTCTCGATACAGAGGCCGCAGCCTTGCGCACCTACCATCCAGCCTTGCTGAGCGCGATATGGCTGGGAGACTGGTGCTGCGACTTTGACGGTCTCGCACCTTTCCTTTTGTCAAACGATTGTGACGATCAACACTGCGGCATGTGGCTTCGGTAAAGATGTCGACCTCGCCAGTGCTAATCCACCCCAACTTCACTCCAACTTCACTTCAAGTTCCTGTCCCCTGTGGGTACAGCGACCGATATCCAAGTCGCTCGCCCATCTCCGCACAAGGCCACGGGCAGCGACCATTTCGATAACAGTGCGGCAGCTAAACCTTTTCATCCCGTGCATCCATGATCAATTCCCTGTTTCGGCCTGTTATCGTTCCCACGCTGTTGCAGATCGTGCGGAGAACAGCATGCTACGGATGGTTCTTGCTCGGTTGAGCAGTCTAAGCATGGACCGGCTCCCTCACAATGGAAGGTCGAGTATCAAACATTCGAACGGTGCATATGCCTCCCAGGCTTCATTGACCAATCCCCTGGTACCTCAGATAAACCCATGATAGTCCACCTTGAGACTTTCGGCATATGGCCGGATAGGCCAACGACCGTTGTTACTTGTATCTCCGAGTTGGATATGCACCAAGCTCTGATGGAGATATCTGTCTGAGGTGGCCGTCATTCCTCTGAGGAAGAAACAGTTTGACTGGGAGAGCCCGAAGCAGAGAACATGAAGGACGACATTGAAACACACCAGGCCACGACTGTGGTGCACCCTGTCGAGACCATTGACGAGAAATTCGTCGACTACAAGGATGTGGACGCAGCCCTGGGCTTCCTCCGCAACAATGCGGCGTCGGGAGAAGTGGTCCATATCGACGAGAAGAAGCTGATGCGCAAAGTCGACTGGATGGTCATGCCATTGATGTTTGCGTGCTGTAAGTACTTTTCGAGTACTCGGAAAGCTTGTATCTTTAGGTCTGTCAACGCTGACAGATTCGCAGATTACTTGCAGTATACCGACAAGACGCTGCGTAAGTCTCATGGTGCCGGGAAGCAGTCCCCGCCGTTAACGCGAAGCAGTGTCGTATGCGTCTGTCATGGGTGTCATCGAAGACACACACATGCCTGCAAACGGCTTCTCGAACCTCGCCATTGCATTCTACGTCGCTTTTCTGATCTGCGAGCCACTCCAGTCGTTCTTCATCCAGAAGTTTCCCACCGCCAAATATCTGGGCTGCAATGGTAAGGCCTCTCGAGCACGAGGAACAACCCCGCCGCTGACCTGACAGTAATTCTCTGGGGCATCGTGCTGACAATGAACTGCGTCTGTCACAACTTTGCTCCCATCGTCGTGCTTCGAGTGCTGCTCGGTGTTTTTGAGTCGGCATGTGCACCCAGGTAGGTAGACCACCCAACCCCTTTCCTCTTCTGCCGAGTAACGCTGACAGATCGGTCCAGCCTCGTCATTCTCGCGGCCATGTGGTACAAGAGACACGAACAGGTCTCTCGCATGGGCATCTGGTACCAGGGCACATCGGTGGGCCCAGCAGTGTCCTCCCTGGCGTCATACGGCTTTTTACACTACGCGACCTCGCATCCAGACCTGCACTTCAAGTCCTGGCAGATTCTGTTCCTCTTGTTCGGCATCATCACCATCTTCGTCGGCGTCCTGGTTGTCTTGTTCCTGCCGGACAACCCGATGAAAAGCCGCCTCTCCGAGGCAGAAAAGATCTTCATCATCGAGCGAGTCCGTGACAACCAGACGGGGATCGAGAACAAGAAGCTCAAAAGCCATCAGCTCAAAGAGGTGCTCTTCGACATCAGGACTTGGCTGTTGAGTCTGGTCGTCATTACCACCAACGTCCCCAACGGCGCTGTCAGCTCCTTCTCGAGCATCATCATCCAAGGGTATGGGTCCGTATGTTGTTCTGCCCAAGTGCTCCCCTGACGTGCGTCACGCAGTTTCGGATTCGACGAGTATACCACGCTGCTCCTCAACCTTCCAGGCTGTGCCGTCGCCTTTGTGGCAGTGGGGTTCGGCACCTGGTGGGCAGGCCGGTACAACGGCCGAGGCATCGCCATCATCGCCTTGATCATCCCAACCTTACTCGGCGGGGCTCTGATGGCGTGGCTGCCGGCCGACCAGAAGGCCGGGTTGCTAGCAGGGAACTACCTGACAAACACCGTCGGAGCAAGTGAGTGGATGGCAGTGAGAAAGACGTTCACGAAGCCGTTGCTAACAGTTGGTGGGAAGCTCTTCCGTTGTTGTACAGCTGGATCACCTCGAACTGTAAGCATCCCTGTATTTTATGCTGTATCTTATTCCATACTACATGTTCTCCCTTTCCTCCTTCGACCATCCCAGCTCTGAGCTAACCCCCACCCAACCTAGACGCCGGCCACACCAAAAAGGTCACCATGAACGCCATCGTCCTCATGAGCTTCTGCATCGGAAACATCATCGGGCCCGAGACCTTCCGCGACAAGGACGCCCCGGCGTACATCCCCGCCAAACTGACCATTGTCGTCATCCTCGCCGTCGGGATCGTCGTCGCCGTGCTTCTCGACTTGCTCTACAAGTGGGAAAACAAGAAGCGTGACAGGGAAGGGCCGCAGGATCTCCCCCAGGATTACGAGTTCCTCGACCTGACGGACAAGGAGAACAGAAACTTCAGATACTTGCTTTGAGCAGTACTCGCCTTGATGGATGCTAGCGACTAGACGGTGGCGGAGGGACTAGCAAGGTGATACACTAGCTGTATGTATGCTCTGAGCATGTTGACTGTCGGTGTAAAGCAGGGAATGACACCTAGCCTCGCGTACGCAGTGTCAAATAAATATGCTGGTTACGCGGTTCTGAGTGCTCTGCCTCTCACTCCGACCGTCGCATAATGTAGCAGATCAGAGCAGAGCTGAGCCATTCGCACGCTGCTCGTTCTTCTCACTCAACCAACTTTCTCAAATCTGGACGGTCGCGCAATTCTTTCAACAGGTCCTGGAACGGTTGGTCACCATAGACTTCAACCTGTTCCTTGAAGTACGCCATGTTGTCTTTCAACCACGTTCCCTCGTTGTAGGCCTGTGGTGGGTCATTGGTTGTCAGCTGGAGCTCGCACACGGACGAAAGCTCCCCTGGGGCGACATGAATAGAAAAAGGCGGTCATAAAACGTTTAGTCACACTTGAAAGAGCCACGCCGTTCTCAATGCCCGTAATGACGCCGTCGAATCCTACGATGTGCAACTTCCTAGCTCTCCGATCCTCCTTGCTCATTTCCCCGTCGTGGCCGTTTGCACCGTTGATTTGGCCCGCCTGCTTTGGTCCGTAGACGACCTCGTACCACGCCGCCTCGAGTTTCTTGGCAAAGGTGTCGAACCGCTTTTTCGTGCGCTTGGGGCCCGTCCGGACGGTCCCATGGATGCGGTTGGGCGAGGTGGCGCCGTTGTTGTACAGTTTTCCCGCGAGGGAGAAGTCGCCGACCGGTTCGGCGGGGTGAAAAATCACGTTGACGAAGAGTGAGGGTGTGAGGTCCTTGGTGCTGTGGAGCACAGTGATGCATTAGGCGAGACGTGATTTCTGGTAAGGAGTCAAGGGGATGCCGTGGATGACCTGCAAGAGGGCTGTCGATGGTCACAAACAGGCCGAGGGTGATGTAGAATCGTTCTTGGTGTGCACAGCCATACCTGGTAGATAGGCATGGTTGCTGGTTCGCCTTTCTTTGGCAGGTTCTCAGCTAAGGGTTGTGCTCGGACCATATGAAGGATAGAAAGTTCGGTTGCAGTGGCGTCGGGCGAGGCCGTGCGATACTGTAAGGGAGCAAGGAAGGTTGTATTCGTAACGTGAAGAATGACGAGGCATCATGTTAAGGTCGGAGGATACAGATCCAGATCCGTCCATTGCCTGATGAGTATCCAGAAATGAAGGATTTTACCCTCAGCATCCGGCTCGTGGTGGTGGCAGTGAGACCTTCAACGATTGTCCAATGACTCTATGCTCTTGCGTGGTATAGCCAGTCCTGTGAAGCGTAGCGACGTCCTTCGGCGTAGTGCGAGTCGGTGCGGGGGCTCCGCGTGTGGACGCAAGTCAGCAAGAAATGACTGTTTGTACTAATCCATCCGCGATGTGAGAGCCTCGAAGAGTCGCGGGCTCTGACTGTGTACAAGCGGCCAACGGTGTCAGGTGCGAGAGATGGTGGACATGATCGGGCATGAAATGGACCCACTTTGATCTCCTATGCATTATCACCGATCGATTGCAGTTGGCCATGAGATTCGAGACGTGGGAGAGGTTCCGAGGTGACTAGGTGAGCAGCCACAGCAGCCAAGCTGAAAGAAGTGTCACGGCATTAATCCCACAGAAGGACCCAGTGCATTGTCCCAAGCGTGCCAGTCGAAATCCCCGTGATCATACAACATCTCACCCGGAGTGCGTAAAGCGTCTCCCTCGTCCATCTCTCCCTGCACCTGCGATGCCAACTCATCGCCATCGACTGATACCTGGCCCCCAGGATCAGCGCCGATGGTAGGGCGGTGCTGGTATGTCCCGCCTCTGTGGTCGTGGCCGTCCACAGAGATCTTCTCGCCGCAAATACATCTGTTCGATGTAACGATGCTGGAGGGGAAAAGAACATGATGGTCCATGCCTACCTGCTGCAACGTCCTCTGACGTGTGCGGACAAGCATCGTCCACGCCTCTCTTCCTGAAGGTGAGAGCTGACGCTTGGGCGGATGGTGTTCACTCACGATGCCTTCGTCGACCTGATACAGCTCGAAGATAGCGTCGATAAGCCCACGAGACAGGGTGGCATCGTCACTATGAGGATGTTGCAGCAGGTCGGCGAGGAGGAGTGATACGGCTTGGAGTGGTTGATAGGTGCCTGGGTACATCCAGTGGTAAGGCTCGGAGATGGGATCGTTGCACACTCGGATGAACAGTTGGATGAATGCTTGCGCATGTTTCACAGCACTAAAGACATGGTCAGTGCTTTTCTGAACCTTTCCACTTGTCATTCGGAAGAAGGTGCTTACTTCGTGCCAACATTGTCGTGTGCTACCATCGCAGGGTCCCTAAAGAGCGGGTGGTACAAGACGCAGTATGCTTTGTGAACCATCAGATGGAGGAGCATAGCGGACCAAGCAGAGAAGTTCACGATGTCTTTATCGTTCGGGTTCGGTTGCAGCGTCCACGTCTGGCCGATGTCTGGATGCATTGTTCCGCGCGTCTCAGGTACAGTGGAGGCGGCCGAGTCTGTATTTTTTAAGACTGTGAGAAGAGTTTCTACGGCTGGACTAATCCGGGTTGCTATTCTTCGCAGCCTGTCAGCGGATTCTTCAACTGCCTCTAAGGTCTCAAAAGAATCTTCGAAGTGGAGCACGAGGATCTCTCTCATCTCCTTCGTGATGGCGTAACGGTGAGATGCCACCAGGTACCGAATGTCGACTGTGCCATGTCAGCAACATTGGGGTCTCTTCAACTCTAGTAGTGTCGTACCTTCTTGTCGATCCCCCCCTACATTGTCCGGTGGATCGTACTGAGATATCGCTTCCGTGTTTGCCATCTTTTGGTTGATGAAAAGAGGAGAAAGACCAGAAGAAGCCGATGACATGACGTCCAAATGGAGGATATACCACCACAGACGACGCCTGGTCTCAAGTTCAGCAGCACCAAAACTCGACTCCGGTAGCTGTCTGTGCAATCCCATCCCAAGTGCGACACGGAAAGAGGTACCAATGAAATCAGGTGCGTCGGAAAACTCCTCCTCGCGGACGAATTGACTCTGGGCGATGATGTATGCCGCCAGCGAGTAGACGCTGGGACGCCGCGGGAAGCCAGTCAACGTTGTAGAGACCATTGTTATGAAGTATGCGTCTCCGACATTGAGCTCGGCAGGATGTTCAAACATCTGCTCGAGTCGAGCTGGCGACGTTGCGGATAGAGCTGCAAACAGGACGGCTGACAGCAGAGATAGGAAAGCCGGTTTCCGTCGCATGAACATGCTAGGCTCGGAGTTGTGTAGATCGTCGGGGTTGATCCCGTCCCAGAATGACCGGAAGTCTTCGGCGAAGCCTTTGGTGTGAAAGATCGGGATAAGGGGAAACACGGTCGCGAAGAAGAAGCGGCAGAGCTTTTCGCACGTCTCTTGGTTTGGCAGTAGTGCCATCACACATGACATATTGTAGTTCCGCCCACAGAGTTTGCACTCATTCGATGACGCTTTCATCCACTGGAAGTCACGGTTGCGAGGCGGACGAAATTTTTGTCCCATCCATTCGTGACCTGCATCTTGCATACTCGATGGAAATCTCGCGAACGGACCTGATTCTCCTGGACTCAACCCTGTTGTCTCACGGTCAAGCTGGCCCGCAGTCAGTAGAACTGGCCGTGTCGAAACAGCGACAGTATGAGGAGATAGATACCTCTGCAGGAATTGCATTCGCCCAATACGTTGACCCAGTATAGGCTGAGCGTCCGCCATCGTAGACAGTGATATGTCCTCGCTCGTGGTTGCTTCGTCTCATAGCAGCTTCTGTGGATGAGATCCGGGTTATCGATCCGGCCAATACTGACATGGGCACAAAGACCGTACTTACGCTCAACCTGCAGTCCTGCCACTTTCGCCTCTTCGATCCTTCCATGGCTCGTTGATACGGGGAATGGCTGTTGAGAAGTTGAGGTGCTTTGCCAGGTGGAGAGTCTGGCTAGGGCCGACTCGTCATAAGCGCATTCGGTGCCACCTGCCCGACACCGTCCACATATGGGGTGAACCTGCAGCGGAAATATCAGTGCCTCTCCATCGCTGACACAAGCCGCATTGAGGAACGGAATCCATTACTCTGTCGCACTTCAGACGCCTTTTCCGACAAGGCAGGCAGGAGGTAACTGGACGTTGTCTCTTCTTGCCGTCCATGCTAAGTACAAAGATCTTTGACCTATTCGAGGGTGCAAGCCCGGAAGCACCACATTAAGTATTTCGATATTCGTCCCGTGGGCGCCGCGTGTGATCGACTGGTGTTGTTATGGCCCACAGAATTCTTCCCGAGTCCACCACGATCAAAACCACCATACGCAAGCGCCGGCTGGCCGGAGATCGGCAATGCGTCGGCCAAATTTTCTGCAGCGATCATGCAGCTACTGTGCACGTTTATTTCCCTGTGAGAGGCTCGATTACAAGGCTTAGGTGATTCAGGGTTACCTCGACGACAGCCAGCCGTATCTGAAATCGCGCGTCGAAACTTTGTATTTGAGGGCGGATCAAAGCAGGTCACAGGAGGCAGCTGTGGTGAACGTGATCTTACATACCATATCCAGTGAAACAGGGACCCCAGACGTCCAGAGTGCAAGGTACACAGGTCATTGTCAACGGCCTCCCGCGTCGATCGTTCATGAAGAGGGCTAAATAGCAGGTGAGCAGCAGTAGACTCGACCGGGGGACATCATTTCGCCGGGTTGGATAATGCTTGAAGCGCTCCGTCGCGGCTAAAATTCGCTCTTGCCATTGATTGGCTGCCTGCGTACTCGTATGTCTTCATCAACCTCTACGGCCTGCCATCCCATCAGCTTTCTGTCCATCGACCTAGCCACCTAGTGATACTGCTGCGTCTGTCAGCGTGGCCGCCATGGAGGTATCAACGGCTCTGCGGAGTCTACCTCGTCGGGCACGGCGGGTAGCACCCTCAAGCACAAGTCTGCAGCCTGCAACATTAGCCTACTCACCCATGGCAGTATGGAGCCGGAGACAATTTACTGCCACGTCGACGCCATCGTTTCCAGGAGGCCCGGTGGGGATAGGAGGCTCGAGCGGATCGTCACCAACGTACTTTCAACGCCAGAGCTCGCTACCTGCAAATACCATCATCCGATTCGTACCCCAACAGACAGCATGGATCGTGGAGCGCATGGGAAAATTCAACCGGATACTAGAGCCCGGTTTGGCTATCTTGATGCCGATAATCGATGTATGGCGCGTCCTTGTCCGAGACATGTGAAAAGTCGGAGACTGACATAGACCACAGCGCATTGCCTACGTCCAGTCGCTAAAGGAAGCGGCGATCGAGATTCCCAGCCAAAGCGCTATCACCGCGGACAACGTGACGTTAGAGCTGGACGGCGTTTTATACACAAGGGTCTTTGATGCATACAAAGCGAGGTAAGAGGCCCGCAATATGGCGAGAACGGGAGCTGATCGCGGTGCAGTTACGGGGTCGAGGATGCAGAGTACGCCATCTCGCAGTTAGCGCAGACGACGATGCGATCCGAAATTGGTCAACTCACCCTCGACCACGTCCTCAAGGAGCGAGCAAATCTCAATGCGAACATCACACAGGCAATCAATGAGGCCGCGCAAGAGTGGGGTGTGGTATGTCTGAGGTACGAAATCAGGGACATTCATGCTCCGGAGGGCGTGGTAGCGGCCATGCACCGACAAGTGACGGCCGAGCGATCAAAACGAGCGGAAATCCTGGACTCCGAAGGTCAGCGACAAAGCGCAATCAACATCGCCGAAGGTCGGAAACAATCTGTTATCCTTGCGTCGGAGGCATTGAAGGCCGAGCAGATCAACATGGCATCCGGCGAGGCTGAAGCTATCTTGATGAAGGCACAGGCAACCGCCCGAGGCATCGACGCCGTTGCCAGCGCCATAGGGCGAGGCGAAGCCAACGCCCAGGGAGCCATAAGTTTAGACGTCGCCAAGGAGTACGTTGCTGCGTTCAGGCAGCTCGCGAAGGAAGGCACTGCAGTCGTGGTGCCAGGCAACGTCGGCGATATGGGCCAAATGATTGCCAGCGCCATGGCAGTGTATGGCAAGGTCAACGAAGGACAAACCAAGACAGCTGCGAGGCACCTGTCGGCGCCAGCAGCAGCAGTGACGACCGAGGGCTCCATACCTCAAGATTTGAGTGACAAGGACGTGGCACAGACCGTCCTGGAGGGATTCGACCAGACAGCGAATGCCCGGAAATGAGCGCACTGCTACAGTAACTGGGGGACCGTCTGGCCTCTACACATATTCAACTCTTTCGTGATGCGGTAAGAGCGGGGCATCCGTGTATTAATGCCATGGCTTATCCAAAATATTGATAGTGATGTGTACCATGATTAGTCCTCTCTCAACTTGTGGAGGAGAAGCAGCCGCGGACCTGATATCCAGCAAGCAAAGTTCACGGCATTAGTGGGAGATCCTTAAGTCAACATTGGCCAAACCGTATTCCTGGGCTTCCAAATTTGCTGCTTTCATCAAGGGTTGTCAGAAATCGTAGGACATGCGACACGGCCACGAAGATTATGCAGATTTGGACTCGAATCTGGTCGAATCTCGAGTATTCGATTGAAATTTCACAAAATGAGGTGGTGTGACTTCGTCTTTCATCACTGTCGGTATCTGTCATATACCGTCTCTGTGTCATGACGTGGACACCCTTGATTGCTCGACTCGTCCTCGATACCAGCCATTCTCATTCACGAACTCCTCGATTTTATCCAGCTTGCGGCACACATGAGTAGCACCCCACCCATTGACTCCGTATACCGGCTCTGGCCCCGTCTCGTCCCAAGCATAATGATCCAACGCGGTATCGCCGGCGCAAAGGATCGCCTGACGGAGGTAGTCGAAACAGTGGTTCAGATGCCCATTGCTGATATCCTCGGCGGGGGACATGCCCGCGACGACCTTGCCTTCGGGACTCATGGTCATGAACATCTTACGCATCATGATCAGACAGTGCATCTGGTGATACATGGAGAGGACAAAGATTTCGGTCCTGTTCCCGGGTGCTCTTTCGGCGAAGTGCCATGCAGGTCGCATTTGGTACTCGTGGGGATCGAACGGAAGGCCATCTGTCACATTGAATCGGAGTGGGTCTTGCACTTGTATGAAGCCGAAGTTGCCAGCTGACAGCCCCCGAGGTCGGTTAGACTGTCTTGACCTTTTGCGACAACCAAGGTAACTCACCAGGGAGTAGACGATTCCAAGCCGAACCTTCGGTGTCGGGTAGACTGTGCTCGAACTCGTTCCCTTTGGCAAAGGTGACGAGATGGTTCTCAACTGGAGAGGGAGGCATCAGCGTGGAACACAGCACTGCAGGCATCACTCACACGACCCGTGCGGGAACATCTTGTCAGAGTGTAACAGGCTCGTCTGAGACATGCTGAGTTGGACGAACTGAAAGGTCCCGAGTATCGCCGCCGTCAGGAACAGCATTAGCCACAATGCATGCCGATAAATCTTTACTGTGCGGCGCAAGTTGACAAGTTCTCGTTCACTGTCGACATCCTCGTGGTCGCCTGGCTCGTCGTTTTCGCTTCTTGTCTGTGCGAGAGGCAGGTAGAGATGCTTTCCTGAGCTTGTGGTCCCATGCATCGTAACTGGATACTCCTGGAGTTCACGGGTCGAGAGCGGCGATGGCCTGAAAGGAAAACCGGGAACGCGTGAAGCCTGTGCTCAAGCAGGGCGTGTCTGTCGCTGTGCATCGTGAGACACACTCACCCTCAGCAAAAGAAGATATTTGTCCACCTGGCAAGACGAGATCCTGATATCGCGTCGCCCTTCTTATTCGCTCGAACTTTTGGCGGGGGATTGACCATGCTGAGAAAGTTCAAAGTGCCGTGCTGCAGGTCAAAGAGAGTTCACGACGAACCATTTTGTTCGACGTCGATCATTGATCTTCATGATGAGTCAATGTTGACACTGTTGTTGATACACAGCTTGGGTCGTTCGTCCTTCTTGTCAAGGGATCTTCACAAGGGTGAGCACTAGGCAGGATCCTTTGTTCTCCAAATCTGTTCTTCGCCCGCGAATCAGAGACGTCTGAGGTTTGCCGCGGGCTCGAATGCGAGTCCGAGATCTGTCTAGCTAGACGTTCGTTGTAGCAATGATCTGTCCGAGCGCGATGCCAATTTGTTGGATGTTGATGGATCTGGTCGGGTATTGTGTATCCTACGAGGAGAGAGAGATGAACTAAGGGTTCAAGTAAAGTAAGAGTAAGAGAGAGAGTAACCACCAGCCCCTCCCGCGTGACTGTCAACCAAGGGAGGTACAAATACCGTGGGAGGTGTAGGTGCATCTCGGTTTAGTTGCCTCGAGGGGTCATCGGCCTCGAGCTCGACCTGGAAGCCTCGCTTACCGAAGGATTGGAGGCACCTTTTACTTGCCACCCTTCGTGCCAACCCACCGTGCCCTTGCCTGTCCAAAGTTGAAAAGACATGCATGCGCAGTCTAACGACGACAATGCCGACTGTTCACTGTATCACGTACTTCTTCGAACAGTCTCCGCGGCTGAAACAAGCCTTGCTCGGTCTAAAATGATCGCCGTCTTTAAGTTCCTGCTTCTATAGCGAGGCCAGAGCCAAGGGGCCGAAGGATTCCAAGCGCTCGTCCTAAGCTCCCAAGTGTAACGGTGCATGTGTACAAGGGCGTCGAGAGCTTGCCAACAACGATTATCTTCAGATGATACCACTTCCAGCATTTCTCCCAAAGGGCGCAATTCGTGTATCTCAAGAGCTGCTCCGCTCTGCTCAACCTCGCCACTGAGAGTGGATGCCTATACAGCAGTGCTGCGCTCACACTGGTTTATTTACTCAAGTTCACTCCTGGACTATCATCTGCTGATGAGGGACAGGTCTAGAGTGGCTTATGGACCCATTGCCTTATATGGCAAGACCGAGCTCTTACTGCTCAGCATGGTACGAATCTGCAGGATGACGAAAGCCATGATCCCCATTGTAATGCATTCATATAACCACAGGTGCAAGATGTACTACCTGGCCAGGTAAAGTTGACGGACAGCATACCATGACTCCAGACAGAGGCTGCTTCCACCCAAGTGAGGTGAGTCTGCCGTGTCATGGGTAGAATTTGTGAAGCTTACCAGAGAGACAGCTACGGCGACTCCAAATCCGGGACGCTCAAAGACGCAGCCGTCAGCGAAAGCAAGATGATCGTGACAGGCTGGAGGCAAGAATTCGGGACTTGGAGGCGCAGATTCACCAACAGAATGGCGAGAAACATAAGCTCCTTGAAATCCTCACACAAGTCCTCTCACGTCCTACGTCTGGCAACATCTCTGCCAGGATTCAAAAAGACTGCCAGCACCACCCCGACGTAATCCGGGCTACCAACCGTCCCGGTAGAGTGGAAACGAGGGTCGCACATGTACAACTTGAAAAACAGCCAGAAAGAGCGCTTGCGTCAACGCCCTCGATCCCGGAGCAGCGGCATCTAGATACACATATTCTCACTCCCTGGCACTTGGATGATTCGTTACTAGCACCGCCAACGTTTCAACACTCTCTCACGTCGACAGACCCGGAATTAGTAGGGCCCGAGCCCTATGCACAATCGCCACAGACTGGTGCATCGAGTGTAGCAACAAACATGACTTTTGCCCCATCGAGCAACCCATCAGGCAGTAGTGCTCTACGTTTTCCAGACCCGGATTTTAGCCTGCCACTCGCGATGGACTCACAGTGTGGGACGGAGAGTCATCATGATGTGGAAGCTATCCTTGCCGATCTTGGGTTGAGCAATGTCAAAGAAGACTCGACGAGCGCCCGCGACATACGCGCGCTGCTGGATGGCCTGACTGACTCTCTTGAGATACTTGGCAATAATAACATGATATAAAATGTGCGCGTGTCCCATGCCAGAGCTGCAAGATGCCCCAATACATGCATGTTGTGCCTTGATCCTGGCCCCGTAGGCAATGCAGTCTCGGTGTTTAACATGCTCGTCGCCTCTAAGTACTTAAATACTTGTAGTGGCAATTACCCTTCGATCATGTTATCTTCACGATAAGAATCCAAGATGTACGACAAGAGTTCTAGGCATTCTAGGTCCAAACCTCCAGACTTGCCCAACGGATGGTCGGACTACCGAGTATCAGCGCTCCTCACTTTCCGATGAAAACAGGGTAAGGGATGAGAGTTTCCCCCGGCTATAGGTTGCAACGAAAAGGAGACGAAAAGGAGACTCGATAGCTCAATAAAAGATCCAATCTCATCAAGAGGTGTCTACGCGAGTCAAGAAAATTGCAATCTGCATAAAGACAGGTTGGCATGAATTGCCCAATAATCGAGACTAAAAGAGTGACATTCTGTGAAAAACCCCCCCTCCAACTCTGATCGACAGCTTATCCCCTACATACATACATTTGGATCGCGCTGCCACAGTGCCACTAATGGTGGAGTCTTGGCCTCGGGGTTCCTGAAGACACATCCGCCATAACCACCGCTATCCTCCTCGCTTGAATCACCGATCCAGCTACGTTTGTAGCCTGTTCACAGACCGCGGGTGCATCGTTGAGCCGTTTTCGCACGATTTGCATGCATGCCTGGTGAAAGCGTCAGCTGCAACTTTTCGTCGCTGATCAACTGTATAGGGTTCATACATACACACATGACACACAAACGGCGCTGCTTCATTTCCCGTCGCGTACCAGTCATCCTTTGACTTAGGCGTACATGCTGCAAGCCTCGTAATCTTTCGGACACCCTGGGACCGGCTCGGGGACAGGCTCTGGTTCAGGCTCCGGGATAGGCTCAGGCATCGGCTCAGGGCTACGGCTGTAAATGTCGCATGCCTTGTAGTCGTCGTCGCACTGTCTCGCGACCAGCGCGGGCTCGCTTCGGCGCCGTTCATATGCAATCGTCTGGCCCGGGTAGTCGGGTTCGTCGTCGTTGGGCGCTGGGGCCGGAGCGGGGGCGCGGCTGTAGATGTGACATGCCTCGTAGTCCTTGTCGCATTGTCGCGCGACCAGCTCGGTGCCACGACGCTCGTAGATGATACCCATGCCGGGATAATCTGGTTCATCGTCATTGGGGCTCCGGCTGTAGATGTGGCACGCCTCGTAGTCCTTGTCGCATTGTCTCGCAATCAGCTCGTTGCTGTTGCCTCGACGCTCGTAGATGATTCCCATGCCGGGATAATCTGGTTCATCTTCATTGGGGGCCGGGCTCCGGCTGTAGATGTGGCACGCCTCGTAGTCCTTGTCGCACTGTCGGGCGACGAGGGAGGTGCCTCGACGTTCGAAGACCACCCCTAGGATGGGAGAGTCGGCATCGTTGGCCTTGGGCCCTGGGAAAGGAGCCGCTGCGGCAAGCCCGAGAAGTGGGGCGAGGAGAAGCATCGAGGCCTTCATAATGACAGACGTGGGCGGCAACGGCCAGGCGTTAGGAAAGGATCGATTGACTGGGTTGTGGCTGCTGCTGGGGATTGAAGAAGGCCTGGAGGAGCAGAACCTTATAGACTGTTGTCGGGCGGCAGTGCTTTATACGCTTCATGCAGCGACACGGTCGGTTCGACACGTGGACTTGGAGTGGTCGTTGTCAACATTGGCGGCTTGATGATGCCGCGGGAGGTCATCAGGATCTACGGTGGTAATTGTTGAATCATCTTTAGGACCTGTACTCGTGCCCATGTCGTCATACTGGGAGAGTAGTGGTCAGCTGCGACAGTCCAGAGGAGGACACGCATGTGTATTCCAGATAGCCCAAGAGGTTCTTCGCGGTGAGCGCCACTACTGCCATCTCGCATTGGCAAGACCACAGCCTATAGCTGCTAAGCACAGCAGCACCCTCGGACCGGTCATGTGAAGCCCGGAAAGATGGATGTTACCGTCCCGTAGCGACGGGGCTCTTACATATTGGAGATGTGTGAAGCCACTGAGCGAAGTGCTGAGGTAGGTTAATGATACAACGAGGCTTGTGATTCCACTGCACTACTGGACATTGAGCCCACAGGCTAATATAACCCTGAGGTTCTAGGTAGTCGGCCGTAGGATTACATAATACCACAGGATGTTGAGGCGAGGCCGAGCTGTCGATGGTCCAGCTGTTCAAGCCGTTACAGGTTCTTCACAATTTCATCTCTGTGCCTTCATGTCCACTTTTTTTTCATCGCCTCCAGCATCCAATCTTCAGTCTTCTAATCGTATATGATGGCATTCTCGTAGTCTCGCTGTTGTAGTGGACCCGATTCTTGCCGAGCCGCGAGTTCATATGTGCTGGCAACAGCAAAATCCGCCGAAGATCGTTCTGTACTGTCCTGGTCGCCCAAATCGCTGGCACTTGAGCTTGCTCGTCAGTCCAAGATACGTCTGGTGCCACCACCAGCACTTACTGTGGACGATGGGAAAGCAATTCGGCGCCGGTAAGAGGCAATGCAAAGGCTCGTACCATGACCATAGCAGACACGATTGCTAGGAGGAGAAGTTTCATGATTGTCTGCATCGGGGCCGCTATCACCATCACACATCAATATCCTGTGCTTGTGAGAATTCCGTCCCATTATGATCGCTTACAAGCAGCAGCCAAATTGAGTACAGTTGGTCGATCGGGCTTGGCTGTTGAGTCAACATGCAGTCAATGTTGACCGGCTTCTGATACTGCGTCTAGCGCCAGATACGTTGGGCACCAGGATCACAGCTGCTCACGTCGCGATATGAAGGCCACAACCTGTGCCGGCCGCCTGCTTCCACCCAGAACACACAGCCTAGGCCATATAAGCTCATCTTCGAGGCGGAATATGGGCCCAACCATTTTGATCTAACTTGCAACAATACACGCAATACTACAAGAAAGGATCTCTATGAAGCTGTTGAAATGCTTCACTCCGATGTCAGAAATCACAGAGAAGCTCACTGTTTGGCCACAGAACCGGAGTGACCTCTCTGACCACGAACAGCAGGCCCATCTGTTAGAGGAAGAGGTCACAATCACGCGCAAGCAGCAGTCCATGGGAAGACAAATTGAGAGGATATGCCTTTACACCTGTGCCACATTGAACTTGTTCCTGATTCTTTTGTTGTTAAGAACGAAAACCGACGTCCGCATGTCATCCGACCAAGGGACGTACGAGAGTGGATTTTCGACAGATCTCGGTACGTATCGAAAACATCCAGCTCCTGGCGGTTGTGCTCATATACTGTGTACGATAGTCGCGGCACGCGGGGCGATCGAACTTCGGCAAGTTACTTTCACGGGCGGCGTGCACTTCGATGATGTCGACGGTCACAACTACATCGAAGATGTCCCAGGTCCCAAGTACGTGGGAATGCCAAGCCCTGAAATCGATCAGGCCTGGAATGACTTGCTACGGCGTAAGCAAAATCACAGGATCACCATGTCGTGCCAATCACCTAACTGTCGCTCAGCTCAAATTGTCAATCTGCGGTCGCAAGAGGGACCTGATGTCAGAGATCGGACCAGTACCTATCATGACACTGGCCTCTACGAAACTGGTCTGGATGCGTATCATCAGTTACATTGCCTGGTGAGCACTGTCTGGCATATCTGGACCATGTCGCCAACACTGATGCAACCACAGAACCGAATACGAATGAGTCTCGATGAGGACTACTACGGCATGAGAGATCGCACGGCACATGGTGTTCGAGTCCACCTCGGTGCGTTTGGACACGGAGCACTCACTTGACAAAGACAAATTGCTGACTGCCATCACCGTTGCAGATCACTGCCTGGATTATCTTCGCCAAAGTATTCAATGCAGTGCCGACATGACCCCAGTCATCATGTATTTCCAGCCCTGGATCAATATGACACTGGTAAGTCAAGCGGGTCGTTTCTCCCTCTGTCGCTGACTCGCCCAAAGCCATGGTTTGAGCAGACACACACGTGCCGGAACTGGGATAAGTTGCACAGTTGGGCGAACGCGGCTTGGGATGCTCATCCGAGAACTTTCTGGACTCACCCAGAACTCGTTCATCGCTGATAGTATCAATGTATTTGACAGAAGGATCTTCATCGGTGGACTCACCCACTACTCGCCGGCGTCGTCGTCGTCGTCGTCGATTGGGGTAGCGCCCGCCAGAGTCATGCGTGTCTTGTCGGCCTCAAGATGTTGCTGGCGGATGGAGGCGATGGTCGCAAGTGACTCGAGAGGAGATGCTGTAGGAAGTGCATCCTCGGAAAACGCAGTGCCACAGCGGAGACGGCGTGTGAAGACTGGACTCTGATCACTGTTGGCGATGAGCTGTCCCTCCGACTGTACCTGTGCTTGCTCTCGAGGAATTTTTCTCATCCGCGCATTTTGATCGTGTCGATGCTTTAAGACCTCTTTATTGAGACAAGCTGCACTGTGGTAGTCGAGATCCGCAAATTCGAGAGTTGTAGATATTTTAACGATCTCACTGGGGGTGAACTAATTGTCCCCGTGAAGGCAGCCATTGCAGGTGCGCAATTGGAGAAGTCATTTGTTGCCAAATTGCGACCGTGAATGCTGGTTGACATGCCACCACCAGCACGTCTACTCAACCACAGATTCGTTCTCTTCAACGCGCAGCTTTGCCCTGACCATTCACTAACACCTGATCACACTTGCCGTCGATCTTTTCAGTATTCATTGATCTTCTCCACCCAGAATGTGCTTCCCGCGGCCGCAGAGATAAAGCGCCATGCACATCATTAAGCCCATCTGGCTCACCCACGGAGGTGCGACCTCTTCCCCGACATAGAGAACTTGGACGCGTTGCAACCGCGTATATCATGTCGCATGCGCGTGATTGACCTGGCGGAGGCTGACATTGGGCGCAAACAGGAGAAAAGAAGGATTTCGAGGTCTACAGTTGCCATGTCTCCCCAGACGGCCAGCGTCTCGTCACCGCGGCCGGTGGTATGTGGACGCCTGCTCTCGAAAGGAGATCTGAATGCATACTGACCTTTGCAAGATGGCTACGTGCGAATATGGTCAACCGAGACCATTTACAATGCGGTCAACTCGAAATACGACAAGCCCAAGCAGCTGGCGTCGATGAGTTATCATTCTGGGACCATTCACACAGTGCGCTTCTCACCGGGAGGAAAGTTCTTGGCTTCAGGCGCAGACGACAAGATCGTGTGCATATATACCCTTGATCCGGGCCCGCCCTCTCATGCCGCGTTCGGTTCGTTGTCAGGTCCATAAGTGAGGAAGAAGGATGATGGCTGAGAATAGACACAGGTTCAAACGAGGCACCCCCAGTCGAGAACTGGCGCATCTTTCGGAGGCTGATCGGACATGACAACGATGTGCAAGATCTGGGGTGGTCACACGATGGGACAATTCTCGTGTCGGTCGGCTTGGACTCGAAAGTGGTGGTCTGGTCGGGCTTTACATTCGAGAAGCTGAAGACACTGCCCAACCACTCCAGCCATGTCAAGGGCATCACATTTGACCCGGCAAATAAATACTTCGCCACAGCCAGCGACGACAGGACCATCAAGATCTTCCGGTTCACATCTCCGACGCAGAATTACACCACACATGACGCAGTGAACAATTTTGTGCTCGAAACCACCATTACACAACCTTTTGTTCAGTCTCCTCTAACAACATACTTCAGGCGGTGCTCTTGGGCCCCCGATGGGCAACATATCGCAGCGGCGAATGCCGTCAACGGGCCGGTCAGTGCGATCGCTATAATCGAACGCGGGACCTGGGGTGGTGACACGACGCTCATTGGACATGAAGGACCGGTGGAAGTCTGCGCCTTCTCTCCGAGATTGTATGGATCGGACCCAAATCCGAGGCCTTTGCCGGAAGGTCATGTAGCGCCTCACACGACCGTCATCGCGTGTGGCGGCGCAGACAAGTGCCTCAGTATCTGGACAACGAGCAATCCTCGGCCGCTCGTAGTGCAGCAGGATGTCGCGGCAAAACCCATATCGGATATTGCTTGGAGTCCGGATGGTCAAACGCTGTTCGCGACTGCTCTGGATGGGACGATCCTCACCATCATGTTCGAGGTGGGAGAGCTGGGTTACACTCGACCTATTGAAGAAAACGATCGGTCACTCACCAAGTTCGGTACCTCGAGGAAAGGCCTGGGTTTCCCGGAGACGACCGATGCGCTATTGCTCGAAGAGATGAGCAAAGCTGGTGAGCTGAAAGGCGTCGAGGGCCGGATGGGAGCTCTGATGGGCGACCTACACTCTTCGCAACCGGCAGCAGCAGAAAAGACCAACGGAGCGCCCAATGGTAGCAGCGCCGAGGAACCTCATACAAATGGCGCAACTGAGACAGGCCTCACTGGCCGAGCCTCGGCAAAGGCACAAGACGACCAAAACCAGGCGAAACTCGAAAAACTGAAGAATCGAGTTGAGATCACCAAGGATGGAAAGAAGAGGATACGGCCACTATTGGTGTCAGGCGCTGGTGGAACAGAATCCTCGTTGCCACAGACCAAACTTGTCAGTGCCAGCGCCAGCGTGCAGCAAGCCAAAGATGCGCCCCAAACAGTGCTCGACCTCTCCAAGCCGTTTGACGGCCTGCCAAAGGGCGGCTTGCCTACGTTGCTACTTGGCAACAAACGCAAGTATGCTGAGATTGAGGGAGAAGAGCCCGGCGCAGCGGAGAAGCGAGTCACGGCTGCAAGTCAACGAGCAGCCGCACCTATCGTCGTCAATGGCGCCGACGGGCTGCTTCCTGCGCAGCCACTACCGATGGTCAATATCCAGCAAACCACCCCAGAGTTCATCCGACCAGCTGTCGTCAACCCAGCATCGAGCGTTGCCCAACTAAGACTTGCCGTTCCCAAGGTCCGAGCGCAAATTATACAAGGTATCGATTGCAGTGGCAAACCTGCTGATGTGGCGGGAGACTCAACATCCAAGTCCCGTGCTGAATTCGTTCTCGAAATAAAGAACCCCTCTCCTCAGTCACTGACTCCCAGAGCGCAAGATCGGGAGCCATGTCGGATCACACTGACGCGCAAAGATCAGCCTCTCTGGCTGGACTTTCTACCTCGACCCGTCCTCTTGGCTACAGGGACTCGGACCTTCTGGGCAGTAGGGGACGAGACAGGGTCAATCTACATATGGACTCCGCACGGTCGAAGGCTCAACAGCGCCATAGTCACGGAAGCACAGCCCGTCATCCTGGCATCGTATGAGTCGTGGCTGATGTGTATAACGGCCGTGGGGATGTGCTATGTGTGGAACATCCAGAGCATGTCATCACCACATCCCCCAGTTTCGCTGGCACCTGTACTTGACGCTGCGATCCATTCACTCGCCGCCCACCCGACAGGTGCTCCGGCAATTACACAAGCTCGACTGAACTCGGAAGGTCGGATCATCGTGAGCATGTCGAACGGTGATGGCTACGCATACTCACCGCAGATGTACTGCTGGCAGCGACTTTCAGAAGTGTGGTGGGCGGTGGGCAGCCAGTATTGGAACACGACAGATTCATCAGTGGGCAATGTCCAGTCCGCCAAGGCACAATCTGGTTCGGACAAGTCGGTCGATGTCTCGTCTGGTATTGTGCCGTGGCTGGAAAGAAGCACGACCTCAGAAACACTGTTACGGGGCCGCGCTTACTTCTTGCAGCGGCTGGTCAAGGTTCTCTTGTCACGCGAAGGGTTCGAGACGTTCGAGTCCGGTGTTTCCATAGCGCATCTCGAGAACCGTATGGCTGCGGCTTTGATGCTGGGCGCAAAGGACGAATTCCGGATATACCTGCTCATGTACGCAAAACGTCTAGGAGCAGAAGGATTGAGGCTCAAAGTCGAAGAACTCCTCCGCACGCTCATTGGCGGCATCCTTGACCAGTCTGTTCAGCATGATGGCGAAAGCAGTGCAGCCACGGCGAACGCCATCGAGGGGCGCAACTGGCGGGAAGATGCGAAGACCATCTGCGGGTGGTCTCGAGAAGAGCTCCTGAAGGACGTTGTCTTGCTTCTCGGTGAGTTGTCTCTCAGCCTTGTGAGTTTGACACTGCTAACCGTTGCTCAGGGAAACATCGAGATTTACAGCGGATCACCGTGCCATACGCCAAAATGTTGCGCGTCCTCGACGACGTCACCGGAGGACAGGATGAGATGGTTTTGTAAAGTTGACACAATATCTGGCGCGACCGAGGGACGCCGTCTTCGGCTTGCAGAGCATGGCAGTGGCTCGGCAAGCAGCGCGTACCTGAGCGGATTTCGATTTCGAGGTGAGGTACAACTCATTTTTGGTGCCCTTGAACCCACTTCACTTTGAACGTCAAACCTTTGCTCCTCGAAGTCTTCCTTCAACCGTGTTTGAATCATTGTCGATCATAATGCCACCTTCTTTCTGCACGATGCCGCCTGGCCAGCACGCGCAGTCAATCAGCTTGCCCTCCTCGGCGACCGCTTCGTCCTCCACCGCCAGTCCAGCCGTTGACGGCACGCCACCTAGCCTAGTTCGAGCGGCTACACCTAAATCCTTCACTGCTCCAAGTCCTGACCCTTCTCTGGTGACCGTGCACCACACGACTCACAAACCGACACAAGACGGCCTGCCTCGCGGATCTGTCTACTCTCGGTTGCGCCGCCGCTGCAGCCAGGGCATCTTCCGCTGGCTCTTCGTCCTCGTTGCTTTGTCGTTGTCACTTCAGCTCATTCTTCATCTTTACGCCAATCATGATCCCAATACTGCCCTCAAGTTGCAATGGCACTCAGAGCTCCGTCGCCTTCACTTGATGAGGCAGAAGACCCACGACCCGATCAAATGGCTCAGAGAGAACTCTTTTCCGAATAACGTCAAGGCCAAGCGTCCAAAGGCAGCGCTAATAAGCCTGGTGAGAAATGAAGAGCTGGATGGGATCTTGCAAAGCATGCGGCAGCTGGAGTTCCATTGGAACCAGCAGTACAACTATCCCTGGGTATTTTTCAACGAGAAGCCCTTCTCAGAGGAGTTCAAGGTACGGCCCCCCTGCGCAACACGGCGGGTTAAGCTGACACTCATCTTGGGCAGGCAGCAACGTCAAACGCGACCTCTGCTCGCACCGAATACCACCTCGTCCCGCGTCCTCACTGGACCACCCCACCGCACATCAATCAAACCCTCTACTACAACTCGCTCGACTACCTCTCCCTCACTGGCGTCGGTAAAGGTCACCTCCTCTCCTACCACGCCATGATCCGCTGGCAGTCCGGCCTGTTCTACCTCCACCCGGCTCTCGACAAGTATGACTACTACTGGCGTGTGGAACCGGACGTGCACTTCTTCTGCGACGTCCCCTACGATCCATTCCGGTTCATGCACGCGAACGAGATGGTCTATGGCTTTAACATGGCGATCCTGGATGACGCGCGATCGTTTGCGTCGCTGTGGTCAACCACGCAAGATTTCATCGTCCAACACCCTCACCTGCTCCATCCCGACGCGAATCTCGACTGGCTGGTCGATCCCGCGACAGGGTGGAACTACAACAACTGCCAGTTCTTCAGCAACTTCGAGATCGGCTCTCTGAACTTCTTTCGGAACAACGAAGGCAGCAGACGCTACTTTGACTGGTTGGATCAGAAGGGAGGGTTCTACTATTCCAGGTGGGGAGACGCCCCCGTGCATACCCTCATGGTGAGCATGTTTACTGCCCCTGAGAAGGTGTGGTGGTTCCGGGACGTGGGCTATCAGCATGATATCGCGAGACATTGTCCTCCTGTGGGGGATCCCTTCCAAGGTATAGGTATACGAGTGGGCAACGATGGCGGTGGTGGTGGCGGGGGGGTAGCTTCGCACAAGCGGAGTGCCGTCCACGGGCATACGACCAGTAACGACGAGCAGCTAGGCTGGCTTGATGGCCGGTGCGCCTGTGAACCTACCTCTCTGGACGAGAATTTCTACAAGCTTGTACCCATGGAGAGCCCGCAGTTGAAGCCGTCTGGTACGTGTATTCGCTTGTGGCTTGGCGGGAAGTGGTTGAAGAAGAAAGACGGATGGAGCCAGGAGGCCGAGAGAGTTCTGGGGGGAGACGGGTATGGCGGATACGTGATGGATGGGATTTAAGCGAGGTATAGTGTGGACAAGGTTCAGCTGGTTGGGGCAGTGACAGGTCACATTATCGGGGGTTCGTCTCGTTGCGGGTGTTGTGTGAGGGTTAGAGGACGTTGTCGGTCGCTACCTTCGAACGCTTGCGCTGCAAAGGCTGCCGTAATGCCTTTCATTGAGAATCGATTTGCGGCGGTAGTCCCGGTTGGCCTCGAACGAGAACAGGAGAGCTTTGCTGTGAAATGTGACGGCGCCAGAATTCCAGAGTTACAAGAAGTTCCCGGTTCATTAGTCAAAATCTGCGCGACAATAAACGCAACTCAAGAAAGTCGTGATCGCCGTTGCCCTTGAACCAAAGCCAGTTCGCGGCGGCCATCTACCATATCTGCACCTGCTGGTAGTACCTCGTACCGGAGCTCGCGATCAAAGTGCAAGTATTTACTCGGTTTCAGCCGCCCACGTGGTTTGTGCATTTGACTCCCGCTGATATGTGGGTCAAGGTCAGGTACAAGCTTGCCGTCCATCTGTTGTTACTCAAATGCTCTACTGCATTGAGCTGACTCGACCGACCCGATGGCATCACTCGACGCAGGGCGATCGCAGGGATGTCCAAATCGACGTTCAGTGTCCAGCCCTTCGTCGATGCGCGGCCAGAACGACACACCTACGTCATTGCACCGCCGTCCGGGAAATCATCTCCGAGAACCAACGGCGTCCACCAGCATGAACTCAAAACTTGGGATGTCATGCAATTCATGGCCTTTTCCCGACACAGCTAATTGAGCTGCTCTTCGTTTTCCGCGTCCTCTCGCACCTGCAAAACGCATCTTGGGACAGGCACGCAACCGATCAAATACTCGAGCCGGAAGATCGAAAGCGAAAGGCAAGCAACTTCCGGTGGCGACCTTTCCATCAAACCTTCCCCAAAGTCGGCATTGAGATAAGCACAACTTTCCCGCGTGCTGCGAATTGATCTCTAGCTGGCATCTGATTATATCGAGGGGACATTCTGGAAGGAATGCCATCCATCCTCAGCTGAGGACATCTTCCAGCGAGAGCAGTGGGATAGGCATATCGCAACACGCGCGTACGCCCACTCCGACATTTTACCATCTTCGAGTCACAATGGCCGACCCGGAGCGGCAACCTCTAATTCGAAGCACACCAAACACTCCACTGACCCCGTTCCTCCCGTCAGACCGGCGGTTCATTACAGCCCTCCAGCGTTCCGAGGACTTCATTGCCTGCCACGTGCAGAAGATTCATGGCGCGGACTCCTGGGTCTGGGGCCTGCGGCACAACCTCCAGCGCTTCCTGTCTTCAAAATGGGGCCACTACTTTGTGATTATCTTGGTCGCGGCCGACATATCCTGCATCTTCGCCGACTTTCTCGTCAGCTTGCACATGTGCGAGCACGGCGGGGACAAGGGCTTTGATTTGCATGCGTGGAAACAGGTGAATGACGTGCTGGGATACATGAGTCTGGTCTTTTCCTGTTTGTTTGTAAGTCTTCCTGATGATCCATTCACCTCGGTGTTCTTCTCGCATAGTGCGGTCCAGCCAACCTCCTTGTCTTTTGAACGAGCCTGGCGATGTCGCAGCGGACTTGAGATATCTGAGATGTCTGTCCGAATATTTCTCCCGATAAGAAGAACGCTAACTTGACCGTCATGAACCACAGATGGCCGAACTGCTAGGCAGTGTCTTCGCTTTTGGATTCTAGTAAGTAAAGTTAGCTGATCTGATCTTGTTCCTTTCCATTCCTGTTTGCACCATGACAGCGTAACGCGACATAAACCCCCCTAATTCCCATCTCCCTATAAATTCATATACATATACATGTACGCGTTTGTGTATACATACATCTGACGCGCCTCACAAAGCTACTTCGCCACCCCGTTCCACGCCTTTGACGCCCTCGTCATCATCGCCGCCTTCGTCATCGACCTCGTCCTGCGCGCCGGCCCGCTCGAAGAAGCCGGCTCTTTGGTGGTGGTGCTCCGCCTGTGGCGCGTCTTCAAGATCATCGAGGAATTCTCCTCCGGCGCCGAAGACCAGCTCGTCGAACTGCAGGAGCGCGTCGAGGCGTTGGAGAAGCAAAAGGACGACGCGCTCAAGGAGAATGAGCTGTTGCAGAGGCAGCTCAGGCTGGGACCGAGGTCCCGTGGAGGAAACGGCAATGGGAATGCGCTGGAGGGTGCCGATGTGTACGCGGACGGGCATGCCACGCATGGGACCAGGGGGAACAGGGATATGGATGTGGACGGAGAGGCGAGATGAGACCCTTGTGTACGTTGACTTACTAAGAAAGACCATGGGGGTTAGGGGTCCGAGTATGTGTATGTGTAATAATGGTTCAATGGGGTCTTTTCGGTCAGGTCGGCAGGCGTGTATCCTTTGATGGCCGATGATGTATACTGTCCCGAGTATGGACTTGGATTAGGCCCATCTTCACTACAAGGTTTGATTATGTATAGAAATGCTCATTCTCTTCTACAGGTAGATGCTATTGACGGAACCGACACACGTGCGGAGAGCTCGATACGCCGGGAGGGACACACACAAACATGATGGATCTTCTGACAGAGGAGATGGTATCATTCTGAGGCATAAGTATCTGTAATTGTAGCTTGCACATTCCATTCTCGAGGTCTCGCTCAACCACCGCGGCAGGGTCAGGACCTAGCCCGATCACACTGCTCAATGAACCTGTAAATACCTTGTAGTCCTTCATATCCACCGCCGTCCGCAGCCGCGGGCTCGGTATACCCCTCTCGTACTGGCTGGAAGAAGTACGTGACAGGGTGGTCCGTCTCCAGCAACTCACTCTCGTGCAGGGACGAGTATCCTGACGGCGAGGACGAAATCCAGGGATTCTTGTCCAAAGCTGGATCAGCCAGTTCTAACACGTCAAAGGACTGGCTCGTTGCCGAGAGATGTGAAAACCCCGCGGATGCATGCCGAGGCGGCGTCAGCATCTCATGCCACTCGACCCGGTCCTTCTTGACCCGCTTGGTTGCCCTCTCGTACATTTCGAGATCCGCCTCGCTGACAGTCTTGCTTGGGGCGAACGGGAAGAGCAAAGCCATCTCGGTGCCATTGCGGGTGTCAAAGTCCTCGTCTTGACCGACTATACCACGCTTGACGTTCAGTTCGCGGCAGAGACCTTCCACCGTATCTGCGTCGCATCCGGGGAAGCAGACGCGAAGAGTCGCGCTGTCATGCAACGAGATGGGAAGGTCGCCGAGCGTGGATAGATGTTTGAGGTCATTCATGATGGCGGCAAGGTCTTTCAATGCTCGCGCAAAGTCAACGGCCAGGTTGGACATGAGGGTGCTGTTGTTCAAGGTATCTTGTTGAATCTCGGAGTCGCACGAAGAGGCAGGCGGGGAGCGAGGGACGCTGGCCAGGGGACCAATGGCCGTGATCGTGGGAGAGACTTTGAAGTCGATGAATGAACCAGGCCCAGCCCTGGCGGCCATATCCATTGTGTGTCTGGCCTCCTCTTGCAGGCTGGACACCGCTCGGAATCTCTTCTCTCCAGTGCGAGGGTCTGAACCATCAAAACGGGCCTTCTGACCAGATAGCCAGAAGGCTCGTACGGCTTGTGACACGTTGTTGACCACCTGTGCGGGGGCAGCAGGCGTATGTGAGAAATATCTGGCCCCGCCAACTCGACCACCTCCTAGGCCGTATCCACCGGCATGACGTGCCAAGGTCCCACCAGTGAGACTGGGACGTAGAGTGGATGCAAAGGGGGCACGGCCGCTCGACTGATTGACGCGCGAGCCGGTTTGTGAAGAGGGATAAGACGCCCGAGTCTGGCGGGATTTGGGGCCAACTTGGGACGAGTAGTGTCTGATGGTATCGGCGGCATGGACCTTCGTGCTGTAAAGGCGACCCTGAGATTGGCGGATTTGATCAAGTCGGTTCTTGGGTTGACGCTGAGAGACGCGGACGTAGGCTGGCTGGGCGTCGGCCTCGAGAGGTTTGGCTGCCTGCGGAATCTTGTCGCGGATGAATTTGCCCGTCTTCTCGGCGGCATATCGCGCCAACCTCATGGCCTTCTGGGCCAAGAGGTGGCCTCCTGACGACGCCATGATGTTTACCCACCAGGCGGAGGAGAGAGCTGTGGACTCGCAGTGGTGGAAGTGAGAGGGACGAGATGTTGGGGACGAGGTTGATATGAGTTTAGCAAGTAGGCATTTGCCACCAGGGTCCGGATTGCAATTGGTCAAACACTTTCCCCGCAAACACTGATTTCTCCGGTGCCGTCCGAGTCACGTGGAGATATTGACTCGACGGGTAAAGCGGGTGGACTAATTAACGGCGTGTTTCTCACCAGATTTGTCGATCAGTGCCGCCGCTTTTGGTGCGTGTTGTTTCCATGTTTCGAGAATGCTGAGGGGACGCCTTACATTCTGCCCAAACTGTCGGACACTCTACACTCAGAATAGTGAATGGCCTGATATTCACGGACGGCAACGGGGCGCGAGGCCATGTGCGCGTGATGTAAAAGCAGCGCCGTGCCAAGCCATGAACTCGAGTCACGTGTAATGTCCATTCCCGCTGTCGTCACCAACCGAAGCTCATCACCGGTCGCCGTCTCTGAACCACTGATTGGCCTCAATGTGACAGCCTCTCAATTCCCGCGACCTGCCCAGACCATGCTTGACCACGAACATATACGGTCTGTGTTGCTGCAGGTGACTGGTCACAACGGCTTCACTCTATTACCACCCTGTCGAAGGATGACTCCAACTCAAGCAACGACCTCCAGACGTCTCCTAGATCCCCATAGTGCACTCGATAACCATGTCTCCTTGGTTTGCGCGCATTGTGTAGCATAGGCCAAGCGCTAGGCGCCTACAGTGAAAGCTAGGTTCCTCAACCATGGTGGGCGTGCCTCGGTCAAAAGGATGCGTTGCTTGTCGGGCTCGACACAAAGGTGTATGTTTGCTCGAGAATGGATTCAATTCGTAGGCTGGATGCGCTGCATAAGCTAACTCGAAGGTAGTGCGATGCCCAAAAGCCGTCATGTGGTCAGTGCATCCGGAGAGGCGTTCGATGTCCGGGTTATGCCAAAGATCTGAAAATGGTGATCGTCCAGCCCGGGAAGAAGCAGCACACCATGGTTGTAAGGGCGAGCTCGCCAGGCTCCTCAGTGTCCACGATAAGCCGAGACACATCGACAGAACCGAGATTTGTAGGACTTCTCCCGTCGCTACTCGGCACGGCGTTCCGCTCTCAAACATACGAGTGCTTCATCACCGACTACGCACCGCATTCCACAGAGACATGGGCGGGGCTGCCAACAAATCTTTCTATCATTCCCGCAACTTCATGGCTGCAAGCTGCCATTGCCGTTGCCCCAACAGATCCTGTCCTCAATAACGCTCTTACGGCGATGGCGCTTGCTCAAGTCGGGCGGATGACAAGGCGGCCGGACCTGCTTCTGGTCGGCAGGAAACTATACACCGAAGCGCTGAGTGGTCTCAATCGGCGGCTAAAGGGTGGAGACGAATGCTTTACGGACACAACAATTGCTGCCGTTACAACTCTCAGCATATACGAGGCTCGTGGTGACTTTGCTATCAAGGGCACACTGTGGATGACTAACGCAAGCTCCAGATGCAAGAAGGCTCCAGCGAGGGACGCTCGAAGAGCTGGCAATCGCACGTCAAGGGGGCCTCAGCACTTATCCAACTGCGCGGAAGGGCCAACTTCTCCACACCACTGAGCAACAGAGTCTTCCTCGGAGCGCAGATAGCCGAGGTAAACCCCGGATACCCAGTGCTGCCGCTGTCTCGCTGATGATTCTAGTTCATTGCATCAGTCGGAAGTCGGAAACCCTCAGCCAATGCGTCGCTGTGGTCGCAAGCCTGTCAGAGCACGACGACTGATCCCAGCTTCATCTCGCCCTTGCGCCTCTTCGAGATTTTGCATACTCTACCAGCGATCATGAGGGATGCTGAGAACATATCGCCTGTTTATATCGCTGAAGAGCGAACCGCGGACAGCGTTAGCGACGCCTTGGTGTCTGTCATGCAAAATTGCCATGATTTCGAGACGAGACTGACGGAGTGGTACAACGACCTCGAAGCACGATACCAGAACGATCACAGAGGGATCAGACCTCAGCCTAACGCACCCTTATTTATCGACGAGACTGAGACCACAGTCGAGTCGAAGCTCTACTGGTTCGAGCCATCGACTCTTTACTCGAGGCTGCCGCGCAACAGTGCAGCCCGGATATTCCCCTTCTTTATTTGCTTTCCGAACCCAGACATCGCGTTTCAGATCATGCTGCATTGGACGGGCCTTCTGCTCATGCACATCACACTGCATTTGACGCGTTCTCGGTTCGGCCAGGCCAGACCCGGGATATCTTTGCCTGTTATCGGACAGTTCAAATTCACGAATGACGCCCGCTCTCTAGCCCTGCTCATTGCCCAGTCTCTCGAATATTTCGTGCACCCAGACATGGGTCTCCTCGGGACGAACCTCATCGGGTTCCCGTTATCTTCGGCGCAGAGGTACTTCCAGCACGCAGGCACCAAGGAACAATTATGGTTCGACGTAATCTTCCAGCGCATAGGAGAGATGAAGTCGGGGCTCAGGGGATTCTTAGACGACATGGCCCAGCGACGTACGGTCAAGCTGGTGAGCCCGTGGCATCGCACGTCGCTTAAGTAGGCTGCAAATCTATAAACACGATGCGTTGCATTCACCAGTCTACTAAGCGGTAAAGCCCTACCAGAGCGGGCCAATCAGCTGCATCGGAAGAGCTGCACATATTCGGCGTTTGCATTGGGAGGCTGGGAAAGGTCACGGCGCCCCAGGTACCCCTTTTGATGTCTCGTCTTTCCTACCCGACCACGCAGGTTATCGTAGAATAGGATAGTGATGGATAGCTTGCAGTACGGAGTACTGTATCTCTCAATTCAAACCACGCGGCATCGGCTGCGAGCATGTGTGGGGATGCAACGTAACATCCAAACGACGATGGCAATGACTCAACGAACCTGGGGCTCTTTGACTCATGCTTCGTCTACAAATTGGGCTGCACTTGCTGCAGCACCGGTCCATCTGTTTCCTTTTGTCCCAGTGGAGCTCCTGTTAATTATACAGCAATGATGGCGACGGACACACTCGCTTCTGATTTCTGTGTGCCCATACCTCACCCGACACTGAAGATTGCACTGACACCGCCTCGCGAGTCTGATCGCGACGCCTCGGTCGCCGGCATCAACGACCCGGCAGTTTACATGAACTTGAACAGCCCACCATATCCATATACCGACAAAGACTGGGCCGAGTGGTATGCCATCAACGGCGGCGCCTCGGACGCCAACCTGGCAGAGTTGAAAGCAATCCATCAGGAACAGCCACCATCTGTTGTGGCCTCACGTGACTGGTCGACGAGGGGGTGGCTCGGACAGAGACCGTGGACCTCGACGATCCGCGACGTCGTCGACGGGAGGTTCATCGGCAACATTTCCATGGGGAGGGAGACGTTCATGTACATTCTCGACCCCGAGGAGAGACAAAGAAGGAAAGATGAAAACGACAAGTTACAGCCTGGCGACCCAAGAATACTCTGGATGATCGGGTGTGAGTTGTCTGAACTGCCCATGGAGACGGAGCCGGGGGCGCAGACGCTGACACCGAACAGTTTGGCTGGTACCAGAATATCACCGTCGCGGGATCATGCCGGCTGCTCTCAGAACCCTGCTGACTGATATTGCCGTCCCGTACATGAATGCGCATACGGTGCATGGGGGATATTTCGAGAACAACCTTGCCAGCGGAAAGGTGTTTGAGAAGACCGGATTCGTCTTTGAGACTTTTGTACCGGATGTTTTCACCATCAACCCGGCAAAGCTCAACGGCGTGGAAGGTAAGAAAGTTGGGACGGGGATCATGAAATGGGAGCGCCATTCGGCGGGCTGAGGAATAATTGCAGGGCACAGACTGTGCGTACTGAGTATGAAGGACGTAGCTCAGCGCCTGGAGGAGAGAAGTCGCCCGTGGAAGGAACCTGCTACGTACTGTGTCCCATCTCTTCGATCAAGAACAGACGTGTCGACGATCAGCCTTGCTGTGGTGGTACAGATGTCATGCAACGAGGACGGGCTGCCGGAGACCACGAGGTACTCCGCTACTTGCGCACCTGCGAACGAAGGTTTCACTTTCATAGCTGAATCAAATACGATACAGCTGCAAACATGCTCGTCACAGATGCAGCCGACTCAAGAAGCAGGGGAGAGGTTTTTGTCAGGCAGAAGTGGAGTGACCACACACGTACTCCGTACTCCGTATTTCTGGGAGTCTTGGCTGGTTCCTGGCGGCGGCTTCCGAGCCCCTGGGTGCTTAGCAAGAAGACCTAACGAAGCCTAAATCGCACCCACTTGTGCCCGGAAGTTTCTGCCCGGGCTAATTAGCCTCCTCCCGGTTTTCGTGGCTTGATGGCTCAGCTGTTGTTCTGTAACAATTCCCGCCCGGAGCTCGGTCATCACCAGACGCGGCGAGAAACCTCCTCTAGCCTGTTCTGTGTCAGCTGCCGTGTCGGCCAGGCGGTCGTGGGAGGGGGAGCGGAGCGGGATTCAGCATCTGCCAGGATGGCGCCGCATGCCCATGGCAAGATGAATTTCTTTAAAAGCTGCAAAGTGCGATGGACTCACCGTGGCCTCGTTATTCTACCGATCCAAACAAACTACAAGAGCTGAAGTCACAAAGACACAAATCATCTCAACCACCGCACATACACACATACACCATAAATGGTCCAATACGATCCATTTGTCGGCATGTTTCCTGCCGCTGCCCTTCCCTTGCGGCATGCCGCTCAAACCAGCAACAACACCGAGCACTCTCCAGGACACAGTATGTTTTCAGTCACCCCCTTCCACTGCAGCTCAATGCCCTTGCTAACACTCAAGGAAGACGAGTTCGTCCACCACAGACTGAGGAGACTGTCATCAAGCTGTGCTCATCACCCTCGGTGCTGTTCCAAATGCCACTTGCGACTACCATCCCAAGAACATCATCCAGCCTTGCTGCGCCATGACAGCACTTCCAGCGACGAGGAATGGGACGGTTTCTGCCCGGACATCACCATGCCCAAGGATGGGCAAGCCCGTCGCTCGGTTCAAAGACGGCATTCCAGCCTCTGCCCCACAAATGTCGCCAACCACGAACGCAAGGGTAGTGGCGGCTCACCCGTGCAGATGCTGGTGAGAGAACACGACGGTGCCCTCGCCCATCACCACGACAAGTGTAATTGCGAGACCGTCATTCCAAGGGAAAATCTGGACGAGAGATACGGACTAGTCGAGGAGGTCTCAGAGATTGGGCAGAGAAGGCACAGCTTGGATCAAGAGGCTGCTGGACGGCTGGCGGACATTATGCACCAGGAATTGATGTCGGATATGGAAGCACGGCAGTGCCTGCTCTGACGGAGATGGAGAGGCTTTGGTTGCTCATACACTGTACTCTTTAAAAGTCTCGCCGGCGCCATGAGTTCCCAACAGGGACTGGGGCGGTTGGGGATTGGCGGCAAATTGAGGTGAGGGGATCACTAATCCTGGGAGACGGCATTGTGCATTTCTACAGTATGCGAGTTACGAAGGATGATGCATGACACGTTTTGCACCTGTTCTGCTACAAATCAATGCATGCTTTGCCTTCAGTTCTCCCTGTGCAAGCTCAGAAGGAACAGAAGGAGGGAGGAGTAAGTGGGTGTCTTGTCCGGACTCCCACGGCGTATGTACTACCTAGTATGTAGTTAACGCTCTACAAGACATCCTTACTTGTACCGGTGCCAGCGCTCGCAATGCATAAGGGGTAATTAGATTCTGTCTGCCACAATGTCTACACGTTGTGAACCACGAGAAAGTCCGCTTCCGGCCATAAGAGCCTTGGGAAGCCCAGAGTGACGAGGCTACAGAACAAGGGGCGCACGCTTGGTGGGTAATTACAGTGGCCCGTAGACCCGGATGGCGCCTTTACCGTGCAGCGCGTGGGCGCCCAGGTGCCACGCTGGGTGCTAAATAAAAAGCCGCAACAGCTAACGTCAGCCGCACAAGGCGCGTCACGACATACTATGTACCGTACTCCGTACATATCACACCACCTCTCAACCACCTCCGTATCAGCACGGACAGGCACTGACTGGTGACTCTAGCACCCGCTCCGGTTATTCTAGCGATGGCTCATCCGTCCCTGCCCAGCGAGCGCAAGTTTACGAACCAGAGATCCCATCAGCGGCATTAGCTACAGGTCTCAATGACTACCAGTACGAGTCAGTTCATGGGTTGATCCAAGCTCGCCTACCTAGGTAGTGTCAGGCGAAAAATATGTCTCCCATCCCCCCAGGCCTTATAAGTAGCTCGCAGCTTTGCTCATCTTCGGCTCACCTTCTGCTTCCTGAGCGATCACTGAGCACTCCCTGACCTTTTTGGTCTTTCCTCTTCCTCTTCAGTTCAAGACACTAAATTTCGTCAACTTTAGACGATGGGACCCGTTTGAGATGCCGGGGGGGGGGAAGCGGGGGGATTGGCCTAACCCGGCCTCCCATCTAATGTCTGTTGACGTGGGAGTAGGCATGTTAGGAACAGCCTATGGCGATAGGCAGAGAGTAATAGTATAGGTAGAGATAGTATTAGGTATCCCTAGATCCAAGGTTAATATAGGACTCGGAGCATAAGAGAAGGGAAGGTCTCTTATACGGGATACACACGGGTCATGTGCGTTTCCTTAGTGTGCTTAGTAAGCCTTGGTTATTATTCTTGACATGAACCCAGGCTCGTAGTGGATGCTCACGAAATTACCCATACTACCCTTCGGCCCATGACATTTTTCTTTTTTTTATAATTCTGTTCAGAGGCCTCTTCTTAATCTACCTCGGAATGCTATGGTAGACTATATATCGTTGCCCAACAAGAGTTTCAATACCATGTTACCGTGCAATTTCAGGCCAACGTGAAAGGTCCTAGTCGTTACAACCCTTAGAATATCACTCTATCACACTTCCGACGCATTGATCAAGCGAGCGTGTAGGAATCATTGCGATTCAGGCAGGCGTGTGTCACAAAGGATCAAGACTGCGTGCACGCTTCGGCAGATGAATCAGCACTACGGCAGCCACATCACGCGCGATCGCTTCTAAGCGATTTCATAGGAACCTCTCGCACGATCATTTGCGCAGCTGGCTGTCTTTCACGAGCGCGTGCGTTGGTATTGCTCAGTGGCTCGAGAAAGGTGCTAAGCAAAGGAGGAGGCAGCTCTCCGGATAGTAGCAAGCCGGCAATTTAAAGCCGAAAGGTGCCCAATTCGACATCTAAGGGTAGCCCAGGAACCTTTGTAACAGGGTGGAGACCTACGCTTCGTGCATTACAAACGAGCCAGTGACCTCGAGGTATCTTTGGATGAGCGCAGAATTGAGGCACCTATTGGAGGCCTAGATGCCATCTGTTCCGGGCTCTTGTTTTTCTGGGTGTGCTGGTTCGGATGCAAACCCTCCAGTCCCGCTCGATACAGTTTCGATGCCGCAGCCCAGGAGTCTCGTTCGATGGACGGATTGCGCGACGCGCAAGATTTGCTCCACTATTCGTCAGATGATTGCCGTTGCCGCCGTGCCGTATTTCCCATGCACAAGCTTATCCGGAGATGGCACGGTCCGTATTAGTGAAAACTGAATGCCCCATCAGTTCGTGCCCTTGCCTTAGACCAATGGTAGAACGCTGATATGAGACAAATCTGTTACGGGACGAGAGCCGGGTGTACAGGTTCAACAGATGTTGGAAAGGGTGCATACCCAGGGTGAGAGGCACACATCATCAGCTTGTGTGCTCAGCGCCTCAACGACGACTGTGATTCCTACCCCGCTCTCGTGGCTTGCCCCATCCTTCTTCTATCCAACGACTTCCTTGCGCCCCCCAATGCAGCGCCTCCAGCAGCAGACTCACATGTATCTATAGACTGGCACGCCGTGCCGCAGCATGTCCTGCAACCCACCATACCATTTCCTTTGCGTAGTGATGTCCTTCCACTGACTGCGCATCTCTTCTTCATTGATCTAGACAATGTATTTAAGAAACTCAGACACTTGAGAGCTTTGCATGCCGTCATCAAATAGCAAGGACAAGCAGCGCATGAAGGTTAGTCCAAGCCATAGCAATTGTCTTTGGGTGAGTAATCTCCTTCTGACCTGTGCGGCCAGCGACAGGGCTTAGCCTCTGATCAGCGACCTCGCACCAGAGCGTTTGCCAAACTTCATGGGCTGAGTGTCGAAGATTTCACACTTGAGGACCTCGACGACGTCTTGCGCAAAACCAGGTCGCGAAAAATCTCAAAGCCTCCAAAACAGTCGACATTCAGGTCGAGTTCCTCGTTGCCGCCGTCATCGAAGGATAATCGAGCCGCGAAGACTACTCTGCAGCCACCGGGGACGTCGAATACACGCGAAACTCGATCAAACAAGAGCAAGGGGAAGCATTCGCTTGAGGTGTTGGGCGGACCTGACGCTCGCGACTTACGGTCACAAAAGCGTCAGTCTCCGCCGGCACGTCAGGGTCCAAAAAATCAGCCTCAATCGAGGGAGCTTCCCATTTCATTGAGCCGTCCCGGAACAGGGTTGGAGCAGGCGACTGACACAGAAAAACGGGTGAGAAAATATATGAGCTTGATGTGGTAATGGAGCTGACAGACGATAGGAGAACGTCTCAGTCTGGCTAAACCTAGTCAGCCCCGACACAGCGCAGACTTCTCACAATTTCACGGAGAGAGACGTTGATTCACATATTGCATCCGTGTCAGACTCAGGAGACATGGAATCTTCAAGCTCACACCTCACTAGCACCAGTGCCGCTACTGAAAATGCAACAACTACGAAGGCTAGCACGGTCCGACATATCGATTTCATGGAACACTTGGAATTCCGAGGCATCACAGATAAATCTTCAGGTGACGGAAAGCTTAAAGAACTCGGTCTAGACAAGATTATCGATGCGGCGCCTTCACACGTCGAATTTGGGAAATTCGAAAGTCTCCTCAGAGTGTTGGAAGACTACCTTAAGAAGTTCAGGAAGTCAGTGAAGGATCGGTCTTCCGAGAATGGTCTCCCCGTTTATGATGCTTTGAGGCACGAGATAAGTCACTGGAGGCCTGACACTGGGGGTTACAGACGGTTTCCTCCAATGTCTCCCCAGGACTTTGCATGGGACCAAACACAATGCTCTACTTCGAGTGAGGCCGATTTTCACAGAACCATCATGATCTCCATTATAGATCGCCTCGATTTTCGCGGTATTTTCACGTTTAGCTGCGAGGAACAATGGCGCATTGAAAAGAAGCTTTTGATAAAAGCAACAAAGGATAGCAGCAAGATCACGCAGCCGAAACCCGACCTTGCCATATCGTTTCATCGAGACGCCTTCATAGAGTCGACACTCCTCGAGTTTCCCATCGAGCTCGGGAGTTGCCTGCATCCGGGCAAGAGAGGACGTGAGCGATGGTTTCCATTCCTCTTCTTGGAAGCCAAAAGGGAGGATAGCTCGCTCCGTACCGCATTCGAGAAGAATCTGTACAGCACCAGCCAGGCGCTCTTCAATATCTTCCAGTGGATGCGCCAAGTTCCCCAGCTCCTCGAGAAATTTTTCAAAGATGTTCGAACGTTCAGCATAGTTCTTAACAATGAAGACATGGTGTTGAGAATGCATCGCGCCGAGGGAAATACAGATGATCGCCTTAGGTACCATTTCACGGAAGTGGCCAATATCCGAAATTACAGCCGCGATGCCGCCTGCCACATGGTCAAGAGTGTGTTATTAGACTACGCGTTGCCACATCTACATCCCATCCTGAAAGAAACCTTCCAGAGTGTTGCTGAATTGGATCACTTGAGAGGGAGTGGAGCAAAGCGCAAGCAGGACCTCATGGATGCACAACAGTCCAAACAGATCATTGACGACCGCCCGGGGCCCGGAGAGACAGATCCTCCTCAACTGCAGGGCATTAATACGGGGATATCCTTCGATGCCGACAATCTGACCTTAGCTGGGCCGCCCAAGCGGAGCAAAAAAGGTCGACGTGGTCGGTGACTGTTAAACTGTGGGTCCCTTGCATTTGAGGCTATAGTTTTGGGCGCCTTTGACTATATGGAGCGCGATATATCAAGAAGTTTTAGATAGTAGCTTGGGTGGGCGATAGCATTCGGTATAGCCGTCAGAAGCGAAGGCGCGCCCAGCCTATGCCCGGGTCGGAAATGACAGGGCTGCCTAATCCAAAGCCAGATTTTCCGGCAACAAATTTACAAGCAAAAACTTAGGCGGAATCGCAAGGGCAGGGAATCTGCCAGGTTCCTAACACCTGGCTCCTAGCCGAGAGCCAAGTATAACCGATCGCAAGGGGCCAGATTAAGCCCCTCCTCAGTGATGCTCAGCCAAAGACTCAGTTGAAAGCTCAGGTTAAAGCGGCCTTCGCTCACCCACTAGGATCAAGCCGTATATGGCAGCTAGGTTTTTCGTTCTTGAGTAACAGAGGTACCGACCTGCCAGCCTGACCGTGGAGGCGGCCCACTCGACGATCCGGATTCGCACTTCATTCCCCGGTATTTTGTCGTCACAGGGGATGGGCGAGAGGGATATACACAATGCATGCACGTGTGCTGCGCGTTCCTCGATCGAGACGGATGGGGGTCTCCTTGGCCACCGAGACCCTTCTGCTTTTATCCTGTTTCACCTCTGCATCACGCCATCCTTTCGCCTACTTTGTACGGGTGGCACTTCTTGCGGAGCAGGCTTCACACTGCCTTGCATTGCGGCAATTCGGAATAGGAGTACTATCGCATGATACTTTCCACTGCTACAGCACAGTGGCCGTCGCAGTCGTGAGAGCCTACTGTGTACGCGCACAGTCGAGACGATTGCATATTCTTCTTATCGCGCCTGCGCCACTCAAGACACACCACTTACGGCTGGGCATGGCGGATTCCGCTCACCGGGCAGCGCCGCTGGGCTGGGCTGGCTCGGAGTGTCTTATCCCGCATGGGCGATCTTCTGCACGCAGTGCATCTCGTTGGCCGTGCCGCCAGTCCGCCCGCCGGCTGGAGGTTCGTACGGAGTACCACAGTAGGTAGATACCAAGTAGCTTGGGAGGTGGTAGGTGGTAGGGAGGGAAGTACCGTGATTGGATTGTGTTCTGACGACGCTCACACGCTCATGCTCATATGCGTAGGTATATTTGTATATAACCGCTCCCTCGATCCAGAGGAGAGGCCAACCCCTCCTAGAGAACGATTCAGTACCACACATCTAGCGGTATACAACACACCTCACTGTGTAGCAAAGACATCCACTCTGCACCAAACGCACGATCGGACTTTTGCACCCCCAACACTCACCTTCACACCTCACCTTTGTACTCGGCATCTTCATCTCGAGTTTAGAAAAGTACCAGAATCAGACTCGACTCATATCTACGGTATTATACACCACTGGTTGTACCTGGGACAATTCAAAACACCTCAACTACAAACCTCACCCTCACGATGGCAGCACTCCCCTACGCCGTGCCGCCCAACTACGCCATCAGACTAGTCGAAGAACCTCTCTCCGCGGGGCACCCGGTCCAACCACACCCCTCGCACCCCTCGCACTTCCAATTCCCACGCACGTCCCTCCACGCGGCGACACTACAAGCGCACTTCAAAGGCCCGCACGCGCCAGGGAGCGTGCGGGCGCCACGTTCCACAACGGCTTGGTCCCCGCCCACCGACATCCGCGAGACGCTGGCGACTTACCACATCGAGATCGAGGTCCCGGGGGTCACGAACAAGGAGGACATTCTCGTGCAGTGGCTCAGCCCGCACACGCTGCTCGTGCAGGGCGTGGCGAGCCGGCCCCGGAACATCGGCCTGACTGACCAGGAAGAGGGGGAGAGAGTCTGGGAAGGAAAGGAGGGAGAGGGATGGGCTACCGAGGCGGGGCACGCGAAGGTATGTACATACTGTGGAGTACGGTTCGCGGGATCTCTTCTCTCTTTCGGCCCAGTTCTAGTCTGGGGAATACGGCATCCCATCCCGCTCCCGCTACGAGTTGACTAGCTCTCCCCCAAGCTATACCCCCAAGTTACGCGCAGCTAACACGTCTGATACTGTAGCGAGCGGAACCCGACGACGGTGGTCCCCTAATGCGCACGCCCAGCCGCGAGACGGTCGAGGCCGAATACCTCGCAGACGCGACGCCCACGATCCTGCTCTCGGAGCGGAACGTCGGGCCCTGGCGCCGCACGTTCACCTTGCCCGAGGATGTGGAGATGCGGGAGTTGAAAGCTCGGCTGGAGGGTGGGCTGTTGCGGATCGATCTGCCGAAGCGGAGTATTGAGGATTTGGGGGCCATGAAGGGTGGGGGCGTCAGGATTGATGTCGAATAGAATAGAATAGAATAGATTAGGGCGGGGATTGCGCTGCATATCGAGTAAGGTAGGGTAGGGTAGGGTAGGATATAACAGAATGGGTCAAGAAGAAAGGCGGCGCGTGGCACGCCGCTTTGTCTTTGCTGTGGCGGGAGGGACGGTTGGTTAGCTGAAGCCATGGGAAGAGCATTGCACTCGAAGAGAGATGAAATATGCTATATGGTCGGCTGAGTTGGGTTGGATAATGACCTAGGACTGAAGAACTGCACGCCAGGATGGGATGAGGATGAGGAACCACACATAGATACGGCGCATTACCTTGGACGGATCTGGAACAGCAAGATACAAAGGCCATAGAAACGGATGATTCTGACGAGGCGGACTCACGCACGAACTCGGACTCGGACTCAGGCGTCTGGTGTTGCGGACAGCTGGCAGCTGGCATCTTACAGCTTGACTTCGCCGTGTACTCCGTAATAGGCAGATCAGTATAAAGCCAAGTAATGCGAAACGTCGGTGGCACTCAATCATAAGGCCTATACTACATATATATACTATCCCCCCCCCCCCCCCCCAACACAAAGACCTTGACTTGATTTTTATTATACATGCACATCGCGCTCTTTTCAAATCACGGTATTTGCTTCTTCGCTCCGTCCTTTCGACCTTGGGTTCGGGCCGAAATATTGAACATACCTTCATTTCTATAGTAGTACGTGTACTCCCAGTACGGGACCGACGTGCCTGGGCACATTACATAGGACAATCCAGAGTGGCCGAAAGGCGGACAAGCGAGCACACCCAAGTTGGGACGAGAGATTTTCCTTCCAGGTGTCTTCCATTCTCTTCCTTCTCAAGATTAGATTCACGTTGGTATCCAGATTCATCCCGTTTCCGATTCCCATGCCCTTGGGCCCATCAGATTCGCCAGGACACCAAAACGCGACACAGCGGGCAATGGCCACACGCTGAAACCGCTACATTTTCCGCCCTCAATGCGAGGGACAGTACAACCCAAGAAAAGATATAGGACAAGACAACCCAAAGTCTGCCATCTGTGTGTTCCTACACGGCCTGCACTTGCAAATTCACCACCTGTTTCAGCAAACTGCAATCCTCGCACCGGACCAGCTTCTCCAACACCCTCACCCGTTCGGATAACCTGTAGATTTCATTCTCCATGTGCCGCATCTCCACCTCGGTCTGGTTGACGTAGTTCATCGCCTCGGTCAGGACATCGCTCTTGCGCACCTTAGCGGCAGGTGGACCATTATTCGAAACCATGCTGTCTTCATGCTCGCCGTCCTCGCCGACCCGCGGGCCGTAGTGTGAGTTCTGTAGCGTCGAGTGGAGTTGCATGATCTTGGCGTTGAGGTTTTCGCGGTACTTGCGCTCGACCAGTGAGTGGGCCTGTTTGGCGCGTTGTTTGGCGTCGGCTTTGGACGGCGCCGTGGTCTTTGTGGTCGATGGAGGGGCTTCTGCCTCTTCTTCGTCGTCGTTGTCTGACGACACCGCCGTGGCAGTGGGGATGTAGATGGGTTTGTGGCTGGCGCGGGTGGTGCGGCGCATGCTTGTTGCCGCGCTGGTAATGGCGGATCTCCTGGGTGGGAGGGGCACGACGTCGGGTGGGCTGTCGGCCGTCGTTGCCGTGGAGCTGGAGCAGCGGCGGGTTGCTGAGGAGCGTGGGGTGGTGGCAGTACTCGTGCGTGTGACTGTGCTGGGTCGGTGGTGGACCTCGACAGACATGCTGTCGGGTGTAAAGTTTGTTTCGTTGCGCGAGTTGGCGTCTGTTATACACGGCACGGACGTGCACTCTTCGATAGGTGGCAGGGTGGTGAAATTCATGCAGGGTGCATCTGGACCACAGCGTGAGGGTTGACAGCTGTCTACTTGTCCAGCGATCAGGGGACAGAGCTTCTCAGTCGAGTCTGTCCTTGATGCAATGGAGACTGCGATGGGATCCAGGTTGGTCATGGGCGGAGAGTCAGAGGCTGGTAGCGTTGTCGTGATACCATTGTTCGTCATGTTAGAGTCATTGTCAGCATGTGAGCTGTGCAGGCTCGACTGATCCATGGGCGGGAGATTTGCCTCCATGTTGAGGAGCTGTGAGAAGGAGTATTGATTGCTGTGGTACGGATCTCCTGAGGCTCTGCGTGGGCCGGAATCCCGAGAGTTGCTCAGGTTACCTGTCGGTCCGTGGCGATGGTTGGGCTGCCGCAGATACGCCAGAGGATCTTGCGCCCTGTCCATGGCTGCTGAGTATTTCTGGTTGACGTCGATATCCACGGTTGACGTCGTCAGCGGAGTGCTGGTAAAGTCCATCTCATGCCACCCGGAGTAATCTACTGAGTCAGGGTCGACGATTGAAAGCTGGGGATGGTGACCCTGAAATGCATGTTGGTTGTGAAAGTCATGAGAGCTTTCTGGCTGTCGGAACAAGTGCCGGTAAGGCATCGTTGCTACTGGCTCGTCGCTTCTCCCGCGGCTGGTTTTCTGTCTCGGACGGATGCTGGAATCGTGCTGATTTCCACAAGATTACCGACTCAACACGCAACTCGGCGCATAAGAGACACCTTCCCGAAGGCCGCGTCCCAATGATGATAGAGAACGGTGACGCTTGCCGCAAGCTCGTAAGGACGCGTTCAGCGCTAACAGTGCGATACGGCTCGTCAGCTGCGGTGGGCACAGTATCGAGGAAAGCGGAGAGCAGAGTGTCAGGCCACGGTGACGACGAGGAAGAGGGATTTGGGTGGAGGATGTGTGTAGATGTAAGGGAACCGACGATGCTAGCTCGGTACAGGAAATCCGGCGGGCCCAGCAAGAGCATCGTCAAAGGGGGGCAAAGGTCAAGATGAGCGCTGCGTGAGTAAGAAACCCACAGTCACACCACGCCGCGACGATCCCGTATCGCCAAGCTGCCAGTGGTATCAAGATAGCCAATCAAGTTCGGCCGACGCTCGCCTAAGATCGGTACTGTTACTAGTGTTACGGCCGCCGGATCCAGACCCACGTTCAGCCAGATCCAGGCCCTCGGGCACGAGACATTTAGTCGTGACTGTAATGACACTGGCAGGACACCAAACAATGTCGAAATGACAGTGTAAACCCCACCGATTTATCCTCGCGTGGCCTGACATGCTGCACCATCCGATGTCCCACAAAGTGATCGACGATTCGATCGCTCGGGTTTGCGCCTCGCCAGATCCGGAGCTCCCGCATTAACCTCGCGGAAACCGCCGTCACCGGCTCCAGACACCCAAGCAGTACTCGTAGCGTAGCTGTCTGCCGAGTGAGCTGGTGACATTGTCACGCAACCTCTGGTGCTTCCCATAGCAGAGACATGCACTTTGCCAGCAACGGACGGAATCGGGCAAAACAAAGCACCAAAACATGGACACTGGATGTTCGAATTCTGTAGTTAAAAGCTCATCCTGAACGTCGAGTCAAGGTAGGAGATCAGCCAACCTCTCAACTGAATCAAATCGGGACATCACTAGAAGCAGCTCTATTTGACAATCGAGCCATTCCCAAGGCAACAAGCGTCTGCCAACACCGAGGCCTTCTCAACAGCATCCTATTCAACAAGCATCATCATGAACGCAGCTCGCCAAGTCATCTCCCGCCGCGTTGTCAGCGGCATGGGTCCCAGGCTCACCACACCCGCCCGATATGCTTCAACAAGTGTGGAGCATCAGGGGCTGGCACCCCATGATAGACAGTTAATGCGCAGTGTTTTCACTGCAGGGACAGTGGCCGTCGCTGGAGGCGTGGCGTACGGCGTAAGTGTTTCCTGAGACATATGTCCCAAGCTACGAGGTCGAAGACTAACCCTTTTTCTCAGGCGGCCAGATCTGGAGGTCGAGTAGGCAACCGGTTCATGAAGAGGAATTCGACGCTGGATAGCTCCAAGTGGTTTGCAGAAGGTTCTGATACCAGCCGTCTCTTCAGCGGTAGCCATTAGACTGGTGGGCATGGGTATTGTTGGCGTTCTTCGGCTGGGTCGGGCGTTCGAGGGCGTGGTCATGGATCAGTAAAGACAGGCTGGGCATGCCACGATCTACTGAACTAGGCAGAAAAGAAGGCTGCAGGCGGGAATTGTGTATGTTTAAATGTGCATCGTCATTTTAGACGACCATGGCATTTCGATTCGGCTATGTATACATTTGAACATGGGTATCACAAGAAGTTCGTCAAAAGTTTCCACCGAAGGTACCCAAACCAGCTTTCCAACTTTTGTTCAAGCAATTCACTTGATCGTCAATCACTTTTACCCCACCATACAGACAACGCCTACTAGAAGAGGCGAGGGACCAGTCGAGAAGCGGCGCCAAGGAGGAACACGAAGCTGAAACTTCGCTCGAGATTCAGCCCTACGAAGGACTGGCCACCCGATTGGAGGTGTTCAAGAATGGCGTGAGGGGCCGGATTGCCCAGATGCCGTCGTCCTCTTCTGAGTCGTATTTTGAATTCGCCGAAGCGGAGGTTGGACTCGTACACTCAGATATTTGGCCGTCACTGTCGTTGTCCGTGAGGCTGTCGTCGCTGTCAACAGAGGTGTCCTCGTCACTCCAGTCGTCTCCGTCGAAGCTATCGTAGGAACAGTCGCTTTCTTCGTCGGTATCGAATTCGTCGACATCGTTGCATTGGATGGCGGCTGCCAGCCTGATTTGGGTAATAGTTTCCAGTTGAGCTTTGAGTGCCGCTCTGAACTCTTCGAATGAGGGTACTTGATGTTCGACGTATGTTGCTGGGCTGTTCGCCTCTGTTGTGGTTGTGTAGGTCGACACGGGCTGAGCCTGAGCGAAGTCTTTCGTACGGTCATACACCGAAATATGACCCAATAGCCGGCGTAATCTGGGTTCCTCCCGAGCAGACTCTGACTTCAGATTCCAGTGCGACCTGAACAATAATCTGGCAGTTGATCGCGTCGTCTCGAGAGGGAGTTGGGTTGTGGAGGCGGAGAGGAGTGGTGCATGCGAGCTCAATGCCTCTTGTCGATCCATGCTGAAGACGTGTGGTTTTTGTTTGTGCTTGTGGGGCTTTGGTTGCAGAGTACGCTTTGACAACAATTCCTGGTGTAGAATTGTTTGTGTGAGAGACTTGGGAAGGGTCGTAGAGAACGACAGGGAAGCGGCTCTTCTTGAACCCTCTGTCGGGTCAGGCTACAGCGCACGAGCTTAGCAGATGTGTGTCTGGCCCATGATCAGACACGAGGCCCATCGATCCACCCCAGACAGCCACGTTCATCCAGGTGGGATCAGGAAAAAAGCCTTTCCTCGAAGCGGAAAAGTCAAGAAGGGGCACGCCGATTCATTAGGCGGTTGACTTTTGGGAGATGCGGCTGAAAGAACAACACCCGCTGCGTGGTTTCGCAGCAGGCGTGTCAAAGGCATGCCAAAGTGAGGGGGACCAATGATAAGTGCCGCTGGCAGCTGTCTTTTAGCCCGATTGGGGGCCACGCGAAGGCCAGAGGACTGGTCCAGTCTCCGCTAACCACGACTATCGAGAACAGGGGGTGCACAATGGGGAAAGGCATCTGTCACCGGCAACACCCAGGAACCCTGTCAATCACGGAGTCGCCTGATAGGCGCGAGGTTGACGTGCAGGGCTAGAAAGAAGAAGCGAGGGGAGAAGAGAACGAGAAGGAAAAGAGAAAGGGGAGGATGTTCGGGGAGCTGTCAAGGCTGTTTCGGGCGCGGGCCAGGCCCAGCAGCGTGGGCTTGGCCACCTCTTTAGGGCTGCCCTAAGCCGTTCTAGGGGGCACCCTCGCTAACCATGGTTTCGACGACCGGCAACCACGAGATTGGGACATCGCTTCCACGCCCCGTCTAACCAGCTTCGTCCTTCGTGTCACTCCACCTTTCGTCGACGACCTCGTTCAGCAAGCCATTTGGGCATCAAAAGGACGTCTCGCAGATTACCGAAACTTTGCCCAAAGCGTAAAAAGCGCAGACTTTCACACCGTCACTCGGCTTCTTCCGTCGATCACAACACGCCTTCTCTGCGTCCCCTGCCTGACCACGTGTTTTGCTTTCGCGCGTGCGCCACAGATCGCATCTATCGAAGGTTGTTGGGGGTGTCCCCTACTGTGTACAGTATCTGCTTGCTGTTCAAACTTAAATCTCCGACCCGAAGAGGAAACGCAGTCTGCGAGCGGCTTCGGGTGCCCCAACACACCATGCGCTTGTCCTCCTTTTGGCAAGTGCAACATCTTGACTCCAAGCTGTCGTAATCTCACCCAGACTAGCTTGAGCAACCACGTTCCCACCTGTCATGCTTCTTGCCATGCTCCTCATTTACCATGTGCCCTCGTTCGCTTCTCGAAGGGTGTGAGTATATTTCGCAGATGTGGAGGTACGCGTGGAAATGCGGCCATGGTACAGCATGGAGAGCTTCGGCATTCCTTTTCCAGCCCGACGATCTTCACAACAATCGGAAAGTGGGATCCATGTCCGGACGTCAGTCTTTCGTTTGATCCTGCATACCGCAGAACCGCAGAGCAGGATTGCTTGACTTCAAGTAAGAATGAACCGAACGACATACCAGAATGCATTTCTGAGCAATAAGCTTTCAATCCATGCTGTCAGAAACTGACGGCGTTGTGGCCCCACACAGTGTGACCTCTCGTGGGTACGAAAGAAAGGGACGATCGGAAACAGAGCTACATTGACACCTGTAGTGTACATCGACGAGCACCTTTCATTGTTTATACGGTATGGGATCGAGGTCCCTCAACTAATTCAGGCTACCACAAGGCGAATGAATGGAACTGGGAAACACTGTTTGTTTTGCGATAACTTTTATTACAGGTTGAAAGTCAACTATATGAGGTACCTATGCGACTGCCACCATTGATGAGCGAAAATGCTGCAGATATGCTTCTCTGGAATGTCCGTCCTTCCGTGGACCCATGTCAACGCCGGTCGCTATGGATGTTGGTATTGCACTGCTGTCATGACTTCAGTTTCTCGTAAGGAACGTGTGGATAGCAGAAGAAGAGCCGCATGCTGAGTGACAGAAAAGAGTGCTTTCAGATTTCATGCTGAGTTTGCGGTCGATCTGCGGATGACGGGCGTTTACTCGGCGCTGATTTGGATCCTCCTCTGAGACTTGGCCTTCTGCAGCTTGGGCACCACAATAGACAGAATGCCGTTCTTCATGCTGGCCTTGACGTTGTCTTGGTCGACCGGGATGGGGAAGGAGAAGCTGCGAGCGAATTCACCGACACTGCGCTCGGAGACCCAGTAGGTGTGCTGTGGGTTATGCTTGCCGACCTCCTTGGATCCAGTGGTGGTGACTTCGGTGCTGTAGGAGCCTTGGGCGTTTTCGTCTTTGCCGTTGGCGTCGACTTCGGTGGCAGGGGTAGGTTTCGAGCCTTCCTCCCTGGTGTGTTCTGTCCGGCCCTTGACCGTGATGGTTTGTTCGTCGGCAAACTCAATCACGACGTCCTTTTGTTGAATGCCAGGCAGTTCACCTTCCAGGATGTAGCTGTCCTTGGCCTCCTTTACGTCGAACTTCGGCGCAAAGGTGCGAGATGCGGTGTCGGACAGCTTCTGGAGCTCGGAGAAGGTGTCGTTGAAGAGATTGAAGAAAGGGCCCATCTCCGAGCGGTAAGGTCCGAATGAGGATGGAATGCGTGGGAAGAGAGCCATGTTTCGTGTTTGGATGTGCTTTGGCCTTGAGACTCTGGAGAGCGTTGAAGTCAAGCGGTGTGGAAGTCTTCGAAGGGTATTAGACATTCAGTGGATTCGAATGCTTTGTTCTGATCTGGTGAGAGGGTAGGTAAGGAGGAAAGGTAGCGGCAGCTTTATACCTTGCTGAAGGCATCAGAGACAAGGCCACCGTGGTGGATGGAATGTCGCCAGAAGCATCGCATGGGCAACAGAAGTGGCGTGAGGTTTCTAGAGTCTTCAGCTCTTGCCTACTTTGGCCTCACGAACATGGCCGGGATGGCATCACAGACGCTTTGCGGGGCTCCACGATACCGCATAGAGGCGGGATGCATCCCCTGGATTCTTCTCGAGCTTGCTGTGGACTGAGGATCGGCTGAGCGCAGGTGGACGTTTCGGGCCATGTGCTGAGGCCAAACAGAGCGATTGGTGAAGGCTTGCGTCATTACAACGTCTCGATTTGGAAACGCTCCACAAGTGGTGGCGTGTACGCAGAGTTGCTGAGACTTATCTGGAACTTTCGATGGGTCAGGACGCTGGAATTCTATACGTTTTTTTGTCATTACAACTGACGGCAGCCTCCACCACCCCTCGCATTCTTCTGACCTTGCCAGCCAAACACCCTTTACTCTTTTCCAGGCTCCTCTAGCTGATACGATAGACCACTTTTCTCCGCTCACCGACATCAACCAGTCTTCTGGTCTCATTGTCGCCTTCGTGTCATCAAAACATGTTTCCCAGACCTCCTGGCATCGGCTGCACTGGATTTCGCATTGTATCCGGCCACAGGGGAACCGACATGTCCGGCTGAGGACAGGACTGAAGAGCCAAGTTTCACGATCAGGCCTCAAAAGTCCGAGCCAAGCGCCCGACCTGTGTTGCCAATTGGGGTGGCCGTGCACAGCGCGTCGACTGGGCTCAGGGCAATGGGTTTGACCTGGACCACTGTGGTAGGGCTTCATTCCAGGGTCCTAGTTTGGTTCCGGCAATGGAACTTCTTTGAAGACTCTTGTTCTAGACTCCGCATCGAGGATGAGAGCTCTCATGGGGATCAAAGCCTCTTTCTCGGAGAACCTATCAGCCCACGTCTTCTCCTCATCGCACGGAGGGTAACGCAGAGGCGAGTCCGGAAAGACAGAAATCTTATTGACAAGGGGTAGGTGCGAGGTGGGTGAAGGGCTGATTGATTACTACAACCGGTTGGTGCGCCTTTCGGTTGATCGACGATAAAAGCTCAGTCGCTAGCACGTGCAAACTTTCAAAGTGCCATCAAATCAATACATTATTCATACAACATTCAAATCCTCAAAGGATATCATGCTCCCACTTGCGTCTTGAGTCCCTAGGCTCCCGCTTTCGCTTCCTTTCGACACCAGGCTGCGTCTCGAACAGCCATGCGCATGAACGCCAGTTGCTGCGAGAATCCCCTACCTCACTTTCATTTTCTTTGGGATGTCGTCCAGGTGCCCAGGCCCGGCCACCCATATGTTTCGGACTCGGCCGCATTATCAATGGCCTCGAAGGTGGCTGCCTCTACTTTCTCCTCGATCTGCGCTTCTGATCCTTCTGATCCTGCCAATGCCGTCCGTGATTTTGAGCGCTGGGGTGTTGTCGAATCGTGAGTTTTGAAGGTGCCTAGGCCGGGCCAACCCCAGGTCTTGTCGCTCTGGTGCGAATCTTCGCCCATATTGTTCTCATTGAGCTTCGACGACGCCACAGCCTGCAGAGCCGGACTCATCGATCCATTGGTGCTGCCCGCTGCATCTTGTCGCTGTGAAGGCTGTTGTCGAGCAGCGCTGTCGCTAGGAAGTTTCTCGTGTTCATGCGCAAGTGCATGTCGAATCGAGTCCATTACATGGCTGAGCTTGGACTCGTGGTGGTGATGGATGTGTTCAGTGGGTTCGCTGCTGGCAGGAGCCTCTGACTGGCCGCTGAGTGTAGTCCAGTTGAATCGAGTCATAGTGGTGTTCGGTGTTTGGTTTATGGGGCTAGTGCTGTTGTTTTGCTGGTTGGCAATGCTTGAATGTGGAATAATTTCTGCTTCTGCTTGTTGAGTATTGAAACGAGGGAGAATCTGTGAAGTTTGATGCCCAGCCCATTTTATACTCATCCTCGACTCACCAGATCCGTTCGCACGGAACGCTTGAACACAGGAGGTTTGTCACTACCAGCAATCCCTAGCACCTACGTCGCACGTGCACGGACGTCATTGGATAGCACCCCGGGTTCTGGCCGACGGTGATCATGTTACCGCACGGTATCTGTGCAGTGTCACACCACGCAGCACCTGAAGCTTTGTTCGGCGGCTGAAGCCGAAATCGCGCAGACGGGGAATCCTTGAGGAGGGGCCGCCGAACTTGCAACACACAGTGCGACAGGTGAGATTCCACATTCTCTAGTCATGATGCTCCAGGGTCTAGATGGCGGGCAGGATTAATCCATGCTCGCCTATTGTCTTGTGAAGTTCGCGAACAGCCGAAGCGCGGGAGGAACAGAATGCTCACAATGAGATGGAGAATGCCGAAGTTCAAATGACGGCCGCTGAGCTGGAATGACGACGGAAGCGCGACGCTCGTATGTTTTGGTGAGCAACGCTCACTTCGACCTCATTTCGACCTCATCTCTCCTCAGATTGTCCCAATACAAATCTAAGCTCTAGCGCCAAAGGACCAGCAATACAGCTTGAAGTTGCGCATCCTAGACGAGGGGGATACAGTAGGCACTTGTATCTTTGCGGCTGCGGCCGCCACCGACTCGTTGCGCTGTTTCGACGCAGAATGCCAGATCAAACTTCAACGGCACCAGCCATCCGCTATTGGCAACATGGGTTCGGCCTGTCATCACGAGATTGAGTCGACCACTGCAGTCTAGGAAAACCACCGGGAGTAAAGGGACCAGCAGATTTTGGAGATTCGTTATCCTATAACATCCAACCCAGTCGAGTATCGATTTAACGCTGACCTTTCAACGCCCGGCCTGCACGTGCGCCGTCCCTTCCACAAAAGGCTCCCATTCATTCTTATTCTTGCAGTACACCTGCTCTATCATCAGCATTCCAAGACCTGAGTCGACTTGAAGAGAAAAATGAGGCGCTGTGGACAACCCTCGTTGGTTGAGGGCAGCACTCACCTCGGCAACTGGTTTCAGAATTTTGTCAAACAGACCCATCTTGATGACTGTGCAGACAGGAAAGAGTCAGCGCGATCTGCTTTCTGGCGCAGCCTTACCATCGCGAAAGCATTCGACAAGATTATCTCGTACATTTCTTCCCTGGAACCAATTCTGTCGCTGAGTAGATCGGACTTCAAATCAATATCAGCAATCAGCGCTACACGTCAATTTGGGGACGAGGTAGAGACGCGAAGAGTTTGCCAATAAGTCACTAGCTGTACTAACCATCCACAATTCCCGCAGAACCAGCGATGCAGCAACGTTCCCGAATCGGTCTTTCGGTCAATATAGTCTTTTGGTGACCCAGTCACGGTGACATCTTCATCTGAAATCACCGTCACATATGTCCCGACTACAAGCTATCAGCAGCAGCAAAAGCAAAATCGATCGGCTCAGCTCCCATACGTGCGCCACTTTGTTTTCGGCAATTCAGGCACCGGCAGTAGACGGGCTGTGTGTTCTCGGCAGAATCATTGATGGTGACCTTGATGGCGCCGCAATTGCATTTTCCTTCCAACACCATCTTGACAAGCCAACGCAGTTGAGTTTGGGAAGCTTGAAAACCAGCAATGGTGAAGGTTGTGGTGGCCCTTCCCCTCTTTTTGATAGCGGTCCGACTCACGCAGGCCGAGCAGGTGCCGAGTTCCAGCCAGAACCAGAAGCAGTGACCTCGACTTGGCGGTAGTCAGGACTCTCGATGCCTAGCGCTCTGCAATCCGTTTGGGCATCGGACCCGCATTCACACTAGCGTCACGAAAACAGTTTGTCGACATACCCCCAACACACGCCAAGCTCAGTTGCGGCACGCGTAGCCTATCTACTACTCCCAAGCAAAGCGACGCTCGAGACGAGGCATTCAGAAAATCCACGGATTCGTCTGAACAAGGGATGTCAGCATGTGCTCCCTTAGACCCTGCTTTGCCAGCGGCATGTCGTGCGGCACGGCCCTTCGACCTGCGACTTTTAGAACGCGCTACGATCATATCAGAGCAAGCACAGTATGCCGTTTGGAGGTCCAAGACCTTATCGCTGTGGCCGATAAGAAGCCAATAGCCGTATCAAGTCCGGTGAAGCTGCGTATATCTTATCCACTACTGCCACAGGACCGTAAGTTCACTAATCCCAGCCCTTGCCTACAGCCGCATCTGGAAAAGACAACAACGCACAGCAGCGAACCTGGAAGGTAAGCAGATCGACACCGGGTCCTGAAGAGGGAATGCCCTGAGCTTAATACGGACTCACTCGGTAATTTGTCTCCCACATTCCTACACAGCACATAGCGCACTACACACATCCGGTTATCTCACTGGACAACCTCGGTCATCAAATCATCCGGCCAGCGAGGCGCGTCTTTGCCATTGCCTCTCGTCCCGACATTGTATTTGAGAACGACTATGTCATCGTCAAACTTGGTGATCGGCTTGATGGTTCGGACGATGGCCCCAATGGCCTTGCTCTCGCGGTCCTCGAAGAACGACGGCTGGAGGAGCTTGCTGTTTTTGGCTATCATCTCCATGTACAGCGGTAAAAGGTAATTCATATTATGGTAACATCTTGGACGCCGCACCGTCAGTCAACCAGCCAGCTAGCCGGCGGGGTCGCATCCATAAAATAACAAAGGAGCGGGCACACCACACGCAAAGTCAAGAATTGAGGGGGCGACATCGAGACTTACCGGAACACCTGCTTGTCGTTCCTCTTCCACACGTCCTGCCAGACCTCGTCCGGGTATTCTCCCACCGAGTTCGCCAACCACTGATTGTAGTAGTTCAGCGCGACGTCGACTTTGAAGCTGCCGCCCTCTTCGGCTCGTCGCATCAATGCGCATAATATGCCAGTCACGCCCGCGATGCCGGTCATGTAGTCGCTGTTTGGAAATACGGGAGTCACGGGCTCGTCGTCCTTCAGCCCCATGGCCCGACCAAAACCAGCAGAAATGCCCACGCACGCATCGCTGATCTGCTGCCATCCGGAGCGGTAATCCCACGGACCATTCCAGCCGTAGCAGTTCTCGCGCACAGAGATGATGCCACGGTCTCGGTCCTTGACTAGGTCGATGATGTCTTGTTGGCTGAAGCCGTATTTGTCGAGCACGCCTGGGCGGTAGCCTTGGACGACGACATCAGCGTCCTTGATCAGGTCCCGCAACTTGGCCTTCCCTTCCTCGGTCTTCAAGTCAAGGCTGCACTGCCATTTGCCCCATGACAAGTCCACGTGCAGCATGCTGTAGTCTACCAGGTTCGGAGACGTCACCCGCATGACGCTTGCCCCCAGCTCGGCCAGGCCCCTCGTCACGGCCGGGGCGGCAATCACGCGCGTGAGGTCCACGACCTTGAGTCCCGCGAGCGGTCTGGCGGCCGACGTCTGAGGCATATCGGCCCACCAGGAAGGTTTCTGGGTGCTATTCGGCGCGGCGTGGATCTCGAAAAGGCCGACGTGGGCATTGGCCATGCCGTGCTCCGAAGCGCGGTACGATTCGACCGTCTGGCATATCACGCCGGCTTGCTTGTACACGTCAGACGCCAGGTGCTGCATGTCGGTCGAGTCAATGTTCGCCATCTTGTCGATGAACGGCTGCCTCGCGGCCTCCCACGTCGTGAGGTCGTCGCGGTCTTCCGGAAATCCCAAGCTATCGAGGCTGGGCTTGGGGTTCATACTGCCGTGAAGGTGGAAATACCGCCCGTCCTTCGTCCGGTAGATGTTTGTGACGCAGTGTCTGTACACACTGGAGCCCATCTTGTGGAAGTCATAGTTGGGAACCATCTTAAACAGGGCCTCTTGGTTCTTGCCAGGCGTGATGACGTGTTCCGTGTCCGGATTAATCTGCCACAAGAGCGTCGACATAAAGAACAGCTGCGCGTGGTCGGTGTTGATCTCTGCCCCTGTCACCTCGACATTATACTTGCGCTTGACCAACGCAGCGACAATGCATGCTTCGAATGCCTTCAAGCTTGCCGTCGACTCGGCGAAGCGCCAATTGATAGGAATGGAGGGGAGGTTTGAGCCCTGGAATCTGATCCGTGGAGCAAAGTCTTCGGCCTCGAGCGGGATGTCTTTTGCGATCTTGGAGTTCTCGAGCAACCCTTTCGTTAGGAGCTTCTCGGATTCTGCGGGGATTGAATATGTTGAGAGGATGTCTGGAGTAGGAGTGTCGACGCTGCCCATCCTGACGATGTGCGCTTTCCAACCCGGAGGACTACTGCAGTATTTTGGCGGCTTGCTTTGGTGATGTGAAGCGTCACAACCAACAATACCAAGGGATGACCTTCAGACCTCTCTCTCAGGCTGTTTGGGTGAAGTGGCCAGTGTTGATGTGTCTGTGGGTTTCTCGGATACCTATCTGCACTATCGGTAGGAGTCCGGTCATACGCTATGGTGTTCGATGGCGAGAGCGACAAATCTCAACAGTCGCTGTTTTTGCAATACGTTTATAAAGATTACAATCAACGAGCAAAGGGCAGCTACTGCTTACTTTGCTAGAGAAATTCTTCTTCACAAGCAGACCTTGCACTGTCAGACGGATTCGTCAGTGGTAGGCACCTTCTCCGGGGTCAGTCCTCCGGATCCTCGGCATCAGAAGGAGCTAAAGGGGGTCCTGCAGGTACTCCGTACGGAGTAAACAGTCCTTGTCTAAGGAATGCAACCCCACGCCCAACAATGACAGGGACAGGAGGGGTAAGATACAGTGGACCGAGGCTATGTCTGACCGACGAAAGGGTCACGTCGAGTTACCTGTTCAGCCATGGATGATATTGTTCTGCAGCCAGATGTTGCCTCGGGATATGCGTAGGACATGTCACGTACAATTGCTGCTGATTCGGGTATGTGCGACTCAGGGGGACCGCTGTATCGCCCACCCCCATGGACTTCGCGCCCTAAATGGCAAGTTGACATTATGTCGCATAAGGATCCTCCATTCCCACGTGAATTGTATTCCTGAGCAAGTTACGTGGCGGTTGGTTGCACACATGCTGGACAAAGAGTTTTGACCGTATTGCCCAATACTTGCGCGCGGCATTGATGATATGGAGATCTGACCGTTCACCGACTGAAACACGCGAGTCTGAAGGAGCATTACTTCGACTGAACTAAGATCACCACGTCCAAGGCCGTCTCCGGTCAGATCCCATCTTCTCTCTCACGAAGCAGCCTCGATGGGCGACTCCGGACGAGACTCCATTTCGGCAATGCGGCCCTGCCGTATTGCCAACTGCTCCGGCGCACGTGGTGATCCGGGCTACCAGATGCGTCGACAGGCGGTTCTTGGCCCCGTCGACTTCATCACAGGCGACTACCTCGCCGAGATGAACCTGGCGGAAAATGCCCAGAAAATGGCAGCCGGCCAACACGACGGCTGGGAGCCGACGGCCTGGGACGGCCTGGAGCAGACGCTTGACGTGATCAAGCCAAAAGGCATCCGGATCATCATCAACGGCGGAGCTCTAAATCCCAAGGGGTTGGCGCAAAAGACGCAAAAGTTCGTGGACGAGAAAGGACTCGACTTGAAGGTCGCGTACGTGTTTGGAGATGACCTGTTGGACGAAGTCAAGACCGAACTGGAGCAGACGGGCAAGCTACCGCAGCATCTCGACGGGGAGAACGACAAGGTGTCACTGGCCGAGAACGCGACTGACTTGCTGGACACAAAGGGCAAACCCATCGTGAGCGCCAACGCCTACCTCGGGGCGCGAGCCATCGTCAAGGGTCTCGAGCTCGGCGCTGATGTGATCATCTGCGGGCGGGTTGCCGACGCGTCCCCGGTCATCGGCGCGGCCTGGTACTGGCACAAATGGTCAGACACAGACTACGACCGCCTGGCGGGCGCCTTGATCGCGGGCCACCTGATCGAGTGCTCGGCGTACGTGACGGGGTCCAACTTTGCGGGCTTCGACGAGTATCCGCTCGAGACGTTCGTGGACCTGTCGTACGGCATTGCCGAAGTGGCCGAGGACGGCACGTCGGTGATCACCAAGCACGAGGGCACCAACGGGCTCGTCAACGTCGACAACGTCAAGTGTCAATTCCTGTACGAGCTGCAGGGAGGCACGTACCTCAACTCGGACGTCTCGGCGGACACGACCGACATCCAAATCGAACAGGTCGGCCGGAACAGAGTCCGGCTGTCGAACATCAGAGGCCACCCGCCGCCTCCGACGACCAAGCTGGCCATCTTCTACCACGGCGGGTACGAGGCACAGCTCCTCACCAATGCCACGGGCTACGCCACGGCGGAGAAATGGCGGCTCTTCGAGATGCAGCTCCGCCACGCGCTCGCGCAAAAGGGCCTGACGGACGCCTACCAGCTTCTCGACTTCCAGGTGCTGGGTACGCCGAAGCCGGACCCGCGGTCCCAGTTCGCGAGCACGACGTACTGTCGCGTGTTCGTCCAGGCCGACGCCGAAGTACCCATCTACGCCCTCCTCAAGACGTGGTCCGAGATAGGCATGCAGCATTTCAGCGGTTTCCATCTCAGCCTGGACACGCGCACCGCGCTCCCGAGACCCTACCTCGCCTTTTACCCGGCGGTATACCCGCAGATGAAGCTGAAAGAGGGCGTCGCCCTGCTTGAGGGCCACAACACGAAAACCGCAGATGCCGGCCACCCGCCCAAGTACCAGGCCCTCTCGCCGCGCGAGAACTACGAGACGCTGCACCCCGTGGGGTTGTCCTCGTTCGGCCCCACGCGCAAAGCACGGCTCGGCGACGTCGTGCTAGCCCGCTCGGGCGACAAGGGCGCCAACATCAACTTCGGCGTCTTTGTCCGCCTGCCGCATCAGTATCCCTGGCTTCGGTCGTTCTTCACGCGGCAAAGACTGCAGGATCTGATCGGCCCCGTCGATTGGCGGGACGACTTCTTTATCGAGAGAATGGAGTTTCCGGAAATCTGGGCCGTGCATTTCGTCATCTACGGCCCCCTGGGGCGCGGGGTGAGCAGTTGTCGCTTGTTGGATGCGTTGGGCAAGGGCTTTGCCGACTACATTCGCGACAAGGTGGTAGATGTGCCGGCGAAGTTTTTGGAAGAGGTCCAGGAGGTGAAGAGGGAGAGGAGGGCCATGCTGTAAGGGCGGTTGTACAGAATACTATACTGCGTATGTAGTTACCACAGTACACAGTCTCTGTGTGTATGGGGACCCTGTGTCTTGCACATCGAGACAGAGGGAAGTGGAATTCTACTTATGTGCAAACCAGCTCAGCCACTGGGCCGGCAGAGTGGAATGAAACAGATTGCCGGCATCTTCCAAGATTGGGATACATTCCGGATTCCGAGAAGCCGGCCTTCCTCGTCGGGTCCTTTCTCCTTTGCTTGTCTAATTACTGGGCCAGAGGCAAAGGTCGGAAATGCAAGGCTCTCGCTGTGGACCCGCCACGCAAATTTTGCAGCCGAGGCATGCGAGGCTGTGGTACTGTAGGAGGGACGGAGACGCCACTGTCCCTTTCGCCTAGATACCCGTGGTAACCTCTGAACGTCCTGATGTCCACTCGATAGGTATCTAATTACTTCACCACAGTGTGGCGTTATCACTATTCTGTACCACTGCTCAGACTACGGCGTGAGTACTTCGTACTGTAAATGCGAATATGGCCAGGGAACGAAGCCTAGGCTCGCCGTGAATACTCGGGGCTTCTACGAGTACTCCGTACGTAGCAATACAACTCGTCATCTGTTGAGAAACCAAGGTACCTGATGTTGCTTACTGTGTACCGTAGAGCTCGGCACAACCCTGCCGAGCTGTGTTTCGCGCCCTTTGCAAATTAGGTTGTTCACTCAATAAGGAGTCAAGTGCACAGTAGCTCGTACATATTGTGCAAATATACCCTAGCTTGCGGCCGAAACCAGATTTTCAACTCACGAGCGACGGATAGTCTTCTCCGAGACGGGCCCTCTCTTTACGCTTGAGGACGCCACGCCACGCCACGCCAGGCCGCGGTACGGGTATATTGTGCACGGCAAGGCCGACGTTGCGCGCTATGCACATTTGCACTTGTTGCACGCCCTTGGTCTGCTGGTACTCGTAGAATCTTTAGCGATTCGAAGATCTTCACATTTATGCGGATCTCGGGCAGGGTCTTGGTGCCATGTGCATCGGATTGAATCCACTTCGTGGGTCCATTGGTGTGGCTCTCTTGCATTGCGTGACGAAATCTATGTTTCATCGAAGAGAGCCGCGGTACAACTCCCTGGACAAGCAATGCACGCTTTTTTTGAATCCATATATGCGCAGAGCTGCCCAGGCTGTGTCGGGCTTCCAATCTTGCCGGACGCACTGATAAATATATACTTGCAGCTTGACCAACACAGCACAGCTTAGCAAAGCTGCCATGGAGAAGAACGAAGACCCAACGACCACCCAGTCTCTCTCGCTCTTCCGGCTAGTTGTCGACCAGGCTCGAGTCACAGAGGAGGTCCTCAATTATCCATATCCGGGGGCAGGCACCGTCGAAGATCCTTGTGTCGTCACATATATCCCGAATGACCCAGGAAACCCTTTCACTTGGTCGGGACGGAGGCGTTGGACCCTCAGCCTGATCGTGGCGACTGAGATGCTCGCCACGGCATATGCGTCGAGCGCGTTCAGCGGTACGTTGATAGGATTCTGTAACCGGCTGATCCAAGACGTTCCTGCTAATGCGGCACTACAGGGACGCTGGAACAACTCATCATTGATCTTAGAGCGAGCACAGAATTGATCACCGCCGGCATCTCGCTGTTTGTCCTCGGTTTCGCTGTCGGTCCTCTCCTGTGGGCGCCCCTCTCGGAAATATACGGAAGGCAATTGATATTCTTGGTCAGCTTCTGCGGCTTCACTGCCTTCTGCGCTGGTTGCGCCGGCGCCAATAATATCGCCACGCTGCTTGTTCTGCGCTTTTTCGCCGGAGCTTTTGGTTCTTCGCCCTTCACCAACGCCGGCGGAGTCATTGCCGACTGCTTCCAGGCGCGGGAGCGGGGATTGGCCATGTCCATATTCGCATTGGCGCCCTCGATGGGACCGACGTTGGGCCCGTTCTCGGCGGGCTTCCTCGCTGAGACCCAAGGTTGGAGATGGGTGATGGGTCTCCTGGCGATCTTTGGAGGAGTCATGTGGATTCTGGGTGCCGTCTTCGTCCCCGAAACATATGCACCCGTCATCTTGAGGAAGCGAGTTGCCAAGCTGTCGGCAATGACGGGCAAGGTGTACATCTTGGAGGCGGACAAGGGCAAGGGCGCTCCATCCATCAGGACTCTGCTACCAACCGCTCTAATTCGTCCCTGGATCTTGTTATTCAAGGAGCCCATCGTTCTCCTTTTGTCTCTGTATATCGCCATCATCTACGGTATGTCGAACTTATTCGTTCGGAGTGAGTACTCCTACTGACGGACGCAGGCACCCTGTATCTGCTTTTTGGAGCATATCCTATTGTCTTCCAAGAAGTTCGCGGCTGGTCAGCAGGCATTGGCGGACTTCCATTCCTCGGCGTTGCCCTGGGCATGGTACTCGGCATAATTTTTGCGGGTTGGACAAACAGGTGGTATACCAACGAGGCAGCAAGAAATGGCGGCATTGCTCCTGCAGAAGCACGATTGCCGCCTGCCTTCTATGGCGCTGTCGCAATACCATGCGGGTTGTTCTGGTTCGCCTGGACAGACTATCCTTCCATCCACTGGATTTCGCCAGTCCTAGCCGGTGTCCCGTTCGGATATGGCTTCACAGTGGTCTTCCTGGCCGTCACCAATTACCTGGTCGACGCGTACACCATCTTCGCGGCATCCGCCTTGGCAGCCAACACGGTGTTGCGGTCACTGTTTGGCGCGGCCTTCCCACTTTTCACCCCGGACATGTTTGATGCTCTTGGGATCCATTGGGCAACCTCCGTTCCAGCCTTTGCGGCACTGGCCTGCGTGCCGTTTCCGTTCATCTTCTACAAGTACGGAGCCAGGATACGCAGCCGATGCGTCTATGCTGCTCAGTCAGAGGCTGTGATGGCCCAACTCCGTGCAAAGGCTGTCGCATCGAATGCCCAAACGTCGGAACCCGATGAGAAGACCTCAAGGAGATCGACCAGTGAAGACTCGACCGACTCTGACACGGACCTGGAGGTGTCCCAACCCAGATTCGAGCCTATTAAGAGCAGAAAGTCATTTGCGTCGGATACAGGCGGTCGGACATCCTTGGCGAGGGTAAGATCGAATACCGGCAGCATCTTAGAGGCAGCCAATTACCAAGCCAGTCCGTACGACATTGACCGCGTAAACACCTCGACATCCGTGGCAGGGCTGGACCTGACAAGGACGGCAACCAATCGCTCTGGCGATAGGTGAGGGGGGATCCACATCGCACCCTCGACTTTCCTATATCATGTAGCCATAATATAATGACTTGAACCAGTGAGCAGAGAGGACCTTTCCAATGGCCTTCGACTCTCGTAGAGCCTGGGAATTGATGCTGTTTTGTAGGGTTATCAAGGGGGCAGAACCTGCCCTCATATCGTCAAACAGATATCGAGACTCTCATTCAACATGGTCAGCGTCGCCCTGTATTGGTGCCATATCTGCTTCCTCGACTCGCCGGCCGCTGCGGTATTTAAATCCCGGATGCTGTGCTTTGACCTCTTATCCAAGGGCCTGCCCTTCCAGTATTGCAAGTGTAGTAGGTTCTTCACGATCCTGTGCTCGAAGCCATCGTATTTGCGGGCATTCTCCAGAAACTTGACGGTGTTCTGGATGCGCCGAGGGTTGAGATTTGAGGGAGCCGAAGTTCGAAATGTCTGGCGCAGGATGTCGCGGAGTTCGTAACGAGCGGGTGTCGAGTATTGAACTGCTCGTAAGCCGGTCTTGTATAGGTCCCGGTAGGCTTGCAAGATGTGCTGCCGGCTAGCTGGCACGGTCATCTGGAATAGCCGTTGCGTGTAAGGATCGGTTTGGCCTGAGAGAGATTCGACACGCATTCGGCATTGCGTCAAGTGGTCGGCGAAATTCGCCGGCGCCAAGCCAAGGCTGATGAGGCTCTGCGCTCACATTAGTCAGCGGGGCCGATTAGTCGGCGCCACTAGTGCGCAGCCTTGCCACCATCGCCACCACGGCACCAAATTCTTGGCCAGCCTACACCCCCCTCAAGCTGCGTCCGCTGTGGCATCGAAATCATTCCTCCTGTTGACGACGAGCCTTATTCCAAGGTCACTTACCGCAGGGGTCATGGATATGGATGCTGTCTTTCCAAGACTAGGATCCTCAGCCGCTCACGAGACTGTGTCTGCCCCAGTGATCCACTTTTGCTTCTTATGCAGTAAGCCTTTCACGAACGGTAGGAGACTTAGATGGTTCACCATGCCAATGGCCGGACTAACACTTCAAGGAAGAGTCCGCACGTGACCGGCACTCTCGGTACTGCACAACACGCACGCGCAAACGGCCCCGGTCTTGTCAGTCCTGTAATGCCGCCAAGATTAAATGCAGCTTTGGGAGGCCGTGCTCGCGTTGTGCGAAGAAAGGCATCGACTGCGTCTATAACCACCCAAAAGCACGACCAGCACTTGACAAGGCACCAGAAGCACCGAGTCCTGGGATGATGGCGCCGTCAAGACTCTTGGGTGAGCTCAATGATTCACTTGGCCCTCGAGGATCGTTTGTGATTGGCGCCGAGACCTCGTCATCTGCGGACCTGGACCTGGTACACGACAATGCTTTGCCTAGTACTCAAGATCTCGCACTCGGAGATGGATGTTACCAATCATTTGACTTTAATCTACAAGAATCTGCGTTTAACGACAATTTCACGGTCGACGGAATGTATGCACCGGATTCTGACGCCCTTGTCCAAGATCACAGCCTGGTAGATGTTTCCGTGGCTCCATACGCCAAGTCACACCCGCGGCTGAAGGATTGGTGCGACTGGTCCAGCCACGGGCTGTCTCTCGCTGTGGTGACTGAAAGGTTCCCCACCCTGCCAGATCCGGGCGTCGGAACGGTGGCAGGTCTTTGGACCGAGCGAGCTCAGGCCCAGAGTAGCGCAGACCTCATAGTCCAGTCACTAAGGGCATTTCCTACCATGATGCTACGCAGGGAGACGTTCCCCTGGTTCATCCATCCCCAGTCACAGCTCATGTCGAAAGCAGGAAGTGGTGCTACCGCTTTGCCTGACGCGATTTCAACTTGCATGGGAATTGCCCAGATATTTACAGCGAGGACACCAGAAACCAAACCCTTTCTGTGGCGCATTATAAGGGGCGAGTATCGCCGTTTGGTCAATGAGGTATGTTTCCCAGATCCTAAGAATTATCTTGTGCGCTGCTGACCCCTAAAGATGCACGACATGTCCAAATATGATGTTCTTCTGGCTACGCAAGCCTGCATGATCTATTTAGTTATGTGCATCATTGATCATTCGTCCGAGAATGAAGAGCATGGTCAAGAGCTACTGCGGGCCTTATATGTAAGCACATTTCGGTATCGGTGGAATGACAACAATGGTTAACTTGTGGAAGGACCTCTGCATGCACTTCAAAGAACTGGCAGGCGGAAAAGGAGCCGGTAATGGCAGTCAAAGTGAGCTTTCAAGCCCAAGCCGCACCTGGGAAGATTGGATATTTGCCGAATCTCGACGGAGGTAAGCCAAGCCCCTTGTGCTCTCCACCTGACACCTGTGCATCCCCAAGAGGAGTGCTGACTAGGTTCGTCGTGCAGGCTCTCTAGCCTGTGGCTGCTCGTTGGCTGCGTCGTCTGCGTCAAGACAGGAGTTGATTGCGATCCGACCAGCAGCTACCGGGGTATTCCGCTTCCTGGGCCAAAGTCCCTCTGGGAAGCGCCGACGCAATCTGCCTGGGAAGTCGAGTATGAGGCAAGCCGCATGCTGCACGCTAAAGGGCCCGTAACGCTCGGTGACCTCGTCGATATGCAACGATCACCATACACGCCTTTCAACTCTGGAAAACTGGACGTTTGGAATGCAAGAATCGACAATCTTGGTTCTCTATTGAATCTGGTCCACACCATGATATGAACAAGTGTTCACTCGTTGAGGGCGAACTGAGCTCTCGTCCAAGCGCCTTCATGATCTTTATCTATCATCCTCCGCTCTCGCTACCAAGGGACCATACCGTCTCGGTCCGAGAAGGTCGCAGTTGCGCCTCCTTTCTCAGCCATGGCAAGCTCCACAATTCGCTTTGCACCCAACTCTGGCGACTCTCCCATCGCGTGGTTAGTGAGCTTGGTGTTGACCAACCCCGGACACACGGCGTTCACCATGGCGCCTTGATCCTCAAGAATTCGGGCATACTGAAGACATAGCATGTTGAGGGCTGCCTTGCTGGAGTCGTACGCCTTGTAATCGGTGCTGTAAAACGGGGTTGACTTATTCGTCGCTTCGGCCAGCGATCCCATACGCGAGGACACAAAGATTAGGCGCGGACACTCGGACTTGCGCAGTAGAGGCAGACATGCCTCGGTCAAGCAGGCAGCCCCGATAACGTTTGTGCTGAATGTCTGGTTGAAGAGGTCCCTTGTTGAGAGGCCTTTATATGCTTCGGTGAACCCTGGGACATAGTCGATCAGGATGCCGGCGTTGTTGATGAGCACGTCCAACACGCCGAACTCGCGCTCGATCCAGCTCACTGCTGCGACGATTGACTCATCGGAGGTGACGTCGAGTTGGACCGAAGAAGCCTGCGATCCACTCGCCGCAATGGAAGCAGTAGCTTGGCGACCTGCTTCAGCATTTCGTGATCCAATGATGACATGGAAGCCGTGTGCGGCTAGCTTGGTGGTAACAGCAAGACCTATGCCTGTGTTTGCACCTGTTATGAGTGCAACTGTCTGTTTTGTCGACGTCATGGTGCTGTTGTTTTTGGTCTCGTTGAATGGCTTAGAGTCGGGAAACCTAGAATTGCAGAATGGCGAAGATGTTTGGAGTTCTGCTTCAAGTGGGACATATTTCACTGATACTTATAGGGGACGGGTTGATCTTGATCCTGGTGCTGAGGGCGAGGAGCACAATGACAACGACGGCCAATTTCGCCGGTTCAAAATTTGCGGGTTTCATCTGGCCAATATCTCCAGGCCAATGTGACGAAGCTGTCGGCAGAGTCGTTAGTAAGAAGGTGCCAATACGCGGTTACAGGAGGATACAATTCAAACTGTGACCGTCCGCTTCAGATTCAGTGTTGTTCGTGGTGCAAAATGAACACAACGCTGTTGGGGCTTGCTTTCAGGCGCGCCAATCCGGCACGTTGGGCGTCAATGACTGTCTCCGGGTATGTTAGCCGAGCTGATGGTTAAGCCTCTGCCAAGCCTAGAAATCACGGTTAAGCTTCTGTGGCTTCCCTATGACGATCACCGACGCTGAACTCGAAGCTGTCAAGCTGTGAAACACCAAAGCTGCCTTGACCGCTGCCATTCCCAGCTTCACTAGTGTAATACTAGAAATACTTCCAGAGCTCTGTGCTGCGTTCTGCTGTTCACTGGGCGAATCTTCGAATCGAGCCGGACCCCTGGCGGGTGTATCACCCATATGGGGCATCGATATGAGGGATCATGGCGCCCGCCGGCACGCATGCGCATTCTTGCTATTGGGCATTCGGGCTGCCTCGCTAGATGACCCTTAGCTAAGCTCTAAGTATGCGAAGAACCTCATGCGGAGGCCTCGGATCTGGTGCAGGGGCCCGAAGGATCCTCCTCACCGTCCTCGACCCTCGCGCTGCCAAAGGAGAATGTTGCTCGGCCATCCGCACTCTTCGACTCCAGCGTCGGGTGCACGCAAGAGTCTGAGAAATGAGAAGGAAGCAGAAGCCTCTAGTCAATCTACTCTTTTTCGCTGCTGTGCTCTTTGCCATCCTCTTCCTCAATCATTCCCATTCACCGGAAAAGGCCTTCGCATGGACAAGAATCCGGTACAAATCATCCGCGGCATCGCTTCCCCCAGCTCGTGGCATCTGTCCGGGATTGTCTCCTGCTAAACCGGCTCTTGTCGTGGCTCGAATCCATGCTGATGTTGATCCTGAATGGCTCAATACGATCTCGGATAGATACCATCTCTGCGTGTACACTGCAGACGCACCGGAGGACTCGGGCTCGGTGGATCTGCAAGTCCCTGCGAATCGAGGCCATGAAGCCATGGCGTTTCTGACGTTCATCATCGACAATTACGACACCATCCCGGCAGCCGGAGCCGTCTTTGTGCACGGTTCGCGATTCTCGTGGCATAACGACAGTCCTGACTACGACAACTTAGCCCTGCTTCAGTCTCTCAATATATCTGCCGCGTTGGCGCCGGTGGGCTATCACAATCTACGCTGCGACTGGAGCGCCAGTACCTGCGAGCAATCTAAGGCGCCTCCTCAAGGGAGCCTGGAGACCTCCTTCCGCGCTGTGCTGCAACCATATGATCCCAGGGTGATCTCTGACAGCGCTTTGCCACGCTCACTGGCCGTATTGTTCGGAGGGGACGCACCTGAGGCCGCCACAACGGGTGGGGAGGTATTTCTGGGTCGCGGTGATGCGGTACGATCTCAATGCTGTGCGCAATTCGTTGTCGCTCGCGAAAATATACGGCGTCATACACGTGACGAGTACATTGCTTTGCGACAGTGGTTGCTCGATGGCGCCCCCAGCCACCTGAACCCTCGCCAGAGAACGCTCAACAAGAATGCTGCGCCCCGCGACGACCGCGTTGCTGGTCGCATCGTGTCATACCTTTGGCACATTTTGTTCATCCAACAGACAGTTTCCGCAGATCAGGGCCGGGATGCCAGCACAATAGATTTACAGCAACTGAATCACCTTGCCTGTCCTCGGGCGGATGACTGTTATTGCCGCTTGTACGGCCGTTGCAATCTCCCCGGCTGCGGCACTCCCGGCCGCTGTGCTGGTCAATATCGGATACCACCTGACTTTAAGCTCCCAGCCGATTGGGCAGCTTCTCATGCATAGGTCAAGCGAAATCAACGGCTTCTTGACGACGTACGAGGAAGAGAAACGTGCGGTTTGGATACCCAGGCTGCGTGATATTTGGCATCCTGAAATCTGGGGTATGTAGAGGTGGTTGACTGTGTCCATAGAAATGGGACGCAGATCAGGCTTGAATGCCTCGCCACCGTCCAAATACTTATGCGGACACATAGTTTGGACAGTACAGTCAAGGGAAGCACTGTACGTGTTGTAGGCGTTTATGCTGGGAAGCACTCCGTTCGTTCGCACACACACTGGCGTGACTGGGTGACACAATGAAGTCTTGGAGTGGAAACAGTAACTTAGCCGAGCAATGGCGCTTGAGGGCAGCTGCCAGCCAAGACTGCGCGGCTGCTGTAGGCATTAATTCCAGCGCAGCCGCCAGCCTTCAGTCCTTCTCGGTCTTCTTGCCCACTACTTCTACTCTTCACGTCCGCATCTACTAATACCCACGTGCTGGCTGCCTCTGCCAACTGGTCTCCCTGAGGATCGCGACTCGCTCCTGGATTATATTGAGCCCCTTGGAGGTTCAGCACTCCAGTTCAGGTGCAACATCTGCCAGAAAATCTGTGCAATCCACCTGTCCTTTCCGGCCACGCCTTGGAGACCATGACCCTGGTCCAGCAGTAAACCACTGCCAGCTGACACCATCGCGTCAAGATCAGGATTTCTCTCTTTTGTCCCACTTGTTGACTGTATTTGTTAGATACCACCTCCCTTGTTTCCCTTTGCCAATGTTGATTTCCCCGTCACTCGACTGTTTTCGTGTAGATTGTGGTTGAGAGATGGCCAAAGTCAAACAGAAGGTTGCCGGACAAGGTGCGGCGGGTGCCTCAACCCGCGCTGCCCAGGTTGCAAGACAGAAGAAGCATAAAATTGCTGTGCAAGGGGATCCCAAAGATAAGAAACTATCCACGGTGGTAAGCAGAGTCCCTCGCCATTCCTGGCGCCATACCTTCGATACGCTTCCCGCGTCTCTCATTCGCCAGCTTCCACCGTCTATTATCAACCAGATTCCCCGGAAAGTCCTCATAAGGGGGCTAGTAATCAGTGAGCCTGACACTTGCAAGGTCGCATTTACGGAAAACCCTCCTCCAGGATACACGTTCATCGCTGCAGGAAATCCCGAACTTACCAATGCGTTGAAAGAATTCGCCAGCCGTGGCCAGCACAAGATCTTTGTCGTCACTGTAAGTCTGAGCCATGTAGGACTGAAAACATCTTTCTGACACTCCAGATCACCCCTCATGCCAAACGCCACGAGTTATCGAGACAAATCCATCGCGTCGGCTATCATTTCCCTACCACGGTCGTCGATCAAGTCTGTGCCCATTATGGCATCCGTCTCAACAACAGAGGTGAACTCATCGACGAGTCCAAGGATGAAGATCTCTTCCGCCGGGTATATCAGAACGCTGACGGCCAACGTCCGGCTGAAGAGAAGGATCAGGTAACAATCAACACGGAAGCCAAACAAACAATCAAAGATTTGTTCCCGAAAATTCCGGACAGTGATCTATTTAGGATCATCAAGCACGCTTTCCAGCTGAGTGACGCCAGAGTTGGGACCGCGCAAGAATTGAGCCTGCTTCGGAGAGCCCACCTCGCCGTCGTCGCCCATATTCGACATAACTACACGTCATACGACAAATTGCTAAAGCACGTACAATACAACGAAGCTCGCCACCAGGTTGAAAAGGAAACTCTCGAAAAAATCATTGAGTGGCGTGGTGGGGAAGACATGGCTCTTGAAGATACCGGTCATGCTGCCGACGATCTCCTCAGGGATGTCATTGTCATCTCCGACGAGGATGCTTCCGAGGGCGAGGCGGATGATGTTCAACCTCTACCTCAAGAGCAGGTCCGTGTTGAGGAGCTTCCGGCCGCAGCCCACGGTCGAGGTTATGACCGCTCCCCTTCTCCAGTGGTAGAAGCGCAGCGCGAACGTTACCAGCAGCATCCACGACTTGTGCAGAGCTACAGACCTACTGAAGCCGAAATCGCTCAACGGAACCAGACCAGGTACGCTGTCTGGGACCAAGTGAGACGGGACTATCACTCCAGAATAGCCCAGACACCTACCACAGGCGTGGACAGAGTCTACAACCCCGAACCTGCTCAGGCGTCTCGCATCCTGATACCCCTCGACGATACTGCCCCTCGACCTGCTCCGCTGTTTCGATACGAAGTACCTGCGCAAAGACCCGTGAGGATAGAATACGAGGTAAGACAAGTCCGGAAACCTAGGCCTGAGCAATCCACTGTCCGTCAGCTAGCCCTTACGTCGGCTAATTCCCTGATACAGCCGCTTCCGCCACCTCGACCGAATCCGCCACAGTTTATTCGAGATGCCAATGGCAACCTTTTCGAACGGGTTGATTCTCAGCCACGCGCGACACCCGTGGAGACATCGCAACGCCACTACCAACACGAGGCCCCAGCAATGACTGGGGCGCTGGTAAGAACTCGACCTCCTTCTCCACCAGTCAACGTACAAGCGCACGCACGTTATACTATAAGCCGTGAAGGCGGTGATGGTATGGTGCTGCCATCCGTTGAAGCACCTGATGGGTCTTACGCTCCATCTCGGCTACGCCGCAACCCCTTCGACAGAGAAGTAGAGCCTCATGATACTGACACAGTGCGACAAGAAGTTCGTCGACCTCGAGACGCTGCCTTCATTGACCTGACCAACAGTTCAAGCCAGACGCCTAAGAGACGTCGCCTTGGAGAAATTGAACCGTCACCAGGAGATCGCATGGTCAGACGAGAATCACCTGGCAGGCCTGTTGAGCGCCAGTATCCACCACAACATCTGACAAGAGCTGCGCAACCCGAAAGTCGCATAGTTGACTATGGTGAGCCTCGTTACGACTCTCGTTTGCAAGCGACAAGTTCTGTCAGGGAACACGCTTACACTGATCGTCAAACGTTCTACGATGTTCGTGAACCTCCACGTACTTTTACACGTGTCTATGAACCGTTGCCTGAAATACGGGAAGCGCTTGATACCACAAGAGCCCAGTATCGTCCGCAAAATCATGGAGTCGTGAGACACGAGGTCGAGCCCGTTCGGCCAGTTGGACCCCCGAGATATGGACCATCGACGCACGTTGGCCCCAGCCATGAGCCACTCGTGCAGTCTCGCATGTACGACGGCAGGATGACAACAGAGCATGTCATGCCCGCACGTGAACAATACGTCCAACCGTCTATGCAAGAAACGCGTGTTCGATACGTTTATGCTGATGGCACAGAAGCCCGTGAGCCACTACAAGCAGTGCCTCAGCAGCGCGAAGCGGAGTATGAACGCTCTACTGCTCCAGTCCGGTCCTACATGCGCTGAAGCAGAACACGTCTTTCCAATCGGCCGCAGGAGGAGTCCACCCGAGAAATGAGACGATGGTAAGACAGGGATACTTTTAGACTTCCATAGCATCCTCAGAACTGCAACAAAGCGGCAGTGCTAATTATTTTCCAGGTGCGATTGCAACAAGGCATGATGGGGGACGACTCTGCATTTCCTCCCACAAATCGCGCCACTTCGAAACTAGAGCTCAGGGCTTAACCACTTTCCCTTTGTTCTCAACTTCGCAGCACGTCGGTGGGTTCGAGTACCATGTTTTCAGCATAGCGAAGGAGTTTCGACACGACATTCTTGTCAAATGAGTGCACGAACGGCTGAGGCGGCCCTTCTTGTCCTCTTCTTGTAATGATATCGCACCAAGATACCCCATTGTTGACAGCGGGGAAATATGTACGGGAGCAAGGAAGGGTAGGCGACGGGGGTCCAGCGGCTAATCTACAGAGCCTTTTTTCGATCCTTGATTTGGATGGGTCCGGGATCGCTGTCTCTTCCGAGCTAGGTGGCGAGCCGAATCGGATGTGTAGGCACAACTGTACTCAAGCTAAGACGCGGAGCACAAGCTGTGTGAAGGGTCAGTAAATGCAAAAAGGTCAAACATGACTTGCAATCAGAGAATTCAATCGGATGTCAAGTGGTCTCGTTAAGGTAGTCTTGCGTTTACGTTCCCCGACCAAGGTATAAATCCCTCGATCTGACACCATACACCACGCTTATCTTGGGTTGAAGGGAAGAATAGTCCATGTCTCCATCGCACGTTTCAACCGCAGATTCGCGGGACAACAGCGGTTTCCCTTTCACTTCAGTCTCTTGACTTGAAACCTCCTGGCGCCTTCCACAAAGATTGGCGTGATCATGATCGTGGTCTAGTCATCTCGTCTCATTCGTATGTTTTGACTGTTTAAATGCATTATCTCAAAACATGTTGGAGCCCGCTGCGCTGCGCTACACAGCCATAGTAACCCCATCCGCTTCGCCCGAGTTGACCTGTTTGCCCGTCTTTTTGATCTTCTCGAGCACCGTCTCGTACGAGACCGAGTCCTCCGTGGTCACGTCGGCGGTCTGCGTGTCGAGGGAGACGTTGAATTCTTTGACGCCTAGAATAAAGAATGGAGAGTGAGTAAGTGAGCGAATGAGCGAGGAAGTGAGGAAGCGAGTGGGAAAGGGAGAAGAAGAAAATAAGTCGAGTGAGTAAGCGGAATGTTGCACCGGAGAAGCGTAGGACATGCCAGAGAAGGCCAAGATGGTGGGTGCCGGAGGCCGCAGGACAGAAGAACGAGGCCGGGATGGTGAATGTGTACGCCCGCAAGCTGTGTGGTGGTAAAGAAGAAGGGGGAGGGAGGGCCGAAGGAGAGGGCGCGAAGGGTGAGGACCACGCTTACCATCCAGTTTCTTGAGCACGCGCTCCACGGCGCCCGAGCAGCCGCCGCAGGTCATCTTGACGTTGAACTTGTAGTGGTGTTCGGCCATTGCGGGGTGCGGGTTGTGACTGGTACAAAGTGATGGGAGGGTTGAGAGTGATCAGACAGGCAAGTAGGCGTGCAGAGGCGACGAGAGTCGCAGTAAGCTGGCCGACGTCGCAAGGGATGTGATGTGGGTGGAAATGGTTAGGGAATTGTTGGATATGGCGACAGCGACGAGTCTTTGTATTCTGTATGTTGGGAGACCGCCGTGCAATATAACCAACTAGGTAGGGAGGTGATTGAGTGAGTTTGATGTTTTATTGCGAATTGTACGGAGTGCTTGAGGCAATTGTCGCAATTAGTAAACATGCTCAAAACACCAAAATGTCCCTGACTCTGTTGCGGCTGTGGTGAGGGGGTTCAGGCCAAAGCAGCTGACGTTTAAAACAGGCCCCCACCAGCCTTGGGAGCATTGGTAAGCGGGGGCACTCGGGCAGCGAAGGGGGCTGCTGGGGGTGCTATCTTTAGGTGCGCAATGTCCCTAGCGGCGCTTGTACGAGGTACCTCGTACTCCGTATTTGGGAAGATTCGAGTCTCAGATAACGTGCTTTTAAAGGGGAACAAACTGTGCTTCGCAGCTGATACAGCTACCAGCCTGCGTGCCTGTGTACTAAGTTCTGTGATTGTGCACGATGACACCCCGTATGTAAAACAGGATATCTTCTCCCTCGCTCCGCGAAAGGCTGGTCTTTTTGTCGTTGGTGTTGGCGGATGCCTCCACCAGAGATGTCAACAGAACTGCAGCCTCAGTGTCCTTCCTCGCTTTTTGGAGTATTTGCTATTGCCGAGACTCTCCAGCCGATGGCTTTTGCCGGCTCCTTCCCGAGACAATGGAACTGGAATCCTCTTACAAGTCATTGCCTCAGACGATATCAAAGGTGCTCATGAGTTCTTGCTGTCCCAAGAAGTCGAAATTCTTCATCTGCCCAGAGGATTGATCCGAAGCCAGTTGTGAAGGGGCGCGGAAGATGCGACAGCCTGGGGCCAACCACTTGGGCGTCAACGTCCCGCCCTTTCGATCTTCGAGAGCAAAGTAGCCGATCCGTCGATACTGGACATCTCCTCTGATCGTTGGCGTATTGCTTTTGTCAAGTGGAGCGGCATGCAATGGTTGTAATGGTGATTTCGTGGACGTTGCTGCAAGGATGATTCCCTGCGCGGCAAGCAGTATTTTCCCTTTCTCTTCAGGTTGCACGTCCGATCTAGTCAGTCTGTATGCCGTCGTCCGTATAACAGCCCCGCGGACTCTTCCCAGCTTGGTGATATCTTCACTGGTGTCGAGTCGCACGAGAAGCCGGGGGACTTTGTGCCTGCCATAAAAAGCTGTCCAGATGCCGTGTTCGTCCAGCCGTAGACAGAGACAACATGCCTGTAGAGTCAACAGAGCAAAATCAACTACTCCACACTCATCCCCAGAGGCTGTCTCACATACGACGTTCAAGGCTCGGGCAACCGTCCGCGAATCCTGGAAGGGTTCCGCATGGATAACATACCCCTGGCACGAAGCCCATGACCAAGTAGGTGCACGGTATTTAGTAGGTCGCTCTGTGATCGTGCTTGTGCGAATGTACCATAATAGCCCTTCCATAAGGTGTGACTCCCACAGGCCAGCCACGAACCGATCACAGATCGCACGGCTCAGGACTCTAGCAACCCCAGCAATCGCGAGAAGCTTGTCCGTGGGAAAAGTCAGAGCTCGTGTTGAGTAGTGAGAAACGAAGCGCGCCCAGACGGTCAGAAATTCGTTCTGTATAGGAGGTGGTGGAGCAAATGTGTCCGTTCGTCCCTTTACGAACGAAACCAGCGAAGTAATTGATTCGAGTTCACTATCGCGAAGAATCTGTCTCTTCTCATCCAAGGCGCTGCTCATCGCCGAGCCCTGATGCTCCATGGATCGGCGCGTGTCGGATCCTATTGATGGGTACGTTTCACACGCTCGAGATGTTCTGCAGGCCCATAGGACTTGACGGGCGCCGAAGTAGAGTGTGCGGTTGGCAAGCACTTCTTCTTGCAGAACCCAACCACGCGTTGTCAAGGGCATGTGCACGAGCTCGCCACGCCAAAGATCCAGGTCATTGATCAAGTAGGAGTGGCTGAGATGGTAGTCGTTGTGATGGAGGAACACGCTGCTGCTGCTGATAGTTTCAGGGTCGCGGTGGCAGAAGAGACCATCGTCCCTACCGGAGAGGGCTGAGATATTGCATAGCGCATTACCTGGTAATGTTAAACAGAGAGTCGCTCGGCGAGTCGAGGATGCAGGCTGCTTACCGAAGACCTTGGCCGTTGTTAGCCTCCTGGACCCCAAACCAAGGTGATACAACACTCAGACTTTCATCGCAACCATTTGGGTGGAACTTACTTCTGCCATTCTCACAGCTTCTTTCTGTATATCGAGGCGCTCGTCCTGGAATATACCTGTTCAACCTATCAGCATTGAGAGATGACAAGAACCTGTGTGATTAGAAAGAAGTGGCCCGCGGCTTACATATGGAATCCACCCACAGATAGCGCACTTCCAAGTGCCTCGTCACAGTTATTGCTTCCTGGTAGGTCCGTGGTAAGGTAGAAACAGGCATCCCTCGTAGCATTTGCTTGTGAGTATCCCGCTGGAGTTTGACTGTTCCGCTTCCCCATCGATGCGACAGGGTGATGTACGGACCGGTCACAGCTTCAGTGTCGACATCCACCAACTTCCACACATCGCCAGCCTCGGTACTGGGTGAGACGTCAATGAGGCGGCTGGGATAGGTCGAGGATTGCGACGTTAGTTCGCGACATCTCGAATGATTCGACGTGCAGATCTCAAGCCAATGACCAGCTAGATCCAGGACTTCCAAGTCTGAGGTCGTAGTCGCGGATTTGGCATATTGAACAACAGATGGGTAACATGAGCTGGGACTTTGGGACTCCTAGCGATCAGACATTACTCGAACAAAGAGCCGCGCAGGACTCCGGAAGGGCCAAATCCACAGAAAGTGAGGGGCCTCACCTTTGTGCGTCCTGCGGCAATAGAGCGGCTTGCAAATAGCCATAAGAGTAACTCTTTCCTAGCAAGGCAGGTTTGCTATCATTGTGGCTTGGATCAAGGATTGGGGTCAATTTGCAGCCCAGGCGGATTAGAAGGTATACATCCCTCTCAAATATGAAAGTCTTGTCGAAGACAACCACGTTTGTCTTTGGCAGCTCCTGGAGGATTCGCTGCCATTTCTCGTCTCCGAGCTGGCTCAAGAGCCTTGTGCACAGATAGCACTTCTCGTAAACGGATTTCTGGAAGGCTTGCGTGCAGACTTCTCGTGGGGAGGTTGGAGCTGGATCACCGTGGAAGGCTCGATCTGCCTCCTGAACCAGACATTGGCAGTCATGGCAGAGCATCCGGCAGGTCGTAGCCAACTGACATGAAAGTTGCGGAGGAAGAAACAAGATGATTTCAGTACCTCGATGTGCTCGATATTAGCCCGCTGCAGAGGACTCATCGGCTTGGCGAGTTTGCGGCCAGATATAGGCAGCGTGCCCTGGTGTCTCACATGCGAAAGCAGGGAGGTCCTCGATGCGGACAAGTTATCGATCGTTGATATCGTCCTACCTTGAGCTGTCACGCGATTTTCAAACCAACGAAAGCCGACGGAGATACCTTGAATACAATGCGAATAGATGGTACCTACCTATCAATACCTCCTGACCAATTTCAGGGCAGCCGGGGTTGACCGGGCCGTGCCTGTTCAGTAGACTCCTTCTCCATTGTATCTCCAACTCTGAATGTCATCCAATATGTACCTTTCACCCTCGGGGGCACGTCGGGCTGGGCGGGGTCTTCACGACAAGTCACAGCGAGATATAGAAATCACACAGAGAGCAAAGGCTGGTAAATCGAAACTCGCCGGCGCGGTCGACCATCCTGTCTACCGTCTCTCGGTCGCGTTGTTTCCCAATCGACGCCCCAACACGGCCTCAAGCACCATGACGTCCATTTTCACTAACAACCTGTATACTCTCCACGAGGCTGGTTCTTTGTGCAAGGTGTGTAACCTCTTCCATCCTGACCATTCAAAACCGCTCCTTCTTTCGCCTCGCAGCAGAGGTAGTTTTCTTCTCGCCCTAGATACCTTGCCGAAGTTCTTACCAATGTACCCTGCTGGGGTAGCCAGGCTTTCGGGATCAAACTCGCGCCGTATCCTGCAGTCGTTCAGATCGCCAAGTCGGCAGGCTTCGACGCTCTCTTCATCGACCTGGAACACTCGACCCTCTCGATCAGTGATGCGAGCCAACTGTGCACGACTGGCTTGCTGGCTGGTGTCACCCCGTTCGTCAGGGTGCCGTATCAATGCGGCAATGGGTTCGTGCAAAGGGTCCTGGATGGAGGGGCAATGGGCGTCGTCTTCCCACATGTTAGCACAAGAGGTATGTTGTTGCGTTTGCGTTTGTCTTCTTTGGCCATTCCTTAGCTGTATGGATTCCCCGAACTAGTCATTCGCAAGCCCCACATACCTCTAGATCTACTCGGGTCGGCTCAAGCAATAATCTGACTTGGTGTCCAGAGGAAGCCACCTCCGCTGTCTCGATCTGCAAATATCCACCAGCAGGCACGCGCTCCATGACAGGCCAGCTACCCCAGTTCTCATACGTCGCCAGACCCCACGAGACCGTCATCGCGGAATCCAACAGGCGAGGGTCCACAGTCTTCGTCATGATAGAAACAGCCCAAGCAATTAGGGACCTCGACGCAATCGCCTCTGTCGAGGGAGTGGATGTCCTGCTCGTGGGTTCGAACGATCTTTCCATCGAATTAGGTGTGCCCGCGCAGTTCGAGAGCCCCGTGTTCAAGGATGCTCTAGAGAAGGTGAGTAGGGCGTGTAAGGAGAATAGGAAAATCATGGCTCTGGCGGGCATCTATGATAAGCCGGTCATCCAGCGCTGGGCGGTGCAAGAGCTGGGCGTGGGCTGGATCCTGGGCGGGCAGGATGCAAGTTTCATTGCGAAGGGTGCGGCAGGATGTATGGAGGCGCTGAGAGGGTTGGAGAGGGAATAAAGGTAGGAGAGAAGCAGGAGGAAAGGGGACGACGGAGTGGACGCTGAGGTAGACCGGAATTTTCATGTAGTCCTGACCTAGGACTGAGGCAGGCATTCAAGTACGCTTGAGAGCTGGTGTATCCTTACTCATAGCTAGACCTTGAAAGTTTACGTGATTCAGACTGCCAACGATAGTACCCAATGAATTAGAAGGGCGTGCTTCGATCAGACCTTCAAGCCAAGGCCAATGTCAAGCATAAGACACTCCGTAGCAGTTGAGCCTGGCGGCACCCGCGATGGTAGGGAAGGCGATAACAACAGATCTGGTTGGCGCGCGAGATCACTCCAGGCTTCATGCCTAACAACGGGGGAACTACTAGGTTAGGTAGGCAAGGAGGTACTCCGTACGGTGTATGTACCTTATCTCAGCACAGTACGCCGTAGGTACTCGGTGAGTCTGCACAAGGAGCGATGACGGAATTCCGCTGGTGCCAAGCCACGACGAGGCTGGCGTTTTGAGCCGCAGCCTGAAAGAGTTTCGATGCGGCTTCATTTGTCAATTCTGCTCACAATCCGAAATACAACTTTGGACTCAACCGCATACCAAGCGGCATAGTGCAGGTCATTTCCCTTCGTTGTGAATATGTGTTAGCCCGCCCGGTTCTTTCCACTCCGCCCCTCGCCGAGATCCCGTCCAGCATCAAGCATCGGCGCACTTTGTTCACTTTAACGTCGTCCTCCAGCTTCGACGCCCAGGATGGCACAGGCTCAACCGCAGCTGAGCCACAAGGACGGTGCCTTGTTCCGTCAGGTTGTCCGGCACTTTGAAAACAAGCAATACAAAAAGGGTACGAGTCTCGTGCTCTACTCTCCCACGTCCAAGCTCACATCTACGCAGGTCTCAAAGCCGCCGAACAGATCCTGCGGAAAACGCCCAACCATGCCGACACGCAGGCCATGAAGGCCCTGATTATCAGTCACCAAGGCCACACCGAAGAAGCCTTCGCCTTGGCCAAGACGGCCCTCAACAACAATATGAAGTCCCACGTCTGCTGGCACGTCTACGGCTTGCTTTACCGCGCCGAAAAGAATTACGAAGAGTCCATCAAAGCATACAAGTTCGCGTTGCGGCTAGAGCCCGAATCGGCACCGATACAGAGGGACCTGGCCCATTTGCAGATCCAAATGCGAGATTACGAAGGCTACATCCAAAGTCGGAGAAATATGCTGCAGCAGAAGCCGGGGTTCAGGCAGAATTGGACCGCGCTTGCCATCGCGCAACACCTTGCCGGCAACTATGAGGATGCCGAGACCACCCTTACCACCTACGAAGAGACGCTCAAGGCGAAACCCGACAGGCTCGACATGGAGCATTGGGAGGCCATCCTCTATAAGAATTACATCATCGCAGAATCGGGCGCGGTCGAGAAGGCGCTGGACCACCTGGAGGCCGTAGGCAAGAAAGCCAGGGACGTGTTGGCCGTCATGGAAATGAGGGCAGACTACTTAGCCAGGCTGGGCCGAAAATCCGAGGCCGAGGCTGCCTACGCCGAATTACTGCATCGCAACCCCGACGATTCAGCTTACTACGATGGCTGGATATCTAACAAGGGACTCAAAGACGGCCCAGCCTTGGAGATCAAGAAGGCCTACGATGAGCTGGCGGAGAAGTTTCCCAGAGCAGATCTACCGAGGCGAAGACCGTTGGATGTCCTTTCAGGGGATGACTTCAGACAAGCGGCTGACCAATATTTGCAACGCATGCTCCGGAAAGGAGTGCCCTCAACGTTCGCCAACATCAAACACCTGTACACAGATGCTTCAAAACGAGATATCGTCCAAGATCTAGTGCAAGGATACGCATCTGAACTCCCGTCCCATCCACAATCCAACGGTACCGATCCGACCGGCGCCAGTAAGAACGAATCCTCACACTTCGACTCCTCGGTCCTCTACTTCCTTGCTCAGCATTACAACTACAAACTCAGCCGCGACCTCGACAAAGCGCTAGAGTGTGCCGACAAATGTATATCCCTCGACCCCAAGTCCGTCGACTTCCACGCCGTCAAAGCCCGCACGTACAAGCACAAGGGAGAGCTCGCCAAAGCCGCCGAACTCATGGAGCAAGCCCGCTCGCTGGACGAGAGGGACCGTGCCATCAACAGCAAATGTGCAAAGTATCAGCTCCGAAGCGACCAGAATGACAAGGCTCTCGAAACGGCCAGCAAATTCACCCAAAATCGCACTGGCGGGCCGTTGGGCGATTTGGTAGATATGCAGTGTGTCTGGTACCTCGTTGAAGACGGACAGTCGTACCTGCGGCAGCGGAGACTTGGACTCGCGTTGAAGCGATTTCACCAAGTATTCAGCATCTTTGACATATGGCAGGAAGATCAATTCGACTTCCACAACTTCTCTCTCAGAAAAGGTATGATCCGGGCATATGTCGATATGCTGAGATGGGAGGATCGACTGAGGGAGCATCCCTTCTTCTCGGCGATGGCGATTTCCGCAGTGAAGGCTTACCTTTTGCTCTTCGACAACCCTGACCTGGTACACGGACCGATCATGGACGGTGCCAACGGGACAAGCAAGTCCGGGGAGATGACGGCCGCAGACCGCAAAAAGGCCCTCAAAAAGGCCAAACGCGATCAAGAGAAGCTGGAGAAAGCGGAGGCGGAGAAGAAAGCCGCGCTCAAGGCTTCGAAACCCACGCCGAAAGCTGAAGAGGGGGAGAACAAAAAGGAGGATCCGGACCCGTTTGGTAAGACCTTGTTGGAGACGAAGGAGCCGCTCAAAGAGGCCATGAAGTTCTTGGGCCCGCTTCTGGAGTTTTGCCCGGAGAACAGCGAGGCACAGGAACTCGGGTTCGAAACATACCTCCGGCGCAAGAAATACCTGCTCGCGGTGAAATGCCTGCTCAAGCTGAAGGCGCTGGGAGTGGAGCCCTCGAAGACCCAAGAATTGGGCAAGAGGCTGAAGAGAGCGATCGAGGGGGACAAAGAAGTCCCGGACAAGGTGAGAGAGATTGTCAAGGCCGAGGCCGGCGAGTTGGCGCAATGACGCATCGGTTCAATGAAGATGTTGAGATGGCTGATTGACCGATTCGCGGCCCGCTTATGCCGAGACTTTTATCTGCTTCATGTACCCGACTCGGCCGCTCAAGCAGTGATATTGCCCTCGTCCATGCCAGGAACGATGGTTGCGGCAATGCTTCGAGTTCTTGACCGAGTCAGCGCAAGCTGGTCCATGGACATGGACATGAGCCTCACAGATCAAGCCATCATCCGCACGTGCGGCCAGCAGAGTAATCTACTGTACGGTAATGTACGTAGACAAGTAGCTTCGGAGATGAGATTCAAAACAAAACTTAGATTGCAGTTTGGTCGCGACGCACACCACCGCAGGCCGACAGACAAGAGTCAATGTTCGCCGGGACAAAAAAAGGGGCATTCTAGAACCAGGATGGGTGCTGAAACTGCTTCTTCGCAGGAAGATGTGCCGGGTAGCAGGCAGAATGGACAATATAATATGTCTGTCTTTAGCCGCCAGATCAAACGACTTTCCACCGAGTCATGTTTCTCAACAGATTCGTCGGCCCCCATATCTGCCCTGCGCGAAACTTGCTCATCTCCACCTCGTCTACCTCAGGACTTGATCCCTCGACTGTCCTGCCTGGCGGCTTTTCATCCAACACTGCCCTCTGTTCTCGGTGTTCCCGTTCTCGGGCCACCTTGGCCTGCCACTGCATGTCCCCGACCTTCCACCCGCGGACGACCCACAAGCACACCGCCCCGCCGATATACATGAAGGCCGTGAAGAGCTGGGGCGGGAGGTAGATCCAGCTGGTGGTGTCCTTGCGTCGCAGTTCGAGGGCGATGGCCTCGGCGGTGGTCGTGGGCGGGACGATCAACAGCCACGTCCAGCTCAACCCGGCGGGCAGGTCTTGCAGGCCCAGCACCTCGGCGGCGACGGGCGCAATGGTCGCCCAGTACACCCCGGCGGTGGCGCCGCCGACGACGGCGAAAAAACAGAGCAGGCCCATGGGCGAGGAGACGGTCTCGGCGGGGATCCAGAGCGCGAAACACAGGATCCCGCAGAGCAGGGTGAGGCAGGTGGCGAGATTGATGCGGCCCCAGCGATCTGAGGAGAGGCCGATGAAGGGGCGGCCGACCATTTGGCCGGCGTTGAGGACGGCGCCTAACACGGAACTTTGCTGTGCGCTGAGCCCGATGGACCGACCGTACGCCGGGAGCGAGAAGAGGAGGATGGTGTATCCGAACATGCTGAACCAGGACCAGCCTTGCAGGAGGAGGAATTCGGGCTTGCGAAGTAGGCTCAGGTCGAACGATTTGTGGCGCGAGCCCGTCTGCTTGTTGCGGTCGCGGATCAGGTTCGCGGCGGTCAAGTTGACCGCGAAGACACAGATGCCTAGGACGCGGAAAGCCCAGGGCAGGCCGTTCTTGTCGATCACGCGCTGGGTGACGAGCGAGTACATCAGACCACCACACCCGGAGCCGGCGGCGGCGATGGCGTTTGCGAGGCTGCGTTTCTTGGTGAACCACTGGGCCATGATGCCGACGGACCCAACAAAGAGGAAGCCCATGCCCCAGCCGAAGCAGAATCCTTGGGCCAGAATGATCTGGTACTTTACCTTGCAGAAGCTGGCGCCGATGAGGGAGAGGGTCTCGAAGAAGACGCCAAGATGGAGACACGTCCGTGTGCCGAAGAGGTGGATGATGCGCGTGGCCAGCGGTGCGACCAGCATGGCCTGGGATATCGAGAGACCGCCAATGAAGGCATAGGTCAGAGCGGATGTGTTGGGGAAATAATCGTTGTTCAGGTAGTACGAGAGGAATACCCCGTACGAGGAATTGATTCCCCAGGTGTGTGCTGTGTAGGTCGTGTCAGTGATTGGTCATCCAACAAGAGATATGTCGAGATAAGTGCTTCGATGGTGATTGCATGATGGTGCTAGAGCCCAGATCTGTTGGACCGGTTCGCCCATTTCCCCAGATTCGACAGGCTTGGCCTGCGCGTGGATGCAAAATGTAGAATTCGCCCTTACCGTTGATGAAGAAACAACACGCCACGCAGACCCAGCCATATCCCCCATCGGGCGGTACATCGTCGAGCTTAGGCAGCGCGGACGGTGTCTGTTCGACGTCGGTCTCTTCCGACTCGTTCCCATGACGTGGGCGGCTCTTTTCTGGTACGGTCGCGTTGACGTGCATGTCCTCGCCCATTCTGTTCCTCACGCCTCGGGTAAACAAAGGAAGAGAAGGCTGGAGGAAGATGATGGCATGCTAGAAGGTAAGTTAGGGAGTCATGCATAGCTGCATGCTTGCTATGTCACTAGTATATCGTCAACGTCGCCATCGCACAAAAAAAAGTAGCAGCCCGAGGCAAATCCGGCGGAGACTCCATCCCCAATGCCTCTTCGGGCCATTTGCTTGTACGATCGGCTATTGACTAACAACCGGTATCATGATTGGGCGATGCCAGTGTCCATGAAGGCAGTCAGCCGGATTCGCACACACCCGGCAGGCGAGGTGGAAATGATCCAGGAATTGTGGGGGGATGAGGATAGACAAGAGGAGATGCCCGCCGGCTCAGAGTGCGCGGTGCGGTGCCGAGTTTGCCGGCTGTCAAGCTTGACGGAGCCGGACATGAAGTCGTCGTCCTCAGTTTCTCGCCCATCGACGACGTGGGTGGCCTCGTTGCGTCCTTCCAGCCGCTGCAGTAGGCCCCCTCACCTGGTCCCTTAGATGATCGTTGCCTGCCGGTGGCGGTTGAAGTGCGACAGAATGACATGATGTGCGTGTCGCCCGGTGGAGCCTGTCGGCGGTTGTCGTCGCAACCAGAACTGACCTTAACCGACCCAAACAAAAAGTCGGCGACGGCTTTAGTTGACGAGCGAGATCTCGGTGACACCCGATAGAAATCACGTCAATTCATCTTGCATCTTGCTCCGTCCTCTGCGCTGGCTTGCAGTTGGGCACCAACCTGCCTTGACGTGGCAGCGGCCTCGAAATCGTGCTTGTCTGCTCTGTGGCCGTTGAGTTATCGTTGTTTGTTTCTGAGCGCCATCGAGGTTGCGTTTGAAATCTGGTGCTGCGTCTCGATGCATACGCTGCCGTGACACTCAATTCGACGCAGCTCAGTTCAACATGTTCCACAGGAAAAGCAGCGGTGGCCTGGGCGGCAGAAAAGTATCACCGCCTCAGCCGACACTCATGACTGCCGAACAGAAATGTAGGTTACTTCCATCGTCCCATACCAATAGAAAATGCCTCCACGACATCCTCCATTTCAGAGCAAATACTCACATAACTTCTCAGCCACGTACCTCGACAATCTGCGAAACAATCGTCCTGCCAGACCGACTGGTTCGAGGCCAGCACCGTTCACCTCGAGAAACTACGGCTCTTTGACATCACAATCGTCCTTGATCCGCTCAGATTCCGCACCGACGGTATCTACGCGCGAAGATGGCCATGAGAAAGAGGTGGAGAGGACAGACGAGGAGGTTGCTCACCCGGTTGGACAAAATTCCGTTTCATTTTCCTCCAGTCTAAAGGGCCGACCTCTAGCACAACCTCCGGGCACCGAACCACCCAAGGTGCGAGGAAGGAAGGTGTCACCGACCGCCACTGTCCAAGTATCGGATCCCTCTGCGCCCGGCGTGTATATCGAATGCGAAGCCAGGAAGCTGGAGAAAGAGGAAGCACACAGTCTGCGAGAGGCACTGGAGTTGATTGATCAGAAAGACGAGTTACGAATCTACGAGGCGGCCAAGGACGAAGCTGCCGATTTAGTGTGGAAACACCAGAACCCCAAAGCGGCGGAAGAGGAACAGGTGGCGCCGTATCGGAACCCAGACTTGAAATCCAAAGACAGGCGGCGAAGCAGTGGTCATCGTCAGACAAGTGGTTCGAGGAAAGTGTCGTTTCCGACCGCTATAAACAACATCTACGAAGAGCCGGAACAGACAAAGGAGTGTTCAAGACCAACCGTCCAACCTCCCAGCAATGAACTCCCCCTCAGAGCCAAATCGCGGAATAAACTGCCTTGGTTGAGAACAAAGACCTCTGAACCGTCAGATACAGCTACCCCAGTACCCGAAGGCAAGAAATTCGACCGCTTTGAGATCCACAGAAACCCGCCAACTCAATCGCGGAAAGCTGGCTATACGGAGAACACACCTCGGCCGCCAGCCATTGACACGATCGAGGAAGTCGATACGCCAAACTCCAGAGGCAGCTTGGAAATTCGAGGCGACGACATCCGAGCCGCCACCAGCATGAGGAGGAAAGATCGAAGTCCCAATCTTCCCACTCCCACAGCTGTCAGTGATCAAATTGGCCGACCTATTGTCAGCTTCGAAAAAGGATGGAAACCGCCCAGTGACTCACCAAGGGCAAGCCAAGATATGGATAGGCCTGTCATCAAGTTGACAGAATCACCCTCGGCCTTCAAAGGAAGCGACAGGCCTTTACCGAGACCTACGTCTAGCCACCAAGTCGCGGGCTCTACGCCTGCTGTGCCCGTCCTCAACCTGCCGAAAGAGACTCCATTCTCGCGGCCACTACCCGAGGTCACTGTCTCTGCGCCGGTTGTACCTACCATCAACCTACCAGATGATGTCCCATTATCTCAATCGATCCCCGCTGTGCCAACGATTAATCTCCCTGACAACACTCCCGATGTCCCGACGATCAGTATCCAGGAAGACCGCTCCTCGTCTCCCGGAGCAGAGATCAACCATTCAGACATAGGTCAACAAGCTCGTCCAACCAGGCCTCTCCCAAAACACTCTTCCTCGGCGCCCCCCAAATCAATCAGCTCTGTCGTCAAAACGCCCTCGAATCGTCTCCCCTGGCTCAACTCCCGCCAGTCGCTCCCAACGGTCTCCTGCTCAAGCTGCGCGCTCCCGATCTCTGGCCGCATCGTCACAGCCTCGGGCTCCAACTCCCGGCGCGACCTCAAAGCCCGCTTCCACCCCGAGTGCTTTACCTGCCACCACTGCAACACGCCGTTGGAGTGCGTGTCCTTCTACCCGGAGCCAGACACCGCTCGCCTCGAACGCCTGGACATCCCATCCGACCCGTCCCAACCTCTCTCTCCGGAGGAAGACTCTCTCCTCCAGAACGACCCGCTGAGGTTCTACTGCCATCTGGACTTCCACGAGTTCTACTCCCCACGCTGCCGGTCCTGCAAGACGCCCATCGAAGGCGAAGTCGTCATCGCGTGCGGCCACTCCTACCACGTGGACCACTTCTTCTGCGCCGAATGCGGGGATCCGTTCGGCGCGACGACGCCCTTTGTCGAGGGAACCGACGGCTACGCTTACTGCGTGAGATGCCACACGCGACGCACGAGCGCGCGGTGTAAAGGGTGCAGGAACCAGATCCTCGACGAAGTCACGGTCGAGGCGCTCGGCGGGAAGTGGCATGAACACTGCTTCGTGTGTCTCGAGTGTGGATGCAGGTTCGGTGACGAGGGACGATTCTTTGTCAGAGACGTCAATGTGGAGCCGACGGACAAGGAGAAACGGAGGGGCATCCTGTCCAAGGTCGAGGAACGCGCGGTCTGTGGAGATTGTGAGGAGCGGAGGTTGAAGGCTTGAGTTGAGGTTGAAAGCGACTGTGGACAATGCAACACTACTGTAGCAATGTGATTTGGTTTGATCTGGGATTCCGTCGATGTTCGCGTACGGTTTGATTGGGCGGGGACGGTTTTCAGGTGTACTTGGTGTCCTTAATCTGGTCTCTGGTTCTTGCTGTTCGCCGTCGCATAGTTTGACACGTTTTCATGAGAAGCCAGCACAGCGAGAGCCAGCATAATGGGAGCCAACATAATGGGAGCCAGCATGCTTGATTCGTGTGCCCCGACTCTCGAGTCCTCGACCTTAGTGTGCCTTTTACGAAGGCAGATATACGCATGTGCTGTCCCCTAAGCATTCGACTTGCATGATTGACTCTGACTTATGAGGTATATCGCCGCATCGTGGTAAATGTAAAGTTATGTCTCTGAACTGTTCTCTAGAGAAGGCACGATATGCTAAGCTGGTAACGCTGCGGATTGAAGGTCCACAGTCGCCCGACGCTGCCACACAAACAATCCTCCCAGGTGGATGGGAGGACCCTCTACCTCCGTTTACACAACTCTCAACCTCGTCGTGCCGCTCCACGCACATGTCCACAGCTCGTTTCAGCCCTCGGTGTTGTAGCCTCTCCGGCAGGCCTGCAAGGAGGATGCCGTCCGTTCATTGCAGTGTCACTTTCAGCTCGTCCTGTAGGCCCTTTACCGTTGATAAGTCATGTCAGTTGAGCTCGAATCCGGAACTCCGTGCTCAATGCAATCGCTCAATAGCTGAAGCACTTTTTCCCATTACACCTTTTCCCGAACTCCGAAGATTGTTCATGCATAATGATAGCCCTCCACATGTGATTCTCGGACGGGGTGCTGTGGTTTCATATTCCCACACTCATCCGACCCCAAGAAGTCGTCATGCTGTTAATGATTGCTGGGAGTGGCATGTACCGGGTGAAAAATAGGTACTTTTGATCTTTTCCATATATCCTCGCGCTTCCCAGAGATAGGAAGCCGTCATGAATTTCCACAATGGTCACCTTTGAGGTCGCAAGGACGGTTATCTTACAGCCTGTATATCACGGGTCAGGAGTCATAAGGTAACATCCGCTTCCTAACGCGGAGGTGAAGTCTGATATGACCCATTGGTCGCTCGACCGTCGACGTTGCTAGACTCGTCGTTGGGGGAGCCTTCGCCGGCAAGCTTGTTGTCAGACGCAACAATCTTGCCGTGAATGGCCTGGAGTTCTTTGCCTTTAATGCCCTTGTTGGGCCAGTAGGTGGCAGCATAATCCCTGCATGACGTTAGCAAAAGTCACAAGCTGTGTCTTCTCAATAGAACTTACCAGAATCGCTTCTCAACTGACTCCTGATTCTCATCTAGCTCAGCAACTTGCTCAGTGATAAAAATTCCGATTTGCTTCAGGAGCACACGCAACTCGTTTGCTCGAGTCTGGTTATCAGGAATCGCGCTCTTCGTCGTGGCCTTGATCTTCCTCAGGCTTTCTCTGACAGGCTTAAACAGCATATCCAAAAGAGGATCGACTTCAGTGGCGGCGGCGCCATGGGAAGGATTGTCAGCTCTTCTGTGGTCGCTACCATGGCGATGGTGAGAACTATGGCCATTCTCATCGCGATGTCTGCGCTCTTTGTGATCTCTGCTCTCACTTTCATGCTTGACGTGACCATGACGACGCTCGGACTGAGGAGTCCCATATCTCTCAGAGCTCTCACGTTGAGTCTGACTGATTGTCCGGTGTCGGGGCTTCTCTGAGTCTCTCTGTCGAATCCGAGACGGGGCAGCTGCTGGAGAACTTGCAGCTTTTTCAGCATGGTACTTCTTGTTATTGCGATGGTGGTTCTCGACGGCGCGTTTCGCGGCTGGATCGTCCACGTACTTGCTCTTCAAGACGGAGAGAAGATAGTCAGCACGTCTGACCAGGTGCACAGCACCCGGGGACTTCGCGTTCTTTTCATCGCCCCGCTCACGCTCCGCCTTCTTGTCGACACGGTGCTCCTCGAGGAAGAACTTGTCCATGAGGCCCAGATCAGGGTCATCGCGGATCTTTTCCCAGGCACCATAGCCATGTCGAGAAATACCAACACAGAGCATACCATCTTCTCTGGCACCCCAAGGACACGAGTATCCAGCAGCCTTCGTCGCTTCCGGAATTCGGAAAGACTTGTAGTCAGGATCCTTCGAAGTGACTTCTTGGAGCAGGCGCATTTCCATAGGACGTTCGAGGATGGTTTCGGCATTGATTCGTTTGACGCCGTGAAGCTCGAATAGGACGGCCTTGCGGTCTTTCTTGGTTATGGGTCGGTTCGATGTCCGTTCTAACTCGGCCATTCGTTGTTGTTCTTCCTTGAACAGCTTCTCGGATTTGTCCCACACTTCCTGCATGGCAGCTTTGACAACCTCAATGTCTCTACCGCGGAGTCGAGCTTCCGTGAGAAACTCCTCTGGTCGATCTTCTAACGAACCATAGCGGAGGTGGCCTTTGATGAGATATCTGTACTCGCGCTCACTCAGCGGACGTGATGGGTCAGCTTTGGGACCCTCATCAGATTCACTGTCCGAGTCGATTTCTCTCTGGCGTTGCTCCGAGCGTCGAGCTTTGCGGGCCTCACGATCCTCCGTGGCCTGAGTGTTGCGGACTCGTGGCTTGTTTTGCTCGATAACTTCAGCAAGGTATTTCTCGTTGGCCTTCTCTTGCTCCTCTTTCTGGATCCGCTCAAGCTGCTCCTTGGGGATGATATCATCCCAAGAGAGTTCATCAACTTTGACGTCCACGAAGTCGAAACTTCGCAGAAACTCCTCACCGCCATCGGCATCAGTGCCATCCGGTTGCTCGACTTTGTAGTCTTCGGCACTGTTGAGAACGGCGTCGAGATCAAGTTCTTCGAGCTTCTTCTGGTTATCGGTCTGCTCAAACATCTTCTGACCACGCTTCTTCAGGATTCTCGAGATTTCACTAGAGCTGCCAGGTTCGCCGACCAAGGCGTTGCGCCGAGCTTGAGTTTCCTTGTCGGTAACACCGCGCTGAATGGTCAAGAACTCCAACATTAATTTATTCCTGGCTCGCTCCAAAATCTCTTCTTCAATCGTCTCCTTAGAGACTAAGCGGTAGACACTGACTGGCTTGACCTGCCCAATCCGATGTGCTCGAGCCATGGCTTGTAAGTCTGCCTGAGGATTCCAGTCCGAGTCGAAGATGATGACCGTGTCGGCAGTCATGAGGTTGATCCCGAGACCGCCTGCTCGAGTGGAAAGCAAGAAGCAGAAATCTGAGCTGTCCGGCGCGTTGAAATGGTCGATAGCGATTCGACGGGGTCCCGCAGCGATGGTGCCATCAAGCCGCTGGTAGGCATGGCCGCGGTATTCCATGTAGTCTCCGAGGATATCTAGCATCTTGACCATCTGACTGAAGATCAAGACACGGTGGCCATCACGCTTGAGTTTGGTAAGAAGCTGGTCGAGAAGCATCATCTTGCCGCTACTCGTGACAAGAGCGCGAAGGACTTCGTCGCGACGAGCTTCAGGGGGGATGAGACGTTCCTCAGCTGCAGGGAACATGAAGGGGTGGTTGCTGGCTTTCTTCAGCTCCATCATGATGTTGAGAAGCGACTGTTTCTGGCCCTTCGCTCCTTGATTCAACGCAGCATAGTTCTTTGTAAGAATATTTTTATAGTACTCCAGCTGAATATCCGAGAGTTCCACACGAATGATCTTTTCAGTCTTGGGAGGAAGATCTTTCTCGACTTTCTGTTTGGTCCTGCGGAGCATATACGGCTTGATATCCTCGGTCAGCTGAGCAATTTTAGCACTTGCCTCCTCTGTGGTCAAGTCCATGTTCTCGTCGATGTTGACAACACCAGGGCTTAAGAAGTCGAACAGGGCAGACAGTTCTCCAAGATTGTTCTGGACAGGCGTGCCGGTGATGAGTAGTCGAGCTGGTGCTTTAAATTCTCTCAAGCGGTCGTACAGCTGAGATTCGCGATTCTTGAGACGATGGGCTTCGTCAACAGCCATGAACTGCCACTTGATCTGGCTGAGGAAAGGCGCATCGTGCAGAACATATTCATATGTCGTAAGCAGGACATGGAATCGAGGATGGCGGAAGTTTCCATCCGGCAGGAGTTCGTAGTCCCGAATAATGTTCCGCGCTGCCTGGTTGCCGCTGTAGACGATGTAATTTGTGTCAGGCGACCACAAGTCGAACGTTTCAGCCCAGGCAGGCATTGTGGACAAAGGAACTGCGACGAGGAAGGGACCTTGCTGTCCACGATCATGCCTCAACCAGCTTAAGAATGCTACAGTCTGCACTGTCTTCCCAAGACCCATTTCATCGGCAAGCACGACATTCTTCCCTTTGACCCAGTTGTAGGCTAGGAAGTTCAAGCCGGTCATCTGAAAGTCTCGGAGTGTACCGCCCTTGATGTACAATGGCTGCTCGCGAACTGGTTGGAAGGATGATCGAGAAGAAGGGTTGGTCTCAGTAGCGTTCGACTTGAAGTCTTCTCGTCTGCGATTGATGTAGCGGTCAATCTCACCCTGCGCAATCTCACTGACAAGGGTCGAGGACTCCCAAGTAGCTTGGTCATAGAAGAGACCTTTCCACTTGACATAGTACTCGATGCCCTCTTCACCATCACGGTCGCCGATGACTCTTTCCACCTTCTTGAAGTCTTCAAGAGCATCAATGTATTGTTCCCGGTCGAGGATCCATTTCTCTCGATCTTCTGGGGCAATCGAGGGGTCGTCACGGATTCGTATATCTTCCATGAGGGTCTTTCTGATGTAGTTCTCCAACCTCCGCACGCTTCTTACTGTAGCGAGCGACTCAGCAGTCTCCCAAGTAGCGTGGTAGTAGGCTTTCTGCTGCCACTTTATGAGGAACTCGTAGTCGTCCTTTGTCTTAGTCGGAGTGGTGATGTCGGCCTTGAGACGATGGTTCAAGACGATGTCAATGGCTGGACCGGCGTCTTCTTGACCATTGACCCAATAGTTGGGCGTCATGGTCTCGTCGTCCTCTTCAAGAAAGTCATCATCATCGTCTTCATTGTAATTAGATACCTTGGCAGCTCTACGCGTGGAAAATCGGATTTCAGCGTGTACCGGTGCCAGGCTATCAGCAGACTGTAGCAGTCTTCGGCGTTGCTTTTTGGAAAGCTTCGCCCGTCGACCTCCGTAAGCATCCGAGTCGTCATCGTCATCAGAACGGGACTCAACCACAGGGGTATGTTGTTTCGATGATCGTTGAGAGATGTGACGCGCGCGCTTCCGAGGGCGAGCAACAGCGTCCGAGTCCGTATCGTTTTCCTCAGAAGTTTCTGCCAGATTGTGGACGGCACGAGATCTTCCACTGCGCCTCAGCCCGTACATCTCTGGGTTATTCCGAATATGGTCATCCTCGTGGACCGGATGCTGTTTCCTTTTTGCAGGTCTGATACTATCATCGGAAGAAGAATTGTCCTCTTCCACTGGGGCGTCATTTGTGTTCATAGGGACGTCCATCTCGAAATCAGCATCGCCTTCTGCATCAGGTTCGGGTGAGCTCGGGTCGTTGTGGTCAGGAAGGTGCTCGCCTTCATGGTCGTTGTCGCCGCGTGACGGTGAGGCTTCGGCAGCGACAGGCTCTGCAGGATCGGATAGCTCGCTCTCACTATCGGAATCTCCGGTGCCATTGTGCATAGCGATCCTGGGCGGCGAAGGAGGAGCGTCTGAAGACGGTGAGGGTTCGGATATTGAGTGAGGATGAGGTTGAGAGAGGATTCCGGAGGCTGTAGAAGACGGGCGTCAGCAAGGTCGGCCACAGACGGGCTCCGGCAACACGACTGCACCCGGACTAGGTAATGTGGACTTCGGCGACTCGGAAAAGCCACAAGGACAAAACGTATGGTGCTTCTGAGATGAACAGTGGGTTGTATAAGATGGACTCGATAGATATCAAGGACGACGAGATGGTTTCGACGGAGAGATGTCGGGCGACTCTTGGGTGTCTTCCCAGGTGCAAACCCAGCCATAGGTGGTCTTGAAAAACACGGGAAAGTAGAATATGACAGTTGCCGGCATCTTGTGAGGATTCCAGCATCCACTATCATCATCTCGACAGGAGGGTATTAAGCTTGAGCGACCAGGCCGAGCAGCCGCCGATCACCACCATGGAGTTCCGAGTCTGGGGAATGAAGAGGCAAGAACCAGCGAAAGAACAGGACAACTTACACTCCATCGTCGCCAGACAAAGCCCGTCGGGCGTCTGAGAGACTTTGTATTTGTCGCAATGCCTGGAGGCAGAGGTAGAGGCGGTTTGGCAGGTGGTGTGGATGGTGAGGTCGCAAGGCTTTACTTGGGGTAAAAGTGAGAGGAAGCGCAGTTCAGGGCAGGGAAAGTGCCTCTCGCCTCGACTCCCATCCACCAAACGCCGTACGGGCCAGGCCGGGGCCACCCAGGGAAGGTTGGCCGCGCCTTCTTAACTCACCACCCAATGATATCACCAGGAGATGGGATTTTTAACGTGTACCGTGCCAGTGACTGCATTTTGTGCCCGCACTCATTCACGGCCCTCTACCCATTGATTCACCGCACTCTCAATATTCACGATAGCACCCAGCCAGCTATTAGGCTGTCGCTATTGTGCCGGTGACCCCGTCCGAAATTCTCAACAATCGGTCTTCATTCCCTTGCTTTCTCTTTCTCTTGTGCTGTCCATCCGTCAACGCCTCCCCGCTAAATTACCCGCCCATCAACCACAATGGCGGACAAACTGACAAGGTATGTCCACTCCTCAATCGTGTTGTTGTATATGCTAACCGGATAACAGAATTGCTATTGTCAATAGCGACAAGGTGAGATCTTCCGCCCACTTTGTCGTACTTTGGCTTTCTTCTCCGTTGCTAACAAATTCGCATTTCTGCCCCGCAGTGCAAACCCAAGGTGAGCCCCTTCCGTGTCAAACAAGCGCTTCACCACTGACCTGCTCGTAGAAATGCCGTCAAGAATGCAAAAAGTCATGCCCGGTAGTCCGAACCGGCAAACTCTGCATTGAGGTCACTCCAGAGTCCAAAATTGCCTACATATCCGAACGGCTCTGTATCGGATGCGGTATCTGCCCAAAGAAATGCCCCTTCGGTGCCATCCACATCATCAACTTGCCGACGAACCTCGAGACCCAAGTCACCCACCGATATTCGGCAAACAGTTTCAAGTTGCACAGGTTGCCTATGCCCCGACCTGGCCAGGTGTTGGGACTGGTTGGCACAAACGGCATCGGCAAGAGCACGGCTTTGAAGATCCTCAGCGGCAAGTTGAAGCCAAACTTGGGTCGCTATGACAATCCTCCGGACTGGGAGGAGATTTTGAGATACTTCCGTGGCTCTGAGTTGCAGAGTAGGGACTGCCTTGCCCTTGCATTCAAGCCAGATTGTTGACCGTGGTAACAGACTACTTCACCAAAGTTCTCGAAGATGACCTCAAGGCCATTGTCAAGCCACAATACGTGGACCAGTTGCCACGCGCCATCAAAGGTCCCGTCAAAACAGTCAAACCACTGATCGAGGCAAAGTCTGAGCTGGGTAATATGAAGCATATCATGGACGTTCTCGGTAGGCGGAAGCCCACGCTCAAATGACACAGCCCCACTGACCAACCACCAGAACTCAATGCTGTCCAGGACCGAGAGATCAGCCTCCTCTCCGGTGGAGAATTGCAGCGGTTTGCTATTGCCCTCGTTTGCGTCCAAAAGGCGGATGTCTACATGTTTGACGAACCCTCGTCATACCTCGATGTCAAACAACGTCTCAGCGCAGCCAGGACGATTCGTGAACTCCTTCGCCCGAATGACTATGTCATTGTTGTCGAGCACGATTTGTCAGTGCTTGACTATCTTTCTGACTTCATCTGTGTTCTTTACGGCAGACCTGCTGTCTACGGTGTTGTTACCCTTCCCGCCTCTGTCCGAGAAGGTATCAACATCTTCCTAGATGGCAATATCCCCACCGAGAACTTGCGCTTCCGCGAAGAAAGCTTGACTTTCCGCATAGCGGAGGCCGGCGAAGACTACATGGTTGACAAGGCACGTGGTTTCGAGTACCCTGCCATGGAGAAGACCCTCGGCGGCTTCCACCTGAAGATCCAGAAAGGAACGTTCACCGACTCGGAGATCATTGTCATGATGGGTGAGAATGGAACCGGGAAAACCACATTCTGTAAAATGCTCGCTGGTGTCGAGAAGCCCGACGGAACCCAAAAGGTCCCGGCCATGAACATCTCGATGAAACCGCAAAAGATCACCCCCAAGTTCCAAGGCACGGTCCGACAGCTCTTCTTCAAGCGCATCAAGGCCTCTTTTCTAAACCCGCAGTTCCAAACCGACGTTTACAAACCTCTCAAGATTGACGACTTCATCGACCAGGAAGTTCAGAATCTCTCTGGTGGTGAATTGCAACGTGTGGCCATCGTCCTGGCCCTTGGTCTCCCTGCAGACATCTACTTGATCGACGAGCCTTCTGCGTATCTGGATTCCGAACAGCGTATCATCGCCGCCCGCGTCATCAAGCGCTTCATCATGCACAGCAAAAAGACCGCTTTCATCGTCGAGCACGATTTTATCATGGCAACCTACCTCGCCGACAGAGTCATTGTCTTTGATGGCACTCCTTCCGTCAATGCACGGGCGAATGCCCCGGAATCGCTTTTGACCGGTTGCAACAAGTTCCTCAAGAATCTGGACGTTACCTTCCGACGGGATCCCAACTCCTACCGTCCCCGAATCAACAAGTTCCAATCTCAACTTGATCAAGAACAGAAACTTGCCGGGAACTACTTCTTCTTGGAAGATGAGAGTTAAAATATCCGTGTATTCACGCCGGGCATCTTCAAGAATGAACGCGATGATCATGGATATCATCGCCGTGAACGAAAGAAACGACATGAGCAGCAGGGTCGTCACGAGCGTCAAGAGCATATGAATCACGAGGCCATCGAGAATCATGACGCGTCACGGCTGGATAGCACGGGTAAAGGTGCTAAGAAGCGCCGAGGCGGAGTTGTCGTCGAGGACGATGATGAAGCCGAGGCGCAAGGCAGTGACGACGAAGATGACTATCATTGCTCGGGGTGATGGAGTGGACTATGGCGCCACCCGTTCGTCTGCGGGTTTACAGGACTTTGGTCCAACGAGCCAGAGACTTTTGCAAAGATGCAGATTAGGTCTGTGCTCGAGGTCCATACCATCCATCACCTACGGACCGACCATCAATGACATCTGCCTACACTCCTATGGACATATGGACGTTAGTATCCTTCAAGGGTACCAAGGTCAGGTGCATTGCTTTATGTCGACATCAATCAACTAGGCAAGCGAGGGAGGCGCATGGAGCACGTTCTCGGCAACGAATCGACAAGACCGTGAAGAGGGAGCAGGAACGACGCGACGAGTTAGGGACAGCGACGCAAAAAGGTCACCACCTTCAAGTGGCATGGCCTTCACGCTCATTTCATATTTCATAAACAACGAAGCCACGACTGAAGATGGATCTTGATGCGATGTACAGGCGAGAGGCGAATAGCTTGACCCGTAGTCACTCCTTCTTCTACTAAATCAATCATTTACTCATCCATGGGAAGTACATTAACTCAACAGAACCATGAGACGCATGTCAAAAGAACGACTAAAGGTCTTAGGCAACAGCAAGTACGGGGTCAACGAATGCCGAGCATAGATCAGAGAGGATCGAGGGCAGGACAATTGATTATGCGTTGGCTCAGGTTGGGCTAGATCGGGTCATGAACAACGGTTGAGGATCCATTTTGAGGCGGACAACTATCAATCTCTTCTCGATCGACGTCCTCAAACCCCTTTCATCTAGCTGTCTTCTTTACGCACAAGAGCCTCCTCACCCCACGTTCACCTACCCCCGAAATCCAGAGCTTTGAATGAATATAGCCAATCCATCCGAGGTCAATCGCCAAAAGCGCATTGAACAAACCATACGTCTGTGAAGAGACATTACAAGATGAACCGTCCTCTTTCACAGTCAACCTGTCCTTGGTGCCGTCTCAGGCCACCTCCTTGTTCGTCCGAGGCATTTCTTCTTGCTGAAGTTCTCCTTCCTCTGGTTTGTTCTTGCACGGCGACCAGCTCGATTGATCTAGGTTGTGGCCACTCGATGGGAATATAGAGCGAGACTCTCCCCTCCTCCTGCTCCTTCCTTCCTCCGCCCACAAAGGAAATTCGTTTGCTAGTCTGATATAGCTGTTGGCGAAGCGATGGCTTTGCTTCATGCTTGTCGTCTGATTCACTATCATACGAGCACCAGAAAGGTATCATATGGTATGTGATTTGTTCTTCCGTGTCGCCCACACTCATCACTCCGTGCAATAAATCAATATGACAGAGTTGCAGATCCATATTTCCAGTACGATCAATGAAGAAGACCGGCGAATCAAGGGTCCGCGTGATAAGTTGCGTGCTCCTCAACGTCCCTGCGTCCACTGGGATCTGTCGAGTCCGCTGCTGATCGGCTTGTGGCTGCCTTGGCCAGCCGCGCAGCAAAAATTACAAGCGCATTACAAAAGGAATATTGTGAAGATATATGGTGCTTCACGTGGAATTCATGCTAGTAGGGCTGTGGCATGATTTCCAGTGGTCGAGATAATGGGCTAGGCTGCCGGCCTTGTAGAAGAGAATCTGTGTGCCAACTTTCATAGTTGGCGAGCATGCTGAAGAGGGGAAAGGGTCATCCACCCAAACCGAGCCAGCTCTGCGGCTCAAGGTCGTGATATTCGTTCTCAGTGGAGATAGTGTCGTGATAGAATATTCCCAAAACGCCGGATATGCAATGGCTTCATCGAGAAGCCCAAGGAGTGTTGGGGTTGAGTGCCGTGCATCCTCGAAGGGGGCACGGAATGCCGGCCCATTCCCAAGATTGACCATCCAAGAAGGCGGGGTCGCATCTTCCAAAATCGTGATAGTATTACATGGATCCCAGACTCAGGAGAGCTTCGATGGCAGCTCGTTCCTGGGAGTCATTAACGCCAGCGCTGGTGGAAAATGCGAAAGGAGTAGAGTTGGTGAGAGGCAGTTGTTTCACCGGGGCACTCCGAGCCACGTCTGCCGGAGTCTTGGATCGGTATCTTGGCCGGTAAGAGTAAGTCGCGATGGGCTGATAGAGCCGACCGGGACCAGACACAGATCTGCCTGATTTAGGAAGAGACCTAGCTCGAAGCGCCGCAGCTCCAATACTAGCCCAGTCTTCCTCGTCAGTAACGTCACCATCACCGAGATCCTCATCCAGAGGTTCGGGAGCGACCGAAGAGACATAGCCATCCTCATCACCGTCTAGGGACATCTTATCGGCCTCGTGCTCCAGCATGTCCTGGTCCTCATAGTCCATTTCAGAATGAGAGAAGACCGCGGAATTGCCGGTATAACTGGTCCCCAGATTCTCGGAACCCGTGCGCCAGGATCGTTGAGTAGGCACGTGAAGACCGGCCTGAGAGTAGGAAGACGGTAGACTGCCAGGTGGCGTAATGTTGGAGCCCCGGCGTTCGCGCGCGGACTGACCCTTTAATCGAGCGTCCCATCGTCCCCAGCCGACCTTTTCGAAGACGACATCGCCATCACGGCCAGCACCCTCGCCACCTTTGCCTTCAAGCGCAGCGACTACGGAGCGCCTTGCTTTGGCAGAAGTGATGCGGGAGAAGCCAGGCACCGAGGTCGTCAGGTAGCCCATAATGTGCCTGATTGCCAACGGACCGTGAGACAACAGGATGTCCGGCAGGTGGTGTTGAGCCAGCATGCCGGGGGTGATAGCTCCAGCCGAGTCCAAGTCACCTAGACCATCGAGAGCCTCCGCGCTCAACGTAGTGGTCTGCGACTTGTCGGGCGCATCTTGCAAGTCGATGTCGGAGTCAACGGCCGCGCTTTTGGGAGACACAGGCCCATGATTGCTACTGTCCCGACGTCGGTGACCACGAGGGGGCAGATTTGGAGAGATGGAGTTCGGAGGCGTTGGCAACATGCCAGGCCGCTTTTTGGAGGACGTTTTGGCCGGTACAGCAGTGAAGTTGTCCCTGGCCTTGACGGCGTCGCGAGGCTTTGGAATGTCGACGGATGCGGACTTGCCGTGGAGGGCCATACCGAGAGCCGAAACAGTGGTAGGGGCCATTGTTCTTGCTGGTCTGCGATGGGTTATCGTGTAAAGGCGATCTGGGGAGGTAATGAGTCAGCTGCGGCGATGAGGTGCGTGACGCGTCATGATAGGAGTGACACGGTGATGTGCAAGATATATGACTCACCACACGAGAAGGCTCGACAGACTCAAGTCACGATAGCAGTGAACCGGTTTCGGCGGGTGGTTGAGGCGCTGTTGGGCAAGGTTACGCAGTGGTCGAACACAGGCCAAAGTCGGCGGTTGAGTCGGCGCTGCGGTTGCGTTTCGGCGTGCGAGAGCGTGGCGATTATAGAGACGACCGGAGCGGTGGTCTCTCTGCGATATCTTCCCTTTGATGAGGAAGATGAAGGAAAAGAAAAGGAAAGAAGAACAAGCAGCAGCAGCAGGAAGAGAACGGGTGTTCTGATAACGAAAGCGGGGTGTGGTGCAGGTGCCGATTTGGTTGGTTGACAGACAGGCTGGTATGTTGCTTTGTTGGTGTGTGTTGTATGCAGACTTGCGGATGGGCGAGGAGGAGATGCAGCGATGGAGCACACAAGTTGGGGGTGGGCGTGATGGTTCGGGAGCCGTGGCTACCCCCCCCCCCCGAACGTGCTGGGTTCAGGCCGGCGCCATGGCCCAGGCGTCAGGAATCAGGAATCAGGGCGTGCCAGTGACTGATCACATGCAGGAAAGGAGCAGGAGCAGGCGCAATTCACAGAAGCCCAGGGAAAGTGATTCAGCCACACTCCCGCAAACGGAATAGGCCCGCCGCATCATGGTTCATGCAGCCTTCGGTGCTTTTCGGGTGCCTCTGGTCATTCTGGTCATGCCCTCGGGTCACGGGTTTGAGGGCCTCAACTCCACTCGCTGGTGCTTGCCTTCTTCCCACACTCCAGCCTGCCAATGACATGGCTTCGACAGCAACACATGGCCTCCTCATGCACCCATCATGGCTCTACCAGTACTCCGTAAAAAGTACTCAAACCTCTTTTACAAGCATGAAAGAATAGACCCCTCTCTTGAACACTACGCGGCCTACATCAGTCAAGCAGAGTTTGGGCGATCAAGCCGCTCTCATTTCTCCTGTCGGGCCAATGGAAGCCCTATCTCGACTCCTCGTGTCCAGATGCGATAGCGATAACGATTCCCCTGTCGCGGTCGTGCAGGCTTAACATACGGAGTAACCTAATTCAACCTTTTCTAACCTCGAGCTCCTCTGCCACACTTCGTGTCCCATGCACCCTCCGCGAACCTCTTGAGTTGATGAAGATGTTGTCGTGACCCCGGCTACGCGCTCTGACGTGCTGCGGGAGGATCGCCAGAGTGGAAGATGTAGGCTTTGAAACATGCTGGCAGATTGTCTCATGATCCGGGTGTTATCTGCTCGACTTCCCAATATCCTTCTTTGTATCTGGCACACAGACAGCGCATATTTTCAGTTATGTTGATCCCTGTCAGTGACAATCTCGTCAATACAGACCATGGCCACATCACAATGCCCAAGGCGCGAGTGGTTCAAATAGCAAGCCAGTGAAGTCAAACCGGAATGTGGCCGATATAGGTTCAAATGGTTCTCAATGTCTTCTTCCGGAGCCGAGTTTGGAAATGTCTTCGACATTCTCCAATGCGAGGACGGTGGAGTTTGTGAAGAGGCAAATTCCATGCTGCTAGCTCGTCTGCATTCGATCAGCAATCACTCAAGAACGGGAAGACAAAGTGCCTCTCACTCATTGTAGGCATAGATGCCAATAGCATCAGGAATCACGGGCCTTGTGTGCGTTACGTCCATCGAGGTACATCTATCCCACATGTCTCCATGCGATCGTGTCAGAAGATCTTTTTCACGAGCCACTGTAATTTGGGTCTCTGGTGGCTGTCCGCGCGGATGCATCTTCCTTTCCGAGTTCCTTTCTTCGTGCATTGCACCTCAAGCCCTTTCGACTCGCTTCTGGTCCTTACATCGAACTCCCTTGGTCGCTGGCATAATCAATGGCTTCGTGCGCTACTCCGGGTTTGTGATTCTCACTGGCTTCACGAAAGTGAAAGCGCCTCATCCTGTGCTCATTGTAACATCCTTTCGTTGTTGCCACGATGGCCTTCCTGAATCATATCCCCTGGCGACATAAGGGTATATCTCGGCAGGCCACCTGGACCCAACGGCGAACGGTGGCATTCAGGCAGCACACATCGAGCTTCTGCTAGGGAGATTTTGCACCTCTGCAACCTCGAAAAAGTCGGCACGGTATGCCACCACCAATTGCCCCTGGAATCATCTGACTGATGCGGGAGGACCCATATTCGTTCTCTTCGCAGCTGGCAGCCCCGGTACCTTGAACCCGCCTTCTGACTTTGCAGCATTCACTTGGGTGAACGTGCCAGTGGAGAAGTATCCAGCACCCTCAGCTTCACGCTTCCTCTTGAGTTCAGCCTGCAACTTGGGATCGACCAACTCGAGCCCCTGAACAGGAGTGAAGGCAATCGAACTTGCTGTGCCGGCCCCGACACCGCTCGTACGAAGGCCTTGGGCTCTCAACGCGGTGACATTTCCTGCAGCGCCAAAGCCTCGCAATGATGTGGCCGTGCCGCTGTTCAGACTGGTCGCTGTACCGCCAACGCCCCAGCCGGGATTTTTCTTACTCAATTTGGCCATCGTACGACGGTCAATTTGCGTGGCACGTATGCGACCATCGTTTTGTGCACCGATCATGCCAAGTCCTATCGTCTCTTCGCCAGTGCCATAGCCCACTTCCCTTTCTTCCTTGCCGAATGCCATGCGGTTTTGTTGCTTTCGCAATTCAGTCATGGCTGTCGCTTCCTTGGCCTTGCGAGCCCTCCTCCCCCCACGCTTTCTGCTCGGCTTATCGTCTGGTGCGGGCAGAGCTTTGACGCCTCTGTTTGGTGGTGGTTCGGTCAACTTGTCCAACCGCCGTAAGCACTCGTTGAGGAGTTGTTCTCCCGTCGATCCATCGGGAGCTTGATGTACACTGTCCACTCGTGCGGCAAGAACTAGCTTGCCTGACACGATACGCATTGCCTGAACTCGAAGATCATTCGGAATTTCTTGTATGAGTGGTGAGTGGTAGAGGAAGCCTTGTTGTCGAATGCCAACGTTTGTAGCTAGCCCGCTCTGTTTCTGTTTTCTTGTGCCCATAGCCGGAATGTTGCGGTCAGGTGTCTTTGCCAGCCCTTTAAGACCACCAGCAAAATTGAGTAATTGAGCTGCCGTCAATGATCCAATCAGCGCGGTCAGGTTCGGCGCAAAGACATTCATGCGTGACTGAACATATTCGGTCAGAACTCTCTTGGCTCTGTCCAGCTTTATCGTCATCTCGCATGCACGCAATGTCGTTTCAAGTTCCTGCTCGCTCAGATCTTGACCTCTTGTCGTTGTACCTTCCACAGTAACAACCATCAAAGTAGGACCGTCTAGGATAGATCGGAGAGGGGTCCCGACTATGTTGTCCGATGACTCGGCTATGCGTTTTATATTGTCCAGCGGACCGTTCTTGATAATCGCCACCGTTTTCGCATAGTCAAGCGGGTTGGTGACGAGGGTTTCCAACTCGGGAAAGCAGGTTGAGTAATGGTCGCGGATGAACTTGTGGACAAGAATGATTTCGCTGTCGATCTGCGTGGAGAGGGAGTTGGACTGGGTGAGAAGGGCATATTCGGGGTTGTCCTCGACCGACCCAACTGTTGTTGTCCGTTGTTCCGGGGGTATGCTCTGGTAATGTGCTATTTTCTGTGGGATGACCGAACCGTTAGGGCTATATTCGTATTGTGTAAACGAACATGACTTTGGCAGCGGAACAGGAGAGAGCTTACCTCTAATACTGGCTCCAGCGTGTTCATCAAGCCGGCAACACTTCTCACATCACGAACACCTCCGAGTCGCATCTTCTCGACCTTGGCTTTTGTTTCCTCATTATCCTCGGCGGTTCCGAAGGCGCCTAATTCTCTAGCAGCGAGCTCTTCATCGACATCTTCCATCTCTTCTTCATCTTCATCACGCCCTGGATCTGGGCTAGGATGACGCGCGTGCTCGCCGTCCGCTGCTTCGCCATCCTGAAAACCGTTTTCTTGGTTGTCATTCTCGTCGCCGTCGTCGTCAAAGTCGTTGAGGAGTTCGTCAGCAAGTGTCGCCATTTCGGTTGACAGTTTCTCCCGAGTAAGTAGCGCGAATGGAATTATTCTCCAGCAGTGGGAGAGTGTAATGGATAATGTTGTGACACTTCATGTGAAGGGGACTAGACTGCGGAGTGCGAGGCTGCGGCAAAATTTCTCCGCAGCTGCAAGGCTGCCAACACGTTACACGATCAGGTCTGCAGTAAAACACGTGTCTGTGACGGAGCATTTCCCACGGATTTTTGGGCTTGAGTGATCACTGACTTGCTATTTTGTGCCTACTAGGACGTCACAGGCCGTAAAGTCGGCAAAGACGACCACGCTCTACCGAGAGTTCAGTTTGTTGTTTCTTCCTTTGAAAACCAATTCCTCCTCGTCGTTGCTCTCTTGATCAACCTCCGCACCAGGTGGCTGGACTTGTTGGACCTTTCCAAGGTTCCGATTATCATTTCCATGGCTCGGCTCTCCTTCTGTTCGATCCGCATCCCTTTCTTCGCTCCCAGTATCCAAAGAGCTCTCCGTGGTGAGTCCATACGTGCCTGCACCTGCCGCCTCTCCTTCACTTACTGCCACGGACTCGTCTCCTTCATCACCTGACAAATCCGCTCGGGCGCCCAGAAGGGATGCAAGAAGTTGATCCGTATCAAGTGGTACGCTAGACATTCCCGTAGTTGAGTCCGGGAGTCTGGCTCTTCTAGGCCGTCTTGACAGTATCTGGTCCTGCAAGTCTAAACGGATGCGTAAAAGCATGTTCTGGAGTATTCCAAAGGTGTGATGCTGCTGGGGCCGTACCTTAGGTCGGCCAGCGCCAAGTTCGATAGATGGAAGCGGAATCGGGGGAGCCCAGTTGATCCAGAGATTGCCATGGCATGCTCGAGGTATGAAACCGCCGGGATGGCATTGCATATAGAGGTTACAGCAGTAGCACGAGGGCTTGCTGCAGCCTATATATTTTTCGTCAGCGACAAAGTCAAGATTCTGAAAATGAAAGTGCTCCAAGACCAGTAACTCAGCGTGTGGACGAGGTCTAATGCTCTTGTAATCATCTCGAAACTTGCCCTCAATCCCTGCTATCGCGTCGAGCTCGGCGAGAGCTATCGTCAATTCCTGAGCCAGAGAAGGTTGGTAGCTAGGCACCAGGCGCCCGACAACATCAGCCATGTCAGTCGAAGCGTCAAAGTAGGGTAACGCGGCAGATCCATTCGGTGCAATAACCATGACTTGGGCGCCCTCGATGTACTGTGGGAACATTCTTGTACCAGAGACAAGGATCCGAATGGCTTTGTGCCACAAACCTAGTCGCCCAATGTAGTGGCGAATATCAGACCAGATGCCGCGTTGCGAGTGGATAGTGTGCCTTTGAGATAGTACTTCCATAAATCTGTGCTTTCGAAGGCCGTGAGCATAGGCACACAATTGATGAGGATCCGACTCTAGGGTTTCAAGCTGATCAAATTCCGCCATGATGAGCGTGTCTGCGCGGTTGTCAAACAATCATGGCAGTATACCCTAGGATGTCGTTGCTAGCACCCACCTTCAGGCGTGCGCGATCCCTTCATGCTCTTCTTCGCCCTTTTGAGTGCTTGAATTAGCCATCCGATGTAGGTCCGAATTCGGGCGCGGCTGAACTCAATGCACCGAAACAGAACCTCGCATTCACGTTCGTCGTCCGATCTGCCGACGGTATGCACATCGTTCAGGCGACCTAAGATCCAGCATACATGGTCACGCGCCTTGTTTCGGGAATTTGAGTTTGACGCAAGCCAAAAGATTGGGCGGTCGACGCGCTTCTCAACCGCGATCGCCGTGACAGTGTCCCCGCCCTTTTCGAAATCACAGAGAAATGCAAGCTGATCCAAAAAGTTGCGCCACCACTTTGATTGTTTGTCTAACCCAAGGTCGGAGGTGAGGTCGGGGCGGTGCGCCCCACGAGTCGGGTCCAGCGCACCGAGGAGGACCAGAGGTTCGTAGAAACGGCGGAGGAGTTTCCCATTGGCGTCAGGTTGAATGTGTCTGGGCATTGTTGCAGTACGTTGATACGTAGCCGCATCAAATTGTCCGCGTTTCGTGCTGAGCAACTAACACATGCTGTAAGAAAGCTCAGTACGACTACCCCGAGCACTGAGTCTTAGAAGTCGTTATCTCCTCAGAGCCTCACATGAAGCAAAGCAAGCCAGTGCGTTGGCACAAGATGATTAGTTAAATTCCTGGCACCGTCATTTCGTCCGATTCACATCGATTTGGTTGGCCCAGTTTGAGGGGATTGAAGAGATCCCTGCTACGCCTCCACTGTCTCGCTTGTCATCACATCGAACGTTTTCAAGAGCACATGTGCGCGCATCGACACTGTAGGGGGATTTCCAGCATCGTCTTCGCGTCCAGAGTTATGGCAGGAGTGGATCTTAGCTACCACGTAAAGTATGCCGACAAACATGCGAGTTTTCCATGTTCTTCACCATACCTGAAATTCTGGCAACAGATAAATCGTAGGCCTGGTACTCCGTAATTATGGCTCCGAATGAAGAGAGTCTCAAAACCCTCCGCTGGTCACAGACTCTGGTTGTCATCGATAACCCAGAACAAGAACGACCTTTGGATCATGATAAAGGCAACACCTCGTCAGGGTAGGTACCTTAGACTGAGGAGACTGAGGGATTGGATACTCGTAGGGCAAGGACGAAAGAGAGCAAAGGGCGGCGTGACCCATCTTCCAAAACAGGTTTACCGTGTTTTCCTCCGCCTCGGAAGCTTGGCAGAGTTTCTCCGCAGCTGCAGGCTTCCTTGTGATGCATCGGGAAACAAAAAGTTCACCAGTCGTCATTTGAGGCTCGACATTTTGCGCGCTGACTCTACCCAGATCAGTGGGCCATACCCTCTCTCTCTTGCTGCTGAGCGGCCTCAGCGCGCAAGTTTTCGGCCCAGCTCGACCTCCGTCGACCGAGACGCGCTCGCTGAACCAATTTCCCTCGATCTCAACTCAATCCTAACCATGGATTCTTCAAGAGGCCCTCCCAGGGTCAAAAACAAGGCCCCAGCGCCTCAGCAAATCTCAGCAGAGCAACTGTTGCGCGAAGCTGTTGACAGACAAGAGCCGGGTCTACAAGCACCGACACAACGCTTTGCCGATCTCGAAGAACTCCATGAATTTCAGGGCCGCAAGCGCAAGGAATTCGAGGACTATGTTCGGCGCAACAGGATTAATATGAACAACTGGATGCGATATGCGCAATGGGAGCTGGAGCAAAAGGAGTTTCGCCGTGCCCGCTCCATCTTCGAGCGAGCACTGGATGTCGACAGCACGAGTGTTGTGCTATGGATTCGCTATATCGAGGCCGAAATGAAGAACAGAAACATCAACCATGCGCGGAACCTTCTCGATAGGGCAGTCACAGTCCTTCCGCGAATCGACAAATTGTGGTACAAATATGTTTACATGGAGGAAACTCTCGGCAACATTCCTGGCACACGACAAGTTTTCGAGCGGTGGATGAGCTGGGAGCCTGACGAGGCTGCCTGGCTGGCATACATCAAGCTTGAGAAGAGATATGGCGAGTATGACCGGGCGAGGGCAATCTACGAACGCTTTACGATGGTCCACCCAGAACCGCGCAACTGGATTCGGTGGGCAAAGTTCGAAGAAGAGAACGGCACGAGCCAGCTGGTTCGGGATGTCTTCGGTGTTGCAATCGAGACACTGGGGGACGATTTCATGGATGAGAAACTGTTTATCGCATACGCACGCTACGAAGCCAAGTTGAAGGAGTACGAACGAGCGCGGTCCATTTACAAGTACGCCTTGGACCGACTGCCTCGCTCGCGCTCGATCGAACTGCACAAGTCGTATACTCAGTTTGAGAAGCAATACGGCAACCGAGAAGGAGTCGAGGATGTGATCCTGGCGAAGCGACGCGTCCAGTACGAGGAACAGGTAAAAAGCAACTCCCGAAATTACGACGCGTGGATCGACTTTGCCCGGTTGGAAGAGTCCGGGGGCGATGTTGAGCGGGTTCGAGATGTCTATGAAAGAGCCATCGCTCAAGTCCCGCCTTCGCAGGAGAAGCGGCATTGGCGCAGATACATCTACCTCTGGATTTTCTACGCCCTTTGGGAGGAAGTGACCAATAATGACGTGCAGCGAGCGAGACAGGTGTACCACGAATGCCTGAAATTGATACCGCACAAGAAGTGGACATTCGCCAAACTGTGGATCATGAAGGCCCAGTTCGAAATACGTCAAATGCAGCTTACGGCAGCAAGAAAAACGCTGGGTCAGGCCATCGGCATGTGCCCCAAAGACAAGTTGTTCCGGGCCTACGTGGACCTGGAGAAACAACTATTTGAATTTGCGCGGTGTCGTACACTCTTGGAGAAGCAGATCGAATGGAATCCCTCAAACAGTCAAGCATGGATTCAGTTTGCCGAGCTCGAGCGCGGTCTCGATGACCTGGAACGAGCACGCGCTATATTCGAGCTGGGCATTGAGCAGCCTACCCTTGACATGCCGGAGCTGGTGTGGAAGGCATATATCGACTTTGAGGAGTATGAGGAAGAATACAGTCGCGCTCGAGCCCTGTACGAGCGACTGTTGAAGAAGACAGACCACGTTAAAGTTTGGATCAACTATGCACGATTTGAAATCAACGTGCCGGATCCAAACGTGCCCGAGACGGACGAGAGTGAAGAGCAGCCTGTCAGTGAGGAGGCGAAGAGGCGAGCACGGGCAGTCTTTGAGCGCGCTCATGATCTATTCAAGTCTAAAGAGATGAAGGAAGAACGTGTGGACTTGTTGAATGCGTGGCGGTCGTTCGAGCAGGCACACGGGTCCGCTGAAGATATTGACAAGATTGAGAAACAGATGCCGCGCAGGGTCAAGAAGAGAAGGAAGATCGAAGAGGATCGGTTCGAGGAGTACATTGACTATGTCTTCCCCGCGGATGATGAGAGCGCGGCCAAGATGTCGAAACTGTTGCAGATGGCACATGCATGGAAGTCGAAACAGCAAGCGAATGGGGCTCTTGAGTGAGAGAGAGCCGGAGGAGGATTTGCTGCTGTGCTCCCTCGCTCCATACCTCGTACGCGGTATTGGGTCCTTAACTCCGTACGTTCTGTGTAAAGGTACAAAGTTCAGAGCCCACAGAACGTACCTATGTCATCGTGCAGCAAGTCCTGGATGCTCGGGTCAATGGACGTTGACCCTCTCCTTCAGTTCTTACTGGCTGTGACTGCGCTTTCCCAGATTAATTTCCCCAAGATAACCAAGATCTCATTTCCAGATGGAGTACTCCGTTGATGAGTACATGAGGTGACGCGGCAATATAGAGTCAATTATTGAACTTTAGCAATTCGGTCTTGCAATCCGTGTTGCAAGCAGGAGAACGTCTCACGGTGGAAAAATTCTCCCCCAGCAAGCTCGAGGTTGTCTCTCTCTGCAACCTCTATTCCCTTCGCTTGCCGTGTAGCGGCTTGGATGCGTCTGGTGCACCCTCGCGTCGAGCAGCTGGTGACGTATCTATCCCCCCTCATCCTCCTATTGGTGCGTCCCGCGTCGGGCTATTCCTCTTCCTGCTCCCACTGCCATTCCTGTTCCTGGAGCCCCTGGGGAGTCCCGAGCTCTGCCAGTGGTACCTGCAGACACCCCACCGGCCTAGCCCAAGCCAGCCAATTCTGTTCCGGCTAGCAAACGCCTATGAAACACAACGCCCAGAGATGCCTCCTGTTCCCGTCACGTAGGCGGCTGACTCGACAGCCATTGATCCAACGAATCGAGCTTTTGGCACTTTCCTGCTCTCGCCCGTGTGACAGTCGAGTCGGGTGACCCCGGGCGAGCAGGGTGCAATGCGATGCATGCAATTGTCTGGCCGCGTGGGTGAAGGCCACGGGTCATCAATTGGATTGCAAGCCATGCACCGACCCCGACGCGAGAGCACAAGCTAATCCCCTTTCCTCGGTGCATTTGCAGACTAGCCTATCCCGGGTCTCCTGCCCAATGACTCGTACCGACTACTGGGATACTGGCGTGCCTGGGGCAGCGGTAAGTGGCCTCGTCTGCTTGTTCTGCCCTTCGATAGCCTTCTTTTGCGCTTCTCTGCTTTCCGACTTTCCATGGCCAACGGCCGCAGTCACATTTCACGGACCACTCACCCACCGTCCAGCACCCATCACCCACCGCCCTGACCCGCCCACTTTCGACACCGCTCTATCCATCGTCACTTCTTCTCTTTCGCAGCCGTCACAGCGTATCATCGTCACCTACTGTGTCCTGTGTCCTGTGATAAATTCACCACCAAAAGATCAGCCTGGGATCAACATTGGGATCCTCTTCGCTTAAGGTTGAGAACAGATCGACATTACGCTTTGCTTCCCAAAACACTTTCCTGGGGTTCCACCGACCCACCCTGTCAGATCGCCGCTGTCGTTCCCACCGCCAAAACACTGCTGTCACTCTGCGCCTGTCTCTACAGCACCGACGCGACTTTGCGGTTCCTCTGCAGCTCGACCGACTAGAACACAGACACCACAACGCCGCTTCACGCTGCAGCTCTCGCGATCGTATCTTCCGTAGCGTCCCTCCCAGAAAGAACCACGGCCGTTCACATCGTGGCTACTCTCACGCCGAGCTTAGCCTCAACACCGCAACATCCTGCCTGAAGCTGTTTAACTCTCTGCCTCATCCTGCGACCACTTGCGCTTTGCTCGATCCTAGACTGAGCCGATTCTCGAAGTGCTGCGGTGGCTCCGCGACCGAGGGCTACTGTTGTTTCCCTGGGCCGTTTGGAGGCCGCAAAGCGGGTTTCCCAAGCTTGGCTAAAGGATGCAATTGACATCCTGACAAGGACGTCCACCTGGTATTGGTGCTGAGACGGCCTGTTGGAGATGTCCGCGCCGAAACCTCCTGTTGCTTTCAAGGACCACTGCTCCATCATCCACGATGGAGTCATCTATGTCTATTCACCCGACGCGTTTCAGACTTTGGAGTTGAAGGAAGGCGCAAAGTGGAAAGAGCAGGCGAATGGAGTATCGGTGACAGGAGCCGTGTGTGTCAAGGGAGGTGTCGATGGGGACAATTCGAAAGCGGCTCTGTACGTCGTCGGTGGTGCTACGAATGCGTCAACAACAGATTACACTGGGCTGCAGCGCTACTCAATCCAGGACAAGTCGTGGCAGACTGTTGTGCCCGTCGTCAACGTCACCCAGAATCGCTTGAACCATGGGGCAGCATATCTGGAATCATCGTCCACTCTCGTGGTCTATGGAGGATCCCAAAATGGTGATTCGGGGCCGTCTTCTGAGACCTTCACTGTCGGGCTGTACCCGCCATATACGGTGCTTGCATACAGTTCCATTGCACCCCCGACGGCCAGTCCTTTCATGCTACCATACAGCCAGGACCGCACCCTGATGGTCGGTGGCAGCTCGTTCAACGACAAGACCTTTACTTTCGACCCTACAAATGGATGGCTGGATCTCGGATTGACATTACCAGCTCCACTACCGGATCGCTCAGCTGCGCAATGTGCTCTTTTCACCCTTCCAGACGGTAGTGTGATTCTTCAGACATTTAATCTGGGCCAGACACCGACGACAGTGACAACAAACGTCCTACAGAACCCTGGCGGTGCCCCCGCATCCTTTGGCCAAACCGCTGGAGGGAGTAGCGCAATGCCGAGTGCATCCTCTGCACCCATACCGGCTTCGAAATCGAGAAGGCAGACATCGCTTGGAACTTACCCAACCTATAACGATACCCTTGCGCCCTCCACACGCCGAACAGGGACCAGCCTGGCACAAGGTGAGGACGGACTCGTGGCTCTAATAGGAGGTAACGATGACGACCCGCTGCTTTTCTTCAATCAATCCGGCAACGGTTGGATAGCGGCGTCTCAGCTTCTCGGGACGCAGCAGGTCCCTTTAGCTACTCCATCATCAACCGTACCTCCCGCCACTTCTACTGCATCAACTACTCCTGCTGTGTCGAGTCCTTCGGGCAGCAAGACACAAGGTCTCACTGTCCTCGGAGCTGTACTGGGTGGTATCTGTGGGGCCCTGGCAATTCTGCTCCTTCTACTTCTGTGGCGCAGATCAAGCCGGAGGAAGCGCAGGGCCGAAGCCGACAAGGAGGAGGACTATCCGGACGACAAGAAGCGGGAAGCAGGATACAACTACGAAGAACGAGGCCTGGGACCGTTAGCCGCGGCTGGGCAGCCCATGGGGAGAAGTCCAGTTCCTTCTGCCTACATAGCAGAAGCGGACACCACTGGTATGTTGGGTGTGGCCCGACCAGACCCAGCTTCGCTGGTTCGCCGTGTCTCCTCCGATCGAATGAAGGCCGAGTATCGCGGATCAGGCATCGGCTTTGGACAGGCCCTTTTCAAGCGAGAAAAGGACAGAGAACAGCCCAAGCTTTCCATCTCCAAGCCCATGATGCCGATTCTCAATGACTACAAAGAACGTCCGAGCATTGAACTCGGCAAAGCAACACCTGTCGGCAGCCCTGGACCAGCTGTAGCCGTTCCATCACCAAAAGCTGCCGTGCTGACCAAAAAGCCATCCCAAAGGAAGACAGACGAAGGCTGGGGCAAGTACTTCCAGGCTGATCGGCCATCCCCAAACAGGGCGACATTCTTGACGAGGAGTTCCGGGCAAAAGAGCGGCTTCTGGCCCGGGTCGGGTAATCCTGAAAACGCCACCACCAGATCTCCCAAGTTCATGCTTCGAGACAGCATCGGTAACCCCCTGGAAGCGCAAAATGTCGCCGCGGGCAGTCCTAGCCTTGAACGTGGGCCCTCAAACCTGCAGTCGAGAGGTTTGCAGTCCGTACAAGGTATGACCGGGCACATCTCCCGTGCAAGCTCGGTGAGGACAGATAACACCACGGATGACGACTACGAAGATGATCAGGTCTTCGAAGGGGCCTTCTCAAGCGGCGTTCCCACCAGTGTGCAGGACACGGCATGGACGCCTGTAGGCAACACGTGGTCCGGTCCAACCGAACGACCGTTACATCCTCCGAGCAGTTACCTCGCAGCTCAACAAGCTCAACGCGGGCTGGGGATTCCGCAGACTCGACCCCCGCTGACAGCAGGCTCGGCCGAAACGAGCAACACAACTGACACGCAGACCTCCTCGATCCCTTCCTTCCCGATGCCCAATTCGATCCGCTCTGTCCAACCCAGCGGCACCATGAGAACACACACAGCCGATTCACCCACGTTCCACCAACAAGCAACACGAACACCGTTCACTGAACCACGGCAAGAAACCGACTACTTCGGCCACACTCGTAAGCCGAGCACAGGTCGACAGCAACCAGAGAACACCAGAAATGTTAACACGGACATGTCATGGCTCAATCTTGGCACCCCGAGCGAGAATCAGAGAGAAATGTACGTGGAGACGCATCAAGAGAGCAGCGGGGGCAGTCGGTGACTATCTTCCCGGTTCTCACGAGTCTTGTATCAATTCCTGCTCGACGATGTAGCGCGGAAGCCGCCCGGCAGTACCGCCTCTCGCTCGGGCAAGGTTGACGATAGAGGATCCGTCGAGGGCCACGGTGGGGAAACCGACATTGCTAAGCAGCGGAGTCTATTCAGGACGAAGAGCATGCCCAAGAACGGGACCCAGTTCCCTCTGCAGGCCGTGGGTACCAGAAAACGGGGCGCGGCGGGAATGGAGCGTGTGGACGAGGAAACCACGCCGGTCGAGTACGGGGTTGAAAGTCCGACGATCCCGCCGCCCGTTGCGTTTGCGCCGATAAGGAGAGGGAGCATGAATAGTGAGAGTACCACAGGAAGGGGCAGTAAGAGGCTTACTATGTAAGCCCGGAATGGAGTGGTGATGACACAGCGAATCGGGGAAAGAGGAGAGAAGAGAGAAAGAGCGAAAGCGATCAGCCCGGATGATCGGTCTTCTAACTAACTAACTACCCTACCGACCTACCACAGGATTTCTTACGACTATTGATGCGGGGATTTCAGGCCTGAATATCTACGAATGTGTGTGTGTCTCTCTCTATCTCTGTACGATAATCATCCAGCTACTAGTCTTGTACCTTGGACACTGCCACAAGGTGCAAGGTAGCCAAGGCTCTCTGGGGCGGACAGGGAGAAATAATGGTAATGATTTCGTCTTGTAGAGTACGAATGAATGTACAGATTCCTACCGAGTACTTTTCCACACCATGGCCTTGCCCGCTTTGCAGTCTGTGTCCGGTAGGTGGACAGCTCAGTCAATGCTTGAGGACTTCGTAACACCGGGCCTTCTTGTGTGAGAGGCAACATGGGCTACAATACCACGTGAGGCTCCCAACAGTCCAGGGCCACAAGGCGTGCATGACAAAGCCCAATGACGGCCATATAACGACTCCCAGCATCAGTGTACCCCGTATGAGACTTGTGGAAGTGCGTGGGTGGGTGGGTATGTGCGTGGTTGATCGGGCTCCCTCATGAAAGAGCTGGTAACGACCTCCCTTCGGCTCCCTCCACGAACGCTTGCGGAGCAAAGAATTGCGTACCTGGGACTTCGGATGAGGCCGTCAACGCATGAGATTTGTGGAAGTAAGTAAAGTGAGTGGATGGGTTGATGGTTGAGCTCCCCTCATGAAAGAGCTGGTATTGTAAGGGCCCTCCCTTGCGCTCCCTCCACGAACGCTTGCGGAGTACATGATTGTATGATTAAGACTTCAGATGACGCCGTGCCTGGCCGTGCAAGCGTGCGTACTGTGTATGCGTGGTATGATGCTCTGCTACAGTAGTACGGAGTTCGCGGGACGCTCTGTATGCGCGACAAGCTTCCCCCGTCATTCCTTCTCTGCTGGGCAGCGCCGTGCCGCGCGTCGTCTCGACTCGTGCTGTGTTGTTGTACAGGACTCCGCCGCCCTTACCTGTGGATTCACAACCAGCTACATACTCCGTCTATCTATGGAGTCGTCGGATAAAACACGCCATGTAGTCCCTCGCCGCTCTACACAGCCAATACAGCGATGCATACTCCGTACAATGCGATCTGAATTTAAATAGGATACGCTCCAGACAGGCTAGGTAACTTCGTAACGAGTGACGGGTGAGTGCCGCCGCTCCTATGTTGCGTTCGTGAGTGAGCACTGGACTTCGTTTAACGACTTCATGGACAGACTGTAATACAGAGCACCCCTGCCGTTCGATTCGCAACCAGATATGTAGTATGATCTTCAGCCCCGGTCCGCTCCCCTCCCCCTCCCTCTTCCTCTTGCACCTCTCGGCCCGCCGCCCTTCCCCCGTGGCGGACCCCTACTCTTCAACCTCTCTGGCAATTCCTTGACAACTCCCCCACCGTGGCTATAAAGCAAGCCGACCCCTTCCTTGACTTCTACGGCCGCGAGGAAGTATTTCGTCGGCACGATCTTCTCTGCGGCGACCCCTGCCGCTTCACTTCCGGTAGATGAGGCAGAGGCTATCCCAATCCCATCTGTGAGGATGACCCCGTTCTCGCTCCGCCACCATTTCATTTCTTGCTCGTCGGTCAACGCGCGGCGGATGTCGATGTAGATCAGGATCTGGGCGTCGTGGCGCATGCCGGAGATTACTTTGTTCTTGCCTAGTAGGTCGGGTAGATTTTTGTGACTGTGACCGTGATTGGAAGTGTGATTGTTTTGGTGCTGGTTAGGAGGTTGAGTGTTGTCTTTATTGCTGTCGCTGCTGCTGTTGATGCCGTGATCTTGATGACTGGTGCTATCGTTGACACCGTCGTCACCATTAGCCCGAGGAGCTCTGCTGCCGTCTTCACCAAGAGCGGCGTCCGATACGGACGATACGGGGACTGCCGCTTCGGGCCAAACCTCCTGCAGACTTGGCCCGCTCGCGAAGTGGACGTGGTTCCGTCTCATGCTCTTCAGGCCCCCGCTCCGCAAAATCTCCTCCCACGCGCCGTAGAAGGTGCCATGGACGACCGTGTCGGGAACACTGGCGGGGTCGTCGAGCGATATGGGCGTGAGGAGGCCCTCCGCCTCGATGGTCTTCATGCTGTGTCCTTGCGTCGCGCGGATGAAGAACCGCGATAGATCCAGGTCTGAGAGGGGCGTGGCTTCAAACCGCGAAATGGCGTGCTGAGTTGTGGTTTCAACTTGTCCTTCGGTTTCTGGTTCGGGTTCGCCGTCGCGTCCTTGCTCGTTTGCATCGCCAGGCGGCGGCGACGGCGGCACCACCTCATCCTTTGTGACAGGACCGACAAACCTCAACGCAAACCTCTTCTTCTCGTTCTCTTGAACGACTTCGACGACCTCCGCAAAACTGACAGGGGGTTTCATGCTGCGCAATCTGTGCCAAGCCAGAAGATGATCCACGCGCACATAGCCGTGGTTGTCGATGGGGATCCGCTCCTCCACGGCAGCGTGACGGAGGAGGCGAGATAGGGCCTTGGAGACGAGGACGGAGCGTGGTTGCGGGCCGCCGTGGCCGCCTCTGCCACCGCGAGGCATGGTGAACTGGGACGTAGTGCAAAGTTTTCCTTCCCGCAAGCTTGGCCGCGCAAGTGCAAGTGCTCGAAAAGATGTGAAGCGCCAAGGATGGCAAAAAGGTGGTTTGCCGAACTGGATATGTGCTGGAAACCTCCGTAGGGCTGCGAGGGAATCTATGATCACTGGTGCCACCGTGCCCCGGTGACTCACCAGTGAGTGAATGGTGGCTGATGGTCAATTCGGCTTTTCTTTCGCGCCAGGCCAGGCATGTCAAGATCTGATAGGTAGCTATTTTCAGTGGCTTTCCGCGTAGTCTATACTGTGTATGCCCTGCGCACAGCTCAGAGGCGTAGCTAGATCCAGGACACTCTCTGCTTGCTCCCTCGGTGCTTTTTCCCCTGAGGATATTGAGTACGTCACAGCAAGGCTGAGCTTATCGATAACCGAACCACATTTAGCGTGTTTTCACAGCCTCGTGTGCAGGCGTGCCAGGGAGGCATAAATACAATTGCGCTCCAAAGCTCGTTGGCTGCTGGCCGTGATAGGATTGATGTACAAATGATCAACTTTGGGGCTCCGGCGTTATACGGAAAGGGCTGCCAAAGAAGTGCTTCCATAAGTAGATACTATCTCAGGTGGCGAACTGATAAGCCGGCACCGAGTTAAGACGGATTCTCCCAAGGAGATAGGTACATCGGCTGTAGATACTTCAAATATTGTCACTTTGAATCCGCCTCCTGCCAAAGCTTGAACACTGCGGCCTTCCATCTCCAGTCCCGCTACTTCACCGCCTTTGACCGGATAGATTTGCATGATGGCTGTTGACGCTTGTGAAGCCAATGGCCACGGCGGCGGACCGCTCCCATATATTCGATAATACTCAAGAAAATTCGTCATGGACGCCGGCCAAAGTACAAAAAATGCAGGGTATAATTTAAATGTAAGGACCTTGTGACTCCAGAATCTGCTTGCAGGACTTTTGGATCCCTTCACCATTAAACGCCCGGTCAAGTATGCCGCCAATTCGAAGAGATACCAACAACAAAGCAGAGCCTGACAATGTCGTCGTTCGCTAGGTTAGAAATTTTGGGCAATCCCGCCCTGGGCCTGTGGGAATGTCGGCGCTCGCTCGATGCGAGTGTTTCGCCTTGCTTGGTTGTCACGTATAACAGGCTGACTTCCAGCACCACCGTATGAGCCATCGCCATAAGGACCATGGCTAGCGTTCGCGTCATTGTATATGTTATAAGGTACTTCCTCCTGGGAATATGGTCCAGGCATTTGGGGTGCATCTGAGGAGGCTTCGGAGTGGTGGCCAGAGGAGTAGGCGGAAGAAGCATTGGATGGTCCGCGGCGGATGTCTCCTGCTCCGCTACGGTGTCTGTGCAGTCCTCCCACGCCAGCCCCCAGTGCTGCAACACCGTCACCACTTTCGGGGTGGCCATTCATCAAGGGAGCCTCGGAATAACGATCCGACGCGGTGTTGGGCGAGGCTCCTGCGCCATAACCGCCTGGTTGACTGCTGCTTTCTGACAAGGCTGCACCACCGGTGCCGAAGCCATTAGAACCAAGAGTAGTGGAGGCTTTTCGGTTCGATGAAGTGGCTCCCCATCCACGATATCCACTGTTGTCATCGGGCCCTTCGGAGACGTTGTCCGCGTACCCGGCCACAGCTGCTAGTGTCGGGTCGCTGTTGGGGTTGAAACCATATTCCGCCATCTCGCTCTTGCGCAGCTCTTCCGCGTCCTTCCTGGCTTTCCTCTTTCTCCACAAGAAGAATCCGATCAAAAAGGCCGCGGCAATTGCCACGATAGGGATGACGACGGCTATTGCAATCTTTCCTCCTGAACCCAAGCCACCTGAAGCATTCGAGCCGCCCGAGGCACTTAATGCTGATGGTGTGGCAGTTGTACTCGACGAAGTGGACGTTGTTTGGTCTGTTGCGGTATCGGAAGCGGTTTCTTGGGAAAACGTCGATGTGACGACAATGACAGAGGGAGTGGGGGTCGTCGGAGCTTCGGGCGGGACTGATGGTGTTTGTGTAATGGTTGCTGTAACCTCAACAACACTGGGACTGGAAGTGGGCGTGGTTGTGGGAGGAACGAATGTGGTCGAAGGAGGAATGGAAGTGACGGAAGTAATCGTAGTCGGAGGTGTAGAAGACGTCTCGGGCGTCGAAGTCGTGTCGGACCCTGTGACGGTGATTGTCGTTGAGAAGGAAGTGGTAACGCTGGTCAGCGTGGTGCCTATCGTCGTCAGGCTGACCGAGTCGATCAAGATTACACTTGTATCGGTCGACATTGTGAGTCGGGACTATAGAGGTTGGCAGAGGGCACACAGATGCTTGCCGCAGCAAGCGGTCAGAACCAGGACGCCAGCAACGAAGGAGATCGCGACGTGGATTCGGAGGGCTCCCAAGTATTAACGACACATTGGATCGGACCAATCGATTCCTTCCTGACGACGGGCTCTCGTAGTGCTGTAAGCGTACGAAGGAAAGATCGAGGATGGAAGGGAAGTCGGATTCGATGTCACCGCGTGGTGTGCGTGGATGGGTCAGGCTGTGTCAGGACGCGAACTCTGTGTGATCCTTGCGTCCGCTTGGTCCAATGGCAGCAGCTTGAAATACGATCAGTCTAAAGATATGTCCGGCTCAACAGCTGGATCCGAGAACGTGCGTCGACGAGGTATACAATATACAGGTAACAGGCGACAGCCGCGCTGGCGGAGGTTGTACTGGAGGGCGAGATCTAGATGAATCACGCCGGAGCGGTGGCAAGCGAAGAGACAGAGCTGGGAAGGATGGTACAGCAGGAGAGGACGGAGATTGTGGCATTGCAACAACTACGGCTGCAGGTGTGGGTAGCATTTAAAATTGCAATTGGCGGCTTTCATTTGCCCTGCGCCGTTTGGGCTAGAGCCGTCGCAGCCGTTGCAATGCTCCTGCCAGATTTAGGCTCTGGCGGACGCCTCCAGGGCCCCCGATGGCCCCTCACCCGAGATTTCCAGGCGTGTCACCCAATTCGAGAAAACTTGGCACCACGCCGTCTTGGAAGAGGGAAAGAAGATGATGGCTGTCAATGATAATCATCCGACGGAAGACGCTAAGAGATGAATGATCGACGCCGAGGCCGGACACAGAAGTCGACGACGTCAACCTCGAAGACGGTCGGCAACCTGCTTTACGGTAAGCTGCAGCTTCGGTACCGTCATGATTATGAGATGCCTGCGCCGGTAACCGTAACCTTTGTGTCCCGCCTCCGACGCGGATTTGAGACCGCTACCGTTGGGAGGAAAATCCAGGCCGGTTCAACCATAATCGTGGTACACAGGTCGCACCGAAGCGAGGGATCTGTACCACACCAGCACCAGCATCATGGACAGTTGTCCTGCAAGGAGCCGGCCACCTCTGAAGCATCTGTCACTCTTGTCGATTCAGCTGCACGGCTTCCCGCCCGTGTTTCCCCAGATCAGATGTGCCGCGCTGTCTAGGTTTCTACTAGCCTGCTGCAGGTGCCCAACTGTCCAGTAGCATGTGTGACATGATCCGTTCGTAAATGCTGCATTATGCACGTCGCATGCGAGAGTCGGAAGGAGCAAAGCCCAGACACATCGGCAACGTAGTCGAGAGCAGCTCCGCTCACTCCAAGTGTGCATATACACGAACAGCAGATCCACGGACATACCGCGGGCGACGCTGAACCGATCTCTATTTTCAAACGCTCCCAGTCATATTGTACATTCGATGTTTTCGTTGAGAGTAACCCGACGCTCTCAGGCTTTCAGATGACATACTCCGTATGTCTCAGTACATCTATGAGCAGAAGCCTTACCGGCCTGAACGCCGTCCGCTATGCTCGAAAGCTCCCTGCAGTGGGCAGTACCATGGTAATGAATATGTAGATACATCGTGTCCAGTCAAGGCTATCATCGATTCAAATCCCACTGTGGCCTCAAAGCCGCCGCAAGCTCGTCCCTAGTGCCTGCTACCTCCTTGGGGATCCGGCTGACACGGTAAGCACCGGTGCGAATGTTGCGCGCGTGTATGGCTGAGATTCCTGAACGATTGCTGCGAATACTTCCAGCATCACTGGCGGTATCATTCGTTCTGAGTCGCCCCGGGGGTGCGAAATCTAATGCAGTAAACGTAGCCGACTTGCGCAGTTGATGACTACAGATGTCGTTAGCTAGCAAGACTGGTTCATATCGGAAATGAGACTTACGGGCTTGGTATGACAGCCAGATCATCAAACGAGGACACTAGCGGGATATGCGCTCTTACTGATGGAGAATAAGGCCTCAATCCTCCTCGAAGGCTGTCGGGAGTACCAGCTCTCTGATTATGGTATTTCTTGGGCGGCGCAAAATCGATGGGCAAGAAAGTGTCTTCTTTGAGTTTGTGTGGTGTTGGTAAGAGGTTGAGTGCTGCCGGCGGCGGCAGTTTCTTTGGCGGCGGCATCCGAGGTCCGCCATACCGACTAGACGCGGATGAGAATGCTCTTGGACCGGTCTGGTAGCTTCCATTGGATATTGTGGCCCGATGTCTGCCATAGGTGCCAGCTTGTGACATCCCACGAGGCGCATGGTAGGCCGCTTGATCATGGTAGCCTTCGGGGAAGTGACCTTGGTGATGATTGCCATGGTATCCTTCAGAACCATCGTAATATTGTGCTTGTTGGCTATGATTCACATTCTTGCTGTCATCGAAGTACTCCTTGTAGAAAGACCGGATTCGGTTTGCGCGGTCCTCCGGGTTCTCAGAAGGATCATCAGGAGGCAAAGGTCGCAGACCCATCATGGACCGACGGGGATCATGACCCCACTGCTCTTGATGATCATAGTAATCTTGATAGTCCTGATCGTCGTAGTACTGCTGGTCGTAATCACCATATGCTTCGTAGTCATCGTAGTAGTCCTCTTCCTCAACTTGAGTGTGAGCGTGGCCTTGCGGTGTGTGGTGTTGTTGATCGCTTTGGTGCAGCCCGAGATCAGTAGAAGGGGCGTTAGAGTGCTGAGGTGTACTCTGGGACGTAATGGGTGCTATTTGACGAGGCTTCTCTGTCTGGATGGCCTGCTGCTTCTGACCTTGTGAGTCAATGAAACTAAGTTGAGGCAACCGCGGCTGGCGATCCTCAGACAGAGTCACCGTGACAGTGGGGCCGGAAGACATCTGATCATGAGCAGAATCTGCTGACAGGAGGGGGACTGGCGGAGCGTTCTTATTGAGAACAGGCGGAGGCGGCTGGACGTGAACAACCGGAGTGTCAACGTTGACTTCATTCACAGAGGTACTGGGCTCCTTCTTGTCCGAGTCCTCTTTCGTTAAAGGCGTGCCTCCGCTGATGAACTGCCCAAGATAATTGTTGCTAGCTCGTAGAGCGTTGATCGCACCGATACTACTCGTTGTGCTGACCACAGAGTCACGCGCAGCCTCAGGTACTGTGGGGGCGAGCAGGTTGTTGCTTTTGCCTGGCGGTACAGGATTGCGACTGCCAGAAATCGAATCTGTTGGAGTAGCTCGGCCAGAAGGTGGTGCTCCGTTTGCTAGTAGACTCTGCTTCGAGTCCGATGGAAATCGACGGGTGGAAGAGCCGGTGAAGCTTGATGAATCGTCGTGCGGACTTCTCAGGCTGGAAGGCGGCCGAATGGAACCATCGTCAGGAATGAAATCGGTTGCGCGGTACTTATCGTCGCCGGTATTCAAGCGGGATAGGGAGTGTAGCGACTCCCGGGAGTTCTGTAGCTCGGGGGGCAGAAGGTATGGATTGTGGGCTCCCATGTCCAGCGACAAGCCACGTCCTCGTCTGAGACCAACCTCCTTGCCCTCAGCCATCGACATCTCGGGAATATTCCTGCCCGTCCGCTTTTCACCTCCCTGCTTTGCGACCTCCAGGCCAAAATCCAGAGACTTGTGTCGGTCGTCGGCATCTTCACGTCTTAGTTTTCTCACATGCCGTCGATGCAAGTATATCAGCACCACCAATGCGATGCCCAGTGGGATCACCACACCTAATACGATGGGCAAAGTCGTGTCGGATCCACCCGAACCATAGTATTTCTCGCAGGCGCCCGAGTTATCGTTCTTCCCGCACGAGGTCGTGACAGCCGGAGTCGAGGATGTTGAAGATGCCTCGTCTCTGGCTACGAGCGAAGGTGCCCTTTCCACATAAAGACCTGTCAACCTCCAATCTGGGATGGGACCCGGACGTGCAAAGGGATTCCTTGCCTGGATCTGGGGTTCGTTCGTGGGGATGATCGGAGAGGACATGACATGAAAGTGAACGATGTTGCAGATGTCCTGCCTGGTGATGACGACGAGATGTGGAGGACAGGTTACTTTTAACAGGGCATTTCGGAGGAAAGTTCGGAGCGTAGAGTGTGTCGAGGGCAGAGCTGTCAACGAGCTCGTGTGTGGTGGCCGGTGTTCGGTCCAGACTGTGCACGGAATCAAGGGCGTGGACCAGTCCACACAGCAGCAAAAGGAGTGTGGTTGAAAGAACGACTAGGATTATGGATTCAAAAGAATGACTGTAGTTGGAAGAAACGAGTGACAAGGAGGTCGACCGAAGTTTGTGTTGTTTCCTCAGTGCATTGCAAAAGCTGCTGAAAGCAAACGGTCTGTCACAAAGGGGACGCATCTCGAAGTCACCGAGAAGGGCAGATGGTGCCAAGCCTTGATGCCGGGCTCGGGGTCACGGAACTTGATCCCAGTTCGCGGGATCCTCAGGCGCGTTTAGGCTTCACTAGGCTTCCCTAGGCTTCCCCTTTGGCGGTGGCTAGCCAGGGTCAAGCACTCGCCTTAGCGGCGCTAGTGAGGATGAATCTCGCGGCTGTGGCTCATCTGTGCAATCATGGACCTCTGTTGACCCCCACTGATCTCTGAACAGCGTCAAAGGATCAGCCGGTGGGCTTGGTTGGGCTTTGTGGCCGCCCTCGAGGCGTGTGCGGGTGGCTTGCGAGAGGCTTCACAGAGTACGGAGTACAGTCCTCACTCTCATGGATTGAGTCTGGGGAGGACACGCCCAAGTCCATTCTGTTCAGTAGGCTTTGGTTATGTCGCGCAGTATCAAGAGATGCTCTCGCCAAAGACTTACAGTAATCGGGACATTGGCCCTAAACACAGGTACAAGTGGAGGGAGCTCTAGCATCCGTTCATCTTCGAGCGTGACCGAAATGATTTTCCATGCGGCGTGCCGCACATCCCTGACATCAGCATGACAGTGATTGGAGCCAGTTCCATCTGCACTGCGGCCAGTCAATTTCCGCATCTCCCACGTTAGGCCTTCACTAAGCTCGCAGAGGTAAAGGCTACGCCCACACCGATACTTCTCTGTGGCCGCCGTCGTGCCCCTGGGAATGTTCTCTGATCAAATTCGAATTGCATCTTGTGCCCGACAACACGATCCCTTCGGTCAAGCTTGACTCTCGAATCGAGCAGGAGCACATCGTAGCGACGGCAACCTTGCTGGCCCCATGTACGGGCCATCGAATCGGGTGCTTTCCACGCATAATGCATGCTTCACCAACTCACTCTGTGGCCAACCGGATGTGCCTTTCCCCTAAATCAACCCTTCGATGATCTCAAGCCGATCTTGATTTCAGAGATAAGTGATTGGGACGGTCTCAGAATGATCTTGTAGTGTCAAGATTCAGGCATAGTGTCTGCTTCGAGGTCCTGAGATGCTAGGCGGATGCTCAAAACCACTATGAAATCTTTCTGTTGTTCGACGTTAGGTCAACGGTAGGCAATTGTACGCATGCCTAGGTTTGGATTCGCTCCCTGCCATGTTGTTGCAAGCATGTGTCGTAGTGTGACCGAAGAAGGGCCTTGATCTCGAGCTGCGCATTCCGAGTTAACCACCCTGTGAGTCCCACGCTGCCTTTGCACGGTGCCGAGATGACCAAGCCGAGCGCTCGAACATTGAACACATACAAACGAGGGCGGCCTACAGCCTCCAAAATCAGAACCCGAGTCTGTCAATGATGGGGATGAAACAACACACTTCGGCGAACACTGCCTGCTCAAGCTTGTCGAAGATGATTACGAACATCCCACCGCTGCACCCGATAATGCTTGGTTCAGGCCTGTCAGCTGGAACGGAGACGGACTATGATGCAAGTCTTTTCGAAGCAGGCGAGCACTTGGAAAAGCTGAGTCAAGTCAGATCTCATCGGTATGGGACTGAATATCTTCGGAGCTAATTTGAAAACGGGCTGGGCGTGGCTGCCACAAACCAAGCGTTGTGCCAAATGTTGAGATACCGACAGCTGGTATCGACTGCTCCTGTTCCAGACGAAGGGGTGGCCCTCTTCAGTGGAGACGAAAGCGGTTCGAAGATGGACGGCAGAGTCCCACACCAAAGGATTCAAGATATTGGAGCTATTATACCAAGCTGGACGTCAAGGTTTTCCACTGCGGATGTCTCAAACGCTCGGAAAGAGACAATGAAGACTCACGCGGTCACGCTCATCATATTTCTCCTAAGCATGAGTGTGCTCAACACGAAGAGAATGGCGCCGCAGACTTTCCTTCGTGGTAGGATCCCCTCAACCCTGGAGGGAACCATGGATATCATCTGGTCCTGCCTCTTCACTGTTTTCGTTTGTGCCTGGACAGCAGTGTACCTGAACGTACCAGCTCTGCGTACCACCGATACCACGCTCAGGCCACGGGTAGGAAGGATCCCATAAGGTACCTCTTCCGTGTCATCCTTGATGCGTTTCGCTAATCTACCGTAGTTTGGTAAATGCGGCATGGTTCCCGTGATCCGCTTACTGCTGGCTGCCGGAGGGTGATCGTTTGCTCGCGCTTGTTGGCGGGAGATGAGAGATATCACTGCTGAACAGGACCAAAGACATGATATGGGAGTTGGAAGTCTTGCAGCCGAAGCAGGGCGTGAGCCCAGAAACCAATCACATTGGAACCTACTTCGAGTCGACGACTGCCAGGTCAAAGACAGAGATGACGCGGCCAAAGCTGTGGCGATCCGAGACGATCGAACAACGCAAGAAGAGGGAGTTATGAAGGATGGATGGTGCGACACGCATCCTACGCCAATATGAGCGGTTTCCGTCTTCGAGACCGGAGCAGTGCATATTATCACCGCCAAGTACATCAACTACCTGTTCCAGCGAAAGTACATTGACCTTCTCAAGACAGCACCGTTCGAGATCAACGACCGAAGCAAGTCCGACTCTCTGGTCAAGTTTCTGGCTATCATGCAAGCCGGGTGGCCGGCCTCTCAGATGGTAGCCCGAACGATCTAGCAGCTGGAATCCACGTCACTGGCGATCACCACTCTGTCTTTCGGCCATTGCACGCTGGGTATGTTCATCGCGTGGTATCGGAAACCATTTGGTGCGGACCTTTGTCATTCTCGAGATGCCCGATCATCCGATAGAGGCTGACGGCCTTAGACTCACCCATAGGAGCGACGGCACAGCGCGAGATTTGCTGAAAGGATACGTTGCAGGACATCAGACAAGCAAGGTGGTCGACGAGAATGTGAACCTCTTGGCACCATACAACAAGTTGACCATCATCAATGATGGTCTCTCGACACTCACGGCCGCCTTCACGAACGTATATCGCCACCTCTGGGGCCGGAGACAACACGATGCAGACCGAATCAGCTTTGATGGATGACGGGTGGGCAATGATGGCCACAGATATGGATAAGCAGCTGATAGCGATCAAGAAGCGAGGAATATCTGGCAGCTGTCGTTAGGTCATGCTGGAGGTATTCTGCAATGAGCGTCTATGTGTTTTGTCCTACTGAGGCGTTGTATCTTTGATCAAGGTCTGGACTGATTCCGTTCCATCGAAAGTAGGAGGATGGCTAGCCAATCTACATCTGCAGAACAGTAGCCGCGACAAGGTGGGAAATGCGGTCGACTCACAGGAACAGGCGGATGCTGCGATGTTTGAGACAATAGACAGCCCGTCATCGAAGAACTCTACAGTATTTTATATGAACAACCTGCTTCCCTGGTGCTGCCGATGTCAAAATGTCGACAGTGCGATACATGAGTTTTCAAGCCGCACCTGACGACTGCGCACCGACAGACCTCTCCATTGCTCGACGTGTCACGGACCTAAAACCAATGAAAGTCGCACTTTCCGGGCCTCACAGGCTACGCCACATTTTGGGAGGCCACGTTTGGATTTTCGTTCCTTCCTACCTCGTACGGTGTTATTTACGAATCGTATCTCCGGAAGAAGGCTGACGATCGATGCGAGCCTCAGCGTGCCAAGTAGAACCTCAAAGACGAACCTGATAGAAGTTTCTGGCTCTTGGTCTTGAGGGTCTCCGGGCACGGTCGTCTCCTGCGAGCACACCATCCATCGTCTGAAGCATGTCTGATTGCCTATGTGAGGACCAGTCCCTCTGGTATGACTGCCTAGTATGTATGCTGCTTGTGACCGTGAGCGTGCCCACCTCACATGGCAGGCACAGGAAGGGGAAGGCGGGCCTACCACAATGGGCACCTTGGGTGCATTCCTTTTCTTCCTCGCTCTCTTGTTCGTATGGACTCGTATCGCGCAGCGGAACAGATGAAGGGTATGGATGGGAGGCCGACTCGCGTGCCGATGCGTGGGATCTGATGACAGGCAACAACACCCGCGTCTCGCTGACCTTCAAGATTTACAGGATTCAACAGCTTTCGCTGCCAGCTACAGTTGCCAGCCGCCACAAAAGCATCTACCCAATTTATGGTGGCCATCCTTGGGTCTCAATAAGTAAGTGCCTGATCAACTTGACTGCCGGTCCCTGCTCACCCCAATTTCAGAATGTTCCCAACCATCAAGACAGGCTGAGCAGGCCGTCTCCCGGCATTCGTGCTCCTAGAAGTCGAGAAGTACGGACACACCTACACGCAACAAGTACCCAGACAATACGTTTCTCTGACCAGACACGCGCCAACGTTGAGGCTGTGTGCAAGGCTCGCTTCGAAAGAGCGTTCGGCCCCTGCCTCTCACGGACAGGCAGATGCTCATGCGTGCCCCTAGAATATGAGATTGGAGAAGACCGTGCTGCCAACTTTCGTCCGCTCGTCGGACATGGCATTCTCGGATTACTATGTAGACGATCAGGCATGGGTCAAATGCCGCACCGTGTTCAGGTCGGCTCTTAAAGTGTTACCCTCTATCCCGGACATGCTGACTGGCACCCGACAGCAAGACTGCATTTGAACAGGAAAACCGGCCATGATTTCCTCCAACTGGAATTTCATGTCCAGCATTTGCTTGGTCGACTCACCAAAATGCCCTGGTATCACAAGGCCACTAGAATTTCGGAACTTCTGCTCAAACTCAGCACGGACTTGCGACCAAGGCAATATTTCGTCGGAGGACCGACTCCTTGCTCTTCAGTCGGACGAGTGGTCAGGTCAACAGGGCGAAAGAAGCGCAGCAGAGTTCCCAGAGGCTGCGAACGACGCCTATCACATGCTGAGACAGAGAGGACTGGTTATCAACGTCTACTGGCCACGACTGGCCCCGCGACTCTCTTCGGCTTCGGAAATCCTGCAGAATCATCAAGCTTTTCGCAGATCGGTACCTGAGAAAAGTGGACAGTCGCAGGAACCGGAGCTGACCAAGTCAGGGGGCGGCAAAGAAGGCAGTACATCGTTGATGCATTCCCGATGAGCATGGACCACGCTCCCGCTGACGGATGACGTGCTCAGAGATCAGCTCCTCGCCCTCCTGTGGGTGAGTTGGGACACTTCAGCCTCATTCGCCGCGTGGGTGCTGTATGCATCGGCTAGATCTCCACGGTACGGTTAAGCTTCGTGGCTTGATCAAGGCCCGTCCTCCAGGGGGAAGACCCTGACTGTGGCGGCCATCACAGCTCCTCGCATATCTGCGCCAGGTCTTGAAAGGGACGATGCGAATCTTTCCCGTAGTGCCCCTGGATGGGTGTACAGCTAAGACCCACACATGGCTTCCAGAAGGGGGCGGCGTCGACGGCAAAGACCCATTGTTGGTTCCAACTTGAGCCAAAGGTGGCGTTTCAATATTTGTGCAATGCACCATCGATGCGATATCTTTGGGGAGGACGCTGACGAGTTCAGGCCAGATCAATGGGAAGATGACGCGGTCAGTCCGATGGCTGACTGTGCAGGCGCTTTCGTACCGTTCATCGCTGGACCGCGTCTGTCTGCTTGGGGAGTACTCGTAAGTCTGTACGAGGAGCGTGTCGACTTCCGGCCTTGGGAATAATTGTGCTGACCCCTTGTGTCAGTAAATATGGCAATGATGACCATTTCACATGTCATCATTCGTGACCCTGCAGAGCTTCGACGGGATTGAGCCCGCTGCGGCCCCAGGGTCGACACTTCCGCGGCGGCATCCCGACAGATGCCCGAGCGAGGAGACTCGATACCAGAGGAAGGACGGCGAAAATACGTTCCAAATCGGGGTGACCATGTGTCCTCGGGATGGTGTATGGGTCAAATCCAGCCGCAGCCACATTGGACCCTTAAAGGCGCGTCAACAGTACTGTGTACGTGAAGGAGCGACACGTTCCGGACCACGCAGCTGTTGGAGCCTTTTGTCCCTGGAGATAGACAAAAAGTAACAAGAAAGGTTGCTTGCCTAGCCGATGCGAAACATGGCCAGTCTATTGGTACGGCCGCTGTTCTCATTCGCCAACGTCATTGCTGCTCAGCTAGCCAGCGGACGCCGCGCAGACCGCAAATATGAGCAATCCTCGACGCCTATGGTGCCATCATGTCTGATGGCTTGGGGCTCGCCAGCCTAGGCCAGTCTAGGCAATGCCACGAGCCTCGCATTCGTGGAGATTGCAAGCCCCGGAGAGCCTACTGTGCGAGATACAGTATCTATCCAGCGCATACGAGCACCCATACTCCGTACATTGTACTGTACCTGCACATCTGATGACTCGCCACATGGTCCGTATCTCGTACAGACGCACTGGACGGAACATAAGCACAGATGGATCGGGCCATGAGCCTCCATGGCTATCCAGGGCCGTGGCTTACATCTCCTGTCACCTCCTACATTAGCACGCGGACAGGTGTCCCAGGCACCTCTTATGGTAATGAGTACTCGCTATATAAGATATATCCGGTTCCTCAGTGCGGTTGCAGATGTACAAACAGTATCACGCAACAGTCGATTTCGCTCCCAACCACCTTGATTTTCGGACCACGTCGACACTTGTGCCAACAGAGCTCCCCCTGGCTGCCCCGTCTTTCTGAGGCGACGTGACGCGGCTCGGAAGCTTGATTCCCAGCATCGTCGCACACCCCATAACTCAAATCCGCACATCACCAAACCAGCCTACGGTGTACGCGAAGCCTCGGCAGGGTTTGGCAGCGATCATCGTCACCCAGCCCTGTGGACTGGGCGCAGCAGGCGAGGTAGACAACCCCACAATTGCCACATACCCATACGTCTTGGAATGCCATAGCTGGGATAAATAATGGCAGCATACCTGCTTGGATTTGTCTTGTATTTCTCCCCTGTGCCCTTCCCCTACTTAGCTGTGCCCGACTTGTCCCTGCCTATCTGCGCAACCGCGAACATGATCAAAGATCTAATGCGTCTGCTCTTCAGCACAGGATTCTCCTCCACGGCCCCCCGAGATGATGATTTCTTCAACGAACCCTCCACAATGCGGCCCCGTCTGACTGCCGCTGCGGCAGCCAAGGAGTCCGGTCCCACAGAGGAATCAGCATCACTCTCGACATCATCGGCGTATCAGGTCGTCGCCAGAGGTTATCCTTGCACCAACATCCATTACGCAGCACCCAGTGCATGAGTACGAGCTCGCCCTCCCCCACGCTCGATACGAAGCCGGAGCCGACATACCACCACCACCACCACCTACAGTACGCGGCCAGAGCTACCCCACAAACCATTAGCACCGGACTCGGTGTCCCTGCTGTCACGCGATATCGACGTTCTTGTCTCACGTCTGCAAGCGATGTCTCACATTACACAACGCTTTCTCTCCCTTGATAGACACCGCACGACGAACAGAGCAGTCTTCAGTATGCGGAACGCTTAGTACGTGTACGACTTACCACGGCCGCCTACCAGGCTCCAGTAGGCCATTTGAATAACTCAGACCGCACTCTGACGCCGAGTTGACCCGACACCGAGATGCTTTGCCGTCCACACACCTGTCGCGTCGGATCGCCTAGCATCTCATAGCTCGCATACCGCATTGCTGCGAACGCATGCATCCCCCAGCGAGTCTTAATTTTTCTTTCCACGACAAACCCCTCACGACAGCAGGAACTGCTTTCAACCGTACCCCACATCAACAGCCATCATGGTCCAGGCCGAAAACCTGGCAAGCACTGCTACACGAAACCGGGCAGCGTTCGGATTACGACCACGACATCAATGAATTTCCTTCCTTATTCACAGTTGGCAAAGGCGCTCCAGTGCAACAGACACGACCCATCGCAAAATACCCTTTCGGATTGGTCTGATTACATTGGATTCCCAGCAAGTTGTGCAATTGCATTCACCACACAGCAATCGACGGTGATATGATTTTTATGATATGATATGATACCATGCCATGCCATGCCATGGCGCACCACATCTCGAGGACAACCACTGTTCTGTGCTCTGCAGATACCGTATATAGACAAGACAATGAGACGATTCTCCTACCTAGACTTAGTAGTGGCTGCTGAGCCTACAATGATCATCCGAATACCTCATACGGGTCTCTCGAGCGATGATCTACGTGTGCTGTACGACACCGACACCGCTTGGCAAGAGCCCTGTTCGTGAGGAGAATCGAGACGAGAGGAGACGAAAGCAGGTTGTCCACAAGCGTGCCAAGTGTGGCGCCCGGCCGTTTCACTGCTAGGACATGCTACCCTTTGTAGATCATTGATCACAAGGGCCCAGACGCGTGAAACGGACATCCGTCGGAATCGTTCTCAGCGAGGACTTTTGACTCGACAACGGCAGAACACTCAACCAGACCGTACTTCCAGCTTTTATTGTGGCATTGTGACATTGCCCCTGTCCACTTAGCTTACAGAATCCCGTCGTAGCTTTTCCTGCTAGCTATGCCCTGAACACCTTGCTGCCTACCTGATGATGGTTACATAGCGCTTGCACTACAAGGCGTCGCGTGGAAGAAACAGCTCAAAGGTTCTCTGGGACATGCGGCTGAAGCAGCTGCGACCTTTTAAAACTCCATCGTGTCGCCTCCAGTCCCATTCCCATTCCCATTCCCATTTCTCGACGAAACCTTGGACAGATCCAATCTTGATTGACTTCGATCTGCCATTGAGTCCTCGCCGTCCTCGTCATCGTCGTCTTCTTCACCATCAACGTCAAAATCGAAGTCTCCACGTTCGATACGGCTGCATTTGTCCAGCACGGCTTGGTATTCCTTCCTTAGGTCACCGAGCGTGACGACCACGCGGCGACGCTTCTTCATCTGCAAATCATCGCTTTCGTTGCTGGTATTTGCTGCATCGTCTTCGCCATTCACGTCGGGGGTCTCCGCGGTTTTGTGCTCATCAATGTCCACGATGATGTACGCTTCCTCTGGCGCCACACAAGCCATCAGATTGATCAGGGCAAGCAGGACGTGCCGTAGCGCCGTGCCGCGGGGATCGTGTCTGGCTCGGCCCGATCTCCGGATCGTCTTGAGCCGATCATACAGGACCGTCACCGCACCCCGATAGTCTTGTTGCGAAAGACGAATGGCGTGCATCATGGATGAGTAGTCTAATCTCTTGTCGCCCAGGGCCCCGACGGAAGGCGTGGATTGTTGTTTCGACAGGGAAACCAGGTGTTGATCCAAGTGGCGTGCCAAATGCGGATACATGGCCCATGGCAGAGACTGCAATGTGCGGACTGCGCCGTCAGGTCCTGAAATAGAGATGTTGGAGTTTAAGATGGCGTCGACGAGGACGGTGACCGAGATCCGCTGCAGCGTGGGATCCGGTAGCTGGACGAGAGCGGCATAGGCCTTTTCGTATCTCGACTGTTTGAGCTCTGCATTGAATAACCGGGAAAGCACTTCGGCTCGGAAGTTGGATACCGGTTCCTTCTGCCCACGCTGTAGTGCTTCAAGAGCTTGGTGTGCGAATTGAGCTGCTTCATTGTACGCCTTGGCAGTTTCAAAGAGGGCCATGACATGAACCAGGTACATGGGAATGCCATTATTGAAGCATTCAGCCTCAATCGTCGAAAGCAGCCCTGCCGACAGTGCCACGAGATTGCCGACCGCCTTGCCGCATGCAAGACCATACGACGCCTTACGAAAGTAGTATGCAGCCACGTCATATTCTCCCTTAGAGACCATCAATCGTCCTTTGACATAACTCGACCAGGACGTTGAAGGCTGATATCTCAAAAAGTCCGTCGCCAAATCGAGCTCTCCCTGCTTGAGGAGATCACACTGCAGGAAGACAGGGGCTTCTTCGGGATCAAGAGTGTCTTTGCCGGAAGCCCAGTCATCGATCTCCGAGACTTGGTCTGTGATGAGATACATTAACGGCTTGTCGACGGCAGGTTGTGGCCGAACTGCTTTGCTCAATGCATCCTCGAATATTGACACTGATCTCTTGTCTTCAGAGGTCACATTTGCCTGTCGACGGGTAGCGTTGGGATGTCCATCCGTGCCAAGGATCTCCAGGGGCACCAATCGCGAGTGCGATGCCAACCAGAGATTACGTTCGCAGAGGCGTAGAAGAGGAGCGATCTGATCGTACAGTTCAGCGGCATCGAACACTGCGGATTTGCCCTCCTCCTGGCTCAGTTCGCCCTCGACGAAAATTGCTAGGGCTAGAAGGTCCATGAGGAGCCGTCGCTGCGCTGACAGAAAGTCACGTACGCCGGCTGACAGAAGTAGGCTCCCAAACAAAGTGTTTCGTAGAGCACTCTTCGACCTCTTGCTCTTAAAGACGAGCAACTCCAACACTCCCAGGAATACTTCGTTATTGAGACCAGAGATGCCCCCAAAGGACGCAAGATCGGATTCTAGTCTTTCGAACACATCGTTCGACACGGCGTCACCAAATCCGACACTATCATAGATATGCAAAAGTCGAGCAGGAGTAATTTGTTCGCCGCCAATCGACAGATCCTCTGTAATCGCAAGTGTAAGCTCTTCAGCAAGATCTGGAGGAAATGCTTCGCGAAATCTCCGAGCCGCGGCAATCAGCACAGCAAGTTCGACAAACGGTTCTCCGTCTTCTGCGCTGACCTTCCGATGAGGCCATTTTCGCGCGGCAGTCTCTTCGAGGCTTTTTACGTCGGCGATGCTGTTTTGCTGGAGCAACTCCATTTTGCTGCATTCCCTTACAGCGCAGCATTTGTCCGCCAAAGCGATCCACACCATCTCACTGAAGGCGTCATAGGCCAGTGCAAGAGGGGCGTTCCTGCTTTGGTTGACGTTTTCCGCAATCCTGTAGAAATTGCGCCACTGGGCATCGGTGTCGATCCCGAATCGGTCGAAGTCCATATCTGACTCTCCGTATTTCCGCAGGGAGACATTTGCTGCGACGGTTGAGCATAATCGTTGGCGTAACGGCGCAGATTTATATGAGCTTGTTGGTTTCACAGCGGTAGCTTGCTCGAACAAGGACAATGCTGTCTCGAGACCCGCTTCCGAATATCGTCCTGGGTGGAACAAGAAATCCAGCCACTTTGAAGCTGCATCCTCCTGGCCGCCTTTGACCAGCTCTGGGGGTTGGCTCTTTGCCGATGCTGAAGGATTGCACTTGACCCAGTTAGACTCTTCCCACGAGCTTGCAATGCTACCGAATTCAAGTTGACAGTTGTAGAGCTGGTGATAGTTGTGATTCCGCCAAAGCACCCACAGTTGAGCAGACTTGAATTCAGCCCCTGGGTCGAGCTTGAAACCGATCATCGACCAGACGGTATTCCCTGTCTCATCTGGGTCTGGAGGACTCAGTGTCACTGTCGGATACTTATCGTAAATAGAGAGGGAATTTGTAGAACTTTCTTCAATGTCCCAGAATTTGAACTGGCCCCCTTTTCGAGAGCTGAAGGTCAACACAGTAGGATATTTTTGTGAGGGCTTCTCCTTGGACAGCTGTATCAGTGCGTCCTCTGCTGGGTTGAGGTGCGTTCTGTCGTTGGCATCTCTTGCCAAGCCGAGCAAGTCCTTCGTAGCCAGAATTTTACCCTGCTCCAAGTCCCAGATCCTTAACGTGTGGTTGAGGCACACAGTGAAGAGCAAATCACCATCCTCAGTCCTTGATAAGGCCATGGCCTGAGCGGTTCTCGGGTCCAGTTGTGTCGAGCCATATTCGACCATGTGTACTCCGCGGCCGACCAGTCCCCGAATGGATGCGCCCCATGACCGGTCGTCATAGTTGGTCTGTACCCAATCCTCTTGGACAGACCCGCGCCTCAGCCTCTGTATTCTCCCGCTTGCAAACGATATGAAGACATCCAGCGGACTGCTAGCGTAGATGCGGTGTACGGTATCAATGCTCAGGGTTGAGCTTTCCATAGGCTGGCACCATTGAGTCAGACTCTCCTCCTGAAGTATCCGAACGTGGCGGAATGCATTTGTGGGTATGCAGAGGTTGAAGATCTCGTTTTTGACGGTGCAGACAAAGGCGTGTATTTCGGCGCTGTTTTCAAGATCTGCAAATGTGACACCACAAGGTGCAATCTGATCCTGAAACTCGAATCGAAGAGTCATGTAAGCTTCTTTGGTGTCGCCTTCGCTCCTGGCAAAGTCTGCGCATTGCACCTCCAAGACTTTTCCATTGTCCACCACTTTCCAGTAAAACGTCCTCGGGTAGCTTTTGGACTCGCGGAAATAGATGGAGCTCTGAGAGGCGAGGATGTGAGCTGAATATGTCTGCTCGTCTTTGCTGAAGGTTTTGCTGTCGACTGGTTCCTTCGAAGAGAATTTGGACTTGTCATAGGATCCGTTTGCTCTCGGGATTTGGAGGTTCACCACTGACGCCGTGGTGGCAGGTGTCACCTGGAAGGCGGTCTCAGTGTAGAGAGAGAGCATTTTGGAGAGCGATGTCTGGATCGCATCAGGTCACAAGTCATTCGGGCGTGAGGATGCTGGGGCGATAGACTTCATGACAGTGTCGGGCCGAATTGTTGCTGGGTGAGTCTTCGATGTTGGCTGCAACGCGACTGGTACAAAAGTCGCGCTCAATACAAACGCCAAGGATTTTACTTCCTTTCAGCCTTACTTCATCTCGACACGAATGCTACCGAGGTACTCCGTACGCAATACACCGCCAACAACTTGCGCAATAGACAACCATGCGCAACTGTTTTTCAGTCTTAGCATCATTAAGGAAAGTATGAGCAGCAGTCGAAGAGGTGTGGGTTGTCTCTGGACCAAATCTTGCGAGCAGCTGCATTATGCCTGCTAATAAAGACTACTCGAATAGAAGTTGAGCCTCCCGTGATACCATGCTTTCGTCTCACAGACCACCCCAACTCCGGACACCTCACGACGCCCTCCTGTTCTCTGCCATCGAAAGTCCAACATGGGGCGAATAGAAGTCTTCAGCTACACTGCTCTAGAGCCTGGACATTGCAGACTCCTCGCCTTCGTTCCATGGTGAGAATCAGATGCGCTGATTGTCAAACTCGCAACAGATTACGCGCTCCAACGTCCCAACACGTAGCCATTTCTTATTGCTGGAGCAACAGCAGGGAACCTGAATCTTGGCTCTGACTCAGCCAGATATCATTATATACCACAGAAGACGAGCCGCTCCTGACATTGGACGCCTGTCAATCACGACAAATATATTCTACATTTTACGGCATCTGGGAAGTGACATGGATTGGACAACTGCCAGCCGGGAAATCGAGGAAGCGTAGATATCGGAGGCCAACTGATCAGGGCGGCTCCTAGCCCTCCGATACCAACATATGGTTGTAAACCTTGACTTGACAAACAGGTTCATGCTCACGCTCAATAGATATTGTGGAGTTGATGTGGCCGCTCACGCCGGGTGTGATGGGCGATGGGCAGCCGCAGCCCGGAGTATACAGTCTTTACGGAGTATATTGAGTGCTTGAAGGTCGGCCATATTAAGCATGAGAATGCTGATTAACAAGGCATCTGATGGTGGAGCCCAAGCATAGCCGAAGAGCTTGAGCTTAAATTTAGCGGCTGAAGTTGGGCTGGTGATCTCATCGATTGTCGTCGTCAATGCTCTACACAGTAACTCCAACTCCAACTCCGTCCTTTTGCTCCTGAGATCACCACGGAAACTGCAAGGTACCATCTCACTCTCGTGGTCTGTACAACCGAGCCGAAGCCTCAAAATGTCGGAGGGATCGATCCTCTGGTCACCAGCACCCTACCATATCATCTCGTAAGCTTGCACCCGTAACACCAGAATGTCTATCCTGCCACTCGCAGTGTCAGTAGCCGAAGATGATCTGACACTCGCCTAGCTATGGCATCCTCCTCGGCACGACGACATTCCAGAGCTTCGTCGGAGGCATTGTGGCCTTCAAGGCCCTCCCGAGACCGCAGTTCGCGACTCTACAACAAGCGACGTTCCCGATATACTTCACCATGCAGACTGCGTTGCCACTCGTACTAGCGTTGACCTTTCCTGCGGAGCGGACAGCTATCTCGACGCGGCCGGGGAGCTTGTCAGGCGTCCTTGACGCAGAGAACAGACTCCATGTCTTGACCCCTCTTGCAACAATGCTGATAAGCGGGCTTCTCAACGTTGTATACTTGGGACCTGCAACGACACAATGCATGCGGGAGAGGAAACACCAGGAGACTAGGGATGGCAAGAAGAGCTACGAGCCCGGCCCACACAGCCAGGAGATGCAACTGCTGAACAAGAAATTCGAGTATTTGCACGGGGCTTCTTCGTTGGTAAACCTCATGGGATGGGTCGCTATGCTGTGGTACGGTTTCTATCTAGGCGATCGATTGTCCTGAGAGAAATCTGCATGAGATCAAACAAACCCAGCCTCAACCTTTCTTGAGGTTCACGCTCTGGCTTGTCCAGCTTCGGTCTATATGAGGTGCACGCTCCGTCTTGTCCAGGTTCAAGCCTTCTCCACATGCTCACCTGCACTCTTGTCAACGAAGCCAGGAGCCATTTCCTGCTCTGCTTGCCTAGTCTTGACCCTTTCAATCCCAATGTCTTTCAGGTGATGTCCTGATTTACGAAGACTCTCCAGCTCATTCGCTTGTTTCGCATACTCTGCCCTTTCACTCTCACTCATTTCAGGACCCAGAAACAGGAAGAGGAGCTGATAGGCCCAGACCGCACCCATGAAAATACCAATAACCTTGCCATAGTCAAACCGTTTGACTCCGTTGTGGGGTGGGAGCGGGTAGTCCTCGCCGATTACAGCTTGAATTGTCGCAGACGCCGACGACGCGAGGTTACCGAGCTGATATGTAAGTCCAACGGCGGTGGTGCGGAGGGCCTCCGGCGCCAACTCCATCAGGTGGATCGGGATTGGGCCCCAGACCCCCCCGACCATGAACTGCAGGAAGAATGCAGAGGCCACCAAGCTCATGTTGCGTGGAATGATGTAGGCGGGAACCAGGGCACCTCCGCAGACGCACGCCATAAGCATTGTCAGTCTCCGGCCAAAGAATGTGCTGACATAGCCAAGAGTGGTGCCGCCGATCAATGCGCCTATCTGCCCGACGACACTAATCACAGTCACATCGGTAGGGCCCAGGAGCACTTGGTTCTTGAGGAACGTTGGGTAGAAATCTTGGCTTTAGCACAATTAGCATACAGAAGCAATGGCGTGCGTGTGTTGAGACCAACCTTCCATGACTGCAGGAGTTGAAACCTGTCATCAAGATGACCATGTAGACAAAGAGCACCCAATTCAGCTTGATGGCAATCCAGGAATCTCTGAGCCACGCCTTATATCCAGCAGCCCTAATGGTGGAGTGCCCGCCACGTTCCTTGTCAGCGATGAGCTGAGCTTCTCTCTCAGCCCTCATGACTAGGAAGGTATTCGTCTCCGGCAGCCACCACCGAAAGGCGATGATGAAGACCGGAGGCGCAGCTCCGAACCAAAAGAGCGAGCGCCATCCGTGGGATGTCGTAGGCACGAGCTGACCAGAGTCAATCATCGTACGGGAACAACAAGGTCGGACTTACTGCACGATAGAAGACGGAGGCCAGGAGGTAACCAGCCGCGTAGCCTTGCTGAAATAAGCCCGATAGCAGACCACGAGCATCATATGGAAGATCTTCGAGGGCCGTCGCCGCTGCCGGACCAAACAGACCTGGTACAAACGTTACGGGACAGTTTTTGTCGTTCAGATGTCAACTTACCGCCCATGGCGATGCCGTACAACGCTCTAACACCCAGAAACTGTGGTAAAGTGTTGCAAAATCCTGACGCCAGCTCCAAAATAATGAACAGCGCCAGGTTGAAAATCATTGGGAATTTCCGGCCATAACGATCGGATAGGGTCCCAAATATCAAGGCGCCAACGGAGCGGAGCATCAGCGTAACGGTGAGACCCTATTGCAAATCAGCCTTCGAAACGATGCTAGGCATGATGGGCTTAACACACCCAAGAGACTGCCGAGTTCTCAACGTTGAAGTCCGCCGCGATCTCAGTAATGGTCAGCGACACTGTGAAGAAGTCGAAGGCATCCCAAGTCCAGCCCAAGAAGCCAGCCAGAAACATGAGCTGTGAGAGGTCAGTGTTCGAGAGCGCCCAGCCTGGTGAACCTCCACAAACCCATTGATGCTTGTCCAGTTCCTTAAGGATTGTGTACGGATTTCGTACGTGCGACCTGGGCGGTTTTAGGCTTGTTGGTCTGGTTAGGAGATAACGCGCTATTTGTCTGGGTGAGTAGAACCACCCTGCTGCCATATAATTACGCATTTTGAGGGTTGTTGCTTGTAGTCGAGGAAGGAAAGTAGACCTCGAAGCACGGATCTGCGAGAAGAGACTACATGCTCCCACCACGAAGCGCCTCTGGCTAAGATATAGTCAACGCAACCCCCGTCTCTGCCAAGTCATGGCCCATCAGACATGGTTCTCCTACCGTTCATACCTTCCGTCCATAGAAGTAGCCAAGGCTCAACCAGCCCACATGGCTATGTGAACTGACAGCGGCGTTGGGTTGCTCCTTCGGTAAAACGATCATCGTCGTTTCCCCAAGTCTAACTGGAGAGCGCAGCATGTAGACCTTGTTCATGGTTCACGTTGCCATGCTGCTCAGTGGAGACAGGGCTTCCGCTCCTATCAACAGGAACTATGCCTGCAGAGCATAGCTGCATGCGGCACGCTTCCATCTTGGCTTTCGACGCCGTTGATTGAGGCCAAGAATATCGTCCTGCAAGCTTTCAAGCCAATACCGCTTAAGATGTGGTGCCTTGACTTCGTACTGATGGAATGGGTCCCCGCATTAGAGGTTGCAGCGCAGATCGTCGGGGCTATTGTGCGGAGAGATGGAGCAAGAACGACCAGGTAGCCCGCAAAAGTGTCTTTTTGTGATCCTCGGCAGATGTCTAGGCCAGTAAAAATAGCCCAGTCCTCGGCCTTTGCTCCATGTTGTCCGGGATATCAAACAGCAGACCGGACCGTCCACCGATTTTTCCGTGTATCAAGAAATTATGGAGGACGGTAGGGCGTCTTGCTCCATCACCTCGGTAGCGTGCCGGTAAAGTATACTGTGTGACTCTTCTTGTGGACGATACTTGATGGGATTGCTCGAGGTCGTGTGTGGTAGTGCTCTCACGCCGCATATCTTCCTCGCATACATTCTCCCAGCTTCATTGGTGTGAAATTAATGTAGTCGGATGGTAATGCTGTCCGGAAAGCGCTCCAACCCTCTGACAGGAAGACTTCAAGACCAGCTGTTTTATTTCCTTGTACCTGATATCAGGGAGGATCGGTCACAAACTTTGTCAAGGAGGCCAAGGATTGGGTTGAACAGCTGTCCTCATGGAGTGGTTAACGCATAGCTTATCTTGTGTCCACCATTTCTGACACAATCTCTGAACCATGCTCCGTATGCTTTCTGTTCAGCCAGTCAGAGAAGGCGGCAAGATGGATTCGACATATACCTGCTCTGCGTACGTATCCTATAGCTGATGTCCGAAACCTTGCCACAGATATGGAGCAGGACTTATGGTATAGTCAAATGGGGCTGTGGCGGTCTGCTTGAAGCAATTGAATGATGTCTGGGAGGCTTCACATGGGGAGCATTAAAAGAAAGAATTGTATCAGATTCCTGGTGATGGCCAACCACTTTGATTTCGGTTTCATCGATGAAGGGAGCCATAAGTGAGCTGACGATTCATCCAAATGCAGCAGCGACACGAGGTCTGAAAGGATGGAGGATTCGAATGAAGCCGGAATACAACTGGTCCTCTCTGGGGTGGCAACAATGTTACACGTTTGTGAAGTACGTGTACTCGTCACATTTCTTTAGTCTTTGTTGCTCATAAGCCATTTGGTTCGTGTAAGCTCCCAAGCACCGACACGATGTGGCCCAGAGGACGAATAGCCACCAGAATTGAAAATAGTCATCACAGGGAGCTCTCTCGTTGGATAATACGGAAAGTGGCAGGATCCCGAACCCCAGGCACTTGGGCGCGCTCTGTGGGATGGAGTAATGCATGAGTTCCGAGTCAGTGGACAATGAGACCTGAGTAACTTCCTTTCGAGTCCAGTAGAACACGGCTTCCATCTTCCAGAATAGGCGGAAAATACTCCGTTTGCTCGCAAAGGGCTTTAAGGGAAGCATTTTCGACAGCGCCGCCAATCACCAACAGGAGTAAGCTGATCGGATCACCAACTTTTCGTTTATTTTAGGTCCTTGAGGCTCTTCTTATCTGTCATCCACCAATCTTTTCCAGCCTACCTACGAGCTTCCTACAGTAATACCATCATCGCATGTGGAGATCATCAAGCGACCCTCCTCATCTCGCTTGCTCGTTCTGCGATGTAGATTTACGGAGTACGATGCACTCCGTACACGTACCTTTTTCTACCGTGGACTTCGGAATCCGGCGGTTGACCCATTCCTCTGCTCCTGGCCCCGGGTTTCTCTGACCTCTGCAGGTCTGCCTTTGGTCTGAGTTCCGTCTGAATCTGCTCAGTTCTATTCACGGTCGTCCTCTACAGAAGTATAGTCATCAATTGACCGAAGGCGTCCATGGAGCGTGGTTCACTAATACAACCAAGTTAGCGCTTACTTGGTCCACATGGTCGCGCGCATAGCGTTTCAAAATTGCCTGCCGCAGACGTTTTCCATGCTTCTGGCCCAACTTGATGGCAACCCTAAGCAACTTACACTGACAGCTTCTGACTCGAGATCATGCTTCCTAGCCCCATGAGGCTGATGATGCCCTGCGTTGGACGCCCTCGTTGCGCCCTCAGGGTATTAGTGTCGCAAATCAGAGACCAATTTCTCCTTACAGGGCTGACACTACTACGTAGATACCCAGGCCAGTCCCTACCTGGCAGAGATATCGCTTACCCCTAGGTACAGAGTATATTGACAATCGACGTCCGTCCCTCTGCTTCATGACAATTCTTGCCTCGAATGCTCATGGCACCGAATTGACTATACTCTCATTGTTGACGGCCCTGATGCATATACTTTGAACTTCCTCTTCAGACCCACGAAACGCTTCACCACGGCTCTGTTCGAGTCTTTTACTTGCCTACCATGGATCGACTCGGCGCAGGTCGCCGTGCCTCACGTTCTTTATACGGTAAAATCTTCAACATGGCCCCCGAGCAGGCCGTGAACGAATCACAACACTCGCTTGATCCTATTCTCGCTGCTGTTCCAAAACGGACTTACACTGTTCAGAGTTTTACCAGCCCCCCAGACAGGTTATTCGAATATGAAAAGGTTGAGCTGGGCGATGCCTCGACTCCGAACCATGCGCAGACTTTTGGCCAGTCCCCCGAAGGGCCTAAGCAAGCTATCCGTACGGGCTTCTGGCCAAACTCATACAAACTTCTCCCTCACTTTGCGGCTGGTGCTATAAGTGTAGCAGTAGTCCAATTGAGCTTCAGGAATGAGTACTGGTAAGTCACCCGAATCCCGAAGTCCACGGCATGTCAATTAACCCTAGGCTTACAGGATGGATTTGGTGGATCCCAACGTCGAAATCCTACCCGGCATCACACAAGGAGGTGCAATGAACGCCCTTCAGTTGGCAGCCAAACTGCACGAGCTAATCTTGGTCGCCTCGCTGGGAAACATCATTATGCATGTAGCCCAGGCACATATCGTTGGCAATCATGGGCTCCCCCTCGGAATGCTGGCGAATAGTTTTGCGGTGGGCTCTGGTGACTACATCAGGACCAAAGCATATTGGTCTTCGATCATGACAGGCAAGGCTCACTACTGGAGGTTCTGGCTCCTCTCGCTCCTGGCGACCATCCTTGCGACGCTTGCAGGACCATCTTCTGCCATCGCAGTCATTCCATCCCTTAACTGGTTCCATATCGACAGGCCTTTCGTCAATGATGTTCTCCCTTTCTATATCTACAACCAAAGCACAGTGCTATGGCCCGATGAACTTACCAAAGGGAGTGTTAATGCTCCGGATTCGGGCGTTGACTGCGTGAACGCTACATTGTCCACCTCGGTCCAGGATTCATGTCCCGCAGGCGGCTTCCGCGACACTTATCAATGGGCGGGCAATCTACTGTTCACCAATTCTACTGCTGGCACGAATATCAGCTTTCCCGACGCCCGTGGAGATAGCCGAAGAGTTCTTTCGACCCAGAGCTGTGCAAGTGACTTTGATGGGAGAGCCTCAGGCATGTCATTAAACACATTCATCACGGGGGCGCTGACTGCCTACTGGACTTTTGCTCGCAACAACTGGCAAGGCCTAGCTCTCTCAACTACTCGACCGAGGCTGAGTCTAGCTGGCCCAATATATGCTCCAAGGGTCGAGGTCATGTGTAACGGAAACGACTACTACAACACCTCGGAGGTCGAAGATCGTTCTCATGTCAACTTTCCCAGTTTCACGCCCAAGAAGCAACTTCCCAATAAAGACTACATCCTGCCATACCACAGCACGATGAACGACACGACATTTGACTGGGTGCACATGCCTGAGGGAGCTGAGAACCCATCAATCGGTGCTGCGGTTAGAGTACCCTGGGAATACACGACTACGGACGATCCAACGGACCTGCGCCAGGCAACAGAGATCCACGCCTGTAGTATCTACGCGCAGTGGGTTCCTGTGGATGTTTTCTACGAGCCGAGGAGCAGCGATCAGGTTGCATTCACCACCAGAGGGAAGCTGCCAAACACCTGTCTCACTCTCCCTCACAAGGCTGCCGTAGCCCAACCGGTCAGGAACATCACGATCAGCCAAGATTACGCAGACGCGATCAACCAGGATATTGCCTTCACTGACGGGCCCGTACCTGCCATCGTCGCCATGCTTCAGCAAGCAGTGTTCGAGGACCCCCGAGTCACTGACCAAGTCATGAACGCTTTCAAGTCACCGTTTGTCGGCAGCGCGCAAACAGGTGTATCTGCCAACCGTACAATCGATGACGTCCGAAGGAGTCGTGCCACGATGATATCCACCTTACTTGCCGGCGCAATCACCGATGGTCTGGCACGAATCGCTGGCAACGGTCTTTTCCCTTACTCACCGTCCATGTTTCTGCTGAATCGGACAGACGGCGACAAGCTCGTTGGCCGCTTCCTGGTGACGACCGCTCAGGGCGGGGAAGACGAAACTCTGAATACCACAGCCGCAGACCTCGGGAACCTGCTCCGCATCGATCCCGTCTTCGATCGCTATGGGTATGGCTATAGCTGGGAAGGGTCGAAGACTGTACAATTCGGGATCATCCTGCTGCTGATTCACGTGGTCGTTGCAGCTTTGCATTCCACCGTCATCTTTCATAAGGTTGTCATCCAGAAGGAGGGACTGGTCAGTTCATGGTCTACGGTCGCAGAGCTGATTGCGTTGGCGTTGAACTCGCATCCATCGCCGAAATTGCAGGACACTTGTGCAGGTGTGGAGGCGGCGAAAACATGGAGACAGACTGTCACTGTACGTGAAACCTATCCCGGCCATTTGGAAATGGTTGTCGGCTCGGACGAGAAAACACGGTATCCTCCGCCACAGGCGGGCACTTTGTACGGGCATCTCGACGAAGGGGTCGACGAGTTCTTCGACGCAAAAGAGTCCTGAGCTTGATTGCTGTTACATGGCATTTCCAAATCACAAGTTCGCACGGAGGGAGTGACGCGTGCACGAAGCGGGCATATGCTTCTTACCTGCATCAAAACAAAAAATCGGCGCTCCTAGCTCGTCGACTTTGTCTGAGCTCTTGTCGGCCTAACTAGCGGCAACGGTGAAGCCACAAACCATCATGGATGGCGTGTGAGGTGGACTCGGCACAACCAAGGCAAACATCGACGTGGGCACGATGAGGGTGGTGCAGCTCGTAGCGTAAGCACTGGGCACCCGGTGTTCACCGTATCGATAATGCGTGTAGGCTGGCGTCTGAGGTCTCGAAAACCGATTTGGCGTACGAGTATCGCCGTCAGGTAGGACCTCATGTTGCAGACCGTCGAGCCTGAGTGCCTGACCAGAATTACGATTTCTTCCTGCCTGAACGTGGTTGCCACGCTGCCACACTGTGACTGCGCCAACGTCGTAGGCGGAGTATCGAGCTTTCGCCGTCCAGACAAGGGAGTGAACATCCGCACGGCAACGTGGTGACGGAGCTGGTGAAGATACGGGCATGGTCAGGCGGAATCCATGTCGTTGCTATTGCCGAGTTTGGATGGGATGGCTTTGAGGGTGTTACTTTTGTCCAAGACGCACTCGGTCCGAGAATCGCTGCACTCGATTGGTAGAAGGACAGAGAGGGGCGGTCATCGGGCTGTGTAGGGACAACACGTGCTGGGTACCTATGGTAATTGCTGTCTCGAAGTCGTGGTCGTCAGTATTGTAGAGGGTGGCTTGCTGGGCTACGTACACAGTACAAGGTACACCTGCAGTCTCGGGGCGGTCACCAGTGGACGGGCAACTGCTGCATTTGCTCACTGAGGTGTTGCAGTAAAGTTGTCAATAGGTACCCTGTACTGTACCTATTTCTGCACGGTAAGCCATCTGGCGAACGTTCCGAGACGAGGCCAGGCAAAAAGCCGTTAGACTTGATCAGAAGACCTCACCATCAGGCTCTCGGCAGTCAATGGTTGCGCTTCGACTACGGTCCTGCTCATTCTTTTGACCGTCCCGATGAATCATTGAGCCGTGGGTGTTGCTAACGAGCCGTGATTGCGATCTCTTAGGAGAAAGTCGATCGCTTTTTCATCGACAAAGCCAGGTGCTCAGGTTGAGTGTCGCACTGTCCCGAGCGTGTGGGCATGACGATCTGAGCGTTGATCTTCAGGGTCAAGAGGGCCAGAAGTCATCCGTGCTTCAAAATGGGCCATCACCAGGACAGTCAGTTTGCAGGATGATGGGGGTGATGTGGATGATGCGATTTACGCGGAGCTGGGCGCCAGGCCCGTGCCGAACCTGAGATTTCCAGCGCCGCCGTCAGCACAAGGCAGGGTAAGCGAGCCTCTAGAGAGCAAACAGTCAAGCCTAGAACGCGTATCGGGAGGGAGAGAGGGGCTGGAGCTGGCTTGGGTTTCCTGCGCCCTGTACTGTGTAGTGATCCAACTTGTTCTGTTTTCCTCACATGCAACAATCATCTGCGGAACAGGTCACGTCGAGGGAGACCTGGAAACGGCACAGCACTTTGGATTACTCAGGTACGGTGCCAATCGCGGTCTCTCGTCTTTCGGGGTGCCCAAGTCCCCAAGGTCACTGGGCCGTCCTTTGTCGTCTGACATCCCAATCTCGTCTGTTGTGCCCGGCCTTGCTTCAGAAACATCGAGGCCATCAATGACCGTGCCGAGAACCAGTCGTCGTCTCCTTGCAGCGACGGTGACTGTGACTGCTCATTTCGGGGCGTCGCCATTGAATTGTGCCTGATCAGGAGAACTCACGAGCTCCGTGTGGATGAGAAACGCGCTGAAGCGACCCAAGAGGCGGTCGCATGAAAGGTCGCCCTCTGCGGAGACTCGCACAGCCAGTCTGGTTGCGTGAGGGCCATCGTTCTTCTGCAGGCCGCACGCTGCGACCACGGGACTCGGGTCTCCTCCTGCGGTCGCTGCCCAAAGCGAAGCAAACCATATGGCGGGCGAAGAGTGAGCAGAGCATCCAATCCTCACCCTGGCCGCCTAGAGCCCGCCCAACCATCCCCGTACTCCTGCTTCCTTCCCTCGTGTCCTGTTCTGCCATCCCGCTGCTTTTCTCTACACACCGCACTGGTCTTCTCGGCCGCTGGTGGAGCCGGCTTCCTCAATGTCTGGGAGACCGAGTCCCGTCTTGAGTCTCTCCACCCCAATTCTTCCTCTCCATTGATTCCTCGGTCAACGTCCTGCTCCCTCTCCTCTCATCACCCGTCCAGAGACCGGGAAATGGGGCTTGGAGGCTGCTCCCGTCAGGCTCCTTGTTTCTGATCTTGATCCTACCCCTCCGCTCTTTTCCTCGCCGGTATTGTACCGTATCTGGGCACCGTCGCTTGCGTCCACAATACATACTAAACCTGCTGCATCTCCTCTCCCGATGCGGTCCATCTGCTTCCTATCTGTGAACATCTGACATCTACATCTACGTCCTTTGCCTCTTCGAAGACACGGCATGCTCGTTGTCGCGGCTGCTCATCTCATCCGGACTTTGAGAGTTGCTACATAAACGGAAGGAGCCCTCCCACCACAACCTTCCCCACCTTTCGCTCACCGCCACTTAATCCGTCCATCGGCACACAACAAACAACCTGTTGTCAGTCCCAACTCACCTGCACCCATGGCGATGCAGTACCAACCCCAACCGTACTTCACATATGGACAGCCTCGCTGGCCAGACGATATCAAGCCAGCTCTCACCGAAGACGATTCCTCCTCAATCCTCGACGACAGGGTCTTCGAGTCCTCCACCCCCGCCGATATGACGGTGGGTGACAGTCGACGCCCGTCAGTCGCAAAGCTAGAGGACGAGTTCTCTGCATCCTCACAAGTCTGGCAGGAGAGGCCCCATGGCGGCATGGCTCCGGCTCGTCACTTCTCGCAATCCTCGGTCTCAACGTCGACGTCCAATGGTCCGTTCTTTGGTCAGAGCAACACCGCGAACTGCGGCCCCGGATTCATGCCAAACCAAGCGTGGCCCTTGTCTGCACAATCCGAAGCCAACACTCCCACTCCATTCTTCAGCCCGGTACAAGAGCCTTTCGAGCAGCAGGGCCAGTACAACGGGCCTGTGACTTTCAATTTCGCACAGCAAGAGCCTGTTTCCGCCGTCTCCATGTCGCCGCAGTCGAGTCAAGGTGGATGGGCTTCGACTACTTCCTCAGATGTTGCGTCAACTGGTCGGCGGATAAGGCAGAGATACAGAGGGACGTCGCCTATGTTTGTCATGCGGTCAGACGGCATCAGGAAGAAGAACGCCAAGTTCGACATTCCCGCTGAGCGAAACATCAACACCATCGACACTCTGATCGCGCATGCGTCGAATGAAGAAGAGAAGAAAGAACTGAAGCAGCAGAAGCGCCTGCTCCGGAACCGTCAAGCAGCGTAAGTACAGTGCAAGCATGTCTCCGCCACCAACTAACCTCGTGGACAGGCTCGACTCTCGCATGCGGAAGAAGCAGAACGCCGAGAAGCTGGAGGCGGATAAGAAGATGCTCACCAATCAAAAGGGTGAGCTCGAGGAGACCATCTCCCACCTCGAGAATGTTCTTCATCAGGAGAGGCAGCGATGGAACCATCAGATTCAACAATTCGAGCAATACATTCACCAGCTCTCATATGAGAGAGATGAGGCTATTCGAACAAAGACGCTCGAGACCGCCGAGCTTCGACGCATGAACACCATTTTGAAAGACACCGTCCGGGATCTTGAACGGGAACAGAACGCACAGGCCTTCTCGGCCAACGACTCGGATGCATTCTCCAGTGACTTCAACAGCTTCAAGGATCTCGGTCTAGAAGACAACTGGGACGACAATTTCAGTCTCATCAATGGCGACGACATGAAGATGGAAGAGTCCGACAATTTGCAGCGACAGGCCACTCCACGACCTACAACGTCGTCCAATCCCGAGCCATCTGCAACCACCACCGCCACGAAATCAGATGTCAAGGTCGACGCTGCTTTCAGCTGGGAAACCTTTTACATGTGCTTGCTGTCTGGAGCGTTCATCATGTCTCAGGCTGGGTCGTTGTCCAAAGCTGCAAGTGCTGCAACGTCGGTCGCGGTCGTTTCCCCGGCTATACCGACGCTGTCCAACGAGTATCGTGCCGAGGCTGGCCAGGTCCTCCAAGCTGTTCTCGCTTCAGGGCCCGAGGGCTCACGAGAAGTCCTCCCTTCCCGGCCTGCCGCCCCGGCTGACGGCAGCAACTTCCCTCACGCCCTGTCTGACGTCTCTGGAATAGCTCCTCAGCCGTCTGACGCCGCTCTCGACAGCCTGCATATATCCTTGACTACACCCTCCCGTCAACAGCAGGCTGCAGCTGCATTCTCGCTGTCCGCCGCCTCTTACAACCACATCAGCAGTCCCGACTGTGGCCTTGAGGATGGTGATGAGGACGATGATGACCTCATTGAAATCAAACCTACCAAGCTGCAGCAACTATTCGCCAGCATGCAAGCCAAGCGTGACGGCCTCGAGAAGATGGCTGGTCTGGGAAACAAAGCACGAGAAAGAAGTGTCCTCCTCGATCGTGTCCCAGAGAAAGTCCTGCGAGATTTCCGCGAAATGGTCGCACAAACGAAAATCGACTGAGCTTCCAGCCGCCAAAGTCCCAGCAGGGAGCTCACGATAGTATTACGAACGAGGGCTTGATTTTTTTGGTTTATGAACAGACTCACCACTCTACAGGTCCCCTTTGTCATTGGTTTTCGGCGAGATGGACTCCCCATCTGGGCCAACCTTTCGGACAGGCCACTCGACCGAGTCAGCCTGATTTTAGCGACCAACGGATAGCGGAAGCGCACAGTCAGCGGAAAAGAGACATATGCTTCAGGGCACAATTTCCTTGATTTTGGGGTATCTGGAGACCTTTAGGATTTTGGGTTATTCTTGCTTTTTGCATTTTCGGATTAGTATGACTACGACATGATGATTACCAGTTACCTCACGGCCCATGATAAGATGAACTTCTACCATTTTGGATATAGCAGAATATGCCTCACGGGAAGGGTGGGATGGGAAACCAGATACACCGAACAGATCCATTCACCATGGATAAGGCTGTAAGGGAGGACGGACGGCGGACCGGCCGAATCAAGGAAAAAGGGCAAAAAGGGAACCAGAAACCCTGTATGATGAGAATGGAATGGAGCAATCCCCCCAATCTCCCCCAGGCCATGCACGATGGCAACAGGCAGGGCGCAGCACAGGACATGACGCCCCAACATGTAACGACCCGTTATGTCATGAAACGACCACCAGTACAGATTTTGACGTCTTCATATATTACTATATAGCGAGCGAACAAGCAAGCAGAGCCGGATAGCAATGCTTGACATGACGCCCCCTAGCGCACAGAGCGAGAACGGGAAAAGGGACAAGCACAGCGGATCAGACAGGTCCCAAGCTGGATGATTGAGAATTTATGATTAATGAACAGCCTCACAAAGCCGCGCAATCCTGTCCATATCTGTCTCAGGACTCATATGATTACATACTAGTCGATCGGATAATCAGGGTCCCAGACCTGAACGTCTCCGTCACAGATGGCCTGGGTGGTCCCCTTCACCGTTTTTGCCCTCTGCTCCGAGCTCGGCACCATGTCATGGACTCTGGTCACACCGAAGCTAAAGCCGTCACTGAGGCACTGGCCGAGTCTCAGCCTGAGCAATGAGGAATGATGAGCAGTGAAGTCTTCGTGCTGGGGCCGCGCAATCCAGAACACATGGATCGTGATAAGATGTTCACCACGTCAGGGCAAGGGCAAGAGCCCCGTCCAGGGCGGGCAGGCACCAGCTCCCTGACGACGAAGTCCCCTGCGTCATGCAGGCACGGCCTCCTCCACGACCACTGCTGGGGAGCCAACAAGTCGACCTAAAGCTTAGGGGTATGGGCTGCGGCGGTTGCCGTGGCCCGCCTCCATGCCTTCGGCGCTGCTCAACCCCAACTTGGGTTGCCAAAGTGCCCTTGGACGACGGGCCAGCGATAGCAGGAAGACTGTCGCCCAGAGCTCGTTCGTTGCCTGGGGAGTAGTAGAGAGAGACGGGACACTAGCGCGGGAGCAAAGGGCTGACAGGTTTGAGGGCCAGTTGTGGGTAAGTTGTTGGTTGAGGTTATGGTCATCGGTCGCCGGATTCCTCGGGCCTGAGTCGCCTCGCCTTGCTTTGAGTCATGTCTGCGAATGCGTCTTGAGCTTTGGAATCAAGACTCGTGTTAGGCCCAGGGTCACGGTCTTCGTTGAGCCGATATTCGGACGATACAAGGTCGGGCGCTCAGTTCGGTGGGTCGTATTTCTCCTTCCAAATCCTGATCATCATAAACACCAAGACGTCAGCACGTAGTAACGCATCACCGCTCTTTGTCCGGGTTGCAAATGAAACATTGAGGCTCCCAAAGAGGTCAACTGCTTGCCTATGGGATGCTTCCGAACACTTTGCGCCTGGTGGACGGACTGCAGCCCAGCCACCTCGCTTTGGACATCCAAAGTCAAGCCAGCGCGAACCATCGTTGAAAGCTGACGATGGTGCACCCGGGTCGCTTAAGCGGTCGCATAAGGGTGTCTCCAAGTTTGACCGCCAATCAAGTCCGTCTTGGCATTGTATCCCAGGACACCGCCAGATTTTCGACCCGATTTGTGTGAAAATGGAACCCAGGATGTGATAAAGTGCCAGGAAGGGGAAGACTTCGATCGGATGATGCGCAAAGAGTCATGAAACTGGGACTTACCAGCTATTTCCCAACGTCTTCGAACCACTCTTTTCGGCCAATCTGAGAAGTTGCGCCGCTTTAAACTGTCTCGCGAGATACATGGTGTCAGTGTCGATTCATTTCTCCGAGACGCAGAAGGTTTGTGATTCGTGGAACCCATGACGACTCCAGACTAATGCAAGGTACGGGCACGAGAGGCCGGCGGTGCGACCGCTGAGTGGAGGAGAGGTTGCTGCATTGCTGCCCAAAGTGAAGCTGCCATTGACGAAGTGCTGTATTTAGGTATTTCGCGTATTTGGGGGCCGCAGGACGCCCAAAGGGTGTCAAAGTCTGACCCACGGCACATTCGATACAGGTCAGATTGTGCTGCACCTGATTTCGGGTGGGTCGATGAGCCTCAGTTGGGGGCTGCTGCCGCCTTCTGTCACGTGTAGAGGATAAGGGGACGCGGATCGAGTGACGGGATACGAGCAAGCATGTGATAGATATAGGGTTCGGGACATGCGCAAATGATGAGAGACAGGACGTTGACTTACCTTGTCCTTCTTGCCCCCAAATCCTTCCAGGTAGCACCAAGCAGCCTCATTCATGGCGTCCGTGTCTCCTAGATTTGCTGCCGTCTCGTAATAATGCCTTGCGGCAACTTTGTCGACGGGGACTCCCCAGCCATTTCTGAAGCAGTTTGCCAACTCAAAAATCGCAAGAACAAGCTCTCCTTTGGCGGCGCCTCCTTTCTTCATGCCGGCATTGAGAGCGTCCGACTCGATAGTGGCCGAGTTTGATGCTGCCGCTGACAGATAGGTGATGGCCTTGGCCGGATCAGGCTGGCATCCCCAACCGTGGCGCAGAGACAGTCCATACAGCACCTGGGATAGAACATTTCCGCGTTCTGCGAGCTTGCGGAACATCTCGGTTGCTGCCTCCAGGTCACCTGGCTGGCCTGACTCATGTAGCTCAATGGCCTTCTGGATGTCGATGTCGCTCTCAGGGTCGTTGACGCTTGGAGTCCGGACTGGAGAATGTGCCGCAGGACTCGCAAGGCTGAAATAATTCAGATCGCCGGCCGACTGGTTGGCGGGTATTATGGGGCTTTTGCTAGCCAGCATGGTTGCACGCTGTTCCCATTTCGCCTCGGTGTCTTGACGGTCAGAAGAGTCAGTGTAAGTGTCGGCTAGGTCAGGAAGATCGGACGGTAGATTGGCTGAGCTGGTACTAGCAGTCCGGTCTCGATGCAGATGCAATCGCTCTGACAGTCGTTTCCTCTCTTTCCCGGGGGATTGCACATCCGTACCACCAGGACTGGGGCTCTTGCGGAAGCGACTGAAAGACCGTCTCGACGTGGGAGGGCTTCTAGGCTCAGCAGATTCAACACCGGTTCGGTCGCTGTCCGCGAACGATGGAGGCTTGATGTATTCCTCCGTATGTGTGTCTGTGCGCAAAAAGGTGAATTCGTTCGCCTGAGGCAGAGCGGCTGTACTGTCCTGTTGTGCGACCTCGTTGTCTATCCTGTCTTTTTTCTTGAGCAATTCCCTCAAGTGAGGCATCGTAGCGGCTGTTTGAGAGCTCGATTCGTGGTTGCGTTTCAAGGCGGACAATGCTGGTGGACTCGGGCGGCAGCGGCTAGGCCACGCTGCGATACTGGCAATATCTTTTTATATGTGGAAAGAAAGGCGACATCAGCCAGAGACAGCTGAATGCAAAGCGACTGCCCGAGGCTGTGTTACGGTCTACAGGTGCAATGCGAGATCGCTACAATAGTTTGCAGCTCAGCGTCGCGTTGGCGGCTTGGAAGGAAGGATTGGCAGTCACACAACGGCGCAAGGGCGGGCAGTGCAACAATATCGGGGGCCGAAAACCGCCTGCACATCGCATCTAGGCGCCAAAGATGCTCGAACGCGCGGCTTGGATGCTTAAACGCAACCACTTCTTCTAGTGAGGCAGTCATCGACTCAATTGGCCTAGTTTGTATATCTCGTCGCTGTCCTTAGGATGAAGACAAGTCGACAGGACGAAGGTCGTCTCTCTCCTCGTAGACTCACGCCTATCTCACCACGTTGGTCACGTTGGACATGGGATAGTGGAGCCGAATGGTAACTTATCTGTACCTACGGAATACTTACTGTGGTAAGCCGAAAGTGAACGGCAGGTGAACTGAACGGCACGGCGATGAGGTCTCTCTTCCCAACTCCATCACTTCCACCTCACCATTCATCATGATCATAGAGCAGCTGTGTCTCTTGTTTGTTTTTGTTTCTATTTCTCTTTGACCACACCGAGAAACACGACTCTAGCGTCCGACCATGGCGATATTCGATCTACCTTACGAGATCCTCGCCGGCATCCTGTCCTTTCTCGAACCTCAATCAATCATCCGCTTCGGCCGGACATGCAAGGCCGCGTCTTTATCAATCGGCCCGCAAAATCAGATATTGTGGAAATCTGCATTCCTCCACGTTTTTGATGATCCAGATGAAGCGTGGTCCATGACGCCTGGCACGCCGCCATTGACAACCGCGCGGGGTTTCGACTTTTATACCGAGCTTTCCCGCCGATTCAGCGCTCTCCAGGCCGTCCGGAAGAGGTCGTGCGGCTCCGACGACCGTGCTGAAGCGAACATCCAAGCACTACTCAGCATTCTTGACACGGCAAAGTTCACACTCAATGCCCGCGACATTGCGGACGGCAAAGTCCCCCTAGAGGATGATCGATATACGTCGTTGAATCTCCAAATTCTATCCAACCTGGCCGAATGGCGACAGGGCATCGAAAGCCTCATCAATGACACGCCGTTAAGCTCGTCGTCGCGTCCCATCACGAGGAGCATGACCATCCACGAGTTTGAGAAGTGTCGAACTCGAGGTGCTTCGCGACTGCACGTCATGTACGGCCTTACCAACTGGGAACGCGTGGACCACAAACCTCGAGGAGCCGCCAGAAGGAAAGTCTATGACTGGAACCTCATAGGTGCGGACAATGACTATGCTCCCTTCCTGCGAGATGGCAGCGGCAAGGTCGATTGGTCTCTCCTCGAGGGCGTTGCGACCGTCATGAGGCTCAACTTCTCCAAGTGCGTCGACCAGATCGCCGCGCCAGAAGGCTTCTGCTTTTCCCTCCCTCACCGCACCCTGGTCGACCCGACCACCCCGGGAGACTGGGCGCGAGCGACGGGTCCTTGGTTGGGAACATATGCATTTCTAGACTATGCCGACCTTTGGGCCTACAACCACCCCGATGAACAGGCCGAGCCGCGGCTGACTTTGGATGACGAACCCGAAGACTGCGGCGACCTGATGAGACTGACACTCAAGCTGGACCCGTCCATCTCGTCTGACCCGCGCCTGCAAACCAAACTCCCGATAAGCACCGGTCTGCCAGTGCTTTACTTCTCGGGTCACTCTCGTGGTTATAATGGGATGCGCCGTCTCATCATTGCTGTGAGAGGCTTTGCTTGCCTTGTGCCGGGCTCGCGAGAGGTGCGATGGAGATTTCTCATCAATTACGGTGGTCAAGATCAGTGGCTGTTGGAAGGTATCCAGCCAGGAGGTGTTCGCTCAGGCGGTATCTTTGGCATTTGGACGCACTGCGACCACGGAGTCCACACTCCATCAGGACCGTTCTGCTATTTTCCAGAAGAACTCTGCAAGTCCACCAGTGTGGTGATCGCAGCTCGATAGGTGATTTCCGTCTTTTGACGAGAAAAAGCACAGCCTTTGCTGAGGAGCTCTCAGCAAGACCCGGACTGTCCATCAGACCAGCTGCCTCAGCAAGGGCCATGAACTCCTGCTCGCAAGGGGCTCTTATGTACTTCAGAAGGCGATGTCCATGTCCGGCAAAATCGATGCCCTCCTGGCCCACTGTGCTGTACCTAGCATGATGATTGCAGCGGCACAGGCGCTTGACGATCTTTCCTTTGTCCCAATAGCCAAAAGATGTCCCACTAACCCGCTCATGAATACCATTCCTCTCCATGACTTTGAGTCACGCATGAAACGATCGCTGATGCCCTATTGGTGACGTGAAGGGCTTACCAAACGGTGAGAATGAAAATCGAGAACTGTCGATAAGTTCAGTCAGGCACGGCTCAGCTCCAAACGGATAAGGCCTATTACACGAAATGATACCATATAGGTGGGCGAGCCTTCATATTGGGTTATTGGCCAGTGCAGGCCGAATCCCGCCATTAGAGAGAGATTCAAGTGGTTGCCACGTTAAAGAACAAACCACATCGCTTCTCGAGGTCTGAATCGGGGCCAGATTGCTCAACAGAAACAGAAAAAATCACGAGAAAGCAGCTAACTAGTTAAATGAATTCGTGTTTGCCCAACTGCAGGCGTTGCTGGGACCCCTAGAAGCTTGACAGAAGAGCAACGGTTGCTTTGCCGGGAAGTGCATCGCAGTTTGCGGCCAGGCAACCTCCAGCGACCGCCACAGCCACGGTATTCATAGTGATCTGTCGAGCTTGCTGCGATTCAATTGTCTTGCATGTGCAGGAGTCAGCCCAATGTTGCCGGCTGTCGACTAGATGTCGGTGCTGATGATTAAGCATGCCTCGCGGCGTACAGTAATCCGTGTGGGAAGATCGGCCCATCAAGGCCAGATCAGCTGGCACATTACGAGCTACGATTGACAGCATGTAGAAGGCTGCAGGAAGGAAGACAGTGCGCATTATTTCCCAAGCCCAGCCAGTCTGCAGTGGTCCGCGTCCTGGGCACTGCCGCTGTGCCTGCATCAGGTCATACTTTCTGAGCTAAGCTCTCCTGAGAAGCGCATTTGGTAAGAAACAAGTCGTCTCGACATTTGGACAAGGCTCTTTCGTGGCTGGTAGTGGACCTCCAACATCAGACCGGCCGACCACAAGGTCGAGGAGCAGCAGCGTGAGGATAAGAAAGCAAGACAAGGCATACCATCTCAGGTGCTGGTTATCCCAAGAAGCGCAAAATTGAGCAGTGACAGCCGACATGCAATCCAAACTCCTTAGTAATTCACATGGGGTAGTATGACACGTAATTGGAACACAACAAGCTGGAACTTTTTATGATTAGAAGTCTAAGCACTGAGGCACTACATACCTCGTCAATCGCGCCATCAAGGTGATGGTGTTGAGTCAACTCTTGCTATCATTTTAAGACTGAGCAGGGCACACCTGTGTCCCAGGCTGCCTTTTCCGGACGTCGTCCCTCCTTCTGCTGTCTGATCGACATCTTCCACGAGCGGGACCGCCGCCGAGCAGCAAGGAACGGCTGTTTGTGAGAGGGAGTCAACCGGAGCCACAGGGTACTGACCTGGTGAAGGATTCGTCGAAAACTTTTTCCAGCGGCCCCTGTCAATCCTCCTCAATCTCCCCTTCTTCCGACCCGGAGTGCACTCCGGCTGGTTCGGGCAACTCCTGGACATTTTCCTTTTCTTTCTTCATACTGGAAGGTTCCGGAGTCTTAGTCTTTCCCCTCTCACGAGAGCGTGATCTCCTGTCACGACGATATCGTTTGGCACTACGGCGGCCGCTCTCGACGCTGTCCTCACTACCCTCCCGCCGTCGTCGGCGATCGCTGCCAGTCACGCTCCTTGACTCCTCGCCGTAGTTGAGCTCGTCTCTACTGCCACGAGGCTCAGCCCTTGTGCGATACAAGCGTTCACGGTCGGCTTCGCGATCACGCCGCTCCCGGTCGTAGCCACTTAGGTGGCGTGGTGGTGGAGTGCGATCGCGGACAAGACGGCCATGTCGCTCGTCACGGTCTCTATGATCGCGAACCGACGGTGGCGGGCTGAACCCGCTGGCTTTGCGGTACTGCTTCTCACGAGCAGCTTGAGCTCTGCGACGGTCTTCCTCGTAGGCATCGGGCTCCGGGGACTTCGAGAGTCGACTGTACCTGCTTTCCCGATGGCCGTTGCGATGATCTCGATCGTCTGTACGTCGCGAATGTTTTCGATCTCGGTCCCGTTCAGCGTCTTCCTCCTTCTCTTTGAGTCGCTTGATCACCTTCTCAAACGCAGATTTTCTCAGACCCTCATCCTCGACGGCACGGTATTCATCTGTCTTCTCCACTCGTGGCTTAACATCCTCCCAGGAGTCAGTCATACGCACCGGAGGTTCAAGATGCTTGATGCGTGAGCGAAGTGCATCCACCGCTCTGCGCTGATGGCGATCTGCTGCATGCTTCTCGTCCTCGCTCCGTCGAACGACCTTGTCATGCAGTCGCTGGAAGATGAGCTGGAGAACGTCGCGATTGATAGGGGCTGTTCGTCGATCAGTAAGCATGATATCAAGGAATTCATCGAAAGAAGTTCTAGGTGTCACTTCATATCGTTTGTCCTGCAGGTAATCAGCGAGAGTCCAGAATGCAGAAGGCGGCCACCAGCGTACCTCGAGAACATCATATACATCATTCCGTCTGCCCCTCAAAGCTCTCTCTTCTTCCTCCACAAGATCCCAGAATAAGTCCAATGGTGTCGATCCAGCCTGACCCAGCACTGCAACATACCTCGGGTCCTCCTCGATCTCAGGCAAAATGGTCATCCACTTCGTGCCGGCTGTGATTTTGCCTTGGCTGCGCAAGCTCTGCAGTAGTTCCATGAACCTATCACGGTTCTGCCGCTCGCGTCGTGCCTTGGTGGCCTTTTGCTGCTGACGTGCATCATTGAAGGTTCTTTCGAGCGATTTGATATGGTTCTCAAAGGCCGTCAAAACATCTGACTTACTCAGAAGCTTGAATTTCTCATCAGACTGAATCCGCTCGTTGTTATGAAGAATCTGCTGGGCTTGAGACCATCGCGTGTAAGGCTCGAGATTGAGCGCGTTGAGAATTGCAGCCAAGTCATCCAGGGCTGACCTGCGGGCAGCGGCTTCCTGCTCAATGTGCTGCTTCTTAAGCTCGACAATGTATTCTTCGAAAAGTTGCTTACGCTCATCTTCGTTGTCTGTCGAGCGGAACACCGTCTCGCCCTCAATAATGGGTCGGATGGTCTTCCATCGGCTGTAATGCTTGATCTCGGGATGTGTCCTCAACATGTTACCGAAATCTGTGCGTAGCTTAGCCAGTCTTTCTTTGGCCTTCTCTCGTTCTTGTTGGCGAACCTCGACTGCATATTTCTCGAATGCCGCTTTTCGGTCCTTCGGGTCTTTCAGCGCTCTGTATTGGGGATCCTTGATTGTAGCACGCATAGTCTGTTCCCAAGTCCAGTCGGGCTGGACATTTGATCGGCGCAGGAGCTTCATGAAGGCAGCTTCTGCCTCTTCGAAGCTCGAGTAGTCAGGAACGACCTCTTTGGTGATAGGTGGTACAGTGATCCCGTTCTCGGTACGCGGTCTTTCCAAGGGGATGTGGTCGTCCCGCTCGCGATATGATTGAAGCGCAGTGCTGCCTCCAGCGACAAAGGCAGGCGCCTGCTGGACGGGCTTGGGCGGGAGTTGGACCGAGTTCAGGGCATCTCGATACTGTTGCGGCATCTCCCATGTCGTCTGCTTAGTCTCTGAATGTGAGTAGTATTTTCGGCCGTCGGGAGTGCTGTGTTCTTTCCATGGCTGAGATGCAAGGGCTTTCTCGATCGGAGTCATGAGCTCGGTAGGTTTGGTCCATCGCGTCTCTTTCGTGACCGTGTGATAGAAGTAGGTGCGCCCATCCGGAGCGCGTGCCTCTCGCCAGGGGCCCGGCGTTGGGGGCAGGCCATTCATCTTCGTCGCAAGGTCAATGAGGAGACGGTGTTGATGAACAAGAAGAAAAGCGCAACTTTGTCTAGGGACTGTGAGCTGCAAGGGCGACGGATGCAGGATGGAAAGAACCGTAGTGAGAACGATGCAGATAATTTGTCTGGCAGCCTTACGTAAGCGGCCGATTTGCTTGTGAACTTCGACTCTTCTGGCTTCACATAATTAGTCAGTTCGTCCCTAGTTGTCCGGTGACTAACACTTGGGGCTGATATTGTTGCATCTGCTACACTGGCAGCGTGGACGTAAGAAATGCTCCATCATCCCTCATCACCCCACTCGAAACAAGATGGAGGAGGATTTTTTCAGGTCGGCGTTGGTAGACGCCATTATCCCTGAGGACACAGTGACCGAGGTGGCTGATATTCTCCAAGCTGGAGCAGAGGCGCAAATAAGCGACAGTCGCTTGCTCGCGGTAAAAGAGAGGGAGCTGCTGTTCTTTGGTACGCCGGATCGCTAACTCTTGTGGCCTTCTATCTTACTCATACCTAGATCAGATGAACGGCTGAGGGCCTTGGCTGTTATACGCGTGCCGAGTTGTGACGAAATCTCATTGAATGCGTACCTTGCACGGCTATCGCTCAAGATAGATGTGTGGGCCGTCGACGAAACATCCGGCAGCGAGCAAAGCCCACGCCCTTCCGCGCCACCAAAGGACTTGGTCTTCTCAGCTGAGGGTATTGAGAAAACCGAGCCCATCGTTCTCGCAACCGAGTCAGCGGACGGCGGTCAGAGCTTGACTCTTGTGTGGGAGTCCCAAATAGTCCTCAACCGACCCAGATTCCGCGTTCCTCAGCTCAGCATTATTCTGATACCCTCAGCCATTGTCAATGGCCTTCAGCAGGACCTGACAGAGGAGGCCGGTGATCTCACTCCCTTTCAACCGCTTGAGGCAAACATCCTCGAGCCAATGCGCCTCATACCAGGCTTGAAAGATAATCCGCCATATCTTGCCGCTTCGAGGCTTGAGCGCGTACTGCCTGTCACAGCAATTCACAAACACCGCACTCACATTCAGCATGTTCCGTCAAGGCGGCGTAGAGCAGTGCCAGCGACAATGACACGAATCCGATATCACAAGATCAACAATGTCTCTGTGACGCCAAGCACAATTGCTCTCCTAGACATGGACATTATCCCCTTTGTCCAGATAGACGCTACTATTCGGCAGGTCGATCTATCATTGAGGAATGGTCGAACCGGTTCTCTGATGCCAGGGTTTTTACCAATGCAATGTCGATCCGGGGACTGTTTAACGTTCTTGTACAAACTTCACCAAACCCAGGATTCGAACCTCGCTCCCGGCATTGGGCTATCAACTCGAAATGTTGACGTCTTATCAATTGTCATCAAGTTGGACATACGACTCAGCGAGGTCTGCCGCCCTGTTCTGGTGATGGATTGGACGACTCATGTTGATTTCACGCAAGCACTAAACCCATCTTTTGGACCGCCGTCGCAGCCCATACAACGTCAAAATCGACCCACGAGCCTTCCTGTTAACAACATGAACGGCAGCGACCCGGCAGTTACCAGCTTGGCCACCAGCCTACAACCAGCGTTTGACGTGACCGCAAAGAGCGGCCTTTCAATATCTTTCACAGCGCCGGCAGAGCCGGTTGTAGTCGGGCAAGCGTTTTCATGGCGAGTACTTGTGGTCAACCATTCGAGCAAGACAGCAAAGGTTGCAATTATCCCGTTGCCGCGGATCCAGCGCCTTGTTACTCAAGCACAGTCATTCGCCAAACGACATGCGCCTAAATCATCTACTGCCTCATTTTCTCCCAGCGAAAGGCGCCACACAAAGAATGGGGAAGATACCGATATTGCACAGGCCATAGTAGACGAGAACGTGGTTTACGCCATGCATCACTCGCATTCCACCACGCCTGAAACCGATCTGATGGCACTAACTGCTGAGCTTCGAATCGGACCCCTAGCACCAGGTCAGTGCCACGAGAGCGACATTCAGATGGTCGCGTTTGAGACTGGCACTCTGAGGGTTGATGCCATGAGGGTCGTTGATTTGGCGCGAGAGGTCGAGGAAGGCGGTGCAACATTGGGTGCACTCACGGACATAAGAGATTTGCCAGATGTTGTGGTGGCCACCCCGTGCGAAGGTAGAGAATCACCGACAACGACTGCTGGTCCATCATGAAAAAGATCTCGTCGGTCGAGGTGCGCGTTGCAGGCAAGCAACGAACGCCGTGTCCGGAACCCGGGTCGCCAGGATACAGGATTCCTTACGACGTTGTCACCGGAAGATACCCAGGCCATTCAGAAAGGACATTCTCGCAACAGAGTGCTCATACAGATAGGTCTTCGAAACCTTGCAAGCATAGTAATGGTCCTCCATGTCGACTTGCGCCGTTGACCGACTAGCTCGCTTGGTAGTGTAAGTGCGCGAACGAAGAGCGGTCGCCTGTTCAGCCACCACTAACTCTAGTATGACCAGGACTGATTGTCGAGCCAAGCGAATCGCCATGAATCCGTCCTTACCAAGATTGCCGTGGCTGAGCGAGTCTTGGATCGCCCTGGAGTTTGCCTCGTCCAACCAACCAATCATGCCTCTCATATCGACATGCCTTTGGGGTCTTTCCGAATACGATGAACAAGCACAGCCATTTCACCCAACAGCACTTAGGGTTGTGGACCTAATGGAAGATATAAAGATCAGGTATATCAGAGCCCTGGAAGTTGCAGACGTTGACGCCCTCAACATACGCGAAGAACAAAAACATATTGTTCTGTTCTAAACATAAGAATTATCAGCGATTCGAACTATTCTCTCAAGCCGGCAACATGACTGTGGACTACCTTGAAATCAAGAACGAAATCCCATCGTTGAAAGAGAAAGAGGTGCGTGTTGTCATCCAATCTGCGTCAGCATCGACCTACTCGGACACCTCACATGTACGGACTCTCCTCAACGATTCCAGGTTCCGCCCCAGCAGAGTCCTGCATATTGTGCAACATGGTATAGGCGCCCTCCGCCTCCCTCTTCCATCTTCAGAGCTCGTCACCAAGATTTTCCACGACGACGGAAGCGTGGCATATACCTCGACGAGAGCTAAGAAATCTTCCGGCAGCGCTGTTCTCAGTCACCCGAAGCTAGGGGATTTGATCAGCACAACTTACTACTGGGGCCCGGGGCGTCCTCCAATACTCAAACTCCTCGAAAGGCAAGACGACGTGGATACTGTCACAGTCCATGGGAAGTGCATTTCTCGAACCACCAACTTCACCACTCCTGACGGCTCCGTATTCGAATGGAGCTATACGTGCACAAAGGACACCAACGGCAAGAAAGTCAATGTTATCGTCCTGGAAGAAAAAGAGACGGGAAAGATTCTGGCTCAGTTGAATAGAGGCGAAGGGACTCGCATGGAGGGAACCTCGAGATGTAGCGCCGGCAATGGTGGACAGCTTATTCTCGACCAGGACGCTACAAGCCACATGGATAAGGCGTTGATCGTCGCGACATGTCTAGTGATGCTTAAGAAGGAGATTGACCGCAGACGGTGTGCACAGATGGCCGTCATGGCTGGAGCAGCATCGTCCGGGAGTTGAGAGTGCCTTGCATGGTAGTAAAAGGCTGGTATGGGATCATCGTGGCGGCGATATCTTAACTGTGAAGGCCTCATATTATACCACAGTGACAGCTCATTCTTAATTGTCAGTAATCTTTATTGAAGGACATAGCACACTAGCAGAATGACCGTGCTTGTTGGGTAGGGACTCGGTACAATGGCGCTCTCGAGGACATTTTGATCCTCCACATTAAGCAATGCCACAAGCGAGCCATCTAGCCACGAACCGCAATTTGGTTCACCTCTAATCCACGCTCCCACTCATCGACCCCTACGGTGATCAAGATCAATATGGGCTGAAGAGAACGTCCAGGATGTCGCGCAAACGCCGCAATACTTCATCGCCCGAGCCGGACGATTTGCCGCCCTCGCCCAAGCGACGCAACATCCCTGGCGCCCATCTCAACTACGAGTCTGAAGGAGAAAGCCATGAGACTCCTCGGTTTGATGATCGCGTTGGGCAGACTGGCGCATTCCCTGGACTTGGAGCTGATGACGATGAGCTCTTCTACGGCCCTGCTAGTGATGGGATCGACTATTTGAGGATGGTGCGGTAAGTTCTTTCATGTCAAGGCCATAATGCCCGTTGCTGAGTATCGCATCTCAGGTCATGCAGAAGTTCGGGCTGACGAGACGCATTTCCCACTAGATCTGAGGCCAAACATGTCCCGCACATCTTGACAGCATCGGGAGCATATGCTCACCAAGAGGTTGGCCAAGAAGAGGGGGAGATTGAAGAAGGAGGATACTATCACGACGGGACATATGCGGCAACCCACGAGCGATCTACAGCTGTCGAGCCTGCCTCCTCTCTTCCACCTGCGCAGACACGATACTACGATGCTCTCCTCCGGCAATTCAACCTCATCCGAAAAACCCTGCGATGTTCCCCTCCATTATCTGCGGTGCAGACTCTCCGACCGGACCAATTCATATCATTTCCCGAAAATACGAACAAGGTCCGGACGCAGTGGGTCGACCACATCCTTTCGACAGACCCCCATCCTGTTCAGCTGGCGTGCATGGACTCGAGCACAGTGGTGGAACTCGTCAGTTTCCTCGGCATGGAGCTGGAGAGACTGCTGCGGGTTGGGGACCAGATCAAGGTGGCGCGGGTTGGTGCTTGGGTGTGGGCCATCTTAGGCAAGTGTCGTGACTGTGGGGAAATGTCAAGCGAGGAGGTAGGAGACTTGAGGCAACTGGCGCAGGTAGCCCTGCGGTCAAAAGGGGACCATCAGCCTGTGGATATAGACATTGATGATGAAGATGGGAACATAGGTGGAACAGTGCCCACAGCTCAGACTGCTGAGAAAAACTCAGCTGAGTCCACTGCGAGCCACCTAGATGGACAGGGTCTGGTGATGGAGAAGCCGGATAACAGTGGTATGAGGCGGGAGAAGTTGCTAAGCAGGACGGTGGACATGATAGTCACGGTTGTGGGCGAGGTTTATGGTCAAAGAGACCTGCTGGATGCTCGGACGATATGGCTTCATGAGGAAGTGAGATGAAGACAAGTGAGCTGCGCCCTTCTGCCGCACCAGCCAGCCATGCGCAAGTAACTAAGGCGATTCTCAATCGGACCACAGCCACGGCAAGCTGCGTCTAACACAGCCTGACGTGTCTCACACTGCACCCTCGCCAACAAACATCTACTGCCGGCTCTTCAACCTACATTTGGAATCTGCACCTGAGATATATCGACCTGCTGCATGGTCACACAGTCCTCTCTCACGCCATGACGAGGTCGTCTCCCGCGCTGGCCGTCTTCGTATCTGTTCTCCTCCAGCTCACCATGGGCGCCTACAATCCTGACATCTCTAACGGGACATGTTACTACTACGATGGCTATGAGGCTGATTCAAGATATATTCCGTGCGGCAACGCGGCACTCGGTCCCAAGGTATGCTGCGAGAGCCTGGATATGTGCCTCTCGTCAGGTGCTTGCTACAATGCCCAGTGTAGGGCCTTCCATCTTTTTCGATCTTCGCACAGCTCATGTTCCGCAGATGGAGTGACTTATCTCGCCGGCTGTACTATTGAAACATACGACGATCCAATATGTCCCAAGAAAACCTTTGAAGGTATGCATCAGCTACACAGATTGCAACCACCAGCGCTAACAGCCTTCCAGATGAACAATGGGTTGGATTGGTTTACTGCAACGGAACCTCGAACGAATGGGTTGCGTGTGACGAGAAAGAGACGGGCTCGACCACGGTTACCAAACCATCATACTGCTGGTGTCCGGATGAAGACTCGAGAACTGTTGCCTTCAGCGATTCGTCTGTTCTTAAGAATATCATGTCTTTACCAGCGACAAAGGGGCAGACTGTCACATGGAAAGATGCTGATACGTGGTCGACGGAACACTCTATTGCTTCGGCCTTCGGCTTCTCTTTGGACCCCGACACAACCACCAGTACTTCTTCCCCGACCAGCTCCAGCTCAACGAATAGTGCCTCAACCTCATTCACACCTGCATCTACGAGTCAAGGACCCAGCGCAACCTTAAACCCAATTTCGACTTTTGCGGCACCTGCAGCAACCTCAGCTCCGCCAGCCACGAGCTCCGGCTTAAGCACCGGAGCAAAGGTCGGGGTCGCACTAGGCTCGGTGGGCGGAACAGCAGTCCTTGCAGTTCTAGCCTGGCTAATTTTCGCGTGCATGCGGCGGCGATCTCAAAAGGACGAAGCAAAGGCAGAAGAACCACCACCAATGCGAGAGCCCACGCTTCCCCAAGTCGAGCGACGAACAACCGACCCCGATTGGAGAAGCCCAGCCTGGTCAGGTCACAAATCGGAACTCCCTGCGGACGAGAGCGTGACGAGCATGAGCGCGTCTCCGGCGCCCGTGTACCACGAGTATGCTTACCCGCCGAGGCCAGCCAGCACGGTCAGATCAGAAGTCGAGGGAAGTCCAGTAAGAGCGTCACCTGTGAGGCCAACACATGACGGAGGATTGAGATTGCCTGGGCAGAATGGGACGTTTTACGAGATGGCCGGATGAGGCGAAAGGAAAGAATTTGTCAGAGGAAGTAGTCATGTCGAGCATTGCACCTTTCGCAAAGAAAACCAAACCTTGAGAGGTATTGACAGGCTTCATCTCGAGCCCAAGCGCTGCTGTACGCCTTCCACTGCCTGGCATTGCGTGCAGCATCCGATGCGAGTTCTCTGAACCACCCCCTAGCACCTGCGTGCGGGGATCGTGAAGAGAAGTTCAGTGTGCCTCATCCATGTAGCAAGCAATCAAGCAAATGTTCGCCATTAGCTTTCCTGTTCCAACAGTCTTGAGCTTGCGTTTTCGATTTCATTCTGCTTCAACCAGTATCCGCAAAATATTACTATCACAATTCCACTTCCGCTCCCCCCGCCTTGCCAAAATGACGTCCACGTCCACATACACCGGCGCGGTCCCCCCCGGCGTGACCCTCGACCCCCGCATCGTGCCCTTCTTCGAGAAATTCTACCAAGTAAGCGACACCCCCTCGGCGCATGACGCCTACGTGGCCTCGTTCCTCCCCGACGCCGACTTTGTCATGGGCACCAAATCCACGCGCGGGTCCGAGGGCATCCTCGAGCTCCGCAGGGGTCTGTGGAGCGGGCCCATCCAGCGGCGGAAACATACGCTGGAGAAGATCTTTCCATTCGGTAGCAGCCGCGAGGTCATGCTGTACGGGAGCGTCGAGTATGGGTTGAAGAACGGGAGGGAGGTGGTCGTGCAGTGGGCTGGGCGGGCGGTGCTGGGCGAGGATGAGGAGGGGGGGTTGCGGTTCAGGTTTTATCAGGTTTATTTGGTGAGTTCAACTACTCTTGCCTCACCGAAGTCCTGGGGTGAAGGGAGGGAGTTGAGAGAGCGAAGTGCGCTCATAGCACAGGCTAACGTGAGGTTGTGTTGTGGATAGGATTCCGCTCCCGTTGCGAATGCGCTCAAGGATGACTAGAAGGAAAGAGAAGTGGACACTGGATGATGCTCCAAGATCTTGAATGGTCTTACATTTCTAAAACTGTCTTTTCGGTTCTTTTGTATTCGTCTACGCCTTTCCATGCGTCGTGCCACGATTCGTGATTCGTTTCTTGGTCCTCCCACTGCTACGGGGGCCAAATTGACCAAGGCCGGGATGGCAGTTCAGGACGGCTCTTTAGTCAACAACATCTGTACCACCTTGGACACTGCTTCCCCACGGCGTCAATCTCTGCGGATCTCTCTGTATCACCTTGCACACGGTCTCTTCACGGCCTCAATCGTTGCGGGTCTCTAGGGAAAGGCGTCGCCTGCCTCACGTTGTCCAAGCCAAGGAAGAACATGACGATCCGGTTCAATCCCAACCCACCACCAGCGTGCGGTCTACATCCTTGTCTGAAGGCGTTGACATAGTCCTGGAACCCCTCGGCGTTCGGGTCGACACCTTTCGCGCGCATCGACGCCTCCAACTCCGCGGCATCATTGATACGCTGGGCGCCGGACATGATCTCCTCCCCGCGCATGAAGAAATCGTACGAGTTGCTCAATTTGGAGTCTGTCGGATGCGGTTTGGTGTAGAACGGGCGGACTACCATGGGGAACTCGTCGAGGACGTAGAAATCCGTGTCGTACTTCTCTCGGATGATTTGTCCCAACTTCTTCTCCTGGGCGGTCGTCAGGTCTGTCACGTAGTTGTCCTGCTCGGTTGTGTCAACACCGGCTTCTTTCAGTAATTTGATGCCGTCAAAGTATTTCAGGCGCAGGGCTTTGCCGTCTTTGAGATGGAAGTCCCCGGCTCGAGGGAAGAACTTCTGCACCACGGCGATCTCGTCCTTGTACCGGGAATCTAGCTCGGAGATGATGAAGACGATGAGTTGCTCAGCAAAGTCCAGAACCTCGTGGTAGTGGTGGTTGAATACCATTTCAAAGTCCAGGCCGGTGAACTGCAGTATCGTCAGCATTGCTGGCACGTCAAAGGAAGCAAGGACGCCGTACCTCGGTCATGTGTCTATGGGTATTGCTGTTCTCTGCTCTAAATACGGGCCCAATCTCAAACACCGACTCGCAGTCGCCGGCAATGAGCATCTGCTTGTGCAGTTGTGGTGATTGCGCCAAAAAGCCACTCTTTCCGAAATAATTGCCGACTTCAAAGACACCACTGCCTCCTTCGGTTGCCGCGCCGAGCAGCTTGGGTGTGTTGAATTTCCTTGAACCTGATTTTCTCATGTACTCTTCGAATAGGCTCTCTACTGCTGAGGATATGGTGAAGATGGCCTGGTTGCATTCCGTCTGTAGATCGATTACTCGGTTATCGAGGCGGGTCTTCAAGGTGACAATCGGCACTCCCTCCGCGTCGACTGCCGCCTCTCCTTCCTTTTCTTGTGCTGGCGGTGGTCGTTCAGCGTCTTTCACTTGCATAGGGAGCTGTTCGGCAGCGGATGAGACCAGGTAGATTTTAGTGACATGTAACTCGAGGTTGCTTATTGAGGCGGAGGCGACTGGCGGATCGGGCTTCTTGACTAGACCAGTGACTCGAACGAAGGAGTTGATGTTGACTCCCACAGCCCATTTCACCATCTGTTTCGATACATGGTCTCCCGTGGCTGCGACGACGGCCTGGATGGTCTTCCCTTGTTGTCTGAGCATGAGGAAAGCGAGCTTCGCACTCTGGCTCCTGCTGTTGTGAATCCTGACAATGATGGTGACCTCCTTGTCGACATGATCGTCTCCGAGCTTCTTGAGGTGGGTAATCTCGACCGCATCGTCTGGTAACGGGCCATAGTTGCCTGTCGCCGTATCTTCTGCTGCTTGAGCTTGTTGCGCCGCTTTCTGTTCTGCCTCCTTGGCCTTTGCAGCGGCCTTTTTCGCGGCTTTCTCGGCCTCTTTTTGCGCTTTCTTCAAAGCGTTCTTCGAGGGTGCGCCGTCGGCTGAGACATTGGGGTTGTCTTTGGCGTGAGTTGGTAACGAGGCTTCCTTGTTCTCCATGGCGATGGTTCTGAGGTATGAGCGATAGAAGGAGGAAGGAATCGCGCCGTTACAGAAGCGAGTGAATTGTGGACGGTGGACCACACCCAGACGAGAATGTGCTTGAGTCACGCGAGGGGAAAGTTCAAAGTGGGCTGCTCGAAAAGTTCACGGCGGGGTTCATCAATGGGAGACGACAGCCTTGCGAAGCATGTGCAGCCTTGCCGCAGCCAGGAGTCTAATGTGCCCATCAAGTGTTCATTCATGTATTTGACGCTAAAGGGTATCTTGTATGCTCATAAGTACTCATCACAGTCGTTATCCGCCTCGTGTCATGGATCCATCTCGGCTAGGATCATGCGTGTCGACGCATCCTCTGCAATCCATGTCTCGACCCTTTCGACCACATCAGCAACCATCTTCGCGTACGTGTCTGAAACGCTGAACATTGAGGTATGCGCCGTGACTTCGTCAATACCCTCGAAGTACACCCGAATCCAGGTATCGTCGCGCTTTCCGCTGGCCGGGTCCTTGGGTGGAAGGGCACAAAATTTGCGGTCCTTCTGCTTCCGCCCCTGCTGCGACTTGCCCTCTGTCTCGGCCTGTAGATGTTTATCATAGTGCTCGGGGTTGAGTGTTGCAGCCCGCTTCTTTTGTTCCTTTTGCACACGAGTCTCTTGTTGCTGGGCTTGTTTCTTGGTCATCTCTTCTCGTTTGAGCTTGTTGCGCTGCCGTCGTTCTATAAGTTTCTGACGTTCCTTCAGGGCTTCATCTCTGTCCTTGGCTGCTCTCTCGTATGCCCTGACCTTGCGGTCATGTTCGTTTCTTAGTAGCTTCACTACGTCCTCTTCTTTAAACAACCCGGCGTTGAATTCTGGAGGTGGCGCTGGTAGAGGTGGAAGAGGCGGCAATAATCCAAGTTCTGCTGATCCGGGATCTAAGGGACTCAGGCTCGCATCTGTTGCCGACGATCGATCAACTTGCTCACTGACGGTCGTGGCAGGTGTGACTTCAGCAGGGTCCGGATCTATGTTGAGTTCGCTGATGTCTTTAGTGATCAGCTCACCATCCCGATGCTCTTCTAGCGAGAGTCGTGGACTAGACACGGTCGAAGGTTGAAGACTTCCTGCCGACGACCCCCGTGTAGATGTCTCCATGAGCTCACTCGTTGGGGGCTCAAGCAAACCACGCCCAGTGCTCGGTGAAGGCGATCTCTCCTTGACTGGCCCCGTGCTTGCACAGTAATAGTTGACAAACCTCACTCGCTTCATTAACTTCCCATCTGGCGTTCTTGGCTGAGCAGTCTCATCAACGTCTTCCAATGCACGAACCGCGTTGAAGCGCCTCTTCAAGCCCGGGTAGTCCGCAAGACAGCCGCCAAATTCGAGGTGAGAAGAGACATAGTCTCCGGTCGCCTTGGCCAATTCACCACAGTGCTTGTTCCAGAAGTACCAGAACCTTTTCAGCTTGCCCGTTCTGTCTGCCAGACGGATGTCGTTTGCGTATCTTGGGTTGTAAGTCGGACCTTGGGGTGCCGCGTCGGACAACATATCTGGATCTGTGGGTGGCGATAACGAAGGTTGCGGCGGCGTCCGGAAGAGACTCGCAATGCCGGTACCCACCACGCCAGGGTGCATTCCAAGAAAGGGTGTATCGAAAGCGATAAGCCCTAGGATGCGATGCTGGAAGAGCTCATTGCTGCCTGCGGGCGAACTGGAAGGGATCAAGGCCACTTCTGCCCCCAGGATGCCTCCCAGGCTGTGGCCGACCAGGATCACATCCGTTCTGCTCGACTCATGAGGCTGTAGCCAGTTGCTGAAATCATCGCGTGCGAAAGAGATGTTCTTCCGCGATTTGTAACGCGGATAAATCTTGGTGTACACAACATGAGTCTCCGCTAAAGCGGCTGTCAGTCGGGCATGGACGTGAGTCGGAAAGCTTTGAAAGCTGGTTTCTGTTCCAAGAAAGCCATGGATGTAAATAATCAACAGGGTTCTGCGATTGTCGCCAGGGCTCTCCACGGGGCGGAGGGATTGTGTCGAAGATGCTCGTGAATCATGCAACCCGCCTGGATAGGGAGACGTAGACGGATTGAGGCTCGGAGAAAGTGTTGGGGAGGGATGGTTCGTATTGTTATACGACGCACTAGACGCCATTCTTGGTGGCAGTGGAGGTTGTTGATTCACTGCCATGTTGGCAGTAATGACTGAAAGAGCAAAGCATACCTCAGGAAGAAGTTGCCACAGTGTCTCAGCTGTGTAAGGGGGTCCCATCAACCAACTTGTTGGTGCCTAAACGACGAGGTCCTTACTGCCAGCAGTGATGTGGCCGTGACGCTTTTCAAACATCCTGGCGATCCGTCTGCCACCACGACGTCACTTTCGCTTGCGGATCTTCGCGCTCGCTTCACGAGGCTGCAACTTGCAACTTCGAATCAAACATCCCACAACTGCGTTCTTGCTCAGACAGCATGGCGCCACAAGTCGAGATATCGATACCTAACACGACCATCTCTGAAGGCTCCAAGCCGTACACGATCTACAACATCACGCTCCGCCTACCTCTCCGTTCGTTCACAGTCCAGAAGCGCTATTCCGACTTCCTCACTCTACATTCAGGCCTAACAGATCAAGTTGGCGCACCTCCACCGTGCAGCCTGCCTGGCAAGTCGTGGTTCTCGAAAACAGTCTCGAACCCGCAGCTCACCGAAGAGCGCCGCCAAAATCTCGAAACATACCTGAAAACAATCAACGAATGCGACGACTCCAGGTGGCGCACAACTAGCGTTTGGCGCGCTTTCCTCAACCTCCCTTCCTCACTCGCAAGCAGCACGTCAAGTAAAGCCGGCGCATTACACTCCGTCATCTCGGGCCCTGGTGGAGGAGGCGCCCCGATCACAGACCCAGTGATATGGCTTGACGTGCACCGGGACCTCAAAGCACAATTACAAGATGCACGCCTGAACCTGACGAGCCGGGATCAAGCCACCACGACGCAGAAACAGCATGAAGCCGGCGCTGCTGCAAAGAGCCACCTGGTAAAAGCTTCGGGGCTGATATCGGCACTGGAAGAAGGACTGGTTAATATACAAAAGGGCGCGAACGATGGGTGGGGAGGGCAGAAACTGGGAGAAGGCGAGCTACGAAGGCGGAGAGATCTGATTGCGTCGGCGAAGAAGGACCGAGACGGACTGGAAAACCTGCTGAACGCCATGGTCACGAAATCCAAACTCGACCAGACTGTCGCTTCCGTGCAACAGACCCAGGAACTCATGGGGAGTGCTCAGCACAACAAGCCGAAGGTGGGTGGCGGTAGAGTTCTTGGGAAGGAGACGGCCGAAACGCGCGAGCTCGATAACCAAGGCGTCTTGCAACTTCAGAAGCAGAAAATGGCCGACCAAGACCTCGATGTCGAGGAGTTACGCAAGATCGTGCTACGGCAAAAAGAGCTGGGCATCGCCATCAACCAGGAACTCGAGGTGCAGAACGACATGCTGAGAATGGTCGACGAAGATGTCGATAGAGTGCAAGGGAAGATCCAGATCGCAAAGAGGAGAATTGGGAAGATATCGTAGCGCGATGGCTCGGTGTCATGATAGCGTTCATTCATGTTGCGTATTGTCACATCAACTTAGGGTTGTGGAGTATCTTTGTAAAACGACAGCACTCGAGGACAAGTAGGCTCTTGGAGGCATCGTCCTCGAACTCAGGCATAACCGGCAAATCCATCACTGCTGCCGTCCGGAAGACTTCACCTTCATCAAATCATCTGCCTCGCTTCTGGTCATATCCGACAGCTCTTCTTCATCCTTGCCGATGAACCCGATGTTTCCCGTCCTTATCTTGTACCACAACTCCCCTCTATTCTCGCCAAGCTGTCCCTGGAATAGCTTCTCCTTGAACTCGCGCAAGGCCTCGTTGTAGTAGTTTGGCACTTCCATCCCGATCGTCTCGTTTCGGATCGTGCCCAAGCTTTCCAAAACCTTGTCGTAGTTCTTGTGTCCATAGTCCTTCCTCACGAGATCCTCTATGATCTGCTGCATCTGCTTGACCGCTTCTTTAATGATGGCCATGTCAGCTGTGGTTTTGAAAACATCTTTGAACTCGGGAACTGCGTTATTTGGGTTGATGTGTGTCTTCCCCTGCTCGACCGGTCGCTCTTTGCGCAGCAACTTTTCCACGTCGAGTCCAGAAAGTGGCTTGTCGGCCTCACGATCGCGAGTTCTTATTCTTCCCTTCTTCCGCTTATCCACCTTCTTGACATCTGCTGCGTCTTTCAGATTCTGCAGCACTGCGTTCGCTCGTTCCACAACAGCAGCGGGCGGCCTCTGCATGAGTTCATACACTTCTTTTCTCTTTGGTAACTCCTTGCTCTTCTTCGGGTCGTTGGCATTGATTGCACGGTCTTTGATAGCATCCTCGATGGTATGAAGGAGAGGTGAGAATGTGTCATCGATGGCCATCATTTCTTCGCCGCCCTCATCGTCCACAAGCATCATATTGTCCACGAAATCGCTCATGGTGTCAAGCAGCTTTTTCGAGGGTAGATTGCGATGTTCTGTGAGTGCTTTTCCCGACACAGTCAGGATCTTGTCAAGTGGTGGAAACCTGTACGACCGAACGTCCTCCGCAAATGGCAAGACATTCTCAACCAGGCCTTCAAAATCGCCTTCCACTAGTGGTGAGAGCACGGTAAGAACTGGCTCAGCTGCATCTTTCTTTACCAGGCGGCCAATTGCGACCGAGCCGAGTTCGAAAAGCGAGTGGATGAGTGAGGACAAAGCCATAGCGGCTCTATCATTGCCTTTCTGTGCCACAATGATGTTTGCATTATCCATAAGCATGTACCGCTCCATATTGTCCGCAGGAATGAATCCCATTATGTCGTAGGCAGCTTCCGTCTCGTATTTTGTGATATTCTGTTCTGATTCGGCAATTGACACGGCTGTTCGTCCATATTCATAGCCTTTGGCCAGTTCATCACGTTCCAGTACCTTCGTACCACCCTCGTACTCGTCACCGTTGACTCTGTATTTGTAGAGGTTGTGAACGCTAGACAGACCGTCGCCCTCGCCGTCTTCAGCAATGCCACTCGCTCTGCTGATGTAGGCACTCGCGGTGGGTGCCCTTCGGACAGACACTTTCATGTACCTCTCCACGTCAATGAACAAAGCTGTATCGTACTGTGTCGGGTCGCCGAGCCTCAATGAACCTTTGTATGTCGGTGTTGGGCGGACCGACTTAACGGCAGGTCTCGAAAGGTCGTCGATAGCCTCCTGCATTGTGCCAAACTGTCCACCGCTGAGCTCGACTAGCTGTTTCAAGATCCTTTCGTTCTTTGCCTTCTCTTTCGGCTTGTCCTCTTCCTTGAAGCCGTACTCAGGGTCGTCGAAGTCAACGCCCAATAAAGTCAAGTCGATGTTATTGTCTTTGAACTGCTGGGCAACCTGATCAAGGTCATCCTCGTCGATGTGGCTCCCCGTAGCATTTGTGACAACAAAAATCCTCTTCTTGTACTTCAAGTGCTTACAGTGTCGACTGATCATGTCTACTCCAAGAATGATTGCGGAAACAATGTCTCGCTCGTCCGTGTGGCTGGGCTTCAACACCTTAGGTAGATTCTGTAGGTCGGGAAGCAGGAGTTGTGTTATGGGTTGGAGCACGCTGATGTGCTTGTAGCTGTCATCCTGGTCCATCATTGAATTGTCCGTCTCGTCTGTCCCGAGCCCGAGTACGCCAACTTGCAACGTCTTGCGCCCCGTAAAGACGACTCCGGTAATCCGGTCATAAACCCACTGCAGGGACCATTCCAAATCGCTTTCTTCTCGACCATTATGCTTCTCGCCCATCGATTGGGCAACGTCGATGATATAGACAGTGGCCTCCTTGTCCGCCATCTTAGCTGGAACCTGAGCTTGAGAGATGACGTTCGAAGGATGAGGCGGCTCACAGGGGCAGACCGGGAGTCGCTATAGCGGATGAAGCAAGAGAGGAAATCCGACGGTACCAGGGCCGAAATACATCACGGACTTGGCGCGTCGTCGACTTGGCTTTGAGGTGAAGCGGAAGTGTGAGGCTGCATGGAGTGGGAGATGGAAATGTGGTCAGGCACATTCAGGCACCCAGTCACGAACTTACCGCGTTATCACGTGAGCAGCGGCTGTACCACGCGCATTCTCTGGCCAGGTTGAGCGGATGAGCTGAGGAACAATGCAAACCGAAGTCCTAAGTATGTAGGTAGTCCGCTACTCAGTGCATACTAGGTAATGCCGGTTCGAGGCACGCCACAACCTCATTGTAGATGGCAATTCTGACGGACGAGGCCGTTGGGAATGAGAGAAACACAAGTTCACACCTTGCTCGACATTCTAGGTCTGTCCGTTGTCCGTTTTAAATATATTCAAAATCGCTAGACTTCTGCAGATTTGTTCATCCTCTAACTACCACCAGTCACCCTGGTCTTTCATGGCAGCCGCAACCTTGCTGAAGCCAGCAATGTTGCCACCAGCGACCAAGCTGGGGAACTCACCCTCCTTGGGCGTAACATACGTCTTTGCGGTCTGTAAGCAATTCTCGAAACAGTTCTCCATGATCTGCTTCAGCTTCTCGTCCACCTCCTCCGCCGTCCACTTGATGCGTGCCGAGTTTTGGGCCATCTCCAGACCTGACACGGCCACGCCGCCCGCGTTCGCGGCCTTACCAGGCGCGTACCAGATCCACTTCTCGCTCTTGCTGTCTCGTGCAGACTCGAAGGTATCGATCGCCTCTTGAGTGCAGCCCATGTTGCTTCCTTCCGCGATGTATTTGCATCCAGCCTTGATCAGGCCTTCAGCTTCTTCCTTAGAGACTTCGTTCTGCGTAGCCGATGGTAGAGCAACATCTACGTTGCCAACATGCAGCCAGGGCCGCACTCCGTCCATGTATTTCACCTTGTCGCTGAATGCGGATGTACTGGCAGCCTCGGACAGTGCTTTCCGGTCCAGCTTGAGCTTCGCAATGGCTTCGATCAGCTCTCCGTCGATGCCCTTGTCGCTTGTCGCAATGATGGAGCCCTTACTGTCGCTGAGAGAGAGGACCGTGCCGCCGAGTTCGATCACTTTGAGAGCGGCGAATTGGGCGACATTGCCAGAGCCCGAGATGGCCACCTTCTTGCCAGAGAAGGACTCGGCGCCACCGGAGGCGTATTTAATCATATGGTCGACATACTGTTGGGTCATCAGCTGCGACACTCTATCAAGACATCCGAATCACCCACATAGACAAGTCCGTAGCCGGTCGCTTCAGGTCGAATCAGAGAGCCGCCCCAGCTGCCTGCGCTCCGTTAGTGCTTTTCCAACCACTCTTTGCCGCGCACGCCATCGACTTGCCTCCTTTTCCAGTGAGAATGCCCTCCCACAGTTTTGTCTGTTTCTTGTACTGTCCGAACATATAGCCGACTTCTCTTGAGCCAACACCGATGTCACCAGCTATCCACAGGGTCAGCTTGCTGAATCGAGAAACTGGTCGCGTGAGGCCTACCGGGAACATCTGTGTCCGCGCCGATGTGTTTCCCCAGCTCAGACATAAAAGCCTGGCAAAACCGTCGAATCTCGTTTTCTGACTTGCCCTTGGGATCAAAATCCGCGCCACCCTTGCCACCTCCCATGTTCAAGCCAGTCAACGCATTCTTGAAAATCTGCTCGAAGCCCAAAAACTTCAAGACCGAGAGGTTCACAGTGGGGTGGAACCGGAGACCACCTTTGTAGGGGCCTAGAGCGGAGTTGAATTGGACGCGGTAGCCACGATTGACTTGGAGCTCGCCCTTATCATCTTCCCAGGCGACACGGAATTGAATGATCCTCTCCGGGATTGCGGCAACCTTCAGCGCTTTCCTGTATTCTGGATTCTGCTCGAAGAGCGACGAATTCTCCAGCGTTGAGGAAAGCTCCTTGTAGGCCTGCTCAAACTCGGGCTCTGAGGGGAGGTTGGACATTTTGGCCGCGTTGTAAGGATTGTTTCGTAAATGAAATGATTGGGTGTCTGCAGATATCGGCGCTGGCAAGATGAAGGGATTGTGAAGGGGATTTTCGGGATATATCGCTCTGAAAGACAGTGGAAAAGAAAACCCTGAGGCTTTTACCAGGCGTGATGGAGCTTTTTGCTTCTGCGATTCACCCGCCTGGCCGAGCTTCGCATTACTCTCGAATGGGATACGTCAACAACTCCGGACTGGATGGGTGACGACACCTGAAGCAATCATGATGCATGTGCATCTGCCAGGGCGCAGCCAGTACAACAGACCGCTTATCATGTTCCGGGATTGGAGAGGCTCAAACGAACAGCGAGAAGGCACTCGCACCCATCGTATCGAAACCTTTCCTTTGGAGTTGGTGTTGACAAAATCTTAGGACACAAATAGAGTCACGCCCTTAATTGGTTCGATAAGGGCGGGGTGTTTTGATAGACCTGTGGTGGGGATAGTTTCATAGTGCTGATGACGATGAGTATGGCGTACTCCGTACATGATTGCATGACAGAATCTAAGCTCTTGCGCCTATCCAGGTCGAGCTGCGCGGCGAGCCTCCAAGTCTCTTGGCTGGGTGCAGATTCTGGAGATCCGATGTCGCTTTCCTCTGTGCCGTATGGAGTGGAGTGCAAAGCTTTTTGACGGAAGAGGAGTTCAGTCCAGACTCATTCCGCCACCAAAAGCAACACCTTTCACAAGGACGCAATCAGCCGGTCGGTGCGCTGGTGACAATGGCATACGAGTCAAGATATCGGCGAACAAAAGCACAATAGCTAAGCGCCAAAGCATCCCACGCCCAGGTGACTCGAACCCGGCTCCGTTGCAGCTGTACCCTTGGAAGTCAGGAATAACGGTCATTTGCAATAGAATTTGTCCTGGGAAGTTCTCTGGCTGCGGGAGAACACCAGTTCGACTTTAGCAGCAGGAGTCGAGATCAGTCTCCTACACAGTGCAAACCCTTCACGTTTAGAAAAAGCCCAGGACGCAAAGGTAGACTGTAAAACCCGGGTGCAATGGTAGAGCGGGGAGCATTGCGACCGTCCGGCGGCAGCCTCGTCCTCCGCTTGCCCTCCGAGGTTGAGTCATATCCACAGCAAAGCCTCAGTTGGTGAAGGGTTCAACACGCCAAAAGCAACTCTAGACCACAAAACACGAGACTTAGTCGGCTTCTTTGATCTGAGTTTCTCACCTGCATGAGTGTCTTTCAAGAAAGCTTTTCGGAAAACCGCTTAGCCCAGAACACTACATTGCAGCCGAAGCACTATGTCCAAACCGAGTCCTCCGTTTTCTATCGTCCGCGTGCGAAATGCCACCCAATTGGCAGATATCATCTCCCTCTTCTACGCATATGCCGCTTCGTTAGGTATCGACCTAGCTTTCCAGAACTTTGATGGTGAAATGGCGAGCATGCCGGGAAGGTACTCGCCACCCGAGGGTGAACTTTTGCTTGCCCGAGACGAGGCTGGACAGGCCATTGGATGTGTCGGATTGCGCCCCCTACCGTCCACAGAGCGGGGAGCAAGGGTCTGCGAGATGAAGCGGCTGTACGTATCGCCTGCAGGGAGAGGGAGTGGTGTCGGAAAAGCGCTGGCCTCGACAATCATCGCGGCGGCGGAGGAGCTGGGATATAGTGAGATGAGGCTCGACACACTACCCAGTATGGTTGCTGCGCTGAACATGTACCGAGCTATTGGATTCGAGGACATTCCCGCGTATTATGAGACGCCCTTGGAAGGAACACATTTTCTGGCACTGAAGCTTCCCATGCAAAAGGCTGGTGCCGTGGCGGCGTCGCGGGATTCGGGTACGGACACAACATGAAGACGGTTCGCCGTGTCTCCGATGCACAGAACGCCCCTTGCAAAGCTCATACCTTTATTTCAAGGCAACTGCGTTCTTCTGCTCCCACCTTCTCACTGCACCAAGAGCTGCCGTGATCTTCATTCCGAGTCGAGCATCGAGCTCATATTTCTCCCAACCTTTGGCCTTCTCCAAGTACCCCTTGACTTCTTGCACTAGCTTTGCATCGTGCTTGAGATCCGCGGCAGGCATCTGTTCTGCAGGATCGCGAACGAACTTACTTCCATGTTGCCGGACGTAACCTGTTCTTTGCATCCAGAGGTTGACAGCCATTTCATAATGGGCCGTTGGCGCCATCCAGTCGTCTTTGTTGCCACCTTTGAACTCGTATGCCGTTTGGTGAAGCAGCTTCTTTTTCAAAACCTCTTGCGAGTCATCGTGCCGGCGCAAATTTCTGAAAATGACAGCCCTCAGGACGTCGAGAATGGCATACTCATCTATGTCCTCATCCTTCCAGTGCGGCGTCGTCTCCGACCAGGCTAGATTGTCTAAGGAGTTCTGCAGCTGTGTTTCATTCATTTTCTTGAAGCCGTTCCAGAAGAAGATCATCTCCTCAAGCGGACTGACCCCAACTGCGTCGACCATTTTGCAACCCCATCTTGTTGCACGCTCTTCCCACTTGGAGATCTTGCGCATAACAAACATATCGAAGGGCAGCTGTCGCCCCATCATCTTCTTCTTTCCGACCTTGGTAGGGGCAGTCTTGAATAGCTCTTCCGCCAGTTTCGCATGTTTCTCCTTGTCTTCGGCGGATAGGGACTTGTCGTGCCGGTAAAGGCCAAGGTGTGCAGAAGCTGCAATGTAATAATACAAGGCACGAGACCAAGCATTGAGGTCAACACAGGCTAGCATGGAATCAGCACACAATTGATATTTGTGAGCGTTCATGGCGCTTAAACTCTTCTCGAACATATGCAGCGCTTCGATCTGCTTGAGCTGGCTCTTGCCTGGACGGGCGAGGATGGCCAAGGCCTTGTCGAGGTTTCTCTTTGATGCCTCTGTTCGTGCTTCCTCCACAATCCAGAGATGACTGTTGGGGTATCGTCTTCGCATTTCCAAGAGGAGGTTCTCAAGACGTTTCGCAGGATAGCCCTCCACATCGTCGGGTCTCGAGGCATCCGTGTCGGAGACAATGTCGCAGAAACCGACTATACCATTGTACCAGCCGAAGAGAATCAGACTGGCCATGCCACCATTGACGTTGGAGAACCTGCTGGCTTGCCACAACATCCGGATACCTCGTTCACGGTCCCCACGGAATCCCACAATGTACAGAAGCTTGGTGAAGGCCGGAGGAATGATGGAAATCAGGAGGTTCAGGAGCCCGGACATAAGATTCGTACCGGAGTGAATGAACACGTCAAGAGGATTGGAAAAGACATCGGACTCTGGCCCTTCGATGAGCAATCCTGAAGTTATTGTTGTCGATCTCTTCAGCATGCCCTCGGAGTGCAGTTCGCTTGAGGGGTGCGAGAGATTCATCTGCTCGATCTTGATATCGAGTTCGGTCCGGGCGTCATCTTCCACATCCGTGTCTAGGTGCCCTGTGTAGCCTTCTGTCACTACGTTGCTGTCGTCCACTTCATGAAATTCGTCGTCAGAATCTTCTTTCTCTGCCGCACCAGCAGTTTCAGCATGCCTCAGAGCAGAGGGATGAGCCGGCTGGACTGACTGTGGTGCAGTAGCTTCAACCCGTTCCTGCGTCGATCGCTCGGACCTGCCAGAATCAGATGACGGAAGGCTCTCGATTGACTGATCTCGGGACAAGCTGCTTGCAGGTCGCTTCTTCATAAAGTTTGCCTCCATCTGTACAATGCTGTCCAGGGTGATATATGCTTTCCTGAGCTTGTAGAAGCCCCGTATGGATTCAGTCAGACTCTCATTGAGAACGGCCACGACGGCGGACATTATCTGAGCTTCTGCTTGGCACAGGACGAATTCGGTGCCTTTGTCGTAGATGGTGGAATTGAATGACCGAGAGTCGTGCTGTGCCTTTGAATGACTTGCCGAAGCGCTTGACTCGGCTTCGTACAGCATCTCGGAGGCCTCTTTCATAAATTCCTGCTCGAAGCCCAAAGCGGCCCTCATGAATGCCAACGTCCCCTTGGCCAGTTTGTGGAAGGATGAATTGCCTTCAGCCAGCCCCTTTTCAGCGCCCTTGATGTCGTCGTCCATGATAAGCTCAACAGCTCGCATAGCTGCTTCCAAATTTTGAGATTCCTCTAGCGAATCCAGGCTCTGGCTCGAGGCGTTTAGAGACGCCCGTCCCCGATCGAACCATCGTCCAACCCTGTGCATGTTGATTCTGGCGGCGAAATTACGAAGGAAACCGGCAAAAAGGTGTGCAGGTCTTTAGTGTCTAGCGGTCACCTAGCCAGCACATGTTCAAAAAATCCAAAATACCTATTAGTGGGAAGGGTCTTCAATGCTTAGAACCAGAAATGAGAGTGAAAGGCACGGGTCAGCTTGAGGATCGAAAACCAGGCATCTGGATCAAGTTGTTCCAGCCCCCACGTGCTCATGCATTTCACACGGCTTAGCCCTCCAAAGATCTTTCGATGACGATACAGAGAAGCTCGCTGTGGAGTTTCCGGTATGCCCGCAATGCTGCATCGCGTGCCCCTGTGCTTGTGCTCTTGGGCCCGTGATGGATTAGGCGCACTCCTAACCCAAATACCGGGTTGCCCAATGAAGTGCCTAATAGCTCAAACACAGTAAAGCTAAGCGTGCAGCTTTCCCGAGCCACTCATCGTTAGTCCTGCGCCTACGGGTGCGTAGTGGCCTTAGGTACGCAGGCACCAACACCGCCTGCGCATTCAATCCAGGTTCGTTGTCACCGCTCTGTAATTGTCCAGCTCTTCAAGTCAATTCCACACTCCGCTCTCACCAACGTCTTCCGATCCGTCAAGAAGTGTTCCTGCCGAGAGCTCCATTGCAACGCAGTGCCCACCATCCTGCTTCTCGGCTCCCCGGACCGTGTCAATTCGCACCACGATTACGTCCACGTTTCATTGAGTAGTCCGACATGTCCAATCCACCAACCGCAAAGATGCAGCCCACCGAGCCAGCGAAGACAGAAGTAGATCCGGCGAAAGCCTCCAAGACGGCTACAACCCAGCCACCGGCAATGCTGGAAGAAGACGACGAGTTCGAGGATTTCCCCGTCGAAGGTATGCGGAGCTCGTGGGGGTTTCCTTAGAGAAGGACGCAGATATCTGATGGCGTGCAGACTGGTCGCAAGAAGATACCGAAGTCCCAGGCGGAACCACACATCTCTGGGAAGAGAGTTGGGATGACGACGATGAGAATGAAGATTTCAGCAAGCAATTGAAGTACGTGCGAAACAACTAGTGGCTTCGTGCCATGAGGGAAACTGACCAGTTTGCAGGGAGGAGCTTAAGAAAGTCGAAGCGAACAAATAGATTATCAGTATCGAAGCGTTGCATTCAAGGGTGTCCGGGTTCACGAAGGAGCGACAAGGCAATAAAATTGATATTTTCATCTACGACCTGCAGAAGAGAAGACCGTCATACAACAGCCACTTGCTTGTTCTCGGGCTCTGTCACAAGTTCGGCTTTGCGACGCCGCTTGCTTGGAATCTGAATCAATCATGCCCGTCCCAATATCGAAGACGTACTCTACTTACTGGACAGAGCCGACACACCAGGCAAATCTTTACCCTCAAGCAGCTCCAGGCTCGCACCGCCGCCAGTTGAGACGTGGCTCAGCTTGTCTTCGACCCCATATTTCGCTGCAACGGTGGCCGTATCCCCTCCGCCGATGATGACGATTTTCCCGTTCTCAGCTGCGGTAACCGCCGCATCCAGAGTCTTTTCGGTACCATTGGCGAACTTGTCGAATTCGAAAACACCAGGAGGGCCGTTCCACAAGATTGTTTGTGCCTCGTCAATAGCTTGTTTGTACAGCTCAATGCTCTTGTCGCCACAATCAAGACCCATCCAACCGTCTGGAATACCCTCCGCATCTGTAGCAGTGCCGGTCTGAGCATCCTTGTCGAACTTGTCCGCGGTAATGTAGTCAACAGGTAGGACAATCTTGACATTGTTCTTCTTGGCCTTCTCCGTCAATTCAGCAACCTTCTCACTTCCGGGTTGGTCGAACAAGCTGTTCCCGATCTTGACGCCTTCCAAAGTCTTCTTGAATGTGAAAGCCATACCACCGCAGACGATCAGGCTATTGACTTTGCCAAGCAGGTTGTCAATCAACTGAATCTTGTCCGACACTTTGGCGCCGCCGAGGATTGCGAGGAAAGGCCGCTTCGGGTTCTCGAGAGCTTGAGCAAAGTAGTCGAGTTCCTTCTTCATCAGGAAGCCTGCGGCCTTCTGAGGTAGGTCCACGCCGACCATCGAGCTGTGAGCACGGTGAGCCGTTCCGAAGGCATCGTTGATGTAGACATCGCCCAAAGCCGTCAAACCCTGGCGAAACTTGGCTACAGCATCCTTGTCTGCCTTCACCTTCTTGCCTTCAGCGTCTTTGGAGCTTCCCTCCTCTTCAGCATGGAAGCGGAGATTCTCCAGCAGAATGACCTGGCCTCCGCTGGCCTTGTTCACCGTCTCTTCCACCTCAGGCCCAATGCAGTCGTCTGTGAAGATCACACTCTTGCCGAGGAGCTTCTCAAGCTCCGGCACGACGGGCTTCAAGCTGTATTTGGCGTTCTTTTTCCCATCCGGCCGACCGAGGTGGGACATGAGGATGACAGCTTTGGCGCCGTGGTCGATGGCATGTTTGATGGTAGGAAGTGCGCCGACTATCCTCTGGGGATTCGTCACATGGTTCTCGTTATCAAGAGGGACGTTGAAGTCGACTCGGATCAAGACGCGCTTGTCTTTCAGGTCGACGTCGGTGATGGAGAGCTTGTTTGAGAGAGACATGGTGGATTCCGCAGCTACGGGTGGGGTATGGCTGAAGAACAATAGAAAGAAAGTACCGTAAAGAGCAAAAGTGACTCAGATGAGCATTGAACGCTGAGTAGAAATTTGATCCCCTCTTCAACTTCTCGGAGCCACGGAGGGGTGAAATCGGGTGCGGGCAACAGCATGAGGAAACTGGTGGGGTGAGTGGGTGATGAACAGAGCATTTCGGAATCCGACGTCACCGCCCACGGCGGTCGCAGCCTTCTGTTAGTCAGCTCCCTCTGAGCGATCCTGCATCTTTCGCCTATGCTGGCAAACCCTGCATACTTACTGCGCGCGAGCCACGGCTGCTACCAGACCTGATCAGAGGAGGCCAAAAGTCTTGGGCAGTCTTGTATCAAGCACTAATGAGACATGCGAGTGGGAGACCGCCAGTCCGAGGTGTTTTCCCGCATGATTACTGCTCTCTGGCGATGACAATTATTTGAGGGGTACTCGTAGATATAAATCCATCGGGACTGAGGAAGAGAATATCTCTCTAAGATCGCCTCATCGAGCCCAGAACTCGGCGCAATGCGGCGTGCATAATGATACGGAGTGCGAGTGTTGTCCATGCTGACAGGTGGGATGATGATCATGCGGACTTCCGCCAGACCCTGAGACAGAGTCGAGACACAGCCTTCTCCTCCCCACCAGCCACTCACTGAGCGCTTCCCACCGCCGATACCTCTGGTGCCTCTACAATCATTAATACAGAAGACTCAAATCTGGTCATCAGTTACACGAGACTACACACCTACAATCGCGCCGTTCGACGTCCTTTCCGTGGCCTCGTAGCGAGATCAACTCCACCTGGCGCCCTGTGCAGTGCTGCCTGCGCGGCCCGATTTTAAGTCCCTGGCGTCACTGACACATTTCATTGACCTCATAGCCTTGATCAACGAGAACTCCTCCTTCCTTTCTTTCCATTTTACTCCGTCTTCCTTTTGATTTCCTCTTTTCACAATGCTGGAAACATCAAGGCGGAAATCCCTTGCCTGGTTGAACAGTCGTTACATATATGGAAGAATCGTCAGTGTTTCTCTTTGTAAGACCTCGTCTGCATGCTGACTGTTCGACAGCCATTATTACACGCCCTCATTTTCCTCGTCGAGTTAGCAATGGCTGCCCGACTTATCTCCAAGTTCAACTCCTACTATGCACAGCGACCTGTGCTTACGACCATGATCACGAATGCGGTACGTGAGATGCGGCATGATGGTCGGACAGAGGTTGACAGTACCAGGTTCTTGGTGGAATTGCAGACACAGTTGCACAGTCGATAACCGCATTCCGAGCGAGACAAGCAATGTTTCCTAGCACGACCGATTCAAGATACCTCATCTCCTCCGGCGTCGAACTCGAGGACCTCAACGAGAAGCCGGCAACCCTGTCTCCTGACCTGGCTCCCCGTAGAATCGGGCCTCAGCCTTTCGATTTCGAACGCCTGACTCGCTTCATGTCGTACGGTTTCATCATGGCGCCCCTCCAGTTCTTGTGGTTTGGTCGACTCACGAAATGGTTTCCGATCGGACCCAAAAACGGGAACACTCAAGCATTGAAGAGGGTTGCCATGGATCAGCTTATCTTCGCTCCTGTCGGTCTTTCTTGCTTCTTCACGTTCATGACGGTCACGGAAGGTGGAGGGAGAAAAGAGGTTGCGACAAAATTCAAGGACATCTATCTCCCTACGCTGAGGGCAAACTACATTCTCTGGCCTGCGGTTCAGATCATCAACTTTCGGGTCATGCCTCTTCAATTTCAAATCCCGTTTGTCAGTACGATAGGGATTGCCTGGACAGCATATCTAAGTTTGACCAACTCGAGCGAGGACGAGGCACAAGGGCTTTAGTGATGGCGTTCGGAAATGTCAGCTTTATCAGCGAGTAAATACCCGGCAATTGGGATCGCGGCGTCCAAGGTGGAATGGTCACCATGAAACGTACACAGCCGGGGCGCGAGCTCATCAACTGCAACAGAATATTATTACTCGTTCACCTCGGTCATCACTGAAACGTCCTACACTACCGGCCCTGGCGCTCGCAAGATCATTCGTAACTGCAGTCTTACAAGTTGCCGTACCAGCGCTGCGTTCGTGGCCTCATACGGACTCTAATTTTGAATTTATTGCTCCTTTCCAGCTGGACTCCCAAAGGGCGCAGTCGGTCTGAAGACATAAAGCTCGCCGCTGCCTGTCCCTGTCGACAATCGGCTGGAAACGTGCCTACCGGTCTCGTTTACATGCCATTTCCGATGATCGTCTCATTCCTAGCCTTGAGGAATTCACGAATGGGGTTCTGATTGTGGGAAACAAATACAAATCGGTAATCCATCAACACGGATGAGGAGATGGACGTCCGGGGCCTAGCGAATCTGATGGCCATGAGCCGCCAAAGAGGCAGATAACGATGTTTAGCAGTCCAAGCTCCCAGAGACATGCGGGGGTACATTGCAGCCTTTCCTTATTCACATCAGCAGGCGCCTTAACGAGGTCGGTCATTGGAAGAACGCTATTTAACACCTCGTCCCGGGTGATTCACACATATCTTGCAAGCACATACCTAGGGCGTTAACCCAGCGGGAGGAGGCCGGTAGCTTGTGGCGCGCTGGGTGTTGGCAGTCACAGTATGAAGGGATCATTCGTAGCACATGGATGGATGCAGCTATGCCATTGAAGCCATCACCGCCATCAAAGCCCTCCAAGTTTCTTTCCTTGACTTCCTTGTCAAATTCTACACAGACTCCTTGACAAGACTCCACCACCCCGAACTGCGCCTATGAACTTCTAATTGCCGAAATGGCCGCGGGCAAGTGACCCTGAGGTCGCCCGAACCACCCGACTTGATGCTGAGATCTTAACTCGCTTCATAGCAAGTTCTCCCCTTTCTCCGCCTTCATCTGCCCGTACTTCTTCAACCGAATAGCCTGAACCTTGATGAAGCCGCCGGTTTCAACAGGCTCGAAGCTGCCGATCTCGTCCATGCTGGACTCGCTCTCGTCGTACAACTTCTCGGTCTGCGATGACCGGCCCATGACGATGCAGTTGCCCTTGTACAGACGGATGCGGACCTGGCCGTTCACGCTCTTTTGAGACTCGATGACGCTTGCTTCCAGGAACTCGCGCTCAGGGGAGAAGTACAAGCCGTTATACAACACGCGGGACCAGCCAATTGTGACGAACTGGTCGCGCAAGGCCCGGATTTCGCGGTCGAGCGTCAGGCCCTCGATGTCGATATGGGCAGCGCGGAGGATCGTGAGACCGGGGGTTTCGTAGCAGCCACGGCTCTTCAATCCGATGAAACGGTTCTCGACAATGTCGATGCGGCCGACGCCGTGTTTGCGAGCGAGCGCATTGGCGGCCAAGAACAGCTCGGTGGGATCTGTCTTTGTGCCTTGCGAGGGCGAGCTGATCTTCACGGGCAGACCTTTCTCGAAGTCGATCGTGACATCCTCGGCTTCGTTGGGGGCCGAGAGGATCGGATCGGCGGTCAGCTTCCACATGTCTGATGGTGGCGAGGTGTTTGGGTCTTCCAGGATGCCTGCCTCGTAGCTGCAGTGTGCTAGATTCTCGTCCATGCTCCAAGGCTTCGACTTTGTCGACGTAACTGGAATTCCCGTTTTCGCAGCATAGTCTAGCAGATCGTTTCGACCCTTGAACGTCTCATAAAACTCAGGAATGCGCCAGGGCGCAATGACCTGGATAGAAGGTTGGAGGGCATAGAAGGCGAGTTCAAATCGAACTTGGTCATTGCCCTTGCCTGTGCAGCCGTGGGAGATAAACTGACAGCCTTCCTTCTGGGCAACCTTGACCTGAGCGCGAGCGATGACGGGGCGTGCAAGAGATGTCCCCAGCAGGTACACGTTCTCGTATGAGGCGTTGCATTGAATGGCTGGGAAGCAAAGCTCGCGGACGAACTCGTCGATGACATTCTCGACTGCACGGCTGTCAGTCGCTTTTGGTCCCGTCACGGTGAGTAACACGGAGCATACTGTAGCATTGCTTTGCTCCGATCTTCAATGCCTTCTCCTTCGCAGCGTCGAAGTCCTCCTCCTGCCCAATGTTCGCCATAAAACAGATGACATCGTAGCCCTTCTCAATCAGCCAGGCCAAGATACAAGACGTATCCAAGCCACCTGAGTACTGCCAGTAAAGGTTAGTGCCTAGCCTCAGTGGTTGGCTGGTATTGCAAGAAAAAGGTGACCACTTACGGCCAGACAGACGCGTTGTTTCTCAGGCATGATGCCGTGTGACAGTAGTCGTAAGGATGAAGTCGGTGAAAGACGACGAAGTGGCCTGGCTCGTGGCGTTCGAGCAGGCCTTCTTAATTAAGCCTCAGGAAGAGCTTGGTCCCGCGAAAAATTTTCAACGTGCAGCCTCGTGAACAGGTCCCAGACCACAGACCAAAGACCACAGCGCTCAAGCGATCAAGCGATCAATCACTGGCGGTGAAATTGTGTCATATCCTGGCGAGCTGCGGGAAAAATTACAGAAAATTGTGGGGGAAACATCAGATAAGACGTAACCAATCGATAGGCTTCCCTTGCTGCTGTGGAGACTTGTTATTCCGTTTAGGGGATGCTGCATTGACTTTTCTTCTGTCCATGGAGCCTTGCTTCGTACAATAACCAAGTCAAGTTCACCGAGGAACATCGGATTTTTGGGGTGAAAGGAAGCTGGTGCGGTAGGGAAAGCTGAGGGGAAAACGTCTTGAAGCGCCGCCAAGCCAGTACTTGGGCGGCTTTGTCGTCTGTCTTGGTCCACTGGAAACGACTCCCGATACACAGCGATCCGGTAATGCTGCGGGTCATAGTGATCACCCTGTCTCGGGACTGAGACGGCGGTTATATGAATTCAAAGCAATAGAAGTGACTGACAAAGTTGGACGGGGACTTGGGCAAAGAGATGGTCAATTGGTTGGCATGTTTGGAGCGAAACTGGAAAGTTAGAGGAACGCAAGCGACGCAAGTTGGGATGCATTCTTTACTTCGACAAGATGATGCTATCCTTCGACCAAGGTGCCCAGTGTCATCTTTCTTCTTCAAGCCAAGAGCCGAACGCGTCCAGCCGGCCTCCTTCCTCATCGTCTTCGTCGTCAACATATCCCGCTTTCTTGTCGCCCGATTTCTTGAATTTCTCATTCCCTGTTGCTATATATGCTTCCAGCTGTTTCTCGTCGAACCACCGTCCATTCATGAGCTGTGTGACGTTAGCTCTAGGCCAGTGAGCAGAAGTAGGAATGGACGCACGCGCACACAGGAAGCAGCGGCTTCGGCATTCGAGAACCGCACGCTCGCAACACCCTCGTCTTCCTTGTCGAAGAGCACGACGTTTGTAACTTCGCCGAGCTTTGCGCATTCATCTCGGATGTCCTCTTTGATCTCGAGCATTGCTGATGGGTCCTCCTGTTCGATGTCAGACTGTTTCGCGGACCGCGGACATGTCTCAAACCTCCAGCTCTTGCAGAGTGAACATATGCTTCAGGATGACGACTTTATCCCATTTGGAGCTCGTCTCGTTCAGTGTCTGAGGGTCATCGTCGTCCCAATCGGTCAATTTGCTGCAGCTGATCAGCCGAGGACGTCGAATATTCTAGCTGACGTACGCATTCATCTTGGCCGTTCGCTTGATTATCTTTTTCTTGTCCTTGTTGCTCGTCTTGGCTGGCGCATCCTGTTGACTCTTATACGAGAAGTCCGCCGCCTGCACCCTCATCTTGCCAGCCGGGCCTTGTTCACCCAGCCGGAAGTCTGTGTCGTCGAGCATCTGGACAGCCAGATCGACAGATTCTGGGCGAAAATACACAACGAGCGCATCACCCTTGAACTGACCCTTGTCGTCCTCATACATCTTTATCCGTGGCTTTCCCGAGTCGATCTCTTCAGCGATGACACCGCACTTGGAGAAGACATGGTGGATTTCTTCATCGTCTGCATCGAGCGGAAGGGAGGTGACGTAGACGGCGGTATTGACTCGAGCTTTCTTCGGTTTGCTGCCGGACTGGTGCACTCTCAACGCTTGCTCCGGTGCATATTGTGGTGAACGTACCTCATCGCCATTCGGTTGTTTCCGCTTCTTCTTTTGCTGCGCAGTCGTGGTAGCATCATCGTCGACTCCTGGGACCCTGTAGATTTGGCCTTGTTGATCCAACAGTGTCTGGTCCAGCTACAACGAAGACACAACATCCAGGAGGTTAGAATCTATTCCACACCCGGCGGTTCACCGATATACATGCTTGAAGTCGGACATGTCTGGTGCTTGCGATTTGTAGCCTACCACTGGAATCCATCTTTTCAGAGCAGTGTCCCATTCGAACTCATTGCCCTCTTCGGTTTCGAGGATGAATTTGTTGTCGAGCCGTGACCACGATACGCGAGGGTCAGCATCAAAGTCGGCCGGGTCTTGAGGGAGGCCGGTTTGAACGCGCTCGGGCGGAAGATCCTCGTCGGCCATTGGGGTGGCTTTGCGAGAGCAGGTGGTTTCCACCGAAAGACTCGCAGGCAAACAACGATGTAGGAGAAACGGGCTGGGTGTGGGGAAACGTCAGCCTTGTCATGCAGCACGCAGCTTTGCCGCAGAAGTTGGCATTCTATCACCGAGCATAACTACCAATGTAGCTTCTGTTGGGTTTCGATCAACATACAGAGTCTACGATTAACAGAAGCGCGCTTAGACCTCAGCTCACTCGGGCAATCCCATTACTCAGTCCAAACATTCCCTGATGCGATGACACCGAACACCTTCATCGTGTGCTCCCAGATCTTCTCGCCAACTCCCTCGGCCTTGTACTTCTCGATCATCTTTGCCTTATGACATGTTTCTCCATCTATGTCGACCGCGTACGCACCGCTGCCGGTCTTGCCGTCCGTCCCTGTTGCGACCACGAGGTTCGGTGTACCAGCAGATGCAGCATTTGTGGGTTGATCTCCACTTCCTCGATGTGCTGGAAACCTGTGTGGAGATGCCAGGAATAGAGTCCTCTCGCCAGATTCGGCCACAGGCGTGGAAAAGACACTTAAAACAGGTCTGGAGATCCTAAACATCACCCTGCCCCAGAGAGGCACCCCTGGATTCGTGAAGGCCTTTGTCATGACCATGCCTGGGAACACGTGTACCAGGCTGAGTTTGCCCGGATGTTGCTTTGCCAAATGCTCGAAGAAAAACGTGTGCATGACGCACACGTGGGATCGGACTGTCAGCGTGCCCCAGTGTTGGGGGTCACGGATTGATATGTCGTTGACATGAAACTCTCCTTCCATGCCAGCTGCGAATACCGAGATGACATGTGCAGGCAGCTCAGATGCCAGGAGTAAAGGCAGAAGGTTGCCGATGAAGCGCATGCGGGAATAGTATAGCAGTGAAACACGGAACTCGAGTCCTTCCTTGGTGTCTGGCGAGATTATCAGCGGACATTCATCCGGTCATCCAGTCCAGGTATACGCACCTCTGCGAGGCGAGAAATTAAAGTCTCCCTGACTCATATAAAGCAGATCGATTCTGGCAGAGTCCCTCCCAACAGTTTCTGTCTCCGCTTTTGTGATCTCTGAGCAGACTTTGTCGACCTCCTCCAGCAGTGCCAGATCTCTAGCGTACACGAAGATGAACTTCCCCTCCGGACATAATCGAGAGCAGTCGGCAAGGATTTCCTCGGTTGCTTCTTTCCTGCGGCCAACAACGTATGCTCGAAAGCCTTTGCCGTGCGCGCCATTTGCCGTCGCGAAGGCGCGTAAGGTGGCCTCACCGATGCCAGAGGTGGCACCTGTAAAGACTGCTGTATAGGGACGGCCCTGAAAAAGAGCCGTATTGGCGGCTCGGATCACGTCGAGCTGAACCATGACTCTTGGCTGGCAGATGAACCTGTTGAATTTGGAATGTCGGGTTGCACCAATCAGTGTGTGTGCGAGCTCACCAGAACTCGCCACGCGGACTGCTACGTGTTATTGACATAAAAGCTTACCTTTATTGTAAGGAGCGACTCGGTGCACGGAAAAACCATGTCCATCACGCCCGGAGACATCGCTAAGGGCATTTATTGAGAAGATCGAGGATCAAGCGGACGTCGAGTGTGAAAAGGGTCGATGTAGCTATGTGCATGGCTTAGACTGATGCTGGAAAGAGCTTACGCAACCAATAGCAGCGCTTAGAGAGGCCCAATGACCCCAAACATTGGCCCCGATATGCTCTTCGTCCGACCCCCCGAGCCCGATTGCAAGCACTCTCCTGTTGGCCGACGGAGCGTGACGGAGGCCCCTTTTCCGTTGGGCGACCCGGGCCGGTGCTTTGATTTCCGGGAGCCTCAGGGGGTAACGGATCCACTTGTTCGAAATTCTTCACCTGAGAGACTCCCAGGTTGTCTAGTAGGAGTCGTGACTCAATGAAGGGATGGCAGCCTGGAGTACTTTGGAAAATGATTATCAATTGCGGAAACATCGAGAACATTTTTACTATGTTACCAGCCTTCCGATACCTCACTTTCCCAGTCATTCAGATCATAAAACAATTCGGAAAATATGGCAAGTGTTAAGAATTGACAACCGGGGTGTCGCCCCCTAACGAGTGCTTTCCTGGGTAACACAACACCTGATCATAGGGGTGCGAGTGGGGCGCTGCTGTCTCGCATCATGCCATTGCCCAAAACACTGCTCGAGGCCGCCGGCCTAGAAGCTGGCGCAAATGGTCATCATGGGGTTTCTGGCCTTGGTGACGGGAAGGGTGAAGTTGCGATGTCACTGACATCGGACTCCTTGCGCTCATGCATGGGCCGTTCTCGCCGTGAATCAATGGGCGAGATAGCCCTCGCCAAACCTGCAGTGTGCTCGTTTCCACCTGCTATCTTGCCTTCATGGATTGGCGCGAATCCTGAGCTCGTGACCGCCGAATGCGATTGCGGCGATGCCGGTGTGAAGGAGTCGCCGGACTGTGACACCGAGGAGCTGGGAATCCCTGGAGATTGACCCATTCCCCCTCCACTGACAACGCTAGGGGGGTACATGGCCATGTTGCGGATATCGTAGTTGATGTCTTCAGGGCCAGAGACACGAGCCGAACCCTCAACCTCATGGACCTCGGTATTCATACCTTCGACCGGACCAGCATACGCATATCGTGGTGAACGAACCTGTGTGGATTGCGACCACCGTTCTCGAGGGGCTCCAGCGTCACTTTCCCTGAAGTATCCACCGGCTCCTTCGAGCTCATGAGGGGACGTTTGCGTCATTGCTCGTGGTGAGTGAGGGCCTTGCTCAACTTCGGTGACTGACGAATCTGTCGCAGTGTCCTTGGGAGCCGCATGCGAGGACGTGGAATAGATCCATGGGACGATCCAGCTCTTTCGGTTGTGTGCCATTTCGGATGGGCCGCCGTCTTCTTGTGCGCGAGCCCGGGCCTTTCTTGCTTTGCGACAACACAGGAAGATAAGGACTCCAACGAGAGCTCCAACAACAACGACGGGAACCACTACAGCAACAGGAATAACCCAATCGCGGTCTGAACCACGAGGTCCCGGAGCTGGAGTTGCTGTGGACGAGCCGCTGTTCGTGGGGGGGGCGGTACTCTGCAGCTCAAAGGGGCCGAAGGATTTGACTTTCGTCATGTCATACGTGTCCGTGAACCACCCAGACACTGCGCTCGCAATATTGCTGGCAGTGGGTGTCACAGAAATGACATCGAGGACAGCTTGGTTTGGTTTGTAGTCGTCATGGACGGTCGGGTCGTAAGTGCCGGTCCAGGTAAAAGTGTTGAGATTGAACACATCCACGCTGTTATTGAAAGTGGTAGGCATTTCGCTTGATCCTGTGCCTCCAATTACGATCATCTGATCCGGGTACGGCTGAACACAAACGTGGTTGGTTCTTGCAGCGCCCTTCCGGCCAGACGGCTCAGCCTTGATCCAGGTAAACGACGGCACCGACAAAATCCAGACATCGTCGTTTGCATTGCCTCCATTGCTGTCCCAACCACCATACACGAAGATCTCGTGGTGGGTACCATCGGCACTAGAAGCCACAGTGGTACAGAATTGCGCAAGAGGTGCTGGAGGAACTTGAGAGGTCGGGTTCAGCGGTTGAAGGCTCCATTGAGTCGATCCAATGTCGTAGACCGGGAACTCTTTCAAAAACGTGAGGGACTGGGTGGCATTATCCTGTGCTACTTGGAAGTTGATGTCTGCTGGTTTGACGACTCCCCCGATCGCAATCAGAATACCCTGCGTCGAGGTCGGGACCCAGACTAGACCGCCTTCAGCTCTCCATGTGATGTTTTCGGGGAGTGGTGCCTTGATCCAGGTGGCATGACCGAGGTCGGTCATTTGCACGGTTATCAACCAGGGTGATTGATCTTTGGGGGGGTTAAAGTAGTCGTAGTCGGTGCCATTTTCGTTGTACAAGCCGCCGAAGTAGAAGGCTGATTCTTCACTAGGTGCGTTGGCTCCACCACCGTTCGTGACCGAGATGAAAGTTCCATCCTGAGGATCGTAGTTGAGGTTGGGCACGCCGAGGTTGATGTTGGAGGCCTCGGGCGCGTCATACAACGGCAGGCTCACGGTGCGCTCTCTTTGGTCCAGGCTCGTGAGGACCATGCCACTGTAGCGTCGTTAGTCAACGCACGTGCGATCAGCGTCTACACCACGTACCCCCAGGCATAGAATTCATCGTAATCGGCGAACATGTAGCCATCCAGATAGAAGTTCTGTACCGCATCCTCGGGAATCGTCTCGAAGAATGCCGGGTTGTCGGTGATGTCAAATGTTCGATTCATGCTGAGCTTGAAAAGCAGGCCATCGGTAGGAGAGAGTGTCTTCGCGTCCCATGCCCCGCTCGTCCAATTCCCGGTCTGTAACCATCCACCTTCGAGGTAGACATTGTCCCTGATGAGAGCAGCGCGAGGCCTGTTCCAAGATGCGAGCTCATTTGAAGTGAAGTTGGCAACAACAAGGCTAACGAACGGAAGCAGCCATGTGCCGTACTGCAATATGGACGACATGCTTGCGAAGATGAAACAGACCAATCTGCAACGGAGGAGTTCAAAATCGGACCATGAGGCTCAGGTCATCCTTCTGGCTATAGATACGGCGTGCCATCAGCATGGAAAAGTGTAGAGCCTCCCTTCCCATAGGATCTACGGTCCCTGCCGCGATGGTAGGACAGCCAGAATGGTCTAGTCCGTGGCGAAGATACCAAACGCCAGCAACACTTTGCCTTCTGTCCCGCAAGGTGAAGGCGAGTTCTGGAACCCCATCCACCGGGTCTTCGAATAGTGATGAGCCAGACCAAGGTAGGCAAGGGTTAGCAGCGTGTACACATCAGCTGGTTGCATTCTGGCTCAAACGCCCAGAAGCGAAGGACCCCACTGGCCTGAAGACACGGGACGTCGGGCGCGGAGAAACAGCCTCCCTGAACTCGGGCGTCGACGTTGGTGAGGTTTCTGTCTGGTGAACAAGGATGCTTCCTGCATGCACAGAGCCCATCGCTCGATTCATTGAGACATGCCGGATGGTGAGCTAGCAGCTAGGGCTGGTCCGTCCTGTGGTAGGCGGGAAAGGCACAGCCGATCTGCAATGTTAGAGGCTTTTCCCACATGCAGACGTTGTGCAACAGCGGCAACAATTCTGGCCCCCAGCATTGCATTGGTTCGAGAAGCTGTGAAATACCGGGGTGAAGCACTGACAGCGACAGCCGTGGCTCGCCCTTGAAGAGAGTCTCAAGCCGCGCAAGCTCGGGATCTGACCTGAGCAGCAAAATTGCCTGTCAATGGTGTCGCGCCAGCTCTGAAGTTGTGTACTGTGCACTGTGTACTCCGTAAAGTGAACGAATCCTTCTGGGCAGGTGCTAGAGAGCAGAGTGGAGTCAAGTTGTTGCAGTGCTGCTTACGAGTTAGTACTGTGAACTGTACCCAGTGTGGCATGAGGCCTCCAGCTCCACAACAGCAGAGCGCTAGCCTTGGTTCACTCGTACTCCGTCCTCCGTACGCGGAGAGGATGTGCTGTTCACCTCGTCCTCACTCGTGTCCGCACCAACCGCGAGGTGCAGACTGGGCTCCAATGTGGAACTGCACGTCCCAATCACGGGAGACTCGCACTCACGTGTGCTTTTGTCCTACCTCCGACCATTACCTATCCTGGCCCCCCTGCGCTCCGACCCCAAAGTTGGTCAAGGTGAACGGAGCACCCTGTCTGCGTAAGCAAGCATAGCTGACTCCACTTTACAGTGCATAACCCATGACCTACACTCAACTTTGTGCCGCCCTCCGAGACCTTCCATCAGGCTGGCGAAGACACCGACATTCCTTCGGAATGAGACACCAAGACAAGTCTCATCTGTGGCTCCAAGGAAAATGAGCTCCAGGGCCACGACGATGCGATCGATATGGTTGCGTGCCGAGGCAACGCTGGCTCCGAGCACGGGAGACATGTTTCCGCAATCAATAATGAGTGGTCAAGAGCGGTAGTCTTCACCTGCATCTTTGCTCGTATCACGGCGCTGTTTAGCGAAAACCACGCAGAGTTCTACACAGTCCCACAGTCGGGCGTTGGGATCACAGAGTCGAGCCCGCCTTTCGACCCGACGGCAGTTGTACTGCGGATGCGGGAGAAGGATGACAGGTCATTTCACCACACCACCGCCGTCACTAGACTATTGATATCTCCGCATGCTTACCGTATCAGGGAATTTCAGCCTCATCCCAACCACCTTTCGGGTCGAAAATGCGCCGTTTGAGCGGCTCAGCGGGCCTCAGCAGGGCTAACCGGCATGCTTCCGCGACAGGGGTCATCGTCATCACAGTTTGGGGCTTGCATCGAATTCTGTGCCCGTTCGTCAACTGGACGACTTTCCAACCCGCGCTAAATGCACTGCTATGGTGCTGCTCTCGCTTTGCCACGAGGAACAAATGAGCATTGCCTCGAGCTGGCTCCCATTCCTCTATTCCACTGACAGTACGTACCGAAAGCACATTCTTTGGTCTCGGAGGGTCTGCTCTGCCATGCACAACGCTGTTCTTCCGCTCTAGTGGGTATGGCAAACCTGCGCCCGGAAAATTCGAGCAGACTGGCGGCACAGATCGTGGTGGCTGTCGATTGGCTCTGTCTGCGGTCCAAAGCTTCGTCGTCCGCCTTGGCAAGATAGTCTTGTGCCGCGACCCCTTACAAGTGGCTGCACTAGACCATCCCTTCCTGTTCGAAAATAGTGCTATACACAGTCCGGAGTACACGTGCACAACCAGAAATGGCCCGATGCTCAAGTTGGCCTTGATGTGCCTTGGCAGGGCGCGCAAGCCATCTACTGTCCATCTCACAGTAGCATCGCTTGCGTAGGATGATGCTTCTTTGGGGAAGCTTATGACGCTGGAGCTCAGGCACAGGAGGGGGAGCTACAAAAGCTCATATAACTTACACGGTAAGGATTTCCCTCAAGCTTTATTTTGCTTCTCTTCTTCAGCAGTCTCTCCAGCCTTGTTCTGCTGACTTAGTCGCTCGTTGATACCTTCGTCCAAACTGCAACATGTCCACCATGAGACTCAAGTTTGTTGGCCTTGCTGCTTCCCTCCTTGTCTCGTGGGCTCAAGCCGTGCCGGGCGGCAGTGTCTCTGCTGATGGTGGTGGCTGGGGCACAGACAAGGCGACAGTGACAGTGTCGGTGCCAGGGCCAACCGTCACGGAGACATGTACGGTTACGTCGTGGGTGCCCGGACCTACAACTACGTACACGGTTACAACCTCAATTCCAGGACCGACAATCAAAATAACAGATACGATCACTTCGTGGGTACCGGGGCCGACTGTTACAAACATTGTCACCAGCGCAATCCCTGGACCGACAACCACTGTTACTGCACCTCCTCGCACAGATACCGTTACTGCAACGGTCCCAGGACCAACTGTCACGAACACGGTCACCTCAGCAGTTCCAGGACCGACGATCACCAATATCGTCACCTCGACAATTGTCCAGCCGACCACCGTTGTTCAACCCACCACTGTCTCGAGGACGGTCACTACGCTGAACTTGAGCACAATCACCAACACAGTTTCAACCACAATCACGTCGACCAACACTGTTTCGACGTGCCCGACTTCCTCATTGACCGGACTCGTCACCTGTACTTCGAGAATCGTCAACCCAACTTATACCCCTCCGGCTCCGCTGCCCACCGACTATCTCTGGGGGTGCCCTCCTGGAACGATTTGCACACCTCCTCAGATTGGCTGCAACTGGGAACAGAACCCTCCTGCTGATACTTACGTGTGTGCTCCCTCGGAATGCAGACCTGCTCCTCCCCTTCCCAATATTACCGACTTCAACTCGTTGTGGCCCAACCCCACCAACGCCACTTGTGCGTGGTACAATCCCACTCTGGGCTACTTTCATCTCAACCCCGAGCATTTTGGTCTCTCGTTCGCGATCTTCAACGTTTTCGGCCAGCCGGTATGCCCGACAGACGAGAAGCCCAAGACTGTCGGCTGGGTTGATTGGCTCAAGCCCCACCCAGGTTCTCCGCCCAAGTTGTCGCGACGCGTCACTGGTCCGAACCCTCTCGCACAGATTCTGCGCCGCCAGAGCCTTGCTATCGCTCCTGAACAGTGCTATTCAGTCTTTGACGCTGCCACCCTAGTCGCGGAGAATACCGGCCACGTCTACGAACGACTCTGCCCTCCCAACACACCTTTCCAAAGTGCCGTCTCTGCCTGCCGATCATGCGCTGCGGCGAACGCTGGCACCTCATCGACAGTTGACGATTACCCGGACCTGCAAAATTTCTTTAATTGGTGTTCGCAACATGCTCCCTGAACGGCACTGGGACCTTGCATCGTGCCTCCGGTCTAACCCGGGCCTTGGACGCAATCAATACAGCAGATCCAACAGGATGCGATCGTATCGCTTATTCAGCCGTTGAAGTCGACACGGGGAACAGGTTTGATGTAATGTCCTCGCGCGGCTGAAGAGCCATCCACCATGAGACCTCACCATCTTATGTAGATACTCATTACATCCCTAATTGTGTCTCCTGTTACCACTCGAGGAAAGACCCCGAGCTCATGCAAAAAGCGTTTTTATGCAGGCTGCTTGGCCCCAACGATATCAAGGACCGGTTGATACGAGGAGGAACAACCTCACCCCTTAATGATGGAGACGAACTCTGATAATGATTATCGAATGCACAAGAAATCTTCCCAGGTCCTCTCTTCCATACAAAGTACGTGTGTAAAGTACAAGACTGATTCGCAACCTTGGACGCGTCGAGGGTAAACGGCACTTCTCGGCGACACTCTAATACTTCCTTGATGAGCGATTCGTGCTGCCACAACCCATTGGCTTTTCTTTGGCCACGTGCGCTGAACGCGAGTGAAGATCAGTCGGGCATGGAACAAGGTGTCTCTGTCTGTCTGCTTACTCACGCGGCTGGAGCTGGAATGGTACATACAGCACAGGAGATTGTTTGTCGCGCCATGCAGCATCACGTTCGGAGTGATGGCTCCTTTCTCATGTGGCTCGCAGCGCCGTTCGATGACGCTCAGAGGTGAAGGGCAACATCAAAGGCCCCAGCTCTGGTGTGGTGCAAAGGTGATCTGTGCCGTTTCTGCCAAAGGCGCAGCAGTTTTCTATTTCACATCGTGGAATAGAATGGCATACATAGATGATCTTTAGCACCAACTCAGAAAACGCTCTATGCGCTCCCTGCTGTCTTGCTGCGACCGGTCTTTCGAATCCAATGAGCAGTGTGGGCTCAGAACAACTGTTGCATGGTCTCGCACTCGTGGCACTCACGGATGATACAGCCGAAGGGACGTTGGGATAGACACTAGTAGGGGTCGTAAGAGGTCTTATTTAATGCAAGGCACATGTCATTGACTGGTGGCCGGTCTCACGGTCGTGCCGGTATGCATCAAAGTGGGCGTGGCCGTGCCGATCTGTTGTGATTTAATTGTTGCTTGCCCTGATGACCACTGAGGGGTATTCCATCAATTCGCATTATGTCAATAACGATCATGGTGCTCACGGAGCATTGTGATAACGTGATGGAACCCCATTGCGGATTAATGGATGGAGGTGATCAAGCAGTTTTGTGCTTGCTGAAGCTATATAACATGACTAGAACTTATATCTATTTGGCACAAGGGGTCCTCAGAAGCTCAATGCGTGAAACCCGGCGCACACTTTCCCATCAGGGCGATGGCGACCTCGACCCCTCTGTTCCCGAGCATCTATGGTTCCAACGGCGCGTTCGCTGGCTTCTCCGGATGTGCCTCGCCGTCGGAGCTGGGAGAGTCGCGAGCAGCTGTCGTATCTTCCTCGAGCCCGTTGACGACATCTCGGGAAAGTTCCACGTACTATGCGTTGGTCAGCTCTGAAACAGACTCATGGATTGAGCAGCACTCACATCATAGGCAAATTCACCGATTTCTGTCTCGTCCATACCCATGATTTCCTCCTGCTCGGAAGCACGTAGGTGGAGGCCGGGAATGAAGTTCAAGATGAAGAGAATGATGCAGCTGAGGACGAATGAGTACGCCATGCCGGTAACACCGTCACAAAGTTGGTAGGCCAGTTGTATCCAGTGACGGTTGAGCCAGCCGCCATCAATTTCCGAAAATCCATCCAGGTGAGCAATATAGTCGGCAGCGAAAAGGCCGGTGAGGAGATCACCAACCAAGCCGCCGATTCCGTGGATGGCGAAGATGTCCAGGGAGTCATCAATGTGAAGCAGGAACTTGAGCTTGGTGGCGTAGTTGCAAGCGGCACCTCCCACAACACCAAAGATGACGGCGGACCATGCCGGCACGTAACCGCTACCTGGAGTGATGGCGACCAAGCCGGCGATGATACCACTGCAGAAGCCGACAGTCGACCATTTGCGCTCCAGGCGGTAGTCCAGAATGCACCAAGTCAGCCCACCGACGCTGGCAGCCAGGTTGGTCACGACGGCAGCCATGACGGCGCGCAGATTGGCAGCCAAGGCCGAACCAGCGTTGAACCCAAACCACCTGGGATATATGTTAGCGAGCAGAGCAACCAGCTTGGAGGATTACATACCCAACCCAGAGAAACACAGTGCCAATAACAATGTGAGTCACGTTGTGCGGGCGGTAGTTCAGCTCGTGAGTCCCATGGCCACGACGCTTTCCGAGCATCAAGGAATAGGCCAGAGCTGCGGCACCAGAGGAAATATGGACGGGAGTACCACCGGCAAAGTCGAGGCCACCCATCTTGAACATCCACCCGGCGCCGTTCCATGTCCAGCAGGCAATTGGGTCGTAGACGATGGTTGACCAGATGAAGGAGAAGACCATGGCCGGTAGCATACGGCCACGTTCGGCAGCGGCTCCAATTGCGAGTGCGACTGTGATGGCCGCGAACATGCCCTGGTAGACAGCGAACATAAGATCAGGGATCTTGCTCGAGCCAACCGAAGGAGCTCCCAGAACATTGCGGAAGCCAATGTTGTCGAGGTTACCGATGAACTTGCCGGCAGTGTGGGAGAAAGCAAGCGAGTATCCCCAGAAGAACCATTGGAAGGAAATCAAGCCTGTGGCGGCAACAGACAGCCAAATGAGCGACAGGGCGGATTTACGACGAGCAAGACCGGAGTAGAAGAACCTGCCCCAGCTGTCAGCTATTGCGGCATATGCGAAACAGGCTGGAAACCTCTTACCCAACACCAGGGATCATGAGAAGCACGAGCGCTGTGGCTGTAATCATCCATGCGATATCGCCGGCATTGTAGTAGACATTGAGATCTTCAGTGAGCGAATCACCGCCGGTCATCGACGTTCCTACATGACGATCGCGTTAGCGGGCCAAATTGCAGGGCGCACAAGATGCCGCGACGGCAGTGTTGTCGCGCGAGAAAGTACCGTACCCTCATAGGGTTCAAGAGGAACATATGGCAGAGACCCTGTATCGGTCGACATCTTGACGAGGATTGGGCGTTGTCAACCGTCGCGAGAAGCCGAGTTTAATTGTTGTTAAGAAAAAGAAACTCCTGGGTGAGTCTCAGAGGTCCCGCAGGCAGGGTGAGCAGACAAACACGCGTCAACACGAGTTGGTTTGCAGGTGATATCGTGAGAGCTGCGTGCACAACGCTCGAGCACATAAGGATTGCGACCGTCAAAGGAGTGAACAGGTGGTCGGAGGTAGAGAGGGAGGGCTGGAATATGAATTGAATCAGGCAAAAGGAACGAATATAGCACGGCGTACACAGCAGTGAAGTTCCACCTGGTCCCCGTGTCACACCCGAGTGAGCATTAAGGCGTCGCTTGGCGGACCCATGCAGAGACATCACAAAGATTGAACTTTCGGCGGACTCTCTCGTGGCTGCGTGGGCCAGAGATGACTGGTAGCGTGGGGATGCGCGGTCGAGGCGGTATCAGAGTTCAGGGGACTCGGCGGGCTCAAAGCCTGCGCATGTCGGGAGATACAGGAACCACTGTGATTCAGTACGAGGAGGACACTGGCGGATACTATTCTCACGATTCAACCTCGTGTTACAGAAATGCAGGGTCAAACGGCTATGTTGTGCGCCTCCCGTGCACAGGCACAGACTGGGCAAAAGTGAAGGCCGCCAACATGACCGAGCAGCCCAACATAGCACCTGCCTCTTCTGACTCCCTCTCTTGCCGGTAATCAAGGCCACCGCTTTCCCAATGGATATATTGTATTTCACCCACAAGGGTGGTAAGATCATCGCCTCTCTCTTCTTGGTCCATGATATTGTTGTCGACGTGCTCGTGTCGAGTACATGGCCGTCGGCCAAAAATATCCGTTGTCCAAGGCTGCCTCGTGTCTTTCGCGTAGGCATCGCTTCAAGCGAAGCTATGCAGCTCCAGGCACAGGTCTAACCGGGGTCGCTTTGAAATTCACTGCTCGGCGAGATAAGCAACTGGCTTCCGATTGGGCTTTTCGGGAGGACGCCCTTGATCCGAGCTTGCGGGAAGCCCCATGTGGCTTGAAGCGCATCTCCACACAGATAAGAAACTGGATCACTCCTGGTCGTTCGCATCGCTTCTCTGCCGCCGAGACTACCGAATAGTTTATACTGAAAAGTATCCCACCACCTCTGTGCAATTTGACCTTATTGTGTTGGCCACAGGACTGTCACTATACACAGTACGTGGTCTGCATGCAAACGGCACAAACGTGCCGGTCTGGACCGATACAACTGATACAGTGAGAATCTGTGTTGGCATTACGAGAAGCAGGGACATACACAGTGCTTCTCTCGTGGGATCTGTTGATATCTGAGGGCGATGAGCTAATCCAGGTTGACTTGGCTATTTCCCCAGACTTTGAACCCAGCGGCGGAATCCAAAGCATATCATTGTCATCTTGGGTCCGGTCCATCCGTTTCGCAGAATTCTCACTGCCACGTCTGTTGTGGCTTCATGAATTTGACGACCCAAGCCGGCGCACCTGATAGGTTCCATCTCATCGTTCCACTTGAGATGGGAAAGAGGATGATACAAAAGTCGCCTCTCGAGTCTCCACCTCGAATTCGTGGTGACAGCTGTCCAGCACGCCAGCACTGAAACTTTGAGAAAGGCCCAATTGGCCCTGTTCCGAAGCCGGAGGATCCCCGAGGCTCTCTTGCGATTGCGTGCTGCAAGTCCTACGTCTTGTCGGAAATGATGTTGCTATCCGCGTGGCAGACCACTGGGTAGGAGTAAACCATATAGCCGGCAGTCTCCCCAATCATGTACAAGGCGTGCGAAGATGACACATACGTGGTAAAATCTGAACTTGATCAGCGAGAGAACAATCGCGAAGTTCTTGCTCTTTCGATTCCTGTATACACTGCAGCATGTCGAATAGGTTGCGAGAGATACTTGCTCGTGATGCCTCAAGTACAACCAAAGGAACCTCAATATTTGGACTTCACGGGTGGGTGACGGGTCTTCTGTCTACTGTGTACTTCATCTTCCGTGCAAAATCGGCGGTGGAGAATCTGCAGTAGAAGCCTGGCGTGGTCGGAAGGTCTTCACATGAAGCGGTTGGCGGACTTGAGCCGTGCGAGCCGAAGTCCTCAACCTGCGGCCGTTCCACATCTGTCCACAAGGCTGGAAAGCCGTTGTCCTTCTCGAGATGCATGAGCTACCCTGCGTCAACAGGCGATCGTAGGCTGCATCAAGTTCTGCGTAGGTTGAAGAATTGGTCCAGCAGGCCGCGGACAACCTCGCACCGATGCCACGAAATCTCAACCCCAGCCGTAGAATTTAGTGGCGTCTAAGTTCTACTTGTTGAGTCATCACTTCGATGCCTAGGACTGTCCATGGACTTAAGTATACCAGTACGTAGACGAAACGAAGGCGTTCTACGGGGTTGGCGCCAAACCCGACTTCGACTGTTTTGTTAGGCGCCACCTTTGACTGACAGTCACACAGGCAAAAATCGGTGACCGAGTAAGCAAGGTGAACAACCAAACTCAAACCAATTCAAAACACATGTCCAGAGATTCAGTTGGAGGAAGGGCAGAAGCAGGTTATCTAGTCATTTCGCCATCTGCCCGGTTTTCATGATTAAGTGAGGTGGGATGGGCGAATAATGGGCGAGTCACAAAGCAGATTGCCAACTTCATGCTCGCTCCTTGATGCCCGGATGAAACTTCCCGTCAATCAGTCGTGCCCCATCATCGATCCCGTCGTCAGTCGGCGGCGACAACGGGGGAGGCAGCAGTGAATTTCACTTCTCTCAATTGAATTTGGAAATTGCCAAAGCGCTCATTTCATATCTTTAACTCTACATCGTTTCCCTATCTTGCCCACTGAGATAGAGTTTCTAAGGAACTCTTCTCCGCGTTTGCACTGCCAAATGGCAGTCATGGCGCCTCAGTCAGCACCGAGCCAACCAATTTCCATCCCTGTTGGACTGGCTCATCAGCCACATGTTGCGGCTGCCACTGTTCCTCTTCCCGGCCCCCCGGATTCGCATCCCATACTACCACAGCCAACACACTCTCTACCATCTCAAAACTCACCACAAGTTTTTGCTCCCCTGCCTGTCCGTCCCACTGCTGGCTCTCGCAGCGGACCCCGGGCTCCAAAGTCGGAAGAGCAACGCATTGAAGAGGGCAGACTGCCGCTCGTCATGGAACATGAGGAAATGCCAAACCCACATCGTCCTAGTGGCGGCTCTTCATCAGGGTCGGATGAAGACGCGGTGGCATCCTCCACCTACCCTTACCCGAACGGCACCTACGACACTCCTGATGGAACCGTGACCTACACTCCTACCTCCAGCATATCCGCATACACCCCGTCGACGGGTTTCTCGTCAGGCCTGTCGTCCTGGAACTCCTACGGCCCTAGACCAAGAGGTGGAAGTGGTGGCCCACAGGGCATGGATCGATCATTTTCAGAAACTGCGGCGGCGGTGCCAAACGATTTGCGCAGTTCAAGACCAGGAGCTCCTCTGCGTACGCCGTCAAACACCTATGCTCCGCCGCGAAAACCTCCGCAGTTCCTGTCCCTCAATTCTAAAAGGATGCATTCGTCAAACACGATGCGAAGCTCACGGCGGGACCCCAACGCGCAATACAAGGCACAAGAGAAGGCCTACGTGCAGCGGGTGCGACAACAACCACAAGAATGGGATGTCAACGACCCTCGGACGCCGAGTGTTGGATACAGCACAGACGACGAGACCGACGATGAGTCCCCATCTGCCGAGCATCAGTTCGATGATCCGTACGACCCCGAGACGTTGATGTTCCTTGGGAACGAGGAGAATCTTCAACCGACGGAGGAGGAATTGCAAAACCCTCGGAACCGAGAGCGACTTGAGTGGCACTCAATGCTGGCTTCTGTCCTCAAAGGAGATGTCGTCAAGCAAGAAAAGCAGAGGCTTATTGGCACAACTGAGCAAAAGACCAAGTCGGAGCTGGGATCAGAGATCTGGCTGGGCGCAAGAGCCAAATACTATGGTCGTCCGCTACAAATGCAGAAGAAGCTCATTGAGGAAGGTCGTGCTAACATTGCGCCGGTCATTGAATCGATTATTGCGTTTGAGATCAAAGGCGAGACAGTCGTCGGCAAGTCACCACTGGAGCAAGTCGAGGAGGCTGTGGCAAACATTGAGAAATGTGAATGGTTGTACTCGTCCCGCAGAGAGCTTGAAGCGGCACAGAGTAGGGCCGCCTCTGATGCCTTCAAGCAAAGTTGCGATGCTATCATCTCCTGGCACAACGTCACCCAGTCAATCAACACCGAGCTCGCCGTCCTGCAATCATGGGTCGGAAACCCCGAACTCGATTTCACCAAGCAGAAGCGGAGGTCCAGCAACGAGGGTGACCTGTCGGACGATTCTTCCTTCATTGATCGCATTCTCAAAGAGGATGGCCTGAAATCGTTGCAAGGGGAGAAAAGCATGTTCCTGGCCATCAGCGAGGTCATCAACAAAGCCAAAAGCACATTAATCGAGAACGCAGAAGCTTTCGCTGCCCGGCACCTGCCTCCTTACATCGAAGAGCTGCTTACCTTGATCAACTTTCCTTCTCGCCTCATCCAGGAAATCATCCGTATGCGGTTGTCATACGCGAAGAAAATGAAGGAGTCGGCGCAGCAATCCACCATGATCATCGACCAGATGATTGCACAATTTCAGATTCTCATGCGACTTGCCTGCCTGATCAAGCAAGAGTACCTGGCTATGTCGCATCCCGAGCCTGGATGGGATCTCCCACCCTGCATCGATGAGAACTTCGACTCTGTCATCGTGGAGGCACTCAAATTCTACTTCAAAATGCTGAACTGGAAGCTCGGTGCCAACAAGAACACTTTCCGCGAGGCAGAAATTCTCGAGCAGGAATGGGGCTTCTCAAATGAGATCGGACGGCAGCTCGAAGGTGGTGACATCGAGGTAGCAGAACAATTCAGCTCCCTGACCGCCAAATCCCTGCTCCGTCTTACTGCTTCGTTCGAGCGCGAGCTTCGAAGCAAACCAGATGAGAGCTCACAGGAAATGGAGAAACGGTACAAGGCCAGTCTGGATTCGGTCCGCGTCCGACAAAGGAAGCTGTTCCGTTTCTCCCGTATCCTTCGCCAGCAGTTTGAGAATGCAACAGAATTCAACCTTAGCATGGGTGGAGAGCAAATGCAAGCATTTGTTGAAGCCCTGGTCTTGTCCGGTCATTTCCTGGCAGACATGGGTCCCAATAGTCCGAAAGGTGTTTATTTTGTCGCCTCACCTTCGCTATGGAACCGGCCAAAGGAGATTCAGTCTATCCTCGGTACATCGTACCACGAAGACGACGCAGCAGAAGACCCCTCAAATCCGTATATCTTGGTCATTCGACCCGAAGATGAGTTACAGTGGGAAGGGCCTCGGATGGACGTTGACGTCTTGGAATTGCCAAACGACGTCAGGCTGGGTAGACTCCGGCTCGTGGCTGATGGATCATCTCTTCGTCTTCAAGGTGCTCGAATTGAGTTTGCCAACGCCGTTGGCCGGGAATTGGACGTGGTTATCGAGCAGCGGGCGAATTTGTCTCGCGTGAACCTGGAGCTAGGCAAGATCAAGAAGACGACATTCAAGCTGTCCAATACAATCATGGAGAGCGTCGAAGTCATCCGATCGCAGAATGGCGGCATTGCGAGTACGGAACTGGTGCAGTCATGCTTCGCCTTCGCTACGGAGTTCGGCAAGCGATCTCTGACCTATATGGACGCCAATCGAAGAATGATGAACAATCTCAAGCTTACTCGACTTGCACTTGACTGGGTCAGCTTCATCTGCGACGATTGTGATGCAGCCGATCGAAGGACGTTCAAGTGGGCTGTCGTCGCTCTGGAGTTTGCTATGGTCATGACCCGTGGAAGGAATATTCTGGACGTCAGTGAAGAGGACTACAAGCGCATTCGGGTCAAGGTCGCCGGATGCATGTCTGTGCTCATCTCGCACTTTGACATCATGGGTGCAAGGTCAACACTTGCCGCACAACAAGAGAAATCGCGGATGGAGGCGATAACTGGCATGAATAAGCGTTTGGACTATAACAAGTTGCGGAATGATGAGGATTGCCGCAAGGAAATGTGTGAGCAAAGACTGAGTGAGCTCAGCGCCATCGATCAGGCCCGTGATGAACGCGGCACCAAGGCAACGCTTGGGCGAGTGCTGGAAGGCTCGAATGAGGCTGATCGCTCGTTGACCTTCTTGTCCTCGTCTGCAACGAACATTACCATGCGATGGCAGCAAGGACAGTTTGTCGGTGGTGGCACATTCGGCTCGGTCTACGCTGCTCTCAACCTCGACACCGGTACTCTGATGGCCGTCAAGGAAATCCGCCTGCAAGACCCGCAGCTGATCCCGACCATTGTCAAGCAGATCGGAGATGAGATGGGTGTTCTTGCGGTCCTTGACCATCCCAACATTGTCTCGTACTATGGTATCGAAGTCCACCGTGACAAGGTCTATATCTTCATGGAATACTGCTCTGGTGGTTCCGTTGCTGGTCTGCTTGAGCATGGCCGCATCGAGGACGAGACGGTTATCATGGTATATGCATTGCAGATGTTGGAAGGATTGGCTTATCTGCACTCAGCTCATATTGTCCACCGTGACATCAAGCCGGAGAACGTGCTGCTCGACCACAATGGCGTCATCAAGTATGTCGACTTCGGCGCGGCAAAGATTATCGCACGACAGGGCCAGACGATGATGGCACCGGAACCTGCTGCTCAGGCTCGGCCCAGTGTGGAACCGGGTCAACTTGCAAGACAACCACAAAAGACGATGACGGGCACACCGATGTATATGTCGCCGGAAGTGATACGAGGAGATGGCCCGGCAACATCGAGGTTCTCGGGAGCCGCAGATATCTGGTCACTTGGCTGTGTCATCCTGGAGATGGCAACAGGTCGTCGCCCTTGGTCGACGCTGGATAATGAATGGGCCATCATGTACAACATTGCCCAGGGCAATCCGCCCCAGTTGCCCTCGGAGGATCAGCTGAGCCCGACGGGTATTGATTTCTTGAAGAAGTGCTTTGAACGGGATCCCGCGAAGAGGAGCTCGGCAGCTGAGCTGCTGCAACATCCCTGGATTGTGGAAATCAGAAGGATGGTGGTGGATGACACTGAAGTTCAGACACCGAGGAGCGATTCCAGTGGAGGCATGTCTCTCCCCAGTCGACACAACTCGGCAACATCGTGAAGGAGAAACATGTTTGTAATCTATATCGATAGCGAGCCTGAACTACCGATGGCTGACATGACAATACACCGAGGCGTCGCTTCGCATTCTGGTTTTGGTGTTTCGCTTCCCAGCTTACTCCGTACGCCGCTGTGCGTACCTCGTTTGCTTCGTACATTGATCTGCTCCATCTGTTCATTCCTAATTTGGTCACATCGCTTCGCCTGTGACAGGGATTGGTTCCTTGCAACACGTTTTGGCAGCATCAGATCGGAGGGTGATCCAGAACCGGTTGCCTGACGTTGTAGTTTCGGACGTATCGGCTTCCTGCTTTAGCATGGAAACCGGTCTTGATCCTCTTCGCGACTTCGGTCTCTTATCGTCTTATTGTGGTATCCTTCATCCTACACTCGTTTGAACACAACTTGGACACCTCTGAGCATCATTTCCGAAAGTATTTCTCTATTCGGGTCTGAATAGTCATCGGTCACGGTCTTTGAAATCCAGTCCGCTCACGTTATGCATTTGCGCCGATTCCGCAATGGCCGATGTTGATAGATCCAGCAATGCTCCGTCAGATCCCTTCTCAGATCAAGCGGGAATCCACGACGAACGAGATATAATTGCCGAAGCGACCTTGAGCGTTGGCAGAAATGCCACGCTGACCCTCGGCACCGACGCGGTTATCGTCCTAGGTGTGACTCTCTCCTCAAGGCTGCGTTGGGCGCTTCTGACATGTCCCAGACGAGGGTTTACGCAGTCGAAGAGGCTTCAATTGCTTCGGGTGTCTCCCCCAGAGTATGGATCACGCGGATCGTACGGGCCGCCGACGACTGACTGTGAAAGCAGGAACGACGAATACCCGATCTATTCCTTACTTCAACATCCTCTGGGCCGAAACCGTCAAAGGCGACCTTACCATTCACTATGCGAAGCCCACCTCGAAGTCCCCTAAGTCTTCCGTTCGCGTTTCCTACATCAATTACACACTAGAGAACACTACGACGCAGTCTGAGAAGGCAGAGAGATGGGCCCAACGACTGCTGGATCGGGCATACGGACATGCGCAGCGCAAGAAGAGGATCAAGGTGTTGATCAATCCTTTTGGCGGAAAAGGCAAAGCGGTCAAACAACACAGTAAAGAGATTGAGCCCATATTTGCTGCAGCGAGGTGCGAGGTGGATGCCGAACGAACTACACATCGGGGTCATGCGATTGAGATCGCCCAGAACCTTGACATCAATGCCTACGATGTTTTGGCCAGCTGTTCGGGTGATGGACTGCCGCACGAATGTATCAACGGACTTGCAAAGAAAAGCAACGCGGTGGAGGCTCTGAGAAAGGTCGCCGTCGTCCAACTTCCTTGTGGCACTGGCAACGGCATGTCATGGAACTTGAACGGCACCGGCGACTGCAGCACAGCGGCACTATGCATTGTAAAAGGTGTTCGAACGCCGCTAGATCTCGTCAGCATCACGCAAGGGGATACCAGGACGCTCTCGTTCCTTTCGCAGTCTCTAGGGATCGTGGCCGAGAGCGATCTGGGAACCGAGAACATTCGCTGGATGGGAGACGCACGGTTTTACTATGGTTTCCTCGTTCGGCTCATGGGGAAGACACTCTATCCTGTCGACATTGCGGTGAAGACGGAGATCGAGGACAAGCAGGACATCAAGCGACACTACGCCGAGCAGATGGCAAAAAGGGCAACGCAGGCAGCAATATCCAAAACCGACCTGGATGGGCCTCTGGATACCTCGACGGGACTTGGTCTCCCTCCACTGCAATATGGCACTGTCAAGGATCCTCTCCCTATCGGCAATGGCTGGACTCCGTTGCAGCACTATCCTAACTTGGGGAACTTCTACTGCGGCAACATGAGCATGATGGCGGCTGATGCACCGTTTTTCCCTGCGTCTCTTCCATCCGACGGTCTGATGGATCTGGTCACCATCGACGGCGACATTCCACGAAGAATAGCTCTCGACCTGTTACTTTCTGTGCCCAACAACGCCTTCTTCGACAAGGAATCCGTCCGATACCGCAAAGTGAGTGCTGTTCGTGTAATTCCGCGGTACGGAACGCTGGCAGACTCGACCGCGGAGAACAAGAAGAACGCTAGCCGAGATGAAGGCTGTTTCGCGGCGGATGGTGAGAAGATGCCCTTTGAGGCCTTCCAGCTCGAGGTCCACAGGGGCCTGGGAACGGTGTTGAGTCGGAGAGCGGGCGTATACGAGGCACCTGGGCCAAAAGCCTGGGAGGACATTGACGGCGCGGCTATTGCTGGGACGCAAAGATTATAGCCAGGACGAGGAGACGTGATCAGTTGAGTCTTGTGCGAGAGGATACTCGATTGTGTATAGAAGAGGCGCAAGGGACAGCCACTGTCACAGAAGAGTGGCCAGGGCGTGACCCATCTTTGGGAGGTGTTTTTGGTTCGAATTTCAACTCGGGATGATATACTGCTCTGCAGCCACCAACAACACCACCATTGCAAGCAGAACGGCGAACATGGTGAGCGAAAGACAAGAAAAGCATGATACCTCTTATATCCCTATACTGGAAGATGCATTTGCAGCGATCAAGCGTTTGGGGAGAAGAGAGACTGCCCCTTGACATTGAAGAAAGAATGCTTATATCATATAATTGTCGACAGTAAGATGCAAGGCTGCTGGTGGTTATGATTCTCTCGTAGTTCACGAAAAGTAAAGGCTTTTGTCTACACAATAGAGCCCTGAAGTACATGATACATACTCATTTCCGAATGTCGTGCAAGCCAAGCCGTGTTGCTATCGCGATAATGCCAACATACCGAAGATCCCCAAAGCTTACAATTTGCTTCTCAGATCCTTTCTCTCATCCTTCTTGAAGAGGACCTTGCTGTCTGGATATGGGTCGAAGACAACATTGTTCAAAGGATTCAGCTCGCTGGCCCGGTAGAACATGTCCTCATAGACCTTGCCATCATAGCGCCCCAGAGAGCTGTCAAGCTGCCAGTCAGGGAACTTCCAGGCGTCGACCAACCTGACGGCGTGTGGACGAATCTCCTCCAGAAGCTTCATGACTGTCTTCGTCCGAGCAAGGGTGATCTGCCGCACGGTGACAGCGGCGGAGGAGTAAAACTCGCTGGCCTCCTTCTCTAGCGTTTGCAGAGCAAATAGCCTGAACAATTTGTGCAGCAACGCGATGGTCTCTCCGTCGACTTGTCTCTCGGTGTTAGGGTCCTGGAGCGCATCATGGAAGTTCTTGACAATCATGTACTGGGCGTGTGCCGTGGACAGGCGATAGAAGTCCACAAGCAGGCTGTTCCACGACTGCTTCTCCTCGTCGCGGTGCCGGAGCGCTTCAAAGGTCAAAAAGGCCACACGCCACGCGAAGGCGTCGACCAGGTCCTCATCATTGCCTATCACGTCAAATGCGCAGCCAATGTCACGGCGACGGACGAATCCAGTCAGGATGCGGGTCGTGTCGTTGTTGCCGGCTTTTCCTGCGAGGACCGCACGGGCAGACTTCAGGAGGTATCGAGAAACTTGCTGCGTGAGCATGTAGTTGTCGCCTTCCCAAGTCACGGTGGGCAAGTAGTCGGCGTACCAACTGCCGATGCCGGAGAAGGACGAGTAGCCGTGGCCACCGCAGGCGCGACGGCAGACCTCCAAACCTTCGGCGGCAGTTGTAGAACCATATGCCTTGAGAGCGCAGCTGGTAGAGTGCAGGTCGGCAAGCAAATCCGTGCCAGGATTGAGTTCTTCAGGCCCGGGTCCGCGATTTGAGTCGGAGAGCTTGCCAGCATCGCTGGCACTCATGCGCTTCTGATTCTCTTGGTACAGGTTGATCATGCTCTTGCCGGTAAAGTGGAGGGCGTAGGTGGCTGCCAGGAGGGGAAGGAGTCGGATCTGCACCATGGTATAGTTGAGGACTTGATTCTCACCGGGTTCGTGGACATCGCGGTCCTGGAACTGCCGCCGGACTGCGCAGTACCGTGTCGCGATTGTAACACCTCGAGCGAGGGTGGCGCCTGCTTGGAGGACGATATTGCTTCGAATGTAGGTCAACGTGCCATAGACGAGGGAAGGATTCGAAGGTCGAACGTATTTGTTGGTCTGCGGATCAACACCGGAGAAGCGAGCGAGCATGTTGACATGGGGGATCTTGACGTTCTTGAAGAGCAGGAAACCATTGTCCATGGTATTGTAGCCGAACTTGGGACCAATATCTCCAACGTGGACGTTGGGCAGAGGCTCGTGGGTCTTCAAGTCGCGGATCTGCACGACGAAAGGATGAGGACCGTAGTTCTTACCGTCAATGAAGAGCTGAGCCATGACCACGGCGTGGTTAGCCGTCTTCCCCAAGGAGCCAATCCACCATTTCGACGCAGTCAGTGATGGCGAGTTGATGGTAAATGTCTTGTCATCGGCGTTCCACACGGCCATCGTTTCCAGCCCTCTCACATTGGAGCCGTGTCCGAGTTCGGTTTGAGCGTAACAGCCAATGATTTTGTATGCCTCTGCCTTCTCGAGGAAGAGCTTGTGTTGCTGGAGTGTCCCTTGTTCACGGAGGGTGACGAGGAACATGCTCGCATGGAGGCCATAGGGAGTCGGCTCGCTAATCAGCTCGTTGGCAGCCTGATACTCCTCTTTTGTCCATTTGTGCTGCATCTGCAATTGTTGCAGTCTCTTGCCTCGAGCCAAAGCAGCCTCTATTCTGCTGGTCCGGCCTCGAAAGTAGTTCTGGGACTTGTCGAACACCGGATCGGCTTGGAGGATGTTCAGGATTCGTTCATTCCGCTGGAGGATCTCCCGGGTGAACATGAAGTCGGCAAGTTGGTCGACATTGAGGCTGGACTTTGCTCTCTCTTGCTGGAGGAGCTCAGAGCCCTGAGGACCGGAAGGTTTGAGGGCTTTGACCCATTCTGGGTTTGATGGCATGTTGGATGGTTGCGTAGACGGCGCAGATGAGGGAGGCCACAAGACAGGACGACAATTCCAAGTTTGACTCCACGAGAAGATTAGAAAGGTACGGGCAGTGTGGGATATAAGTCCTCGGTGTCAACAAGTAGAGTAATCGCAGGCCGAAGTTCGCAATGGCCCAGATCCCAGACAGGCAGATGACGCCGATACATTCAGCGAAGCACTAGAGATGCCTCGGTTCAAGTGCTTGGTGGCCTTCTTGGGGACTAGGCGGGGCCGCGAGATCTCAACCTTCGTGCGTAAGACTGTATTTCCCGGTGCCCATTTCGGCAATCTATCTCATTTCCTATTGCCGCAGCATGAACAGCCGAGTCGCCACTTACCTCTTGACGTCGAGAGCTAGAGCTCTGGAACTCTCTGCTCTTCGACCTCGGCGGCACTCGGGTTGTGTTCGCACTCCATTGCGCTGAAGTCAAGCATGGTGTACGGGTAGTTGTTCAATAAGATTGTTTCCGGCTTAGGCCACGTCAAATACTTCTAGCCCTGGCGACCCTGGTGATGGATTGAGATCCGGCATTCAAGTCGCGGCCAATCGCTAAGCAGCAACACCTCGGCCGCCGGCTTGAGCTCGCTGTTTGACGGGCTCGCATAAGAAACGTATTCAACTCGTCTTTGATGATTGGAAAGCTCGAATTAGGACAAATGCGATACTGGGTTAGCACAAAAGTGGCGATAATACTCCACGAGGCAGGAGTTATGATTAGGAGTTGGGGACATCAAGTATCTGAATAGGATGGATATTTGGTTGTAGTGTGCAGGGTCATGGGTTCTCGACTGTCAACTACATGGGGTATCTCAGGATCTCATCTACTTCTTCTATTCTCAATGCTTCTCATCGATCGTGCGAGGCTCCGGCTCGCTGATCGACATCTCTTCAACGTCCTTTGCAGCAATGACATGACCTTCGGGCAACAAGTTGAGCTCGTCTTCAGCCTTGTCGAGATTCCAGAATTGCCAGATGAAGAGACACCCGCCCACGAATGAAACAACAGCGAATACACCATAGTTCCAGACCAATAGTGGATCACCAGAGAGGCGGTTCAATGCCTCGGCAATGGCGGCGGAGATGGCGTTGGTGAAGAGAGCGATGGCCTGGACCAGCGATCGCATGTTTCTGGGTGCCTTGGAGTAAGCGTACTCAAGCGAGGTGATGGAGGCGAAGATCTCCGACAAGGCAATGAGCACGTAGCAGCCAGTCTGGATCCAGACGTTGAGAGGTGCCGGGTTGACGGTGCCGTCGTCATTGTAGCAGTTGTTGGCTTGGTGACCGCAAGGAGACCGCTTGTAGATGTAGTACTGAACCACGGCGGCCCAGATCATAGCAGCAGCAGCAGTCCAGAAACCCACGGTGATCTTCTTGAGCGCGGTGAAGTTGATGCCCATTCTTCGGAGGCCGGGGTACAGCAACAAGTCGCAGAGCGGGATGAAGATGATGAGGGCGAATGGGTCCAGGTTAGTAACGACACTGGAAAAGTGTTAGCTTGCACGTCTCAAATGGGAGCAAAAGGAACGTACTCATTGGGAACACCGTTAAGTGTCATGGTACCGGCTTGGGCAGTGAAGTTGTTCGTGAGCTGACCGTACGCAAGCCAGTAGAGTGGGTAGTAGCAGAAGACTTTGCAGGCGGCAAACCCACGGCGTAATTCATCGACCCAGGCGTCGTCAAAGGTCATCCACGAAGGTCGTTGAGATGGTTGGATGTTGGATGGCTTCATCGCTTCCCAGACAGACCCGTCGCTGGTGCGCTTGTACAAGCTGTACGGGTTCAAGGACCAGCGCCCCTTCATGCCGTAAAAGTAGCAGCGGAAAGCCTTGGCCACGACTGAGCCAGAGGCAGGACGCTGTTGATATCGCTTTCGCCCCCACCACATGACAGCAGGCGTGGTCAGGAAGGCAATGAGCGGCAGCAAAAATGACAGCCAGAATCCGACGTACTTCTCGGCGTACACCATCCCAATCTGGCCGACGAGGGCACCGATGTTGATGAAGAGGTAGAAGTAGTGGTAGATCCGGCTCTGGGTGATGATGGGATCGACGACCACGCGCTCGCCAGATGGCAGGATCTTGACGAAGGCGCGGGTCACGTCGATCTGCTCAACGATCAAAGGTGAGATGTTGGGCTTGAAGCCACCCGTGCCGAAGCCCATGATGATGAGACCGAGCATGAACACAGCATAGCAGGCGGTTGGGTGGGTGATGACTGGTGGGATGGCGGAGATGACAAGGACGATGTGACCGATGATGGCGATGGCAATGGAAATGCAGATGGTCTTGTATCTTCCCCAGTGTTCGTCGGCCATGTCTAGATATCATTAGCCTTAGTGCCATGCCGTTGTCGAAGACAAAACGTACAGGCACCGAGAAGAGGCACGCAGTAGATCCAGAAGGTGTTGAAGGTGTTGATGCCATTTGCAGTTTCTGGGCCTTGACCAAGAGCACCGGAGATACCTTGATCGGTGCCACCCCCTGCACCCGTGTTGTGATGAGAGCCCGGTGGCCCATCTGGCGCCGGGAGCGGAAGAGAATGATTGACGAAGTTGGAGTCTGCGGAAGCATTAGCGGGCAAGACGTGATTCGGCTGCGGCCGAAGACACTCACAAACAACTTGAGTTCCGTAGTATGAGAAACGCTCGCACAGCTCGATGAATGCGACAGTGTAAACCGCCCATGGGATAGGGGCGGCAGTTCTGCGAAGAGCATTGGGGCCGTGGAGCTCCTCCTCTGTGGGAATGTTGTCATATTCTGACTCGCGGCGGGAGAACTCGACAACTTCGTTCTTGGCCACAGCGATTCGACGTCCGCCGTCGGCGTCGAGGTTCTCAAGGCCACCGGCCTGGATGGTTTCAGGGTTGTCAACAGGCATGGTCGTACCGTCAACTGGACAATGCTGGATGGCACTCCTGCACCTCGCGACCGGGACGAGGGTGCATTTATAACTGTTCATCCACGACCATGTACCTTGTACGACTTCCTGAACCGGCAGGTAGCCCATCTAATTCGCTTATCGGGTGGCGGCAAAAAGCGTTGAGGCGTGAGCAGAGAGTCTTGTTAGCTGGAGCAGTGGCCGTCATGGTTAGTGGTCGGCAAGTGCTCATGTTACATTTCCCTTCCGCAGCCATGTAAAATCGCCCATAGTGAGGTTCTCCCCCATGATTGGGGTGCGTAAACTTGGCAGCTTTCTAGCGGATGGCTTGTCTGGCTTGAACTGGTCAAGCTTTCATGGCGAGCACCTACCGAGACTAGGCCCGTTGCATGGAAGCGACTGACAGGGATCTACACAGTAACCATGGCTGCGTGATCGCCCAAGGGACGCGAGTCTTTCGAGTGGCGGCGACGTAAGATCTGCCAATCGAAGTCCAATCATGAGTTTCTAGAACAAATCCCGAACCTTCTTTGAAAGTGGTTTATCGGCCACGTCCGGTTGCAACGTCCTATCGACGCTACCATCTGATAAGTTCGAGCACTCCTTGCGGTCCATGCGCTCTATCCCTCGGTAAGTTGTTTCGCACCAGTCGTTGTTATCTTGCACGTCTGATGATTGGCTGTCACAGCCAGGACTGAGGCAATCCTGCGCATGCGATCGTGCCCACGGTAATCCCATATGCAAATCTTTGCGTCATCCCTCCTTCGAAGATACGAGATGTGAAAGTACGCATCGAGATATGAAGCAGATATCGAGATGCCTACTCGGACAGCTCAGTGTAAATCCAGCTATCGTCGACAGATTTAGAGAGCCTTTTCGTTCTGTCGAGCACCAGTCGAAGCTCCTGGGGCGACGGAAATAAAGAGCTGACTGGACCGTTTCCTGACTCATTACATGACAGAACCATTGGGTGCTCTGGAAGCACGATACAATGCCTGATTTGGTCGGAGTGGAAACAGCGTGGCAACTGACCGACGGACTATTCGGATCAAAGTCCCAAGACAGGTGATGACCCGGACGACCCCAGATGTCTGGGCAAGCTCCCTCAGGCCGAGGCACGAAGAAGTGGGTTGCACTCTCGGCTTTGGTGGAGATGCTTGTGGCGGCGGGAAATCATTGAACCTTTTGCTCGCACTTCGCGTTCGGCAGAGTCTCGCTGAGCATGATTGAAAGATCTGCCAGGGGGATTGGTCGTGGTGCAATCTGCCGCAGGGGGAAAGAGGGAGCCCAACCACAAGCTATGGAAAGCAAACTACGATAGCAAGCACTCTGAATGAGATAGGACGTTGAAACAAAAGAAGGAAACGAATGCAGCTAATACCAACCGACTTTACCGCCATCATCCACAAGGGCAGCCTCGCCGAAAAAGACCGAGTGTCTGTTTGCCAAGGCCAGCCTTGCTGCGCCCACACAGTGTGATTTCTCGCCATCTTCGCTCCTTGCTCCTCTTCTCTTTTCTCGCTTTCAAGTACTCCAACACACCTCAACAGTGCGCGCAAAGATGCGTTCTTGCGTTCGCTGTTTTTCCTACCTTGATCTCATCCAGAGGTGGTGCGGACACTGGCCATGATCAGGCCAGGGACGAAGTTCCACCAAACGCCCTATCTCAAGGGCAATCGGGCCTCAGTGCCCAATACCCAACTGCGCCTGCTTTTGCCGCAACGGGTCTTCGAGAACAATACGGTCTTACTGGCCAAGTTCATTCCATCGTTGCTTCTGCCTATCCGGCGCAGCCTGGCTATGGCCAATTCCCCTCTGCTCCATCTTCCAGCTCTCGTTCTGCCGTTGGGTTACAAGGACAGGTCGGACTTGGTGGCCAACTCCACCATTCCGCTACTGCCGCCCATCCTGCATATCAGGGCCCAATATGGATATGGTGCTCAGACCTCTCTTCCCGTTGCGCCCTCTTTACCTGGCCAGAATGGGGCTTATGCCCAAGGTCATCCCCATCCCCAATCTTTGGCTTTTTGCCCCTCCACTTCCGCTGTTCCTTTTACATCAAACGCGTCCTATACCCACCAGTCGTCTGGGATAGGACAGAAATCAGCGGCTTCTGCGCAGAACCAGTCGGCATTACAACCAGGATTGCAACTACACCAAGGAAATGGCCTGGCTTCTGCCATTGGCATGCAGACACCTCCGGCTGCACCATACGGACAGCAGACGAGGTTGACAGCTCCGCAAACCAACTTTCCTTTGTCTATTCCATCTGCCGCGGTGACTTCCACCGCGCTGGAAGAGCCTCAGCTCGAGCTACCTGATGCTTCACACAGCACTGTGGTAGCGGCTCTGAAACAGCAATTCGAGCAAGCGATCCGTGAGATCCGTGAGATCCGTGAGATGTGCGAACAACTGACCTTGGCTGAAACCCCGCGGAAACAAGTGGAAAAACTATCTATTCCGCCCTCGAAGCATGCAACCAGCATTTACAATCGTCGGCACGTCCGTTGTCAGAGCACAGCTGCCTTGTGCGATTGCGCCAGTCAGTCATCCTTCCACCAAACCTTCCCTGAAAATGAGGGTGCAGATGCTCGGTCATACATAGAACATCATGAACCTCTTGTCGTGGGTAATACCGATGATTCTAGTCCAAACAGTGCTTCCCAATCCAATGGCGGATCTGCTGAGCTCACGAGACAGATTGCAGGGATCTCCAATGACACGGAAGCGAACAGTCCGCAGCCCAACTCACCTAGCATTTCCGACTATGATGAAGGCTTCTCCACCACTTTCTTAGAGAAGTACAGGTACAGTCATCACTTGAAGATTTTCGTCAGAGACCTCGGCGGAGTTAGGCGACATTTGAAGTTGCAGGAAGTCCTTGATGACTTTGTGCCCAGTCGTTATCAACGTCTCCAGTACACATGGGTCAAAATGGCCAGGCTCATAATTTAAATTGCGGCTGGGCGGTTTGACAACGAAGAAGGTCTCAATTAGCTGTCGGGATCGATGCGCACGTGGGTGGATTACGAGCGACATTATGAACAGCTGTTCCTGAACATGTATGTCGCCATTGGGACTGTGCTGGAAAATGCGGCAAAAGCATTCGAAGCCGATGTCACTGAATCGCCGTATCTGCTCGGAGATCCAACCTCGTGGCTGCAAAATTGGCTCGCTCCGCAACTCTTAGAGATCCATCATGAATACATGGACTCTGAGTACGGTGTGCACGCAACATTCGAACACTGGCGACGAGCATTCCGAGCATTTCGAGCCCTGCCATGGCGATGCCGGTATGGAATGTCCGTACCTTGCTTGCGAGGCTCCCTTGCTTCAGCCAACATGGGATACGTTTCCAGATGAAGGAGGTGGAATACCAGCTATGCCAGTTTTTACGCATGTCGAGCAGAGTGCCACCACTGCTGAAGAAATCAAGGAAATGAAGTTTGATTTTGACATGCTCGAGAGGGAGGCTACATCTCCCCCCTGGAGCCGCAGACCAGATTCTATTCTGCGCGATTGTCACGGCGTTCTTATCAGCTGTGGATGAGCAGGAGGGTGATAGCTGTGCCTAAGGACAATGTTTCGAGCGGCCTGACATGCTTCACCAATGTATTTAATGTGTGAAACGAACCATCGTGGCCTTGCTGTCTAGAGCACTGTGTCCATACTACGGAAGGTACCAGTGAGAAGGCACCTCATGCAGTTTGGCGCATAATCTAAGCTGCAACCAGACACTGACTCGAAGCTTTCGCCAACTCCCATCGTCGTCTCCCCTACCGCAGGACAGTGCGACGACAAAGACATGGGCGCGCATGATGACCTAAAACCTCACTAAGCTTGCCTGAAAATGAATCCCTTGTTGATGAGATGATACGAGAGCGTGAGTCGCGCAATCTTCGTTTCAGATAACTCGACGATGGACAGCCATACCGATCCCTATGAGCGAGAGCCTTACGAATCGACCGAGGGCGCTATCAGACACCCATGGTAGCAGCGCGAGGAGGCGGGGGTGGGCGGATCCAGGCTGAGTCGATCGCAGCAGAGGTTTTCGATCATTAGCAGTGTCGCCCGCGTTGATCGTCAGACAGGTTTTCTCGGTATCCTCCGTGATATCTCATGCGGCCAGGAAAGGCTTCGCCAAGGTAGGGCCGACGGTGCTCATCCACACTTGATGTTGTTCTGGGCGCTTCAGAACAAGGCAAGTATCCCTCTCATCACATGTGTAAAACTTTTGTGACTTGCTATGCCGAATGTGTCTGCCGCGACTCCCTTTCTGGCCGTGCGGAAACTGAACAATGAGATGGCGGTCTCCGATGAATCCGATGGACAGTCTTGTACTAGTATTACGCTCATCCCAAGCGGCGGCCAGTAACGACAACACGGACGTAGCCTTGTCACCGTTGTTGAAAGTGGACCGGGCCCGCCTAAGGAGAGGTCGCACAAAATGCTCTGCCGTAAGTATTGCGTCAACTACCAAGCTGTGTGCTGACCTTCATAGCTTGAACAATCCTCGTCCTTGACGCAGCCCAGCACATCTCTACCGATGGCGGACGCCCTCCCATATTTGCGCTCCGCGTCGACCAAAGACGCTGTTCAGCCGTGCATCAAGTCTTCCGAGGATCGCTTGATCGAAGGATACACACTATCCACGATTCCCATCGACCAACTGTATCGCACCGCTCATCTCGCCAAGAATATTCGCAACATATATGGGAGACCCCGGTGTGACCCATTCGAGGCGACAGCAGAGCTCCACTGTCAAGGCCTCGAAGCCTTTGCTGCAATGTCCGGACACCGACGTGGAAAGGGTTCTGGATGGCTTGAGCAGAAAGTTGAATTGTAAGATAGGAGTATCGCGTGGTGATGGTCACAAGGAGCGTTTCCATGGTTGTCAAGGCTTGCGATGCCGCCAGGTAAGGAGATCCATCAGTAATCGAGTTGAATGTTCAGAATCTCGACGTGGTGGTTGATTCAGGTGCACATTGGGGGGGAAAGACGTTTGGGAAGACTCACTTCAGTTTTCGTCCTCTCCAACCACTTCAATCATCATGTCGGGTTTGCCCAACATGAATGAAGACACGCAACTTGAAGAGATTTGTATTTCCCTTAATGGTATGAATACCAACATGGGAGGTCTTCTCCGACATGCAGGCGAACTGGGCTACGCCGAAGATATTCGTCCGGTCATCGGTTCCTGCCCGGATGAATTCGCAAGCTTGAGAAAGTCGGTCGACCGCCTGTTGGTGACCAAGGAAGCGCAAGCTGAGAGCAAATCCCTGGCACAAAAGTTCCAAGACGAGGCGCAATCCCATTTGAAGCAACTCGAAGTCAATCGCCAGGCATCAGAGGCACTTCGGAATGAGCATGCCTCGCTCCGGACCCAAATGCAACAAGAGAGCAATGACCATTCAAAAGCACTTGATGCAATCTTCCACAGCCTGAACTGCAGTGCCCAGGAAACCAAACGCTGCATCTCGTCGCTTGAACCTGCGCTCTCTGAGGTGGGCACTCAGCGGACACAGAGAATCCTACAACTGATCAGTGACACCGTTGAGCTGACCCCAGTCCCAGTGCAGTCAGATAGTCCTCCTTCTGAGTCGCTCTCTGCATCCCTTCCTGCTTCTTTGCAGCATTTCATTTCTTTCTTCACCGTCCTGGGGAAAACCGTCACAGAGACGTACTGGCTGGCTATCGAATGTGAAAAAGAGCTGGTAGAATCACAACAGGAGAAGATTTCTTTGCATTCCTCTCTCGATGAGCTGAAGATGGATCACGCCGTCATGGCCAGTGAAAAGGCCGGGCTTGAATCATCTTTTCAGGTTCTGTCGCAGGAGAAAGTCGATCTTGGAGCCTCTCTCGGTAGCCTGGAGAAGGACAAGGCCAATATGGTCGAGGACAAGGCCAGGCTCGAATCCTCCCTCCATGCTCTATCGCAGGAGAAAGCCAACATGGCTAGCGAGAGGATCCGATTGGAAGTCTCTTTGAAAAGGCTGAAGGAGGAGAGAAGAGCCGCGATCGCAGAAAGCACCAAGCTTAGAGACTCCCTCGCGAGCCTTGAAGGCAAGAATGCGAATCTGACTGCCCTGAAGTCTGCGCTTGAAGCCTCTGCGGCAGTCTTGGCAAAGGAGAAAGCCACTTTGATCTCTAAACAGGTCAAGCTGGAACACTCCCTCAGCAGCTGGCAGGAACGCAAGCAGGCGGAGATTGATCTTGCTATTCGGGAGAGAGCTCAGACCCAACAAACTCTCGACAATCTCTGCGAGCAGCATGACAGGCTAGGAGACTCGGAGAGCTCGCTGCGCAGAGACTCGGACCAGTTGGAGAAAAGGTATGAAGCAGCAGTGGCTTCTCACAACCAGACGCGCTCAGATCTCGAGCAGCGGTTGAACGGTGAGACGGATGCCCATGCAATGACCAAAGCTGACCTGGGCGCGAATCTAACAAGGGCCGAGCACGCCCTGCAGACCGCACTGTCTCAGCACCATCAAGCGCTTCACCTGCAGAGAAAGCAGAGGGACAGGACCATCCTGAACCTCCGCAACAATCTCACCGTCAGTCAGAGCACAAGTGCCATGTTACAGCGCCGAGTAAGAAGCCTCCGCCACGAAAGCCACACGCTCGAGCGTGCTCAGCGTGCCCTTGAGCGGGACTACGGTACTCTTCAACGCGAGCACAGCATCCTCCAGAACACGCACGCTAACCTCAAGTCTGTGAATCATACCTTGGAGGACCAGGCCAACGAGGCTCTTCGTGACTACAAGGAGGCGAATGATGCTTTGCAGAAGTCCAATGACCGACGGGAAGTGTTACAAGCGGAACTCGGTCAATGCACTCAGCAGCTACAATCAACGAGAGATGATCACGACGCACTATCGTCACGTCTGGAGGACGTGGTTGCGGAACGGAATGATCTCGATGGTAACATCACCCTCCTGCTAGATCGTGTCGGTGACCAAAAGGCCGAGGCCCTCGTACTGAAATTTCAGCACCAGTGTGAGCTCGAGCAGCCGAACGAGGCTTTTGAACGACGCCTTGCGAGTGAGAAGGAGGCATTGGCTGAAGAGATTCTCGCAAAACATGGCGCACTTCTTGATGCAGAAACACAGGACTTTGTGTTTATGATCGAGCCCATCGTGAACATGTTTGCGCAAGAGGTACGTTCTGTAATGCTTGCGGACAAGGACCAGGAGGTCCGTCAAACCACGGGTGATCTTCTACAGACGCTTGCCGAGGGCGAGAGTCACATCCGGGCCCGTATCAAAGAGAGGTATCGTCGCATCGCGCAGCAGGTGGTCAAGGACTCCATTGGAGTTGTTCGAGAGCAACATGAGCGGAGCACTGAGTCTTTGCGCCAGCAACTGGACGATGCCAAAAGCGAAATCACTCGCCTCCGCAATCCAACACTCTTTGGGATTCTTGTTTCACCAAGACAAGCTTTCAGCCTCCAATACTCCCAGATCAGAACTTTCTTCAAGCTGGACCCGGTCGCTCCAGAGCAGCATCCACTTGCACAAACACTTCACATGGCGCAAGTTAGGTCACTCCACGAGCAGGAGCCCGCCGTTGCAGAGCCTGCAACACAGCAGATGTTCTCCAGTCAAGCAAGTACAGCTTTCTCGCCCCAGTCTCATCCTCACCCTGCAGGTTTGGCCGAGATTGGACATGGCGACAGTGAGAGAGCCGACAGAGACATCCTCGACCAAGGCTCGAAACGTGCCCGCGAAGAGTCACAGGAGCTTGGAACAGGTGACTCCGACTACCAGTCGCCGTACGTGGGATCGCCTGGGCCCAAGAGACAGAAGTTGGGTCACCAACATGCCCCGTCTGTGATCGTTGTAGAATCTCCAGAACACGTCGATGCCAACATTGCGGATGTTCAATTGGATCTCAGCTTCAACGAAATGCAAGCATCTGACCAGCATGACACCCCAGCCAGCAGTCAAGAAGTAGCCACCCTTCATGGCGAGCAACTATTGGATGACCACGGCGTAGCTCGGCAACAACCGCCGTCACAACCGCCGAGACAATTTGCATCCAGCGGAAGTACGCTCTGGCCAAAGGGTCTGCGACTTCGCACTCTCTGCTTCCTGGCATGGGACGTGACTGAGGCGGACGAGCAGGCATTTCAGCTGTGTTGCAACGCCATATTCAGCGAGGGAAGATCCTTTGAAGATGTCCAGAAGTTCATCGACAGATACTGCGTGGGTCCGCTTGATGCGCCACCACCGAACCCCCCTGGCTGTCTTGTGGCAAGATTCAATGGCAAACCGGGAGGTGCAGGGAACAAGCTCATGACCAGCAGATCTTGCAAGTGGTGCCAAGGACAGAAACTGTGTCTATGGGCAAGGTTTGCTGACGGGGTAGCCACCGGCTTCGGACCACGGGTCGGTCGCAAGATCCTCGATGGCCGAGAGCACGATGCCGATGCACAACCACGGACTGTCGAGATCAACGGACAGGATGCCAGATGGATTGTGAAGGAGAGGAAGTCGAGTAAAGAGGAGGACAATGATGCTCCCTTTGCGGCTGGGTCATTGGTGATTTAGCTCACTTGAATCCAACCTCTGCACACATCCCTGAATTCTGTTCTCCTGCAGCCCCGATCGCCTGTGCTTCTCTGCTATCCCGCTCGCCAGAGTTACACTGCCTCTTAACGGAGACGCTTTCCTTCTGCGACCCGACTCATGACCCGTTTCGCGCCACATTGGGTCCAGCAAAATACAACGGAACATGTGGTCATCCGTGCGTCACCCTATCGCGATACGACGCTCTCGCGAGACTACATGATAACATTGTCCCACGATGTTAAGCATCCCAGCGAGGACGCATGTCCGCGAAGAACAGAGCGACGATCGAGTAGCCGGTGATGTTAAATGCTCTACCTGATATCGAGGCGACGTCTTTGACGCTGAGAAGAACCATCTGCGAACAAGCACACGCAGATCATCCTCAGCTGGCCATTCCAGGGTTACGCTATCGGGCGTTGCCTATCGAGACGACGGCATGTTTCATGACCACTTCTCTCCATCCAGCCTACAATGTTCCGGCAACGCGAGCTGCAGTGCGCATGACACGGTCCTCCAAGCAACGCGCCGGACCCTCTATCCCAATTAGACCCTCCTCCACCGACGCCTACGACTTCTTGAAGAACAACCAAGACGATACCCTCCACGCTGCACAGCGGAGAACGCCCGCTCTCCAGAAGAAGACGAGCACTCCTCACGTACCGGAAAGGGCTCGACAGAATGAGGTAGCTACAAGCTTCCGCCGACAGGCGGGATTGCATACAGACCGACCGTGCAAATACGATCCAAATCCGACCTCATCACCTGAACACCGCTTTCCAGGTGGACAACTGTTTCTCTGTATACCAGTGATGGACGAAACAGTGGCCAAACAGAAGGGGAAGAATTTTGTGCACAAGTACTAAGAGCAGCGTCAACGGTCGTGCTTCGGATGTATGTCACCATGCTATTGGAGCGTTTGATATTGGGTTGATATGGCTTATTTTTCAATACCTAGACAATGAAGAATCTCTCACGTCGAATTTCCGCATTCCACTAACATGCTCTGTGCTACTCGGTGGCAACCACGTCTCGAAGAACTCGCTGTCTCCAGAAGAACTACACGCGTGTCTGACATTCCCAACGCCAGCCCTGCAAGCTCGTAATGCCGCAGAGAGTATCCATGCTGACTTCCCGCCATCCACTTCTCGCCCTGGGTAAGACGCAATGTCCGACATCCACAATGTAAGACGATTGAAGTTTCTGTGTCCTGGCTGCCGAAGCAGAATTGGGAGCATCGAATAAGGAAGCAGCCACTACCGTAGAGTTATCATCCGGTCCTCCTCGCCTTCTATTCGATCTCGGACAGTACCAGCAGTTCTGAGTTATTGATTCGGTGCCTATCCCCTCGAAAGCGCTCGTTGACCGCGGGACTTCCGCGTGCGGGTCATAACAGCTCTGACCGTTTTCCGACCTTGAGCGACGATCCCAGCAGTTTTTGCGCTGACGTCTCACCTCCTGGTATGACGCAGAGAGTAGCTCGTGGAAGCGACGAGTACCACAGGAGCCAGACAGTCACAAGATCAATCGTCCGGTCCACTTGCCGACAGTGAAACGCTTACACAGACTCCGCAGCATGATGTCTGCGGCTCCAGTAGCCGACTCCAGCTTTGTCGAGACCGGTAGGGAGGCGGGCCAGTCCTGAGACCATAGTAGGGCCCGGTTTGTGCTGACTCGCAGCAGTTGAATCCAGTGATTGCTTTCACTATTCGGCATGGTCGAAGACTGCGATATCCAACCCGCAGACTCCGATCGATAATGTGACCATGTTTTCCAAGGTCGGGAGTGTCAGCTCGCGGGCGCAGAGCTTGCTGGTGCCTCCTCGTCGACCTCTCCAAGTGCGGTCAAGTACTAGATCTCACCACAAGTCGTTCAAGGACAGACCCGCAACGCCGTTCAGAGTCGTCCGGAGACAATGCAGAGACGCTCACCGAGGTTCATTCTCCTCGGGCCAACCACGGGGATCTTCTTGCCATCCGAGATTCTTGTCAGACTCTTTGGTCCATGCCTGGCCCCCAACAAGAGGCGCATCCACTGAGAGACGGAGCGAGACCTTGGAGACGAATGCCGCACACAGTCGCATCATTTCACACGAGGTGTCTAGCTCTGGCAAGCCGTCGTCCTGCTCTGACCTCTAACATCTGTCTCTGCAGGGTATCTGCCGCGCCATAGGAGGGTTCTGGCCACTTGTGCAGAGATGATACCCGCACCACAGCGCGACCCGTCGTCGTTGCGGAGGAATAGGCCGAGCCTCAAATCACAAGGCGAAGCAGGCATGGTAACTCTCGGGAAGTCTTCCGCTGTCTCTCGTGTGGTGGTCTTCGCAGAGAAATGTCCAGTTTGCTCCTACATGGAAAGCCGCGACTTGGGCCGCTCATGCCGAGTTCACATCTCCAACAGGTCGATGCACGTGAGATCTCGGGTATCTGATCGGCGCTGCTGTGCTCTGAACAGAACACAGCTCGGACCGACACTGGGGCGGACCCGGCTGACCGCGCTGATCTCACAAGGACGCGCTTATGTTTTCCGTACGTGGAGAGCCTCGTTCGGAACATTGGAACATGCTCCCGGTCGCAGATCACTGTTCAGCGACAGCTGTTGGTCCATATGGGTCGTGATGATCATCTCGGCTTCGATATAGTGAATGGCAGTTTTCGTGCACCGTAGCGGTACACCAGAGACACTAGATCTAGTGCTGTGCGAACTCCTGGACATGGTACAAGGAAGCTCCAGGCCAGGCAGTGCATGTTGAAATCCGAGGAAGGCCGCTCCGAAGGTCTCTTTGTGATTCGTCGACGGCAGAGTCCACCAAGGCAAACAGGCGTCCCTGGAAGTAGCGCACTCCAGCAACCGCGAGGCGGACCTACTCCCGGGTGTCTCAGTCATATTGCCTGCTCAAAAAGTGCGTACGCCCTGTCTTGGACTGTCTGCAGCCATCTCAAGAAGTCTCTGTGCCGTAGGTAGGGCCTTGGAGGGAAGGACTTCATCGGCCGTTGAGTCTGCGTCAGCCGCTCAAAGCGTCCCACTCTTGATACTGGCGAAGTCTCAGAGTCGCGCATGGTACTCCGTATTGTGCTTGTCATGCGGAAGGTTGTGGGGAACAGTGGTGGTGATCAGGCACTCCTTGGTCAAGGAGGAACATCATCATTCGGGCGCGGCGAAGACAAGACCATTCAGAAGCGGACGGGAAATGCGTGTACAAATGGTCTTCACTAGGCTTGAGAATGACAGCCAGGACCGTCGGAATGAGCCTCCAGCCTTCTTCGGTTGTCTTGGAGTGAGAGTACGGTGACTGAGAGCTGGTTGCTTTCGTGCGGCGAAGATGCGATTTGTGGCCGAGAGACTTGCGGGTTTCGTGCTCCCGGGACCTAGCGTAATTGCTGCTGAGGAGCGAGCCGCCACCACAGGGTGAACCCTGGTAAATTGTCGACATCGCGTTCTGGTGTTACACCACCCTTCGTCGTAACGCCGCACAGTCAGAGCGGTGATTCTGGGGAGTATGATTGAAATCCTGGACGGCCGCAAGCACGTTCATGCCGAGCTTGGTGCCATTACCAAGTCTCACAGCTCTCCGGTCACATCTCGTTGTTCTGTCAGTCTTCAGAATGAAATTTGGTGCTGAAATGCGCGAATTGCCACCGAAGACTTCGCCAGTATTCTAGAGCATTTGAACAATCGCTCGGCGGAGTTTGCTCAGCTCCCCAGAGCTTCGTGGATCTCAAGAGAGGCTGCCCATGTTCAGAGACTTCATCTCCGCCGCCCTGGCTTCTGGGCTCATATTGCTTGTGTTCCGAACCATGTACACGATATCAACGGATGATCAAGGACTGCCACTTCTTCTTTCCGTGTAGATGCTTTGGAGTCCAGAGAACGAAATCCGGTCGTCGCTCGCCATCTCCAGACCGCTCCAGCTCTCTCACCTGCATCTCGGCACTCCTCTTCCGTCGAAGTACTAGGGGACATGGGCACCTCCGCAAGAGCCTAGAGACTCGAATACCAAGATGTCGCGAAGTCCGTGACACCTGTAGGATCAGGTTATGATGCAGCGATGGCAGAAGTTCGGTCACAAGTCATTCTCTGACGCATGTTGTGCTCCGAGCTGGGTGTGAGCACTTTCGATGGTGGTGAACCAGAGAAACCAAAGTCCACTGATGTAAACCTGAAACCCCCTGAGACCATTTAACCAGGGCACATGAGCACGATGGCGCTCGAAAACGGCGTCTGTGATTGTCTTTGACATGCTTCTTGACGATTTGAGGCTGTGGGCGACCAGTAAGTGATCGTGATGGAAGAGAACGAACTCCGTGGCTGTGGAGCTGAAACTCCACTGCGCTATTTTTCAAGTGCATTCGAACACTATGCTGCTTGCGAATGACATCTCTGGTGGGCTCGTACACATTCTTCCGTGAAGCGGAATTCCCAGCGGTTTGCAAGCGAGCATGAGCAGTCAGAGACAAGAATGTGCGTAGCACTGCAGCGTACGTTGCTTGGCGAAGCTGCTGGAAGGCATCGTTAACCTGGCCTCACATGCGAAAGGAGGTTCTGATCGACTTTGGATGTCTTCTCGGTCAATGTCCATGGGTGTGCTTGTGAACGTATCCATGTCCGTGCTGGAGATAAGAGACACCCAACATCGAACGGAGAGCTCGAACGAACGATCACAGCGCTTCCTGGATAGCCGCCTTGGATCCCCCGACACTGAAAGGTCCACTGGCTAAGGGGTGTTGCTACGGTGGTCTAGATAGAGTCGCCTCCAGAGCGCTGACCGCCAGCGCTGCTTCGAAGAGGACGAGCATTAGCCGGGAGAGCTGGGCGCTTACTGGGTGTAGTTGCGACACTGAGTTGGGCACATCAAATCTGTGATTTCAGGTCTCTGATGCCCAAAGCCTGGAGTGGGTTGTTGAATAGATATGCCGCCATACAACCAACTCCGACCACGCAGAGACAGCTGCAGGTGCTCGAAGACAGCTTGCAAGTATTGC